GGTTGTTCGTGGGTAGTCATAGTAGGTTGACGCAACGTAATGTCACGAGATGTTACGAGCACGTGTTTAAGAGCTTACTAGAAGCGTTAATTGTGGCTACGTACGATATCTGGTGTAATACAAGACGTTGCGTAAGGAAACAGAATCAGCATGTACAGGCGGTGAGAAGTTATCGATGGGGGCCGTGCGCATGGCGCTAGGCCCGGCCGGCCAATCAGCAGAATTCGGGTGCTTGGCGGAGCACTCGGATTCTGTAGCGCGTTCAGTGTCAAGGGAACCACGGTGGTTACCGTGACACGCTGTTAAGACCCCTACAGGAGGTACTAAGACCCCTACCTAAAACCTTATTACTACAACAAACTGCTTAATTAGGCAAGTATTAATAGGTGTCGATTACTGCAGATGTGTTTCACGGCTTATTTTAGTCATCTGATCTTTTTGGGGTCAGCCGAATAGTATTTGGGGTCAGCCGAAAAAGCTTTCCCTTTAGAAACCTCCTACTGCGCAACTGCGCTGCTAAAATTTTGTACTATCTCTCGTGTACGTAGCAAGCCTCGCCTTGTGCACTTTTCTATATAGCTTACAAGTTCTAACTGTTATTGTGGGTTAAGTAACTGCTGCGCTTCTGCTATAGCTGCATTTGAGCGTGTTAAGCCTTAGTGGCGGCGCGACAACGTCGTTCTGTTAATATTGAATTTACGCGCGACTTCGCGGTACGAAAAAGATGTGCCATCTTCGCGCGATTCGATATCTTCAATCGCTTCTTAAATCGGGTCCATAGTGGCGGAGTTATGACGCGTTGAAGTTGGGATGATTATATTATTATGATGTTCGGGTGGCTCACACGGCGAACTGGCTCACATGGCGCACGGGCACTGTACGCCGGGCAGCACAGTACATATAATGCTGCCAACAAGTATGTATTTGTCTGGTGCCAGAGCAATGCGTTCGACGCGAATAGGTACTTTCAGTCAATTGTGGGATTTGGAAGATGGCCAGTTGGCCAGTGTAGTCTTCCAATCAGCTGTTTAGGAATTAGTAGCGTCTTCTAAAAAGTTCTTGTCTTGATTATTGCATGCAGTTTCAGCCAACGAGGAGTCTTCACTATCAGTAATCGGTCGGTCTGCAGACAGCGAGTTTTGTACCTGTTCCATCACCTCGTTGAATTGCACAGCCTTGAAGTAAATGGATGTGCCGGGTATGTGAGACGCACTCGATGGCCTGAGAAGTGACGCTGATTGGAGGGCAGGTTTAATCATCTCACCAGACTACTTTCGCATCGGCGGCGGCTTCGCCCGTGACCCGTGGTCTTCAGCATCGCCTTCATCTGAGGACGTATGGATAGCTAGATTAGTATCGTAGAGAGAGACAAAAGTAAGGGGAAGTCCTTTCGGTATGCATGGTTATTCCGGTCGGAACTGTGCCACATTATGAGTCTATTTGACTGTACTAACGCTGGTAGCTTTCTTAAAACGATGCGTTGAGGATACAGATGAAGGGAAATCTAAATATGGAGAAGGCATGGTGACTAAGAAGAGGGAAGTGAATGAATGCCGAAGGATATTCTAAGTACCCAAGCTATCAACACGATATTGCCATATCTCTACCTCTCCCTTTAACTTTAAGTAACTTATAAGAAGACTTACTTCCTAAGGATAAGCATCTTATTACACATGAAAAAACCTCTTGACTTTTTCGTTATAGCTATAATCGCGGCCCTTGCTATAACTAGACTAACAACGATAATAATAATGACGATAACACTTAACTGGTTCTTTAGGAACACGTAGGTTAAGAACATAGCATTTATCTATACTGGTTCTCTGCTCTTCATAACGATAAGAGTACCTTTAGTCTACCTAATTAACCTGTCTACTACACCCACCTCCTCCGTGCTCCTAACAATCTTTCCTAACGCCAATGACGTCTTCGGCATAATCAAGTATTAAGACGATATTTCCTCAGGTACAGTTGGGTCGCTAGATGCAACGAACACGCCTATGCCAGCAGGACTTTTTAATTTGTACTATGGCGCCGCAGGGGATGCTTTCAAACCAGCCTCATCACTATATAGGGCAAAAGTTAGCTATAAGAAAGCCTAAGACAGCACTTAATTGCTTTCGTAGGACATGTTAGGCATAATGTTAGTGATGAGGCAAGCCGAGGGTCAAGTCCGAGTGCACATAACTTATTTACATCAAAGTCGGCAGTACTCTCGCGCCGCGGAGGCGCAGAAGTAGTTACAGCAGCAGCATGGTCCCAGATGCAGTCGCGCTTAGTGTTGGCGCAGGTCTTACAGGTGGTACCTTAGCCAGCATTCTTACACTTAGTCTTACTTCAGCGACATCTAGCACGGGCGATCTACGAGCGCATACCTCTTTTCGCGGCGGATTCAGCACTACCGCTGGTGGCATCAAGGAGGGCTAGGGTCTGGTCAGGGATGCCTTAACAGTAGACAGCGACAGCTGGGCTTGCGTTAACGGCGGGCGGCAGAGCGGTTGATAGTGTGCGTAAACAGGCACTGCAGTTAGCCGCAGTGCATTCTCACCAGTCATAGGAAGGGAGAATGCGCGACAGCAGCCAGACGTGGGGCAGCAGGGAGATTGGCGATGAGGGGTCGGAATAAGGTTCTGCGATGGTGTGTGATAGTGGGTAAGTGCTGGCAAGGCGGGGGCGGCCGCGGCCGCGTTGCTAGTCGTCTCGTCGGCTCGACGGCTAGGTGTTGTTGGTGTCGCGCAGGCACGGCCAGATGCAGGAGTAGGGAGAGGCTCAAGAGAAGCCAGAGACAATAAGGGCTAGATGGCAGAGGGCGCAGGAGAGTGTGGACGGGCAGCAGCACACGCAGCCGACTGGTGGCCTTAGACGTAGGGCTAGGAGCGGCGGGGGGTTTCCTGTAAACGATCGCTCTCCCGTCCTCCAAAAAGCTACCCGTCACGACTATCGTGCTGGGCCGCGCTGCCGTAAGACCTTATGCTTGCTAGTACATCATCCTCACTAAGCAAACAAGCCAACCCAATCTGTATTCCTCACCCCTGCCAATGCCGTCCGCCTGTCCCCAGCTCCTCCAGCCTAATTACTGCCATGCGATTCGCGTGACCCCCCCCATGGAACTAGGCCTTCTTATTAAGAATGCAATGCTCTAACCATTTATCAACAGATTGTGTAACTACTTAGAACGCATCCCCACCAAAAAGTTGCCTTGCCTAAGCCACACGTTCCTAACCCCGTCCTACCCTATCCCGCTGAAATTACCGCTCCAAACAAGCGGCCTCCCGACAGCGTATCCGTCGTGACTGCGCACGCCTCAAGCACGACTGCGCACCCCCCGCTCCTATATATAGTGATTTCATCCATCAGCTCCCATGGCTGCTAGAAACGTCAACCATTACGGTCCGACATGGAAACAGATATCCTCGCAGCATTTTGGCATCACCAACCCGCATCATCACATCCATGTGCTAACGAGCTAGTTCGACTCGAGCTTGTCAGCCATCCCTCATGCTTCCTCAACACCAATCTCACCACGGACGGTAAAACTGCTCTCGACAGTTCGAGGAGCGCTATCCATTCAAGATTATTGCACCTTCTTGATTTGTGTCGTGGAAAGATAAAGTTGCAGGCTTATGTTGTGCTGGACGCCTGACGGCCCAGCGTCCTGAAGGATCTACCCGCCTTCGACGCCACGACCGAAGAACTAGCGTGAGAGTTGCCAGCCGTTGAAGCCAGCAACGGAGAGGGATCAAGCCAGCCGCTCTCGCACTGTTAGCCCTGGAGAATTTTACTACCCGTGCGGTCAATCGTATTTCGCCCGCCCAATTAGGTATTGGTGGCAGAGAGGCTCTTGGCAGGTAAAATTTCTTACCTTGGTCTTACTGTAGTATACCTGTTCTTGGCGTCCTCGACTGCTGTGGCGACGATGAGTACAGTACACGTCTCTAGACGCAGACTCTGATTAGTTCCAGGATGGCTATGCCGAGGAGAACTGGGGCTTTCTAGCCTTTAGTGGGTACACCAAATATGTTTGACCGCACGGGTAGGGTCTCGGTTATATGCAACGCAACTCTGAGGCCTATGCCCTTTCTTGATTCCCGATGCAGGGCGGCTCGCTTTGCATCGTCGCGCCACCCAATGATTGGCTGAGAGAGAAATCCATTGAAGGAGCCCCAGCTTATCAATGTAAACTATCCGCTGTACCGGTGGAAACGCACCGTCCTCATGGTCTAGATTACGTGATGAGACAGATACTTAAGTAGTGCGGCCCTCAAACAACACTATCCTCGTGCCGAACATCTCCCTGCTCTCTAATCGGTCCCGACATGGATCTTGCTACCATTGCACCCGTCGGCTCGGCCAACGTATCTGTAAATCGAAATGCTAATGGGAGCGATTCGATGCTACATGAGTCATTTAACATCACTGCCTCTAGGTCCAGACGAACCACGTGCGACTCGTGCCGAGACCGCAAGGTCAAGTGCGGTAGAGAGCAACCAATCTGTTCCAGGTGCCAGAGACTTTGCATCGATTGTACCTATCCACCCCCCGAAATCCCAAGCGCGCAGTTGATAAGCGTGCTGCAAAAAATGAACACAAGGCTTCGTAAGAAATCGAATCTTCGTCACAGTTACCTCAGCATATGATCTAATCTGCTACCTGACAGTCCGCGCCGAATCCAGTCTTCCCACGACGGGCACAGATAGCCAAAGTGGCCAGACTCCTCGAGTGACGATTGCGCACGCCTCCGGTATTCCTAGTCCTTCGCAAGGGGATTACTTCAGAAATCATTCATTATCCGGCACCAATAATAGCTCGTACGAGTGGTACGTTACACGTGTCAGATGAATGGTGGCGTAGCAGCAACAGCAGCAGCGGCTGATCAACGTAGGGACGTGCCCAATACTTTCGATTATGCATCGCCACAAACAGCCTTGTCAAAAACTGTTTCTAATGATCGGCCCATCACACCTCTAGAACCCGGCCATCTCGACGATACATTCAGCGATATGCTGCTCAACTCGCAAGCGTGGTCCAACAACGTCTCGGGCATGTTTGAGACCTTCAACTGGGAAACAGAACCCGGTCACAATGTTACGAAGAGAAAGAGCTCCGATATAGACCAGCGAGTGTAAGTTGAGTCCAGACTGAATATGCTCGAAAGCTGAGTTTTGTTGGGAATAGGTTAGATTCATACTTCACACAAGTCGCCCCACACTTTCCCTTCATTAGCCGCACAAGGTTCAACAGTCTAGCTGCCAAAGGGCAATCCCCAAGTCATGGCTTCAGCGCCCTCAAGCATGCCATAGTGATGACTAGTGGTGTAGTCCGGGATGCTGAAGAACAATTTTACTATTCTAACGCACGGTCCGAGGTCAACCAAAGCGAGCAGGAGACGGATGACGTCGCATTTCCTAATCTAGAAACGGTCCAAGCTCTCATCCTTATCGCACGACGGGAACTAGCAAAAGGCCTGACCAACCGAGCTACAGTCACCATTGCTCGTGCCATGCGCGCGATGATGTTGATGGGCGGTCACCGCATTGTTGATGACCATATTGAAGGCAGCAGATCAGTCCAGAGAGGCATTCGGAATTGTACTCCAGATTCCCAGACGCTGCCCCAAGAAATGCAACAGTCGTGGTGGGCCCTGTACACTGTCAACGCATGCTGCGCTGTTCGAGAGGACATTGGCATAGTTATCGATTCGTGCCAGGTATGTGCTTGGTAGTGTAAGATGCCAAAACTTTTCGTTGACTGGCGATAGATCACCACACAACTTCCTCAGCCGTATCCGACCTCACCCCAATTTCCTCACTTCACTTTGGAAGAATTCAAGCCAGAGCGTTTCCACGGTCTACTGACCCCAATGTCTGGCATAGCCATGGCGGCTGCTTTGACACACAATATACTCAAGCATCGCCACCATTCGCTTACCCAGGGCCTTTTTGCCTATGAGTTCTGCTCTAATCACGAAGTTCTCGAGCAGTCGATTGAACGCGTCATCGAGGCTTTGCAAGGGCGGAGGAACGCGTGCGGTTCAAGCCGTGCATTAGGCGATACGGTACTTGCTGACGTTAGTATTATCATTCTCCTCGGCCTCCGAATTCTGCTTCACTTCATTTCTATCGCAAAGGCACACACAATGCACTTGATGGACAGTTTAATATCCCGAAGCCAAGATATCTGCCTGACGACTGCGCGCCGGATGAGTACCTTGCTTGAAGCATTCAGCCTAGAAACTGAGTCAAGCGTAAGTGATGTCTTCATCTATGTGTGTAGACATCACAGTTGACATGAGATTTTAGCGTCGCGACTATGAGGTGTTGAGCCCCTTCTTGGCCACGCCACTTCAACACTGCGCAAAGGTGTTCCTGCAGACCCTGCGAGACAGGCAAGCTTCTCGTCTTCCCGAGCCAAGCAATGGAATCGCTTCGCCCATGCGAACGGTATGTCGGGAGCTGAAGCTGCTGTGTAGCGACGACAAGGAAATCGCGTCCACGGTAGCCGAGTGTGAAGCTGCACTCAACAATGTGGACTCTTCTGGATCCTCGGGTTATGGGTATGGTCGGTCCAGTAGAGGCACCAGTATCTCTGATAGCAGTCGAGACGAATGGGCTTCATCAGCTTGGTTCGATCGGACAGGTCCCATTTGGTAATGAGTCTCTTCTGGATTCCGTCTACCTCTTCGCGGTGCAAGAGCGGCTTTGAAAATGTTAGAGTGAATCACCGTTGAGCACCTTGGCTACCTATACTTCTCTTCTTTGTTGGATATAAGTACTGTACACTCATGCGAGAGCTTCCTTTGCGTAGCCTTTTGCATCCGTAGGGATTATAATTCTCAAGAGTTCAATTCTGCATATGGTAACATGATATTGGGTTGTGCCTATATATGACATAGAGCAATGTTAGCAAGATATTTTAATAATCTATCCCATCATCTCCCAATTCATGGCTACCACGATTTACCCTGGGCCAAAAGAATGGGGCGTCCACTGCATTCCGGCATACCATGACGTTATGTACATACCGCGCTGCTAAGCAAAGCAAAGCAGAGCAAGAGATCAACAGAGCCAGTCTTGGATTTGACTAGATAATAACTGCACATGGCGATCTTCTTGATGTCATATGGTTTACGACTTTCTTTCTCTATGTTCTTCATCACGTAGTCCTCTTGCGCGTCCTTGACGCGTTCTCATCACCATTTACAACACCAACATTCTCACGGAAAGTAATAAAACAAGGATACCAAGCATGCAAAACAACAGAATCACTGCACCAACTAGCCATACTCATGTTTCTAGCGCTTTATTGTGGACAACCTAAACCGAGAGTACATACATTTTCCAATCCACCAGTTATGCCTGCAATGCAGCCAGAGCAACCTTCGAGAGCTCCGCGAAAGAAAGCGACGCGGACAAGAGCTCCTGAAAAGGAATCTTGAGACCAAACGTCTTGAACAGCCAGGATCGCATCTCCGTTCCAATCATGCTGTCGAGTCCGTAGCTGGCGACGCTGGGGCCTTCGACCTCAAAGTTTTCGACAGGAACCATGAGAATGGTTGAACACTTCTCAATGATATGCTGGGCAACCAGTGCCAGAGCGTCGTCGTGCGCGAGGTTCAATACCTCGCTGATGACCGACCCCGTGCCCGCGGCTTGAGAAGAGCCGCTGTCCTTGGCTAGATTCTCAATCGCCCTGCGAACGGCCGAGAGTCTGCCATCGTTCCACCAGCAGACGTTTGACAGGTCGGCAGACGAAACAGCTGCTGCAAGACGGACAGGGTCGAGGCCCATGTTGAGAATGGCTGGAGCAACAAGATTGTTGTCAGAGGATCGGCAAATGGCAGCCTCGAATCCTCGCAACATCTCGTCTTCCTCGACACCGTGCATACCTCGCTTGCGGATCTGCTGTTCGAGCGTGTCGGATTCGGCGACGACGCCAACGCCCAGGATCATGGGCAGCGCAAGTGAGACAGCGGGCACCCCTTCCATGCGGAGCTTCGATGCCAGACTGTCGAGGAAGCTGTTCGCTGCGGCATAGGCGCACTGGCCTGGCGTACCGACTGTCGCGGAGATGGAACTCGTCATGACGAAAAAGTCCAGAGCGCAGTCGCGCAGCGCTTCGACAAGTGCCTTTGCGCCGTTCACCTTCGGAGCCATGACCGAGTTGAACTGCTCCATAGACAGTGCTGGTCCGAAAACGCCATCCTGTGAAATTTGGTTAGAGATATACTGTACAATTCAATCCAATTGTACTCACGTTGAGGACCATGGCAGCGTGTACAACACCACGGATAGGTCTGGTCTTGCTGACCGTGGCCACAACATCTTGAACATCGGCCAAGCTAGAGGCATCCCCACGGTAGACATCGGCAGTGACACCATCAGCTCTCAGTGATTCAACGAGTTCGGCTGCTTCAGGCTTGTCGCTGCCAGATCGAGAGATGAATGCCAAGTGACGTGCACCTCTCTCAATCATCCATGTCGTGAGACTGCGACCAAGTCCTCCGAGGCAGCCTACCAGCAAGTAGCAAGCGTCAGGAGAGAACGTGGCTTTGGGAGGAGATGTTTTAATCTAGGAAGAATGTCAGCATCGATCTGGTCTCTTTGAGGTTGAAGGGGCTTACCAGAACTTGGTCTTGTCCGTATCCATACGTTAGAACTGTCGCTGAAGCTTGTGCCTTAGGATCACTGCTGAACTGTTCAACATTGACGATGTGAGGAACAACTGCCTGATCTTTTGAAGCAGAATCTCCAATGATTTGCACAGTCAATCGCAGTATCGAGTTCAGATCCTGTGGGTGACTCTTCCACAAGGTTTTCATGCTGGTCGAACGGAAGACAGCTCCTCTAGTGAGCGGAAGCGGGTCCAGAACGCTGGACACGGGACCCTCGTTGACAACAAAAGAGCATCCAGCAGGAATTGATCGCCAAACCTCTTGGGCGTAATTCTCAAAGTCCTGGGAAATGACAGCTACCTTGCGCTGCGATCCGGCAGCTTGCATTACCGCTTCAACACGTTTTGCGGGAACTCCCGACTCAATGGGCTCGACGTGCAAGTTCATTGCGTGTGCGGCGAGCAGGAAAGCATCTTGCTTGGCAGATTCCATTGGCAGGAGGTAAATATGATGATCTGGCGAGACATATTGAAGTGCGTTGACCGCCGAGATCACCATGGGGAGCTCCTCGATCACCGTGGCAATGTTCTTTGCAGGGCAGACCACGCATTCACTCCACGCAGCCTGGATATGCGTAGTGAAGCTCTGACTGGAAGCAACCACGACGTGTTGACCCTTGGCCTCTTCGGAGATATCCTGACCGACTCTGGTGACCGTGCCCGCTACAAATCGCGGACCATTGTCAGACCTTGAGAGACCTTCGTGGGTAACGCACACTTCCACTTGGCCAGCGCCCAAGACAACGGGCTCAGCCTTTTGGAAAGTTAAGCCAGTGTCTGAAAGACTGCCAATCAGAACTGCGTCGGTGATTCGTCGGGTGCTGGTCTGCTGTTTTTCCAAGGCAATTGTGGAGTTGACCTTTGTAGCAGATTCCACGCGGAGACAAAGCAAATTTCCATCATGAAGCCAGAATTCGGTATCGGCTATGTCGACCTCACTAGTTTGTTCGAAGTTTCGGCTGGCCAAGTACTTCAAAGCGGTCGAGACTGACAGCGGGGAAGAAGCGCTATCAATATCCAATAGGTCGAGTTTGGCGCCTGGGTCTTCAGCGCGTAGAACACGAAGGAAGCCTTGAGCGGAACCTCCGTCCACACTAGTGAGCTCGTTCACACCCTTTGTGAGCCATGTTACAAGTCTGCCGCTAGAGAGGATATCTTGTAAACCCTTCCAGGACTGCTCATCGAGCATCGTTAGGATGGTACCAGCAGGGTCATAGATTACTGCGTGATGATTATAGCTGGCGCTGTATTTAGAGAGGGCTGTGACCTCCACAGTAATGTCGTGTTTACGGAGTTCTTCAACGAGCTCGTTGCTGCTAGCATCGGCGTTGCTGGCGCAAAATAGTGTAAGTGCAGCGGGCGCTGTAGTAAGCGCTACTGGCGTCGCATAGAACAGAACCAAGTCTTCGAGCGACTTTGTCTTCAGAGTTAACTTGGTTGAATCGAAAGTCTCTTTGGTTGCTTGTAGGAGCTCGGCCGTGATCAACCCAGCAATACGGCCTGTCTCTTCCACCATATTTGTGACATACGAGAGCACGTCCTTAGAAACTGTGTCGTAGTATGTCAAATCGGTCAAATCCGCAATGACTAGATTGTACGGCTGAGATTGCGACTCAATGAGGTTTTTGTATCCCGAAGACTCCGGCTTCGTAGTGCCATCAGTATGGATAGGCTCAGACTCGCGAGAAACATCAGGACGATAGAGAGTCACGTTGCTGACGTTCGGGATGGCATCCTTGACAGCGCTCACAACATCGTCTTCTACAGAGCCGACAATTGCCGCGGTTGCGGGGCTGGCTTTGTGATTGATTAGCTTCACAAGGTCCATGAGCGCGTTCTGGCCGCTTGTCGTCCACGGAATGTCCGCGAAAACGCTGGCGTCGACGTCAATATCCCATTTGCTCATACTGTACGGCTGCTGTTCCGGCATGACGGTCTTCTGCACCGGGATGGCAGCTTCGTACATTATGCACTGCAGGCCGGTGATGTCTAGAACCAGCTTCCCAGTTGATGACTTGAGTTTGGTGTGAGTGTTGAAAAATCTTCCATCCTGTTCGCTAGTCCAAGCAACGGCTTGACCGAGGCTCGAGTTGTCCGCATCCAACGGCCAGAATGACGCTTGCTCTATCTTGACAGGCACCACACCCCAAGGAAGGTTCTCCGCCATTCCGCGATGAATTGAGATGATGATCAGTTGCAGGCAAGCATCGACAGTGGATGGGTGCAGCATGTATCTGGATTCATCCTGCATGACTGGATTTGATTGTCGGACGTGTAGTGATGCGGCAGCGTCCCTTCCTTTGCCGCTTGATCGCACGCTCTGCAAATCATTGAATGACGGGCCGTAGTCAAAGCCAACCTCACGCAAGGCTTCGTACCACCTGTTTCCGGATTGTCGGCGAGTTAGCTTCGATAGATCAACTGGGTGGGCTTCGTAGCTCTCATCCGCGCGTTCTTCGAGCAAAGGAACAACCTTTCCAGTGCTGTGGGTCTTTTCCACGTCATCGACGATGGATTCAAGAACAAACTGGAAGGATGGCAGGGAGTCGGCTCCGACAGAAACCTCGGTAAGGCGTACTTGAATCTGGATCCCGTCTTCATCGTTTGGAATGACAAGAGCATTACTAATGTCGATGTCACGCAGTTGAACACCTTTTATGTCGATTGCGCGAAGCTCACATAATTGTCGGGTAGCTTCGATGGCCGCCGCCATGTGGCCAGCTGCAGGGAACATGATATCCCCTCCAAGTTTATGGTCTTGCAGCCATGGCAAGTCCTTGTTGCGTAGCCTATTGGACCACACGAAGCTGGACTTTGTGAGTCCTGGAATCCGGCGTCCAAGAACGTCATGACGAGCGTGAGTGATAGCGCGGTGTTGGGCGCTGGTCCGGTTCTCAGCCCAGTATTGCTTCTCGTACTGCCACTGGTAAGAAGGCAGATCGACAAGGGTTAGTGGAACCATGCGTTTTTGGCTAGAGAACGGAAGGGTGACTTCATTGACCTGAGCAAGGTCCACAGGATAGTTCTCGATGAAAAGTTGCCCGGCCGTCTTAAGCAAACGCACAGCGCTGTTCTGTTTTCGAACAAAACTTGGGACGTGTACCGCGCCCTTGATCTGCTCTGCTTCGAGGATCTGCTTGAGAGGACCAGCAAGAGCGGAGTGCGGGCCCAGTTCAACAAACACCTTTAATTTGTCGTTCTTCGGGTGCTTGGCCAGCGCCGCGACCGCTTGAGGGAAGCGAACTCGGCCAGTCAAGTTCTGTGCCCAGTAACTTGGGGTGATTTGACCCATCTTCAAGAGGGTGTTGTCAACAGATGAAAACATGGTACATCTTGGGCGACGCCAGTTCAGCCAGGTACTGTCAATCTTCTGCCATGCCGAGGTGACTAGCTCTACCATTGGTTTTGCCACTGGGTTCATGGCTGGTGAATGATAGGCCATACCAGTGGCTAACTCCCGAGCAAATACGCTTGCTTCATCCAGGGTAGCCTTTGCCGCTTTGATCGCTTCCACAGGTCCGCTCAAGGTCACGCTTTTTGGCGAGTTTTCGCACGCAATGACAAGCTCTGTGCCTATGTTGGATAGCAGCTCAGAGACTTCATCAGCGCCAACGCCAACAGCTAGCATAGACCCACCAGAGGGTGCGTACCTGTCGAGACAGTATCCGCGGTAGTACGCAGCGATGATGATCTCTGGAGCTGAAGCAAGTCCGGCGGCGTATGCGGCAGCATACTCGCCCGCCGAGTGTCCAACTGTGGCTTTAGGGACGATATCCCAAGACGCAAAGAGATCGACGAGCGCGAGCTCGATGGCGACCAGAATGGGCTGCGAGTACTTCGGATGGTTTATTCGGCTGTTCTCTGGGCTAGCGAGCAGCTCTTCATAGATGCTAAAGTCGGCTGGATGCTCGATTGTGCGAAGCACTTCGTCCAAATTACGAATCGAGGCAGCAAAAATCGGAAAGTGTTCCAAAGCCTCGACAGCCACACCAGCCCAGGCAGCACCTTGACCAGTGAAGATGAAGGCCAGGTCAGGAATCGATTTGCGGACGACACCAGACTGAAAAGCGGTAGGGTCCATATCAGAGGTTTCGGAGCCCTGGGTCACCACAGTGTATGCCCTGTGGCCTAGACGAGTGCGCTTGGTGTTCATGGTATGCGCGAAATCAGCAACATAGTACTTGTCGACGACGCTCTGGTGAGCAGCGATGTTCTTTGTTAAAGTGTTCTGGTCATGCGCTGATTGAACGACTAAGAAAGGCCTGGTAGCAGAATGGTCGTAGTCTGCAAGTTCCTTTGGTTTTCCGTGTCGATAGTAGGGATGCAAAGCTTGTACGTCTTCAACAATGACATGACCGTTGGTTCCGCCATACTATCGCGTGTTAGTACATGATGAGGAGAGAAAAGAACGTTATACATACACCTAATTGATCGTTAGCAGACATTCACCAAACGTTTGTACGTGGGATAGACATACCAAAGGAAGACAAGCTGACTCGTTTTGACTTGAAGCCGTTTGGCCAAGCTCTTGTTTCTCTGCTGATCTCTACATTCCACTCGCTCTCGCGGATTTCAGGATTAATATTCTTAAACCCACAAGTACCAGGAATCATTCCATACTCTGTCATCATAGCAGCTTTGATGATGGCGAATATTCCACTGGCTGCTTCAGAATGACCGATATTTGCTTTAATGGCGCTGAGAATGAGTGGTTTTTCTGGGCTTCTTGTGTCATTCATAGCTTTGGATACAGCATGAACTTCAATAGGGTCGCCAACAGGTGTGCCGGTGCTGCAAAAAAAATGGCCAAGTTAGCAGATGTCGTGGAAGGGTATGTAGATCATAATCTTATCGCTCACTTACCCGTGACATTCGAAGTAAGCGGTGTCGTTTGGATTCAGAGCAGCTTTTTCATAAGCTTGTCGAACGACTCTCTCCTGACCTTTCTTACTAGCTAAGAACGTGTTAAGAGTTATCCAGTATTTTGCTATTGTGAATCTTAGGTGACTTACGATGAGTTATACCCATTCCAGGAACCTTTCCATTTGTATTAACTAACACATTCATCAGTTAGTTTTTGTTTCAGTGGCTAATATGAGAACCTCAGGCAGTAACACTGAAGTCGCGTTCATGTGACATATTTGAGATTTCTTACCAGCAGTTGAGCGTATGACTGTCCTGATGACGTCGCCATCGCGCAAAGCATCGCTCAGTCTCTTCAGATAAAGAGCCCCAGCACCTTCAGCACGACCGTAGCCGTCTGCCGATGCATCAAATGTATGACAAGTGGATGTCGGCGAGAGAATGCCGAGTTTAGCGGTGTTCATGTGTTGGTCGACAGTGAGGATGAGGTTAACACCAGCTACAAGGGCTGCCTCGCAGTCACGCGCTCTAAGGGCGTGGCATGCGTTATGCACAGCATAAATAGAAGAGGAGCAAGCAGTATTGATGGTAAAACTACAGGGCGATTAGAACATGTCATGTGCATGTGTAGTTGAGTGAGACTTACCTTGGCCCGTTGAGGTTAAACGTATTTCCAACTCTGTTGCTCAGTATTCCAGTGTCAACACCGGTAGCAACATAGTTGTGCCTAAAGTCCATCTCTCGGTGGGACATTTGTTGATAGTCGGCTGTAAAAGTAGCGGCATAAACGGCAGTGTTCGTCCCGGAGACATCTTCGAGAGTAAGGCCGGCAGACTCAAAGGCCTCGTAGCACACCTCTAGGATCCTACGCTGCTGAGGGTCCAGCCACATGGCTTCAATCGGCATCATGTTGAAGAAAGTGGGGTCGAACGCATCGGCGGGCCCGTCAAGGAAGTATCCCCCCATGACATTGAAGCTGCCGGGCCGATTCAAGTCAGGGTGGTAGTGGGCATCGATGTTGAATCTGGATGCCGGGACGCGTGGGGTCTGGGCAGAACCCTTTGCCAAGAGCAACTCCCAAAGCTTGGATGGTGAGTCGATTTGCCCGGGTAGGCGACATGCTGTGATCACTTTCAGTATGCAGCCAGTCCCAAATGGCATAAGATCCACTCACCCATGCCGCAAACGGCTATCGGCTCTAGGGTGCTCTCGGGCACTTCGGTCGGGTCGAACATCAAAGGCATCTTGTTGAAAGTTTTGGTAATTGCACGGGGTTGCGTGTTGGACGAATTCACTGCGAAGGATATTGTACACTACATACAGACATTCGACTTGTACATAAACCAATTCTATCTGCAGGTGAACGCCTTACTGTTCGCAACCAGGGCCGAGAGCATCTCGGTGATCTGGAGAGACCACCGACCAGCTGCTGGAGGAACCGACAGCGGGCTTCGAACACCATGAGAGGACGGCATGTGCCCACGCGTAGTCGCGTGGGTGAATGTCCAGTGCGTGGGGACGGGACCGGTAGGGATGTGGGGCCGGGGTTTAGCGTCGGCGCATGAGTCAGTAGCGCGTCTCAATCCGGTTGCTCGGCCGGGCGGCCGCGCCTTCCTCTTCCGGACGGCTACCTATCACGACTGCACCCACCCTGGATGAGCGTGGCACGGCCATGTGGGTCCAGACTTTCTAGCATTTGCCATCCCTTGCAATAATGGTTGCCCACAAAGCCCTTCAAGGCTCTCAATTCCAGTCAACTTTTTCTCCCTTCCACCTTCTACATTCTAACCAGTCATGGCACCATTCAAAGGTACGCGAGATGTCGTCCAAGGCATTCGTCACAACTCTTACGACACCATCATTGTTGGTGGTGGATTGGCGGGCTTGGTGCTTGCCAATCGACTGAGCGAGGATGAAAACAAGAGAGTGTTGGTGCTCGAGGCTGGCGCCAACCACATGGGCGACCCAAGGATCGACACTCCCGGTTTGATGGCAACATTGTGGGAAGACCCGGAGTACGACTGGGGCTTCTGGTGTGAGCCGCAGGTAAGAAAAGCCCATTTGCAGCGTCTTGTCTGGCAGAGGAGCTAATCGCACTCTAGAAACACCTCAATGGCCGTCAGATTCAGCAACCGCGGGGAAAGCTTCTTGGAGGCTCGTCCGCCGTCAATTATACCGCCATTCTCTACCCTAGCAGTCGCAACTTCGATGCATGGGAATCCCTCGGCAACCAGAGCTGGTCGTGGGCCAAGATCAAGCCATATTTTCGCAAATATCACACATTCGAAGCTGGTTCCAAGTCGACATCCGACCTACTGGGTTTGGACAAGTACATGGACCCCACAACGCAGGGAACAGACGGTCCGCTGTCCCTTACTCATACAGACACCTATGGTCCTTTCAACGCTGCTTGGAACCAAGTATTCGATCGCTTCGGCATGAACGACTCTCTCGATCCCATCGACGGTGTCAAGCTAGGTGCATTCACGCCTCCCAACTGCATCAAGCAAGACGAAAAGACTAGATCCTACTCCGCTTCAGCGTACTACAATCCAAGCGTCCAGGCACGTGCAAACTTAGATGTTGTCACTGAAGTTCTCGTCTCCAAACTACTTTTAGAATCACACGATTCTGCCGTCATTACCAAGGGCGTGCAAGTGCAATGTCGCGATGGTTCGCTGCACGAAGTGTATGGAAAAGAAGTCATCCTCTCTGCTGGTTCATTTCAATCCCCGCAGATCTTAGAGCTTTCGGGTATTGGATCGAGCAAGGTTCTCGAAAAGCATGGCATCACGCCTGTCGTAAATAACCCAGCAGTCGGTGAAAATCTCCAGGACCATGCCTTTGCTGCACTCTCATTCGAGGTAGCCGACGGCCAGATTTCTGGAGACGTATTTCGCGACCCAAATGTCATCGAAGCGTTGCTCAAACAATACACAGAAACTCGAACAGGTCCGTTCACGGGTATGCCAATGAGTGTGGCGAACCTGCCAATGGTTGGACCGGATGGCGCTATGACAGAGGAAGCGACGCGAAAGCTAGCCAGCAGCTTCCTAGATGACACCTTGCCAACGCTGTCGCCCAGCCAGAAGGCTCAATACGAACAGCTCCGCTCCCTGGTCCTTGATCCTAAGCAAAGTTCCTCACAATCTGGCATCTTGGGGAGCCAGATGCATTTCAATCCTGGCAAGACAAGTATGAGCCAAGCTATGGCCAAGCTTAAGCCAGGCAATTACATCTCATTTACAGCTGGCCTCCAGCACCCGTTCTCACGCGGCAGTGTTCACATCCGAAGTGGCAACCCTCAAGATGCTCCCATCATCGACCCCAATTACCTTGCGCATCCTCTAGACGTTGAAATCATGGCTCGCTGCATCCAATTTGTGGCGACAATCGCCACCCAGAGTCCTATGTCGGAATTGCTGAAGCCGGAGAGTCATCTCCCAGAGGGTGTTGATTTTACGTCGCTAGAGGATGCACGCCGGATTGCGCGTGAGCGGCTCTACACAACCTTCCATCCCACTTCGACGTGCGCAATGTTGCCCAGTGAGCTTGGTGGTGTTGTGGATGACCACTGCCGCGTGTACGGTGTGGAGAACCTCAGGGTCGTGGATGCCAGTATCTTTCCTATGATTACTCAAGGCAACATCCAGGCGACTGTATACGCGGTCGCAGAGAGGGCTGCTGATCTGATCAAGGGCGACTGGGAAGCGTCAAAAGAAGGCTGCCCTTGAACGGAAAAGTAATCGGGCATGTCTGAGCCCTTGGTTGGTGTGGGGTTGCTTGAATGTTGTGATAGCCGCTTCAATGCCAATATTAATGATTGTATCTGCTCAAAACAAAATATCATTATAAAAATTTCCATGTGAGCTAAGATAGTTCTTAATTCTCCTCGATGCAGCTCACTCACGATAGCAGTGATCTTCTTTCGATTAACAGCAGTGAAGTCCATAATGCCCAAGGATGAGCAGATTGTAAAGGATTGATGCTAATTGTCAGTCAATACTTGTAATCACAAATTGGAATTCGTGAGTCTCTTGGTACATATGCGCAATGTATGAAATTTACTACTTGACTAAATCGGCACTTAGCTGCCCTACCTACGTCTGAATTCCAGCGAGTACATGTCGCTGAGAAGCGTTGACTTCGAGGCTTGGCAGGCCCAGCTGCTGAGCCTGATCCAATGGCAATGGTTGTCCGGGAGCACTACGCACAATGAACATCCATAAGAGCGTCAAAAACGCGACAACCTGCAATGTCCAAAAAGCAACGCGAGGATGATTCGGAACTGAACCTTGTACTTTGCCCGCGGACTGTCCAGAAACTCGCGCGACCTCCGCTTGGATTTCATCCTTCCATTGATAGGTTGTCGCTACGGAGGGGTACTTGACCGGGAGAAAATCAAATTTTGGTGCGCCGCTTACTAGTTCCGCAAGCTTGTCTGCGAATGTCGATTGTCCGAGTAGGGGCACCATGACCCTCATCGTAAAATGGTTAATGAGGCCATCGTACGCTTGCAGCCGAGTCATCAGATGAGATGCTTCAAAAGCCTCTGTCATCCTTGGCTTTCGTTCTGCCTGGTACTCGTTGAATAACTTTGTAATGGTTCCGGCGTCTGGTCTATTGTTCTCGCTGATTGTGCGATTCAGGCCTACCAGTTTGTTGACGAGCACAACTGCACTCTCGAGAGCACAATTGGCGCCAAGGGCAAAATTAGGCGTTACCTGACTTTATTAGCGGTCATCATGGTTGCTAATGAGAATCGATCATTTACTGACTTTGTGCACAGCATCTCCCACCAGTACTATCCGTCCATGGTGCCAGTGGTTGAAGACGCCCTCTTGCAGACCTATCAGATGACCGCGGATTCGATTTCTCCAGAGTTCACCAAACACCATCGTATCGGATACAGGATGGTCCGCCACCGATGCTGCAGCTTTTTCGGCTTCTTCCTCTGACCACTTGGCCTTATTGGGCCAGTGGATTGGCCTCTGAAGCTTCCAGTGCACGAAGAAGTAAGTGTAGTCAGGTTGCGTCATAATGAGCCAGGAGAATAGCTTATTGTGAACCCAGGTCATGTCTCGATCACCGAGTCCAGGAACTGTCTTAGCAACGCCAATGAGACATTGGTATTCCGTTTTTAATGCTTTGCAAGATCCTACAATTAGTCGTGTTCAAACTAGCAGGTCTTATAACGGGAACTTACATCGTTTTTCTGCAGCAGTGATAAGCTGTCCTTTATCTGTATTGGCGTTTTTCCACATTATCTCGCGACAAATGCTGTGCACGCCATCGCAGCCAATAACGAGGTCACCTGTTTCTCTAGATCCATCTTCTAGTTGGACGCGGACACCGTGTTCGTTTTCAATTATGTCGACTACCCGCTTGCCGGTCTTTATATATGATTTATCCGGCAAAGCGTCGTACACAATCTGTAAGAAGTTGCGCCTTTCGAACGTCAAGGTATCATACCCCAATCTATTGAGTAAGCTAAAGCACCTAGAAGCTGCGTATAACCTTGTGTCGCTCACCTCTCAGTCATCATCTCGAAATAGTTATCCGCAGAGAATGCTTTGCCATTGCGATCTCGGCAATACATCATCTTCATTGGTAGAGCTTGGGCGGCGAGAGCGTCCAAGCATCCCAATTGCTGCAGTATACGAGCACCGTGCGCCCAAATGGTGATGCTAGCACCCCAATGCGGCGCTACCACCCCTTTCTCCAAGACGACATGGTCGATACTTGCTTTTTGAAAAGCATGTGATATGGCAAGGCCAGCAACCCCTCCACCAACAATGATAACTTTGAGACCGCCAGAAGTAGCCATAGTTTTGAGAAAAATAGATAAAACTGACACAGTACTACCCTGTATAGACTGGTTTTAATGCTGCACTGTTGACGCTAATATTTGCTATCAAAATTGCACGTGACATTTATCACGTCGGACTCAGGCGTGCAATGCTCGGTGTCCGACCCGACGGTCTTACTCACCACTACTGATTGGGACTAGACGCCGGAGCGGACTGCGATGCGGCGCCGCATCCGTTTCCTGTATCGTTCGAGACGAGTGGAGACAATACCGACATATCTACGCTGTTGACAGTGAGAAAGCTACTGAAGGATACGGATGGTACTGCAAAATCATTTCTTGATTTTTACTTTGGCATTGTTCAATTTTACGAATCCGTACCAGCATCAGGACGCTACACTACCATGACTGCCACACTTGAATGGTCTGAAAGAAAGCCGGGAGTCTTCTCTCGCGCGCTGGATGATTTGGAGCTCTTCTACACTTGGGTGGGCACGCCCCGCTCAAAGGAGAATAAGCAAAACTGGTACATGAGTTCCGGAATCAAGCTTGAAATTCAGCGGCCAAATCTTGTGGAAGCCACGAAAACAGCTTGGCTAGAGATCCGACGAAGATATCCGAATATTGCTGCCAAAGTCGAGAATGGCGTCTGGATCTACCGGGTGGCATCCAACCAGGAAGAGTATAAAACTTGGCTTGAGGAAACTTTTCATGTCCATCGCACGTCCTTGACTGCGCGCGAGCTTTGGTCGGAGCCAGACATGCAGCCCACCACACGAATCACCATCCATGTCCTCCCGAATACTCAAGAAATCTTGATCCGCGGGCCGCACTTGATGCTCGACGGCTTCCTATCGATGAAGATCTTGCGCACCATCATGGAGATTCTCGGAAATCCACCAGACGCTGTCCGCTTTGGAGATGAAGCCAAAAATTTGCAAATGCCACTTGCAGTAAACTGTCGAACTCCGCCGTATACTGCTGCACAGGAGGCAAAATGGCAATCTATTCTTGACGAGTGGGCCCAGGCTGTACCGACCACACATCTGCAGACCACCAATCAGACACAACCACCGGGTTGCTCGCGCTCTCAATGGCTGGTATTCGATGCCGAAGACACGCGTCAAATTCAAAATGCGCTCCGGAAGCTGGGCATATCACTTGCTGCAGCAACGCAGGCTGCCTTGTCGCTTGCCGCTCGCAAACACAGTAGTGGCGAGGACAAATACAACTCGCATGCCACCTTTGGTCTCTACAGCGCCCGAGAGTTCGTTCAATCGTCCATCACTCCGTCCGAAATCATAGTTCCTCACGTTCTCGGGGTGCCGGTTGTGATTCCTCTCCGTTCCACCTTCATCGAGACTGCACGCGATGCTGGAAAAGCGCTTCAGGGCGCAAAGGGCACCGACGCCTTCGCATTGGCCGTAAGCCCACTATGGACGTCCGACCTCCCAAAGTTGCTTGCAAAGCCTCTTCCGGATGATAGCCCTATGCCAGCCGATATCCAGCTTTCGTACATGGGCCCGCTCGACTCTCATCTGCTTAAGGAAGTTCGGGACCATCTACGACCAGGTGAGGATATTCGTTGCCTAGATTGGTGGGCGGCATTGGATATGGTCGGTGCTAATGTCGTCTGTCCAACGGTCGTGTTCCAAGGCCAGCTAAGGTTCAGCCTGGGGTATAACGAGGTATACCATAGTAAGGAGAGTATTAAATACTTCTTGGATCTTGTGGGGAAACAATTGAGTGAAGGTCTCAACCTTAGCCTGTTTCCCACAGCTTGTGTTCCTGGAGATGAAGATTGGTTGGTTAAATACGATGACGAAGATTAAGTGTTTCAGTGTTTTCTCTAGCACTTTTCATGTTTCTTAGATAGCAATGAATGTCAGAAATAAACAAAAAAATAACTTGCCTCGTTGTTTTCCGACTCCAAGACTAAACTAGCAAACAACTAAATTCACTACAAAATCTACCACCTTATTCACTGTCGATTTCGAGAACCTTGTTCTTTCCTGGAGCGGAGACGAAAGTGTCCCTAAGAATCGACTCCCGGAAGAGCAATGTCGCACTAACCGTAAATCCCGGACTCACCACAACGCAGGCCAGTAGAAACGCGAGTAACAAAACCACGCTGCTTCCATTCCCAGTTCCAACGAACTCGGACTTTTTCAGAATGCCGACACAATAGAGAGCGCTTGCTGTGGCACAGATGATAAAGTCCCACTGCAGGAAGAACAGTGAGCACTGCGTCATGAATGTGTCCGCCTTAGAAGAAGATACGCTACTGTATGTCGGTATGAAAAGCTCGTTCAGCGCCGAAAAGATGCGAGGTAGAGAGCCCATATCCGCTGCTGCAAGAGGATGCTCTGCCGACTTCGCAGCAGCATAGAGGCATGCGATGTGAGTGACGCCAGACGAAATCCCACAGACAGCATAAGTGAGTTTTACCCACTTGGCATCTGCATTGCGGCGGGACGAAGTCGAACTGGAGAGCAGATGTGAAAAAGTGGTAATCAAGGCGTAGAAAGCCAGAGGACCGAACTGGTATACTGCAAGGGCGGTCTGCTTTTGTGCCTCGGTCATGTTCGCATGCGGAAAGAAGACCATTGAAAAGGGCTGGGCGAGCGAGAAAATGGCAGCGGGAAGGACCGCCATAGCATGCGGAAGCGAGAGCTCGGAAGATCGTTGGACCACCGTCGGACGGACATGCTGCTCTAGTTCTACCATGAAATAGAAGGGTAGAAATATAGCCGTGCCGGTTCCCTGCCATAAGAAGACATATAATGGGGCGCTAGTAGAATAACGGTTAGTAAGATACGAGTAATGACAATGTGAAGTCTTACTATCTGATGATCCAATGTCGTGCATATTCCTTGCGCAACGACTCAATGACTACCCATACACCGGCCGTCTGCAGACTCGCACAAAGCATGCATGCCTGAAGCCAAGGTATTCCTGTGACAGAGACAACAGGGTCCCAGAATGCGACTTGGATGTTTGCGAACTGGTCGATGACGGGTAGCCCAGTGTACGTTAGCGCCATTGTTCTGCCGCTCGGGAATTTGCCATAGTAAATGGTCTTCAAGATGGCGAGTAATCCACCGTCGAGAGCTAGAAGCCCCTGAAGCATCACAGCCCCAAAGACTCCAAGACAGATGAAAGCGATGCGATACATTGTTCCAGGTTGTTTGAAGACGCAGGGATCGGTCTGGCTCGGATGCCACGTTCTCAACAATGCAGGAAAAAGCATGTATTGTGCAAATTGTCGATTTCTAATAACTCATGGGTCTTGGACGGATGAATAATGCGTCGGGTCCGGTGCCGCCGTGTCGCATGGTGTTTGTCGGACGATCTGCGGAAGCGCATCAGCCCTCCGACCAATCAGATCGCCTCCTCGGTGTGTTTACCGACGAAAGGGAGAAGCATTCCGATATATCAAACTACAGTCGAGCGCATCTGATCTTTTTTCATTCAGAATTGTATACAAACTCCCAGTTAGAATTATTGTCGCCTATCATGTCTGAACTGATTCGCGACGCACCACTCGGCCAGTTCCTGCGCCGAATTACCGGCAACTCAATCTTACTGCATCCAGAGGAGCGACCAGATTTTGACTATTCGCCTGTCACTTTGAAATCAGAAGATAGAGATTCCGGCAATGGCAGCGAACAGCCTTTTACCACGGTTACCTGGTACTCTACAGACGACAAGGCCAACCCGCAAAACTGGACCTTGGGCAAAAAGTGCTTTGTGCATTTCTTGATCTGTTTGTTGACTTTTGCCAGTAAGTAGCGGCTTCTAAGCGGAGATGGTTCCTTCTGACAACATCTAGTTTATGGAGGCTCGTCTATAGTCACATCAGCTCAACCCTTCTTCCGTGAGCAGTGGGGTGTGTCCGCCCAAGGCTCACTCCTCGTACTCTCAATGTACGTGTTGGGATACGGCACCGGTCCTTTGTTCTTCAGTCCTCTTTCCGAGATCCCAGCGCTAGGACGTAGCTTCCCATACGTGATGTCCTACTCACTGTTCCTCATCTTGTCGATACCAGCGGCATTAGTGAACAACTACTCGGGCCTGGTCGTACTGCGCTTCCTTCAGGGTTTCTTTGGTGGACCGGTCCTTGCCACAGGAGGAGCATCAGCAGCCGATATGTTTAGCTTCCCGAAGCTTCCATACGCCATGTCCATCTGGGTGTTTGCAGCATACGGAGGTCCTGCGCTAGGTCCTCTTCTTAGCGTGTATGCCGTCGCGGATCTATCATGGCGTTGGGTCATGTACGAGATACTGATCATCGGCGGTGTTACTGGAGCTCTGCTGGTTTGTTTCTTGCCCGAAACGAACCCTGAGACCATCTTGTTGGAACGTGCCAAGCGTCTCCGCAAAGTCACGGGTCGTTCAGATCTGCTCTCGGCCTCGGAACAAAAGCCTACTGAGCTGAAGCTCCTGCCCCTTCTCGGCCGCTATTTGTGGACGCCTTTCGAGGTCCCCCTCAAAGACCCGGCAATCCTGTTCACTGATCTGTACACAGCATTGGTGTACGGCATATACGTAAGAGGTTCCTTCTTTCAAGATTATGCAAAGTAACTGACCATATCACAGTATTCCTTCTTTGAGTCGTTCCCAGTTGCCTACGGCGGTGTGTACGGATTCAGCGTTGAAAAGATGAGCCTTGTATTCGTCGCCCTGCTAATCTCGTGTGGACTCGGCGTCGTGATCTACGTCAGCTTGGTTTGGTTCATCTATGAACCATACACCATGTCGAATGGCGTTGGCATACCAGAATACCGTTTGGTGCCGGGTGTCTATGCTGCAGCCTTGCTTCCGTTCTCGCTATTCCTCTTCGGATGGGCGACAAGGCCAGAGATCAATTGGGCTGTGCCGTCCATCGGCCTACTCATCTTTCCTGGATGCGCGTTTGTTGTAAGTTGCTTTGTAGACTTGTCCACTGTCAAGTTTCCGCTGGCTGATCAAAGTGTTACAGTTGATACAAGTCATTCTATTGTACCTCCCAACAAGCTATCCGCGATACGCTGCTAGTATCCTTGCAGGAAATAGTAAGTGAACCTATTCCCCACCAAAAGGCGACTTAGAACGTATGCTGACCGACTTAGCTTTCCTCCGAAGCGCAACAGCATGTGCCGCGATCCACTTCTCCCAGCCAATGTTCGAAAACATGGGTGTTGGCAAAGGAAACAGTATTCTCGGTGGCATTTGCGTTGCCTGTTTTTTCTGCTTCGCCGGTCTGTGGTACTTTGGACCAAAGCTGCGGGCGAAGAGCAAGTTTGCTGAAGGGTGCTAAGCGAACGATTGTGCGACTGCGGAATTCATGGGGGATTAAGTAAAGTTACCTGACGGGCATCCTGATGCAGGGTGACCCTCTAGCAGGCATGAGCTAGGCGTTATGTCTTTTTTTTTTGTTTTGTTTTGGAGGATCGAAAGTACGGTAGAACACCTAAAACTAGGAACGCAATACTGCACCCAAGATGTAATCAGAGTATAAATATCGAGTCATATGTCACGATACTTCCAAATCAATACTTGACGAGGATAGTTCTTAGGGACACCCTAAAGATCTCTCAGGCTAAAGCAGCTATGTCCATGTGATAGGGGTAGGCTGGCAAATGGGTCTCCTCATCGGGAACTCAAATCCGCGATATCTCTATAGGTTCAAACCACATTTGGACGATGAATAACTTATTTTATAGCTTCAATCTAGACCTATACCTTATGTATAGAAAGTCTTTCTCTAAGTCTAATAAATAAAAAGTTATTAGCTAACCCACGTTGCCAAGAGTTGGGTCTCCACATTTAGCTCCGATCTAAGATTTCTAGCTAGCTACTTTAGCTAGCTAGATACTTTCTATATACAAAATATAGATCTAGATTTAGGCTATGCAATATGGCATTGATCGTCTACATCGGATTAGAGTTCAGAGAAATATTGCAGATTCTAAGATCCCGATGTGGAGATCCATTTACCAGCCTAGATAGGGGTATATAATCTCGTAAGTACTTGTTGAAAATCAATCTTAGATTAAGTCCTACTACTATAACCGTGCCTACCTGCTATAAGAAGCTGAATTGATCACACGTGCTACATCCCCTTGCTACTTACTCTGGCTAAGTAAGAACTGTCTGAAGCAGAGTACTACCAGAGATTTTCAAGGGTAGTGTATCTCAGGATTAATGCGCGATTTACACTTCATACATCTTCTATCTGCCTAAGTAGTGCTATATACGAGCAAATAGTCTGATAGAGATATATTACGGTAGTACAGTTAAACGAGATTTGTAGGCTATTTCAAAAAACATTTTCTAGCAGAGTAGATCTCTTGACTGTTGGGGTACCAAGTTCGGATCCCGCAATCAGGTTGGTAGAGGTAATCGCTCGTCGTCAAATTCCAGATAGCAATTGCAATCGTTTGATGAAGTAAAGAAAGTAACTATCTACGCCAAAAAACAAATTACAATTTATACCTCAGCCCTATTACACGATGTTATACTGTACCGAAATATCAAGCAATGGTGAAGCATTTCCAGAATCCAAACATTAAACTACAAACAGCCTTGCATGTATGTATCAACAGCCGGTTTTCCGAATACAGAAAACCCATCGTTCATTCATGACCTTGAGCTTTCGCCGCCAATCGGCTCACCAGTAGATTCATTGGCCCGTCTGCCGTGATAACCGATGTACTTACTTGCACCGACAACTCCTTCAATATCCAACTGCGCAGCTCCACGGCCACCAAGCTGTCCACACCGTACGCAGATAACGGCTCATTAGGATCCACATCAGTAACTGGTAGCATCATGAGTTGTGCAAGACGCTCCGTCAAAGCCTTGGTGATATGTTCCGTTGTGGTATCGACATTGGTGCAGTTCGGCAGCTTCTCCTGAATGGCGCGAGTGTTGGTTGATGTTAAAACAGGAGGCTTTGCCTGTGCAACTTTTACCAAGCCAGCGAAACGAACGTCGTTAGTCCAATACCACCCTGGCTGGACCTGACCAGTTGGTAAACCGTAGATGATTTGAGCGGGGCTGTCGGCGTGCAGAGCTGTGGTAAGGAGGTCTAGCAGATCCGAGACGCACATGGATTGCATGCCCAACGCTTTCATGTAGCCTGCATAATCGTCACGTTCGGTGACAATGCCTACGTCAAGCAAGTAACTGATGTCGATTGTCGTGGCTCGCTGGCCAAGCGAGCGTCGGAAGAATGCGAAAGCATCCTGGAACGTGTTCGCACCGGCGTAGTTTCCGGTGCCTCGGTACCCTGCCACGCCTGCAACCGAAGACAGCATGACAAAGAAATCAAGGTCTTTAGGAAGAAGATCATGGAGGTTTAGAGTGCCATACACTTTTGGTCCGATAGTAAGACGAAGGTCTTCGGTCGTCATGTTTTCGATGAGAACATCCTACAAGCGTCAGTGCTGCCCCGCTTCAGATTGATAAATTGAGCTTACCTTCATAACCATAGCGCCGTTGATGACACCTTTTACGGGTGGCAGATGCCCGATGTTGGCTAACACCTTCTGCAAAGCGGTGCGATCCGCTATGTCACAATCGAACAGCCACGCAGATGTGCCATAATTCCTGTAGAGATCCTTGGCATAAACAATGTTTTCTTTGCAAGAGGTGGCCGAACGAGAAAGCAGCACCAGGTGCTTAGCTCCCCTCTTTGCCAGCCAGCGGCCGATTTCTCTTCCAATGCCACCGAGGCCAGCGATTATATAGGTAGCATCAGACGAAACCTCAGTTTGCACTACGCCATTTGTATGTGGGATTGGGTCCTGGGCTCCATGAGCCTTGAAGTCGGGAAGCATGCTACTCATATTCGATGCTCTTTCCACGCGCGGAACATAGATCACGGGTCCGCGAGCCGCAAACTCGCTGTCAGGCTGGGTTGCATGACTGTGTGTGATAGCGACCCTCATGACTGCGGCTGAAGCAATGGGTAGGTCGATGGAATCAGCGAGTTCGACATCCATTGTCGCAAAAGCAAGATTGTCGTGCTCGTGGCGGAAGACGCGAGCAAGTCCAGTCATGAGGGAGGCCGATGGATTTGGTGTATCCATTGCGGCACCAGCCGTCACCCACAGTGTCCCAAGAGACTTGTATATCAGAGTATGCAACTTTTGCCAGTCTTCGTCGGTGATGGTGGCCAGTATAGGAGCGTCCCATTCCGCAAGCGAGATGCAGTAACTGCCTTGTATGTCCTCTGTTCCGAAGTCAGACCAGGCGATGATGTCCGTTTCGCTGTTTTCCGTATCCAATGCGAGTCTGATGCTATCTGCAAAGGCAGTGCAAATCGGCGTCCCTGTGGTGATGATGGTGTATTTCGAAGCTGAAATACCGTTGACCTTGGAGACAGGGGACTTTGTTGAGACGATCAAAGACATTGGCTCCCGAGATTCTCCATTGACACCTTGCATGTCCATGTCAACGCCGGAGAATCCAGCTTTCTTGAGTGACACGTCCCATCCTGGGACATTGAGCAATGGACCTCCGGTACGGCCATCGTTCTCGCCCAACCACCAACCAGGAAGAGAGCCCATAATGAAGCCGGCGTAAAGACATCGCTCTGTGATTTCACCCAAAACCAATTTTCCATTTGGCTTCAAGAGTTTGTGGCAGTTCTTGAGTGTATTTTGAAGATCTGGCGTAACATGCAGCACGTTTGCAGCTACGATGACATCAAACTGTTGCTCCTCCAGACCTTGCGCGCTTGGGTCCTTTTCGATGTTAAGAGTGCCTGAAATATTTGGTAAGCATCTGATGCGGAGGGAATGATGGTTATAGCAACAAGCAAGGTGTCTGCCGTACTGATCTTTACAGACTCCGGAGTGTTATAGACAACGAGAGAGTATGTTTACGGATGCGTAGGCTAGGTGTGTACTTACTGAACTCCATGATTGCTGAATCCCTGGAAAAGATTTCGGCAGATTTTCCTAGAAATCCCGGGCTTATGTCTGTAAAATGATACTTGACAGCCTTGGACGTGCCATCTTCATTGCGAAGACGCTCAAGGACATCGTAGGTCGTTCCGCCTGAGCCCGCACCGATCTCCAGGATGCGTATGCCCTGTTTCTTGTCTGCGATAAGACCAATGTATTGCGCAATGCTGGGGTTTGCTGAGATACCGAATGCAGATCTGTAGAATCGGTGAAGGTCGCCTTCAACCATGACCTGTAGTGTCTCGGTCTCTCTCGTGAAGATCTTGCGTAGGTTCTTCCCGATCAGGTCGATCATACCAAGAACGATACTGCCGCTCTCAGAAGATGCGATTGTTTCTCTTGCGGCTTTCATGTTTTCTTCCACGAGGGGATCCTTGAGATCGAGCGATGGGTGCTGTTCCATACAGCTGCGTATCCATTGCGCGTAAAGTTGCCAGTGACCGCTTTGTGCATGCTGCAGATTTTCTGCTTGTTCTAACCAAGTAAGGGTTTGAGACATATAAACTAAGCAAACATACTCTAGAAGGTCCAATGGAAGGTGATCAGAGCTTTTTATAATGCGGTTGCAGATTAGATCTTTGATCTGGCTCGAAGGCATAAGATCAATATCTGGCCGCCACATTTGGGTAAAGCATGAAGCTTGCAAGTTACTGGAGTAATTTTCTGCTGAATCCGCGTTTGAATGAAGCCTTGTAGCTTGCATGAGGTGAATAGAGTGATGATCGTCGCTTTCGCAATCTCTGAGCTTTCCATCGATACTTCCGAAACCGGCTTCAGAAAGTAGAGATGCCCACTGTTGAATAGACAAGTAAGGGTTTAATTTTCGTTCTGGCTCGCTACCTGTGAACAACGTGTTAGTACTATCAGCATAAGAGTGCAATGTCATGAAGAATGTCATACCAATATACCAGCTTGGATGGATCGCCAAGCATAGCCTCATATCGAGAGGAGGCATGGTCGTCTCAGCAAAGAGAAGCTTTCCGCCTGGCTTCAGGAGCCTTGATACATTTTCTAAGGCAAGCTTGATATCCCTGCAGTCGTGGAAAACTTGATAGGCTACAACGAGGTCGAAGGGTCCGGCTTCAAAGGATGGATCACATGTTTCCGCACCGATATCTAGCTTGACAAAAGTCACAGTGTCTTCCTGGGCTTTGAACTGGGTTCGGAGATGTTCGACGCGGCTGTTGCATTTATCGGCAACCAGAAGCTGGATGCCTCGTTCGGCCGATGGAGACGGTTCGCTGAAGAGTGCTTCCAGAATCAATTCGGTAGCGCGTCCAATGCCCGCTCCGATCTGTAGAACACGGATACGGGGATGTTCGCGAGCAACCTTGCTGATCACGGCTCTCATTTGCCCCAGGCTTCTTCGTTCAGATGGACTTTCCAGGAGACCCTTTGTAAGGTGGTTCTTACTTAGCACCTCGTCTGGATCTGTCAAACCTCTCAAAATCTGTGATAGGTTTTCACCGAGAGAACATAGTACCTGGCCATTGGTACAGCTAGCGCGAACACGATTCTTCAGTTCATCCTTTCCAGTTGTGGACATGCTGGCCCATCTGGTTTTCTTACTGGTTTGCTGATTGGATCGTGCTTCTCCAACTATCGATGTGATCATCTTTTTGTAGGCCCGATGGTGAGGAAGCATTCGTCTGGGAGGATTGTCTTGCAGGTCTTGAAGCGCTTCCTCCATAAATACCAATGCTACTAGCTCGAAGTCTTCACGAAGCTGGCGCTCATGCTCCTTGATAGTTGCTTTCTCCAGCTCCCAGATGGAAGTCTCTACCGATTTCGTTCTCGGCAGGCTGTCGATTGGCGCAAGAGAGCTCTTAGCTAGAGAACGAGCTTGCAAGAATATATCCGGATTTCCCTCGTACGTGGTAGTCAGGCCCACAAGACCATCACAGTGTATCGTCCACATACCAGAGCTGTCTTCTGAGCTGATGGTAAATACGCGCCATATCTCTGCTATAGGTTCTGGTCCTAACTTGGATTGACGCAACTCCACATGGAGTTTGGTCAGCTGTGCATCATCGATTTGTAGATCTTCGTGTATCTCGACATGCCGGAATCTCGGAGTCGCCGCATTGGAATTACCGTTCGTTTGTTGCCAGCTGGCTAGTTTTTGGATCGCTCTACCTGCCAGAGAGCAATACACGCCTACAGAGCATACCTGTTCTCCGTCGTGGAACAGTTTCTCTGGTTCAAAATCGTTGGTCCACGACGGGTTAGAAAGATCGCAGCTCGTATCGAGGAAGCCAATCAACTCGTCAGGGCCGACTGGTCGAAGCCGGTACCTTTTGGCTATAGAGGACTCAGCTCGCAATTTTGATTGGTAGTTCCAGGGGTACGGTGTTAGTCCTGTAAGGAATTGGGGGCGATTGTGTTGCGTTTCTGTAGAGTTGACTACCGCAAGATCCACTGGGTAGCCGCGAGTCCAGAGGAAGCCGGCCAGGTCATGCATTGTATGCACCGCGTTCTCATTTCGCTTCAGAGCTGAAATGTAACCAATTTGGAGATCTTTAAACTGTGCAACCTGTAACGACTGACGAATCGGCGCAGCCAGTGCTCCATGAGGGCCAATTTCGATAAGGACATCTACTGCCTTCTGTCCTTTATTGAACATCTCATCCCAAGGTCGCTCGCTGCAGAGCTTCGATAGGGCATCTGCAAAGCGCACGGGTTTGAGCATATAGTCCACCCAGTGTTCTGGTCCGAAGTCTGATGCCTTTTCGCACCATCCGCCCGTGACCGAAGACGACAAGTGTGCTAGCAAAGGATCTTGTGGTGCAGTGAAACACTCTTCCAGATACTTGAGGTATTCCGTAGCGTCGTGACTCATATGGTGGCTGTGAAAGGCGGTCGGGACGTTGAGCTTGCGAGTAAAGACACCATCGATTTTTAACAGTATCTCTAGCTCGTCGATGGCATCTGCATCTCCCGATAAGGTTACCGACAATGGCGAGTTATGGCACCCAACCACGGCTTTACCAGAAGTAACTTTGGAAAGGTATCGCTCAACATCTTCCAAGCTGAGGCCTGCGGCCATCATGCTTCCTTTGGTCGACCGAGTACCCGCCAGTCTTTTCGTGAGCAAGCCACGATAGTATTGCACGGCGATGGCCGATCGCATGTCTAGGGCACCAGCAGCAAATGCAGCAGCACTTTCGCCACTGGAATGGCCGACTACTGCAGTGGGATGAATGTTCCAAGAGCGCAAGAGACAGACGAGTGCAATCTGCAGAGCGCAGCAAAGCGGCATGCTTATCTCAGCCTTGTCTACCCGAGAGTTAAGATCGTCTTTTAAGAGCTCATCTTCACTTCAAGTTAGCCTCACGTCGAACGCCAATAGAAGCTTACTTGCCGATAATTGACCAGTCTGAACCTAGGCTAGAGATGCAGTTGTCAGCCTTCTCAAGCGCTTCCCTGAATACTGCATATCTTTCAATGAGCTCCCTGCCCATTGCATACCACTGCGCGCCTTGTCCAGTAAATACAAACCCAATATTTATGGGCGACGACGCCGCCCTAGTTGGTTCGCTTTTAACGGCCTCTAGTTTCGCAACTAGCTGGTCGAGATTGTCTGCGCGGAGCGCTAAACGACACGGCAGTTTACTTCGTCGGCTGGCTAGCGTGTAAGCTAGATCCCCTGCTCTGAAGCAATGCGTCATAATATCATGACTTAGTTGTTTCGTGATAGCCTTGCAGGTCTTCGAGTCATGGCCGCTGACGACAAATACTCGGCTCGCTGCTGGCCCATTTACTGATTCAGTTTGGTTAACAGACGTATAGCGGGGCGCCTCAATAATTGCATGGCCATTGGATCCACCTAGTAACTTTGTCAACAGACATGTTTTGTTGGCATCTCACATCAGATACGCACCATAACCGAAGCTGTTGATGGATGCTCGTCTCAGTTCTCGAGGCCAATCTCGACTTTCACGTAGTACCTTTACACCTGTATTAGCATTCTCACTCTGTTAAAATAATGAGGTGTGAGATACCGTTAAGCCCCATTCTGCAAGTGGTATCTTTGGGTTAGGCCTCTGGAAATCATGATTCGGTGGTATCTTTCCATGTCGCATAGCTTGTACAACTTTAACGATGCCAGCAAGTCCAGCTGCAGCCTCAAGGTGCCCGATGTTGGATTTGACCGACCCGACGTATAGCGGATGATCGCCTAATGACGAACTCTCATTAGCGCGGAAAACATTCCGCACAGCAGTTGCTTCTGTCAGATCGCCAACCTGTGTGCCGGTACCTAAGAAGTGGACTCAAATCAGTACATCAAAATCTTCATGCACATCTCAAGGCATGTACACACCGTGACATTCAAAGTAGTCCGTCTCTGCAGGATCCAAGCCTGCCTTTTGATAACATTCTCTAATCAGCTCCTCTTGGGCCTCTTGAGATGGTGATGTGATTGTGGGCGTTCGCCCGTCTTGATTCAACGCTGTAGAGCGGATGACCGCATGAATGTTATCACCATCCGCTATTGCCTGGCTCTCAAGCTTCAAGACCAACGAGACTGCACCTTCTCCGCGACCGTAACCAGAAGCTCGCGAATCAAAGGCATAGCAACGTCCGTCCTTGGATAGCAGGCTATCGAATGTTAGTTGCGTTGCATATGACATTGCGAAAAAATGCACGAACCCGAGACCAGACATAGAGATAAATGGCTCTGGACCAAGCATCACGTTTCCAGCAGTGACCACTGAAATCGTGCTATCACCCGTTTGAAGACTCCGACAAGCCATGTGCAGGATGACATGACTTGTCGAGCAACCAGTATCGGCGACTAGGCTTGGTCCACGAAGATCAAAATAATGAGATATGCGATTCGCAAGCATTGCGGTACCAGCCCCTAACATGGTATTGCGTGGGAGGTTGTCGGGGTCTTTCATCATGGAATCATGGTGATCACGGTGAAAGGCGCCTGCAAAAACAGAAGTACGGCTCCCGGCCAGATCTTCCATACACAAGCCAGCTGTAACGGTTTTGGTCAGTTGCAGGATTGCTCGAGAACAGTGATTACACTTACCATCCTCGAACGCTTCGTAAGTTGTCTCGAGCTGTAGCCGCAGCTGTGGATCTGTTGCCTAGCACAAGACGTTCAGTCATGATTCTTGTGTCTTGAAGGGGTCGTACCGCTGCCACCTCTGCATTCAAGCGGAAGAAACTGTTGTCAAAGTCCAGTATATCCTGGGATAAAAAATGGCCACCCTTCACATGTGTCTAGTCCGCAGTCAGTTCTGCCATGACATTTCATGTATGGGGCAGTCTCGAGCTTACAGTGCCATGGTGTGTGTGGTCAGGGTGATAGAAGGCATCTAAATTAAACCTTGATTTTGGTATCTCGGACCAAGCCCCTCTGGCCGACTCCAGAAGCTCCCAAAACTGTTCGGCATTGCGTGCGTCGCCTGGTAGTCTGCAACTTAAGCCAATGATTGCCACTGGCTCATAGCGTGCAGGGGCTTCCGCATTTGCTGTTTGATTTTCTGGCGCCATGACGATTGATTTGTGATAAAGAGAGAATATCAGAAGGTCTACCGTAGCAGGTAACAATTCATTACTCGCTACATAGCTATCAAGATTTAAGGTCAGCACATTGCTACCTTAAGAAATGGCCCCTGTTCAGTGTTGCAAATCAACTGAATCGTTTGCACCACAAGGAACTGATTTCCGTGTCGGTTCGTCGGGCGTGCACACTTGGATTGCCGCTCGGTCAAGGAGCCGAAGGGGTGGGGCGGAAGCCGAGGGAGGCACATGATTGGCTAGGGCGACAGGGGGGGAACAACACCAGCGCCCCGACTCCCAAACCTGACTGCGTATGGATTATTTTGGTATTCTGTAGACCGCAAGGCCTCCAAACGTCGGCGGTGCAGATGCCGGTGAAGACAGTCAGCTTGAGGAAAGATACCGTGTCTGTGCACGTAATGCGCCGCAACGCACAATTACTGTGCGAAGGAGCTCATATGTTATGAGTCAATAACTAAGACCAATTTAGTATAGCTTGTTTACTCAGAAGAGACTGTAGACGAGGCTCAGCCAGCGTGATCCATAGCCTCAGAACGAGCAATTGGACTGACACAATAAGCTTTTGTGGCAGATGTAAGAAGACACACGTACGTAATGTACTGTAATTGTCAGGTTCAATGTTTGGTTAGGATACTGGGTGTATGTTACAATTAACAGGAAGGATTCTCTCCTTGATGGTGGGCGCAAGGTTGAAGGTCGATATGCCGACGTCAAAAGGTAATGAACAGCGCGGGGCGCGCAGATCACGTGATTGAAATCCCGCCAAGGCTCGCCATCTGGGATGGCAGTGCATGAAGGGATGGCAGCGCCATCACAAACCTCCCCGACATCCAGGATGGATGGGGTGGATAGGATGGCACTTGGACAGGCAACAAGTATATAGTTGTGGAGGATTTCCTTTATACGCTCGTTGTAGTCAACTCTTATAAGTTTATCTCTTACCTAGATTAAGACTTAGTTATTCTATTGTTTATATAGAATTGGATTGTTCTTCTAAATACCTACTGTAGTGGAGTGTTTTGGTAGTCCTCCATCGGAACGTGTGCTCGATGCAAGTGAGTAGAGTATATTGTGTGTGTTGTATGTGTGGTATTTGTTGTCTGAACGGGGTTCAGACATTCCTGTCCCTTTTCTACTCTCCGTGTTATCTCCGAGTCCGATAGCCCTTCAGATCTGCGGTTCCCTTAGATTCTCTGCCACACTACCTAATTACTAGTCTTATATAATAAAAACTAGATTTACTGAGAACTTAACTAGTTGTATAATCTAGAAAGTGAGAGAAGGGAGGTATTATAAGGGGCTATGTGATGGGCTGGAGCCCAGTTGGTGAGTCCTCGATGATATCTCGGTCACGTGCGCGAGGCGCACTGTCCACAGATTCCGGGTGCCCCCCCTGAGCACCCGGATTCTGTGCAAGCGAGCCCGGCGGAAGGTTATCCCGAGCCGCCGCCCCCTGAACGACCTTCAGAACCCTAGCTACCTGTAGTTCTCTTCTCTATCGAATACAACTCCAGTATACCTGTGCGATAGCTCCCCGAGCGTAGCTACGCCTAAGTACTACAAGAGACTACGCTAAAGAACTTCCTACTTATCTATCTTTGTATTAGTGTATAGAGGATACTATTGTCAGGCCTGGCTGACGATATATACTATCCTGCACCCTGATCAGTAGTTCACTGATCATACATACCTTTTCGGTTGCATGGCGTAGTGGTGCAGGGCTGCGTTCCTGACAACTATTACCTATAACTACCCCTTACAGTCCTCTTATCTAGAGCCTAGCTTTTATCTTTGCAAATTATGCAGGTCAATAATCCTCTTACGGACTTACTACATCTGTGCTAGATTTGTAATGCGCCTTGTAGTTGCAGGAGCTAGGTCTTGTTTAAGAGCTCTGTGTTTTAACCCTGTGTTCGTAGCGTCTATTTAGAAGAACCTAAAGCGCTAGATCGCTGCTTTATTAGTAGCGCTTACGCGCTAGTGCATAGCACCTAGGCAGAGTAAGCTACTAATGCTAGAGTGTGTGCTAATAGTCCGCATTCAGATAAGGGGATTACTGCAACAGAAAATAGGCTTACTGCATACGGAAAAATTAATAAACTTTGTGACAGTCGCATGAGTGAAAGCTAGGCTTCCCGTCCGCTCAGCCATATTGTCACGATGTTCCAACACCACAGGTTCCAGCCACAGGCAGGCAAGCCACCGGGGACCCTTCGGGCCACCGTCGGCCCTCACCAGCCACGATCACGTGACGTAGGTATATATCATCCCTCTAGGAGTCTTGATAGCTCCTCAAGGATTCGTCTCAATACAAGCCTATACCAATATCTCAGTGCCTGCCCAAATACTCCTCACACATATACAAGCAGTGTACCGGCGGATTAGTAGTTAGGCGGGTGACCACTAGCGAATCCCCGCTGTTGTATGTTTTTGCACTTTCATTGTGGCAACTTCTTTCTACTTTTTGCATGGTGCTGCACAAATAACCTTACGCATAGCAGAATCGATGGGTTGGTAGAAGACTGAACCAGATCAACAAGTAACAAATTCTTTTGGCACGTACACGTTCTCTTTCTAATCCCCTCTTCTGGCTTTTCATTTTTCACCTATTTACCCTTCCAGGCCTCGTTGACTAGATCTCGAATCTTCCTAGTCTTTATCTCCGGAAACTGATCATTCAAAGATTTCTGCGACTTGAGATCAAAGAAACCTTCGTCAAACAAGATGCCAAAGACTGCACACATACCTTGAAGCATTTGCTTCGGGAAGTATGGGTACATTGGAGGATGAGCAGGCAGTTCAGTGACTTGGTACGACTTCATTCTCTCCAGTGAATCGTATGTGGTCGTGAACTTCGATCCTCTGGCCTCTTCAGCGATGGCGAGGAACTCATTCAGCGTGACTTTGTCGCCAATGACGTATGACTCCTTTTCCCAGGTTGATTGGCCAAGAAGAGCAGCCACGAATTTGCCAATGTCGAAACTGTAGGTGAAAACGATAGGGACTTTACCCGAGCCGGGGATAGCAGCAGTATTGTTGGCGATATCGATAGCCAGCGTCAAACCCGTAAGATATGATTTGACGTGTGGCTCCACATAGTAGTCCAGAAAGAAGCCGTTGATGACAGCTGTATACTCCAGTGACGTCTTCTCTAAAGCGTTGAGATAGGCAATCTTTCCCTCGGCCATCGAGAAGATTTTGGCAACCCTATATAATGTTAGAAGATTGTGATCAACAACTGGTAAGACGAATGCTTCACTTACTCGGGCGTGTACTTGATCCCCCACGTACTCGGAATGTAGCGCTTCGTGACAGCAGCTTTTTCGGCAGCCTCAATAAGAGCCATCTCAGGATCGGTACCTGACATAGATCCAAGGGTCGAAATCACTGTATCGATACGATTCTCTTCCAAGACTTTGACGATGAAATCTGGGTTGTTGTAGTCGATGGCGAGTATCTTTGCACCTGTCTCAACGGGCTTCGCATCTCCGGTCGTCTTTGCAAACGTCAGAATGTATCATGCACGGGAATTTTTCATGAACTCACCTCTCGAGCAAGTACGAACACCGTGTATCCGCCCGCACTAACGATAGATTCGACAATCGCACGGCCAAGCTTGCCAGTACCTCCAGCTACTGCAACGACGGATGAAATCATATCGACTAATGGTTTGTAGGTAAATCGAATAGCTTTGTGGGTTGTTCTGCTTAAATTTCGTGCAACAGATTCGGTCTATATACTGAAGCGATCCTGTGTTCTAAGATAGGCCCGAATGCGACTGCGAATGCGAACATCAGAGACAATTACTAAGATGCAGCTAGTGTCAGGCCTGGCTGATGATATATACTATCCTGCACCCTGATCAGTAGTTCACTGATCATACGTACCTTTTTGGTTGCATGGCGTAGGTGGTGCAGGGCTGCGTTTCTGACAGCTAGTTCGCGGATCCTCGGGTCGGCCGACAGCCGCGTGAATTGCTAAGCCTAGCCAATTGAGGAAGAAAGCCTTGGACTTGAGGCTCACCTAGATGGAAGAAACGCCTCAGTCCGCACGCTCGACGTCGCGCTGCATCGGTACGGCAAATATTGCTGTGAAACATTGGTCCGTTGAGTGCAAACCGAAAGCAACGATCCATACGTGGCACGGGACTTCAATCACCCTGCGTCCGTTGAGCATACAGACTCTGCAGCACATTTGCAAGCTGAGATAGAAATAACAGAGCACAAATGCGACGCATCTCATCAAGTTCAAGCCCTGCCAATCGATTTAATGTCGGCATCCACACCATCAACAGATTGGCCATCTTCCCTCTTCCTCTTCTTAGCCTTGTTTTCTTCCTTCTTCTTCGCGTTTCTCCTTCGTCATCTCTCCGACTCTACCCTCTCATCAACATCTCTCTTGGTATAGTCTTCCAAATAGGACGTCAGACCACCCCAGATCCTCTGCTCATACGCGGAATGCTGAAACTCGATACACATCCATTCTAATGTCCTGAGATCTTCTATACTACCGTAAATATCCAGGGCTGCGCGCTCATACACTTTCTTGTTCTTCTAACTCGCCTCCGCACACGTCTTCTCGAAACTATCGATGACAGGTCTTACCGAAGTAGGAGGTACAAGCGTGACGTTACCTTCGTGGTCACCCGTACCGATATTAAAGCATGTATACTCGCCTAGTTTGATCTCATAGAAGTCTCCGTCTTGACCGTAGAGCAAGTATTCGTTGCCTTCGATGGGGAACAAGGTGTAATCCATGTCCACCATCCAACGTCCATCGGTGGTGACGTCTTCGTCGATACCGTTTCTCGCGCGCAGGAAGCCTTTATAGTCGTCTGGAAGCTTTCCACTGGGGAGCGCGATCCATGGATCATCGGGGTCGTCTCCTGTATGGGACGAGGACAGGCGTTCTTCGAGAGTAGCAATCCGGGCTTCTGACGCACCACCCGTAAGGATAGTGGGTATTTCGTCTTCACCGTCGTCGGCGCGTTCGGCGAGAACGTTCTTATCGATCATCTGCACTAGCTCGGCCATCGTTTTAGAATGATACGGGCACATGGGACCTTCAACGGAGCGCTGTTTGAAGAAAGCATAACCCTCTTTGACATAATCCTCCACGTCAGACATGCGCATACCAAATCCTTCTCCAAGATCCACTTCACTGAGCGTTTCCCAGATGCCATCGCAATGCTACAAGCCCTGTCGATTCTCTAGCCATTCCCTCGTCTCGTCTTCGCTTATGTCTGGATCTGTCCAACTGTCCAACAAGTACTCGTACAACTCTTTCATGTTCTTCTCGATCAAGCTAGTAGCTAAACCCTCTTCGCCTGCAAGCGACGCGACCTGTGCTGCAGCACCAAGTGTCATTGTTTCTTTTGGAGGACGGTAGGTGGCATCCGGGTTTGCGTTCAGATGGTCACGCGCGAAGTCTAAGTCCTCTCTATCTAACGTCTACCCTTGAGCTTTCCTTGCTATATCCTTGGGTAAACCCGTGGTAGAGATGGTACCCACATCCGCATCCGCATCCGCATCACCATCACTTGCTTCGTGTGCCCATGAAGGCCAAGAATCACTACCACCCCACGCTCCCTGTATTTGTTTCGAGGTGGTCCGACTGTAATGGTCCTTGGTTGTCATGTCAAGACCATACTCATGGATTGTCTCGAGAAGGATGTAGACTTGTTCAGCAGATCCTAGTACGAAAAGGTCCAGTGCAACGTGTTGTGCTATTCTCGAAGAATCCAGATGCAGACGACATGTTAGAATGGAAATTTTTGACCAAGGTATGAGTGGTAGAGGAGGGGTTGCCATGATAGTGGAAGCTGTGTTTCTGATATGGTGCGGAGCAGAGGGGAGCAGGTTTTTTGAACATGACCGACCTGTGTGTGGAAGTTGAAAAAGGGTAGTCGATTTGTTGCTAACTGTAGATGTATCTATGTAGCGATGTCACGGTGTTGAGGTTAGCTGCCAGGCTGCAAGCACACAAGTAGGTGCGATGACATCATGCCTGAGCTAGTCGAGGCAGAACTTGAGAAAAAGGCTTCAAGGCGACCGCGTATGCTTGGGAGTACTACAGGCGGACTCGCTAATGTATCAATCTAATCGCGATCACGTGCGACAAGACACGTCGGTTATTCTAGGAAAGTCCTCAGTGCGCGAAGTAGCAGGGCATAAGCTTCGCAGGGAGGACATGCGGACATAGGCTAAATTCACGCGGTTCAGATAAAGTACCTAGGTGCAGTAACACCAGTTGGAATGGCAGGAAGTGGCCACCAATGAGTTTTTACAGTGTTTGTACCCTGGGTAGCCTCGGGCTTCCACATTACTGCGCGATTTGATTGCAACTGCCGCCGGGATAGCAAGTGCCAAAGTCGGAGGTTCCGTTGATCTTGCAGGGTTGAGATTTACGGTGCCGCAAACATTACAGTTTCTCGCCTAGAGGACTCGCCACATCACATGACGCGCTGAGAAATCAGGGTCATACCCAAGTCTTCGGCCCGTGGAGGTGGCGCAGCGGCTCTTGTGGATCTAGTGGGGTCGGTGTTAAGAGACGATCCATAATTCGCCAGCAGTGGATTCGTCCGTTAACCAGACTTTGATAAACCCTGAACGATCACAATCCCAATTGATCCTCACGAAGAGTAGTAGCAAAAATGCAAGCACAAAAAAACAGTCGCGCGACAACCTCCTGCACCGAATGTCAGCGTCGCAAGCAAAAGGTCCGCTCCGATCCAGATTGACCCTGCGTCTACCCCTTGACTAACGGCAAGGCTAGTGTTCGCGAGAGTGGCCCTGCAATCATTGCCAGGCACGAAAGGTACCCCATCTTTGTCAGTTTGCCGTCAAAAGAGGGCAAACAGAGTCATCGCCAGAGTCTGCTCGGTATGTGCATTGTCTTGCCTACCCCGCCGTTAGTGGAACTTGGTAGTAACAGCAATGGCGCAGAGAAAATTCGTCCAGCAGCACCAAGGGCACCAAAAGAAGTGCTCCCGACTCTGCAGAGCCGCAATTCCTGTCGCAGTCGCAAGATGGCGAGTCAGAAGACCTCGAGGATGGGCTGAAGGTGTGGGGGTACATGCCCGGCCATGTTCATTACAAAGTAGGCACGGTAGAAGACGTAAGTGCAAATACTGAAATATCAACATCAACTAACAGTTTCAAGAATGGCCCGCACAAAGACTCACCAGCAGAATCCTCTGGGACGACGGATGTCGTAGATAAAGTCCTCCCAGCAGTCCCTCCCAGATCAATAACCGGTAGGCGCTAACATCATCCGACTGGGCGTTGGCTAACGATAGGCAGATGCATTTGTGAACCACTTTCTGAGCGTCGTGAACTACCGCTATAGTGCGATATACGGGCCAACACTAGCTGAACAATATGTCCAGTGGTGGACAGATCGCGGTGCCGGCAAGCAGCTCTCTCCAGAGTTTACCTGCTTGCTTCTAAGAATCTGTGGATATTCCGTGCAATACCTCACACCTTCGCTTCGTAAAATGATCGAGTTCGAGCTGGCTTGCAACTCTCAGACTCTGACGGAGCGGTTTGCCGATGCAGCCGAAGAACTCAGCCAGAGTTTTGAAGCATCAAGAACAAGCATTGAGCGGGTGCAAGAACAATTCTTGAAAGGTGCTTGGTTAAAATCCGAGTCCAAGATAGTAGAGTCATGGCATGCGCTTTCGCGCACAATCCGGGAAGCGCAAGAGCTAGGTATCGACAAAGATGCGGGTATCGAGGACCTGAGTGAGTTTGACATCGAAATCAGGAGACGTCTCTGGACGTTGTTGTATATCTGGGATTGGTAAGCATGGAACGACAATAGCTAGAACGGTTATTGACTCTTGCTACAGGCAGATGTCGGCGTGGCTAGGCCGTCCCAACCTCATTGATCAGAAAAATCTTACCTTCAAATTCCCTAACCTACGGTTAGACCAGTCAACCACGGAGCCAAACCTCCTTTCACCTTTTGCTCACATGGCACTCCAAGCGAATCTGGGCCGTAGAATCGCGACTGCCATGGGAAACGCCAACTCTAAGGCAGATCTATCGGACAAGCAGGTTGTAAACATACAGTCCGAGTGCGAGAAGCTGATCGAGGAGTTACCGCCGATATTCCGATTTACAAACGCCGACACATCTTTTGATGAGAGACACCCTTATTTCGTCTTCCAGCGCCTCCAATTACATTGCGTTATCCTCCTGACGCAGCTCGATTTTCTCAAACCCTATCTGACCCGAGAGCGACAAGACAATGTGGCTGGCCAAGACGAAGAGTTTAGGAAGAAGGGCATAGATATCGCATTACGTCTCCTGAAGGTTGCGCGTAAACTTTTCGATCACGAGTTTCCGATTAATGCCAAGTTTCACATGGTCGTCTTTTGCATCTTCGACACAGCGACATTGCTTTGTTCCGCCATCATACACGACCGCGAGCACGTCCTGCCTCATCGCGAAGAAGTTGTGGACGTTATTGAAAGCTCTCTGGAGATGCTGCAACAACTCAGCGGAACAACAAAACTTGGGGCTACATCGTTTAACTTCCTTTCCAAGCTTGTGCAGGCTACACCGGAGCTTTCGCGATACCCTTCGATCAGTAAGCGGCAACGGCAGACTTTTCCTTCGGTACCTAAATCAACGTCGTCGGTCCCAGCACACGAGCCTGCACCAGTAACGACCATGCCTTCTATAGCGTCTGTAGAGCCGGCTACTGCACCAGTAACCTCTAACATTGGCGATCTTCCTCCAGTGACCATTTCGGATGATCTTTCATTCGACATTGATCAGTTTCTTGCCCAGAACCCTTTTGGTACTGTCGGAGATCCGTCTGCTGTAGACATGGGTGGCATGGAGCAGATCTGGGACTGGCAAGATCTGCATCTGGATGCCTACGCGCAGGAAGACCAACATGGCTGGAACCATAATGGATCGGGATGAGTCTTGACTGAAGTCTTGCCAGCCATAGGCGCAATCGAGTGCGCAGAGGTACAGTTAGTCCTAGGGGCTACAGATAAGAACAGAGTGTCAGATCTGTTGCTTACAGCCCAGTAATCGGCATGTCTTCAACTATACGTGGGACCGCCACATGTGTTGAGATAAACTCATGTCGTTGGCAAAGCAGTATGAGTCCGACAACGTCGGTCCGCAGCACTTGATGGCGAGCGGTCGATTCGCTCACACACGCAGGTTGAGGTACACTGCGTGCCCTCCTTTTCGGGCCTTTCCTTCTGTATTCTGCATACATAGTAGCTTTCAATATACAGTAATTTAAGCAACGATATCGTACGGTACTTGCACTCGCCTTCACGTTCGGAAGGATTTCGCTACCCCTTCCCCCAACTAATCATGCACTCACATCCAGGAGAACCCGTATTAGAAACGAAGAAAATGCTTACGCAAGATTTAACAGATTTCGGGCTTTGGAAAGGGCAGGTGAAGCTTACATGAAGACGAGGTTGCAGCGCTCGATCGAGCAATATACTCCACCTTCATCACACGATGGCCAATGTCTCCGAAGCTCTCAGATATCCCTGACCAACCTCGACTCAAACACAAACGCTCTTCGACTCTGGGAAGAGCTAGATAATCTGCATATCAACAGCGCAAAGTCTTATATCGAGTTTGAAGAGCGCTTCGTCGACCTCTCCGACTCGTACTGCGCTCTATCTGCGGGCTATGACCATCTAGTCGAAAAGCACGACAGTCTTCTAGTCATCGTCGTTAAGTTATATACCGAGCTGGGCGTCCAAGCTACAGCCTTGGTGGAATTGAACGAGTGGAAGATGCGCGCGCAGAAGAGCTTCGCTGAAATACAGGTTCAAGGGCAAGATTCCGAGCTTTTGTGTTGTAGTACACCGCGTTCGATATCTACGGTAGACATTGCGACTGGTCAGGTGGAGTCTAATCTCATGACGGCGGAGAATCAGGTTTCCAAAATTGCAGTGGACGGACAAGACCCCGGCGTTGCGGGCTTGCATTCGTCCCCCACGACACCGGGCAGTTCGGTCAAACAGCATGTTGCACATCCTCGCTTGAAGTTGAGAATGCCGCCTCAACCGGTTACTGAAGAAGCACTTATGGAATCTCCCGTTGATTTGGTATCTGATCAGCATCCAAGTTTCAAGCGGGTCAGGAAGCCTACGGAGAAGCGCAAGGCAGCTGCAATACAGGCCGAGCCGAGAGGACAGAAGACAAAGGAGTGTCGCAGATGATCTCGAGCGTGTCGTGGTAGGTCTGTTCTTCATTTCGCTGTTTGCGCGATCCTGAGTGGTGGTAGCTAAGGCTATCGGCCGAGGGAAAATGACTTGTTGTCGTGGTAATAAAGAATGACACTCACGTCTAACCATCCCTGACATTTCACAAGCAAACTAAATTCCATAAGCCAAATAAGTCCATACTCTGCGTGCACCCCGCAGATGACGACCTGTGTGGCGTTCGTGGCTATGTTTGTATCGGTCAGCACAGACATTTTCCGAAGGTTTTCGGTGTCGAACCTGTGACGGGTGACACGTTGATTCCATTCGGCGGAGTTGAATCTGTACGATATTAGTGAGCTGGCTACCTTCCATATTGTATGGACTCACTGAACATTCCCACCGGCATAGTCATCGGTGGGGTATGTGTGACCTAGACTGTAGCTTCCAGTCTCAGAGTATCCTGTTGGCATAGTGCCGTATTGGGTATTGTAAAATTCGCTGCCAGGCGTGGCGTGCGACTGCACATCGCTATCGTTGTCTGACGGGACATATATAGGGGACAATTCGAGGACAGCGTGACGACACACCTTTTGGTCGCAGTAATGGTCGTTGCGAGCTGCTGGCCATTTGGCCGGCCTGCATATTGAGAGATGCTTCCGCTCATCTAACAGCTTGTCGAATGCGTGTACGGATTCGGCGCTGTTCATGCTGATGAGGGGTTCAGCACCACACGTGCTGATCGCTGGTGATAGAGATGACAGAGGCGATAGAAATGATGGCTGTGAATACTAACGGGGATGTCTATAGCAATGTTGACGGAGTGTACTTGAGCATATCACTCGACATAAGGGAAGCTGTTGGACTCATTGTTGGTCGCTTATCCGTTACTACCTAGTCACATTCCAAGCCAATGTTCGCTACTGCCACTGGAGACGAGAGCGAATTCTGCGTCAAGGCAGCTTCAACGCAACCAAGGATCAGTTGAGAGATGGAAGGCGCATGTTTGAGATAACAGATGTCTTTACAGGGTCGTTACTAATACAGAGAACGCATGCGATCGTTAGCAAGACATATGTAGTTCTTGGTCGCTTGTTGCATGGCTCAAAAGAAGAAGTTGGTATCATACTTAGTCTGCACGTGTCCAGAGAGGTGGGAGGAACCTTGGTCAAGTTACCACTCAACAACGTCGTACGCAAGTTGTACTTGGTTGCACTACCGAGGCAATACGAGGTCAACAGAAAAGCCTTGAATCCCGGAATCAAGCATGTCGCGTGACATTGACTCCTGTCGATACGACTTGCTTTAGGTCGGGCCCACAACCTACTCGGCGCGTGCTGCCAGGGCAGGCGTGTGGCTACCGTAGGGTCTTGCCTCAGTGGAGCCAAGTAAGGGTCCAAAACTTTGCTACGGTTAACGGCAGATGTCTCGCTCGCTCGCAACTCGAACGTTTCGGTCTCGGTCTTTCTAGTAGATGAGCAGTCGCAGGCTGCGCAGTTGACAAATGTCGATCTCCCATCAGCCCTGGGGTTGAAACGGTCCCACCTTCTGCAGTCGTATATCTCAGGGACGTCATGCCTGATGTGGGCATGTAAAGAGAACACTCGAGCCTCCCCGCTTATTGTCGGTGTGATCAACAATTGACGATAATTTCAGGCCGGTTTTATTAGCCATTTTGCGTGCGCAAAGCCTGGGAAACGTATACGTAATCGGCACATGCTTAGTCACTTCTCGGCACGCGGCAGAATTCTTTATGCGCGATATGCGAACAGCCTCGCCATCGATACGAGGAATAGACGCAGGACGCACTCGCCACAAGGACGACTAACATTGTCAACCATCAATAGCAACCAATCTCTCTAGACTGCCTGCTAATATGTTCATCGAGGGCTCAATATGTAACCTTAGAATCTTTTGTCATTGCGCATGAGGCGAGCTCCTGCAGACGCACAACCGCACAATACATGACTGCGAAAAGCTTACCAGGCCGGTGGTCTTGACTAAGGCCAAGCCTGAAGGATCGAACGAACCACAGCGGCGACGTTGGATGATCTTTGCAGTGAACGGCACAGGAACGTGCTGGGCTGGTATGCTTGGCCCACCTAAACAATACGTCACGGCGCGGCTTGAGAGCCGCTACCTTGGCGCACCTCACCAACGACTCCACACCATCTGTCCGTTCCAAAAGTTTTTTTTGACAGGGGCGGCGCCGGGGAGAACTGGAGTATATGAGGGGCCATGGTTCTACTCCAGGACCAAGCTCGTGCAACTCTTGTCATCTGAATTCACTGCGACTTTGCTGTCGCGGAAGCTTGCCATACTCAAATACACAAGCCTTTCCAAGCCTCACAAGCCTTTAGCATCCTGCTTAGGTGAAGACGCCGTGACGGTTTCAACACACGACCAAGCCACCAGATTACATCGACATCGACGAATCGCCGACCCTGCACAGGATTACCCCAATCGCGACTACCCCGTTACCACGCCCTACCACTACCATAGCGCCAACCCCAAGCATCCAAAGTACCAACCAAGGTTCCAGCAATAATAGTCATCAGGCTCAAGCGCAAAGACTAAAAGAACCCCAAGCAACAACTCCTCCATCGCGCTACCATCACCAACATTACCCCAAGATGGTTCGCACTGTGTTTGTGAATCCCTTCAAGTCTCACCACGTCGACGAATTTCCAGGCGTCCTCGTGCCTCTTGATGATTCGACCCATCGCGCTTCTATAGTCTCCACCCACCCACGCGCCTCCCTCGATACGTCAGAGAAAGCGACAAAAGACGAAGAGCCCAACGACCTTAGGCGACCTGACAGTAGTACATCTAGTGGTGTTATTAACCATGGCATGACGATTGCAGCATTAAAGGCAGAGATTGAAGCAGATGTTGCCGCCTCAGATACCGACACGCCATATGACCGTACGTCGTGTGGCTTTTCATAGAATCGTCAAGTACATTGAAAGAGCTGTACTGATCCTGACCAGGCAAATCCAAGGTTATCAACAAAGCTTTGCAGGATATGGGCATGGGCCGCTACCAGTGGCAGCTTTTCGCTCTATGCGGTGGCGGTTGGATGGCTGACAACTTGTGGCTGCAGGTGCGCATACCTAGCCCCTCAACTGCTAGCAGGACTTACCATTCTCTAGGGTGTCGCCCTTACACTACCGCAACTGAGTGCTGAGTTTGGTGTCAGCGAGACGGAAGTCAGATACACTACGTTATCGCTCTTCCTCGGTCTCTGCATCGGCGCATCCTTCTGGGGTACTGCATCCGATATCGTCGGTCGTCGTCTCGCTTTCAACTTCACCCTTTTCCTCGCCGGTGTCTTCGGTCTTGCATCAGGAGGCGCCCCCAACTGGATTGGCACATGTGCACTCTACGCATGCATCGGTCTCGGTGTTGGTGGAAACCTTCCCGTCGATGGCGCCTTGTTCCTGGAGTTCCTGCCTCAAACATCAGGAAATCTCTTGACGCTGCTCTCCGTCTTCTGGCCCGTTGGTAACTTGATTGCATCGCTCTGTAAGTTGAAATTGTACATTCTACGCCTTTTTATCTTTGCTAACGAGTTTCAGTGGCTTGGGCTTTCATTCCCAACTTCTCGTGCCCTTCCGATACTCCCATTGGACAGTGCAGTATGGCTCACAACTGGGGCTGGCGATACCTCATTTTGACTCTAGGTGCGATCACGTTCTTCATGTTCGTTTGCCGATTCTTCCTTTTCCATCTCTACGAGTCACCCAAGTTTCTGCTGTCTCGCGGTCGCCAGGCTGAGGCCGTCGCCACCGTTTACGGTATTGCGCACTACAACAAGACCCACACCTGGCTTACCGAAGACATTCTAAACCAAATCGGCGGCGATCAAGAAGTCACCGGAGAAGACATCAAGCTCAGCGTTTTCGAAATCGTCAAGCGCTCCCTCAGCCGTTTCTCGATGAAGCGCTTCAGGACTCTGTTCCAGGATAAGAAGATTGGTCTCACCACCGCTCTGCTTTGGTTCCAATGGACAACTATCGGTATGGCTTACCCGCTCTTCAACGCTTTCCTCCCACAGTACCTCGCCAACTCGGGTGGTGATGTTCAAAACGACACCAGCACTGTGTACCGTAACTACGCCATCACTGCCATCGTCGGTGTTCCCGGATCAATCATCGCCTGCTACACTGTCGACATCAAGCATGTCGGCCGCAAAGGTACTATGGCCATCGCTACCGTCATCACCGGTGTCTTTGTCTTCCTCTTCACCATCTCGTCCGACTCTGACTTCCAGCTCGCTTTCACTTGTCTCGAGGCTTTCTTCCAGAACATCATGTATGGTGTTCTGTATGCGTACACCCCCGAAGTCTTCCCAGCGCCCATTCGTGGTACCGGCACGGGCATGTCTAGTTTCTTGAACCGAGTTGCTGGACTGTGCGCGCCAATCGTTGCCATTCAGGCTGGTGGAAGTAACCCCAAGGCGCCAATCTACGCTAGTGGTGGATTGTTCATTGCGGCGTTCTTCAGTATGTTGATTCTGCCTATCGAGACGAGAGGCAAGCAGACTTTGTAGATGGTACGCATTGGGTGCTTGACGGCAAGGCCGCATAGCGTATTTGGATAAATGTATCTACGACGAAGAAATGTCAACGTTAAATTTCATGTTTGAGCTTCCGTCGCATGCGTGTGAATCTGTGCACACGTTCTTTCAAACACGTGTAATGATTTATCACCACCTTTCTACTGCAGTTGCAGATGTACAAAGCAATCCTCAATCCCCTCAAAGTCTAGCCCTTGTCTCACCAAGTTTCAACTTCCAGCCCTTCAGCCAAACCTCGACCTGCTTCGCTGTAATATTCTCAACCTTGGGCAACATCTCCAGCGCATTCTTATTGTGAAAGACCATGGCCTCTTGTTCCCTTCCCTCACCAGCTGCCGCCATAAAGCCATGCATCTTGAACGTCTTAGGGTCGAGCATGCCAAGCCACTGCGGAAGCGTAACTTCCTCGACCGCCAAACCATACCTTTCAGTCAAGACCTTGTACAGAAGAGCCCAAGGTGCAGGATTGGGATACATCATATTATACACCTTCACAACGTCGTTGTTACTCGGCTGCGTTAGTGTAATGTTGGTGATGCCCTCTGCGAGCGAATCGACGGGGATCCAGTCAGTAGCGTTCATGTGTACAGACCAGCAACCAAGTTGTTGACTCGTCTTGAACGTGACGTATAACCAGCCTTGGGTTGGCCAGCCTGGCGAACCAGCAGTTGCAGATGATGGACCGCTGATTTGGCCTGCACGTACGATTCTAACACGCACAGCAGAGTCTAGGTTCGCGCGGGCGAGGAGTTGCTCGGCGATACATTTACTCTGTCCGTATCCGCTGTCTGCGGCGCTGGCATCTTCCCAAGCGGGCTCTTCTGGTATGAGTGGTTGTTCGGGGTGGCGGCTTGGCCAGTTCATGATGGAGCAATTTGATGAGATGAACGTTATGCGTGGCTTCTTGGGACTGGCGGTACATGCCTTGATGATGTTGCGTACAGCGTTGAGGAGTGGCTCGAACTTTGTGAGAGGCATGGCCCAGTTTGCATTCCAGGCGTTGAAGACGATTTCGTCGACTTCGGTTGTAAAATGCTTGTACTGTTTGTCATTCAGTCCAAGGTTTGATTGCGTGATGTCGGTTGTGGTAAACTGGAGGCAATTACGAGTGGTGAGACTGTTGCTACTGATTTGTTGCAAAGCTGATATTGTGCGCTGTTCTCCGTCTTTACTCCTGTTGAGGCAAAAGATCTTGGCGTGAGCGTGTTTCTGGAGCAAAGACGCTGTGATATAAGGTCCCAGAAATCCCGTGGATCCAATAATAGCAATTATCTTCGGCTCGGTCATTGTGCTGTTGTTCAATTGGAAAGCAATCTTCAAGTCGGATTGTAGTAGGAGCAGCTCTCAGTTCACTATTCAATGACTTGACAAATGCTGATGTGAAGGGTAAGCTTGAAGCACGAAATGACCGGTCGGAATGTTTGCATCTTATATTCCAATAACGATCAGGAATCCGCGGTTACAGCTCACAAGGTAGCATGAATTTGCCGACTGCTACCCTTTGGGACTGTCAAAGGGATGTCCTGCAAACCCCGACGGAAGGATCAACCTACGCAGCCTCCAATGAAGTGGAAGTACACTATACACTCGCTGTTTACTATTGGTGTTCCTCGGTAACCATTGACACTCAAATATGTGCGAGTCGCTCACGAAGGGTAAGAGGCGCCACCATGGCTGATGATGTGCTGTCACGTTGCATATACTGTAGCATTGTATCTACTCGTGTCGGGAGATCCCGCAGTCTTGAACCTATGTGTCGCAGGACGTGGTAGCTTTCAGCTTGCGAAGAACTCGGCTGAAGGGTTCAGTCACTAATGTTGAAAGGACGGCAGCCAGGCAGCCATCACAGCGCCTAGAACTCGCTCGATCACATCCTGTGTGGGATGGGACGCATATCCCGCGGATTAGAAATGATGTTGCAGCTGTTGATGAAGGGATAGAATCGCTTTTTTCTTATGACAAGGAGATTGAATGGAGATAACGCCATAGGCTAGAAAGGTGTTGGGAGAGTTCGATGGAAAAATGTTGCAGCACCCATCTCTCAACAACAGCGGGTGGGCTGTCATTACCCGATACAGTACGGTTCGGAGACGTGTTTTGGTATAGGGTGCGCAAGGGTGACCCAAACTTATGCGGAGAAGCGGGAGGCTGGTTGTGTCTCTTTGTTCTGATGGTGTAGCGACGGGAGATGGAAAGACGAGATGGTCGAGGGGTGGCCGAAGCGGGCTCCACAATTGCAACCGCAGCATGCCTCAACTCCTTACTCTCTATCACACATGCCACTGTCGACGCCCACCACAACAATTGCCTCTTTGCCTGGAGATTGTTCGAATTGCTTGTTTTGGAAGTCCATGGCGAGTCAGCATAAGATGGCACTGCCGCGCGAATGTGGCCAGGGTCTTTCCCCGCATCTGTCTGCCGAGGCTTCAACACCATGGAGTTTGGCATCTTGAACTCGGAAAGCAACGTGCATCTTTTTGATATTGTTATAGCTGACTGCACAGATTCTCTCGAATTGTCTTCGAACCTGAAGGTCGTCTCGCATCCCCATCAACATCGTAATCACAATCCCTAAATCCACTATAGCAATGGCATTAGGAGAATATACCAACCTACGCGTCGACCGCTACGACCAAGTCTTTGTCATCACCCTCGCGAAAGCACCCGAGAACCGCATAAACGTCAAGTTCGCACAAGAGATAATACGTGCGCTACGCGACATTGAGCAAGAACTGGGCCCAGACTCAGAAGGATGCGTGATAACAAAGGGGAATGACGAGAAGTTCTGGTGCACAGGTCTCGAGCTAGATGAGAGCGATACAAACCCATTTGCGAATAGCGATGGTTTCTTCCCATTACTAGCGACCTTGCTCGACTACCCTTTCCCCACTATCGCGTTGCTGACGGGCCATACGTTCGGTGGGGCTTGTCCCTTTGCTCTCGCGCATGATTATCGTATCATGAACGCGTCGCGCGGGTTCTTTTCTATGCCGCCTGTCAACCTCGGTCTGCACTTTCCTGGAATCGGCTTTCTCCCTCGACTCAAGCTCCGACCACAAGTTGCGCGGAAGATGCTGCTCGAAGCGCATCGCTGGACAGGCAGAGAGGCATACGAAGATGGCATCGTGGATGATATTGCAGAGCCCAAAGAGATGCTCGAGGCCGCGCTCAAGAAAGCGAGGGAAGTGCAGGGCAGGGCGAAGATGGGTGTATACAGTGTTCTCAGAAATGAGCTCTGGGGTGAGGCGGCTGAGAAGATTAGAGGTATCTGCTATGTGCATGGTAGGAGGGTGACCGCACCCGCAAAGGCAAAGATCTAAATCTCTCGTCTATTACGTCTCCAGCCGGAAGTACATAAGTTTAAAGCTAGGCGAGCGACGGCCATCGCGTCAAAATGTGATGTTTAATCAGCATAATACCTTAATTGGTTCTGTGACGGTGTTAAGATAGAGGGGAGGACTGCGCTGAATTGACTATCTGAGGTGGGCTAAGCTACATATATCGATGACCGTACATGAGCTATCCTAACTCGTACTAGAGTTGATCTGGGCAAGGCCCAAACCGTTACAGGTTCGCTGACTGTTTTGGGGCTGTCTCCTTGACGTGTTGTTGCCCAGGTGCGGTCCTACCTCACCTCGCCAGAAAAGACTGTGTGTTATCGCATCGCCACTTCATCTTGCTTTATCTCACACCCGGACACATCCTTCTCTCATGTTACGCCAGTCGTCTATCTCTATATCGGAACAATCGCGCAGACCAGGACAATAGTAATGACGAGCGAGACCACACTCACCATCTTAAATTGCGCCACGATACACTTTGGCAGCCGCGATCATCTCTTCGGTGATCGGACCGAGAAAAGGCGTCTACCAGGCTATCAGCAAGCCCCAAATATACGTGTATATAAGTGCGCTGATGTTTCCATCAAATTCATCTATTTGTTCGGACAATCCAAGGCTAAAGTCATCGCTTCATCTATCAAGCCCTGTCGCTCTCCATCCTGGTTAACTTATCGCCAACATACTCAATACCGCAACACGCCATCGTGAGCTCATCAAACTATCCATTGTATGGGGACAATCTATTTCAGGGGGTGGCATTATATCGCACGCGGTGGTTCGCAAGGTCTGAGTTGGGTGCGCCTCGTCCTTCCTGGCTTGACTTGAGGCTGAAAACACGGAACCCAGGACTCGGGTGACTGATCGTCTACGCCACTTCAGGAAAAATTATAGGAGTAAGTCATCGTTCAGAATCAGAAGTACCATTGAGGCGTACAATTCTGCCGCAAGTGGAATACAACAACAATATACTGCTAATGTGGAAGTGGACCCCACGCTCAACAGAAAGTACTGCCGTTCGCAGCACCGACCATCTCTAGTACTCCACGTTTCCATCGCATGAGCGGATGTTGATACTACACCCAACCGAAGTATGATCATCGTATGATATGCATTGCGCCTCATGGTATTGGACGAGAGAAGCTGTGTTACAGATCTACCAAGCGCGTCATGGCTATACGGTCTCCATTTGATATTGATTGCACAGGTAAGCACTTCATGTCATATCCCACCACCTGGGTAGGGCGACAGGTGTCTTTGATAAGATTGTAGATTCTACAACAGAAGGACGTGAAGTTCTAACGAGGCTTCATTATTCCGCCTACCATGAGGACAGTCAATTTAGCATTAGGACTTGCGACTGTTGTCGATATAGGTATGCGATATCATATTATCACCATTCTGTATTGTTGACACTCTTGCAGCATATGGCCAGACTACCGGGCGCTATTGCGATGGAGAAACTTCAATATGCTATTCGGGATGGACTGGTACCAATGGCATCACGTTCGGCATCGCTTTACCTAAGTCGGGAGCTGCACCTTTCGATACAGTCTTGCAAATCGTGTCACCTGTCAAGAATGGATGGGTAGGGTTTAGCTGGGGAGGGACGATGCCATATGTCCCACTCACAGTCGGATGGATGAATAGTGGATCGAACACGTCCATCTACAGTTCGAGAATGGCTTTCGGCTTGAGTCTACCACAGCCGTATGCTGATGCTGATTACTCGTACATCAAAGGAACCGGGTACAACGCGACTCACTGGACTTTGACTGTACGGTGTAAGGGCTGCTCACAATGGCATGATGTAGACGGAAACTTGGTTTCGATTGACGCGAATGCATCTGCGCAAAAATTCGCCTACGGCTTGTCAAGCAAATTGCCCGCTCAACCGGCGAACAACAGGTCTACCTTCAACGTGCATAGCTCGTTTGGCAACTACAAAATCGATCTCAAGCAAGGTCAAAACGCAGACTTTGACAAGCTAGTCACCGCAAATCTCGTCCATGATACTCCACCAATATCAAGCAGCGCCCTAGTATCCACCTCAACTATCAGCGTACGGCCAACGACTATGAGTACCAGTACAGTTTCTGTGACTTTACCGGTACCAACAACAACTGAAATACCCTTGTCCTGTCCTGACGTTAGCAAACTTGCATTTCCAATAAACACCGCGAAAGGATGGAAGGCTACAAAGGTTGCAGGAGGACTGACCCAGCCGAGAGGACTCATCTTTGACACTTTGGGTAATCTTCTCGTCGTGCAAAATGGTATGGGAATCACGGCTCACAAAGTTACGTCAAACGGCTGCCTCAGTTCGTCCAAGACCATCATCTCTCAGCGGAATCTCAACCATGGTATTGCGCTTAGTCACGATGGAAAGACGCTATACGCTAGCTCTGCGACCTCGGTGTTTTCATGGACATACGACGCAGCTACCCTGAGTGTATCGGAGAACTCGACAACAGTCTTGACTGGCATGGACAGTAGAGGGCATGTTACACGAACGCTTTCAATTCCACCAAAGTACCCGCATCTCCTCATCGTATCTCATGGATCAAACGACAACTTCGACTACGGCTCGGCGGATATGAAGACTGGTCGATCATGCATCAAGGTATTCGATACCACGGCAGTTCCTACAGATGGCTACGACTACCCAACCGGTGGCTATCAGATGGGTTACGGACTTCGTAATGAAGTCGGCCTAGCATTCGATGCTGATGGCATGCTCTGGGGTGTCGAGAACTCTTCCGATGAGCTTCATCGTATTATCAACGGGGTATCTGTGGACATCCACACGGACAACCCAGCTGATGAGATCAATTACCTTGGAGACCCATCTAAAGAGAATACGAATTGGTATGGGTACCCGACCTGTTACACCGTCTTCAACCCAGACTCGATTACAGACAAAAAGTTCGCAATAGGCGATCAGTTCGTTTTGGAGCCCAACGCAACCTTCTCAGATGATACGTGTAAAACGAATAGTATACCGCCTCGTCTCGCTCTTCCAGCCCATTCTGCACCTCTCGACGCGACTTTTGACCGCAACTACACGAGTATGTATATCACCATCCACGGATCATGGAACCGCAGTCCTTCAGTTGGATATAAGATTATCGAGGTTCCGTTTGCAAAGGGAGCGAGTGGCTTCGGACCAAAGGCGGCATTAAACAGTACGCAGGCTTGGACTGATATCTTCTGGAACCCCGATGTGGATCATTGTTCAACTACACAGTGCTTCAGACCCGTGAGTATTGCGCAGGATAGATATGGGAGGATGTATATTACTAGTGATAGTGGTGAAGAAGGAGAGATGATTATCCTGGGGAAGGAGTAAATGCGAGGTATATGTAGATTGAGGGTGGCATTTCTGTCGCAATTCCCCGCTCGGATTTGGCAATTATAGATACTAGGATGGGTTGAGGTTGGGATTCCTTAACATCGTAGACGCGTTCTCATCACGATTAGATTTGATCATCTGCCACGCCTGTCAGCCTATGGGAGCTTTTGCTACGCAGCATGTCCGCCTGCCTCGGTTCGCTGTGCGACCTGCGCTTGGTGTTGTCTGGTGTCTCATGATATTCCTGAGATGTTTGAATACTATTACCTCTATTGTGCCGAGGTACTAGGCTTTCGGAAGTCTTCGGATTCCGAACATCAGGGATCTGTAGTACAGTTGCATACTTGTGTAAACTAATCACTCCGATAACGTGGGAAGAGTTAGCTATTGATCATGATCTGCGGGGTACATGTGACAAGGCCTCTCAAAATCAAGTCTACATACACACAGAAAGAAATAACCTTTCTTGACAGTAGTCTCCTGGAAGAAGTTAATGGAGCGGGCCCGACCTCTTGCAGCATAGTCACATTACCGATTGTGGTAAGGTGTGCGCATCACACACACAAAAAAGCAACTAAATATTTGCCTCGGCAAAAATAGTCGGTGACGTATCTACCGCTTCGCCAACACTGACGGTGCAAACGACACCCCAATCGGACGGCGGTGCAAGACGGCCGTGAATGATTAGAAAATGGGCCAAAATGTTAGCGGTGGGGTAGTGCGCGCAAGCTGTGGCGTCGCACGGTGGGGGTGGAGACGCCTCGGAGGTTGAGTAAGTTTGGTACAAAGGCTCGACCTGCACCGGCTCCCCTTTGCGTTTCCCTATCAGCCTCACCACTGACTAGATACTAGAATTCTTACATTTTGTTGGGGTTTCAACAAATTCTCTTCTAGTCTCGACTGAGCAAACCCTCTATAACCACTCAATCTCACCCGCCAGCTCCACCTGCTTCCCACGCCGCGTACCTGCGCCGGCATCCCGTCCCCACAGTAAGCACTGTCAGCACCATTGGCGCACCATGATCGACTCGTACTTCGACGTCTTGATAATCGGCAGCGGCCTCAGCGGCATCAACTCCGCCTATCGCATCCAAGAATCGCTTCCCAATGCCAAATTCGCTGTCCTCGAAGCGCGTCACGAACTCGGTGGAACATGGTCGCAGTTCAGATATCCCGGTGTTCGATCAGACTCTGATCTGCATACCCTGGGCTTCAACTTCTACCCGTGGAGGGCGAAGAACCCGATCGCGAGGGGAGAGGCAATCATGAGCTATCTGCAGGAAACGGCACATGAGTTTGATCTGGACAAGAAGATTCGGTATAGACACAAGGTTATGAAGGCGGATTGGAGGAGTGAGGAACAGCGCTGGAGGCTGGAAGTGGAAGTGAATAACGAGGTTGGAAGAGAGCCACGGAGAGTGGTGTACTGGACTAAGTGGCTGATCACGGGCACCGGATACTACAACTACGACGAGCCGTTGAACGCAAATATCCCGGGAATTGACAAGTTCCAGGGTAAGATTGTGCACCCACAGTTCTGGCCTGAGGATCTGAACTACAAGGGCAAAAAGATGGTTGTTGTGGGCAGTGGCGCGACGACGATTACGCTGCTTCCTGCGCTGGTGGATGGTGGTGTGGGTAGTGTGACACAGTTACAGAGGAGTCCCTCGTATATTATGAGCCTTCCCCAAGAAGACCAAGCATGGTTCGAGAAATGGGCACCAGAGTGGTTCACCCTTCGGTACAAACGTACGTTCACAATCCTTACTACTATCCTATCTGTTACTTACTAACACATTCGATTAGGCTTCATGTTCACCCTCATTCCCATACTCCTCTACAAGTTCTGCATCTGGTTCCCCAAACTCGCACAATCCTTCCTCGTCAAGAAAGCCGCCGCGCAGCTTCCCCCCGATTTCCCCGTCGACCCTCACTTCAAGCCTGGCTACAACCCCTGGCAACAACGCATGTGTCTCTGTCCCGATGGCGACTACTTCAAGGCCTTCAGCTCAGGCAAAGCGCATATCGTCACGGATACCATCAAGAGCGTTGTCTCAGACGGCATTGAACTCAGCAGCGGGCAGAAGCTAGACGCAGACATCATCGTTACAGCCACAGGTCTCAACATGCGTTTCCTCGGTGGCATCGACGTCAGTGTCGACGGCAAGAAAGTCGACGTGGCATCTCAGTACATGTGGCGCAACTCCATGCTCACTTCTCTCCCTAATCTTGGCAACATCATCGGATACTGGAACGCGTCATGGACACTGGGCTCTGATACTGCATCTCGTCTTTTCGTCCGCCTCATCAAGCACCAGCAGAAACACGGTTACACAAGTGTAGTGCCGGTGATTGACGCAAAGGATAAGGAGAAGACGGTCAGCGCGAGTCCGCTTAACAGCACGTATGTCACGAATGCGCTGAAGAAGATGCCGAACTGTGCAGATACCGGACCGTGGAAGCCGCGCGACAACTGGTTTTCAGATAACTGGGGAGTCACAAGGGGAAGTTTGGAGGATGGGCTCAAGTGGGAAAAGGTAGCTGTTGAATAGGTACCTAGGCTGAGATGCATGATCTGTTCGTGGTACATGCAGCAAGATTTAATAATCAGTTCTAATTGGTTTGGCTTAATGCCTCGTAATGTCGTTCCACAGCGTGCCAAGAGTGGTATAGAACAATCCATTCATGTCTGCCGCATTAACGTTGTTTGCAATCTTCAGCTGTACATTCTCGTACGTCCGTGTGTGTACCTCTTCTGGGATCCATACAAACCTGGAGCAGATGAAGACCCTTTCGTACGGGCTGATGCATAACCCGCCGGCTTTAGTATCGACGTAAACTCCCACATTCATGTCACTCTCAATCCGCTTGTGGACCAAACTTTCGTGCTTGACGGTTGCGTTAGTATGATGCAGGACTGTCGAATTGTCACATCGAACTACTGAATGACCCTTGGCTCTAAGGCACCGACTATGTCAACGATGCGGATGCAGATACAGGAGAGGAAAGGTTCGAGACAGCAACTAAGGGCGCTGGAAGACTGGTGAAATGTAAGGCAAATGGGGGTGCGTTGGGTGAATGACTGATCGCTTGCTTGGAAAGAACTTGGGAAAACGTCACTGATAGAATACTCGATCACAGCTACCCTGATGATTAGCATGCTGTAATCGCTGTCTAGTTCTTGAAGTGAAGTGTAGAGATATAGGGTAGCAACGCAAGATGTTGGAGAGCATTTATAGTAGAGTAGAGTCATAGCGTTGTCGTCATATTCTCCGACTCCTCACTTTGAAGATGAGCCTACACAGTCACCGAGTTATACTTGAAGAGTCATAATGGCCTATAAAAGGTGTCCTCTATCCACTCTCACTATACCACCAATATTTAAGAATTTGAGAAACCGAACTTCCTAACATAATTGTAACGTTGTCAGATAAAAACAGAGCGAACAGAAAGTTGAAGGAGGACATCATTCATATAGATAAGAGTATTGATAGTACGCTGAATTGTGGTGTGGAGTGGTAAAGGGGTATCACTCAAAGATGCCGATGTCAACCTACGAAAAGCTCCTCGGGGAAGTAGAAAGCGGGTGTGTCGGATGTAAGCCCGAAGAGAAGTCGATAAAAGATGAGCAATTAAATTCGAACACATTGTATCATCTTGGAGACTACAAAGCAAAGTTGGCCATCAACAGCGATATCCATGTGCTGCGGCTCGCAGCAATTAGGGATCTAGGATGAGGTGGTGAATGGTGATGATGCATTCCATGACGAAACCCCCAAAGCGAGTGACTTCTTCCACATGAGTCTTCCTTTTACATGTGCGCGAGCCACTATCACCCAACTCTCTTTCAGAACAACAAAACCATTCCTCTCGCCCATTATTTTTCACGACAAAAACGCGCAGCCACGTAAACTCGCGCGAACATTGCAATACGTAAGCACGAACCACATAGAGTAGGTAAAGCGAACAGGACGTTAGGCCTAGAACGAGTTTAGATCGCATTCCAGACGCTGGAGCTTACCCCTGACTGCATCGCCCCACCAGTTCTGACAATAAATTTTTTTAACCAACAATCCAGCAAGCGCGAATCCTGGCGTTGTTCGTCCTGTTGGTGTGCGGTAAGCTCTCACATTCAAGATATCTTCGTTAAATTTGACCATTGTTTCATCAAACAAATCGGGCTTGTGGTTTAGTGGTATAATACTCCCTTAGCATCGTTCAACAGAACAATGTATGGGAGTGGTCCAGGGTTCGATTCCCTGCAAGTCCATCTTTTTTGCGTTTGTTTGCATCGTCGTCGCTGTCGTGGTTGTAATACTACTGTTTTGGCGGTGTTGGCTGATTTTTCGAGTTTGTCATTTTTAACATTTTTGCAGCCCCTCACAGTAAGCCTGCGTAGAAACGACGCAGCACAGCGCGTCTACATACTAAACTGACACCAGGTAACATCATATCGGTCGTCTTGGAAACTTTGAGATTGCAACGTTTGTTAGCAACTTCTCCCTGTCTTTTCTCCATTCTGCAGGTTGCACATGTCTTGCTAAGGCCTACGCTAAGGCTAAATAAACAGCGCACCGCATATATCGCTACGCAAAGAGAAGTGTTTGTTTCAGGGTTTATGTTATAACACACAGGTGATATCATTTCTCTAAGCCGCAATGGAACGGTGAGCATAGTATAGTTGCGTTGTCCAGCCCGGATCCCCGTCGATCAAGAAGTCGTTCTTCTCTTTCAGTTCATTCACTGATTCTCCCAAGTCTTCATCTCCCACCTCACTCGACCATCGTCCTTTGATCTGTTCCTTGTCATCACCGGTGTCCAAGAAGCACTGTACCCAATCCTTGAACCTCTTGCGCTCCGCTTCCGTGAAGTCAAGTAGCCAATCGACATCGATGATATCTGGTTTGGGAAAGGTCTTGGTTCAGCGCTCGGTGCGAAAGTAGATCGCGTCTCGCAGAAAGTTGAGCCCTTCCTCAATTGCCTTTATGTGTTCCTTTCCACTTCCCCAGCCTGCAATTTGTCTTCCCCGAATATCCGCAACGCGAAGACTCGTTTTCGAGAAAGACAAAACAAAAGTCGTTGAGGAGTGAATCGGTGGTGGTTATCGTATCGTAAGTCTAGTCTAGTGCTTCGCAAAGACGGTGGAAGTTGGCATCAAACTACTAAATGACAACTCACTCCCCCAACTCATTCACGACGACGCAAAAGGATAGACGTAGCAACACTCAGACATCTCATTCTCTATCCAGAAACACCTGGTATCCAAACTCGCCCTCTTGCCCCTCCTCTCACATTCTCAGACACTATATACCTCCACCCACCTGAGGCATAAACCAAAAGAAAAACGCCATGCTATGCAATGTACCCCTAGCAATGCTATCCCATGTTCAAACCGCAGCCAAAGCCAGGCGAGTCATAACGCCTTGTCATAACACCTCATTCGACCCGATGCCACCCATAGCCATGCAGAGAGAAGAAAAAGAAAAGATATACAAAGGAAAACGCTCTACACCATCAGGTATGGGTAAAGTTCAAAGACCAGTCCACCCCCTTCGTCTCCGCACCTGAGTCAAATACCCATCTCCACCAAGCCTTTCTCCCTCTGGTGACCCAGGTAAAGCATTATCAGAAACAGATTTCTAATCCGGCGCAACGCCCTTCCTCGCCGCTGTACTCATCTCTCCCCCACTAGTCTCCCTCCTCCTTCTCACAATCTGCAAACGGGGAAGCGGCGGCGCGTTACTAGTCGTCGGAGTGGGAGTGGGAGTCGGTGTACTATGACCCGGCATCTCATTCTCGCCACCAACGGTACTTTGACGTCGTCTCATGATCGCTTCGCCGAGACGACCAACCCGGGCTTTAGGGAGACGGGAAGACGATTTTGCGTTGTTGTTCGCTTCTATGCGTGCAAGGCTTGTTGCTGCGTCACGGGATGGTGGGCGTGAGGATGTACGGGGACCAGTTGGTGTGCTGTTGTTGGATTGTAGAGCTGCAAAGGAGGTTGAACTGCGTGCTAGAGCGGGTGGTTTTGAGCGTCCGGAGGAAGGAGGGACAGCAGAGGGATCTTCGGCGAGATCCCACATTGCTGTTGATGATTGGGACCTCGTAATGCCACCGCGTCCTGTTGGCGTATTGGACATGGGTGGGAGCATGAATGTAGATTTGAGAGAATTGGGCGTGGGTGGTGTTAGACCCATGCCACTGCCGACCAGTGTAGAGCCGGTGCTAGAGCCGGAACCGTCTCGTCGACCGGCTGACGATGGTGGACGACGAAGATTCATGCCTACGGCTGAAGCACGACTGATGCTTCGCTTGCCGTTTGATCCTTTGCTGATGCCCGAGAGCTCGACTTCGTCGCATGCGCGGACGAGCTCTTCAGCCATCTGGCGTACTAACACGGCAGAATCGTGTTCCATGAGCCAGCTGATACGATCATAGCAGCCGAAAGCGCGTATGAGCCAGCAGCCCTCATCCTTCGCGTCACAGATCGTCCGCAGAATACGGAGAAAGTTGAGACGCGTCACAGCATCCTTGTGTCCCAGCTTCTGTTCGGTGCGATTGAAGATCTCCGGTACTGCGAGAGATGCAGCAATTGGTGGGGATAAACGGACAAGCTTCTGCAGCGGCTCGAGCATGTTCTCAAAGGTCGAGTGCGGTAGATCAGCCGAGGTGTATGCGGAGATGATGGCGACGGTAAAGCTCGATTGCGAGGAGAGGAGGTATTGCTCGACGCGTGCGGTCTCTTCCTGGAGCCTGTATTGGTTAGCATGTTTTGCCTGATAGTTAGAATTGAAGGAACACGTACCACACGAAAATGGCATCCAGGGCTGTCACCGCCCAATTGCGATCGCCTAGTAGCGACACGTAGAATGCCAGACCCTTCGCATCCCACAGCATCTTCCGTGCAACCTTGCCCGAGTTGACCATCTCAAGCAGCACCGGCAATGCGAACTCTTTGAGAGGGCCGCCTTCGCGCACAACTTCCTTCAGTAAAGGGATAATGTCCGACAACGCAGCCTCCTCCTGCCTGCTCTTATTATGCCTACACAGATTGTACATCGTATTGAGGATTTGATTCGAGATCTCGCGGTGGAAGGGTGGTAGTCGAGCTGGATCGGAAGCGGATCGGTGTTGGCTGCGGCTCATGGCGTCTTTTTGCCGAGTTGACTTGAGTAGTTCAATTAGGATGTCGATCGCGTTGGAGTTCTGGAGGGCTTCATGCGTCGAGGAGAGGGAGCTTAGATTCTTAATGAACTTGAGCATGGTGATTTGATGTGGTGGTGACATCTTGCGGAGATCTTTCAATACACCTGTGCCTTGTTAGCTATGGTCGAGACTGACAACCGAGACATGCTCCAACTGCCTTAAGCTTGTGCCAAGTGGATGTAAAGACTCACGCTTCAGAATCATTCGATCCGCTACGAGATCCTTGACATGACTTTCTGCTTGTGAGAAGATGAGGAAAATCTGTACGATCCTGCCCACGATCAGGCGTGCAACCTCTCCATCCTCCTCCACCATGCGATTCAGCACCAAGCTGAGAGGATATAGTACGCTTGATCTTGAGAAGATGCGACAAAAGTCGTTCTTAGGGGTGGGTCCTTGCAATTCGAAAACGCCAAAGACGCCATTGACTCCGATGAGGACCAGATCGCGCTCAGCATCGATGTCTTCTTCTAGGAACTCGACTAGCACATTGATACCACCACAGCCAATAAACATCTGTAGCGTCAGTGTGCTTGTTTGATACATTTGCCGCACAAAAGCTGCAGCCTCTTTTCGGATGTCGCTTGGGAACTTCTTGGAGGCAAAGTAGCAAATGGTCGGGATACCACCTAGGAAAGACAAGCTTTCTTGTGATTCAGAGTCTTCCAAGATGATCAAGTTGATGATTTTCAGAAGAGGCAGTACCACTTCGTTGTGCGGCCTAGTTCCAAGAATCTCCAGTATAGGCAACATGCCATGACTTCGTAGTATGATTGATCGCTTGTCTGGGGACTCGTGTAGCACCTGTAGTAATTGATCTGCAATATCGAGCAGTTCGTCGTCAGGTTGACTAGTCTTCAAGCAACCCACAAGACTTTCTGTCATCTTTGTCAACCGATCGTCCCGATCTCGAGCGACATTGTTCTCCAGGTTGATGTTGTCAAGTCCCTCATCAAGGTTCGCGAATGGATCAAGGTCATCTTCGTCAGCTATGATGAAAGAGTTCGCCATCTTGGATGTGATCATGGCAAGACTACTGTGCTCACTACCACTATCACTTTCGGCTCGGCTGGGATTAGCAAGTTGACTCTTGATATCGCCAAAGACATCAGAGAAATCATCGCTTTCGTTCTCGGCGTACTTTTGGATCTCAATCTGCGACTGCGTTCGTTGCAGCTTTCCCCGTGTGGATGTTGAGCTTGCTGATCTCTGGTGGATGTTGCCGTTCGACTTGACGTCGCGTGTTGACTTGGGCCCTGCTTTCAGATCGCTGGGATGGAACAGCCGTGGAGAGAAAGTGTCAGATGGTGGACTGGAGTTGGTGAGGACTACTTGTCTGGATGATATGGCTGGCGGATGTGCGTATTGCATAGACGCCAATTTGCGCTCAAAGGCACCTTCATCAGCTGGCATGAGGTCGGAGTAATCCTCGACAGTATCCTCGCGGAATAGTTGACTGGGCCGCGCTGGCGCTTTAGGCTTTGGCTTGGGGGACTGCGTTGCCCTTGGTGTACCTCGCAGAAACGCCGTTCTTGGCTGAGCATCATACCTATCCTCGTGCTCTGATATTGAAGCGTTGGAATTTGATCTTGACGACGTATTCGAAGACGAAGCAGACGTCCTAGGCCTACCATTGACCCCTCTCGACCTCTCGATCGCTCTATGACCCGAGGCCTTTGGGAAGCTCTGGAATTGTGCCATATTCATCGGGCTCTTCACAGTAGCCTCCCCATCCCCAAACTCAGGCATCTCCGTGACCGACTCAAAGCTGGCGAAAGCCTTGAGCCTGTCGCTCGAAAACAGACCACCAAAGTTGTCCTGAGGCTTGAGGTGTGGCATCTGCAGGGCGCGGGGCGATATGCTTTCAGCAAAGTCATTATCCCAGTTATCGTCATGCTCTAGTTCCGGCGAGCGGAACGACTCTGCGGTAGGTCTGTGCTTTGGGATGTTGAGATTAACATTGGCCGGGATCTTGCGAGATGAGGCACCCGTACCGTTGGCGGCAGCAGGCGAAGCTTTCTGCAAGCCCGACACGAGACGAGAGCTTCGGCGAAGGGAACTGGGCGACTTTAAGGCCTCGTTCCATTCCTGCACGGACTTGACTGCTTCCTGATATTCGGTAGGTTTTGTGGGTACTGCAGGGACAGTCCGCTTGGCGCTGAGGATCCATGGATGCTTGAGGAGGCGTTTTGCGGAGATGCGGAGCGTGGGATTCTTCTGGAAACACTCCATGAGAAACTCACGCAGCAGCTGCAAGGGTCAGTATCTGGGACATTTGGCAATAGTGTCTGAGGGTTCACTCACCGGAGAGGCACTTCCAGGTATTGGCGGGTGCTCATCGTTGACAATTCTGAAAAGAGCTTGCATGGGCTGCAACTTGTGGTATGGCGGTTTTCCCTCAATCAGCTCGATGACTGTGCATCCCAAACTCCAGATATCTGACGATGTAGTAGCTCCCGAGAGTTCGATAACCTCCGGAGCCATCCAGTAGGGTGTGCCCACGACGCTCGACTGATCCAGACCCGACTGTTTGGTCGCTACACCGAAGTCGGCCAGCTTGACCAGGCCCTCCTTGGTTGTAAGGATGTTTGCACCTTTGATATCCCTGTGTATGACACCCTGTTCGTGGAGGTAGAGTAGGCCGTGGAGGACCTGCGACATGTACAGCGCAACGAGGTTTTCGGGGAACTTTCCAAAGTTCTTGCAGATGCTGTGCAACGATCCGTTCTCGCAGTACCTGGCTGGATTAGCTTTTGCTCTTGGGTGCAACATGTACAGCCACTCACTCCAGGATAATGTATAGACTCTCGGAGCTCCTCACGAAGCCGTGGTACTTGACAATGTTGGGATGGTTTAGGTTCTTGAGCAGGTCAATCTCCATCTCCATGTTCTTGAGGTCGGCGGCGCCCAGGTTCTCGAGGCGGACCTGCTTGATAGCGACCGTCTCGCCCGTGCCCCAGTTGAGCGCCCTATATACGCTGCCAAATGCGCCTTTGCCCAGGCAATCGCCCAGCTGGAAGTCCTTGAGACCCGCCACATCTTGGGCTGCCTTTTGCGCTGTTCCCTCTCTGCTCGGCCGCTGTTCGCGCTCGCGGGCTTGGCCGTTGTGGTTGGACGAGGATGACGACTTCTTCGAGTGGCCGGGCGTGTGGGAGTTGGAGGTTGAGGCTTGCGACGAGCGCGAATTCGAAGCCGCATGCGATGGTCTGGACGGGTGTGAGACCATATCGGCTTTGCTCGTCTGGCCCCGAGCCAGCTAATATTTCCTCGTGTGCTATCCTCGAGTAGGCGCCTAGGCGTCTCCGCGTGTCTTGTCGCAGGGCGGTCGTGAGTGGTCGAAGTCGGACGGCGGCGGTGAAGGGCTTCCTGCGGTGTGCATATCCTCCAACAACAAGCACCCAGAAATCCAGAGGGACGGCAATGTCAACGGGCAGAATCGCAATTGTTGTTGTTGCCCATGCGCGACTCGTATTATGCGTTGGAGGGGCCTGTTACCAGCGCAAAGCAATTATCAGTTGGGGATCCTGGCCGCGAAACACGCTCTAATCAGCCCAGCGAATCCCAGAGTCGCTACCGCCTGCCAGAGGCTGCCGTTATGTCAAGACTCGTCGCCCAACGCTGCCGAGTGGGTTCGGGCATACGGGGAGTGGCTAGGCACCGTTGTCGTCGTCGAGATGAGGGAATGTCTTGTCGCCGTGTACTCGACCTGCACGCAGTAGCGGCCGTTGGGCGCTCGCTTCATGCGCCCTGCCTCAGAGCATCCACTCACCATCGTGCACGCAACTGGTCCAATCCTCGGTCCCAAGTCTTTCACAGTGCATGTAGGCAACGCGACGCGTCTTGTCACATTTTGCTTTTCTCATAAGGAAATCTCGTCACAAAGACGCAACAGGGTCAAAGACTTGCGCGTCTTCACGTGCGCCAGCCCCTTGCATAAGCCACATCCTACCGTGACCTCTCTTGTTAACATATAGCTCGTCAGCACCAGAGGCAGCTTGCGTCACACTTGGCTATCGCTACCACTATCGCACCACTATCGCAATCAAGAACCATGCCTTATCGCGGGGAATGTGGGGAAACGGCTTCCGTCAGCTTGTGGAAACTCTACCGAAGAGGAAATGCCGAAGCGCGAGTCAAGATTAGACATATAGTATGGTGGTATCATTATTTTTGTCATCAAGCTAATTCCAATCATCTCTTCTATATCTCATACACATCAATCTCCTAAGAGCTCACAACATTGAGCACACCACCATCTACCGCAAGAATCTGGCCGTTGACGTACGAGTTCTTGGTGAGGAAGATGACGGCCTGTGCCATCTCCGCGTCGCTTCCCGCCCGTCCATGTGGGACGTGACCCTTCTCTTGGATCTTCTCGTCGGGCAGGTCGCTCTTCTGGTTCTCGTCGCTCTCCTTCGCCGTCATCTCTGATGGGAAGTAACCAGGGGCAATGCTGTTCACGCGAATACGAAGCTGTTGGAACTCGGCCGACATCAGCTTGCTCAGATGCACGGTGCCGCCCTGCAAGAAACACGACGTCAATGAATATCCTTCAATTGAGCAATACATGGCAAACTAACCTTGGCAGCGTTGTAACTGAAGTGGCCTTGTGCATCCTTCATGATTCCCGACATGGAAGAGATGACAATGACAGACGCAGAGAGGTGACCGTGGCTCTCGGTGCCTGCTTGAAGAAGTGGTAGAAGAACGACCGTGGTGAAGTAAACGGCGGTAACATCGGTGTTGTAAGTCTCAGCCCAGCCTTCGAATGTCTCGTTGTCGAAGAGCTTCTTCTTCATATCGGTGGCATTGTCGGCGTCTGGGATACCCTTTTCTCCTGAGATACCGGCTGCCGCAACAAGAAGGTTAATGTACTTCTCCTTCGACGCTAGCTCCTGGTACATGCGCTCCAAGTCGTCTTTCTTGGTAACGTCGCAAGGTGAGAGTGGTATGATTTGACCGCCTTGGTCTGGACTGTGGGATTTTGCTGCAGTCTCGAGGGCTACAAACGATCAGCATAACCATCCGTCTGACTAGAGTTATTCAGAATCCTGCTTACCCTCTTGGCGTCGACCAGTAATGTATACCTTCTAGATGTTAGAGGCCTTCATTCGCGAGAAGTTGGAACTTACTTTTGCGCCGTTTGCAGCAAGTGCCTGGGCAGCCATGAGGCCGATACCAGAGCCGCCTCCAGTCACTACGCACACATAGTCTTTGACTGAGAAAAGCTTCTCGACGTGAAGATCGCCAGTGTTTGCTTTGGGAGGCATTGTACTTGCAGGTCGCCTGTTTTGTGTGTGGTTTGAAAGTGAAAAGTGCGGTTTACTACAAAGATTTGAGAAACTCCGGTTGATTGAAAGTAAAGAAGAAGAGTAAGAAGTTTGTGCAAAAAGCGTAGCAGTTCTGTTGGTGTGATTAGCCTATGACGTACAGCTGTAAACAGCCCACCTATCCCGATTAGGCTTAAACTGTACGCGCTCAAGCCCGCGGACCACACCTGGGCAAGATCTGGTGCGCCGTGCGGCCTCGCGCAAACTGTCTGTCGTTCAGCCTCGAGCTCCAATGTCCGCGCAGTCACTTTTACGACTGTGCCACTACTGGTCTGGCTGATCCCTTCAGCACACTGCATTCTTTTCAGTCATTCTTAGGAATTCTTTTTTTTTCCAATGCCCTGTCACGCGTCGTTGTTTAGCACTGCCACCCTCTGGCGCCTAGTACACGTACAAGAATCTCCAAGAGCTGGAGACTTTTGCTTTGTTTATATTTCGAATACATCGTCACACGTCCATCTATCACTCTAAGACTTTCTGCATACACGACTTGCAAGGCAAGCTCTACCTAGAATGGCAGCCTCCGTGGCGGAACCATTAGTCGATCTCATGGTTGCACAAGGAAAGGCCAGCCAGCTCTGGCCCGAACCTCTGGATACCCCAGGATTTATCCCGCGTCATCTGAAACGCTCTGCGACAGGCCAATTTCCCATATTGGAAGTTATCCAGCGTCTACTATATCGACTCAAGCCAAGCGGCGTCGGCGACCTTGAAAGGATACTTGCCCTCATTGGTCTCTATCAAGCTGTTAGCCCGATATACAAGCATATGAAGGATTTGTTCATATGGGCTTTCACTGTTCAAGTCACAATCCCTGAGACCGATGCAGTAGCTAGAGAGGTTCTGGCATGGATGGGCGCGGAGGTGATACTGAACAGCCACACAAGGAGTGCTATGCTAGTCACAGGAGGCATGCAGGACCCGAACGACGAGTTTCATCGTCGCATGATGGCTGCCCGCAACCCTGGAGCTGCAGCGGACAAGTCTGACGAAGAGGTCCTATGCCTTCCACCGATCGGTACGCGACTATTCTGGGTTGGCTTTCGACCCTTCCTATTCTCTCGTCGGGGTGGATATGGCTACCGAAATACCAGTGGCATAACGGGTAACATGGTTGATGAAAGCGGTCAACTTCAAAACTCTCTTACCATCATGACCTTAGGATGGAGTCTCAAGCCACTTCGGCAGTTTACCAGTCTTTGCCACGACTTCAGGATCAAAAACCTCACGGGTACCACAACGGTGTATTTTGCAGGTGATCGCACGGACCCTTATGGTAACGGTTGGCAGTCAGTTTCCAAGGCCATTCGAAGGCTTGACACCATAGACATGGATGAAGACATCAAGTCAGACCTGGTAAGAGATGCAGAATATTACTACAGCGAGGAGTCACGTTCCTTCTTCGCCGACTGTGGCATCCCATACCGGCGCGGGTATCTCTTCCATGGCCCTCCGGGCACTGGCAAGAGCTCATTCAGTGCTGCTTTAGCGGGCCATCTTAGCTGTGACATCTACCACATTAATCTATCAACCGGTAACATCAGCGATGGAACACTTCACCGCTTGTTCTTGGGTCTTCCACGCAAATGTGTAGTAGTGTTGGAAGATATCGACTCTGCTGGTATCGGTCGCGAACAAGGACCGGACGATGGAACGGAAGCACTTAAACAAGCGGAGTCGGCTTTTGCTGATACTCATAGTCTTACAGGTGCTGTGGGACCACCACCACAACTTAAGCATGGCCGCGCTCTCCGGCGCGGCAACACGGTTACACTAAGTGGCTTGCTAAATGCCATTGATGGAAATGCTTCCCAAGAAGGTAGACTGTTGATCATGACCTCTAACGCACCCGACACCTTGGATGCGGCTCTGACACGTCCCGGTCGCATCGATAAGAAAGTCTACTTTGGGAACATGGACGCCAGTGCTGGCAAGAGCATTTTCAAGCGCCTGATTGGTCGATCTGCTCTAGCTCATGATTCGGCCTTTACCGTGGAGCAGATCGAGCAGTGGGCGACAGACTTTGCCGCTAGAATGCCGAATAACACTTTCTCCCCAGCGCAGGTACAAAACTATCTTCAAGGTTGTCGAGGCGACCCTATCAAAGCTTTAAACGATATTGACGCCTGGATCGCTGAGAACAAACTCGAAACTGAAACATCGGAAGATAGCCATAACACTACTCAGAACGGCATGGCCTCCACCGTTTTGGCCAAGGAGGTCCCGGATGGTAGTGAGTCGAACAAGCCTATCTTCTCTGGTACTATAGATTGAGGGGCGCGTATAGACGGAGTTGGCACTCTCAAAGAATTAACATTGCATTAACGATTGCGTTTTACACTACTGCTCCATATACCCACTTGGAACAGTATGAAGCGCGGTACAAGCGATGAGTTGTGTAGAGTCCAGGCTCCAACGCTCACAGATAATCATATGGAACGCTATGCGAGCCAAGTCTGTAAGACAATTCGCGTAGGCTTTTATTCAATCTTTGCATATAGATCGGAAGATAATGATCTTCTGCCGTTTCGATGCGTGCTTTCTAGGTGAGTAGATAGGTCATGTAGCTGCAGATGAACGTTGCGCCTTCACTTTCTCCACCGTTACATAGGGCAAGACTCAAGCATGCTTTAGTGAATGCATCGAAGTATATCTAGGCAAAGACGTGTGAAGCACCGTTTACCTCTACTCGCGGCATTGGCTTTCCTTCCACATTTTGTGGTCACTGCATTCTGGCCCTCAATCGAACTTCTCTCTGCATGTCCCTTTCCAACCGTAGCAGTGTCTCAATCTACCAGCTACCACATTGTCCACCATGCCCCTCGAAACCCACTACACAGTACTCGGAATCAGCCGTTCAGCTTCCACTGAAGAAGCCGAAGCCGCATACCATGCAATCTTGCTTGCAAACCATCCAGACAAGACTCAGCATCTAGCTCTGCCTGCGCGTGGCTTTGCCGAATGGCATATTTGCGCGGCCCAGGCTGCGTATGAAGTACTGCTTGATCCGGAAAGGGCAGCGAAGTATGATGCCAAGGTAGGGATTCAGGATTCTTTTGATAGTGGTGATACTTGGGGAAGGCCGTGGGATGGTACTTCTTTTGGTACGTCGGAGCCGGAGCGTGGGTTTCCTTCCCATCACTCTCGTTCCAGTTCCTCAAACGATGCTGAAGAATACGATTTTGTGGATGTAGAAGAAGATGAGACTAGCCCTGATAGTGCTGGAGGATATACCTCCTCTCCTCCGTCCTGCACCGATCAAGCATCTTCTTATCACCCACAAGCAGAATACTGCCATGGCCTAACTCGCACAACAACCGATATGAATATCGAACTCAAAGGCTGGAGTCTCTACCTCCTCCTCTTCATGAAATTCCGCTTCCTCAACACCGTCACTGCACTACTCACCGGTAGTGACACGCGAACTATTGCTCTCGAGCTGCATCTCGAACGCAACAAGAGCTATCGCCCGATCAGCCCAGAATCTCCCGTTCGGAAGAACCCTGAACTCATTATTGATATTGAGTACATTCCAAACGGAGCGAGAGGTGTTAGTAATGACCAAACTGTCTTCAAGGAAGTGACAAAGGATTCGTTGACCCTGTCTATCTGTATAACCTCCACTCCGTTCGACGTAAATCAGTTTACCATCCCGCCATGGATGTTTGGCTTCGACTTCGATATGAACGGTCATCCCGCGGCTTGGGGTCGTAAACGCGGTACGTGTATCATTATCACTCAGGATAAGCAGAGTATAGCGGATACGCCGGAGGATGTGCTGAAGAGGGACGTAGGTTTGACGGTGAATGTGTTTTGTGGGTTGGGTGATGAGAAGTTTACGGGTGTGGAGTATATGTTCAACCTCCTTTAATCTGGTAAAAGATGGGATGAAAGGTGAAGTGCTCTGTGCGGTGGCCAAGTTGAAGAGGCAAATGTGACTCCAGCATTGAAGGGAGTCAATACCAAACACTCATAGTTGAAGGATATGACTACCACGAGAGCGATTCATGCTGTGAAGAGAGCCTGGCTATAAGAACAAATTTTCTCATGGTCGAAATGTGGTCCAAGCTATATCCTCTCCGCAAAGCGAGTGTATTAGACAAGACATAAGCTGGAAGATGATAATCTTCGTCGCGACTCGCCTCATTGTTACTCGTTCTGGCATATACCCCTCCCCTTAAGCCTGTACGATATTGTGATACATGCCACAACATGCCCCCGAACAAGCATACTTTCCTGTCTCAGTCGAATACCAGAGATGTCTTGGCCAATCGAGTGTTGCGCTTTGGGGCATAAACAGTATCCCGCTTCTCGAAAGCCTCATCCCCTTCGTCGCCCTGCTTGCGTCGTGAAAGAGGCGAGTTGCCTTCGTGTGTCACTCAGCGCTTAGAGTCGGCAAAAGAGCCAAGCTGGTATCAACAGTCACAGGCCTAATCAGTTACCTGTGAAAAGAAAATATGGAAATCTAGTAGGCCGTTGGTGTCTTCGTTCCTGCGTCTGCAGCCACGCTTGACTGAAACAGGAGAGCACAAAATATGGTTGCGATTGGCGTTGTAAAGAGAAACTGCTCATGAGTGGATTAACTGATAGCGGTTGCGGTTTTCAGAGATATGTATGGAGAACCCAGCAACACCGCTCAATGTCTATACGAGCAGTTTCCGACAGGAACCGAAGTGTAGGCGCTGGAATTGAAAAGACAGGAGGATGAGAACCGTGTTTGTATTCTGGCGCGCAGACGCCGCGACCCGCATGCAGGGGCCCTTGCTCTATGTGCTTGGCAAACCCTCTTCCAGCATGAGCGTCGTGTGTCTTGCTGCGTCACCACAATTGCCTCAACATTCGCCCTCCAAAATTGGAACCTCAGACTCTCAAGTTCAATCTGTCCAACAGAAAACTATCAGCGGCAAATGTTATTACTATGATATGGTTATCATCGCTGACACAAAGTCGCTCTCTTTGGCGTAGGGTGGGGACGGAAATGACAACCAGCAAAGTACCACCTGTACACTACCGAGGATCTGAACATGATCCTCCCGTGATATAAAATGCAAAAACTGACTCTAACCTACTATGTAAGGTAGACCGGAAAACGGTCCCCGTCTCTGCGCAAGTACCCCGCGACAGCGTCCATTCTAGCGTTCGCTACCCCGCCACGCTATCGGAGGGCATCTGGAGGAGAGCATAGTTGCTGGACGATTTACTGGTGAACGAAAGGTACGGATTGTCGACAATGGCCTGATGGCGATTCTCCGAGTGACGTATCAGTGCTGTCGGCAGCATGGGTACTTGGTGATCCCCACCGAACAGTGGATACTTGACAATATATTTACTTGGTGCTGCAGCATCTCCTACTCAAACCCCGTAGTCTTTTCACATGCTCGTCGCTCATCATTATGTCTACACAAGACCATAGCTCACATCTTCTCTCATACATAACACTACCTAATGTCATTCTAGCACTCGTAGCATATACTGCTGTCACAATACTCTACCAGATAACCTATTACCGGTTTTTCCACCCGTTACGGCACTTTCCTGGTCCCTTTTGGGCCAGCGTAACGCGTCTATGGATAGCTTACCACAATATCAAAGCTGATGAATGCGAGCTCGAACTCGCCTTGCACCGCAAATATGGCCCGGTTCTGCGAATCACGCCTACCCTACTCTTGGTTTCCGACGCCACCAAGTTACCTGAAGTGTACAATCGGCAATCGAACAAGTCAAACCACTACATTACCGGCAGTTTTGGGAAGACTGAAAGTCTGTTTAACATGCGCGAACATAAGCATCATGCGCATTTTCGCAAGATCGCTGCTGGCCCTTACAGCTTTAGCAATGTGAAGAAAATGGAGGGGCTAGTAGATGTTCGCATTGAGCAGTGGATCGATAAATTGGAGGAACTCTTCGGTAATGGCAAGAAGTTTGACTTTGCGCCTTGGGTATGCTTCACTCTAATTACGTAACGATAACGAGTGGCACTAATGCTTTGATGTGTAGGCAGTGTACATGGCATACGACATCATATCAGAAATCGGCTTTGGCGCCCCTATTGGTTTCATAGAGACCGGCTCAGATATCGACGGCCTGATCAAGGGCTTCCACGATGGCCTGCTTCCCTTCGGTCTCATGGCTCGGCTTTGGCCCTTTACACAGTGGGCAAAAGCGACATGGCTCGGCGAGAGATATCTTGTCGCTAAGCCTGAGGATGATTCTGGCATCGGCACACTCATGCGCTTTCGTGATAAGCTCATCGCACAGCGACTTAAAGATATCGAGGCCGGTAAGATTGAGAGAGTCGATCTGCTACAGACTTTCCTGGACGCGAAGACGGAAGACGGTGCGCCGCTACAGCTGGATTATATCAAGGCTGAAATCCTTCTAGTGTTGCTTGCCGGTGCTGATACCACAGGCACTGCGTTTCAAGCGATGATTGCATACATCACTTCTGATGCTCAAGTATACACCAAGTTGATGGAGGAGATTGATCGCGTCACTCGTGAGGGAAAATTGAGTCCCATGCCACGGTACGACGAAGTAGTTGAGCATTGCCCATACTATGTCGCGTGCGTCAAGGAAAGCATGCGGTAAGCCACTCTCATCTCCTCCGCGATTATTCCGACTTTCTCACGCCTACAGTCTCTGTCCCTCCGCTCCCAACATCTTCCCTCGTCTCGTTGGGCCATCGGGTATGCACCTACATAATCGTTACGCTCCACCGGGGACCGAAATAACTTGTAACCCCTGGCTCGTGCACCGCGACGAGAAGATCTACGGCACAGATGCCTGCGACTTCCGTCCGGACCGCTGGCTCGAGAGCGATGAAAAAGCAAAAGAATACAACAAGTATAACATGACCTTTGGTTATGGTGCAAGAGTTTGTCTGGGTAAAGATATTGCTCTTATGGAGTTGTACAAGGCCCCGCTCCAATTTCTGAGGACGTTCAAGATTAACATGGATAAAGATCGAAAGGGCAAGTTTGTTGTCAAGGGTGGTGTCGGTTTTTGGGAGGATATGTGGATTGGAATACAGCGACGGACAACATGAAATTAAGGTGGCGCTTCAACGTATGCTGGCCTGCGCAAAGCATTGTAAATGAGATGATGAACGATTGAGCCGTATGAGTTCGCTCGATGATGAGATGGCGTTCTAGATCTCACGTGTTGGCGCGATGATTCCCCGCTAGCGCGGTCTTGGACGAAACAATCCGAAACGCCCGCAATTACACTACGAATCTTACGGTCCGCGCCTCAGCTATCCCACCACTCGCAGCACTCAGCTGGTCTTGGTATAGGCCCATTGTCCCCACATTGGGGCGCACTGAAGATGTCTCCGAGATGATCCTCCATTGCTGCCGAATTCTTGGTCCAGGCCTCAGGCCCCGGCGGAGATGGCTTGTTTCGTAGCGCGCTTGGTATATAGGAGGGCGACTCCAACATGACGACGAGCCCTACCGCTTCCACGATTTTTGAATCGATTTCGTTCCTTTTTCCGTCGTTTATTGACCCTGACCTTGTTCGCTGGTCGTTCATTCATTTCGTCACTCGCTTGTCCGTTTACCCCTTCGCATCATGATGCGTTCAACTTTCTTTTTCTCCCTGCTTGCGGCCACAGCCTTTGCCCAGCTTTCCGAGAACAACTTGAAGACCTATGTCGGAAGTTTGAAGCTTTCTGCACCCTTCAATCCGATCAAAGAAGCGTACTGGACTGGACTCCCGCATCATCGCCGCACGCCCTTCGCCGTCTCGCCAGATGGCAAATCAGCATACCTTGCGTACCTAGACGCTTCCGAGACGGACGTGCATATCCAAAAAGTCGACCCTTCTACCTTTGCAGCTGTAGGTGATGCAGTGACTGTCACTGGTGGAAAGGAAGCCGGTGGCTTGGTTGCACACAATGACGGTTTCGCTCTACTCACCAACGAGGCCATGCCGTCAGGCACAACCAACGCGCCCCCTGACAGCACCCCAGTAGCTGTCTTGTACCGCTACACCGCGGGCAAGCAGACGTTCAAGACGTTTTTGGGCGGCCCTGATAACGTCGGTGGTATGGGCGCACTGGCGTCCCCGGACATGAACGGAGATCTTGCCTTTTCTGAAGCTACTGGCATGTACGGTGCTTACTTCGTCGTCACTGCCTACTCTGGCTCTGCTCAAGGCCATTTTGGTGACGCTATCCAATACGTTAGCGAGAACGGCACGCTCGAGCAAATCCAGGGTGCTAGCTCAAGCTGGGGCTGCTCACACAACACCGGTATCGCATTCGAGGCCGCTGATTCCGTTCCTTTTCCCAGCATCTGCTCCGAAGACCAAGGCGCCATCTGGCTTAACACCGGTGGCACCGGAATGGACAAGAGCGGTGTCAAGATCTCCAACGAGAACGTCCAGAATGGTGCCGGAAACGAGGCCATGGGCGGCATGTCCGGCTCGTACAGTGGCCTCGCACGCTTCATTGACAGCGACTCTTACATCTTCTCATGGGTATCGCGCGGTGCAAAGGATCTGACCGAGAACGAGTGGATGGGCGCAGGCTACACCAAGTCCTTCAACCGCACCGTCAACCGCAATGTTGCCATCGCTACCTTCTCAGACAAGAAGACCATTGTTGGCGAGCAAGCTACCTCCGAGCTTGGCCCTGACGGTGACTCTCAGGTCAATTGGATCACCACTGGCTCTGCGGATTGCCAAAATGCCCACGTGGCCGCCTTTGATGGTTCTAACGCTGTCGTTACTTGGGAGGAAATTGCTGAGCCAACTTGTGAGTTCATTGCCATGGGCTGCAAGGGTGCCTTCACTGGTTCCTACTTCCAGCTTGTCAAGGACGGCAAGAAGGTTGGCGAGCCCGTCAAGTCTATGGACGTCTATGTTGCTGGTGATATGGTAACCATGGCTGATGGCCGGGTATGTTGGCCCTATGTCGACATGAAGTGGACACTCGACGCGGAAGTACGTAGCCCAGCAAACGTACAGGCTATCAGCTTCGCCTGCATGGGTCTGAGCGGTAACAGTGGATCTACTGCACCTGCTTCATCAGCTCCCGTTACTTCCAAGGCCCCCGTCGCTACCTCTGCCGCTGTCGTAGAGTCAGCTCCCGTCAATGAAGTCGCCGAATCTACTGAACAAACCCCAACTATCGAAACACCTGCTGAGTACGCTCCAACACTCGCCCCGAACCCGATCGAGTCACTGCTCCCCATAGCTCCGATCGTCTCCGTCATTACATCCGCCCTTGAAGCCATACCCTCTGGACTGCTTCCCGACAATGATCTTCCAGCCCCTTTCTTGTCAATCTTCATCCCGGCGTCGGAGTCTTTCAACCCCTCTCTTGCACCTGCTTTCACCGAGAGTGCTAAGACACCCCTTCTGTCCATTGAGCCAGTGTACTCCAGCACGCCTAGCTCGGCGGTTGCTGAGCCCACCAGCTCCCCTGAATACCCAGCAGCTACTCCCATCGTCGAACCATCTCAATCCGCAGCCTCAACAACGCGCACTGAAGACAAGCCCCAGAGCACTCGCGTACCCCTTGACGCCACGCTTTCAGAGGATCTTCCTCCTTACCTTGTTGGTACAGGCTCAGCCACCTACCCCAGTGGAAGCGGTATGCGCCCCTCTGGTATCCCATACCCCACTGGCACTGGTCGCCCAGACTGGTTCCACGGTAGTCGTCCAAACGGCAGCTTCGGCTGGGGTCGTCCAAGGCCTTCCGGCATGTGGCCTGCTCACGGTTATCCCCGACCTACAGGTGGTTTCCATTACCCTTCCCGACCCTCTGCAGCTTTTGGCCATGAAGGTGCGGTGGGCGCCAAGGCCAGCAAAACGCCTTGCACTTTGGAAACTAGGGTGAGACCTACGCCTACCGCTCTAGTGCGTTAGAGAACAGACGTGAATTATGAAATGTCGCAATATCGTTCACATTCTTCTTGCTCAATTCATGTATATATCTTATCTTCCACAGACCTCCAGGTGGGGTAACTCCAGTAGCTGCAATTGATAGTCGATGCATCGCCAGCAATGATTCCCAGTGCTTACTTTCCTGTCTTACGTGCGCTCGTTGGTTTTGAATCTTGTGTTAATGTGGCTAGATGTAGGCTAAACGATTCTTTTAGAAGGCTAGTCCATTGAGAACGTTGTCCCAAGTCATGTCTATCAGTTGCTCTGAATCGATACGATTGCCTGTATCGCGTTCTCAGTTCCATCGCTCAAATCGCTCCATGTTAAGCGTAACGAGTGCGCATCTCGTCTCTACGAGGTTGTGCCATGACAAATGTGCTTACTCTCACCTACACACACACGCACACTCACAAGCTTGCTTTCTTACTGTCTCTAGTTAACAGCTTTTACGTACCTGGTGACACGCCACCAGTACTTAATCAACTCAGCCTAATTACTCGCAACGATGGCGGAGAGCACCAAGCTTATCACGATCGATGCAAACGGCGACACCATACTCACGCTAAAGGACATCCACTGGAAGCTGCCGGCATGGGAAACATCAGTGGATGAATTGAAGGAGAAGAACGACTTCTTGATGGACGGGAATAAGCGATGAACATAGCAAGTATACTATGCTCGCCGTTCCATTGCGGCATGGTGCGCACGTATAGTGGGTCGACTCGCCAACGTCGTAGTGGCTATGGGAAGCCACAGCAGATCTTGTATCGCATGATGTCTGCATGGCGTCGCGATTGTAGCCATCTTCCATATCTGACGGAGCTGGGATGAATCTAGGATGTGACACCTAAGGGGATGAGAGAGATGCAACTGCTCACGGAGAGATGGCCTCCGCCAATGACGGCTCCTCGACCCTGTCCAACGTTAGCCGCCAACTTCGCACCCCTTCACGCACCGTTTCCAGAAACACCACCTGTACATCATGCTTTCCATCGCGGCAATACGCTCACATTATTGAGACACCTCATCTCTGAATACCATTCGTCTCATCGCATTAGGACAATCGTATACACTATGGAGGCCATGAGTGTTGGCGATGCAGCTCAGCGGCGTCGTGTGACGCGAGCCTCCAATAATGCGTGCTTGCCATTGTTTTGGCGCTGACAACGAATAGATTGCTGCACGACTCCGCACTGATAACTGACCAGGCAGATGTCATTGGATACCCCGCTCAAGTGAAAATAATGGATGTGCAACATTGCGTGGAGGTGAGCTATACACCTCAACGCACTCGTGCGTTGGAGGAGTAACGTTCTGATTCCCCGCTCCAAAGCTGCCTACGTACTATTAATATTATCAAATCTGTGACTACAATTTCCCTCCCTGTATATCTTCGGTCATGGCACCCATCGAATACATCATCGATCCCGACCGAGACACAGTCATAACTTTGAGTAATCCATGTTCGACTTTCGCGCCTTGGGAGCTGGAACAGGAGGGTGAATCTAGCGTTCCACCTGATACAGCACAGGATATATCAGCCCAGCAGGATTTCTTTGAGATGCCAGTATCCACAATAAGTAGGCCAAGATCCAAGAAGGAAAAGATGGCGGCCAGAAGGGCAGCGCAGAAATGCATTAACGATTCTGATGAAGCTCCAGATACCGCTAGCCCTCTAGAGCCTGATCTTACCGAGCAAGCCTATGAAGCTGGTGTACACCTCTTCGATGAGTCGACCATGGTTGAAGTGTCCTCTTCTGAAAGCCACACTGGAGTCGTGTCTGAAGAGCGTGCGCCATCACCAAGCGAGCCCCAAGAGCCTGTCGGGCCTGAGGAAGTGTCCATTCGTTACTATGTGTCTTCACGCCACTTGATGCTTGCGTCGCCGATGCTCAAGCGAGCATTGTTAAAGGATGGGTTTGCCGAATCGCGTCGAGACGGTACCGATGGCCTTTACCATGTAGAGGCTTCCGATTGGGACCCAGAAGCATTTCTCATCGTTTTGCGAATCGTTCATGGTCGCAACAAGCAGGTTCCGCGAGAAGTGACTCTGGAAATGCTTGCCAAGATCGCTATTCTGAAAGACTACTACAATTTCGGACAAGCTCTCGATCCGTTCACCGACGTATGGATTGAAAGGCTCGCTAAAACACCTATACCAGCGGTCTGCTGCAGGAACGTAGTGTTATGGGTCTGGGTGGCATGGGTGTTCGATATCGAAAAGCAGTTCCTGGAGGCCACAACCACAGCCATTCAACAGAGCACTGACTCCTTTCCGACATTGGGTCTACCTATCCCTGAGATTGTATCAGGTTCGTATGTTCTTCGTTCTTAAAGATACACAATACTTACACTCCGTAGGTGAACTCGACTCTAAGCGGTACCAGGCAATTGAGTCTGTCATGGAAGGCCTTCATCAACGTCTTGAGATATATCGTCGGACCGATTATGTTTGCCCACGCGAATCTCAGATGTCCCTTCAATGCGGCTCTTTCCTTCTCGGGGGTCTGATGAGAGAGTTGAGTCGTCTGGGTTTCTATTAGCCACGGCCTGATATTCCATTTCCTGGACTGAGCTTCATCACAATTTGCGAACAAGTGCGAGCCATGAGATCTCTGCGTTGGTACTCAGGATATAAAAGCCGTGACAGTCACCCATGTATCTTGAGTGCTTCAATGGCCACCCTGATAAAAGATGTATCGGATGCAGTTGGAGGGCTAAACCTGGGCGATCTCAAACGGAAACGGGGTGAGGGAGCGATACAACATGTGCATAGCTTTAATGGAAGATTCCGCATGCCTAAGTGCATGACACCGTGTCGCTGGACCATCTTCACCCCACAATTCTCAGCCGGAAGCGACGAAGGGAGCTAACCCGGATACAGTCTAGTGCTGAAACAGGGGTCCAATGTCCGATATCAGAAGTCAGGAATGACACCTTAACTATCACTCGAGTTGCAAACCTCCCTTTACTTCGACAATGCCACGATGAGCGAAAGCCAGAAGCTCCTGCATGAGCATCCTTCAGACAGCGACTCAGAAGCCGAACACGAGCGCAAAGCGAGTCCGCGACACCTGTCTCCATCTCCTGCATCATCGCGAACCACATCCGCGTCCCCAGCACCACCAGGGTCACGACCAAATGGCAACATCAAGCGACAATCCTCCTTTGCACAACCTCGGCCCGATGGCGCACCGAGAACGCCAAATCGGGTGCGCTTCGAGGAACCCAGGAGGAGCATGAACGGAGATACCAATGGCGGCGACTGGCTGGAGATGGACGGAGACGACTATATGGATGGCGATGAAGGGCGGGAGAGAGTCCAGCGGCTTCCTCTGCTCACCGGAATCGAGGCGCCGAGTGTTACCGTCGCAGAACAATCGTTCAATCCGGAAGACCACCTAGAGAACGCACAACCACGGAGCGGCATGCGGAGCGCTTTCATGAATATGGCAAACAGCATAATGTATGCACCTGAATACAGAGACATGAGGAAGGAAGCTAACACAGAGCAGAGGAGCTGGTATCATCGGCCAGCCGTACGCTGTTCGCAATGCAGGCCTCCTGACAGGCACCGCCCTCCTCATCGGCCTTACCGTCGTAGTAGACTGGACCATACGGCTTATCGTCATAAATTCCAAACTAAGCGGTACCGATTCGTTTCAAGCCACGGTGCAACACTGTTTTGGGAAATCGGGGTTGATAGCGATATCCCTCGCGCAATGGGTCTTGTACGTTCACTCTATGTCGTATGGAATGAAGGATATTGACAGCATACAGTGCTTTTGGAGGCATGGTAGCGTTCTGCGTCGTAGTCGGGGACACAATACCAAGGGTCTTGGATTCACTATTCCCTTCTTTGGCGGATATGTCGTTCCTCTGGCTACTGACCAACAGAAGGGCTATCATGATCTTGCTTATCCTGGGCATATCGTTTCCACTTTCGCTTTACCGGGACATATCGAAGGCATGTACTGTGACCTAGTACAACGGCCGGGCTAACAATCTGTAGCTTGCCAAAGCTAGTGGCTTAGCACTAGTCAGCATGTCCATCATTATCGTGACTGTAGTCACGCAAGCTTTCCGCGTACCCGCCGAGTCCAAAGGCCAGCTTCGTGGCTCCCTCATTATCCGGTCCGGTATCTTCGAAGCAATTGGTGTGATAGCTTTCGCCTTCGTCTGCCACCACAACAGCCTCCTTATATACGGTTCCCTACGAAAGCCCACTATCGATCGATTTACACGCGTTACACACTACAGCACTAGCATATCCCTAGTCGCATGTCTTGTCATGGCCCTATCAGGCTACCTGACATTTGGCGATAAGACTCTCGGAAATGTGCTCAACAACTTTCCCAATGATAATCTCATGGTCAACATCGCGCGACTCTGTTTCGGCCTCAACATGCTTACAACGCTTCCACTCGAAGCCTTCGTGTGCCGAGAAGTGATGAACAACTATTGGTTCCCCGACGAGCCGTACCATCCTAATCGGCATCTCATCTTCACCACCACGCTCGTCGTCTCTGCCCTAACCCTCTCCCTTCTTACCTGCGATCTGGGTATCGTGTTTGAGTTGTTTGGCGCAACTTCTGCATGTGCATTGGCGTTCATCCTGCCGCCTCTTTGCTACATTAAGCTGAGTCAGAGAAGCATGAAGACTTATCTGGCTGGAGCTGTTGCGGCGTTTGGATGTACGGTAATGGTGATCAGTATCATCAAGACCACGAGCAAAACGATGATGGGTAACAGCGAAGGTGCCAAGTGTAGTTGAGCATCGTTGTATAATACATGTAGCGAGCATTGGGTGGCGTTTTGGTATACACATTGCATGTGCATGGCCCCCGAGTGCCGTCAGAGGTGTTCGAGGCCGACCTTGTTAGTTACAATACATTATCATCGCTAGGCGTTCATCTTCCTTGTCGTAGCTGCCCTTTCGGAATGTGGTGCTCAGCCTTTATATTGTGGTTTGAGTGAACAGCTACTTCGGTAGAGTTGTTACTACAACGACATGGAATGCGCTGAAAACCATACGATAAACATGCCCGCATACTACGTGGGAGTGTTGTGACTAACAGTGCGTCTTTGCTTTTCTACTAGCCTCGCTTCTCCAACAAGTGAATGCGCAACATCATGTTTCATGCACGAGCACAGGAACTCCACGCAGCGACTTGATGATGTCCAAGAGCACACCCAGTGCCACCCTTCCCAAAATTAAGCTCGACGAAGGCTTCCTCTCGTCTCTTTCGGCTGCAACGGCACCAAGTTTCTTGAAGTTGGAGTCTGGTTTAGCTCACTAGCTCTGCTCAAGTCCGGTACATCCAGGGTCTCCGGCAATGCATCCGGCGCAGAACGCGTACTCTTAGACCCACATAAACTTCAACACCACGCTAAACTCCAATTCACAATATCGCGATCGATGTTTCACGATAGTTGTTCTTCAAGCCGTCAGTTCATCTCGCAGACGAGCGATGACGATGCGGCTGCTATCTGTGATGTTGGAGGCGCTGATCACCCCCTGCTTCGGGGCATTGACGTCACTCGATGCGGGTTTCCGAACCTTGCTTTCGCGACCCTGAAAGACACCTGGGCGACACGACGAAGGAGCGCTATGACAGGGAGACTTCACATATAAGGCCCGGCATCTGTATTCCGAATCTTCTGCTCTAAACTCCAGACTCCATTATTTTCATCTTCTACAAACACTAGTCACCTAGACTCTGTACGGACTCTATCTTGCACCTTCTCACAACAACAACAACAACAACAACAACTACTACTCCAAACTACCAACATGCCTCTCTTCGGATCCAAGCGCGAGCCCAGCCCCCCACCTGCTCCTCCTCAAAAACACTCCATGTTCTCCAGGCGCCGCTCATCCTCCCCTTCGTACCGGGATACACGCCACAGCAGCTCCACCAGCCGCACTACCACCACACATACCTCGTCCCCTAAGCGGACATCCGGCATGTTCAGCCGTGGATCTGGAGATCCTAGCATTGCAACTGCGAAGCAAAGCTTGATGAACGCTGAGGCAGCGGAGAGGGATGCTGATCGTGCGCTTTTCGTTGCAAAGAACGCTGTAAGGGAGGCGAGAGAGCATGTTCATCGCTTGGAGAGGGAGGCCGCTGAGGAGTAAGTCGATGCGTGATTTGTGATATTGGGATATAGTACTAATCATCATACAGGGCAAGGCTAGCGAAGATCAAGCAGGGAGAGGCCAAGGCTCTTGGCAAGAAGGGCAAGTTGCTTGGAAGACACGACCATATCTAAGTCGACTTCATCGCCATCTTTCACGTACAGCCGTTGCTTTGATGACGATGCTGATGTGTCTGTTTTTTTTTTTGGTCACGATGTTCAATGATGTGAAGCGCGGAGTTGTTGGATCTCTTAAGTTATCATGAGCGCTTGTATAATACCCCTAATATCTCCATGCATATCCAATATCTACCAAGTGTTCGCTTCTCGTCTTGCTTGCTTTTGATATGTAGTCGCTTCAGTCAGCTTGGACAGTGGCGTAGCTCTTTCCAGTTTCCTACGCTCTCTTGCACCTGAGGGAAATCGGCAAGTAGATGGTCTTGTCAGTACTAAACTGATCTACGAAGACTCCCAATACTGCCTAAATGGCTTTTGTACCGCTCATCTGATGTCAGGTAACGTACATGCCTGTATATCAGCACTACACACTCTTATATCCTCTCGTAGCGATTCTGCTACGTCCTAATAGAATATCAAGAAGCTTCACCCCCCGACTTGACGCGAGAGTACATATACTACCTTCCTCATCAGTGATCATCATGTGGAACCCTAGGTGGCAGACCGGACGAGCGACAACAGTACGAGACGTTGTGGCCCTGAGAATGAAAGACTTTCACGACAAACGCACAAAGACTCTCTTCGCCCACATCCCACCAATACTCCGAGCCCGCCAACAAGAACCCAACTCTATCATTCCATCTCCTCTTGATAAACTCAACTAGCTAAGATGGCTCGCGAGAAGCGCCTCGCCCACAAGTCACCCGCCTCCCCCGCTGAGGCCAACCGCGACATCATCCTCTTCCAGCTGGAGTACGTCCGCAAGAATTATTCGACTGAACACCGTCGATCTTTGGTGAGTCATTCGATGTCAGAAGGGACATGTGTACCAGATGGCTTCGTAAGTCTTCGTCCCCCCGGCATGCCCAGAATCAGTCACTAACATTACTCGCCCACAGGCTACACAGATCGTCGCCGAAGCGCAGAAGCCAAAGCGTCAGCGTGACTTGGAAAAGGCTCGCAGTATCATCTACAGACGTCAAAACGGCCAGTCAGTCACATGGGCTGAGCTTGACTGGGCGAAGACAGTCTGCGCCAGGGAAGCCAAGTTAGAGCAAGCAGAGCTGGCGGAGACCACAGCGACCGAGATGAAGAAACAGCAGTGGCAGAAGGACCAGAAGCGAAGGATTCAGGAGACCATCGCTGCGAATAGAGACACTGTCTTCACTCAACGTATGCTCAACAGGATATTTTTGGACGAGGGCGACAAGTCCGATTCGGAGTCTGACAGCGACCTTGATAGCGTCGCTACTGATATCTCTGCGCTCAACCCAAATAGTACTCCGCAAGATGAGGGTACGGAGCGTCAGAAGACTCCCACTCGTGAGCTTGGCGACGACGAGATTGAGGTCGCTGAGGCTTCTGGGGAAATGGTAATTGCCAAGGTCAATTAGCAAGAACTTTGACACTGACATCAAGCAGACTCAAAACTCTTTCTCATCTTTAATCTCATCTCCAATCTCCCGCGCCATCGCCACCCTGAGATATGAGGTAGATCCAGCGGACCGTCCGTCGTGGCTAACCGGCCTCCCAAAACCCTTCCCACATCCCGCTTTAACCGCCCTCCAAGACAACGAAGTCACCATCCGCTTCTGGGACAACGAGATCGCGCGCCTAGGTAATATCCGCGCCTCACTCCCCCCACCTTCCGATCAGCCCTCAAACGGAGAGTGGATGTACCGTCACTTTGGCTCTACAATAGAAGTCATGAAGAAGAGTAGTATGGGCAAAGGGAAGGAGGCTACATCTGCGAGAGTATTGTGGGCGTATGTTGTTGATGGTGAAGAAGTGGAAGTTAGGCTGGATGAGTGGTCGATTGGGCATGATGGGCAGCCGTTGGGTTGGGGAGACATGAAGTGGAGGATTGGGCCAGGGGAAGGCATTGAGAGATGAGGGGGTGCTTGTGGAGCAGGAGGAGGAGGAGGAGCAGGAGGAGGACCAGAAGATCGGTGTCGCTGCTGGCAAGAGACAGAGTGAAGTAGATTTGGATGAGAGGGATGAAGAAGAGCTGGAGGATGGTGGAGAGAATGGCTTCAAAGCAGAGGCGCCGAGTTATGCCAACAAGGGTATGGCAGCTGAAGAAGACGTGATGGATTTCGAACAGCTCGGTGAAGATATCTTTGATGAAGATGTTTGGGCCAGAATCATTGATGTTGACGACGAATAGTAGCGGTGTTGTCCTCTTATGCAGCTTTCGCAGGATTCGGAGATCAGTGGTCAAGCAATGACACGCTGGAACCAAAATCCTGCAGGCAACTGATTTGGTCGATAGTCATGCAGCATCTCGAATATCTTCACACCTGACTGCGTCTAACGCGATGATCTGCCACAGGATGTGATTGGTCGCACCCCTCAGATGGACTCTCTTCCTAAATCTATTATCACCGCTATAGATAATTTTTCAAGGATAGAATAAATTGTTCATTTGTTCGACGAAGTGACATTGATTGTATGGACTGTATCCTGCCACACCTAGACACGATCGCTAACTCGACTATCCAATTATACCCCAGAACGGGCCCGGTGTATACAGACAATACCTCCAGCTGTGGTAGAACAATATACATCTCTGCTCTATCCCAATATCTACATGTTGTCGTGCCCCTCGAAAACTCAGATCAATCTCTGGCGAACCTGTGTTAGACAATATATCCAGTGACAGCGATCAGGACGCCTCCCAGAACACGATGGATGCCTCAGCCAGGCTCATCATCTCGACCGCCTCCGGTATCTCCACGTATGGTTTTGGCAAGGGCGCCGTCCACCTCTTATTCCTAGAGACTCTAGTTGTCGTCCCTCTGCTGCTGCTGCTGCTGTCGTGCACTATGGCCGTCCGTAAAATCACCCCCGGAGCCGCCGCAGCTAAATCTTTCTTGGTCGTCGTCCTTCTGATGGCCTCTTTTTGTGTTCTTTGTCGCAATATTTTCCTCAAGGCCTGTCTTTCGGAGCACCGTGTTACTCGGCCATCCATATGCGTGCCGAAGCCTTCCAAATGCCGCATGAGGGCTCTCAAATGCCGATAAATGTCCCACTGCGCCTCTCGCACCCTAGAATTGAGATTGTAACTGCATAGAATGATACAATGTACACTGGCTGAAACGTTCGGCCCCTCCCTCCCCGCTTGTTGCCCCCATAGACCCATTGACGCTCGTATTTTTGTCTGTGACTGCCGTGACTGCTGTCGCCGCTGCTATTGTCGCCCGGCTCGTGCATCGTAGCCGTTTCGGTGAACGACTGGAGCCTGTGATATGGTATTGATTGTGGACGTGTGCGCAAGGGCGAAAAGGCGGTCGAAAGAGAAAACCGGCGAGGGAGCACTGGCGATCAACTAATGGAAGGACTCGTTACGCTCGACGACTGGAAAAGGAAAGTTCTAATCCTGAAAAGATCTTTTTGCGGGAGTGTAGGTGGCAGACGAAAATATCCAGGCGTTGGCCATTTGCGCAAAGAAAATGGGTGGTGATTGCGGCGAGGCTCGGGAGTGCGAAAATGGCGATCACAAAGAACATTCAACAGTCTGTCTCTCTAACCTGTCTGCAAACTCGGTACTCGATATCGACTGGGCCGTGTATAGCCTTTGCAGTATCCTCGAAATTGTCCTTGTATTCGCTGATCCTGTTCGTGCTTCCGTGCATCTCCACAGACCTCTTGACTCGTTGCTACTGAATCCGCTGGAGTGTACAGTCGGCCTTGCAAATTGACTTGCACTTCGTCTCCTGATCCCATAGTGTATGACCCTGGCGTATCCTGATGTGATTCTTCTGGTATACTTATAGCCGTACGGCGCCTCCATGCATGTCTGTACAAAGTACTGCATGGTCAACGACTAACAGTCCGTCCTACAGTACAACACTACTGTACTGACATGTACTCTTCCTACGCCCAGGATCGGCTCTAGTTCGTAGCTCTACGGTGGTTTTGGTATGCGAAAAGCTGAGTTTGCGCTGAATCGTCGTAGCTCGTTCGTGCTCTCGAGACAGTAGCTCTACAGCGGCATTATCGATCTGCTCAACGGAGATACGAGGCCGTAGATCTTTGTTCGGTTAAACCCAGGGGCGTTCGCCATTCGGTAGTTGTTCGTGATCGTGACGTGGCAGGCCGTCGCGGGGGCCTTAGCGGTATACTACCTGCCTCTTCCGCGGTCAACTCGATGTTTCTCAAGCCTTCAAGCAGTGATTTTCGCCGGAGTCTCTGGGGTTTCACCCGGTCCGAACTGCGGTTTTACAGTCACATTATCAATTCTGCCCAGAAGAGTTGGAGGAGAGAGGTAGAGATCAGGGCTTCGTTGCTGTGCTCTCTCTACCTTGACACAAGCCCGCTGTCGTGATGCATATAACTGTTTATACCACCCCTGTGAAGCTCCCAGGGCGGACCTTGATGCTCCTCCACTCCTTCAGTTGGCTTTTGCTGTTGGGTCTCGGGCAATTCACCCCCTCCACGCTGTATCTCCGCCACCAACAGACGAAAAAGTCTCGGGGTGGTGCCAAAAGCAGCCCAGAATCCATGATATCCTCCGCCAACTTCTTTGGTGTTTCTATCTCAACTTGGCGGTGTTGCACTTGAACATTTACACTTCTCAAGTAAGCCCCAGCCACGCCGCACGGATGCACCTGCTTCTCTGCCTCACTCCTAGCTTCATGTAAACGTTCAGGATCCAGTGCATGAGTCTCTACCTAGCCCTGTTCATACCTTAACACTCATTATCCCCAGAACTTGTGGAGCAGTAGGGCCAGCTCCGCAAAGCCCCTACCAACCATCTCCAAGTTTCCTGCTGTTGATACGACCTCATGGGCATTCCGCAGCGCCGTTGATATCAAGTGGTGGTGAGAGTGAGGCAGCGAGCCTTAGCGGCGAGGCTGGCGGCCTGGCTAGAGGTGCCATATAAGCTCGCCCACCGACCTCCAGCTCCATCTCTTATACACCCCACCACCAAAGACTTTGCAGCGGCAGTACTGGGCATTCAGGGCTACTTCTAGCAGGGTCTCGCAGACGGAACGTCAGGGACAGAAAGTCCTACGCGTAAGTCGACTCTATACTAAACTCAAGTTCCTTTACGCACTCTCTCTAACAACCTTGTCAGCAACGGTGGGCGAATGCAAAGCTTTGCCGATCATGCGGAGGACCAAAGTGCCAGGTCCTCCGCATGATCTTCGAGCTAATGCTCGTCTTCATTCGGGTCCGCCCGCAGTGCCCATCAACGATGGACACATGGTTTAGTAAGTCGCACACTCACACTCATAACGTTCCTGAGCGCCGCACTCTATTTGTGCTTTGCACAATGGGCTAAGCGATGGTATCCATCCTGCGCCGAGTGACTGGAAGACATGATCGGCGACTCTGCCTTTGGGAATTTCTCGCACCCGCTCAGGGACTCTTACACTCCCCCTTCGTAAAGATTCGATGTATCTCTTGCATACTAACATACTATGCAGGTCCCAATCTTACCGTCCCCAGTATGTTGGTGTCGACCTCAACCACCTCATCTTCCATGGTCGACACCAACACTGGGGTACCTGGTACCAGCTCCCCTTCGAAGCGCAAGTCGGGCGGTCATAACCCCAAGATCCATGGCAGCTTCGATCCAAATACCGACTACGCCAAGAAGGGGAGCTGGACCAGGATGAGTTGTCGTAGCGGGTGAGGCGCGTAAGTGTCTTTACCTTCGTTCAACATGTGTCACGCTGACCACGTTTAGTATAACACATACGACTGCATATACCTGCGGATAGACCTCAAATCTGGCTATGTCGTATGTTGCTCGTAGTGTCTCCATCCGCTATGACAGCGTGTCTGTTGCCGCTGGGGGCAAGGACATCCTCCTGCAAGCCGGACGTTCGGTCGGCTACGTAAACATGTCCGGCTTGCTCGCGCACAAGACAAGGATTTCCTTTTGCCCTCGGCGGTAAACGCATCTTCCAACAAATGGGCGTGGAGTACGTTTGCTACACACCGCTCTCATGATAGCATAGTACTTGCTAACTCGCTGGACAGTCACACCAGTGACCCACGCCGACAAGTCGCATGGACGGCCGTGCCTCGATGGCTGCCCTCAATAAGGTCTTTTGGTCCCATGACTCCGCTAACATGGGCGGCCTCGATGCGGCCGTTCATGTGCAAGATGTCGTTGTGATTGGCAGAAGCAGGGTGTATGCCTCTTCTCGAATCTCCTTGAACTCTTTCGCCGACTAACTCAGCACCAGCACTCGAGCTTCTCGACAGTCTTGGGGTGGGGGCGCAGTTGACCGCTTTACAAACTTCTACACCGAACACATCGCCTCTACCCCATGAACTTCGAGTTCGCATTTGTGACACGGCCTTGTCGCGGGACCTCCGTGCCCAGCTACCTCGCGAAGCCTGCGTCAAGACCGTTGTTCTACCTCCGTACCTTCGATCTCCGCACAGAATACCAGAGGTGGCAGGCACACCACCTAGAGTCCCTTCCGTTTGGGTTCAGATAAACTTGTGCGTCGAATGCTACAACAACTGCTTCGCGAAGCTCGCAGCAAGGTTGTCGTTCTCCATCTAATAAAAAAATGCTTTAGCTGAATCTTCACATCACGAGCAGCCCTCCTATCGATGACTCGCCATCCCGCCACTCTATACCAAGAGCGCGTGCGATGGCGAGTCGTCACAGAAGAAAAGAGAGCAATGGCTCGTACAAGACTGCGGGCTTCACAAGCACCCAACCAGGTCCTGCTCGATACAAAGTCGTGCGAAGAGGTAAGCCTATCGTCTCCAAAACTGGACTCCGTTGCTCACCCAACAATAGCTGCATCGTGAGTCTGTCCTCGTAGCTGCCCTCACCATGCGGCTTTCGATCCGACCAAGAAGCAGTTGTACGAGTGACTAAGCAGACTTCTCCTGGGTTTGATTTACTGGAGATCACCCTCATATCTGCGACGCGGTCCGGAGTGTCGTCCAGGTCGATACTCTTACTTTATACTCTGTCTATTAGAGTCTGCACCAGGAGCAACCACTATCAGCGCAACCTAGATGCGGCTGGCAACCGCCCGAGGGAGCCGCGACGGAAGCCACCCCTGCATACCGTGCTCAGCCCTCGTATAACATGCAGTAATCTTGGGCCCATAGCCAACAGATGGCGCCTCAGCAGATGTACCGCAGCTATTACCCCAAGCCAGCACGTCGGAAGCAGTATCGGCATCGCCACGGCACTTGACGATGGCATCGAGCACGTTGATCTAATCGAAAACCCGTAAGTTGTATCGTCTTTATCTGTCATGGATCGTATTGACCGCTTCCAGTTCGCGTACTTCTTTTGAAGTATTCAGGACGCCCCAGATTACTTGGTGGGGGCGACTGGATAGGGCGAGGTCGGGCTCTATCCACCAACGACGCTGGATACTTTGCGCAGAATTATTCTTTCAAAACGCTTTAGAGTGCGAATCTCTGTCGCCGCGACCACCGAGGCCGAGGGACCTCAAGAGAGCTAACCGTCTGCGACCTGATGTTGAGTATTGTCGTAGCGTCCAAGCAGAGAACGGGCTACTACGAGCGGAAGTCAACACTCGGCATCGGGTCGCAATGCTCAAGAAGAGAACGATTGGCTACGAGCGGATCTGAGGGGTTTTGGGACTCTCTGCCCCGAGAGCAGGTCTACTGGGTCGGGTTCGAAACGACCTTGTTCATCATGTGGATGATCTCTGACCAGAAAGTTGGGTGTCCTTGCACGAGCCAACGGATCCCTAAACCGATGAGCCGCATCACGTTGACTGCTTCGAGAGAGCCCGAATCTTGTAAGCCGAAGACGATCAAGCGCCTTGCCTAGGCCTATGAGATGTCCGCACTACTCAAGAAGGAGGGTGTTGACGCTAGTGAGCCAGGGCCCTTCAAGACGAAGAGCTATGTCGCATAGCAATTTTCAATACGTTTTGAAAGGTCGAAAATTGCCGGGGAGTTCTCAAGTTTGGCAACTGATGGATTGCGGAAACTAGTACGAGATGCCGGAGACCCTAGAGCGGCGGATGTTGCAGGTTTGTAAGCAGCTGCTGGATATAGACAAGGCGGATGGTTGTGTGCAACGTCTTATGCTTGAGTCATACTTCGAACGTGCAACGGAAAGTTCAATATTAATGTAATCGTCTCTCATTCAGCCTGCGGGCCTCATGCACTGCGGTCGTGAACGTTTGCATGCCGCGACGCTCGCAGCGGTATGTACCCTTTCTTCATCATCCAGTGTTTGCTGATGTCTGCATACTCTAGAACATACCAAAACATACTTCTCATCGATGGAGATGCCAGATCCGTCGTAATGATGGGAAGCGATGGTTCGCTGTTACGACGACGTTCGGGTGGCTGGGTGGGTGATGCCGATCCACATTCGCTTCCACGCGTCATCTTTCCCGGACTTCAGACGGCTCGTCTTCGCTCCTTCTTCACATCTTCGTCGGGAAGCCGGCTGACCCCATCATTTCTTGTCCTGGAATATCCGTCCATCATCATCTGTTTTGCGGACCATGAGAAGAGCTGGAAGAATGTTGTCGTGGCATGCAGCGTGTAAGCTGTGCGCGAACGTCCTCGGAAACCCGACATAAAAACGTCAGACGCTGCAGAAGACCACCCGCGAAATACATACCGCTGCGCAGCTGTTTGTTATTGAACAGAAGCTACTCGTATATGCCCCTGCCACAAGGGATGCGCTCTGAAGCTGCTCGTCGTCCCAAATGCCATGTCGGTTACGCGGTCGTTGGTCCTCATGCAGGAGACTCTTAGCACAGCTGGCCGGACATTCTATTACTGGCGATGCTTGGGAGCAATGCTTCCATTCTTCCATATGAGCATATGGGAGATAAGACGCGCTATCGTACTCTCATCTTTCTACCCCGTCGTATGGGGGTTTCTTGTTCTTATCGTGTGTCGCTGAGTGTCTCATGAGCTGAAGGCTGCCGGTCGTAAGGGTCGTGGTGTGCGCCATCCAAGTAAGGTCATCGCGATCTGCTAGCCGTATTATTGGAGTGATATATGCCAACAAGGCGAAGTAGATGAACCACTCTGATGTCTCCATGACTTGCCGCTAGAGTCCGACGCTTCCGTAATAGCCGCCACTGCTATTTTGTCACGCTGTCTTCATCCAAGGGATACTTCGGCAGCTTGGTCTCCGACGAGCCCGTTGTTGCCCTCGCATTCATCATGGATCTCATCAGACCCTGGCCCTGGGTATGCGATAGAGGCGCATCTGTGATATCGGTCGATGCGGAAACTCTGCGTGGTATTGTGCAAGGGCGTGCGCAGGGAGGGTAATGCACCGAACGATCACGTAAGGCAAGCGCCGTTTGTTCTGAATTACTGTATTGTCTGTCAGCCGCTCAGGAATCTCGTATATGCATCTCAGATCTGCTGTTCTGGGTTGACGCCCTAGGGCAGGAGAAGTCTTGGAGCTCGGTCTCAATGCTGCGGAGGTGCCACGCCATCACCAGGACGAGCGTCCCGACCACGGGGGTATCGTATCGCTACTGATGGCCAGCCTTGGAGCAGCCTGTCTATCCAAACTCGGTGGTAGGCTGCATGGTAGCTGGTTGTGCTTTCGAGTGTCTGCGCCTTGGAGTGAGTTAGCTCTGCGTCCAGAAAGAGAGGCCATTCGCCACGCTTTGATGGAGAGACACCGCAAATCTGCTTGATGTCACCAACACGATGCTATGGGCGACGTATTTCCGACATCATCTCTCGTGCTTCCATGGAGTTGAAGGACTAGTGGTCCGGATTCGTAGTGTGATTAAGCGCAGGTATCTCGACAAGGCACGCCGTTCCGAAATATCACGTTGTCAAATTCGGTTGTTGATCTGATGGGGTAGGCAATCGCAGGATTCCGAAGAGCATCTTGTCAATCAGGAAAAAAAGTGTTCTGATGTCGTGGTGGTCGTCAGTGGTGAGACTCGGGCGACCGACAGTGGAGTGGGACGAAGCACACCACCTAGCCCCACCGCGCACTTGATGGACCATGAGATGACGCCTTCATCATCAAGCAGCTAAATGGGTCCTCCATATGAGAGAGCCAGATCTCAGCATCCACCCAAGCACAATTAGGCGCTGCGCCTTGTATACCCAAGAGGCTCGTCGTCGCAAGAGCCATGCAAATTCTATGAGCACGTAAAGGAAGACTTCTACGATGCTTGAACTGCCTCCAAGGCGCTGGCGTGTTTGTGCCTTGGTGTTGATATACTACCAACACGCATGAAATCGTACTCATGTATAGAGTTCGCCTTGCGTTTTTCAAATTGTCTCATACAACATCGAGCATGAACAACAAGCAAAAGTGCTTCAGTGCACGAGTGTGATTGTTTCGCGAATCCTCAACGGTTATATGCTGCTCATGGTGTCTATCTACCTCTACATGGGCTCAGGATATCTTCCTAGCTGCTCTTTAGACGACTTCTCCCTCCTGTCGTTATTGTTTCCGCCCATCCTCGTCTCTGCCTGCCAACTCCGTCTGCTTGGCACAGCGACAATGTATCCTCCTGGCTTACCCCTTGGCCCTCAGTTCTTCGTGTTCGCACCCATAGTGGCCCCCCGGTCTTGGTTTTGGTCGGTACAGGAAGTATCTCGGAGTAACCAGTGTCGGAAGCTGTCAAGCCCGGTACTCCAGGCGCTTGGAGTTAGCTTGGACTGGTGTTGGGAAAGGATATTTCAAGGAGAACCGTTCAGTAGACGTACTCAGAATGGTACCCCAAGAATACCAACATGCTTTGGTGGTCTCTGAACACACCCTGCTCACTCGCATAGCCCTCGAGGTCGAGAGTCGGCGGCAGAACCCCGGCACAAGTTGGCCACCCAGATCGTCACCACAAGGCCTCACGAAGTCGATTGCAATGCTGTACACACTGGAGAAGTTTTTGAATACATAAGCCGGGTACTATGAGATCACTGAGCAGTATTATCATCTCTCTGGGTTTCATTAGGAGGTGATTGTCGAGTACAGGTCACCGTCGCTCACGTCTTGGCATGGATTTTGAGGGGCGCTGGGGCCACAGGCAGCTGTCTGTTTGAACAGGCAACTTTTGAATCCGCCATCCACTCTTTGATAACCACACACTCTCTGCCCCCGACAGTAAACTTTGGTTTATTGTTGAATCACCATCACTTTCCTCTGCTTAGCAGGAACCACCACCACCACAACAACAACAACAAGACCGGCACCACAATCGACATCACCATCTCTAGCCATGAACCGGCCTTTCTCCAACGTCCACCTGGACAAGCCTGGCGACCCGTCGCCTTCGCCTTCGCCCAATCCCCCTCCTCCACCGGGTCCTCCTCTGCTGCCGCCACCACCACCTGGCCCTGGTCCCCCTCCGCCGCCTCCTCCGCCAGTCTTCACGGGGTGGCAGCTACACGGGCTAGCTGGGAATGCTCTGGTGCGGTGGCTGAACAGCCTCCCCGACGCCATCTACCAGTTCTGGCTGGACGAGTACGGGCGCTGAGGACGACGACAACGACGACAACGATGAGGATGAGGACGACAGCACGATTAGCTTTGTGCCTTCTTCCGGGAGTTCTGATATAGTGGTCTCCTGGGTCACGCTTCGGTTTCGGTTTGGGTGGGGTTGGGGTTGGATCGGGGACTTCGAGTCTACTTCTGGGCGCTTCGGCGCATAGATACCAGAATTGATGTCTTCTCGGCCGCCCGCGCTCTTGCGCTCGTGCCTTCCTTCCCATGTCGTATTCTTCAGCGATCTCTTGCCATGTTTGTAAACTTATGCTGTGACTTGATGTAATCTACGTGAGACCATACGACCGTCGTGATGTTTTGATGTAGAAACTTTGATTACATCCAGGCTTATGTGTGCCACGAAGGCTCACGGTTGCTATGGAAACGGGAGAATGAGAGCTGTTCGACGATATCCAGCTAATTGCCTTCACATTTAGCCATCATTCTTCAACTGCCACTTGTCGATGCGGGTTCGGTCTTGATCTTCTCAACCTCATCTATACCATACAGCCTTTCTTCTTCTCGATTGATTGACTTCGGTCTGAATTCATCGAACATGTCGCAAGCACCTCCAGAATTAAGCAAGCGAACGTTGAAGATAGTTGTGCGATTTGGTTGCCATCCGGATGTTGGATAGGTGTCGACCTTAAGTAGACGAAGTCCCCTTTTGGACTTGCCTTTATAGAATACCCTGACTTTGAAGGCCTAGCATCGATACTAGCATATACCCTTATCAACCTCGCAAGACAGTGCACCACCTACCGGTGTTATTCCATAGTCACTCAACGGTCGAGCATCTGCAATCAATTTAGCCAGAACTTTTGCAAATGAGATTGGATCTTACCATTCAGTTTCCACCCACGGTGATAAAGCTTCGTTTCGCTAGAAGGTACCTCTTCGAATTGGAGGTTGTACTTATCTTTGAGATCCTTGACAGTGATAGTCGGCAGAATTGAGAAAGTTTGTTGGTTGTCGGGATCATCATCGAACATTTGTAGTTGCATGTATCTATTATCCATGTAGGGTGTTATTTCAAACCGTATGTTCGTAAAGCTTCGCTTTGTGGCATAGAGCTGGAAACGAGGGCAGCGAAACTGTATCGGTGGCGTCGTAGGATCGGGCTTGTGTCCGTTCACAAATTCTTGTTCTGGCACAACGAAGTAGTCCTGATTGTCTTGGTCTTGGGTAGTTTGACCGGTTATAACGTTCACCTCGTCTACGTAGATACGGATCAGGTACGGTCGAGATGAACAAAAGAACATGCACATCGCCTCGACTTCTGTAGTCAATTAGATATCGGAATACTGAGCGAGTGTACTAGTAAACACTTACGGAGCATGTGCATATAAGGTCCCCTATGCTCCGGTGTGTGCAGCTGCTGCCCACGACTATCTCGCACTAGAAAATGTAAAGGTAACGGGCCCTTGCCACGAAGCCATTCGACCATGTTGAGATTTGAGTTGATAGGTGTTCGAAGAAAATTAATGTACAAGTGCCCATCGTCTACCGCAATGCAGCGATCCCAACGTCGCTCACATAAAAGCTGCGCCATAATCGTGATCAATGAGAGGAAGAGAATATGAGATGTCAGAAAAAGTAGACTAGTACATCTAAGACAGTTTGCTAGCGATGAAGAAGAATCAACAAGATAATAACGTTGTTTGTAGCAAACATCCGGCCCTTTGAGACCAGAAGAGTGACTGCTGGAGCGCACCTGAAACCAACAGAAACTGACCTTCCTGATCTAAGAACTTTTAAGATATTTTATATAGTCTTCTGAGCTGGTATATAAGTTGCTACTGCCAATTCGATGCGGTATCTTCATAGAACACCATATGCATCGTACATCGCTCAAGCACCGCCCTCTCTTTTAGCATATTCGTCCTCCATCCTTTCGGCATACTGCCTATCTTTCGCCTTCGCGTCTTCCTCCTCAGTCACATCCTGTATCCGCTTCGCATCTGCATGTCCAGGGTCCTCCAACTGTCTACCAGTAGCATCCGTCTCAAATCGCTCGACACGCGGCTCTTCGCCGGATGTTTGGTGTGTGCGCTGAACGCGAGTACCACTGGGGTCTGTGAAGATTTGCTCAGATTTTGAGGTTGTTTGGCCGTTGATGGTTGTGCTGGACGAGTGTGTGGAAAATGACTGGAAGGTTGAGTTGGACATTGCGGCGGGTGTTAGGATGATTCGCGATTTAGGCTGTAAGATTGCGTATATTCCTCGGCTATAGGTAGTATAAGTTGGTGACGATGGTTAGAAGTCTGAGATTCGAGGGTTTGGGTTGTTAAAGTCCACCATGGCGCGCGTTACGCGTTGTGATCTCATAGGATGACGTCATGGGTCCAGCGACATTATGTTCCGAACAAATCACGTAGGGCGCCAAACCATCTTGACGATCTCACAGATGTGACATCTACCTCTCAAGAATCTATTCGACGGTCACCAGTATCTTTGGAATTATCTTTATACCGGTGTATGTGACAGGTGAGGTTGCCGTCGATTGGACGTCGAATTTCCCATCAGGGGAAGAGAAACGAAGCAAAGGGTTACTGAAGCTGGGTAGGATATGCCGATGAATGTTGTTAAGATCTAAGCTACAGTGGCTTCTGCAATATCTGATACATCTCTTCTGCACATTTTGCAGGGTGTTCGTTACCATCGCGTGTTTTATTTAGACGTCTTTCACCTTCCCGACCCGGCCTTTGTTATCCTCGAATGGTCCCAATACTTTTCACACTTTCCGAAAGCAATGTCCAGCCCGCGATCAAATCCCAAGTGCTCTATACATAAGCCAGCTTGTGTTCTATGAACCATATTGCCCACATGTGAACGCGATAGACTTCCTAGGTGGCGCGAGGGCAGACGACATACCCTGTATGTCATTTTGGTTCCTAGTTTTTACCGAGCTTATAAACACAGCAGTCGCAATGTCATCGATATTGAGGGTCTTGAACGCTGGCACTATGCTCGAAATAGTTCAGAAGCTTGGTGGGGGAACCATCGTTGATCACCGACTAGCCGCGCCGCATCCCTGCCGCTCTGCCACGCTACGCCCCTGACAGCGGCGAGGAGCGGATCGCCAGGCACCTGGCTTCGGTCATTCTATCACCAGCCCGCCCACCATGCTGCTGTCCGGTGTCTCGCTACTCGCAGGCCTTCTTTCCTCGGCCTACGCTGCAGATATTCCAAGGGTACTTGATTGCAGCACCGATGAGAGCTGGAAAGTGCCCAAAGAGTGTGAGGCGCCCATCGCACCAGTTGCAGCAGTAGTACCCGGATTGTCCTACATCGCGAAGATAGAATGCAAGGACTGCCCTTATCAGGACAAGAATGACGAGGTTGTAAATGGTGACCATGTACTTGTATGTATAATCATCAAGTTTAAGCTCTGTATGTGCCTAAAGCGATGCTAACCAGCGCGCACTATAGCTTCTTAACGTAACCCTCACCCACGATAACCGCACAGTCCTCCTCAACAATCGTCCGCTATACCCCTTACCAACTATACCCACGCCTCCTACCTTCGACGTCACAAAGTACCGCTCCAACCTCTCCCACGCAGAACTGTACTCGGGCTTGACATCTCGAGACCCATATTGCCTGGGTGGAGGCTCAGGAGAATGGTGTCGCACGGTACCTCTGGCTTCTTCCGGGCGTATGAAGTTCGACTACCTATACATTACGAACCCGACCGATAGTCATGGAGACGATGACATGGGTGCACAATATTGGGACGTTGCGCTGGATGTGATTGAGAAGTCGCGATACCCTGGCGACGACTACCCGCTTTGGAAGTTCGACAATCCGGAGCAGAAGATGCTGTGGATGCTTATCAAGGGGACCCCATTGAAGAGAGGCGACAATGGAGGACCAGCCAAGGTCGCCGATCCTTTCGGGCAGTCTACCACTGATGACCAGATCTACGAATACCAGATCGTCGATATGCGCTTAGTAGCCCGAGCCTACACCTTCCCAGCCAAGAAACCCTTGACCATCTGGGGCAGGATAGGACATTTTCTCGGCAACGATGTCTGGGATCTAGAGCGCGGTCGCTTTCTCTACCGCGAAGAAGAATGGGGTTACTACGGCAAGCAAGGAACCCTTCGCGACATGTTTGGCGAGTTCGTCCACTGGAGAGAATGGGGCTTGTTCTGGATTATTTTCAGTAGCGTCGTAGGCGGTTTGCTCACCCTATTTCTCTTCTGGAAGTTGCTCTGGTGGATCGTCGCGCAGCGCGAGCTCATGAAGTGGGACGGCATGGATGATGTCTGGGAGAACATGAGGAGGGAGAGAGTAGCTGAAGAGGAGGACGCTTTGCTGAATGCACATGGCGCGTACAGAGACGATCCGGAGGAGGGTAGTTCGACCAGACCTCCAGGGTATACTGATGCGTTGAAGCCACTACCGAGCAAACCGCTACCTGAGAAGCCTCTACCAGAGGTTCCACTGATCGATGCTTGAGGGTCCGATATATGGTTGGCACTGTTCTGATCCTTACCAGCGGATATTTCATCGTCATATCATCTTCATACCATCTGCCATGTTCGTCATTTCACTCGTCTCTTCCATCTCATCTGCTCCAATGTCATCAACGAAGACCGGATCAGGTGAACCACTAATGACCTGTCTCACAGCATCACTCAAGGATCTCTCATGAATCCTTGCTTTACACATCTCTGAAACTCCTTCATTAACAATCATTAGTCATACATCAAGTCTTGCAGTATTACGCCCTGTTCGCACCTCGTACGAAATGCTTATCCCCGCCAAACTCCGTATACACTCCGCTATGCCAAGGAGCATCTTACCATACATTCACGACGCATCAAGGAACCGCCAGGATGATCAAGCAACGAATATGTCAATCATCGAAGTTGGCTTCAGGAATTTAGTGTTTGTGGCACGAGTCATGTGCAAGGCCGTTATCCGCCGAAGACACGCCTTGCCAGCGAAAATTGCGGGGACCAAAAGCGGAGCGATGGGTAGCGACCGTTGACGATAATAAGGAAACTGCTCCCATCTATAGCACTTGTGAGCTACTAGTTACCTCAACAGAACATCATCATGGTCAAAATCGCTGTAGCAGGCGGAACCGGAAGTATGCTTCCCTCCTCAGTCCATTCATACCCACCCCACCTTGATACCAACGGCATATGACATTCAATCTTAGCGATACGCCAAGTGCTTCCATACTCCGTTGACATATCTCACAGACGTCGCAACGAACCTCCTCAAAGCGACAATTGCCTCTGGCAACCACGACATAACCATCTTCACACGCTCTGCCCCAACCAAACCCCATCCATCGCCCAAAGTCACCTACAAGCAAGTCGACTACACTGATGTCGACGGCCTAACCAACGCTCTCCGTGGTTTCCATACTCTCCTATCTTTCTTCATCGTCCATCTCGACGTAGACAACGTAGCCCAGAAGAACCTAATCCACGCATCCATCGCAGCAGGCATCTCGCGCTTCGCACCCAGCGAATGGGGAATCGCAAACTATGCCGGTGTTCCAAGTTACGACAACAAAGACTTCATCCGAAAGTACCTCGAAGACCTTGACGCCAAGGGTGAACTGGGATCCATGCAATACTGTCTCTTCCAACCCTCCATCTTCATGGACTACTTCGCGCATCCATATCCGCTCGAACGCGATCTCATTACCTGGCCCTTCTTCCTCGATTTCGAGAACAGACGCGCCATGATTCTGGATGACGGGAACCAGCCCATCGTCATCACTGCTGTTCAAGACGACAGTCAGATACTCGCTCGTGCCCTCGATGACACACGTCCATGGCCGAAGATCGGTGGTGTCAGAGGCTGCCGCACTTCCATCAACGAGCTGCTCGCTCTTGGCAAAAAGATCAGAGGTGGAGACTGGAAAGTTGAATACGTCAAGAGTGAGGATCTAGGAAAGGGGGAGTTGAAGGCGAGTTGGTTGCCGCTGATTAGTCATCCTACGGTGACAAAGGATGTGCAAGAGGCGTTCAGCAAGCAGTTTGTTATCATGTTCTTCGAAGCGATCAAGAGGGGTGCTTGGGATGTTAGTGATGAGTTTAATCAGCGGTTCCCAGAGTACAAGTTTATGAGTGCGGAAGAGTATTTGACGAAAGCTTGGGGGGGGAAGCCTTAAATTCGTCTCGTTGGATACATGGTGGAGTATATGAAGACGGAGATAGATAGTAGTGATAAACACTTCCGAGTATGAATATCTACAAGAAAAAGAAGAAAAGTATATACAATGCACTTTCGCATCCCTCAGCCTTGAGATCAGTCCTACACAAAGTAGCTCTTGATTTTGGGCAAGATACCCGTCCAGGCGACACCACTAGTAGGCTCCATGTTGTAAATATAATCACCCCACCACGGGCCAGCAGCCCACCAGATACCTCCAAGCCAAACATCGCTGTTTGCACCCATATACTTCAATCCGTCTTGCAGCGCAGAGATACACTGAGCATTGTTGCCTCCTGCAAATTCGCCGATGACACCTTGCTTCTTATTATCCTTGAGCCATTTCGTCGCAGCCTGGAGTCTCTCCTTGAAGATTGTAGCGCTGACACAGTTGGCGGAAGTACCAGAGCCGTCGGTATCGAGGTACTGGTGCATTTGGTACACAAGCTTGTTCTCTGGATCTTTCAAGTTCACCATACTAGCGCCGTTACCAGAACTAATCCATGTCCATGCGCCAGTCCAGCTGTTTCCCTCGGGGGTAATGTACTGTTTCTTTGCACCGGCAGCACGTACACCATCGATAGCGGCTTGGTTGAGGTTGAAGACGAGTTGCTGGTCCATGTCGTGGTACTCGTTGTTTGTGTCGAAGACGACAAGCTCGTTGTCTTTGTACTGTGCGGCGACGTTTGTCCACCATGTCTTGAAGGCGGCTGTGTCGGTGATGATGTTGCCGAGGAAGCGACCGTAGTTGTGGGGTTGAATCATGGCGTAGGAGCCTTTGGATGTGATGTGATTTACTTGCTCGGTTAGGTTGCCTAGGTAGAGGGGGTCGAATTTGCCGGTGAGAGAGTTGGGGGTTAGGCGCTCCATTACTGGGTAGTGTTAGTTTGTGTTCTTGGACAAGCCGCTTCGCAGGATATGGACGTATAAAGACTTACAAAAGTTCAGACGGAACATGTTCATTCCCTCGGCCATGAACTTGTCGATGGTGTTGAGGTCGTACCAGGTGAACTCTTTTCCGTAGACGCCTGTGAAATTCTTCTCGCCAAACTCAGCACCAGACTCGTTGATGCCGAACCACTTCATCTTGCGATTAGAGCTTTGGCGATTCTCAGCCGGAGCCGCGAAGGCGGTGCTGGCCAGAGCTGCTGCTGCCAAAAGATTGTTGAAAAGCATAGTGTAGGATGTGAAGAATACTTGTTTGGTCCTACATTCCACGTCTCGGGTGAGCATCACTCTTATACTGCAAATAATTCGATTGACGACAACTAAACACTCCACAGCTGGACGGGCCTTCCCCTCCGTCTCGCCCACGGCAATGAGCGGGTCTTCATCTGACGCCAATATAGAAGTGCCGAATGTGGCATCGTGGTTCTGAAGCTTTGGAGCCGTGGTGCAGGATAAATTGCTTGGGCATATTAAAGGAAGCTTGAATGACCAGGAACGTGGGTCATGCGTAGTGGCTTTTGCGGGGATGCAGGGGTCGCCATTCGTGGGGATGTCGGAAACGATGGAAAACCGTAGGGGTGAAACATCGCGCCAGCTGTCAAAGATCTTCAAAGTCCGCACTGAGATTTCAGGCGGGTATATGAAACATCGAATTGCGCATGATAGTCCGCCAATTGAGACGTCATTGGGGAACCGGTAACGGCCCTTGCATATCGACGAAGCTTCGTTGCATATTCGTCGCATATTAAATCTCCTTGATCTTTACTGCATTAGTGCTAGCCTCTCATCTTCCAGTAGTCTACCCACATGTAAAGTGAGCGGACGAGCTCCGTGTTGAAAATGGCAAAGCTCAGCGCTAAGCATCACATGGCAAACTCTTGATTGAACGTGATGGACATCAACGAATCTGCTCGTTGTAAGAGGCTTTCGATCATCGTGTGGGACCACCCGTGGAACTCGGCGCGAATCTCCGTTTCGCTGCAGTCGTAGTATTGAAGAAGTTGTTAGCTTCGGAGCACATAGACAAGATCCATACAGATCGCACTTGAAATACTTCTCGGAGAACTAGCACACGCGACAAGTATACAACCATGGCAATGTTGAAAACTAAATCAGTCTATTGCCCGGTAATACATACACCAGATCTCCGTGCAGATATAGTCATTCATAACGCCATGAGCTAGGTACTCCAATACGCATATTGACGGGAAAGTAACGCTCTGCACTCTAATCATCGTCTGATATTACGCCGGCCAGCGCCGGGCAAGACGTTCTTCGATGGCCTAGCATAACTACCTCCCACGACGACACTGCCAAAAGCGTTGCAGCTACTTCTAACACCTACCCGCTGCAAGTTCTCCCATTGAGGTTGCACACGAGCAGATGGGCGGCTTGTAACAATCGAAGGCATAGTAGAAGGTATCTGACGGAGTCGAGAATGAGGGTGACTATACACAGACGGTACGTCGATCGCTGCTTGAGAGTGAACGGGAGCCTTTCTATTGTAAGATGTTCGATTTTGGGAAGAGCCATATGCGCTGTCGTTGACATATGGTGAGCGTCCCGTTTTCGGCCGCGAAATGAAGCCACGCGAGTTGAGATGACATCTCTGATATTGATGTGGCGGCGGAGTCGGTGCTAACTCCATCAATCTGCGCCGATGATCCACTTCGATGGGCTCATTTCTAGAGTCGACCGGTGAATCGAAGAACGAGAGTGCGTTGAGACTGTGAGGCTCAACCCAGTCGGCCTGGGGACATTTCGTCCTTGGCCTTTGTGACTGATAATCTTCGGAATGATTTGAACTATCCTGGGGTTCAGCGTGGCCGGGCGGCGGGTAAACTTGGGTCTGATTATGACCATTTCGGAGATAGGGACTTACTACACTCTCGATTTGATGGCCGGGATGTTGTTGCCGCCTGGGTGCCGGCGTGGCGGGACCAAGAGCCGAGATATCTTTTGCTCTGTTCGTATATCTATTAGTCTGACGGTGGCTAGGAGAATACTCGCGGACATCGACAGAGGTGAAAGATCCGGATGGCGATTGGTGCATGAACGGATGTCCAAGATTCCAACGCTTTTCGCAATCGACTCCTTGTAGAATATCCTCGTTCAGATAATCATGTGGTACTTGCCTGTTCCCACTATCTCCACAGTAGTTCGTATTGGGTTGTTTGCGAGGATCTTTTAGACCTAGTTCCACTCCGTTGTCGCCTAACAACCCATCCATAAGCCGAATGTATGAAGGCTCGGTAGGCAAATCAACGAGACAGTGGCCATTGCCCTGTTTGTCCATCTTGACTGGAGACGGGGCTTGAAATGTAAAGTTCGACCCGTTATCTTGAAAGCTAGGTAACTGTGATCTTAGGGGATCGGAAGCTTGGTGGGACTGTTCGACAGGAAGTGCTCCCGACATGTAGTGTGCCTCGCCGCGGAAGTCATTGCGTGCTGGACATTTATCGAATTCGGTATCCTGCCAATGTCCGTTTTCATACATCTGGGCGTCGCCGTTGTCTTCAAAGGCCTCGTCCGCGACAGAGTGAGAGCGATCACGAGAGAACTTCTTTCGGAAACTTGGAAACATCTTGCGCATAGATCGCATCCTAGACATTGGTTGGGGAGGAGGTGGCATCGCATCACGGCTAGAAGGGTGATCGATTTGAATGTTGTTGGGGAGAGGCGAATCGAGGCGTTGCCGCTTCATGGGCCGCTGGACGAATGAGCCTGACGACGTTGTTCCCAGTCTGCCTGTTGTATGCGCAGATCTGCCAGCAGTATGGCTCGAAGCTGTCGTTCGTAACTTGACACCGGGCTGTCCAATGTCTTCGGGGAGAGCTTCGTCGCTATCGAATGTGAGAGGGTCGATCCCCTTGAAGTTGGGTACGGGTTCTAGCGCCATCGCAAAGCCGAGTTGGGCAAGCCGCTTTTGCATCCTCCCGTTTTGACTGGACCAGTTAGCAGTCTCCTCGTATGTGCGGCATGATTAGCCTACTCGACTAGCATGGGGACGAGCTTCAAGTAGTGGCGGATGGCTGACTTGTTCGCCAGAAATGTGTTGAGGTCTTTGGTATTGACACCACGAAGATGCGCAACTTCTTCATCAAGGCCCTGTAATCGCTGGACTTCAGCTTCCATGGCTTCGAATTGGTCCTTCTGGAACCGTAGTCGCTCGTTCTCTTGGTGGAGACCAAGGATTTTCGAATGCTCCTTGGATGCAAGATCCTGAACATTGGCCAGCTTCTTCTCCATCTCATTATAGGCTTGTTGAAGAGGCTTGCGGGTGGCGTGCGTGTTCTGGCAGTACCGTATGAGGGCAATGTACTGGAACTGGTCGTTGTCAGTTGGCGTCATGAAATACGTAGATCAATATGACGTACGCGTAATGCCTCCATCTCTCTACCACTACCATCGAGCCGGATGGGGGGCGCAGTGAACCATGCAGGCGGGATCTGAGGATCGTATTCATCTTTGTTGAAGCCGCGTATTGAGAAGAGATCCCGAGGCTCGCTGTCACCTTTCTCCTTGATGCAAACGGGACATGGTGTTTTGGGTCGCTGTCCAGCCGCATAGAAAGGCGGCCCTATCGTGGTCATTAGCAGCTACTTCATGTTGAGTTACGCGCCACTTACCACCGCCTTCCAAGTGACTGCTGCAGAAGACATGGCAGCAACTAGCAAGGTAGAGCCGCGTCACAAGGCGCTCTTTGGGGTTGATACCATCTGATAGGCCACGAACGGTGTCCTTGTGACCCTCGTAGACATCGGCGAAGGAAGCGCAACACACGGAGCAGGCGTAGATGAAGTTCAGGGGAGCGGCACCCAGCTCCGATGGAACCTTCTCAGAGACAGCGCTCATGGTTGCAATTGCGACGAGTTACGCAGAATCAAAGACGTCGCGCGGAAGGTGGAGGTGGAGGTAAGGTGCAGTGAAGGTGCGGGAGTGGGGGCAAGGGAATCGCTGTCAACAACGCCAAGACACGCGACACAGGTTGTGCTTTCCTTCCTCAGCGGAAGTGAAAGAGCCAAATGAACGATAAAGTGTACGTAATGGAGAAACAAAGAGAACGGACAAGCATTTCGAGAGGAACATGGATCGAACATTCAGAGACATGCATGACATCCAAGCGCGTTTCTGAGAGAGAGTCAAACACAAGATCACAGATGACTAGACGGAAATGATTTAGGTCAAGCCTTCATATGTACAGAAAACGTGGACTGTCTTCTACTACCTACCCAGTTCCTTTGGCAATCTAAGCAAATGTCCGGCATGGGTATCTATTTCACATTAGCGTCTTTCATGGAGGACCAAATACCAAAGAACTCACGCTGTTCCATATGACTGTTCACTCTCCAATTCGTATCGCTTCTGTCCAGCAACACCGTGGGTGTGCAGCCCGCTTGGTAGCGGAGGCATGCCACCAGGACCTAGTACATCCTTTGCGAGTCCAGTGTTCTTCTCAAACGCGACTGCCAGCCCCTTCGCACCTTGCTCTTGCGCAGCGACTAGCGACTTTGTGCCTGCCTCGCCAATCAACTCCTGCTTGGGTGCCGCCGCGCTTCCAACCTCCAGCAGCGCAACCGCGTCGGACTGAGTCACGGTCGAAAGCCTTGGGTATCGTCGTCGCACGTCGCGCTTCCAGTATGGGTTCTCGGCGATGTCGGCAGCAGGGACAGTGACGGGGTCGTCGTAGGCGTTGGGGTCGAGACCGCCTGGGGGTGGGTTGCGGAACTGCGGGTTCATGGGGATACCCGTGGACCGCTTGGGGTCGAGCGCGAAGAGCCTGTTGATAGCGGCATAGATTCCAGTAGGCTGAACGGTGTATTTCTGCAAGTATACAATTAGTACTTCTCCCCGGAGCGGTGGATGGCGGAAGAGGGGCGGTAAGGCAAAGGCACGTCAAGATCGGGTTATGGGCGCCGTACCGAAAAGACCGTAGTCTTCACATTCTTGGCCATCGACATCTTGCGAACTCGGCCTTCCAGGCAGAATGCAAGGATCAGAATAGGTCAATGGGCAGGTGCCGTGCTGTTGCGCGTTTGGGTATACTATCGTGACGCTTGGTGATGTTCGCGAAGCTCGATATCTGCCAAGACGGCGCTATCCGCTTTGATACTCGCGCCTTCTCATTCGTCAGTCATCTCATTCAGAACATTGAAGTCCCCTATACAGAACCGCGACTATGCTCATTCATCTACCTCTTGGGCTTCACAACATTTGACCCATCTAAACCAGTCTTCTCGAGGCATCGTCACGGTGCGCATGGAGGATTTCGCGCTCAAATCCGCTCAACCTTGTGGGCATGCGGGATGCCTATACGCCACGCAGAAGCAGTCGCCCAACCACATGCTTCCAAATCCGAGTGCGAGGAGAAGACGGCTACTCTCAGTATTCCAGGACGTTAGTGCGTTCTGTTCTGTACGTGGGTGGGCAAGCTCAATAAGTGAACGTCATTAGGATCTTGCGTTGAAGCATTTACACCGATTCCCTTGAGTGGGCCAACCTCCTCCCAATGTTCTTGTTCTACCTTTTGCCTTACACGATAAAACATGTCTGGTGAACAAGGTAACTGAGAGGTTGGGGTCAGCATGGGGATAAAGAAAAAGCCGACCCAATATGCCTAGACAGCAGCGCATACTTGGCCTCTACCATGCAGCGTGGCACACATCTCAGTTAGTCACATGGCAGAAATCAGCCGTGTCGTCTTTCTTTTTCAGCCTTTCAGGCTCACTCCTACTTTAATGCCATGCGAAGCGAAGCGACGGCGTGTTGCAAGTTCATCGTCCCCGACTTCATCCAACTTTTGTGCGAGTAACCTGCTTGATAAAGCCCCCTTAGATTGAAACAAAAGATGGCAAAACCCTCGAATTCAGCTGATAGATCTCTTAAATACTCCCCTATGACATCTGAGTACACTGGTATGTCGACTGGGTTGCTAGAGGGTCCATAGCAGAAGTTGCTCACATGTCGGCTTGTAGATACGACTGTGTACCACAGCTCCCTGATTGCTGACCGCAATAGATACAATGACTGACCGTTGGTACCGCAGACACTCGATGATGCCTTGCCTTCCTGGATCAAGCAGATTGGAGCGCACTTTGTTCTACTACTAGTACCGGCTGGCTTCGTTGGTAAGCCCCTGATGCCACGTTGCTTGAATCGGTTCACTCGTTGCGTTTGCTAAAGGTTACGCAGAGCTGGGAATCGCCGTGATCATAATTGATGGCAAAGCAAAGTCTCGTACCAGTGACGCCATTACACAAGCAATGTTCGTTACAGCAACACTATGGCCTATCTTGCCGCAGTTCCCGGTCCTATACTTAAATCCATTGCGCTCCACCGAGCTCAGCAAGGCTCAAGGCTTGGGGTGATACATTCGCTATCTTATCGAGCTACGAGCCGATGAGCCTGTGAACAGCTGCTTGGAATCCTCTCTACAAGCCAGATCCTTATTAGCACGCTACGTGGATGCTTTACTTTGCGGATTGTCCAGCCTTTAGACCATTCCGTTGATCTTGCTTTGAGCGTTCAGTCCATTCGAAGGTCAAGGCGCACTTCTATTTAAATAGATTCACCAGAACACCATAGAAATCGAGATGCCTTGACCAACGACCTTTCCGTCTTCACACATTCGGCTATGAGCGCGGGCGCTTCGGGTGGCGCAACACTCATGAACCAATTCCAAGCACCATTGGGAGCCGTATTCACCGCACAAGATATTGGACTTGATCATTCAAATGGTTCTAGCATCAATTTCGAATCTGCTGTTCTGGTAGTGGGGGGTCGGGTCGAAGTTGTCAGGATTGCACGCCGCGATCTGTGGCGCAACGTGCGGATTCGCTTTCTCCATTCGCTTCCAACATACAACGCGTCTTCTTTTGATTAGCTAGATACAGTGTCGGATATTATACCAAAACACTCTTCACTGGTAGGTTTACCCGTCAGGGGTTTGCCATCAGCCTCGAGCGGTAACCTTAGCTTTGTCCTCAACATCAACTATCAGATACTTGATGTAAGCTTGAGCATAGTATATGAGCGCGCGGACACAGGACCAACTGTGCTTAGTGCCAGCAATGGATGAACTGCACTAAGTGGAACAGTACCAATTACAAGAGGCTTAGCATATATTCGTACACCTGGTCATCCCTATGGGGACCCATGGGCTGCCAGACATATGGCTAGATCGCATTCGCGTTCCCGTTCGATCATCAACACTGTTTAACTCAACATCAGATATTGAGCCGCCGACCAAGCTGACGATAGCTTTTGATGTTCACCGAACTTGTAACCTTACCTTATGCGGAGTAGTCATCGACTATGTCGAAACAGAGATTGAGTGCACCCGCGCCTCAACCAACAGTGATCTGGCATGTTCCGCTAGCAGAATGCGCCTTGCATCACAGTGCAAAGATAGAAAAAATCTGACTACTTTGAATACCGACACCAACTATAAGGCTTTGTAATGTATCCCATACACACTGGCAGATACCCACACCGGCGAACCCAGCATACTCGAGAAATGGCTAAGGAATCCCGCAACGGCCTTTGTACCAAGTTACGACATAAGCCAAGTTTGGTATAAGGATATACCACTGCAAATCTTCTCTGACCGTCTGGCCATGGTCCTGAACACGTATCTTTGCGCATTTCTTCATATTACCTACACAGTCGGCAGTGACGGCGCATCTTTCGAGGATCGTGACGATTTCTGGGCGAACACAACCGGCTCCTGGACGACGTTCACCACGCCAGTATACCACGTTCAGAGGACGCGGTTCCTTGTTTGCCTCGTATCCGCCATTGCATTCACGATCTGCGCGGTAGTAAACGTCGTTCTACGCTTTTTCATCCACATAGCGGACTTCTTAGGCACGGTTTCTGCACTCACCAGATACTCACCCTGTATCGATGTGCCCGCGCCAGCAAGTAGTATGGATCGGGCAGAGCGTTTGTAGCTTCTGAGAGACAAGTAGGTTAGAATTCAGGATGTCAGATCTGATGATGCAATAGGGTCGATTGCGTTCAGTGATGCGACAAACACGGTGCCGCTGCGGAAGAATCGGTTGTACATTTAGTCAGCATATTCGTAACACTCTAAGTAAAGTTCGCATTAGCGTATGACCTTCTGACTATGCATGATGCAAAATCGTTCCCACTTCACATTCCACAATTATCTTCAATGCTCCCACGCTTACGCGCACGATATCCGCGCCCTTCCTGACCGTGAAAAGTGGGGACAGCACTGGTATCCGCCTTAGCGTCCTCGCTTGCTGAGATATCCGTTACACGTGATTGGATTGCGAAATGTTGCACGAATATCCGACGTTAGCCGCGACACGCCGGAACATATGCCCAAGAAACCCGCTTGCTGATTCTGCGATGAGAAGGGCACGAGACTACTCCACAACGCTGGTTGTTCTTTGTCATCGCGATGCATTGGGAACAGAGAGGGTATTGCGGGAATTGCGGATGGTGGTGGAAGGTGGACGAGTACTTAGGGAGCTTATCTGCACAATTCTGTGGTATGTAGTGAAACCACTGTTGTACACGACTTGTCCAATTGAACGCATGTTTGTGGCAATGAGCATTGATACACATCAATAACACAGTAAACATTCAACTCGCCTAGAGCTACCGCCGATATGGCATTTTTGTTCCTACTGGCCTCCATCTTTGGAGCGCTGCTTCTCTACGTACGTTGGCTCCATGCATTCATCTCGTCATCAACTAACACCGTACTCAGATTTTCGGAGTTATCGTCTACCGCCTAACCTTCCATCCCCTCGCATCTTATCCAGGTCCTTTCCTTGCAAAGATTACCGATATCTATCTAGCATACTATGCCTACAAAGGCTCCCGGCATCTCGCTTTCCACCGCGCGCACGAGCAGTATGGACCTTACGTGCGACTTGGACCTAACTTACTTTCCGTCAACACGGCCACCGGCCTCAAAACTATCTATGGTTTCCGATCAAACGTCAAGAAGGCATCTTTTTACCATGCGTTTCCCAGCACACCAAAGGCGGTTAGCGTGCATAGCGCCGTTGACAAGATGCAACATGCGCGCAAGAGGCGGGTTATGAGCCACGCGTTTAGCGACTCCGCGATCAAGAGTCTCGAGAAGTATATTCTGGCGAACGTACGTGTTGGGTGCGAACTGCTCGGACGCAAGAGCAACAACTGGTCTGCCGAGAAGAGCTTAGCCAACGAGAAAGATGGTGGCTGGAGCGACGCATGGAACGCTGCGCACTGGTGTGAGTGGTTGGTTTTCGACATCATGGGTGATTTGGTATTTGGCAAGGCGTTCGGCATGTTGGAAAGCCCAGTCAACCGGTTTGCAACACAGCTGGTAGGCAATGCGGCACACCGACATCTTATCTGTGGAACGCACCTCACTATCCACAACTGGCATCTGGACAAGCTCTTCTTCCGTAAGATCGCAGGCCAGCGAGCGCAGTACATGCAGTACAGCAAGGGTCAAGCCATGGAGCGAACGAAGTTGGGCGTAGACGTTGATCGCAAGGACTTTTTCTACTACCTTCTGAACGCAAAGGATCCGGAAACTGGCAAGGGCTTTAGCATGGATGAGTTGTGGGGCGAGTCGAATCTGTTGATCATCGCTGGTTCTGATACGACTTCAACGGCCCTGTCCGGTGCCTTATTCTACCTCGCACACAACCCTGCGGCGATGCAAAAGGTCTGCAAGGAGATCCGGGAAGCCTTTACTGATGTTGAGGAGATCGTGACTGGACCCAAGCTGAGCGGCTGCTCATTCCTTCGTGCCTGCATTGACGAGACTATGCGTATGACGCCCCCAGTCGCCGGTGCTCTCCCACGAGAAGTCCTGCCTGGTGGTATGGACATTGACGGTCATCATATCCCCGCCGGTATCGACGTGGGCGTACCGATCTACGCCATCCATCACAACGCAGATTACTTCCCCCAACCTTTCGACTACATCCCTGAGCGATGGCTCTCTGATCCGTCTGCAAACCCACTTCATAGCAGTCTTCAGGCAGCGCAGTCGGCGTACAACCCGTTCAGCATCGGTCCCCGTGGATGCATTGGCAAGGGTCTGGCGTATGTTGAGCTAACGGTAACAATAGCAAGAGTGCTGTACCTGTACGATTTGAGATTAGCGCCGGGCACGAACTTGGGTGCCGGAAGCAAGGATTTGGAATTCGGAAGGACCAGGGAGTCTGAATATCAGATCCAGGATGTATTCGCGAGCAAAAAAGACGGGCCAGTCTTGCAGTTCAGGGCTAGACAATAGCTTGGTCAAAATTAGCATTTCGTTACAATTTTCGCGAGCATCTGCATCGAACCGTTATCAACTGTGAGACGCAACACCTAGTTCAGAGTTTAGTGTGATGTTCATAGGCAGAACTTTCTGAAACCATGATGCTTCTCATTTTATTTGTGGTGATCCTCTCCATCAAAGCAACTCGTTCGGCATCAACCTTCACCAGGTTTAGCTTCGGCAGAATCATTGCAAACACGGTGTAGCCAGATGTCCTACCGAGCCATGTCATTCGTCTTGAACTTGCAAGTCGTGATGATGGAGCAAATGAATGTTGTGGTCGATCCACCCTGGCAGCAGCTTCTGCTTTATCGATAAGAAGGAGCTTGGCACGCCAAGGAACTTTTTCTGTTTAGTGCAGTAGTGATGGGCGGCGACTCGAAAGTAAACACGACTAGCCATCATCAATTTTGAAGATACACATCGTCGCACTCGAACTACTGCATTTCGCGATGGCTGTACCCAGGCTGTTTTCTGGCGGGCGCTGTCTCTTTCCCCGGACGACACCGACCCTACGCGTCGCTCTGTCAGCTATCCCCACGATCAGAACATCAATCTCGAAGCGAGGTTTCACTGCCAGCCGATGTAGCCGGGAAGAAATCATTCAGACCCCATCAAGAGGACCAGAGATTGCACTCACTGATGCACGCACCCCGACAACTCCCGCAGGCTCTTCAACAGGGGTCGCTCTTCTGAGAATGCCAAAACGAAAGACAAGAAGGGAGATCGAACAGATACTACGCTCTAAAGGATGTACCATGTATGTCATAAAAATGATTTTTCCCTAAGATTTTTGTCATCGCAGAACGTGAGCTAACGGCCCACCAGCAAGAGATTACAGATGCGTGTTGATCGCTTCAATTTCCAGAACGACACTATGTGTTATTTGGAGCTTGGGAGTGAAGCAGAGGCTGCCAAGGTTATTAAAGAACTTGACGGCTTAGAGGAACAGGGCAGTAAGATGGTAGCTAAGCCCCTAAAAGCTGACTTCATATGGGGAGATGCGGGGAAGCGGAACGTTGAACCCTTTGGCTCTCGCTACTTTTATGACGAAGGCATCGCTGCATCTGATGCTATACGGCCGTTACTTGAAAACCGCCGTACGATGCTTTCAGTCCAAACACCCGGTTGGTCCGCCGGCGATCGCGTTTCCGTTGCAAAACAGAACGCATCGCAGATCATCGAGCGGTACTTCGGCAAATACGGTATCGAGAGGATTGGTGACATCTCCCCGTTCTATGGCGATAAGAAACAAAATCCGCGCTTGCTCTGCTTCATGGATTTCAAGACCAAGGAAGGCGCGGAAAACGCTATCAACGACTACCACAATACGGAAATCGAGGGCCGCTTGACGTGGCTGAAGTTTTCTGAACCTGCCAACTGGAGGAGCCATCAAATCGGGAAGGTATCGCCAGAGGCACTTAAGAAATTACAGGAAAGCAGTCTGGTGCCTAAGGATGATGAGATCCACGAGGATAAGTTTGCCAACCCGCTACCGAAGAACTAGGAAAAATTACAATAGCGGGACGTAGTTGGTACACGAAGAGAGTCATTTCTTCCGCGAGCATGGTGACGGGGCGAGATTAGCAGTTACCAAGCAATGGAAGGAATGGCTATGGACCAGCTATGGTTTTGGTCGACCCATATGAGCGCTTGTTAAGACCACATACTAATGCTAGCCATGTATCGTATATGGAGGCGCCCGTTACAAAACTTTGTACACTAGACATGAATTTAACATTATACGAAGAGGGTGATTCAAATGGGCGTCATACACGTAGGTCACGCGCACTACAAAATTCATAGTGGCCAAGATATCCCCTCCCATACATCACCAGTATTCAACCCTTGCACACGTTCACAAGAAACGTTTTGATATATTGGTATACTCGATAGGTACTTGCAAGATTTCACGCTAACAGCATCTAAGTAGTACACAAAGAACCACGATGCCCATCGCGTTCGTCCAACACTATCATCAGGTGCCTGTCTTTGTACTACCACTTGATGTTTTCCAGCTCCTTGGCGTCACTTTCTTCCCATGGATATACCGCTCCGAAGCCTTGATTAACTGCTCATGGGTATCCGATCGCGGCTTGATCGAACAGCGGTACGGCACAGGGTGGCTGATCGCTCCCGGCTCGAACTTCACCTCTGGCTCCACCACTCGACCAGTCTTATCAACGGGCTTAGTGACGTTGAAAACAGCAAGAGTTTGTGCGATAGTAATAAAGAGGGCGTTATCCGCTACGTATCGACCCGGGCAGATACGTCGGCCGTACCCGAAAATGAAGTTCCTGGGATCCGGTTCACTTTTGCGGGTGGGTGTTTCGAGGAAGCGCTCCGGTCTGAAGACCATTGGGTCGGGATAGACCTCCGGATCATGCGTAAAATGCCAGTTATTGGGCAGAAGGATGGAGCCCTTCGGAATGCGATATCCGCGGCAGGTATCTTCTTCTGTACTACAATGTGGAAGGCACATTGGTAAGACAAGATGCCAACGGTGGGTTTCTTTCATGAGAGCATAGATATAAGGAAGGCTCTCGCGGTCTTTACTGACGGGAGGCCGACTTCCGCCAATGACGCGATCCAACTCTTCTTGGGCCGTCTTCTGAACTTCCGGGAAGACAGTCATGGCAAGAAAGAAGGTCATAATTGATGAAACAGTCTAAAGGCAAGTGAGTAGAGCGACTTCAACGTTCAGGCCTTTACTTCAAACTTACTGTGTCAGCGCCACCAAGATATAGCGCCAATGCCGCCCATTTGTGAACAAATTCCATTTCGGCATCTTCACCAATACCTTTGATACATTGTGATAAAAAAGACGGCGGGTGTCTCTTCTCAGCCATCTGCTTCTTTACGAATTCATACGGCTGGTTCGTACACTGGCTGAGTTGCGCTGCCATCTTTCCCGCTGTGCCTTTGAACCCCATTCCTGGTAGCCATTCGGGCAGGTATTGTACTTGTAGAGGTCAGGCGCGGTTTCATTGCTCGAAAGGTCATACTTACGGAACGGAAAGATATCCACCGACCATTTTCCGGGAACCGTAGCATCTGCGAATTGCTCCATGGTCTTGGAAGCTAGGTCAACGAGGGGATCATTGTCGTTGGCCACTGTTGTGTAGCCGTATGTAATTTTGAGAATCACACTGCCAGCCTCTTTTCTTATGTGGTCGAAGAGCTTGTCGGGAGAAGTTAGAAGGTTGAGCAAGAAATGCGCGGCCTCCGTCCCTTGGACACGATCGAATACTGACACAGAGACATTCGTACTCGCTACCTTCGTAATGCTTTTGCGCTGAATTTTCCATTCTGCAGCATATGGTGCCATAGTGGTTGCGTGCCGCCAACCCACCCTGCTCAATCGATCAGCAAAGTTCAAAACATGTACATCCATGCCGCCAGTGCGAGATCTCTACCTACATGTCACCACTAAATGTTAGACTAGGTCTCGAGGAATGGATCGCTGAACGGTCGCGCAGCAGTTCGAAGGCAATATCGGAATCATTGATGATGATGAACGTTTGACCTAGCACTGTGACGGAACTGATGGGGCCATAAACGTTCTTATGCTGCAACCAGTGATGGCACTCAAGCATGCCAGACTTAGGCATGTCGTTGACATTTCCAAGCAATGGAAGGCCTTTGGGCCCTGGGGGGAGTGGTCGAGTGTTCTTCTTTCTCGAATACGAACGAACCGCATACAGTATGACGAGCATGGCCAAGGTTACCGAGAGGCTTTTTGATGATAAGAACTCCATCATAAATATCTGGCAATGGTTAAATGATGCGGTTGTTGAGGCGTTTTTGAGTATACGCGGGGTTTAACTGAGAGATCAAACGTGCCAGGATCGGTCGCCTCAACGCAAGGTGACATGTCGCTTAGATTACCCACGTTATCTCATGCAGATGCAGAAGCATACTGTTCAAGGTATTGCATGGGTACTCCCGCAAATGGAGCTATCCGCCGAGCAGACTGTGAGGGGCTGTCCAGTGGGGAATTAGATATCCGTATCGCTGATTGCACTCCAAAAACTGAGGTCAACATGTGATTTATACGGGTCTTTCAAAACCCAGTTTCAGTATGCATCGAATGACAGTCTTGAAAACTAGTAATGAAAAGGTGACACTATAAGGACGTGCAACAGGCAATGTCAGCCCATCGTTTGTCCAAAAGACGTTTACGTCACCTTGCACCTCTAATGGTGGCGTTGGTGTTGGCATACACGGCTCCCGGCAGCAATTCTGATCCTCATTCACGAGTTTACGTATACCAACTTGGATTTTTTTGGATCTATCCACGGAAGGGGCTCCCAGAGCGCGACCAATCTTATAGATCTCATTTATTTTGTCGGCAGCCCCGTTATGAAGCCAACCCTCTCCTTTTTGCCATAGCGACATTCAAGAAAGGACTAGTTGGTTAGACTTCCAGCTACGAGGCTGTTCCCGCTACCATTAGAGTTGAACTGTGTGCGTAAACTACTTTAGTCGAGATCTACTTAAGCCATGCAGAACTCCAGTCTCAGCAGCCCATGCACACGATGTCTATTTATTCGCGTCGCATTCAGAGACAAGGGAGGGATAATGCAAAGACGCTCCGGCGCTGGAGAGGGCATACGTCAATGGTAGCAAGCTGCGGCTGGTAAAGAGGACTCTTAGAGATAACAATTTTCTTGTGCGGCGAGTGCAATTTTTCCTCGGGAAGTCAGAGCTCGAAGTCGTTTTTGAGGTTGAAGTAGAGGAGCTACTGAGCTGCAAAACGGAACTCGGACAAACAGACGCCATTTGCTTCATAGTTTGGATGTTATCTTGCTGTTCAATCAAAAAAAAGATGTTAAGTATCCGGATTCACAATGTCAACCTTCCCCGAGCCCTCTTGCAAATTCATCCCGATAGTGTAGTCCTACCTAAGCACCAGTGGCCTGATCGCGACTGGGAGGTAAGCCGTGAGCGAAGGCGGGGGCTTTCAATGGCTCGGCCGAAGCGGTTAGGCTCGGTATCGGGACAATGGCCACCCCCGACATCTGGAGCGCGTCTTCAGCAACACCAAGACGTGAGCTCTTACTCATCGCAGTCGTTCTGACCTATTGCCGGTCACCACCCAAGATGAGCGCAGATGGTCAGACGCCGAGGGTTGTGCCTCCCAGCCGGCGAAGAGACAAGCCTATATTGAGCTGCACCCTTTGTCGTCGACGAAAGTGAGCGTCTTCGAAACTTGGCGTACCTGCCCAAAGGAACCGCATGCTAACAGACTGGAGGTTGAAATGTGACCGGCAGCAACCATGCAAGACTTGCGTCGATCGCGGACTCTCGCTGTCGTGCGCCTACGTTCGTAGCACCCCAGCACCAAGAGAACCCAAGGTCCCAACCAGCGTTCATGACAGGATTGATCAACTCGAAAAGCTCGTCACCAACCTTATTGGCGGCAGCGCAGTTGATATCGTTAATCCTGCGCAATCTAGTCCTGCACAAGAGCAATATCATAATGGAGACAGCAATGCCGAAGTTCCTGGAACTCCGGATCACGTAAAACTCAGCAGTGACACTACAAGCTATACTAACAGTGGACATTGGACAAGCATTCTTGATAGTGTAGGTAGTTTTGAACTGCGACTCTTACTCCTCTAATATCACCTCAGATATCGGAGTTACGCGAACACCTCGATCAGATTCCCACGTCAACCGTTCCCAGAGATGAAGCACTGGATGATGTACCCGGTCCGGAGCTGCTGTTTGGACGCTATCCACATGCGACGAAAGAGGAACTACTCGCCGCTCTCCCTCCGCGATCAGAAGCAGATCGGCTCATAAATACGTTCTTCGTATCAATGGAAACACATCCCAGTAAGTCGGCTCTTCCGATCAGAAGCGACCGACTAACGTTTGCAGTACTGATACATAAACCAACCTTTCTCAACAAGGTGAGACGAGAGATTGTTCAAATTTCTTGAGATGCTAACAAAGATACAGTACAACGATTTTTGGATACGACCGTTTGAAACTCCCACCATGTGGTTAGGCCTACTCTATGCCGCATTCGCGCTCGGCTTCCGGTTCCAAGCCGCAATGGACGCTCATCAACCTGGTGATTCCGATCTAGCTACTGACTCGGTGCGCATGAACTTTTACCGCGAAAAGGCGGTGCAATGTAAGCAACATACCCATATGAACTGCACGTGAGACATACTCTGACTTCGTACATCAATATTCAGGCATGATTCTTGCAAACTATACCAAGACCCCACCGTATACGATCGAGGCGTTCTTGCTCTATTTCGGAACAGAATTCATACGCTCAGCAGACAGCCAGTTCAGTGTGTACATGCTCGTCGGCTTGATGGTACGCCTCTGTTTTCGCATGGGGTACCACAGAGATCCATCGAGATTCCCGAACATATCCCCCTACACAGGTGAGCTGCGACGTCGCAAGTGGCTTGTAATCATGTCACTTGATCTTATCACCTCTGCTCAGGCCGGATTGCCGAGAATGATCATGCCATTTATGCATGACACTCAAGAGCCTCGCAATCTAGATGAAGACGACCTTTACGAAGACATGCTGGAACTGCCACCATCGAGGCCTGAAAACGAATTGACGCAACTGCTCTACTCGATCCTTCTCACAAGAGTGCGGCGTGTTCAGGCACGGATCTTAGACCTAGTCAACAACACATCTCAGCCACCGTACCGAGAGATCGCCGACATAGACATTGAGCTAAGAGGAGTGTTTGATGGGATACCACAGTCCTCCAAGGCCAATACCGTTGAGGATTTTGGTAGGGCTCTGTCACCAGACGCTATGCGCCGTTTGTATCTGGACCTGGCTTTCTTGAAGGCCGAGCTTATGTTGCACCGACCGTACCTTGTACTTGGCCGATCCGAAACCAGGTATGCATACTCTCGAAGGGTTTGTCTAAACGCTTCGATAGAAATGCTTCGCTTCCAGAGCAGAATCGATGCGGAGGTTCAACCAGGAGGCAAACTGTGTTCTCCAGGGTGGCGCATCTCTACCGTGAGTTGGTACATGTCTTCCACTGTTGCACAAGATTTTCTTCTTGCGACCACTGTCCTAGTTCTCGAGCTTGACGCGGACCTCGTGTCTCCCATTTTACAAGCTCCTGAGCCCACCGAAAGCGGGATGCGATTGGACCATGCACCGCCCACGCGCGAGGAAATTGTAGATTCATTACGGTCAGCGTGCCGCATTTGGTCCAGAGCTAGCAGGAGATCTCAAGAAGCGCGGAAAGTTACTACAGCTGTGAAACTTGTTCTTTCCAAAGTGGGCAATTCTAGGGTACAAATTGTAGACTCTGCACATAGTAAGTCCCATTTCCTCCATGTCTCGTTCATATCAACTGATCTTGTCGAACAGCAACTTTTCCAGACGCCCAGCTCAATCTTACTTCCCCATCACCGTCTCTTGACTTCAACGATCTTGGATCTGCTGCTCCCGGTTCGGATCCTTTTGATATGGGCAATGGTGCTTTTGGTCATCCGTTCGACTTTGGCTACATGCCAATGGATCTGGACCAGCCTACACTACCTTTCGACTGGGTGAGCCTAACTCGTCATGATTGGTACCGTCGCACTGACTTGTCATTAGGGTGATGTATTTCCTAACCTTCCGGCGCAGCCTTATGGAGAATACCCTCCACGTTCGCTCTTCTAGTGGCAGAGAGAGCATCGAGATTCTTTCTTGGTTTTCCAATTGGCTGCCGTGAGAATCTGATAGGTGCCGATGAACGATGCGATACTGCTCACTAACATGTGGAAAAGCTGCGATCGTCGGTTCGGCGTTTCAGTCGCACTAGTGAGGCGCCGCTTGTTTCTGCGTAAGCTGCGACCTCGAATTCGCAATGACTTTGATCGCTCCCTAATCGGCTTAATACACACACCGCTCCAGCTCAGATTTTTCAGATTTTGACGAAACATTCAAGACCCATACGCTTGAAGCCGGGTGTTGCCCCCGGACGCTCACCAATGCGACGCTTTGGCCAGGTCTTGCGACGACGAAACGGGAACGTCGATCGCCAAATTCGCACATCCATCGCGATCCGGCAACTAAGAGGATGTTTGAAACCACCGGCATGTCCACATACAAGGCTGCAAATGCCGTATCCGCGACGGAATATAGCAGGTCTGTCATGCACTACTATAATCATGCAACACGTTTACCACGTGCATCCATGCAGTTCGAACATCGAGATTGAGATTCGCGTTAGCAGAAGCAGTTGCGTCATCCTGCGCGCATGTTGAAGCGATCTACTTATCTTTCCTCTGGCACAGCCTATATGTCTCCTGTTATGGACAGCATACGCCTATTCTTATGTATTGACAACCGTCAGTACTGTCAGTCTCAACCCTAGCGCCTCTCCACCACAGCATCTCTAAATGGACAAGATGGATCACATAGAAGAGACCTTCTACTCTGAGAAAGAGACTGCAATCGAGCCTGATCTTGGAGACTTGCGAAAGTCTACCGACAAGGCCTTACCTGCGCCGCCCAAAACACCAAAGAGAGTGTTGATGAAGTATCGGTTCTCTGCCGTCTTTCCAATCGCATTCGCTGTCGCAAGCTTCGTTTTTACGTTAGTACTGGTACTGGCAGGAAGCGACAAACACACTTTTGGTGGACAGTACATGGTGGCTGTATGTATTGCGCGAAGCATGAGAGGAAGTCACATGCTTACGGTCCGCAGCTAAACACTTCGTCAATCACCCAAGATGTCACCCAAGATGGCACCCAGCCACATGCGATATCGACGCGATCGGAAGGCGTGAATGGAAAAGCGCTAGCAGACGTCTACTATCTCTATCTGAGGACAGTCTGCTCCGGCTTTGTGTCAAACGCTCGAGACGATGCTTCCGACCTTGTTATCGTAGAGCGATGCGAACGTTACAGCGAAGCCAATGATCGTAAGTGGGCCGAGTCGAGAAGGTATTCTAGTCTCAGCTGACCAGGCATACGTAGGACTCTTGACACTGACAGTGCCGACTAATGGGCGTAAAGACTCACTGTCCCCGGTTTTCTTAGTCTCTACGCTCCTCAAGACTATGACTACCATATTGGCCGGCGTGCGACAGGCGGTCTTTGCTTGCTTACTCGTCTCGCTCGTTGCTGCTGGGTTCTCCGCTGTTTCCGCCATTCCCGCCATCTTCTTCCCACACTCGAAACTCCTTGCCTACTTCAACATCTTCTGGCCATTTCTTGCGGGTGTAGTCGTCTTTGTCGCCGCCATTCTGCTCACGGTGTTGACATCTGGGGTCTTCGCAGTGGCTGGCGAGATCATTAATGTTGCTGGCGCGGGGGTCCATCGAGGTACATCCGCGCTCCTGATCGTGTGGCTGGCATGGTTTCTCGTGTCTTTATCGGTAGTTTACTGGGGTATTGTTTGGTTCGTGGAGGTTAGGCAATCAAGCTTCACCAGGAGAAAGAGGAGCGATGACGAAGTGGGCAACTGGAAGAACATTGGGAAGGAGGTAAGGAGTGACTTGAAAGGTAGTTAAATATTATGATATTCCACCAGTATGTCACATGCAAGGCCGACATGGCAAGAGCATTCATGTTGACTGTGCTTTACATTCCAGAGGACGTGATATTACGCGAGTAAGCGTGTACACCTCAATCTCGCGTTGGTAGTCATCCACTCTTTTTTGAGAACACGCAGTAGATGCAGTCACTATCGGTCATACTGCATTCTTCGGATATGAGTCTAGCTTAACGCAACATGTGTGGTCACTCGCTGAGCCACATTGAAGCTCTAGATTTCAATGTATTAATTGGGTATATAAATAACGGCTTGCGTCAACATTTTTCAGTATCAATCCCCGATTTTGTCAAATTCATCTCGATACCAAAGCCATGGCACGATCAGGGGCGGTAAAGTCATGAAGCTGCAGCTTCTCCCTCCATGGTCAAGCCTGAGGCATTGACCAAAATCCCTAGACTTACAAGCGCCTCCTACACATCCACGAGTGGGCGAGGTACTACGCAAACATAAAAAAACTCGAGAGTCGGATAAAGGCTTGAATGCGATGCCTGAGTACGATTACTACGACGGGAACCAGCTCCTTGGAATACTACCACATGGCGGGAGGCAAAATCGTGCTAACAGAAGTGTGCTTCTTTCAATTTGCCCACAGATCATGGAGTTACGATAAATGACACCCAGAAAAGTCTGACATGCTCCACAGTTACCATATGTAGCGGGAATGCATCCGTAGACTTGATAGATCGGACTGAGTGAACATGGGTCAACATGGATGTTCTAGAAGGCAGACCCAACGTTCCTGCACTAGCGGGGTGGCGAACGCAACGTGGTTATCAGCCAACCATGGTGCGAGGTGGCCCCACCGCCTCCGACTAGCGCCGAGCTCAGGGTCAAGTACTCCACAAACTTGGAGAGCTCAACCCCTCCGCTCTTCACTCGCTTTCTGCAATTGCTTCCCACACGACTGCCCAATATGCGGTCCTCGGTCTCTACAGCGACAGTGCCGTCGAAGGAGCCTGTGCCTCGGAGTTTTACTGTCAAGGCGGAGAAGCAGGAAGAGCCAGAAGGCGAGAATGAACACGACCACTTTTTCTGGACGTACACCGAGGAGCCACACAGAACACGGCGAATGGCTATTATCAAGGCACATCCAGAGGTATGATCAGTATCATGTCAACCTTGCCAATTCCATGCTAATTGGATACAGGTAACGAAGCTCTGTGGCCCTGAACCTCTCACGAAATACGTTGTCCTACTCGTCGTATCCATCCAAGTCCTCTGCGCATACCTTCTCCGCGACACGCCCGTCATATCATGGCCTTTCTTCCTCACCGCATACATCATTGGTGCCACGGCCAACCAGAACCTCTTTCTCGCTATTCACGAGATATCGCACAACCTGGCTTTCCGATCGCCATTGGCAAACAGGATCTTCGCCGTCTTTGCGAACCTGCCAATTGGCATTCCATACAGCGCCTCGTTCAGGCCTTACCATCTGACTCACCACAAATCGCTAGGCGTCAATGGTCTAGACACAGACCTGCCCACTGCTTTCGAAGCCATCTTCCTCGACTCAGTCGCCGGCAAGGCCTTCTTCGCGACCTTCCAGATCCTCTTCTACGCTCTCCGACCCATGTTCGTCTACGCCCTTCCAATGACCAAGATCCACCTCTTCAACGTCGTTGTACAACTGGCCTTTGATTACGCACTCGTCCGATATGCAGGAGGGAGGGCACTGGGATACCTGATCATGAGCAGCTTCCTCGCCGGATCCCTACACCCCTGCGCTGGCCATTTCATCGCCGAACACTACGTTTTCGAGAAGCCCAACAAAGACGCATCGAATCCTGCCAACAAGATCCCCCTCCCCGAGACGTACTCATACTACGGACCCCTCAACTTCTTTACCTACAACGTCGGCTTGCACAACGAGCACCACGACTTCCCTGCCATTCCCTGGACGCGCCTCCATGCGTTGAACCGTATCGCGCACGACTTTTACAAAGACCTACCGCAACACAAGAGCTGGGTGTACGTTCTGTGGCAGTTCATCTGGGACAAGGATATCAGCCTTTGGTGTAGGGTCAAGAGAGAGGAGGGCGGACGCAAGGTTGGTGCCGGATGTGGATGGAACGAGGAAGAGCTGGGCTCGAACGAGAAGAAGGGCCCCATTCCTGGTGTCTTATAAGCTGTTTCTAGATATCTTGCATATACGGCGTTTGGAGCGGCCTGGTTTCTTAGAGCATAGAATCAAGAACAACGGTTTGTTGTCAAAAGACTGACTGCTTGACTATCATTTGTCTTGGATCAGCGGTGGCATTCCTCATGCTGATGGCATATAACAGCCTTATCGTACCGCTAACACAACATATCCATCATCCGCCTCATATCGACCTCACAACGACAAGTCGCCAAAGCTTCCTCCCTGCCTACTCCATCTCCTCACAGCAAAACCCCTTCATCATAGCCACAAACTCTATTCCCTCAAACAAACTAACTAGCCCCGCCGCCAGCAAACCCAAGGAGAAGGGCTCCTTCGCTGGCATAGCTCCATCTTCAACCACAGCATGCGAAGAATATCAGTGACAAAACATGAGGTGCGTAGCCCTCAACTCGTTGTAAAAGAGTATCAAAAACCCCAGACCCACATCAAATGCCCATGTCCAAACTGGCGATGGTAGAGTAGGAACGGAAGGGAGAGTGCCAATCGTCATACACAATTTCATGCCTCGCCTTTTCTCACCGAAAATGGAACTGAATGCCGTTCTCTTGTTCGCTGGCGTGGTTGTAACGCTGATGACGACATCTTTGAGCGAATTGACGGTAGGAGAATACGCGTTTCTTTGCATGGATATCTTTATCGTAATGTCCCCTTTTGTATCTGTTGATAGGAGAGGTATGATGGATCGAAGTGTTCATTTGTACTCTTTGGATACTTCGATTTTGAAGGACCAGTCGGCGTGGTTGGCCAAGGAAAGGATGGTGCGAGTCGGGGTTTCGGTGACCGGGTTGTAGAACTACAGGGATGATGTACTACCGAATGGTCCTGGAGAACTACCGTTGGTGAAGGGATGTCTTTCTGAGGTTGGTGGTGGTTGGTGTTGTGCGCTGGGGTGAGTGAAGGGATGAAATATTGGAGTTGGAAGGGTTTGAAACCTTTTGGCGCAGGTTTGGAGGGTCACTGATACTGGTAGGCAAAAGATGGTGCTGTTGCGGATGGTGTGGGGGGGGGGAAGGTTGCGCTGTTGATGTGTATGAAAGCCTTACTGCCTGCACCAGTGTTCTGTTGTAGTCCGCTCGCTTGACCGGGCCAAGAAGGATCTGGCAAGCTGTTGTCGCTAACTTAAAAGTTTTTATCCGCTTCTCAACTAGTGCTTCTGACAAGTGCAGAGCCTTGTCGGGGTGGTTCACTAACGCAGCCTTTCTGTATGCTTTCTTGATCGCGGCATCGTCAGCTTGGATGTCGCTACCGAGGGTCTGATAGTGGTTCGCTGAGGTAGACATGGTCGAACGTGGAAGGGAATTTGAAACATCAATCGGAGATGGGAAGAGTTGTTTGGAAAAGTGTTTGTGCTGGAAAGACCCTGTTCAAGAGATGGCCTTAACGGAAGTGATGGTGGAGATGAGTGTATCAGGTACAGGGAAGTGATAAAAGGGTATTTAGCAAACATAATCCTGTCATTGTACCATCCGCGCTTCATTGTTCCAACCTCGCGGGTCCATCTTACTTCTCGTCCCCCTCTATCATTGCCCAGGACGGCTGAATCCCGGTATGTAGGCCACGCACTTCCTCACAGCTCGTCAATCCTCTCCACCTCTCGTTCCCTATTTAGCACCACCCTCACCATCCTACTTTTGACGTCAAACAGACCCTCGCGCAGTCGTTCTAGATAAATCTCATAGCTAGGCATATACCCGTCGATGAATGCACGGACCTGCTCATCCGACATTCCCGATCCCTTCACTTCAATCATCTTATGCTCTTGCTGCAGCCGCCAAGTGTACACGTTTCTCAGGTCATCCGTATCGATATGGATGAAGAAGTCAAAATGTTGAGGTCCCATGAATGCATCACAATACCGCTTGAGGTTCTCGTTTACCTCGAACAAGTGCGGAAGCTGATGGTTTGCAGGGGTATTGACCGTGAGCTTTCCAGCTTTTGCTAGTGAGTGCCTTCCTTCGATGAAGGACTGCGAGACCGGCTGGAAGCCGACGCACCATCCTTCGAAGACGACGACATCAGGCTTTTGCGAGATCGTTGGCCATCCTGATTCGGGTGCGCGGTCACCTTCGCCGTTGTACTTGCTCTTATCGAAGCTTGGGATCTTGAGATTGCCTTTCCCGGTGTATTCTTTAAGATCACTGAAGAACTTTCGAGCTAGCTGTTCATCGTGTGTACCTGGTTGTCCACGAGTACGGTAGAGTTTGTTGTTGGGGTCACGATCCCGCTGTGCTACCAGCTCGTCATGTGTTTTGTAGAAATCGTCCAGTGAAACAGTTATTGTATGGAGACCGTGACCCTGTGATAAGATCTTGACAAGCTCTGATGCCCATGTCGATTTGCCAGAGCCTTGCAGACCGGTGATACCAAGTACGATAGGCTCCGATGACTCTTGGCGGCGCGCCTTGATCTTAGGGAGTAGGATGTCAAGCGTCCGACTGATGTTTTCTGCCAGAGTAGACATGACGTAGTCTTGCTAGTCTGTTTGGTCGTGTGATTTCGAGGTACAACTAGTGTCTTCTACTGTGTTGTCTAACCATGGCCGTCATTCGAAGTTTATATTAGCGGACATAGATAGTCCGCAGAGAGAAGCCAATCCTACCCGCAGCCGCAACGATGTCGGCCCGAGCGAACCCCGCACCTTCCACAAGTCCTCAGTATAGTGAGGATATCCGTTGCCAGCACAGAGACAAGGCTGCAAAATGAGAACGTGACGTCGCCACCCAGAAACATGCGCTTACGGTTGTACAAACATGCTCGACCCTGTCGTTATATTGCCTATTCTCTCGCTACCACCAACAACTACCTAGCACAACATGGCCGTGTCAAATCTCCACAACACCCAAACCAATAGCTCGCAGCGGCACAACACCAAGCAAATTACCGCTGCGGGCTCGCTACCACGATCTAATGCCAGGGCGAACAGAAGAGGACATACAAAGTTACTGCGTTAGGAAAGTACAGAGAAAAAGTGTGGATTACGGGATGCCATTTCACGGTTCCGACTGTCACAGTTCACCGCCGCTTGCGCTGGTGAACCAATGTAGACGATGGGGTTGAAATTATGGTCGCGCAAGCGTCCCGAAAGTTGGCTACGAGATTTATGCGCGCTGCTGTGTCTCGTGGTTCCTTGTACTATTTTTGGTAGCATAAGGGAAAGAAAACGGAAAGGGTCTGTGTGCGCGAGTCATGACCATAGCTTACGCGCCAACTACCCACAACTCTTTTCCTCAAATAACCGCGATGGCAGGTGCGGGCTTCATACTCGTCAATTTCTCCAGTCTTTCAGGCGTCATCTGGTACACCTCTGGTAATCCCGTTGCACTCCAGTTATCACCATTCATGAGCTTCACCAAGCCAGGTGCTGCTGTGAAGATTCGCGCCATACCACTGTCCGGATGTTAGCCTCGCACTTCCTGCCAAGCTATTGAACTTACTGTCCGTGGTGGCCGGCACAAATATATTGATCAGGCTTTCCGGGTATCTCTCCGACAAACGGAACGCCGTCCGCACTCAGGCCGATGATGCCGCTCCAACTGTACTCAAACCCTTCACCTGGACCTGCCGGGGCGTCGTTCCAGCCTTCGAATTCTGCTTCTGTAAACTTCTTGACATGAGTTGTCACACTCTTCAGGTTCGCAAGTCCGTCGTTGATGCAGTTTTCTGGGTTCTGCTCAACCCACGCATCAAGCTCTTTCTGCCCTGGGTTGGAGCCACCAAACATTATATTACCATCGGAAGACGAGCGCGGATTGATACTAAACAATGCACCGTCCGGTAGCAGAATGCCATATGAATTTCTGATAGCCTTGGATCCGCTGAAGGCTTGTGGCGGTACCACCCTGTTGCACATATGCGGTTTAGGTGTGATGACATTGCGAAGTGATGGCTCGAGGGCTGCACTATAGGCATTCGTGGCGTGCACAACAGTGTCACATGAGATGTCTCCTCGCTCCGTATGAACCATCCATTTCCTGGACCCCGTTCCCTCGGAGACTGACTTCGCAGTAGTGTGGGTTTGAAGGTTGGCGCCATTGGTGATGTTCTCGCGCATGATGTGCGCCGTCAACTTCCACGGCTGTAAGGTCGACGCCTGCCATGCGTAGCAGGCCTTCGCGCTCCTGATTCGGGACTTTTTCACTGCTTCAACCGGGTCATGGGTAACTTTGATATGCTCGACCTTTCCACCAGCTTCTGCATACCTTTCGAAGACTTCTTTGGCTATCTTTGCAACTTCGTCATCGAGGGGGACGTCCAAAGTCTCTCCAATCCAGAGATCGCAGTCCACGTTGTTCTGTTTGACGTACGCCACCAAGGCTCTCCACGTGGCTTGCTCATTGTCCATGATCTTGAGAGCTTGATCGTGGCCATACGCTTGGGCAAATTTCTCGTAATGTCGCCATTGATCAGGTTTACAATGACCTGCGTTGCGACCTGTTGCGCCGGAGCAAAACTCTCGCGCTTCGAGGACAGCGATACTTCTATCCGGAAATGTCTCGAGATGGTGCTTGGCGACTAGCGTTCCTGTGATGCCAGACCCGATGATGACTGTGTCTGCCTCTTGAGGTAGTTTATCAGTGGTGCGGTGGTCGAGTAGCGGGTCGCATCGAATTTGCTGCAGCCAATATGAGAGTGACTGTCCACCTTGTTTTGGAAAACCCGTACGGTGGTGACTTTGTGGTTTAGATGCATACTCTTCGACGTTGAGTGCGGCTGATGTTTCTGGAAGACTGACGCTAAACGCGCCACCCAGTCTGGATCCCTCCGCGCCTACTTGCTTCATGTTGAAATAGTAGGACGTGCGCGCGAATTATGGCTCTGGTAGGGTTGGATGAGTTAGCGCAAGTTATATGCCAAGCTCATTACAATGGTATCATTGTTGTTTTGCACGATTTGACACTTTTTGCTCATTCTTTAATGCTTTTTGATGTCTTGGCTAGATATGAATCCTTTGTTAAGTGTAGGGTGCGCTACCCGGAGATACTGCAAGCCTGTCTGTGACTCGCAAGTTCCCCGCAGCGAGATTCCAGCCTCGCACGCGAAATCGCGTTATCATCCTCTAGTCCTCAGCTCTCTCGCTTCTAGACCCGCCACTAAGACACTATATACCTAGCGCGGTCACAGGGGAAACCAACCCCCACAACATGGTTGATACAGTTTACTAGAGGGTTGTTTTTCAAGTCATTGATATAGCCACTAGATATCAGAGTGCATGCGCTGAGCTCGGCAAGGCCTCGCTCAGGCAGCCACACAATGCCACATTGCTCGTAGTGCTCTTTGTAGCGGACGCGCTCTTGGATAGATAAACTCAGCTTCTCTGCCAGTCGTTGTTAATCCAGAAAATCGGCACTCAATCTCGTCGGCATTTGATCTCACTGTGTGCGTTAACAAGTAACATTATAGCCAGCTCTAGCATAACTGCATTATGCTAGCGGCCACTTCTGCGATGAATGTTGCACGTGAAGACAAGAGCGGTCGATATATGGCCGTTTCCCTGAATGACCAAAAGTAGAATCCACCACGTGAATTTGGAAGAATGTAGCTAAATTCTTGCGTAGGGATGGCACCGAGTTGCAGACGCTGTCGCTAGGCGGGCTTCCAGATTACCGCAACGATTCATCCGACAGCGACTACATCGAGAAATCTGAACATGCACCCGCTACGCTCTCCAAGAGGCACACTGGGTGGCGACGAGGTATCGTATATTGTATCGCCACTGCCTTTCTCGTCCTCCTCTGCGTTCTCGCTTTTATGGGTTGGACGGTTGGACTTTCAACAGAAAGCGCCGGTATTCGCGTGCTCTTTCGAGGGAACTGCAAGACGTCGAAAAACATGTTGACTGCGACGCACGTGGCTATCAACGCACTCAGCACGCTTCTGCTCGGGGCTAGCAACTACTGCATGCATATTGTCAGTGCACCATCACGGCGCGACGTCGACAAAATGCATGCGAGAAAGAAGGTGCTGGACATTGGGCTGAATAGCGTCAGCAACACTTTCAAGCTGGGCTGGAACCGGCGCGTAGTATGGGTTCTTCTGGGTCTCAGTTCTATTCCACTGCATTTGATGTAGGCTATGGGTTCGAGTTCGAGTCCTAAGCAGTGTTGCTAATGACAAATAGGTCTAACTCGGTCATTTATGCAACAACGACGGCGTACGAATACGTCGCCGCAGTGGTCACTGACGACTTCTTCCAAGGCGCGAACTGGACGACAAGCGCACTTGAGGCCTTCCGGACGCCAACGCCGACCGAGTGGCACGCCTGGATGGAGGATGTCCAAAGAGGCAAGTTCTTAGCTGGCCTTTGCATATAAGACGCAGACTGATCGGAAGTATAGGCGATATTCAGCTCACTAAACTAGACACCAAGGCCTGCGTTGAGGCATACGCGACCCCGTTCGTCACTCGGAACGGCAATGTCATCCTCACAGCAAATAGACATAATCCAAACACGACCATCTACCACAACAACTCCTTGCTCATGGTGGAATATGGCAATTACAATGAATCTGATGCTGGTAGCTTCCGAACAACTCCCAGTTACGGCTGGATGTGTGCCAAAAATGTGTTGGAAGCCGGATGGGATTCCCTGCCTGCGTGCTCAACTATCTTAGCCGATCCCTCTGCCTTCGAGGTGGAGCCATTCCTCCCCCTCAGTTACAATGATTCAAGTGGATCTTATGGGTGGGATACCCGCGTGATCCCTATCAATGGCTGTTTCAGCCAAAGGCTAGATGAGAAGTGCACGGTGGAAACGAGTCTGTTCTTGTTGGGTGTCATCATCGCCTTCATTAGCTGCAAAACCCTGTGCATGTTCTGGATCCTCTGGCGGCTGAAAGAGTATCCGCTAGCCGTGGTGGGTGATGCAATCGCCTCGTTCATGGAAGAGCCGGATGAGAACACGAAAGGCGCTTGTCTGGGTACCGCTTCGACTTTCAACCATACCAAATCCTGGCAAAGAACCCTCAAGTGGTCATCGAAGCCGAATCGCTGGTCGCACAATGTTTCGGGAGGCCAATGGACTACCTGTATACTCCTGTTTGTCGTCACGCCACCCGTACCTTGTAGGCTACTGACCGAATTTCCAGTTGTATCATAGCACTGTCTATCGCCATCTACCTCCTTGTCGACGCCGTCACCAACTTCTATGGCTATGGCTCTCTTGAAACTTCCCCTATCAAAATTTCGGGCTTCCACACTCTCCATCCGAGCTTCATGATGCTCTCTGTCATTCGGAATACCGGTAACAGCACATCCAGCCTACTACCTGCCGTATTGCTCGCCAATATGCCCCAGCTCATTGTCAGCTTTATCTATGTCTCGTACAACTCAGTTTGGACATCCATGCTCATGGGCCTTGAGTGGAGTCAGTATGCATACATACGCCGCACCCTGCGCGTTAGCTATCCAAGCGCCACCCAACGCTCATCGTACCGGCTCCAGATCCCGTACCGATACGGTGTACCTCTTATGGTGTTGATTGGCAGCATCCATATGCTCATCTCGGAGAGCATATATGTCGTTAGAATACGAGTCCTCACCACGAACGGACAGGAGGATCCGTATCAGTCATTTGTCACGTGTGGATATTCCCTCCTTGCGCTGCTGGTGACGATCATTGTTGGAATTGTGGCGGTGATTGGCGTGATAGGATTCGGATTCCGTAGATATAAACCCGGCATGTCTCTGGTGAGATGCAGCAGCGCGGCGATCAGTGCTGCGTGCCATCCGAGACCAAACGAGAACAGGAACGCCGCCCTTCGATCACTTCAATGGGGCGCGGTGCCAACCGATGGAGAAACAGGGCACTGCTGCTTTAGCACCGAGTCAGTTGTTATGCCCACGGAAGGATTAGAGTATGCGTAACGAATCTGATTTTCTGACTATACTTTTTATCCTTGATGGTCAGTATAGCCTTTGCTATCTTCATCAAAGTAAGCAGAGCAGACTTTTTGGTCTCAAAAGCTGAGTATTCGCCAGCGTTACGTTCAATATCGACTATTTTGTCGGTTACAAACCAGTAAAGATCGTCGCAACGTTCGTCGAGGCCAGTGGTAGTACCGAATAACGGCTTGGACTTGGTGTGGATGTAAGACATGAGGCTGGTGAAAGCTGAGTCGAAGTCGAAGACCTAGTTTCTGCGTGGGTCGATGGAGTCGTCGGTAGAGTCGTTGGTGGAGTTGTAGCTGAGGTTGTAGAGATGTTCGATTACCCAGACTTGGGTTGCAACGATGAAGATGGCGTGTTTGATGAGCGGTCGACCCAGAAGCATCTCCAAGACAAAATCAACAGTAGTAGTAAGAATGTCGGAGCAACCGTATTTCTATTGATTATTCAGAATACTCTAATAATGCCTATATATAGTTCGTCTCTATCGTGTATGTGATGCATCATGGCGTCTAGTATGCAAAGAAAAAGGGTATCTGCGCCTTTCCCATGCTTTTGATAACGCCGTTGAAGTAACTTTTGAAGAAAGATGTCCCACCCAGTAAACGCGAACGCTTAGATGAAGAAAACGAAGGACGTAAAGGAGTCGAGATGGATGGGAATAGATCGAGCGGAGTGGACCGAAGGGCCGTATGGTGATGTTGAATAGATGGCTCGCAGCGCTTGCGAGTTATGCGCCAACTCAAGGTTGTCGAGGACTGGCATTCGTGGTGTCCTCAAATCTTAGCCTGCCTCAGGATCTTGCTGTCCTGCTGCGCCTGCCGTAGCTCCAAGATATCCCTCTGCTCCTGGAAGACCTGTCGCGCGCGCTCAAGCACCATCTCGAAGCCCTCCTTACCCTTGGCGGCGTTCTGCTGGAAGCGCTCGACAGTAAACTGCTCGATGCTGTTCTTGATTTTTTGCCAGCCACCACACAGGGCGGTTATTTCAGCGCGTTGGGTAAAAGCGGTCTTGTCGTTTGGTGATGATGCGACGGGCTCGTATATACATGTCTCGCGTACATTGAGGAGATCCGACCATGTCATGTTCATGGAGCAGAGGGTGAGCTTCTTGGCGACGGGGTCGACGTAAGAGGTCTCGTAGACCATGGAGGTGTCCTGGCCGCCGAGGATGGTTTGTATCCATTTCGGTGTGGATTGCTGGCATGTGATGAGACGTTCTGTGCGTAGCTGAGGGAGGTTAGTTTTTTTGCTCGGTGATAATGGTGGGGCGTGCCAAATTGACATGTGAAAGAAGGAGTCACTTACAATTCCTGTCGCAGGGTCGACGGAGCGACTTAATGTGTCGACGGCGATGACATGGGGTGTCTTCTCGTTCCAAGGGCCATACTTCCGCCAGTTGCTCGTCGAAACCTCTTCCCACGAGTAGTCGAAGTCGACTGTCTGCTGGAAGTACTTCATTGTGTCGTGTGGCCGGTCGTGTGCGCGATTATGCGGATTTGTGAGGTTTGTTGTCGGCTATATGTAACGCGTCGTGGTAGCTCGAACTCGTGAAGTCGATGCTATAGGTGGATGAGGTACGATAGCTTTGAAGTGGGTTTTGGGTGGATTGTAAAATGTGAAGGGTGCAAAAGGTTTGGATATGGGTGGGCAAAGGCCGAAAAGCAAGCCGTGCGTTGGCGATAAACGATCGCCGGGGAAAGCGGGAAGTGCTCAACGCTTTTCACCGCTCGAGCCTTGCAACTCTGTTTCTCCGCAAAGCCGTATCGATTAAAGTGCGGTGTGAAAAGCTGGAGAAATAATGTGCTGTCAAGGAAGAAAAAGAAAAGCCGTCGTGGTTGATCGGTTTGTTGACAGGAAAGCAATATGAAACGAGAGTACGAGAGCCTTCTATCCGACCTCACTCTTTCGGATCTACGAAATCTTTGCCACGGGCAGCCGCCTTTCCACTTTTCCGACCAATCACAGGTGAGGCGCTGACAGCCGCGGGCTTGAGTCGTGTGCTTCCCTCAGCGGCGTCTAGGCCAGTCATCCCGACTCTCCCCGTATGACGTCTGATACCCGAATTGGCCAGGTCTCGTTGGTGGACTTCGTCTAGCCTTGACGCAGGGCGTGGAGTACCTGAAGCTTGCGCTGAAGATCTGGCTATGCATTTGGCTCGCGCAACAAGCTAATAATCAGGGTCTTCCGGCTGTCGTGTGCGTGAGGCTGTCATTGGGTTATAACAATGATCTACGACGTGGGGGGCTTCAGACATGACCAAGTTCCTCGCATCTGTGTCGTTGGTGTATTGACGATGTCATCACCTGGTAGTGATGAAATGAAGATGTCGAGAGATTTGCTTGCACTTCTACATTTCACGCGTTCGCTGTGATGAGATTGTGATGCAAAGGAGTGTGAAACCCCAAAGGCTACCGATGCATTAAATACAAGAGACGTCGCAAGAGGAGAATAAGCCGGACAAAGCCGCCTCCCAACGGCTAATCATATATACCAGGATTCCTCTGACCAAGTCTATCGTTGGTATCATAACTTTTTGTATGAAGCTCCAGAACGCCGACCATGCATATGCAAAGTGATAAGCAGCTTTCGTTGCTTGATGTCAGAGACTCAAATCAGTGCCCATACCAGCCGCCCCTCAAGTCCTTTACAACTCCAGCGCCTTCTTCGCCATGGCGAGGGTACCGTCAAAAGTCTTGTTTCCTCCGATGAAACCAGCAGCATGCACGAAGACGCAGCCTGGGATTCCAGAGACCTGGTCGAGCTGCTCATCGCGTACGCCCTTCCACGCATCTGGCAGGTCCTTGCGGTTCTCGAAACCACCATTCTCCTTGCTGACAGCACGGATGCGCCACTTGCCCTCGGGCTTGTCTTCGGGGAAAAGTACGTACAGGACCTGAGGAGCAACACCTTGTGGCTGTTGAGTCTCCTTCTCAAAGTTGTAAAGGTGATCGGCCCACGGCATGCCATCGGGCAGAACCAGGATGCGTCCCTGGGGGTCATACTGGAGACGTGCGTCGTAGGCCTGCTTGACCTGATGACGAGCAGGGAGCCACGATTGGGCACGGTCGATGAGCTCGTAGCGGAACTGCTCTCCAACAAAGCGAGAAGCAGTCATGAAACGCATGTCCTCCTCAGCCTGCTTTGCCTCTGGTGTCTTGGTCTCGTCTGAAGTCTTCGACTTGGGGCCATAGTTGTAGCGGTTAACTACGCTGGCGATGCTGAAGCCGCGGTCCTCAAACTTCTTCTCCAGTCCAGCCTTTTCAAGATCCTTGGGTGCAATCACGTTGATGCCGTTGTCATTGGCGTCAAAGGCCTCAATGAAGTCTGTGTAGATCTTTTCGTACAAGAGATCGCGGTCGGCGCCTTCCAGACCAGTGACGGCTGTGATGATCTCTTTGCCATAGTGCATGTATACAAGCCCCGCAGAAGAGAGCTTGGTAGTGTGACCGGGGAACACGACCTCGAAGCCACGTTGGTGGTGATCATAGCGCTTCTTGTCGTCCTCGTACTCGCCGCCTACGTCTACAACCGTGTGGCATTCGGCCAGTACAGCGGGGTCGCGGGTGCGGATGAGCTGAGAATCGCGGTAGGTGGGCAGGAGCTGCAGCATGGAAACTGCGAGGGCCTCGTCGGCGTGGAAGTGGCCATTATGGGTGCCAATGACGGGCGCATCGGTCTTGAGCTTCTTGGTAGGGCTCTCGGAAGACATTGTGCGGATGTAGTGTGCAAAGCAGTTGGGTCTGACTGGTTTGTATGTATTCCAGATGATTCGTGTAGGTCGGGCAAATAAAGGTCGTAGTTTAAACATGCAATTCCAGCTAGTACAAGTTTCGCAACAGAAGAGAGTCCCGCGGCGGGCACCTGGGCTTGGCAGACGTGTCCGGGCGCTAGTGGGTGGGGGGGAATACAGAAAAGCAAGCAAGTCAGATCGTCACAGGCAGAAGGATGAGGGCAGCAGGCCTTTGGGGTTGCAAGACCACGACCACGACGGCTGGAGCAGAAGACGTCAAGGCCTAGACTCGTCCCGTCGCCATCATCGTGCGCTGTTCCAAGATTGCGCACGCGAGCACGCATCCATCAGTAGCCCCAAGTCGTGCCTACTCGCACAGAACAATATCAATATCAGAGTTTCTCCTGCACTATTCTCCACCCTGCAGCTAGCTGCCAGCCCATATCTAGAGCTGCTGCTTCACCCTCAGACCCGGCCCAGCACTGTGCAGCCGCTCTCCGCGACGCTCGAGCATCCCAATTAGCGAGATTGACACGTGAAGATAATCGATAGCCAGGGCATTGCTCGCGAATCTTCAACCACGTCTCCCGCACACCCACTCACACGTCGAGTGACTCCCAGTAACCTCTCCCGCGCTGCCTGCGCGTCCATCGCGCTTCAAACCCCTCGAATCTTCGTCGCCGCCCCCCTCAGAGGCCACGCTCGTCGCTGCACGAGCTTGGCGACGACGGCGTCCGCATGGGCATGTGGGCTACACTATCACGGGTAGTCTCGTCGACAACCTTCCTCGGCGCCATCATCTTCACCATACCCCTCGCATTCGACATTGGCGGCCGCACCTGTGGATTGGCCTTTTCGCTTTCCCTCAGTGTCTACTACTTTGTCTACTCTTCGCTACGACTAGCCACGCCAGACTCTTCGCGCTTCAGATGGTTCCTGTGTAATGTAATAGCTTGGGCGCAGTGGCTGGCCATACCAACCCTCTTGATATGGAGCCTCAACAAATTCTCCATCGACGCCGACGCCAACTCGGGCTGGGTAGAGCGCACCTTTGGCGGCAAGCGAGCCGACTTCGAGACGGTGCAAGAATGGATCTTTGGCAGTGAGGGACTGCTGCAGAATGCCTCGATAGGTGCTTGGGACAAGACTCTGCGGTACAGCACACCTGTCTTTCAGATAGCCGAGGGCTTCTGCAGTCTTTTGGTCATTCAAGCCGCAGGCCAGATCACCAGATGGGTTGTCAACAAGGAACGTGGTGACAGCTGGATGGTATGAACTTGCACTTTTGCACTCAGTTAGTCGGCTAACAACTCTAGATCGGCCTTCTCATCACCTCCGCATCTATCATTTCCACCTCCGTCTACTTCCTATGGCGCATCACTACTTTCCCTGAGATTAGTAACGTCGACGCCATCCTGATTGGCGTGGCTATCACAACCGCCATCTTCCTTGGTGGATGGGGTATTGTCAGTGCTAGAGGCAACCCAGTCGAATCATCGCTTTTGGTAAGTTCAGCACTCGAAAGCTGCATCTCGTTACTAATACCTGCAGTTCGCCTACGTTACCCTCTGCATCTACCAGATCTTTACCGACTACCAGCCATCACCAGGTTCTGTCGCAGAGTCGAGCGCTCCTTCCGACCCCGCTCTGCCACCGCTACCACCTATCATTATGGCTTCATACACCACACTTCTCCATGCATTAGGCTCTCTGCCTACCATCGCTCATACTGGTTTTAACCTCATGGTCGGCGCTGTCATGACCATCACCCCCTCTGTCATCATCTCTCTTGCCTACCGGGTCTTCGTCATGTACGCCGCGGCGCGAATTATCCCCGCCATACGCGAAAGCGGCGCTCGCGCACTGTCTCAGGAACCAAGTCTAGACGATGACGATGAGACATCAAAGATTCTAGGCTTCCTGACCTGGTTCAGTCCAAGCATTATCATCGCAGTCTACACCAGTCTGCTTATGCAGCACTTTGCTAGCGGAAACGGCGGCGATGGCAGTGCCGTAACAGGCGAGTGGTGGACGAATCAAGGTGGTGATGCTGGAGGCAACTTTTGGAGATGGATTAATCTTGGCATCACAATGGGGCTATACGCCATTGAACTGAAGATCTCGAATGCGGATGACGATGGTCGGTTGACAAGTCACTGGAAGACGGACTAGAGCTTGCTCAAAGAGAAGGAGCAAGCAAACCACCCGAATGGGTACATTGGAACCAGGGATCAAAGAATAGGAAGAAGAGCAGTAGAGCCAAAGCTGCACCGAAGAAGCGGAGGCAAGCATGCCAAAGAGCATGTATAGCAGAACGACGCGCCTCATACAGGCGAGAAGTGTGCAAAGAAAGATGACGATGGGGTTTGAGGATTTGCTTCTCTTTTGTTCTTTTACCTCCAAGCAAATAAGCGCGCATTCTTCTGATACCCCCAAATTTGGATCTTTGTGGGAAATATTATTCGACTTGTACACTATACAGGTGGTGAGAGAGACGGAGAGAATAGGAAATAGCATCAAGTGAGAATATCGACTAAGGAGCATTAACCGAAGAACGCCGACTAAAGATGTCAAACGAAGTGTCTGTCGTTTACGTACCGTAAACTCTTAACGTTCCATCAATGCAGACATTGGCGTTTTACGAGAGAGAGTCAACATCTCCTGGCTATGATATAGATGACTGGAGCTTTGATGGTAAGGTACGAAACCTGTACCGAAAGTGGATAAAAGAGGTGAAGAACAGCAAACAATTGAATACCACAGTCCACCCAAAGTAAGGGAAAAATCACAACCCAAGTGTTTATAAGTGAATCGCAGTGGTTCTTACATTGATACTTTATTGCTCAATAGTCTTCTATCGTTCCAGTACACCGCTTGAGATAAGTGAGACGTACTGCGGTAGAGCATGAGTATGTCTACAACTCAAGGGTGAGCTCGTAGTATCAGCCTCGGCTTAACAAACTAAGCAAGCAGTATATAATGTCTTGTTGCACAAAGACGCAGCAGTAGGTTTGTGTGTGACTTGTTTGGAGATTGATTTCAATCGTGTTGGCCAGCAGCATGACGATCCTGACGAGTCAAAGTAGTTTCGCTCCGTGATTCGGTGATTGCTAAATCGCAGCCTTCTGGACAAGACCGTTTATTTGTGGGAAGGATCATATCATATACTGAAATGCACCTTTTTTGGGTGGGTACGATTGGATGTATATCGTAAGTTGCAACCGCGCATGTATTGGCTGCCTCTTCTGAGGACTGCTACTAGATTTTATAAAGTACTCAGTCATCTTGAGACATTCCGATGTACAAGATGTTAGCGTATCGTATTCCAGGTACTGCAAATGTGAGGACAGGGCAGTTGCATAAATATCGTACGTTTATCTTAAATTTAGTAACCTTTCGGACAGACATGCCTATCTGAGAAGACTCCTTGATGATACTGAATGCCAAGTACGCAGCTTGGAGTCTTTTACTAAGACTAGGCTTCACGCGCTAGGAAATGCAACCTTGAAGTAGCATTCTGGAAGGCGCACCATGACGACAACACAACGATCGATACCAGGAAAGTAAAAAGATATAATCGGGCGACCTTGCTTGTTTGATTGGACGATCGGAACGCGGGCGAGATCTCACAAGGAGCTTATGCAGATTCGTCACACCGCGTGTCGCCAGAGTGAGGATACGGCTCAAAGCGTCCGGCAGTTGTATACGCAGTTCGTGAAACCCTAAGCGCTTCGCTAAGCGCTTACTCTTCCACGACAAGCAATACACACGACGATGACGTTTCGTCGAAATTAGTGTTATGATCAATGTTCAGACCCTCTTTATTCTCAGGGTGAGGGTGGTGTTGTCCCAACTGAGAAGGCAGAGTGAATGCTACAGCAGGTTCGTCCAAGATTAGAAGCGCATACACCGATGGTTCGGTAAATGCGGCACGGGCAGGGCGTAAAATGCCCCTTACATATCTCGACAAGGTCATGCTTTCCCTGGGGCACTGATGCGCCTCTCACCTGTCGGGCGTAAAGATTGGAAGGGTTCGTATGGCTGCCAAAGGGCGGACTTCGGAGTAATTGTGTTGTATTTAGCGCGCCATCCTGCAATCAGCATCAAGTACGTTACACCATTATTGCCCCGACTGTCTTTGTCATTCTGCCAGAGACGCAGCTTTTCGTAGTCAGCCGTTGTCTAATGCGAGAGATGCGGAATCCATTGAAGCGAGCCATCGGTACCGAGTTGTCGGGAAACCGTTTGTTCATCAGTAGTTCATTAGCAGTTCCCTCGCCAACATATCGAAATTTCTGATCAATCCCAAAAATCACACGCCGAAGAGATATGTTGGTAATCCGTCTGGACTCTAGATCCTGCCAACGCCGCATACGTAATCGGAGATGAATGCCGACTGCGCCGCAACCCGACATGCTCCCATTCCATGCAGTAATGGCCAAGATGAGTAGAATGTACAAAAAGCATCGTTGGTAGACTCAATGTCCGACATCTCGACAGAGTATCAGCATGTGGTATAGGAGGAGTCACAGTGCAGAAGGTTTGCTGCCGTTGTGAGGTTGCCAAGTTTGAGTACAGCACGCTGCGCGAGGATCTGGACCTGATCTGACTGATGCCGTAACGCACTGCCGACGAGGAATCCTTCAGATCTTGTTAGTGTGACCAACTTTGAGGAAATGCCGAATCACACCCGCGAGAGCAGCGTGAGTACCGCGGCAAGCACTTAAACCAGCGTGTGTTCCATGAGATTCGGAGACGGATAAGTGCGACCAAATTCACTCGTCTCAAAAATTCAGAGAACACGTCAATGGTAAGGCTGAGTACGTATTTTGAATCGAGCCCAAATGGAGGCGCTGTTTAGACGCGTCGTCTTGGACACGGAATGTAGTGCTCCACAATCAATATGAATGAATAATCGAGATTGAGCACGGAGGTAGGCGGCGGATGTGGACGTTGGTGACAAGCGCGCTGTTCCGCGCTTCCCGTTCGCTACTCGAGTCATATGGCGGAAGGATGAGGCGAGGCTCAGAACAGAGTAGACGTCAGCTGACTGGGCATCAAAGCAAGGGGTGAGCCGGTCTGGGAGACCAGCGGATTGGAAATCCAGCGGCACAGTTGTGAAGAAAATGCCGTACGGCGCAGTCCCAGGTCTTTGTCTGATCGCTAGCGGGAACGGAACGCGCCGCGAGAACCAGCAAGGCGGACTGCTGGATTTTTGCTCGAAATGCGCGCACATGATATAAACTACACTGCAGTGACTACAGCGACATGTCGCGGCCGTTCGTCGGCCGCGCTTAACGAGGCGTCATTGTGTGTACAATGCGTGGCGAAAGCAGAGACATGCTATTGGCTGACATACAAGGGTTGCTTAGACGCATGACCGATCGTCGAGCAACGCCTGAGAGTCAGACAGATACAGCATGCAACGGGTAAGTTGCTCACTTGCCACATTAGCCGGGGAGAAGCATCGCGGCTCTCCAGATAGTGGAGGAGGTTTGGCCATTTTGAGCGTGCGGGTTCCTGGCGAGCAAAGTTTGCACGCGAAGCGCCCGTAGATGAAGGTGTACGAGACGGGCCGGACAGCCAACCATGGAGGGTATCACGTAGCGGACAGTGGCACTCGCAACAGGATCATGGATGGAGGCACCAGCATTAGGCCCAGTGCAGTGCCGCAGCCGAGCATATTGATGATGCTAAGGGCATAAGACGGGCGGGCGTGGTGTGCGGCGTGGATCTGATAAATGAAACACGGCGAGACCCATGAGCGCCTTCTTGTTTGGTGCTGGCTTTGAGACCTAGGCAGGCCTCTGAGCAGGCGGTTAGGAGGAGGCAGTGCCGAAAGGGCCATGACGGCACCCCTTGATGGAAGCGCGCGGGAGGCTGGGCGATACGCAGCGCGGTGAGGGATGATGTTGAATGGGTGAAGCGATTCGCAGCGGTCATCGCAGGCGTTGGGCGGTGGTTTGAGATGAGTGTGCCATGGTAAACGGGGGGTTGTTTGGCAGCCTCGAGATGCGCGGTGTGGTGCAAGTGTATGGTGAGTGAAGGCGTGCAGCGCGGCTACTGCGTTTGGCGATGGAGCAGGTGGATAAGCTAAGGTTGGGTCAGCGCCAATAACAACGACACAGCACTTTAATGTGTGTTTCCGCGTTGGCTTGCATCCTTCTAACGATTTCTGGTCGATCAACCTCGTCTGCCAGCACGCCGGGAGCGCTGGTCGCACGCAGTCGTCTGTGCCATCCTAGTGACCTCTCCGCCCACTCTACCCTCCTTCACACCCAGAAAACGGCTGTAGGGCTGTAGACGCGACTTTTCCGCCCAAAAAACGTGGCAGCGGCCAAAATGCAGGGTCTGTTATGTAGATAGTCGAAGGAACCGCGTCTGTGGTCCTTCTACGACGTGTTCTGTGATGGTTCTGTGGCAGCTCGGGTGGGACAGATAAACGCGGGGGGCAGGGGCCGCATGCAGCTCGGGCCAATGAGGAAGGGACGACATGGGTGCCTGCCCGGGATGTGTAGAGCCCATGTGTGCGCCAGCAGAAGGAGCGAACAGCCGCCCTCCGTGGAATCCTGTTGCTCATCCGTGGCCAGCGTCTGGCGTCGTCGGGTCGCCCCTCCCACATTCGTCGCGCCATATACAGTCTTCCCGCCATATACAGTCCCCGCCGTGGAGAGGCGGCTTTGCTGGCATCGCATCATCGCCCGACAACACCACAACCCATCCCAGCTCCCCAGAAACCTTCTTCGACCACAAACTCCTCAGAGCACAGACGCCGCTCTGGCCACAAGTCGTCGAGTCCCGCACGGTACCCGACCTGACCGTTGAACTCATCTTACTTCGAATACGCTACAGTGTGACCATCGACACCATCCCCCGATATCTTTCACTGCTTCGTCGAATACAACTCAAACAGCCCCACCAAGACTGCCCAAGTAGATAATGGTGGCTGGACACCCTCCCCATACTCCGCCGTAGACTCGACTTGACTCGGTTAACCATCCATCCATCTAACCTCTGATATCCCGCCTTGGACATGTCAACCGTACTGCATATGCCCGCATTTAATTCCGCCCCCCATGGCCCCGCATTTACGTCCGTCAATGGTCGATTGTCTCTGAGTCCACCCGACGACCAAAAGCCATCTGTTGCCGCCAAATCTTCTACTTGGACTATGGTCTCTCCAGACCCCGAGCCTAACCATCACTCTCCAGACAGCGATATAAGCGCATCCACTGTGAGCAGTGGAGACAAGTCTCCCGATAGTTCTGATAAGACGAGGTCGTCCCCTGAAAACCCCAATAAGAGGAGGCGTTCTGGCTCTGAAGAAGAAGCCTACAGTCAACACAGTCCTGATCAGACGACTGCCGGCCCCAGGCAACTTCCACCCCCATACCAGCCCTTGAACCGCAACACAGCCATGAGTATAGAAGCCCCTCAGTTGCCAAGTTTGCCTCCATTAGGTCGTCCAGACGTTGAACGCCGCTGGCAGACCGAGCCCCGTGAACTGCCTCACGCGACTCATCATTTCCAACCCCGTGAGCCACGCCCTACGGAACCTACCCGCAACAACGCCATGTCGCCCGAGTCACGCGAAATAATTGAAGCAACTGAATTTACGCGGGCCGGTGTACAAGTCGAGCTCAAAAAGCGAAAACGGGTATGTTCTCCGAGCCTACCCACCTACCACACTAACATTTGTAGCAATTTGCCAACCGTACCAAAACCGGTTGTGGAACATGCAGAAGGAGGAAGAAGAAGTGCGACGAGGCAAAACCCGAGTGTATGTTGAAAACGCTTCCAGAGCCCGACAAAATCTGACCCATACCAGGCAACAACTGCACGCGAGGCAGCTTCGTCTGTGAAGGCTATGCCAACAAAGTACCTTGGCCAAAGAATGGGCCAGCTAAACCGCCTGCAATACTAGCAAAGGAGAAGTACGCTGCCTATACATCATGCCCAACCTGTCAGGAAAAACATACTCCCCACTGCGGACCAGCTCAAAGCAGTGAAGCCTCGTACCAGCCGCCCGAGATGCATTCAGCCAACGGTACCGAACGTAAATCTTGGAAAGACTGGAGTGATCATACGCCTGCACCGCCACCAGTTCGAGCGGCCTACCAGCCAGAAGTGCCGCCGCCGCCGCCACCACCCCCGGCACAGTACATGCAACCTGCGACAAACCACTACGAGAGACCCTCAAGCCACGACCGTCAACCGGTATCCCAACAGCAACAACAACAGCCGCACCATAGCTCTCGTGGTTACCATGCTCCACCAAGCACGAACCACCTCGCCGTCAACACTGCTGTCCCTCCCACCACCATGTGAGTATCTTCTGTTAGTTCGTAATAAGTCGACTTGCGAATCAAGGCCCCGACCCAGGATCGTGTCTATCACGTGTGCTGAAAGCACAATCGCATTCAGCCTTCATCAACTGACGTATCTACAGGGTCGCCAAGCCTGTCCAACAGCTACATGTGGCACAGCAGCATCCACGACCACCGCCTCCCCCACCATCAACATCCTTGGCACCTACGCGATCTCCGACACGTTTTTCAGAGTCATCTTCAATGACGTACAGATCCGAGAAAGACAAGATGCTAGCTGGGGAGCCATTCAATCCCTTCGACAAGACGCTGATGCATGAACGCCATCAAAGCACGCAAGCCCAGTCTATCTTCAACAGCAAGGCAAACCCCTTGAACGCTTTGGCGAGTGCATCGGTCGACCACTTTTTCAGACAGATTTTGAATGTGAACGCGGGCCGGAGTCGTGAAGGAAAGCAAATTGAAACACACATGGGTTCCAATTGTCATGTAGCTACGCCCTTTGCCTGCGACTACGGCTACCACCTAAGTATGGGCGACAATGTTGTCATCGGCGCTGATTGCCATCTTCATGACTCTGCAAGGATTTCCATTGGAAGGAATTGCAAAATCGGAGTTCGAGTCACTATACAGACTTTGAAGACGCCCACCGACAACAAATCTCTGAAGGGCAGCAACGGCAAGGAGATTGCGCAGGAGGTACACATCGGGGAAAATGTGTATATTGGCGACAACTGTGTGATTGAGGCTGGCGTTCACATCGGACCTAACACCATAGTGCGTCCGGGTTCTGTCGTGTCTCGCGTAAGTTCTCCAATCCCGAGACGGGTTGAAAATGCACATACTGACCTTACACAGTCTTTACCCGCCAACTGCGTCGCTCATGGAAACCCTGCGATCATCCTACCCAACTGAGTTGCTCAGTCAAAAAACACCTTGTGTTGCCGCAGCCTATCTAAACATTTCATAATGTATGAGATATATGCGAGGCATTTAACCTATTTGATATGGGTCTTGCATGTTACATTACGCACCACTGTGTGGTGCAGGAGTTAACGGCGTTTCTACAACCTGGAGGATACCCATTGCTAAACCTTTTTTGCTTTTTACGGGAGGGAGAGATGGAAATGGTATATAGTTGTACGTTGAGAACGGGCGGTATCTGACTTGTATAGTCTCTTTGTATCTTGGTACCTTGCCTGCAGGACATGGCATTGCTCTAAAAGCAAAAAAACATAACATCTCCTACAATAGCCGCCTGGAATTGTCAAGATGCTGAATTTCGGATCGAATCGTTCTTTGCTCACGTATGAGTTCAGATACCCCGCAAGGAACTGCTAGGACACTTGGGGCTTAGCTCAAGGCATGACTGTGAACGCGGCTACACGTGCGTGATGTGGCCCGTGCGACGAATCTGAGCTTCAATGCGGGAATCTCAAAATATCCGCGGCGAACAACCAGCGTCGCATCTCCAACGCAACCACACCACAATTACAATGCCACCCAAAGCACCCCTTAACTGGGGTCTCTTACCACCATCCTTTCTGCTCCCTTCATCAGCGCGATCCCTCCTCCAGCAAAATGCGCAACAAATATCCTCAAGACCCGCCATCGCATACACATCGATCCGATCCATAAAATCCACCTTCACACCCAAACCCGACCGCTTCGCACACCATCCCGCCCGAGAAGCCCTCACCAGCACATCAACTGCAGCGCTCGAGCGGAAAGCCCACAGCACACCTCTCCGAACCGGTCTTCTCGCCCTCAAGAAGGGCATGACATCCATCTACGACCCCGAATCAGGGAAGCGTACAGCATGCACAGTGCTACAACTCGACCGCAATGAAGTCGTTGCGCATAAACGGAGAGATAAGAACGGGTACTGGGCTGTGCAGATTGGTGCTGGGCAGAAGGAAGCGAGGAATGTGAGTAGGCCCATGTTGGGTCATTTTGCGGGTGCGGGGGTGAGTCCAAAGAGGTGGGTAGTGGAATTCAAGGTCAAAGACGAGGCAGGGCTGGGTGTTGGTGTTGGCGAGACAGTTGGTGCGGGGTGGTTTACAAAGGGGCAGTGGGTGGACGTCAAGGCGATAAGTCGGGGAATGGGTTTTGCTGGTGTAAGTTTGACACTACATACGAGTTGCGATGGAATTGGAGATTGACGGTTTGCTGTTTTAGGGCATGAAACGACACGGCTTCAGTGGTCAACCAGCATCTCACGGTCAATCGCTCATGCATCGTGGTATGGGTTCAGCCGGAGGTTCTCAGGGTTCAGGTTCTCGTGTGCTGCCCGGAAAGCGTATGCCGGGTAACATGGGTAACGAGAGCGTGACCGTCAAGAACCTGAGGGTGTTGCAGATTGATGAGCAGAATGGCATTGTGGTTGTCAATGGTAAGAGAGGCATGAAGCGAATTACAGAGACTGGATACTAACACTCTATATAGGCTGTGTGCCAGGACCGAAGAACCAGATTATCCGCGTTCAGGACGCGAGAGGGAAGCCATGGCCTGCGGGGCCCATGTCCGTCGCCGAACTCAAGCCAGCAGAGGTTCTGGCCGAGGCGGGCGTTCCTGATGCTACTGAGGCGACGGCTAGTGCATAGAAGCTGAAAGGGAGAGACGAAGAAGTGAACATTGTACCATATGATAGAGCGAGGTGGTTCGGATTGTCTGAATACAGGCAAGGATAACCATATGAATGTGCATGCGATATACTTCTACATGTGATGGAGAAGATATTAATGCAACAGCAGTGATGCCATCTCATCGCGCTCGAGAAAGGAATCTGAGAAATAGCCATACTATCAAGTCAGTACACCTCTATATCCTTTCCTCAAGATTCATATTGCCACCTTCTTCTTGCACTACGTTCCCATTACCACCTTCCACGATAAGACCCTCCTCCAGCAACACCACTCTCAACACCCTCACTTGTGTATCCTCCTGCATCCCTACCGCCCAACTATCCTTCTCACAAACATCGCTCCGCCCTCCATCATCCACACTGATACGATCGTCGTCGCTGTCGCTAGGGAGGTAGTCATCCCCCTCCGCTACGCCGTTCTCATCACTATCGCTCCTATAGCTCCCAATCATTCTTCTATTCCTGGTGTGTATACTCCGTCTAGAAGGAGACGCGTAGGGACTCCTACTTCTTGTGCTCCTTTCAGATGCATACGCACTCCTACTTCTACTTCTGCTTCTGCCTCCCCATGCGCCGGGCATGGCACCGTAATCACTACCACTCGGCCGCTGCTGCCGCCGATACAACGGTGGTGAAGGTACTGCAGGGGGCGGTGAAGAATAGTTTTCAGAGTCAACGGCTGTGGGGACGCGTGACAAGCGGTCGGAATGCGAGGTACTGGGTCGAGAAGCTATATCTGAGTAGGCGGTGGCGGCGTGAGTATCGTCTTTGCGGTCCAAGTACACGGAGCCGGGCCGGTTGGAGGAGCGGTCTACATGTCTCAAGGGATGAGGAGCTGAGAAGGTGCTCGTATGCTGGTCGTCGGCGTCTGAGTAGAATGAGCCGGGCCGGTCATTGTACCGGGGGTCTAGATTCCTTGTGCGAGGTTCAAAGCGGTTGCGCTGGTTGTAGTCGTCGTCATCATCATTGTCCTCAGGCCGGTGGTAATAGTCGCTCGTATGCCTCGAACGAGCACGCTGGTTATGGTGCCTTTCTCGGTAATTGTCTCGACTTGGCGCGTGGTAAACCTCATCATCTTGCTGAGGGTTTGGATATTGCCTGTAAGATTTATCTTGGCGATTTGCTGGGCTACTATCGCCGGTACTGTAGGATTCGGTGTCGGACCGATCCGCAGTATGGGTGTGGAGCTTGGTGTAGCGTTCGAGAAATTGCTTTGCTTCACGATAGTTGTCATGCTCTCGAGGGTTCAAGCTTTGGCTTTGCGTGTGAGAGACGCTATCGCCCCAGCCTGCCTTGATCTTCTGCGCATTCCGCGTTTCGTGGTGCGGAGCATAGTCTGAAGGTGGACTTTCACTGTAGTTCCTTGATGAAGAGTTGTGGATTGGTGAGCCTTGCCCCAGGGAATCGTCGCTGTACCGGTCATCGTAGCTTGATTTACGATCCGCCCGAACGTTCCTCTTTACTTCAGGCGAGGCTATGTAATCATCGTCAGACTGGGAATCCTGTGCTATGTAGTCTGAATCTTGGGATCGGGTCCTATGTGGCCGCCGAGACGGTCGTGGTTGGTAGCCCGGACGAGGCTGTGAGAAACCATTCCCATCCCTGCTCCGTCCCGGCTGCGCAGTGTGGTCGTAATCCATGGCCCGGTTTACATATTGCCTATAATTGGGAGGTGAATTCTCATAAGATCCACGGCGTGGGGTGATGTAGTCAAAGCTCGAATCGGTGGGCGAGGAGATGTAGTCTGATGAAAGATGGGTATCCCGGTAATCACGAGGAACTTGGCTACTATATTTCGGTGCTGCACGGTAGTAGTTGCTCTGCTTCTCATGGCTTCGGCTACTCTTGTATGGTTGGTCCCACATTCTGGAAGTCGCGTGCAAGCCTCGCGGCCCAGCGATCAGTTGACGTTGAGCTGTGTAATTGGGTTATGCAGTCTGGCAGTGGAGAGATTCGGGCTCCAAGTTGCTTCATTTCGTTGTTGTGGCTAGTTACTTGAAAGTAGGGAAAGCGTCATGCACAACCACGTGGTGGTCCTCTAGCCGTAAGTAAAACGCGCTAGTCTGGTCATGACCCCTGTCTCACCGGTTTGTCATCCTATCACGCCTCTCCACCATCGATGCGTCTTCTGCCTGTGCCATCTTGTCTCCCACCACCCGTTCAATAGTACGGGAAGTAAACTTAACGACTACAAACTTTGCGCATTAAACATTTTTGACAGTCGCGGGATCGATGGCGTTATCGCGCGTTAGATGACAGATGACAGCTAATAGCACCAACTGGTTGCATCACTACTCCAAGCAACAGTGTGCGTAACAGCAGCGACGACATCAATTCGATTTTTTAGTTAATCATTCGTTCCTTCCTTGATCATCACACATTATTTCCCGTCAGCCTTGTGTTCTCGGTCCAGCCTGTTTTGAGGTAGATTCCACCTATCGGAAAAACGAATCCTACAATTTCGCAAAGCACAGCCTCATGAGCCACAGGCCAAGTCGCTCCCTTTCAACAAGGGGTAATCCTCTCATCTTATGTCCGATAAGCTCAATCAACACGTTTCCAACTATTCTGACCCAGGCATGATTATTGTGGATCTAGCGGCTGCCCTGTTATATTGACATGAAACGACAACAGCGGGACTGTCGGGACTAGGCTCCTTGGGAAGCTACATCCGCAACGCCATCCTGTTTGCAAACATCGGTCAAGCAACTCTTCCCTGAGCGCATCAACGCCAAACTACGCACTGTTGACCTGTTCATGACTCTCAGTCGGTCGAAGTTACTTTCCGCCCCTTCCAGACATCGGCATCCAGCACCGCACTCCTGGTAAGAGGTCGAAATGCCCGATATCCACCACAGTCGGTGATGAACGGCGCCAAAGGGTCCAGGTGCATGCTCGAAAGGAATATATCTCCGTAGAGTGAGTGGGGCGTGGTTCAAACACCAGCCAAGAATCCTGCCAGATATAAAGATGCGAGATCAGCCACCGGATATCGAATCATCCAGCTTATACCATCATTCACTCATTCTCTCTTTCACCACCTGTCGTTCTTTTCAGCAAACTGTGTTTGCTATCCATTCTTTATCTTCAACTCGATAACTTTTCACTATGAAGTACTCACTCTTCACCGCCGTTGTTGCGGCTTTCGCTTCCGGCGTCAGCGCTGCTGATGCCGTTAAGGGCGCAGCTGAGGGTTTCGCCAAGGGTACGCGTCTTGCCATGTCCGTTTTCAACTCTATACTAACACTGTCCAGGTGTCACTGGTGGTGGTAACGCTAAGCCCGTCTACCCTACCACTACTGCCCAGCTCATCAGCTACCTCGGTGACTCGTCTCCCCGTGTTATCGTCCTCACCAAGACCTTTGACTTCACTGGCACTGAGGGTAAGGCTACCTCCGCCGGTTGCCGCCCATGGGGTACCGGCTCCACTTGCCAGATCGCCATCAACAAGGACGGATGGTGCGACAACTACCAGCCCAATGCTCCCAAGGTCGGCAGCATCACCTACGATAAGGCTGGTATGCTCGGCATCACTGTCCAGTCCAACAAGTCTTTGATCGGACAAGGCTCCAAGGGTGTCATCAAGGGCAAGGGTATCCGCATGACTGGCAACGTCAAGAACATCATTATCCAGAACGTTCGTTTCACTGAGATCAACCCTCAATACGTCTGGGGTGGTGATGCCATCACCGTTGACGGCGCCGATATGATCTGGATCGACCACGTCACCACCGACCTTATTGCCCGCCAGCACATTGTCCTCGGTAACAAGGCTTCCGGCCGCGTCTCCATCACCAACAACGAGATCAACGGTGCCACCGCCTGGTCTGCTACCTGCGACGGCCACCACTACTGGGGCATGTACTTCACCGGCAGCAACGACATGGTCACCCTCAAGGGCAACTACATCCACCATACCTCCGGCCGCTCCCCCAAGGTCGCTGGCAACACCATCCTCCACGCCGTCAACAACTACTTCTACGCCAACTCCCAGCACGCTTTCGAGGCCGACTCTGGTGCCAAGATCATCGCTGAGGGTAACGTCTTCCAGAACGTCAAGGAGGCTGCCCAGTCTGGTCTTCCCGGCAAGGTCTTCGCTGTTGGCTCCAACGGCTCTGCCTGCAAGGCTGCCATGGGCCGCAACTGCGAGATCAACGCTTACGGCAGCTCTGGCCAGATGGCTGGCTCTGACACCAGCATCATTGCTAGCATGAAGGGCAAGAACATTGCCGCTGCCGGCACTGCTGCCAGCACCAAGAACGTCCAGCAGTCTGCTGGTTACGGAAAGATCTAAGCAACTCTGACAGAGTCAGTCATCGCTTAGGGGAGAGTAACTTCATCTGTTCTTGTATATAAATTCTATTACTTCGTACATATTCCATTTCAATTGGAGATTTGTTTGTCCTCCATTGCTGAAAATTCGTCCGTGCGTGCCTTCTCAAATGTTCGTGTTAGGTTTCGATCAATTCATTTGCCTCAACATCTGCCTACGACGTTGGGCGGTAGGTTACCATTTGTTTGCCTGCCTTTGGCGTTGTTGTTGTATCTGTACGCCCAGCCGCCTACGTGAGTAAAGAGTTTAGAGTTTCTCGTGTTTTGTCAAGTGCAAGTGAAAGAGGATTCCTCGCTTGCATGTAACGAGCAGATTCATTGCGACTCGTTCCAATTTTGGCTAAGACATCGAGGAGGAAAGCAGCATCTGCATTGACTAAGATTAGAGAAAGGAACCTGAGATATTATGTATACTTACTGCGAATGAAATCGAAACTGTTTGAGAAATTGTTACCCGCGAAGTCATTCGACTTGAACGGTCCACACCATTGGCTCTTTCCACCTTAGGGCAACCTTCTTCGGCAACACCAGCATCATGGCCTACCGAGATCGCTATAATCTGCCTCTGTGCGACAGTAATGACAGCAACCTCATGTAAGTCACGCTGCAATAGCAGTCACTGAACCTTAGAACTGCCCAAGATGCTGATAAAACCTGAGCACGACGCGTAACCAGTTCGCCTCTCCATTACTCCGCATACCTGCAGGACTTCGAAACCGCATCTACAGAGACATGTTCGCTCCGCAGATCGCGCGCATGGTTAACCGTTCGTATTTCCCTGACCGTACTATCTGGCCATACACAGCTCTTCGAATTTGCCATCGTATTCGTCATGAAGCTAAGCCTACCATGGTTACCAGCATTACCTTCGATATCAGCGACTTCCATTTGGGCGAAGTGCCAAGATTTTTGGGTCTTGGGGGTATGGAGAAGGTCTTAGCAGCCACACGTGTAGCGATACCTATGATGTGGGGACTCGAATGTGAGCAGGGGAGTAGGCGGTGGAATCATTATCAACAGGCGATCTACACGGAGGGTATGAAGTCATTGAAAAAGGTCTATAGACAAGCCATGGGGTCTGAGGTGGTCTTGGTGTGGTCTGCGAAATGGTCGTGATACAGCGTATATTCTTTCCGCATAGAGCTGCCAGGAAGGAGACAATGGTTGGGCGAGTAATACACAATGCCCGTTCAGCATGCCTGTCGTGCATCATCGGTAGTTGAGCCGTTCGGACAATAGCCGGCGCGTTAATATCGACGACTATATGCGGTAGTAGTGAGTTGCCATGAGCATGTGGGGCTCGGGAATATAACTTGAATCTTGTGAAGCGATTGCAGAGTAGCACCAAGGTGTGCGAGTCTGCAATGCTCATTATGGTATTTTCCATCTTTCTCCACCTCTTCTTCCTAGTCAGCGCAGTTTTCGTCAATGGCGCTCTTGATATAAATGCTCTTGCCCGTGACATTGAGCGCGTCGAGTCGATCCGACAAGTAAAGAACGTCCAACGACAGCTGTCGCAACTCGCGCAATTCGGCCAATGGTATAATGTCTCTCAGCTCTTTAGCAGCAACAGCACCCTGGTCTGGGGCAACGTGACCGCTTATGGCCCGTCATCGATCGAAGCATGGCTGCGCAAGGACTCCGGTGACATGAACAGCTTGACCCCAGGATCTCTCAGTACAATGATCGTCGAGACCCCTGTGATCAGTCTGAGCATTGATGGAAAGAGTGCAAAAGGACGCTGGAACGGCATATGGTTTCAGGGCGACGGAAAGGGCGGAACTCGAATCCAAGGCGGAGTCTACGAGAATGAATACGTCTCGACAGACGACGGGTGGCGTATCTCGTCGCTACATTATTACGCAATGTACAAGGGCGACTACGAGAACGGGTGGCGCAATGTTGACGGCAAGGGAATTCCGGTCGTACCGTACCACTTCACGGCTCAAGGGTCTGGAGTGCCGATACCGCCGGCAATGGGAGACCCTGAGCCGTACAACGGAAGTGTCGAGGAATTAGGAGCTAGAATTCAAAAGTTGAACGAAGAAGATGCTGTTCGCAACTTGATGCACGCACACGGCTACTACGTGGACCAGAGAATGTGGTCAGACGTCGTGGACCTACATACCGAGAACACGACTGTACGCATTGGCAATGAGACAGCACTCGGAGGCAAGGCTGGCGTCAGGCAAATTCTCGAGCGCATGGGTCCGGAGGGATTGAAACAAGGGATTAACAACGATCATCCGATCTTCGATATGATTGTTGAGATAGCCGAAAATGGTAGAGAGGCTATCGCCCGTGGTATCGAAGTTGCTATGTTGGGCGATGCCAATCTCCGGGTCGCTTCATGGGAGTTCAATGTCTTCAGAAACCGCATCGTCAAAGAAGGTGACATTTGGAAAGTTCGGGAAATCGTGGTAACGCCACTCGTCGTTGCGGATTACTACATCGGCTGGGGAAATGGTGGGTTGAAGCCACCAAACACAGTCATTCCACCATTCTTGAATGTTACTGGCAGTTCAATGGCACTAGGAAGTATGACGAGCTCGAAAAATGTGACCGTAGACGATCTGGAGCGCCGTCTTCGACGCAGCGCAGCGTTTGATGGCGCCGAGAACCTGTCGCATGCATACGGCTATTACGCCGACGATATTCTGGGTGAGCAACTGGGCGGTCTGTTTGCGAAGAAGGGACACAAAGCTTCGCCATTCGCGGGATTCTTCTACACCCCCGAACGGATAACTGGAGCGATGAAGTCGTCGTATGGTACGAATCGTTCGGCTCTGCGGTCTAGCTTGTCGTTCCACTGGCGTCCGCAGCCTGTCATCCTCGTTTCTAACGATGGCCGATCAGCAAGCCTGCGAGCGAGACTGTTGCAGCCTTCTACGTCCGTCAGCAAAGCTGGTAGCTTCAACTCTGCCATATACCAAGATCAAGTCGTTCTTGAAGATGGCAAGTGGCGGCTCTGGAGTGTCACGATAGACGAGTTCTACTGGCAATCGTCGTCCTGGAAAGAAGGATGGAGTACGGCGACTCTACAGAATTCTACCCAGCCTGACCCTCCTGCATGGACGAAGAGATATCCACCTGATCTCACAATAGCAGACGTTGGGGAAAGAGAGAGTACATTTCGCGGTGGAAGTGGCCGGTTCATCCAATGGCCTGAAATTCAAAGGATGTGGTTTCCGTATCGGAATCCAGTCAGCGGGCGAGAGCCTCTGTGGTACTGGCCGGGCTGTGTTCCATGTCAAGTCCGGCCAGACTGGTCATTGGAAGCAAACGGATGGCAGGAGCCGTGGGCTGGTGGTCCGTTGTGAGAACTAGCTGCACCAATTCTGCTAATGTGCAATCGAAAAGACGAAAGCTATGCGATGATATGAATCGTATTGGTCCGTTGTTGTAGTGCCGCTTGGGAGAGGGCGACGCACGCGCCTCACTACGTAATCAACGATATGAATATTACAAGGCTGGCAGGACCAGCCACCCCAGTTTCCCCGCCTGCGTACCTGCGTTTGATATCGACCCAGAAGTGGTAGTGTATACTTGCAAAAGGTATGGTGTCGGATTGGACGGCAAATCAAGAAGTACAGTGAGTCTTGGCAATACTGTCGACGGATGCCGGCTGTTTCCTCGCAGGGGCTTGATGACGTTCTTCAACCCCAACCGGAGCTGTGCCTTTCGAACGTTGCCAATCAAAACCAGATCTTCTTTACGCCCAGCTAGGCGACCAGCGGAACAAACATCAAGCGCGTTTTTCCAGTTGACCAAAGCCTCGGGGTCACTGCCGTTTATGCGGTGAAGGCCGCGGCGCGTGGCTGACGCGCTACCCACTTATGTAGTACGGCAAAGACATGAGGCATCCTAACGGCGCAAGCGGCGCGGAACTCTGAAAGACAATCATGCGACACACGATGCTTTCATCATATCCAGTCGCTCTAAGTATTACGACTATCACGCGGATCAAGCGTAGCGTGGCCTAATCATGTCTGACATGGCGGTCCATCGCAAAAGGCGGGTCATGATGAGCGCCGAGCCGCGGACAAGCTTTTAGACATCCGCCCTGGTAGTTGGAATGGCGCAGCAGGAAATGGACGAGCGTCGCGCCTTATTTTAGGTAGGTTATGCCCATGTCATTGCGGGCTGCTATTCCGCTTCTTGGAATCTAGCCATCTCTTGCGACGTCTCGCCACGGTGTAGGACCGACTCCTAAACGACATCATGCTACGATACGATAACATCCTCAAACTCGCCCTGGTGCCGTCGATCATCTTCTTTCTTATATCCTTGGTCTCAGTAGCATTGACGACACATTACTGGATCCTTACAGACTGGATCATACCACGAGGTCTCAAAATAGTAACGAGCAATTTCAATGACCGACTGCAGCAATATGAGACAGATGATACGATTGTCTACTTCAAAGAGGCCTCAACAGATGCGACTATCGTTTCCGGATGCTTGAACTTGACGGCGGCCATTGTGGCTCTTATTGCTTGGAGTACGTTGCGCAAACCAGACATGGACTCACAATACAATATGGTATGTATTTTGAAAGTCAAAGTAAGGAAAAGAGACTGACGTCCTGCAGAGTACACGCCGCTTCTGGACGCTTAGTATTATTGTCACCACCATTGCTGGATCCGCCACGGCTCTTGCAGCTGTCGTGCTTCACTATACCGAGCGAGGCGACGACCAGTGGGGTTGCAGTTCCGAAAGACTTATGATGAGTGGCAAGATGAACACAAACCAATACTGTACACGCGAGATGGCGGCTTGCAACTATCAGCCAGGTTTCGTGCCAAGAGAGGACCGCCAAAATACCAACATAGCTTGCAGCGAAGCGGTCAGTCACCCGGATGCATGTCGCAAATCACCCACTAATACTCCGTTAGGTTACAGTCAAGTGGCTGCAGATTGTCATGATCGTTAATGCGCTGATAATACTGGTGATGTTCTCCCTCCAAGCACGCCTTCGAAGAAAGTCACGACAAGCACGATTGAACGAGCCATTGCCAGAGGAGAAGGTGGCATCATGAATGTGGCTGGCACCCTACTTACGATCTGATCCTTACGACACGCTTACGAATCTTTACGGCACGTTCCTTTTGCTATTCTTTTCATCTCAAAGCGTTGCATTATCGTTATTGGAGTTTGGGCCATGGCCTTGGAACATTCTTTTGCTGCCGACAACCATGATTAGTGGGCAGCGTCATGAGGCTTAGGTGAGAGCCGGTGAGCTCTCACGAATAATGGCTATGCGCCTTGTATTACACAATCCCACATATATCGTATGCAGTCTGACATTTTCCAAGTTGCAACTTCATCGCTCTCTTGTCATTCCAATTGCAATTCATCATTCAAAACCCCATATTTTCTTTTGATGATCGGCTCGCTGCGGATGAGGCGTCATAGTAGCTGCAAGGCTAACATCGGCGGAACACGTGACTGCTCCTAGTCCAATAACTCCCGTTGGCCGGACGGAACAATCGGCCTCTATAGTTTAGTATCTTGATAGGTACGCGCTCGAAGGGATAGTCTAAGTATACAGAAGCTAACACGCTTTGGGCTGTGCGCTACGAACATGCACCCTGAGGATATACGCTGCGTTCTAAATTATCATGCTGAAGACCAGTAGCTACTGTATACATGCAGGGCCTACATTGGTGTCAAATACAGCTCAGACAATACGGCACGTGTAGTCCAGGGCGTTCACAAACCTTGGAAGTTATACATCCAATGCGCGTCCAGTCGGAAAAATACATGCCTTGATAACGATGAGTGCGAAGAGTAATACACGGCGGATCAAGAGTCGTGGAAACGAATGGGGTGAGCGGTGAGGTCGTTGCTGCCTCGTGCCTACCTCCCTGGCATGAAGCACCTGGATGTTTACGCACTCACACTGCTCCTGCCCACAACAGCTGCTGTTTGTAGACGGAGCACGTCGCGTAGCAGATTTCCTCTACCCTCAACCTCTATCGCTAGGAACCTCTTTGTCATGGCCCCCCATCCTCTCTTCCCTGATCTCGAGGCGTCCGTCCTTGTCGACCATCGCCCCGTCCCTGAACTGTACGACCGTGAAGATGCTAATCTCCAAACCAAGATAGTGTACATCAAGTCCGAAGCAGGCGAGCAGTTCGGCATCCGCTACTTCATTCCCGGCTACCTGTTCGAGCACCACAGCATCAAGGCCATAGTCAACATCGACGGCGTAGACATGCGCAAGTTCATCTTCGAGAGGCACAACTACGACTACTACGGCGTCTCGAGACATATATATGCCAGCAGCGCGAAGGCAGGCCGCAGCTTCATGGGCCAGCGCTTCCGCTTCGCTTCTTTGGACACTCGTAAGTCTAGCTAGTCAGCATCTGTGCCATATAGCTAATGTGTCCAGACGACGAGAGGGAAGCGATTGACTACCAGCTTCGAGAGCAATTGGCGCATACGGGCGTCATCTCGATCGCATTTCATAAGGTCACCAACGTACGCATGGCGGGCGCATGGAAGGAAGTGCCGTCCATGTATCAGTACGACAAGGTCCCTGAGAAGGCATTGAAAGGCTCATCTGTTTCGCACAAGACTACGTACATATGACAAAGCTAAGTTCCTATCCTGCGCTAATAGTCCTGGGCAGACTTGACCCGCTTGAGCGCATCGCACCTGTCAAGCTTATGGAGGCTGACTACGTCGATGGAGAAGGCCGTCCGTTTGCCGTCATCGAGTTCAGATACCGTTCTACAGCTGCTCTGAAGTCCCTCGCTATCCTCCCCCGGTCATCGAGTCCAGTACCCATCAAGGATGTGGTGTCAGAAGAGGAAGTGAGCAAGATCTATGTAAGCCTTTCTCAGCCCAGGCTATTAAGACAGAAACTGACCGAATACCGCAGGTCAAGAAAGAAGAGGCTGAGACACGCAAGCGCGACCGTGCCGAAGATGATGATGATGATGATGATGATGACGAGGACGTGGAGATGGTGGATGAGAGGCCCGTGAAGCGACGTTGCTTCCCAAACAGCAACGATGAAGTCATCTTGCTCGACTGAGCGGACTTTACATACACGGCATGGGGTTCCACAATAGGCAGGGCGCATGGTTTGCCGAACACGTAGCATCTACTGGATACAAGACATCCACTGGAATGGCATTGTAGGCTACAAGCAGGTTCGTCTATCGCAAAGATGTTCACTAGCATAGCACAGTATACTGCCAGTCTTCTTTTCCATCATTTTCTTATTGTTGTATACTATCATCGTGTCTGCTGTGCTGTCGCATCTACATACGGCACCAATGTCTTCCTAACCTTCGTCACCTGCTCCAGCACATGCCCAACTTTGAGTACATCTTCATCCTTGGCCGCCCTTCCAAAGATGTATGCCGAGAATGGTATACCAGGTGCCACATTAACCAAGCCGTTCTTAGAGTCCTTCTCCACCGGCGTATCTTCCGGGAACGCACCCATAGGTACGCTCATCACCGGACTCGCTGCTTTCGCAGCGAAGGTCTGCATGGTGACACTCAAGGTCGGTAAAATCATAACGTCGCAACATTTTCTACACAATGCCGCTTCGATGCCCCCTTCTCCTGTGTAATATCTATCCTTTGCTAGCATAGTATTGTAGAGTAGTCCATCCGGATCTGAGGCTTCCGCTCTCTCAAGTCCTTGGACATTTCGTTGCGGATATTGCTCCGCTGGATGCGCTTTTGTGAAAGCAATAAGATCTTGGAGGTTTTTGATGTTGTTGGGATTGGTGACGAGAGATGAGAGGTAAGTGTTTATCACCACCTTCATGTCTGTGGCCAAGATGACATCTCTGGCTTCGTGTGGAAGAACTTCCCAACTCCGAGCGCCGGGAATTGGAAAGTCGCGGATAATGGTGGCTCCTGCGCTTTCTAACCGGGTGATGGTCCTCTCAAACGCTTCCTTTTTGCATGAAGGGAGGTTTTGCAAGTCGCTGAGACCGCTGGGAATGCCGATACGGACGCCGTATAGGTAGGTGCTTGAGCATGTACTGCCAAGGTCATGTACAAGCTTCTGCTTCATTGGTGACGAGAGATGACCGCCTTGCTGAACGAGGCCGACAAGGAATAAAGATGCATCTGAAACGGTACGTGTGAGTATACCAATGGTATCCAGTCTTTTGGATGCGTGAATGAGGCCCTCGGAAGATAGAAGACCACGCGTAGGTTTGAAGCCAATGATACCGGACTTCTCAGCTGGGGAAACGATGGAATAGCATGTCTCCGTCCCCAATGCTGCGAAACACATCCCTGTCGCAACCGCCACGGCACAACCTCCCGAACTCCCACTAGCCTTCATACCTGGGTAGTAGATACCTTTAGTCTGCCCACCTCTTGCGCTCCATCCCGAACATCCACTCGTAGACCGAAATCCAGCCCACTCTGCCATATTCCCCTTTCCGAGCACCACAGCCCCTGCTTTACGTACCGCCGTTACAACTTCAGCTTCTCTGGGTGGTCTGGCACCTATTAGGGCGACACTGCCACATGTTGTAGACGTGGCGTCGAGGGTGGGTATGTTGTCTTTGAGGAGTATGGGTATGCCGTGCAGGAGGCCTCGAGGACCTTTTGTCAGTCTTTCCGTGTCAAGGAGATGGGCGGTTGATGTGGCGTCTGGATTGATTTCCGCCAGGGCGTGAAACTCGGGGTTTAATTCTTGAATTTGTGCTAGATAGGCGGAGGTTAATTCTACGGCTGTGCAGAGGTGGTTCTGGTAAGCGTTATGAATTGTGAGGAGGTCGAGGTTGGCGAGGGCTGGGATACCTGAATCAGTGTTGGTGGATGTGCTGGCCTCTTGTGTGGTTGTTATCTTAACAGGGGTTGATGATGTGCTAGCAGAACTGCTGGTCAGCATGTTGGTTTCGTAGGTGGTCAGCATTTCTAGGGGTAGTGCAGATTTATTTAGGTACAAAGGAGGCTGTTGCCGATGACAAATTGGGTAGATATACACGTTTAGATCGAGAGAGATTGAGCAGTCAATGTTCACAGTGGTCTTCGTGAAGATCGTTGTGAAATATAGCTTAGATACTCCAAGCACGGTCGTGTGTTTGTCATATCGCCGGTAGTTTTCTTCTTCACATCGCTCAGTCAAGTTCAATGACCTCTATCCCATCACCTGGCACCTGTCTGACGCGTTGCTGCTTCCTCTTCTTGCGCAGATCGACCGAACGTATTTCGAAAAAGTCATCGTCGCGTGTTCCACTCCGGCTATCGAACTCGTTGTCGGCGCCTGCCACGGTTGAGGTATCGGAAAGCTCGCGCTTCGTGCGTACACGGGTCTCCTCTTGTTCCTAGTTAATGTCAGTATGTCGGATCTTAATATGGGATGGCGGGTGTCTTACCCTGAAGCGTCGGACAATAGCTTCAAGCTGTTCCCTATTCAACTGACCGAGCATCGTGTCATCGCTGTCAAGAAAGTCCACTCGATCGGGCGTGCGCTCAATAATGTGTAGGTCTTTAAGTGCAGCTATGAGTTGAGTGGTAAGTATCTGCTAGAAATTTTTCATATCCCTGAAACTTACCAAGTGAGCGGTAGTAGAAGTGAAACGTCGCAAACGGTTCTCCACCATCAGCGTAGTCAGCATCGTAGTACTCAACCTCTTGCGCAGGCTCCGATTCTCCAAGACTACGACAGTATTAGCTCGTTCTGCCGTTGAAGATCATTCATACGTACATTACCTGATGCGATAGCGAATCGCCCTTGATGGCCTTCTCGTTAACCGTGTCCAGCTTCTCGAGTTCCTCGTGTACGAAGCTGGTCTTCGGACTACGCCTCGCGTTGTCGAGGAAGTAGAATTCGCAAGTGATAGTTCCAACGGGTTGTAATTTGTTCTGTAAATCTTCCGGTATGGGTCCTTCGCTACACTCTACTACAAACATGTCAGTACGCTGTAACGTTGTGAGAGGCGAACATGTCTCACTAATCTCCAGTGGCGAGAATCGAAATGTCTGTGTGAACCAACTTTTGCCGTCATTCGAGATTGGCCCAGAACTGATATGACCATCCGACTTGTACAGCTCATCAGGACGAATAAGGGGCTCATCGACATCCTTGCCGTCCATTGTGACGATCATGGACACAGGGCGGTCAACAGGGAACGGCGCTTTGAATGAGTAGTGAATTTCGAAGATTGAATCCGAATGCGCTTCAACATAGCTTTCCGAAGTAGCCTCTGATACGGCGGTATGTTGATCAGTATACTCCCGGAGTGGGTTGCCATCGACGTGGATCTGGACTTCCAGCCCTGAGGTTTCATCGACGACTGCCATGGCGAAAGATACGAGAATGGGGCAATATGGCAACCGAAGAATTATGGCAAAGGGGGGCGGGGGCGGGGGCGATAGGATTACGGTTGCGAAGGATATGTTCAAGGTATGTTCGGGAAAGAAGCCTTCACCTCGACTGGAGATGTTCCGTTGAAGTGTGGAAGCCGAGGTGAAGGTGAGTATTGGCAGGTGAGAGACGATAATGCTGAGGACTCTCAGCTTTGACGCGTCATGAGAATTGCGCGTCCATAGCCACGAGGCATGACTTGGAGTTGCCGTGTGCTTCGCTTCTGCTCTTCCAATGACCTCAGAGTTGGCGCGAAGGTCCATCGCCCCATCCGAACAAAGTAATACACAAAGCAAAGCGCAAGGTCAAGAAAATTCTATCAAGCATGAGTAAAGATGTAAAGAATCTAATCGGTCACACCCACAGCCTTGATCCCAACGATGACACTTGCGCAATCACGTTCGATGCATGTCATCACGAGCACCCAAACGATTAAAATCGCGAACGTGCTACATGCCGCCAATCCGAGTGCTTGAAACGCTCAATCATCCAGAGCCACCACCTCATCATCAAAACCAGGACCACGACGGACCTTCTTCGCGCACCGTTGTGTTGGTTGACTACGAGTCCACTGAACTTCATCGTCTCCTACCAGGGTGATGTCACTGCCCTGACGCTCTTCTTCACGTTCACGCTTGATCTTAGTCGCCTCCTGCCTCTTTTCCTGTGTACAAATCAGTCATGACTCCATACTCATAGATCTCTACGATGTTTTGTGACTTACGCGCATACGCTTAAGCTCCGCCCTCATCTCCTCCTCAGTCATGTCTTCTGGATCCTTATCCTCGACCTCTGAATCTGGCTCCGGTGATGGGCTTGGAGTACGCGGGATGACACCGAAAGATTTGAGCGCATCTATGAAATTTTTAGCGGTTGAGTTGACTTCGCCGTACATGCTTGTAACTGACCACTTGATCTGTAGACGAACGTGAAGGTAGCGAAAGACTCGTTCTCGATAGTCTTGACTTCGTTGTAAGTGATGGTATCACGTTGTTCTGGCGCAGTGAAGCTATAGGTCATGTTAACGACTACAATTTATGAGGACGCGTGCGAAGAGTATACCTGGTTTGATGGGACAGTTCATCGCCCTGTACCGCAGCGAACTTGTGCAATGCCTTCTCGCTGAGAACACTAAATTGTTTGTTGGCAAGCTGAGGTATCTCCGCCGGCTTCACCGACTCCAGGTGCTCAATGAAGTAGAAGTAAAGCACGATGCGCCCGGTTAGTGACAGCTCTTTCGCGAGTTCCTCGGTAACCGGAGCATTGGTCTCATCTACGCACAATAAGCCATCGTCAAGTCAAAGCCTAAGATGTGGGAGCTTGCCAGTCTTCAGATCAGCGAATTGAAAGCCCTGGATGAAGCTACGTTCACCAGTGGACGAAGTGGACCTCGAGCATAGGTACCCCTCGCAGTCTTCCTTGCCACCCCACTCGACAAATGGAGCTTGCACATAGTTGCCGTCTAGAACTATATCCATCTGGATCGCTGAAGGCGGGGTGAAGGGCGGACGGTAAAGATAGCGGATGGAGAATTCAGTAGCTGGTGGCGCTTCAATATACTTGGTGGTAGAAGTCGCAACCTCACCACCGTCGGCACGATCATGCTCGTATTCTGGTAGCGCTTTGGCGTTGACCTCAATAGTGACTTCAAGGCCTGGGATGTCTGTTGCGATAGCCATGGCATTTGATTGAATCCCAGAGAGAAAGAGGGAACTGTGTGAGACTGTGTGAAATGTGTTTTAAAATAAGGACTAGAGGAATGAGGTCGCTTAGAGCTTGATGTTGCTGAGGTGAGAGAAAGAAGTGCAGATCGACAGATACACAAATCAAACCAATAAAAGCCTCTAACATGGTATCTTTTAAGCGTATAGATCAATAATGCCGCCTGTAGAGCAGATACGCCCTCCTTCTAGAATATGTGAACCCCGCCTCACACAGCTGATTAATCTTAATCAGAACACAAGCGAGCCAGATGAGCTTGTTGCTACCGTGTCCCGCGGACAGGGCCGTGCCCTACGTCAAATCAATGATCTCGATACCGTCCTCATTTAGAGTAAGGGGAAGCCTCCTACGCTTGGCGGATACAAAAGAGACATCGTCATCATCTTGGTCCTCCCTGATAGCGGTGCTGCTTCGTTCACGCTTGAATCCTTCTCGCTTGACATTTGGAGCGGCGCCTCCTCGTCCCCGCTGGCGTCGAAGGAGTTCGCGGGTCTCCTCTAGAGTGAGAGTATCGACATCACGGTACTCGAGCGGTACCGGACTGGGATCGCGGGGGATGATGAGAAGAGACTGAAGGGCGGCTACATATCCGTTAGCTGCATGAACATCCAAGTTGACAAATAACTTTACTTACCTCTAGAGCGATATTTGAACTTGAAAGTGATGAAAGGCTGACAGTGTGCATCTATATAGTCAAAGGATAGTACCGAACTTTGAGGGCCTGCTTCTGGAGCACGTAGACTGGAGCAAATTAGTATATATTGTAAGCCTGTTGTGCGTATCCTTACGTAGCCTGATGTGATAATGCTCTACCCTTCAAGGCCTTCTCTGGTATATTGCCAAGATCCGAGGTACGTATCGCTGACAATTCATTTGTGCTGGAATCACGGACGTTCTTGACAAAGAAAGCTGTGACCTTGATCTCGCCCATTTCTTTCATGTCCTTCATAAGCTTGTCTCCAACATTACGGATATCAGAGTCATCTGGGACGAGGTCAGATCTAGCAGTAAATCAATACCCAGCCGATTTACCGATGTTGAGAGCGGAAAAGGCGAATCTTGCCTTGAACCACTGGCCGTCCTTTGTATAAGTTGAGCCTTCGATGATTTGCACGGAGCTAGCGCCACGATAAGTCTGCTGCTGTGCGAAATGACCCCGAACGTATCGCCCGTCTAAGTAAGTGTAGAACATGACGGAACTGCCTGGCCACTTTGGAGTTATCTCGAAGCGCAGATCGAAGGTCGCTCCGGAAGTGGCCTCGATGTACTTCGTGATTGTAGTTCCTGAAGACTGTTCCTCGTCGTCATCGTATTCCTGTAGAGCGACTTCTTGGACACGGACCTCTACTTTGATTCCGGGATAGTCCGTGGTGATCGCCATTTTGGTCGTCTGGTAGAAGCAGGGCTGATAACTTAGTGATGGGCAAGGGCGAGCTTCAATAGTGTTGAGAGTATGGTCCACCGCAGAATAATCGAATAAGGAGGATATTGGAAACGGTTGAAGGGGAAGTTGAGAGTAAGAGTCAGTGTGAGATGTGATGAACGCAGTGGGCTGAAAGTGAGGGTGAGTCCTCAGGCCAAGAGTCGTGATTACCGCTGTGGCTTTGAGATGCAGCGCTAACGCGCGCTGCCACGCGAAGCTGCCAAACAATGCGCCTGCAGGGAAAGAGCACCCAACAACACCGCACCTAGATGCATACCATCTTGCGACCGACTCGAAATCAGCCCGGACAATGAAGTTGGTAGGGTCAAAGTCCTTGAAAGTTCACATGCAGAAAGTCAGCTAGCCTATACACAAAAGGTCTATTCTTCTCCATACTCCAGTCGAGGTTTCCACCTGCACATATACCGTCCGCGTCCAGATGTTCTTGCAGTACAGAGCATCAGTCTTTCCCCCCAACATAGAAAAAAAAAAAAGAGTGCAATCCGTCGCACAGTAGCCCAAACGGGTATATGAGTTGTAATAGTAACAAAACATTACGCCAAGTGGCGAAACAAAGCACAAAGATCAAGGTTCGGGGTCTTGTAATGATTCGCAGCCGGTACGCCAGTGCAGTAATATCCGCCCACCAGATGCTGTTGTACGTGAACAAAAACCGAAGGAAACGCTATGCAGTCGTTATCATGGGAATATGCCTCCATGCAATGGTATCATTCGCAGTTATGGATCAGGCCGTAATTGTTGGAAGATCGCCATGGTAGTAATGCTGTGATGGATGGGGGTAATATGAGGAGGATAATGGCGATCGATGGTCGGATAGAGCGCTACTAGATGCCAAAGAAGCAGCCGTATGCCCAGGGAGAATAGCCTAGATCCGCTTCGCTGTCGGCAGAGCTAGCGCCTGGTACTGGCCGATCTACCATGCGCCTATGCTTGCTGGAGAGCCAGTTCCGTAGTTTCCGCTCAACAGTTGCTGACGAATGGACATGGCATCGTTGGACCCGCCTGCTGCAGGGTTAGGCGTTTCTGCGCCCATCCAGCCGAGACCGCCACGTAGCTCGTTGACTGCTTCCTGCATCTTTCCGCCCGAGATCTCGTTATGCTTCGCAATCTTCTGGTCCCAGCCGCCATACTGGAGCTGTATGCCACCCGCCTTCTTTGCGGCCTCTTGAATGACGATCGCCCATGCCTTTGCCATCTCCTCGTACGCCTCCTGCTTGTGTCGGTTGTGTTGGTACGTGTCCCAGTTGGGTAGACGATGGATTATGTCGGTGGCGCCATCAAGAAAGGCGAGTGATGTAGCGGGTTGTTGTTCGTGCGGTGGGAGAAAGTGAGGTGTGAAGTCCTTGAGGGAGTCGAGCAATTCGTCAAGCTGTTGCCGCACCCGGTTGTATGCGTAGTCTGACGATGCACGGCCGCCGAAGGGGAACGCCGCTTGGAACGCCGCCTCGTACTTTGACAAAACCTCCAACGTCGACTGTATGCTTGGCCGCGGCGCGGTTGTGACGACCTCGTTGCCGATGTCAGGGTGGCGCTGACAGATGGATTGCAGGAGGTTGCGCATCTCGTCGGGGCTGAGGGTCTCAAGGAGGCGAGGCAGGGGAAGCGGTCGGCCTGAGATGTTGGTTCGCATGCGCTTCATGCCTCGCGGCGCGGGTCGTGGGAGTACGGCGGGGGATGTGGATGGCGATGCACTCATACGGTCGTCGTCTCCAGCGCTGCCATCGTCCTCGGCTTTCCGCTTGCGGCCAGTCATTGCGGACGAAGGGGAGAAAACTGCGAAAGGGTTCAAGTCAGTAGCTGACATGGAGTTGAGTTGTTGACAACAGTGAGTGGACGTACGGTTACGGGTAGGAGAGCGGCGGTTGTTGTTCAAGAGATGAGGGGGCGTGAAGGTCTGGTACTGTACACTCATGACGAGGAAGGGCCCGCAAACGCAGTGAAATCGCAGGCCTGCTTTGTTGGGAGGCGGACAGCGATGTCTGAAAGGTGATGCAGAGAGAATGGCTCTCGTTGCGTCGGCCGTAGAGCGGTGTCGGGTGTGTTGTTGTTGCTGTGGTGGAGACAGCAGAGCCATACGAAGGCCCCAAGAATATGCTAACTGGCAAGTCCGTGCACGCAACCAATCACGTCACATGTCACCAGTGTCAACCACGATACATGCGCCTTCGTCTAGAGTTGTGGTTGTATTTTCTCGCCATTTTTGCTTTACCCTGCAATTTGCCCATTCATGCTTTGACATCTGGTGGTCTCCTGTCAGAAAAGCAACGACAGCGGCTATGGCGGCACTAGCTATATCACATCACATCACATATCACCATGCATATTTGAAAGATCGTACGTGGGGGATCATCCACCATGGTGCAAGACCACAGTATCAGATCTAGTGAATTTCTATCCAGGACGCATTCACGCCGTGCTTCGCTTTTGAGATGCACAGCGCTCGCGGCTCCTTGCGTGCACCCGAGACACTGACATGTCCGGTAGCACTTTGATTCACCCGCATAAAGGAGAACGCCATGTGAGTGCCATACTTACCTGCTTAACGAAGATGCTATCAAAGACTCCCACCAACACCATAATATACAAGATGTGCTTCAAACATTATAGATACAGGGACTGGGCTGCGACCAGATCCCTGCGGACGAGCTCCAGTGCTGCCGTGAACTTTTGTTCAAGCTCTTCGCTGCCCATGACTTTGGAGGCTTGAGCTATTTGTCGGAGCAATTCTTCCAATCGCCTGAAGAGACGAATGAGACTTCCCTCATACACGTCGGTCATTTTACTGCCAAGGTTAGTAGTTGTTTAATGCGGGTCAACGAAGCAACATACCAAATTTCGGCGAAAGTCGCACCCTTGGACCAGGCAAAGACAACCTCCATCAGCTCATACTTGAACGACTTGAGGTACTCTTCCTCGTTGACGGTCAACTTGCTCTCTTGTGACATCTTCGCGATGACCCTAGCTTGCTGCTGAATCTCGCGGTATGGCTTGGCAAGCTCTTCCTTGAGCGCCGGTACTTCCTGCGTCTTCTCCTCGAAGATGAAACAACTTAGGCAGGCGGCGCACTGCTCTGGCGTCAGCTCGTTGAAGAAACGATTGAATAGCAGCTCGCTAAGCACGAGCTCATCTCCAGTGCTGATCTCGCAAGCAACACGGGCTTTCAGCTGAACGACGTCGGCGTCGTCAATGAAGCCGAGTCGTCGCAACACACGTTTCCTGCTCTTCAGCTCGTCTAGTTGAATGACCGACAGAGCGCTCGCAATTTCTTTCCTAATGTTCTTAATCTTCTCACCGATCGCGATCTTCTGCGCATATTGGCTGTATAGATCGGGTAACCTAGGCGAGTTGTGGAGAGGGTTCGAGAGCAGACGGGACTCCAGCACTTCAATTTTCTGCGTTGCGTTAGACAAGGACACAATTACGTAATAACAGAACCTACCCTTAGCAACCTCTTGAAGCTGTCGTCTTTGATGTTCATGTTCTCAATGGGATCCAGGATGGCAATTCCGTCGGGGAAGCGCTTCTTAACCTCATTCAGTGCTTTGCGAACATTATTTCTCTGCTCTGTCGACTTGAGCTCGTTTGGCAGGAAGACACGGAGATGGCCAATCGATTCGATGCAGTTCAGGACTACAGGGACAACCTCCATCTTGCCTTTGTCTCCGGCTGCAGGTGGTCGCACACCGGGTGGCAGACCGTCATTCACCGCTGGCACAAACTTCGTGTCGCTGCTCACAGGTAGTAGCACGTCAACGATGTAGGACTCCTGAGGTGGCAGGACTTCGCCCTTGTTGGCCTTGCGAGGGGTGTACGCTACAACAGCGCCCCAGCCAAAGTCATAGTCCTTGAACTTGATCTTGACTAATCGGCCGCCTTGCAAGAACTGCAAGCAATAGTTGGGTTGCATAATCACATCACGCATATCCTTGGTGTGTGTGTCCAGTTGCTGTCGCAGGTTGTAGTAGTCTTTGATGGCCGGCTCGTCGACAATGTTGGTGTTGGCTTTCTCTTGTTCAAGCTCCTCAAGTTCTGCCACACTGTTAGTAGTCGCGCTCAAATACTATAGACGCACACTTACGTTTCTCAAGATTGGAGACACCTGCTGTGCTCTGGAACTGGAAGAAGCACCTCTCCAGCATGAACTCTGGAGAGATACCTTCAACTCGCATAAGGTTGAGAATCATGTTGTAGCCCAAGTGGAAGGCCGAGTTCAGGTTGTCCTGTTGACCGCGGACGATCTCTTTAGCCACAGCCGGCTCCATCTGCTCGCCGATCATCATGATGACGATACCACGGTCATCGAGACCACGACGACCAGCTCGACCAGACATCTGAATGAATTCGGAGGGCGTAACCCATCGCTGCGATACTCCGTCGAACTTGCGCACGCTCGTGAACACGACCGTCTTAGCCGGCATGTTCAATCCAATGGAGAAGGTCTCAGTCGCAAACAGCACCTTGATCAGCCCCTCTTGGAACAGGATCTCAATGGTCTCCTTCAAAATAGGCAGCAGTCCAGAGTGATGAACACCGATACCTCTCCGGAGCAGGGGAAGGATGTGTTGAATTTGGGGTAGTTGCCGGTCCTCCTCCGACAGCATCTCGATAGCGCTGTTGAAGACCTTGGTGACCATGGCCTTTTCGGAGTCGTCATTGAAAGCAAGTGAGCTCATGGAGAGTGCGTAATTCTCGCATTCCCTCTTGCTGAAACTGAAAACAATGACCGGGTTGTAACTCTTGACCATGATCATCTTGACAATCTTGTAAATGTCGGTCTGATCCTTGTTGCCACCCGTATTGGTTTTCTTATCCTTGCCCTTGCCCTTGCGTTTCGCCATGAAGTCCTTAGCCTCACTTCCACCCTTGTCCGCAATAGACGACATAGCCTTCTGAAAATTCTCTTCACGGAACACACCCTTTTCGTCTACTACCAAATGTATACCCTCGGCACCGGCAGGGAAGAAGTAATGTTGCAAGGGCGTTGGACGGAAATCGGTGTAGACGACGTGGCACGGCTGGCTATGGGTTTTGGTAATCCATTCAGCGAACTGCATGGCGTTGGGGATCGTGGCGGAGAGGAAGACGTAGCGGACCTTGTCTGGGAGTAGAATGATAGTTTCTTCCCAAACGACACCTCTCGACTTGTCGCGCAGGTAGTGGACCTCGTCGAAGACGACCCAAGCTACTTCGCGCATGATCTCAGAACCTCGGTACAACATAGAGCGAAGAATCTGTAAAGGTTAGTTGATATCATTCCTAGACCATTGAATACATACCTCTGTTGTCATGACCAGACAGGTCGCAGTGGGGTTGATGGTGACATCACCAGTCATCAGACCGACATCGCCAAACTCTGCCATGAACTCTCGGTACTTCTGGTTACTGAGCGCCTTGATAGGACTGGTGTAGATGACTCGCTGGTTGTTCTTGAGACATTGTGCGATGGCGTATTCTGCCACAACTGTCTTTCCGGCCGAGGTATGCGCAGATACCAGAACACTTTCGTTTCGCTGTATCGACGCGATGGAGACCTGCTGGAAGGGATCTAGGGTGAAAGGCCATGTGCGCGCGGGCTCTGCTGGGGCTTTGTGCTCGGAGATGGGCACATAGTCGTAGTCCGGCGGCAGGGCGACCTGATGGCGGACTTGATGTGAGAGCACCACTGCCTGGCCTTCTTGCGACTGCGCTTGTAATCCAGCGGCGGCGGCGATCTCGCGCGACTGCTCTGTCTCGAAATCGTCGGTAACGATGGGCTCGGGCTCCGCATCGCGCTTCTGCTTCTTCTTCTTCAAAGTTTGCGCATTGCCGTTCTCAGTCGTCGTCTCGGTTGCCTCTGCGGGTGCATCGGCCATAGCAGTGTCCCCAACTGGCTCGGGCGACTTGACGGTGCCATTCGCCTGGCGCTTCTTGCTCTTCTTGGGCGCGGTGTCCTTGGAAGGGCCGCCCTCGAAGACGTCGAACATGTCGTCGTCCATGGTGGGTGGTTGTGTTTCGCTCTATTCGCGGTTCAATGCTGTTAACTTGTAGGTGTGGTTGGCGGGTCAGACAGGCAGTTTTGACCTGTCGCGAAAGATTATAGTATGCAAGCGCGCCGGAGATCAAGAAAGTTTCACTGGTGATCCTGACTAAGCATGTCACCGCCAAGACATGGCTGTGGAAGCTGCAACTCATCGAACCACCGCGACCAGAACTCCGCAACCTCTCCACTCTACCACACCGCAAAAGTACGCTACGAATCCACGCCAATTGCAACATACGCTGACCTTCCAAGATGCTTGCTCGTGCTACCTTCCGCGCCGCCTCGGCCCCAACTCTTGTCGCCCGCCGCGGCTTCCAGTCCACCCGCGCCCAGTTCTCCAGCCCATACCACTACCCCGAGGGCCCGCGCAGCAACTTGCCATTCGACCCATTGAAGAGGGGCTTTGCTTTCAAGTACTGGGGATTCATGGGTGAGCTTCGGCGCGTCGCAACGACAGGTCTAGGCTAACATTCGCAGCTACCGGTTTCTCCCTGCCATTCCTCCTTGCTGGTGAGGCACCTGATTCGATCCTATCTACCGTGAACATATATCTAACGATACCATTACTACAGTCTGGCAGACAAAGAAGAACAAATAGATGCAGTCACTCGGAGCGTGGGCACGACACTGGGCGATTGGGAGGACACGGGATTTGTAGAATATCGGAGGGTCGCTCGGACACCTGTATAGACACCACAGCATCAATTTCATTGTCTGTCTCCCATCATGCCTCAGCGTATGCAGTTTACAACGTTCAACGTTATCCATCCATGTCCCTTCAGTCGACCAGAGTAACTGTTCGAATTTAGAAGTGGGGCACTGCCATTATTTCTACAATTACATGGCACAGTAATGGGGACAGGGTGATTTATGTCGGCAAAGATCGACGAGTGAGTGGTAAGAGGACGTGAATTATTTGCAACACCTTGATGACGATGAGATGTGTTGCATCACTCTTCGGTAGAAGCTCGGCGCTAGCATCACCCAAAAATTCGGAAGCGCGATTCTGCCAACGGGCTAGTGACCAGTCATTCGAGCAACAGGACGCAACATTGCAACGAACCCAGCCCATGATTCTACGGCAATGCGAAACCTCAAGATTGTAGGAAGGTCGCTTCTGCGATTTTCCGGAGACGAGCCACTACCGCTGACTGCGACTGCCTGGGACGCCGCATCTAATGCACTGGTATGCGCTTTCGGTCCTTCGGAATCACGTGCGACCATCGAACTCAAGAGGCTACACTATGCTCGCAACGGTGTTGAGGAAAAGCTCGAAAGCATCGCATCGTGGGATGCGCCATGTCCGCTGCCCTCGCTTAGCCATGACTCAATCTTAAGCCTGCACCATTTCGCCGACACTTCGACATCGTGTTTGATCTTGGCCGGAGGGGACATCGTCCTTGTAAGAGAGAACCCGACATCGACAGAAGAACTAGTCGAGATTGTAGGATCGGTGGATGCCGGCATCTCTGCCGCTGCGTGGTCGCCAGATGAAGAACTCCTCGCCATCACCACACACGCCGACACTTTACTGTTGATGAGTCGCGATATCGAGAACATTGCAAGCGTCAACCTCACTCCCGAAGATATCAACGTCTCTAGCCACGTCTCAGTTGGGTGGGGAAAGAAAGAGACGCAGTTCAAAGGCAAACGAGCCAGGGCACTACAGGACCCAACAGTACCGGAAAGCATCGACGAGGGTGTACTTAGCCCGTTAGACGATCGCTCTGTCACAATCAGCTGGAGAGGTGATGGCGCATGGTTTGCAGTAAGCAAGGTTGAGGAAGAGCGCCGTCGCATGATCCGTGTGTACTCCCGAGAAGGGCAGTTGGACAGTGTAAGCGAACCTGTGGATGGCCTCGAGGGCGCTCTCAGTTGGCGACCATCGGGCAACTTGATTGCCAGTACTCGCCGCACCAACGAGAAGATTGAGGTGGTCTTTTTCGAGCGAAATGGTCTTCGTCATGGCCAGTTCGACCTTCGATTTACTCCTGAGGAGTTAGCTGCCCTCTCAATCCCATTGACACTCAAATGGAACAGCGACTCCAATGTCCTTGCTGTATCTTACCCCGAAAAAGTGCAGCTTTGGACGATGAGTAACTACCATTACTATCTCAAACAAGAACTCCAATCTCCTGAGCCTTCTTCTCGAACAGTCATGTGTAACTGGCACGCCGAGCGTCCGCTTGCGGTAGCTCTTTCGACGTCAGGTACACTATCTCCCCGTTACTTCAAGATTTGTCATGGCTAAATATAAATCAGATGCGCTCCAAGTGCTAGAGTATGTCTCTACGATTTCGGCCGGCTCAGTTGCCCCACCAAATGACTTTGGCATGGTCGCATCAATAGACGGATGTAAGTAGTGAACCCGCTCGGAGAGGCTCCTTCGATACTGATTATTACAAGTGTCTCTAAAGCTTACGCCACTTCGCATCGCCAACGTGCCACCTCCCATGTCGTTACTCACTCTGGCTCTCGAGTCGAAACCTATGGATGTCGCACTTTCGAAGTCCGGCGATCGTCTAGCAGTACTTTCAGACGGCGACCTTGCAGTATATGCCCTCGACCTGAACAAGCGACCAATACCTAAACCAAGTCTCGTCTGGCGTAGCGATGCGGTGAAAGATCACTCCCCGCGCCATGTCACATTCCTCGGCGAGAATCAGATGTTCGTACTAACAGATAGCTGGGACGATGAGGAAAGCTCTCTTTGGCGTTCCGAAGGAGATATGTTACTACCTCAAGGACCTATCATGGAGACCGAAAGCACATCTCTAATTCTTTCCGGCGTTGATCAGGAAACGCTATATACCCAGTTTCAGAGTGGTGCCTTACATCAGTTTGTCATAGACGAGACTACGTCAGATCTGCCACCGCAGACGTTCCCTATAAACAAATTCCCATCCTTCGCGCCTGAGGTTCAGGTCATCAATATTGAGGGCCAGGTACGTATATCATCCGCTAAGTCGTATTAACGACAGCTGACAGCTGCAGACGTTGGCGTTTGGTTTGACCAAGAGCGGAGTGCTATACGCTAATGAACGCATCTTAGTCCGCAACTGCACGTCGTTTGTGATCACTACCGCGCATCTGATCTTCACGACGACTCAACATCTCCTTAAATTTGTCCATCTTGCTAGTAGTGTCGATGGTGAGCGCTGCTTGTACTGCAGAAGTCATATCCGTACTAACTCTGCCCAGAACTCGAAGTACCTGCAGATGAACCACAAAAGGATGAGAGGTGCAGAAGCATCGAAAGAGGAGCAAAGATCGTCACGGTCATGCCAACAACTTACTCAGTCGTACTACAGATGCCGAGAGGTAACCTGGAGACAATATATCCACGAGCGCTTGTGCTTGCTGCTATACGTCGGAGTATTGAGGCAGAGCGATATGATGAAGCATTCTTTGCTTGTCGCAACCAGCGTGTCGATCTGAACATTCTCCATGATCATGACCCAGAGCGTTTCATGGCGAGTTTGGACAAGATCATTTCCCAGATCAAGAAGATAGAGCATATTGACTTGCTCTTAGCCCAGCTCCGGTAAGTAGTCACACACATAGTCAGGTTCACAATAGCTAATAATTCCAGCAACGAGGACGTCTCTGAGACCATGTACAAAGAAACGCTGAAGACGAAGGACTTGGCAACGAAGTTGAGGCTTTCGCAAGACCAAGTCGAGAACAAAGTCAACCGTATATGCGACGCTTTCTTAGATTTACTAGAAAAGTCTCAGTACAAGGATGCGCACCTGCAAAATATCATCACAGCCCACGTCTCCAAGACACCGCCCGCTCTGGAGTCTGGTCTGGCCATGATAGGCCGACTACAAGGTAAATTTTCAACATTACTTGCTTGTCCATAGAACTAACATTGTATAGCATCAAGCGATCCGCTCACTGACAAAGCCGCCGAGCACATCTGCTTCCTTGCAGACGTCAACCAGCTGTATGATACTTCATTGGGACTCTACAACCTGGATCTCGCCCTGCTCATCGCTCAACAGTCACAAAAGGTATACCCATTTAATCACACAACAAAGCGTTGCCTGACTTTCTCATAGGATCCACGAGAGTATCTACCGCATCTACAGTCTCTACAGGACCTGCCCGAGATTCGTCGCAAATTCAAGATTGATGACCAGCTCGGACGCAGAGCGAAAGCACTTACGCATCTCAAAGACCTCCAGGCCTACGATGAAGTACAGGGCTACGTACAAAAGCATGACCTCTACCCCGAGGCCTTGAGCATGTACCAATACGACAGTACCCGTCTTAAAGAAATTATGCGCTTGTACGCAGACTTCTTGAGTACCAACAATAAGAACAAAGAAGCTGCGTTGGCGTATGAGTACCTCAACGATCATGCATCTGCTTGGCCATGCTACCGTTCAGCCAACCTCTGGCGTGAAGCCTTGTCGTCTGCTATACTCGCCGACGTAAGCGCTGATGAGCTGTCGACCATTGCCACGGACCTCGCGGATGGCCTCGCAGAATCCAAGGACTACCTGTCCGCTTCATCGATAACACTGGACTATCTCTCTGACCTTCCATCGGCAGCGCGTCTGCTATGCCGAGGTTGCCACTTCGCCGAAGCAATTCGCATTGTTACACTCCGTCGCGAACCCGCACTCATCACCGAAGTCATCGATCCCGGTCTTGTAGAACGCAGCGCAGACATGACTGAGTTCCTTGCTGATATGAAAGGTCAACTGCAGGCTCAAGTGCCTAGACTCAAGGAGCTCAGGACCAAGAAAGCAGAAGATCCGATGGCGTTCTACGAGGGCATGATTGATGGTCCCGCCGATACGAACATTCCTGACAACATTTCCCTGGCGCCTACAGACACGACAAGTGGTGGTACTTTCATGACTAGGTACACAAACCAGACTGGCACAGTAAACACGACGACTACGCGCAAGACAAGCAAGAACAAGCGCAGGGAAGAAAGGAAGCGTGCACGTGGTAAGAAGGGTACGGTGTATGAAGAGGAGTATCTTACGAACTCCATTGAACGCCTCATCGAGCGTATCAACACAATGCAAGAGGAAATCCAACGCCTTGTTGAAGGCTTGGTTAGAAGAGGCATGAGGGAGCGTGCCGATGCCGTTTCTAATGCTGTCAACGAAGTCATGGAACGGTGTCAGGATGCGATCAAGGAGATGTATCCACCCGCGGCTACTGGAGGTCCTGAGGGTGTGAACGGGGCGCCGATTGGAGTTGAGGGCGAGGCGATGAAACCTACGGGTGGGGATGCGACGCTTTGGGATAGCTTGCAGGAAGTGGGTAGGAAGAGGGAGGCGCCTGTTGTGAAGATGTTTGAGAGACTTAGTCTTTTGGGGTAGTGGCTTATATCTTGGAGTAGCTAAGCTACTAGAAGTTGTTTGTCTGTTGCAACAAGACTGCTTTACAGGCCTGCAAGAGAAGACGTGTTTGCAGTCGTCAGGGGATGAAGGAATCTGTGTCGCGTGCCACTTACAAAGGCCCTAGATAAGTCTCAAAGGGAAGCTAAGACTACTCAAAGTTATTCGTAAAGTATTGTTATGACAGCCTCACGAAATACAAGATAGCGTATACCTCCACCTAAGTTATGTAATGCAGCCTGTTAAGAATAAGCTTTCAAGTATGTAGCATGCGACACGAATTCGTTTGAAATGCTATCTTCTGGTACAGTTGTACCATTGTGGAAGACGCGTGCCCCGATAGTGGATTCACAGCGGTCGAATGATGTAATTAGCGCCTTCTTGCACCTCCTGGTGGAACCGTGAACCACACCATTCATCCTCGAATGCGCCATCCCCTCGCATCTTACGCGTCGACATCACGCGTCGTATGCATTTGCTACAGCGGCATAAATCTTACGCGCCTTCATACAATTCAACGATTCTCATGCAATTGCAAGCCAAACTTCATTACTTTGAGAATCCTGTCAATCGATTCCACGATGAGAAGATCACTTGCAATACATCACATGAATGCCTCGTCGCTCCACCAGCCATGGCCGACAACTTTTCCCGTCCTAAACGCCATCGAAACCCCCAGGCACACTTTGAATCCTCTCAAAACCCGGAGCTTCAATACCAAATCTTTGCATTCCGATGCGCGTTGACCCAAGCCCCAGATACCCGGTGGAATCCTATCACCTGGCCGGATAGTCAAGTGTCTAAGTGATTGAATTCCATTCCATGCTGCACGCAGCCGACATAGAAATTCTGCAATGCCCTCGCACCACCCTCATCCTCCTCAGCGATCCCAGTCTTCACGAAGATCTTCCAGTGGTCGCGTCCAGAATGCTTACCGATGATTGCCGTAAGTCGCTGCAGGTTGTGTGCCACCCCTTCGGCAAGCTTGTCATGATCAGGTTGATGTGTATCAGAGTGCACACACAACCAGTCGAAATACTCGCCGTAGCGATCCCAGAGCTGTGAGTGCTCGTTGAAAGGGAGCATCTGATGGAAGAAGCTTCCCATGTTCACCTCCACCGACCTCGGGACGGTCAGGCCCTCCTGCCCCCTGCAAAGCAACGATACCATGCATACCAGAAGGTCGATAAAAATGTACGGATTGCCGTACCGGAGCTGCTCCTCAGAGATCTTGATCTTGATGGTGCGGAATTGGTTGACCGTGTTCCAGATTGGGTTGTTGTGTGAGCTGGGCTGCATAAAGCTGCTGATACCACGAAGACTCTTCGATCGCCAACCACACAAGTACTTGCTCATGTATTCTTCAGTGTTGAGCAGAAGAGAGCCTTTGCCGAAGACGACCCACATCGCCTCTTCCCTCATCGCTTTCGAAATCTGGAGAATGTTGAACCGGCCGGCGTCAGCTTTGACATCTCTACCGTGTTTCGGGCACTGCCTGCGCTTTCGCTCCGACATTCCAGGGTTACAGCAATCTTTGACTGTGACGGGCCTAGAATGTGGGTGTACAAAGTCAGTGTATGTCTTTTATGCAGCTTGTCTGCCGGGGCTCTTACTCGTCGACACCGAACGCGAGGCCGTAGATCTCTTGTCGTAACTCTATCGCCAGTGAATCGAGAGCTCCGAACCCGCCCTTTCCTTCGAGCGATATTGGCTCAGCATGGTCGGGCATGCTTTCTAGGAACTTCCTTGGAGAAGCGTAGTAGTTGTACCCTGGGACAGGACTTGGACATCTAGACAAGTCGGTGAGCTCCGAGATGTCTGACATTTCCGACGCTGTTGGCGATGTATGACGAGATCTATCTTTACCGTTAGCTCTCATGTCGTCAGTCATCATGTCACTGGTGCCGACAAAGAGGTTATCGGCGGCGAGGTTACGGTGAGGAGTAAGAAGCAAGTAACAGCAAACAAGGGGAGTAATATGAGGATACACAGCGCAGGCTCGTGCTTTAGTAATCCGCCTTCACCGCGACAGTGCATAGCGACGGCTTCTCAGGTGACTGACGATTGGCCAGGCATAATAGGTCACCGAGGATTCAATTGGCCAGGCTACAGTTAGGTTTCAATACGATTGGATGTCAAGGGTACACAGTCGGCATAGAGAAAATTAGGAAGAGAAGGCCAACACACACGATAGTTGTGTTGTTATTATGCCAGCCTGTCTTAGTAGTCCTGCGTCTGTCATTCACAGCGCTTTCGTAATAACACCTCTGTTTCTATTTCCAGTTCACGCGAAGCAGCATCATCCATTTTGCTCATTTCCCAGTGCTGCAACAGATCCCGAACGAGAGATGCGCGGCATGAGCAATACCGCTCCAGGCATGCACCTTCAATCGCAAAGTCTGTTATTCTAGATGCATGGGGAGATTCGAAACAAGATACACTACTACGCGCTCGACATGGGTATGTAGCGCACTTTACGCACAGCGCCCAAGCCGTTTGCAACCGATCATGCCGAGCTACAGGATCAGTTCGCGGATATCTTCTCGATGAACCTTCTGATCGCCTGCGAAAGAACATACCGAGAGGTGGGATCCTTGTTTGCGGAAACCACACCTGCAATAGTACCTCTTCATGCCCTCCAGTGACTCCACTCAACTTCTAAACACGCACTCAATTCTTTCTTTCGTGTTGCCATTCTATATCCCCTCGAGGATGAGAGGAAAGAGAGGAAGGGTATAAACTCCGGAAGAGTGACCAACTAACAGTACGGTCGGGCGTTGCTCAAGGCCCTTGAGTTGTACATGCGTGCATCGCAAAGGCTTTGTGAAAATAGGGAGGTGCGCCGGGGTGCGATTTTCGAATATGGATTGCGTTGGCCAACCTGACAACAATTCGTTCGTTCCATCAAGAAGATGGCTAAAGACAAATTCACAAATCGGTCGGTGGGAATTGCATACACTCACGCAGAGACCAGGTCTGTAGCAGAACTTGAGGAACTGGAAAACACTGTCTAGGCTGAGAAGGAGTGCGCCAAAGGTGGTGAGCATATCGCGTTCATCGTACGACTCTTGTATCATGGCATTATCGAGCGTACTCTACCTGCAATTGAGGAAGTCCCTAATCCTCGATGGATGGAACCTCGTCCATGTGGGGTCTCTGATATAACTCACTCCTCCTGGTCTTGCATAGTATTGAGGTTGTGACATTGAGGCATAACGACGCTATGCAGAACGCTCAGGCGGAACTATGCATCTCAAGATATACCAAAGTACAAGGACAATCAATGCAAGTCTTTCTCTATACATCATGTTCAGTAAGTGAGAGGATATCCTATTTCGAACCAACGTTTATCGGGACAAATTTACTGTGTACCTTTGCAGGCGTTGTTTTGCACCATCACTTTTTTCCAACTCCCAAGGCGATGTTTGGCTATGACAGTGAGACTTCGATATTGCGGTGATCTTACAGACTGTGTGTCAAGATTGTGTCTACCACCATCCGTAGCCTGCCTTCGTTACGTCCAAGAAGGCTGTCCGCCATCATCGATGGAACTAAAGTAGCGGCGACCCACGAAGCGTATCTTTTGTTCGACTTTAAGCCTCAATTTACCCTCCAAGGCGGTTGCATGCACGAAAATTACGAAATTCTCGGCAAGTTTCAGGTATTGTCAAATTGAGAAGAGAAGATACATGACAATTCCGACTAGACAGCCATGTACTACAGATTGTGCATGGCGATGCAAAATTTTGGTATCGTCGAGGAAGTGAGCTGTTGTTTGTAACTGAGACGTTCGTTAAACATCTTACCTAGCGCCTAGAATTGGGTGGAGAGACTGACCGCTGAGGACGTGCACCAGGCTAGGACGCGCGTCCGGCAGTAAGCTGAGATGGTATATTAAGCCGACAAAGACGCTCCGAGTTGATAAACCCTATGCAGACTAACCAAGATAAATTGTGGTAAGTAATCATGGGAGTAAAAAGAGTGGATGTTCGAATAGTGCGTGAAGCTATATCTCAGTTGTTGTTTACTCCAGCTGGTAGTAGACGAAAATAAGCTGCTCACAACTTCTGCAAACTGAATAATACCTATACGAAAAGAACATTTTGAGTAGGCGCTATCGAAAATATAGAAACTCGAATACTTGGGATCGGAGAGATTGTACTCGTGTTGGGCCGAATGGGGTACGAGCGTTGCGGTGAGGCTGGATGAACCCGCGGACGTCCGAAGCATCCAGTCACCTATGGCAGGTCCAGCGGTATCACAACCACGGACGGTCTTTTTGACTAGCATTACCCTTGGTGCCGGACCATCAATGACCATAAGTACATTTTGAGGTTCTTAGCCATGTAGACTATATAAGTATCTTCCTCCAGTAGAACTTCGAATCCTTCAACACTCCACACATAACTCATAAAATCAGCAACTATTCCTAAATATGAAGCTCTTTGTCATTGCAGCTATATTTTTGGGTATGGTATCGGCGCAAAGGTCACCGGGGGCAAGTCGACTCTTCCCCGTGTTCTACATATCTAGTTCATGGCTAACCTGATAAAGCTCTGCTTTGGAGACGGTAGTCAGGCGGGAGTATGCGTTCCTAACCGTCAAGAACCTAACCAGCCATGTTCTGGGGTATGTGGCGATAGTGTCCTCTTTTACCTGATTGCAGTAACCACATCGTACTTACTCTCTCCCTAGAATTCTCCATGCAGAGGCGACATGAACGATTGCACAATTGGTGCTGCAGCTGACGAGCTCGCAAGCTGCACATAGGCGAGTTAGAGCTTGCAAAAGAAATGAGCTGGTTTTTGGCGGGAAGGGTTCATAGACACACACTAGTATCTACCAGACATCCTCTGAGTAGCCTTACTTACCTCGAACCTAACATGCGGTAATGGGGTAAAGCATTGACCAGCCCTTGAAAACACTCCGCTTCCAGTTTTGGTGGCGTACCAGCGATTCATCACCGCTCATTCTTCTTGTCGCGCCCTTGCTAAAAGTCCTGAACTTACTGCATTTCTCACCTGTGGGATTATCCATCTCTGATCTCAGTGCTTGCGATTCAGCAAATCTTTGGTCGCTTCTTCAATCAACCTCTTTTGCAACTTCTCCAAGTCGTACCCGCCATGGGACTGCTCGATCTTCCACCTGAGATCTTCGAACGCATTATCACGCACTATGTGGACGCTCGTGGTATCCGACGAGCTTGGCGGCGTCGCGATGTGTGCAGTAAGTCGTGTGAATTACCACTCGTTTCCGAAGAGTTTGCTGACGTCTACAGGGACTTTTCACGACCATATCAACACCGAAGTGCTTGGCAGACAGCCGGCTTCGGCTTACTTGAGTAGAAGCGACTCTCTTTTCGTACGAAACATCCTCAGCTCCTTCCTCGAGTATCGCTCCTTCGCACTCTACGGAGCCCATGATGTTCTTCCCACTCATACCAACAAAATCGTCAACATCTTCGTTAGCGTCGCCGGCGATACCTCGCCTAAGCAACACTTGGTCTGGATTCGTAGAGTTTCCGAGGCTTTGGTGAGAAGCTATACGATTCCGAATGCCTGCAAGCTCGCTTATAAGCCAAACGACAAGGACCGAAGCAATCTCGCATTATCGTCAGGACAGCAGGAGGCTTTCAATATCGCGATCATTATGGGCGAGAAGGATGTCGTTTCCGCACATGCTGCCGAGCAAGGTGTATCTATGTGGGCCAAAAAAGCGGCAGGATTGAATCTGGGTCATCCGCTCGAGCTTGCGACACGCCGTGGTAATCTCGATATGGTGGAGATCCTGTTGGCTCATGCTCAGCGGTCGACCGTCATCAAAGACATGAAGCAACAAACTAGTACAGTCGTGAAAAGCATAGGACATGCTCTACAAGGCAATGAACCTATTGCGCTGGCCGTGCTGGATTGGTACTTATCGAACGTAAAACGTTCCGACGCATGGCAACGACTAGATTGGTTCCGAGAGGCCTGTAGATCCGGCATGACACGCTTCCTCACTAGACTGATTGAGGGAGTAACACCATTCTTGAGCGACTTACTCAGGACGGGTTTCCTTCAAATCGCTAACCCGGATTGCGACCGATCCGTACGAATCCTCCCTCGTAAGGTTCAGCACTTCGACGCTCTCATCTTATGTTTTTTGGACGTCGGTCTGTTTGACCGCAGCAACATCAACTCATGCGAGCGAAACAGCAGTATGTTTGGTGGAAACCCGGACGGTTTGCTCGACGTTGCGGTACGAAGCGGAATCCTGGATGTTATCCAGCGCGTTTTGGATGCTGGTGCACACGCTGATGGAATACTCTCTGGGGCTAGGGAGATGTCATATCCTCTACGCGAAGCTGTTCAACGAAAGCGTTTCGATGTCGTCAAGCTGCTGGTCGAGTATGACGCTGACCCACATTCCGATCTTGGTGCGTAAGCTGCTAGATAACTCAATCTCTATGGTTTCGGTAAGTCCTACTTTCTTTGGCGCGGATTGACAATGTTTGGAGGTCTTCTCAACGTTTCGGCAAACAAGTGTACAAACACTGATACGGCACAGGTATCTAGACTGCTGTATGACGGATACAAGTGCAGTGACTATTAAGGGATTGACTGCCGCTGGGCGAGGGAACGGCGTAGTTGCGCGGGCTAGATACGCAGTTTCCGGGAACGGGGCATTTACCACCTATCCCGAGATGAGATGCACTGTCGGAGAGGATCTGTAGCTAGTCATGTTCTCTTATGCCTTAAAATTAGTGAGCTGATAATGGTGTTATGCGCGCTGAGAATCGACGTTTGTAGTTGGTTTAGTTTCGGAGGTGAATGCCAGGTGTGGAGCCGTCCCGAACAAAGAGTCGTAGCACTAGTTCAGGGGCCTTGCCCAGCCACTTCTCCACCCCTTCCCAACTCTGACTAATATAGAGGAGACTGGAGGTATTGAAGATGCGAAGCGGAACAGGATGTGCGTATAAGTAGTAAAAAGCTGCCCATGAAACCTAGACCAAAGCATAGGTGTGCGCAACTTGAATGCTGGCACATGAAGACGGAGCTGCTGTGGGTGGTGCGAGTCAAAAAAACGATGACGTAGAGATTCTCAGCGAACATGGTTTGTGCACACGAGACTGGATCCTAATCATGTAAGTTCTTAGTGATATATGTTCCGCATCTTTTGTCTAAGAGCTACAAGGTCAGTAACTGATGAGGGCCAATGTAGTTCGCACATAGCTGTCAAGCGTACGTAAGCGGAAATAAATGAAGCCATGACCAATGTATTGGCCAAGGGTTGTTTCTAGAGGTAAATATCTACATGAATCCAAGGTAGTGGTCATCCAATTTTCCATAGGTAATGCGATTGAAACATGCGGCAAAGCATTAGCTCCTTTGAACTGGATCAAACTAGCAGGTGGAGGCACCGTTCGGTGTACCGCTCTTATAGGCACCCGTCTTGTCGCCGAGGCACTCAGCTAGAACACAAAATTAGCAATACGTCCCAATAACAATAGACTTGTAATCTGACTCACCAACAGTAACCAACTTGAGGTTGTTGTTCTTCGCCCAGCTGATCAACCACGGAGTCAAAGTGTTGACCGTAGAAGCATAAGTCTCGTGCATGAGAGGGATGTGGCCATTTCCGCTGGTTCCGGCTTGTTGGAACTTCTGCTGGCTCTGCTGTGGCGTCTTGCCGTTCCAGTCCTCGGAATCGACATCATCGGTGATGACGCGGTATCCAAGCGTCTTCATCGTTGGGAGGACGTTTCCGCCGGTGGCGAGGTAGGGAGGACGCATGTAGGTCGGCTTCACGCCGATGATGTTGACAAGAGCCTGTTCAAGACGCGTCATCTGGGATGTAAGGTCGTTGGTGGAGAGAGAGCCAAAGTTCTGCGGGTGGGACCAGGTGTGGGATGCGATCTGGTGACCGGCTTTGTAGGCGTTCTGGAGAGCGCTCTTTTGGTTGTAGATGCATCCTGGATCTGTTAGAGGGTGCCTTCAGACTACAATGGAGATGAATGCTGCGCATACCGTATAGCGAACCGGTGACGAAAAAAGTGCCCTTGGCTCCACCAGCGGTCAAGGTATCGACGAGCTTTTGTGTGTACTGAGATGGGCCGTCATCGTACGCGAGAGCGATCTGGCCAGGCGCTGCGCATTTGGTGATAACTTGTCCTGCTGCAGGCCCAGCCTGCCTCATGACATTGAGAGGGTCTGGAATCGGCCCAGCGATGGCAACCGCAGCGAATGTCGCGACAATGAAAGATTTGAGACCCATGTTGATGAAAGACCCACGATTGTGTTTTCGAGATGCCCAAACTATTGCTCAGTACCCACCATCTTTATGTATAAACGCCAAGGCTCCGCCCGCTGTCCTGATATCATTCCCGTGAAGCTTAGGGGCTCTTGGCTCGTTTATGGTAAACGACATGCTTAAACCGGGTCATCGGAAGCGGCGAAAGAACCCTGTCCGGCAGATATCCGCTCAGGTGTTTGGTAACACTGTCGGCGTGGTGGTGCTTTCGCCAAGGTTATTGGGGCACAAACACCCACCGCGAGTCAACACAGATACACAAAAATCCACGGCCCTCCGTGTAACGTATTGGGTAGAGCCCCGATGATTCAAAACCACAGCGACGACGATATGCCCTTCACCCGAAGAATGATCAGATGAATTCGCCGCGTTTCATTCCTACCGGTAGATTGCCGCCGGCTAAAGTCAAAATCTGGGGAAGCTTGGAAACGCGCCAAGTGGAGCCGCGTGACATGTCGCGAAATTAGAACGCAGGTCGAGAAGGCGGCTGGAAAGAGTCCTCCGAAGTTATTCAGGCATGATGTCTTCTCGCGATCCGCTGCGACATTGCACTCCATGCAATAGTTCCTGTCGGCCGCTGCTAATCTCATATCGGATTGATGCAGTGGCTGCACGCCACTAGAGCTGTGCGAGGCGTCTATGGGAGTCAGGGTCTCTACTCAAGACGAGGTATGTGTGACAAACCGTTGTGTGCTGAATTCGACGACGCCCGGTGGCCCATCAGACCACATGTCATACTGTCCATTTGCGTCTGTCGTGTCACCAGGTATCGCAACAGGCATCCTTTCGACGAACTTACTGAACAGCGTCTCGTCTGATGGCGGATACGGCTGCTGGAAGACCAAATTTGTCGCTGAATTGACGACATATGCTAAGCGTCGTCCTTCTGGCGAGTCAAAGCCGCCCAAAGCCTGCCATGCCATCCTTATAGCCACATAGGCTATGGTGTTCGATTGCGGTGCACCCTCGCGCTGTTCGTATTCTTTTAACTCAAGGCATTTGGCAATGCTCATCGCGGCAGCATTCCGCAATGCAGCATTAACAGGCGAAGGAGACAGTGAATCCTTGATTTGAAGGACGCATATGTATGCAGTATTGTAGAGCATGTACGCTGTTGCAGAGACGTGGTTGGCCACTCCTAGTGCCTTCGCCATGTCTGACTGCTCCGTCACTTCAGCGAGTTGGTTTCGATTCAAAGCCTCCCAGAGCGGATATAGCGCCTCCAGACTGTTCAAAACAGTTTCCACTTCGGTAAGCAACGGTTCGCAACTTTCTAATATGACTCTTGAGGCAAGTAGAACATTGCGGCGGCCAATGAGGCGGGTACAATCTGCTAGAATGGTAAAAATGTGATGCTGAAAATACCCTGCCTCGCTAGCCTGTACAGGTGGAACCTGCTTCCATTCTTCCTCGGAGTACAAAGAGGTCCTGGACTCCGCGAGTGAGCCAACAATGGAGAGAATGCGCAAGCCGCGGAAAATGGTAGCGGTAGTACCGTCGGATTCTTTCGGCGGACCTCGTAGCATCGCGATAGCATCGAGGCCTCGCTGGTGTTTTAGGAAGTTTCTCGGCCCAGTAGGCAAGAAAATCTCGAGAAGCATACAAGACAGCGCCGTCAGCAGAGTCTCGTTCGTCAACTGCAATTCTGGGTGGGCAAGATGCGAATTGAGCTGCCGCAGCACCTCACTATACTGGGCGTAACCTTTGTTTGTAATGTAGTCCTGCCGATGTTGGCTTCCGAAAAAGGTAACGGACAAAGTTAGTATTCCTTTTCGCAATAGATCAAGACCGGGGTTATCGCTTCCTATGGATGCACCGTAGTTCTCAACCATGTTGCAGGCTATTTCGACAGGACCTCCGCGCAGCAAGGTCTTGCGGGTGTACGCCAAGCAGATGTCATCTTCGAACGCTGCAAGCGATAGTTGGCTCGGACTAGCTATCTTGACAACTGCACTCTGAGCTGCGCTTGTTGATTTGGTTTCGAATGCCGTGCTCTGATTGATCCAAGTTAGATCTTTAGGCCCTTCGCACTCTAGACCACGCTTTATGCATTGTCCGCACACAGGGCGTTTCTCGTCTTGTCTTGTCAGCACAGGTGCCAGGCCTCGATGGTCGTGAGATGAGCGAATGGGCACATACCGCATTTCACACGCCGGCGGCGACAGTTGGTACAGCCTTTCGAACGGCCACCGCGGCTGACCATACTTTTTTGTGCCACGATCAGGAACAAAAGTGCTCTCCGTTGCCGGTTCACGTCACGAGTACGAAGACGTCTGAACACGGTATATCGCGGTACGTGACGTAGTATGATTTTCTGTTTGGATTTTTTATTGATCTTACATCGGCGAGATTTATGGTACACATATTGAGAGGATAGGAAGAAAAGTAGTCGTCGAGGCTTCGTGGCTGAGTTCGCAAAGAATTCCCCTCGTGTCGGACAACGAAGAACGGAGCGGATTTAGGCAGACGCTAACTCTTGGCAGGAGGCCCGAAGATGACGACTCCACCCACAACGGGAATCGTGAAGCTTGCTCGCTTGCTACCGATGTCAGCAAAACGAACAAGAAATCGGTAATAAGCTATCTGCATCACACAATAGGTATATATCAGGCAGCAGTTGAGGCGGGCTCTATATAGCGAGCCGGAATTATGTGTCAATTTAGGGACCTCTGAGGTGATAAACTATTAAGCATCTGTAGCGACTGGACATTGCCATAACAGAAAGGAAACGAAACTTCATGACAAGTCTCGAGGCGGGAGCGGACATCCCACCATGCCACTCAACCGCCTAATCGCAAAGTCGAGAACTCTTACTAAAGTCAAATATTACTCGGACTTCAAGGTTCTCGACCAATGGCCATCGCGCTACATGCCGATCATCCTCTTGACCATGCCCTGTGCCAACTGAGCGACCTGAATGTTATTGCAGCGCTCCTCGTTACCACCGATAGCACTGGCCTCACATCCGTCGGGGTAGAAGAAACTGGCTAGCGCGATGATGATATAGGCAGCAATCAGTAGACTACCCTCGAGGTAGTTACTGCGACCGTCCAACACCAAAAAGTTCACCACCAATACAGTGACGAATAGTGCGACAGTCTCGAAGATGTTGAAATAAAGTGTCATCTCCTTGCCCATGATCCAGCCAAGAATGACAATGACAGGCGTGATGAAGATGGCGATCTGGATAGAGGAGCCAACAGCGATACCGATAGAGAGGTCCATCTTGTTCTTCATGGCGACAGTAACAGCTGTGACGTGCTCTGCGGCGTTACCCACAATGGGAAGGATAATGAGACCGATGAACGCTTGACTAATACCGGAAGTTTCGACCATGGGTTCGATAGCGTCACTCATGAAGTCGGCGCAGACAGCAACGAGACCTGTACTGATCAAAAGCATGAAGATGGCCGCTTTGATAGACATATCAGATGCTTCTTCGTCTTCGTCATCCTCGGTGAGTGTCATGGCTGCCTGGGGAGAGACAGCAGGATGTTTGACTGCGCTGCCTGTGGAATCGGCGCGGCCAATTTGGTCTGGAAGAGACTTGGATCGTCGGAGAGGTGCACGCAGAGCCGCGTTGTCGCGAGGTGCTGCCATACGAATGTTGGGCGCGGGCCCGCCAAACGGAGCGAGGTTTTGGGGGTTCGAGAAGACGTTGTTCGAGAGCAGGGAAGGGAGGGCTGGGCGGTTGTATCTGCGTGAGTTCATCGGAGCAGCAACATCCTGCTGTGTCTCCTCAGCGAAGGTAACCTTGGGCGCGATCTCATTGGGTGTGATCTCCTTCTCAGGAATGGTGTCAATCTTGTTACGATCACGGCGGTCCTTCTTGCTCTTCTTGTTTTTGCGTTTTTCCTTCTTCGTCAAGGATCGCGAGGTATGCGAGGCGGCTTCGAAGTCGCGAACGACTGGGACGTATTGATCATTATCGGCTTCATCACCACTCATGACGTCGAATGAGTGTCGGCGAGAGGTGATGGGAGCTGCATTGTTGGCGGTGACAACGCTGCTGGTCCTCTCCGTCTCGAAAGGACTTTGGTTCAGCTCGGCAGAGGGGGAGCTCAGGGCCGAAAGTGCACCATCGTCTTTGGAGCTAGCACTGGATTTGCGGCGAAGCCTCTTGACCATACGTTTGGCCTTCTTCTTCATAGTACCATCAGAATTGTTTGAAGAACTGTCGCTGTCGCTGCTGCTAGAGCTGGATGAAGAGTCGGAACTGGACGAGTCGAATGCACCGGCGAGAACACCAGGATGCGATTCCTCGTCAATAATATGTTGGGGTGTGCTAGCATAGAGATAGCGATGACTCTTGAGCTGGAAGAGAAGGTACAAGCCGTAAACCAGTAATAGAATGACGCTGGTACCGCGACTGACGGACAGTGTCTCGTGGTCGGCAATGGCATTGTCCTCGAAAGCAGCATGGAAGGCAGTGGGCAGCAGAAGACTCATTACGGCAAGAGCCAGCATGACACCACTCATCTGAGTGACAGTGTTGTTGTAAACCTGCTCCTGGTATTTCAGACCACCAAGTAGGAAGGCCATGCCCAGGATGAGAAGCAGGTTGGCGAGGATGGACCCGAGCAAAGACGCCTGCACGACCTCGATTTGGTCAGAGGCGAGCAGGATGATGAAGAGGATCAACTCGACAGCGTTTCCGAAGGATACGTTGAGCAGTGCACCAAGCGCATCTCCAACACGGGCAGCGACAACTTCGGTTGCGTGCGCGAGCAGGCCAGCCAGTGGAATGATGGCAATGGCGTTCATGGAGAAAACAATCTCGGGCTTCAGGTGCACAAGCTTGACTACAATACCAAGAGGCACGAAGACAAGCAGGACGTTGATCCAGCTATGTGTGATGGCATTCTTGGTGTGGGATATGAATCGGAGGCTTCCGTTCTTGATACGCACAGACGAATAGAACGGACGCTTCTCGGATCCTATGGCGGAAGGCGTCTTTCCATCAGCCGCGGTATTAACGCTGCCATCTTCAATGTCTGTAGAGTTATTGTCGGACGCGACAGGCTTCTCATTGTGGTCGCTGTTGGTGGTGCCGGGCGCACTACGCGACGGGTTGCTGCCATCTAGGCCAGGATGGGCGGTCGTGTGGGGGTTGTGGGTCGGAAGGACGTCGGTCTGAGTGTCTTTCTTGCGTCCCAAGCCAAGTGCAGATGCTGCCTTAGACTTGAAGCTGCGTATAGAGGGGTCGTCAGGTTCTCCCATCGGTTTTGGTGTTGTAGAGTTTGGGTGGTTGTTGCGTACAAAGATGTACTTTGGGGGCGGCGGTAGAAGTGTGGCCAAGTAAGTGAGGCGGTGGCCGCGCCTTCCTTATCAATGCTCGGCAAGCTTGAACCGGCTTGGTATGTGCTTACTGCTCGAGTGGATCTCGGAATTCTGGCGAATGACGTACATCATCCAGCCGGATTGGCTACACGTGGACAGCGCGCACAGCCTCAGTGGCGCGCTACGTCTTGCTTGCTTGCATCTGCAATGATTCTTGTTTGCGCCATGAGTCTAGAAGGTGGCTGAAGGATGTTGGCTTCATTGCGCATCAAACAGGTATCCGATGCGGTTTGCCTAGGAAATGCAAAGGGAAGGTGCGCTGCGACGCGTTATCACAGCATCCCTGACGTGTTCTGGGAACAGCAAGCGCGAGGCGACGACTAGGAAGCCGCCAGCATCGGCCTTTCCCCGCACGGCCATCATCATCAATCCGAAAGCTGTTGATCCCTAACAAACAATCGCGCCCAGCTTCGCCTTCTGACGTTCACTTAGACATCGAACCCCCTAGTCTCTCAATCTAGACTGTCCACGATACCTCAGGTTACAGGGATGATGCCGAGATCATAGCTCGGCCAACGCACGCCATTTGTCTTTTGCCTTATCCCCGAATGCTTAGCACGCTTATACCACCTAGTACACGACAAAACCACTAGATGTCCACTTGAAGACGTACGTACTCAAACGACACTAGGCAAAAGCAGAATTGGAGCAAGACTTTTATCTTCGAGGATGACTCTTGAGTTCAGTATGAAACAGAGAGCTTATAGAAGCGACAACGAGTTCATGCTGCAAGTGGTGCACAGATCAGTAAGAGTGAATATGGTGACAACATTTGTGCGCCATCGTTATGGCATGTCGTCGAAGGAGGGCATGTTGATATGGTGTTGCTTTTGCTGGCTTTTGGTGCCGTCGTACCGGAAAGGAGCTCTGCAAAGCATGTTGGCCTCTGGGCTCTGGCTACCAAACGAGGTAGAAATATGGCAAGATTGCTACACGAAGCTTGAACGCACAAATGACAGGACGCTAATGCCCAAACTCCATGGTATAATCTAAGAACGTATGCGTAGTACAATTTCGGATCGTCGTGTCCTGAGTGCAGTAGGCGGCAATGCTTGAAACTGCAACAGATCAACGATAACATACGGAAGTCGGATCACAAGAAATCATATGTGGAGACTCAGTTGTACGAGTTCAGAGTGTTATTTATGCCCGCAGCGTAATCTTCACCGGGAGGCCATCTGCTGGATGAGCCCCGCCTCCACCCATCTCCGCCTGATACGCTCGATTTCCGTCAACAGCTTTGATACCCTTCTTTGGATGCATTTTGTCCCACTCTTCATACGCAGGAGTAATGTCAAACGTCCTCGCAGTCATGACCAAGGCGACTTTCAGTTCCAATTGCGCAAGTGTCTGCCCAATACAGGCACGTGGACCCCACTCAAAAGCTCTCCATGAGGCTTTCTTCGGGTGTAGAGGGTTTTCGGGACCGACGAGCCAGCGATCGGGAATAAACTCTTCTGGCTGCAAAAACACTTCGGGATTGTGATGCATAGCAAGGCTGAGCGTCCAGATCTGACAGCCTTCTGTAGGGTATTGTTGGCCCCGCTCATCTGCTAGAAAGACATCCGAACGGCCATTGCGCATGCTGCCAGCGGGAGGAAATATGCGGAGAACCTCCTTGATAACTGCCAAAGTATAGGGTAACTGATTCAGGAGTGTGGAATCGTCTGTGATAGTCCGAGTAATGTTGTCGAGCGAAAAGTCGGACCCGAATACCTGGTCGTGTTCTGCACGGACTTTGGATAAAACAACTGGGTGACGGGACAGAAGTATGTAGCTGTAGAGTAGTGTACTACTCGTGGTATCGTGGCCAGCGTAGAGAAACAAGCGAAGTTGAGGCTTCGCGAGCTGCTTGAAGGCCGATTTTGACACATCATCTTTGTTCTCCACATCATCCAGGTACTTGTCCATGGCCAAAGCAATGATGGACCTAGAGGGTGAGCGGGAATCACCAGAAGCGCTTCTGCGAGAGCTAGCTAACTCTTCGAAGCGTTTGTCGATCTCCTCATCGAGGTATTGGTTCATGCGATAGCTGTTGTACTTTTGGACGAGTGGACGAGGACTAAGATAGCGGCGTATTGGATTGAATGATGTGCCAAACGGAGTCCAGTACACTTGCCGTCGAAGGCAGTCTGCGAGAGCGCTTCCCTGAGTTTGGTAATGGAGGTGCGCACCACTGTGTCCACCTTTTAGCAGTTGCCCAGTACTGCAAGCGCACAATATCAGGAACTTACAAGGTAACACGTGCAATGATGTCAAACGTTAGTCGGAGCGTATACTCCTCCAAAGCAAAGACTTCCACTTTCTTGGCGCGGTCTTGGAGAAGTTTGCAGAAAACGGCGACCTCCTCTGCTATGGCAGGAGCAAGTCCAGTTATGTAGCCAGCCGCAAAACCTGGATTGAAGAGCGCCCGCCATCTCTTCCACGTACTTCCATGCATAGTTAGTAATGATGGTCCACCATTGATAACCTCTATAGTAGCGCATATATTGGTGGGCTTGTCGAGGAAAGCAGCCTCGATTTGTGATGCAACATAAGGATTCGCAACTACCATGAGAGGAGCGTTGAAAGGCCACAGGTTAAGGTAGAGGACACCGCCAGGAAATGACTCCGCTATTCGCCGTACTACCACGTGCATTACAGTGTTCCGTGGTAGTGATTGAATGGTTTCTTTCAATACGATGAGATGGCCGAATAGAGGATGGTGTTTCGGCATAGGCTTGCTACCATTAGAAGTACTTCTGTGAGTGCATCGAGGAGCCAACTCACTGCTCCCGAATTCCGTAGCCTCTTTACGTGCTGTCGATTAGCCATCAATCTAGCTACAAATATGACAAAAGCGCCAGCGACAACAGCCATGATGGCTGGCATGCTGACCCACGTCATGCTCACTAGCGGGTTGAGCGTTGAGATCGTACACAGTAACCTAGAAGCACGAATATAGTAATTCGGCCTCACGAGTGTTGATGCTGAAGTGCCGATGAAGGTGCAGGGCGAAGGAGGAAGAGGGTGGCACGAAAGGCGCTAGCGCTACCTGGGTACTCGGCATGACAGCGCTAGGACCAGCACCGCCTTCTTGTACTACGATACTATAACTCGACATTCGCTATCGTTTCCCTTATGTTCCTCGATTGTATCCGACCAATATGTCGGTTTTCTCAGGAACTTTTGGATTCACACTTCAATGCCCGACGCCAACAAGGTATAGTTTGTGCCATACGTTGCGACCGGTCATGGCCCCTGTTGAAGCTGCCAGAACATCGATCGATACTAGATGCAGCGTGCGGAGTATTCATATAGCTCAACAGCTCCCACCATTTACGTGATCGCCTGCGATACCAGATCTTGTTATATATTTATCATGTCTTCCCCCTTCCTGTCTGGAATTCCGTAGCTCTATCGTATAGTCTCCTCCTTACTCAGATCTTCGTTGAAGCCATGAACCAAAAGAAGACAATCCCGTTCCGAGAGGATATCCCTGCGACATTGGACATCACCAAATGGGGTTTCATTTTCTCCACGTTCAATTGGACTTCCCTACACGTTCTCAAGTTCGCTTTTATGTACTTCTTCCACACACCCTAACCATGGGACTGTCCATCAGGATCATGCGGTTCTTCTGGATCATCGTAGGCTTTCTCGTCGTTTGTTTGATCTATATAGTGGTCAACTTTGTAGCCATCTGTCCACACTTTGGTGCGGATACAGGTCAGTTGGCCCTGGGTTCATTTTCGACGTCAAAATTGCCAAATTTTTACAGCCAAACGTAGCGCTAATTCTCAGCAACATGAGAGAAGTGTCGCGGGTAATGTTATCGTTGGCGTCCTCGATATCATAGGCGACGTCCTCAGTATGTGATGTGGTCAAGAAGCTCACAATGAGAGTTTAAATACTGATTTTTCTGGTCGTGAGCATTCCCATTATTATCCTGAAGGAGTCGATAATGTCGTTCTCCCGAAAACCATCGATTGCGGTGTTGCTAGGCCTTTCGACAGTAGTGGTCATCTGCACATTGATCAGGGTCGTTGGGTCATTGATCGAGACGACCGAGACGACTGAGACAGGAATTGGAGCAGCACCATTGTGGGCTGCGTATTGGCTTATCGTCGAGTCCTGCGTTGGGCTCATCATGGCGTCTGTCATTGTTATCTGCGGAGTTTCCATCACCAACTTTATCGATGACGGCGTACAGAAGCAGGATAGTATATTCCAACAGTTTGGGCATCGTCTCCTGTCTATTCCAAGGTTCTCCAGATCCTCAAGAAGCAGCAGGTCAAGTCCCCAGCGAAGCGACCAGCTCCACAACCAGCACAAAGATCCAAGTGCGCCATGGATCGCTACTCAGAGACTTCAGGGAGGAACACTGAAGACCGTCAGATCTTTCGTCTCGGGTGGTAAAGACATGGCCGGACGCAAGATGATGCGCCGCTGTCAGTAGACACAACCTATAGTCTTGAGGATATGGACTACCACAAAACTCGGAAGGCCGAAATGATGAAACATAGGCCATAGCTGGTCACGCTGGATTCAGACGAAGAAAGTCGTTGAAAAAATTGTATTTATGATAGCAAGTAAGAAGCATGATGGACAGCATGAGACGAGTTTCGTTAGATACTGGATCTATCTAACCACTTAACAGTAATTGGAATAGTCCACAACAACGAAGCGTATGGCCGTTCACAGCCGTGCAGTAGGCCAACCGGATGCGCGCATGGGCCAGCCCCGAGCCGTGGCTTAGACGCCCCCACATCCCGTCATCACATCTCTCCTGCACCGCAACGCGTCACCACATAATTTCCAAACTTCGTTGCCTTGTGCAATTGGCTGTCGAAATATCAGCCCTCTGACGCGGCAATCTCATAGCATCTTCGTACTCAGAGGCAACGCGACCACGCATTCGTAATCATCTGGACAACCATCACAACTTCCTGCCATCTTGCATCAAACATCTTACTCACCGTCGCAACTTACCTTCTCTAGCCCAAAGCTTCACCATGGGTCGCTGGACAGATATGGATAGTGTAAGTGCCCTCTTATAGCTCCCTCCGCCTAATGAGTCACTGACGTAACCTCCAGGACGCTGAGCGACTCCCCGAAGGCTTCGAGCGCATAGGTTATGACGCCGATACCCAAACCTATACTTTCCACGATGCATCTGGCCATGTCTATGAGTCTGAGCCTGGCAACCGCTATGGGGAGTTGCGTGCCACCGGCGAGCGCTCGCAGCCCATATCTGACGAACAACGACTCGAGCAACACGAGGTGATAGAAAAGGAGAACAGGAGCGCTGTGCGCATGATGTTGCCGTTCGCACTGCTGGTTCTTGTGTTCCTGTTCCTTGTGTTCAAGCTCGTGAACAGGAGCGACGATACACACGTTGCTGTTTGTGAAGATGGTGATCATCAATTACAAGTCTCCAAAGGCGATACGTGTTGGGCGATTGCGGAAGCGCATGGTGTGAACGTAGACGCTTTGTTGAGCTTGCGCGGGAATCAAGGAGTGGATTGTGACAGACTGAGGATAGGGCAGGGCATCTGTGTGCCAAACAACAAGGTAGTTCGCTTGTCGCGATTTGTTACTGGCCAAATCCTCAACTCCTGATGCGGGGTCGAGGCGCGCGCGCTGTGAGACTGAGGCGTAGTCGCATCGTGGGCGCTTATCCTAATCTTACCACGAGACAATCATTCCATCTCACTACTACATGCTCAACATCTTTCCTTGTTAACGGTCACACGATACCAGCGATGGCAGTCGCGAACCCAAAGGTGCACAAATCCCAATACCATCACTACATTCCTCGATTCTTGCTCCGTCGCTTCTCTTGCCCCTCTTCGACCGTTCTTAATCATGACAAGAGGCGGAACAGAAAAAGGCGAGTCGATGATGTGGTCACCGCGGTCGACCTGAATCTCGACTTTCCCGAATTTGTGGGATTACCGGTGGGACGAATTTTCGGACAGGTGGACATGTACAAAGACGACTCGAAATTCGCCATGGAAGAACAAGGTCGAATGGAGACGAAGTTGAGCCTTATTGAGGGGCAAGCAAGTCGCATCATCACCAAAGTCGCAGACGCCCATAAAGCGGGCAAGAACGAAGTCACGCTCTCACGCCATGACAAAGATCTTCTGCGCAAATACATCTTCGTGATGAAGTACCGCAGTCCCATCTTCTACGAACGCTTCAACCATCAGAGAGCAGAGGATTACAATTCGGACGATAGGACATCATTTCTGGAATACATGCGAGAACACAGCTTCGAACGCCCGCTCGATGTGTGGTTCGATAATCTGCTGAAAATCATTGACAAGCCTATGGATCCTGCCGGTGATTGGACAACAGAACTGTCCAATGACATCTATCCAGGTGACGCTGAGTGGCTTTACAAGAACATCCGATCGATGTGGCTGTCTTTTGCCACTCCTTTAGATGCTGATGAAGAGTTCATTCTCACCAGCAACGCGTTTGCCATTCACGAAGGGCCGGTCGACTACTTCACCGACCCTTTCACAGGCAAGCAGACGACGACTGCATGTACCGAGTTTCACGTGATAAGCGTCGTTTCTCCACGTCTAGTCATGATCTTGCGCCATGTTCTTCTTCCGGAGCCTTTGGAAGACCAGCGCGACGAGATCCGAAATCACAAAAGATGGATGTTGGCAGCCCATATGCAGGCGCACAACCAACCAGGCAACGCTACATCCTTGCTCCAAGACTTGCCAATAGCGAAAGCTCTCAACTCTTACACTGTAATCCAGGACGGTCGGCTTGAATTGGCCGAAGGTGCAGACACAGTGCCTAAAGCCGCAGACAAATTCCAATTTACTTTCTTCCGCCTAGAAAGCAGACACGTGCAAACAATCAATCTCGTCATGCTGGACCAAGCCCATAACAGCTCCCACATTGTGTTCAAATCAAGATTTGCATTGCGAGCAGCTTTGGACTTCTACCTTGATTTTCCGACTCAGACTAAAAGAGCCTATAGTATCAAGACAATAACGGAGCGAACTGAGGACCCCATGTTGCTTTTGTTACGCAAATTAGAAACGGTTGCGCATTCACTAGGCTCATCCGTCAGAGCGAAGTACTACATCGATCCGCTTATTGAGACTAGTAAAGCACCGCCATCTTACGACGCACCGCCATCTTACGACGCACCACCTTTCGATGAAGTTGTTGCCCAAGTGTGGAGAACGGCAAAACTCGATTTTCTACCAAATATTCCAGCTGGCAGCATCTCCGCGTTGCCCATGACCGTTATGGTGCAGACTTCGATCGAGCTAAAGCTAAACATCATGACAATCCACGCGCTTGGCCAGATATGCATAGACGATAACCAACACTGCTTTCCAGCCTTGGTCTTCCAAGCTGTTCAGAAAGCAGCTACTAAAAGTCCGAATGAGCACACTAGGAGGTTCTTCAACACTAATTTGTTAACCTGGAAATACTGCTGGGATGCGCTTGTTGAGCGAGCTTTGCAGTTTCCGGGTGCGGACGTCAACCAAAGTGTTGAAGCCTTACGGAATGACTTTAATCAACTCTCCATCAGTCCGAACCCGGATGCCTTGCTGACTGTGCTGTCCGCTATGTCTCAAGAAGCCCTTCGATCTTCAAAAGAAGCTCTTGTAGAACAACCGAGCTCGTCTAACCACGTTGAAGCCGCTCCTGGGTGGTCTAGGCGAGGACTGCGCCAAGCGTTTGACGACATCGGCCGTGACGCTCAGCACAATGAAGCTACATCCACCATTCCGTCATCGCCAGACATGGATCTCTTCACATCTGAGGACAGGGCACGTAGAAACAATGACGTCAAAGTCACTCCCGAACGCCCTGGGCAGGGATGGCGTGAAGTGTTCGACAACGTCGTCCGTAAAATTCAAAGTAACGAGGACGTCTTGAGAGTTTTTCTAACTGCCCTCTTTATTGTAACTTTCATGTGTTTCTGGCTCGCTGTCCTCGCATGGAGGCTCATTGGCCTTGCATGGTTCTTGGTGCAATAGCATTAACACATCGATATCGAATCATCCTGTAGTTCCTGGTCACTCACATACCTGACACCACATTTCCTGCCAGATACACGAAGAAGTGATCACCAAAGCTCGCAAACACTTTACGACAAGTATATGACCCATGGCATTTTGAACTTTACAATGAATATTTCGTTCCTGATCTTCCCTTCCGACCAGATGAACTGTACTGTTACAAAGCCAAAGCGCGCGTCAATGCTACAAAGACACCTTATGCATGCTTGCCTAGAGTGGAATGAAACCCCTTGAATCATCGCCGAACCCCCGTCCATGTCATAACATGCCATAATGCACACACAATAAAAAGAAGAAATCGATAAAACTACATCTTCAACAGACCTCATCTCCGGGCACCCAAGTCCTTGAAGGTCGCTGGGCTGGGGGGTACTAATGGCCCTTTGACGCCATCCCCTGCTGGCTCTACGTATCCTGGTGCCTTGCCGTACTCGCCAGAGAAGTACTTATGGAAATCTTGGCTGTCTTCGAACGGTCGGGGTCCGAGTAACCTGATCATGTCTTCGCGACCAAGCATCTCCTTCTTGAGTAGCTCCTCTGCTACGAGGCCGACTTCGTGCTTCTTCTCGGTAAGGAGATCCTTGCATTGCTTGTAGGCCTCATCGACGATACGCTTGACCTCCATGTCGATGTTCTTGGCTGTGTCTTCGGAGAAGGGCTTCGTGAGTTGCTGGCCTTCGCCGTCCTCGAAGTAGATGTATCCGATCTTTTTGCTCATACCCCATTTGCTGACCATGGCTGTGGCCATCTGGGTGACCTTGCGGAAATCGTCGGATGCACCAGAGGTGACGGTGTCGAAGTGTAGCTCTTCAGATACACGTCCACCGAGTGTCATGGCCATACGATCCATCAGCTGGTTTACATTCATAAGGTATGTGTCGCCGTTGGGAAGGTACTGAGCGTAACCAAGAGCACCTTGACCACGGGGAATGATAGAGACCTTGAGGAGGGGGTCTGCCCACTTAAAATACCAGCCACAAATAGCGTGGCCAGCCTCGTGGTAAGCGACAGTCTTCTTCTCCTCAGGCTTAAGGACAAGTGACTTCTTCTCGAGACCACCAATGACACGCTCAATGGCTTGTTCAAAGTGTACCATGGCAACGGTCTCAGCGTTAGCGCGGGCAGCTGCAGATTGTTAGTGGAAGTAAGATTGAGAGGAGCGTTAATACGTACCGATCAAAGCAGCCTCGTTGACACAGTTGGCGATGTCGGCACCAGAGAAGCCCGGTGTCAAAGCTGCTAATCTGCCCTTTAGGAATTCCATGTCTTCGTTGGTAATAATCTTTTTCAGATGTACGCCAAAGATCTGTGCTCGGCCGTCCATGGTGGGCTTGTCAATGTTGATGTGTCTGTCGAAACGACCGGGTCTCATAAGCGCCTTGTCCAGAACATCCGGTCGGTTAGTACCAGCTAGTACGACGACTTGCTCAGTGGTATTGAATCCGTCCATCTCTGTCAGGATCTGATTGAGAGTAGCCTCGCGCTCATCGTTGCCACCACCGAAGTTCTGCTTCGACCGGGCACGACCAATGGCGTCAATTTCGTCAATGAAGATGATGCAAGGTGTGCTCTTGCGCGCGTTGGCGAACAAGTCTCGGACACGGGATGCACCAACACCTACGAACATCTCGACAAACTCGGAACCACTGACACTGAAGAAAGGAACACCTGACTCTCCCGCAGTAGCCTTGGCAAGAAGGGTTTTACCAGTACCTGGGGATCCAGATAGAATAGCACCGCGGGGGATCTTCGCACCGAGCTTCTGGAACCGGCTGGGGTCCTTCAGGAAAGAGACGAACTCCATAATTTCTTGCTTGGCTTCGTCCATACCGGCGACATCTGAGAACTTGACCTTGACGTCTGTCTCGTGGTTGAACTTCTTGGCGCGACTCTTACCCATGCCGAAGACGCCGCCACCCCCGCCAGCGCCACCTCCCGCACGTCTTGTGAAGTAGAAGAGCGAACCGAGGAGGAGGATAGTAGGACCGAAGGACAAGAAGGTGCCGAACCAGGAGATCTCGTTCGAGTATGCTACGGGTATGCGCTCGGAGCTGGGGATGCCCAGCTCGTACTGTGCGTCATCCATCTTGCGCTCGAAAGCCTCAACGGATCCAATAGTGAAGTAGTAGTAGAAGTTCTGGTTGACGGATGGCGAGTCGGGGTACATGCCCGCAACAGCCTCGCGGTGCAGGTGGACCTTTGCCCTGTTGCCATTCAAGATGACAATCTTCTCGACCAGACCTTTGTCTAGGAAGGTCGTTCGGAACTCCTGCCATGTTATCTCCTTGGAATTCTCGCCTGGGAAGATGGTCTTGTATGTGATGTATGCGAGGAAGGCGCTGATGAGAATCGTGTTGGTGTCCATACCGCCGCCGAACATGGGCCCGACAGGTCCACCAGCTCCGCCAGCGCCACCCTTGGAACCCTTGCCCGTGCCTGGGCCTGGGTCATGTGCGCCTGACTTCTGATGTGGTTCTTGAGAGCCATCTTCTTTGAACTTCTGCTGATCAGCCGCCTTGCGGGCCATATTGGTTGTTAACCGCGAGATCTTGGCCGCGGTGGCCAAATCCAGCTTCTCGCCTCTCTCCAGCTTGTCCATCTCCTGTCGTAGCTCTGGTGGTATTCCGGTGCGCTTGATTTCCTCCATTGCCTCCTTGATGTTCTGCTTCTGTGATTTGGGGACGCCCATTGACACGAAGGAGACTAGTTGATCCAGCATCTTCTCCTCTTCTGGTGTAAGTTTGGACATTTGAGTCTCTCCCTCCTTCTTTACAGACTCTGTAGGCTCAGGCTTGTCTGCCTGGCTGTCCTTCTTGGTTGCCTCGTCATCCTTCTTGTTCTTGGGCTCTTCCGGCGGCCCGGTCGCAAATCTTCGCGCCCGTTGCTGAGTATATATACATTGTGGTATTGGTGCTCGTGTACGTAATGTGCGTGGTGCCCTTGTGGCAGCGTTGAGGCAAGGTCGGGATAGTCGCGCTAGGTTGCCTGAGCGGCGGAGGAGTGTCGACATGGCGGCGGAACAGATGTGACGGGACAGCGGGGCGGGGTGTAACAATGGAGTTGGGTATATTACAGATAAGTAGAGTGAAAGTGGTACCGCGCCCGTTCAAACTGCCTTGGGCTGGCAGTAGGAGAATGTCTTGTGGCGGGTGCGCTTCGATGGCGAAAGCTAAGATATGACAGAATCATCGAAGTTCTACCCATGCCACCGACATGCCGACTGACTAAGCGGGGTCGCCCACCTTACGCGTGAACATGTGCTAAAGCCTGGGCCTAGATGTCGACCCAAGTAATCCTTCGTCTCTGAATCTATTTGATTCCTCGTTTCAATGCTTTGCAGATACATGCGTTGATGGTCATAGACACTAATTGCTCTTCTTAGAATCGTTCTTGTGCTTCAGTTCGGCTTCTAACCATAATCACATTCTACAACCGAAAGATCCACAATGTATTCGTCAACCCTGTGGTACACATATTGTATTTGATTAAACAACTGCATTGTATATAGTAGCCAACCCTGATGTAAAGATCCTATCCAAGCATCAATATTAAGGCGGTGCATGTCGACCATGCAGATGCGCCACGCATACATGCACCGATCTACTAGCTTCATCGTTTTAAGCCCAGTCAACTACCATCGTTAGCCCGCAGCTATAGCGCAATACAGCACCAACTTTATCCTTTCGCACCACGATATATCTGAATATAAGAGGCTTCCCAACCACTAGTGATTCCCAGCTCATAACAAATCCTTCCACAGCCATGCATCACTCTGTGTCAATCTTCGTCGTGCTCTCCTTATCCTCCCTCCTAACTGCCCAAACATGCAATAGTTCAAACAACACCACCTACCTGACGGCCCCTGCATTAGTCACCACACCTCAAAACACCTCCACCATTCAGTGCTGGCGTCTAAAGAACCCCTTCTTGGTATCTACAACAGCAGGCATTGCAGGAAGCCGTGCATTAACCCTAGGCAATGTGACGAATCTAAGCTACGTTATTCAGCCACCACGCTTTGAAGGCGGATTACATAACGCTCCTGTGCCACAGTAAGTAGCCTTCCCTCATATACTAATCTGCGCTGACACCACGGAGGATCGTACAGTTCCTAGCTGGACTCGCGCACATCACTCTGCCCCAAGACCCATCTCGGGAGCTGTGGTTATATGGAGGCAAAGGCGGTCTGTTGTTCGCTGCCGACCTGGCAGGCGAGGGACATGTCACAACATATCCGAGCGACCAGGAGACAGTCACTATTACTGCGCCTTTTGAGGGTGGCGTGATCCCTGAATATGAAGTGATTAACGAAGGGCCATGTACCGGGCGACAGACATTCATCTAGTGGACTAGGAATAAGAGATGGGTGGGAAGAAGGTGCATGTTGGTTGTACAGTCTATTCGTTGGCTCGATGCAAAGAGAATTGTCGTGTTCCGCTTCCTCCCTTCGATTCCTCTTACTATACACCCTCCTTCATCTCTCTTCCTCTTATCTGCCCGCTTACTCCTCGTCGCCGAACATGGCACGGCCGGTCTTGGAGTTGAGGAACTCGTTCCTGTACTCATTGTCAGCCTGCTTTCCCAAAGACCAATGCCCTTTCGTGTCCCTGTTATTCTCATCAATGCCCATCCACTCACCTCTCGATAGCCCACTGCATGGTGCCGTATGCGATAGCCAGTGGTGGGATGAAGTAGAGAACCTGGTTCCTTGAGCGGCGCACGACGTTCCAGAAGCCCTTGCCGATGAAGGTAGCCATGGGGCGCTGACGGTTGGGGCTCAGTGCGTAGGTGACGACGCCCTTTCCGGGTCGACCACCGCCCTCGTAAGGGTTACCCCATGAGCCGATGTGCCATCTATGCCATTGTCAGCATATTCTCTTTACTACTTCGATGGTTGTGCCGGGGAAGATGATTCGAGGAGCGGATTCTTTCGGGGAAGGTGGCTGCGATTGCGTGCGATAGTGCTGCAGACGTACGTGGTCTTGGTCTTCGCGTGAATGTCGGTAGGTCCGAGAGCCATTGTGACGGTGTGAGTGGTGGTTGTGGAGGTGCGATGCGTGGGCGGCGGCGTTGACGTTGCTGTCAGAAAGCTGCGAGCGGTGCTGCTATGCCAAGCCTTTTCCTGTTAGCTGAAATAGGCAAGGCGCTGCAAGAGCGAATAACGACAACGTGATTGGTCGTTCAAAATTCTCCTTGCACTTCCTTCAGTCGTACATCTGCTCCTTGAAATCACCTCTTGCATCACATAATTAAACTTCCTGTTTCAGGCAAGTTTGTTTCTCTGGACTCGGTTGACACCTATCGTATAGCCTTGTCCTCCCATAATTCCGATAGATCCGTCGTCAACGCGCCAGCAACGGCATACCCACGTTGCAACACGATGTGGAACAAGTCCAAGATCTCGTGCATGTCATGAGCATTCCGAATACGCGCTCCCGCGACCCTCAAAGGAAAAAATAGTAATACGCCTGCAGTCCCAGTAGCCAACAACTCATGACTTAATCGAAGAATTTCTTGCGTGTGCCACTCGATCTGAGTACGAGCTAGAATCGGCGAACATGGTGCCATGGGTTTGGTCCAATGCACATGGTAATCATAAGTACCCGAGAGGTATATACTAACAGCATGATAGTATATATGGGCGACAAGGAGTTCTGGGTCCAATGCATCAAATGCATACTGCCACGCGATGCTGATATCCCACCACTCATGCAAAGATTGTTGTAGCAGCAAGCCTTCAGCAGCTAGAGACTGTGACCGTTCAGTTTGCGCTTTCTCCGGCAAATGCCCTGCTTCTAATTCACAGTATCGAATAGCACGTATACTCAACTCGGAAAAGCTGGGCAACATGTCGAAGAGGGCTTCTTTCGGGTGCCAAAGAGCTGCACCTTTGCCGGTCCAAAGATCTGCTAGTGCACTGGTCCATAGAGGCTGACTCAGGAAGGAAGGCTCGGAGTAGATCAGGGCCCGCGATATCTCGAATATACGAGCAGAGAGGAAGAAGGTACGCTTTCGCGCATTCTTTTCATCTGGAAGAGCAAGGCAAGAAGGGGGTTGAAGACGCAGAATTGTGCAAGTTCCGTGCAGGAAGTGCGAGAGCCAATTGGTTCCGCTAGCATCGCACATCAGCTAAGCTATGTTAGATTGTCATCACGTATAATCGAACAGTTTCGCGTACCTCGAAAAGACCAAGAAGAAATGTCGTCCAGAGCGTGGAAGGATCGTCTGCAAACTTGTCTTGGGTAATGCGGGCCTGAACACAGCGTACCGATCCAACGTAAAGCTGCATCGCGTTCCGACGCCCATTCAGGTCTTCCAACCCCGATCCTATATACTGAGCCCGCTGGAATCGGTGTAGAGAGGCTACTGCGCAGAGAGCGTCTCTCAAAGCGGTCGAAGAGTGCATCATGCTTTGCAACTCATTTTGCACCAGCAAGTTGCCATTCGAGAAAGCGTTCATGGGCAAAAAGGAGCCGAAGAAGTATGTCACATCTTGCTCGGTTTTCCCCAAGCTGATTCGCGACGGAAGCTGAATATGCTTTTCGGCTCCTGGGTTGACGAAGACGAAGCTCGAAGTCACTGACCGTGTGGGTACTATGCACTTTTGTCGTGTCCGTTTACAGTGATCACACGGCATATCTCCATTGCACTTGGGATATTAGTGGCGTTAGGCTTTGAATAGCTAAATCACTTGCCTTGATCTTGCGCCTAACGTAGATGTACGAAGTCAGTATACGGCTCACGTAAAGTTGGTACAGGGACATTGACGCACTTGGCACAGGCTTCGCATCTTTTCCGTCTAGCTTTACGGCCATCATATGGTCCAATGTTGGGCGACATGTGGCTTGCGATAGCACGAATACAAGGCGTGCTGCGGCAAGGGCTGGCTGTTAATGCAGGGCAAACAAGGAGAGTTCGTTTCCCGGCAACATCGACGATTTGCAGGATGTTCAGAAGAATGCTTTAGGAAATGGTATCGCTTGATGAGCGACGAAGCATACGAGCAGCGGGCCCTAGTAGAGGCGGTGCCATCTGACTTGACTGTTTTAGGAAACGAAAGAACGCGTCTAGGCTCCGTTGAGACTAAGCACTAATACTACCGAGAAGCCACCGGCGGAGATCAACTTCAGCACCCATAACGGCCAAAAGTGCGGCTCTGCTGCACTAGTGTATTCCCCGAGGCACAGTGGTACCCGCTGCTATGTCTGTTTTTGGTCATGATAGAGCGCTTTGAAGAGGGCCGAGCATATGTGCTTCTCTCGAGCCAGAACTATAGATACCACTCCTGCACTGCTACGAATTGATCACAACCACCTTTCTCTGCGTCTTCATTCCAGCTCTCATTGAAACCCCGCACAACACCTCCATCATCAATCTTCGACATCATGGGACTTTGCAGCTCACTTTTCCTAGTACTTTTGGCATCTTCGCCAGGCCTTTCATTTGCCAAAACCGTACTCCCTATTGTCGATTCCCACCATCACGATGTAATGATCGCTTCTGCATCACTTACAGACCATGGTCGCTTAGATCCATTCGCCAACGACGGCCGCCTTCGGTCTATCATGGTATCCAGCTTCTATCCTGTCACACAATGCCGCCGCAGGAAGATCGAGTCCTACATGCCGCCCGCTACCGCATCTTTCATGGATACCAAGTTCGGCGCATACGGCCTTCCTAACGGCAGCTTCCAATCTCTGGGTCTCGAGACGTGCATAACTCCAGCAAAACGAGGCGCTTGTTCCGATGGTTCCCTGCCAGTCGTTCTATTCTCAGGCGCGCTTAGCACATCTCGTCATTTATACAACGCTATGCTTCAAAATGTCGCGGCTACTGGCTATTTAGTGCTCTCCATCGACCACCCCTATGATGCCGACATGGTTGAATTCCCGGATGGCACCATAGTGGCCGGCGTCGAAATTGAAAGCGACGCAGAGGTTGAGCTAGCCCTCAACACACGAGTCGCGGATATCGAGTTCGTCTCGAAGCAAATGTACAATGTCTCAGCTTCAAAAGGATTATTCCCGGGATACCTGCGCAATCAAAGCGTCTCCAAAGTGGCTGTTGTCGGACATTCCTTGGGGGGTGCGGCCGCTGCCAGTGCGATGATGAAGATGAGTTCTCTCAGAGGCGGAGTCAATCTTGACGGCTCCATGTTTGGTCCTGTATTGACAACCGGCTTCGACGGTCCCTTCATGCTGATGGGCCACGAAAACAAGACACAAGAAACCGATCCGTCCTGGAAGACCATCTGGCCACGTCTTACTGGTTGGAAGAAGGAGTTTGAAGTCAAGGACACAGCGCACTACAGCTTCTCGGACCTCCCCTTGGCCATATCTGCATTGGGTCTGGATGGAAAATTGCCAGCGGAGGTTGGACAGCTTCTGGGTTCTATTGAGGGTCGCAGAATGACAAGTCTTACAACTAAGTATGTTGCTACCTTCTTGGATATGGTGTTGAAAGATAAGAAGGAGAGTGCCTTTTCGAAGGCTGGGGACCAATTTCCAGAGGTGTCAGAAGTGGCTTAAACGATGGTCCATGGAAACATGGACTTGAGCCGATAGTCGTTAGTCATGGAAGCAGCACTGGTCTACCTCGATAGTACACCAGATTAATTAAAACGTTCTTTGACTACCTTGAAGCTCATGTTTCGTGGTTGTAACCAAGATGCCCTGAGATCGCCTAGTTTGGTGTTAGCGCCGTTGCTTCTCCTGTAATTCCCAAGGTCCCACGTGGAACTCTCATCCCACTGACCTCTGTTGATACCAGTGGCCACTATTTCTTCTGGAGATGAGACCACCGAAGCCCCTCACGCAGCGTGGTATGGATGGCACCTATCGAATCTGCTGAAATATTGTTATGAAAAGACACTCAGACCGAATCTCCTTGCTACCGTCGTTCGACCCCGTACTGCGCACTAGGTTGTGATGCGGAAGACGCAGGCACAACCTTACATAGTTGGGAAGGAGCTGTGGGATATCAATCAGCATCTCTACGACTTTCACCTTTTTCAGTACACTAATGCATCCACCGAAAGACCTCAGAGGTTGATTGACAAAAGCCGCAATGGCTACGTTGAGTTGTTACAATATATAAAGAGCAAGCAAGGCGCCAGTGCTTGATACTTTTCGACGATCGGAAACCGGCTCAGCAAACGGTTGAAGAATGACATGAAGGGACAGTAACCCTCGTAATGTACTATATGCATTAATCATCTACCATATCAAAGTACCATACATCGCCATTGAGCGATGTCATACTTGTGCCTAACGTCTTATGACAACGTTAGCGCTACGCAATTGCTGATCCCAGCACTCCTCGAGTCATATGCTAAGATGTACATAATAATAAGGTATTCGGATTTATGTGTCAATCGTGGCAGACTATGTCGCGTCGAAGACCGTGGCGCGTGGTAAGCGTCACTAATCACTAAACCGAGAACGCTATCGGCGGATCCTATTGAGATCGTGCAACATGATCGCATGTTCCTACTAACGCAAGCGTATCCACAGATTTGGCATTCTTCCGATTATTACCATGTGTACGTGAAGAACGGCCTTTTGAGACAATTGTGTGTTGGGACGATGCGAGCCGTGAGAACTGCGGCTTTGCGGCACGCCACTTACATACTGATCCGACTCTTACAGGAATGTGCGAATATATAGAACCTTCAATGATAACAGCGGGCGCAAAGGTGACGTTTTGTATGCACCATTGGTAGGGCTAGGTACGGGGCTTGCCGTGCGATAAAACGTTCTTCCAGTGGTCCCGATGTTTCTAGCGTGATGACGTCACATGCAGTTGTTATGGCCCATCAATGATATGAAGTACATCAGCACAAACACGAGACGAGATTCCAGAAAAATTCGACCATCTTCACATTTCGAATACTTCAATCATGGCACCCAAAATTTTCCTGTAAGTACGTATGTTGCAAAGCCAATCAACTCTGCTGACACTTTCTCGCCTTCAGCACCGGCGCGACTGGCTACATCGGAGGCGACACCCTGTTTGCGCTATACAATAAGCACTCTGATTACGAGATTGCGGCTCTGGTGCGATCAGGTATTTACCAGTGCCCTCATCGATTGCACATTGTACTGACAATGGTAAAGAGGAAAAAGCAAAGTCTGTCACCAAGGCTTTCCCCAAGGTACGAATCGTCATCGGTGGTCTGGACGACTCCAAGATTCTAGAAGATGAAGCAGCAAAGGCAGATGTAGTCATTCGTAGGTCACCCATTGCCTCACATGAAGACTGAACCGTGCTGACGATACGCAGATACTGCAGATGCGTCCGACCACGAAGGCGCTGCGAAAGCGATTGCAAAGGGCCTTGCATCTGGCCACTCCAAAGAGAAGCCTGGATTCTGGTTACACACTGGTGGTACCGGTATCTTGTGCTGGGAGACCATGCGTGATGACAACAAGCTGGGTGAATGGTCGGAACGCGAGTACAATGACTGGACGGCCGTGCAAGACTTGACCGGATTACCAAAAGATGCTTTCCACAAGAACGTCGATGATCTCGTGCTTGCAGCTGGATCGGAATCTGTCAAGACAGCTATCCTTTGCCCGCCAACTATCTATGGACGTGGACGAGGCCCACTGAACACCCGAAGCAGACAGGCGTATGAGCTCGCACACTTGATCTTGACCGGTCAATACATTCCCATCATTGGCCAAGGAAAGGCGCGCTGGAACAACGTCCACGTCTCAGATCTCGCGCAACTCTTCGTTCTATTGACCGAGGCTGCTGTAGACAATAACACCGATTCCAAACTCTGGAACGAGCAAGGCTACTACCTTGTCGAGAACGGTGAGCATCTATGGGCAGATCTCGCGCGCCTCATGGGCAAGAAGGCGACAGAGCTGGGTCTGGTAGATAAGAAGGAGTTGAAGGAGCAACAGCTTGGTAAGGACAAGGCGATTGAGCAAGCAGGTTTCGAAGCTGTGAGTTGGGGTTTCAATAGCCGTGGTAAGGCGGAGAGGGCGAAGAAGCTGGTTGGATGGCAACCAAAGGGGCCGAGCATCGAAGACAATGTCGAAGAGATACTGAAGGATGAGAAGAGTAGGTTGGAGAAGAAGTAAAGCGAGATGAATATTTCTATGAATGTACGATATCATAATTGAACTCGGAAATAGAGTCTAGAATCCAAAACATGTTCATCGAAGCACTATGGAACTTCAGTAAAGATCTCGATTTTAGCCTAATACTCCATCAAGTAGAACCACCCTTGGTGTCTGACAAAACGTAAGCATATATGCAATAAAATGGCACGGCAAGGCGGACTTTCGTACATCTTAGCCGAATCCATACGATGCTCAAGCTGCGCCACCATCCTTCGCCTTGGTGTTTCACGTGCCCAGGCAACAGCATTTGTACCTAGTTACGGTATCGGATTGCAAACTAAAAGGTATATTGACGTCCCATCCTGTTTGCGCACGATCCTAGCAAACACCAGCCTTTTCCAGGCACATTGTATTCATCGGGGGTAAAATCTCGTGCAAGTGACCAATTTTACTAGTATGGCAAGTGTCGACAGTCGCCCTCTTGGGCAACAGACTCTTCGTGGCTTTGGCATCTTCCAAGCCATCGTCTCAATACCAACAATGGTCATCTTGGGTTTCTTTGCATGGGAACAGATGATATTCCCTTACCAAGAGGATTTTTATTACTTCTTGTAAGGATTGTTTGCCCTGTTCCATGATCAGTGCGTGTTTTCACTGACAACATCGACAGCGCACCCTCCATGACCGCACTCATGTCTGCCGGCATCGTGTTCATTGTATACGTTCAGCGCAAGGCAGTCGCGACGCCGTACCAGGCGCTTATATTTGAGGTTGCGAAATCAGTCCTCGCAACGGGACTGTGGCTTTGGCTTATATTAGATTCTGCTTTCGGCCCATGGCGTGTCCAACACCATGATCATGCCCCTGACACCTACGCGGATCCGGACTATGTCAGGAGGCGAGTCCAGCGCGATGCGCTCGCAAGTCTGTTGTTGATGTGAGACTGCGTCTTGTCCTGTGAGAGTGGGTATAAGCTGACGTTGTCCAGTTTGTTCTTCTACCCACCGCTTGGGTACTCGTGCATTGTTTGGAGGACCAAGAGCAGCCACGGAGACCTGGCTCATGCGGGCGACGATGATGAAAACAGAGTCAATCGAGCAGAAAGAGCACCGCTGCTATCGCGGAGTAGTGGAAGGACCCTGGGTTAGCACTACGGTGTTAGCAACATGTCTTGAACACTCGTGCAGACAGACTGTGAAGGTCAGATGACAGATTGGTGGCAGCAGTCAAACCGCTACACTTTCGGTGGAAATCGCTGTTCATGCCAGTAGAGATTTTATAAAAGCTTGTTTGTGCGATGAAATGACATCAAAGGGAAGTGAATCGTTTTGTGAGTATGTGACAGGTGCCATTCAAATACTGAGTCTTCGATGTGACTACTCGCTGCTCGCATGCCTACCACAGCAGGCGTGCATGACTGCGGGGTGACATGTCCACCCTTAAGACCATGTGATCTGAGCATGGAGCGATTAAGACGTCCTCCCTCGTGGTGCGAAGTCGGTCATTTGCCTGCCCTCTATTCGATGTTCCTCCATCAAAGGATACTCGCGTGCGTTTGCCTCGCAGATTGTAGTCCAGCCGGTCGTTCCAAGCCCAACATCCAATCCTTCAGAAGTCGTTTGGCCAGCACTTCTCCTTAGGCCACAGCGTGGCGTCGTGGCTAGCGGCATGGGCCTCGAGCTGCGCCTTGTTGGTGTTAACGATCTCGCGGCGACAGTTCTGGCACTGTGTTGAGTTGAGCAGTCAGCTATGCGCAATGATGCCATGCAATGCAAGAGCATCAGGTAAGAAGCGCAAGAGTGCCTACGATGGACGTCGGCTTAGGCGCCTTGACGGGAAGGCCGTTTGCCTTGACCGGCGCGCGGGTGCCAGCCTTGTCGGCCTTCTTATGCTCGCGCTGGATCTATTCAAGAAGTCAGTGAATTGTGTTACGGATGTTGTGGGTTTACGGTGAGACGTACTCTGTCCTTCTTGGAAATAGGCATTGTGGTGGATCGAGTGGATATGTTGGTGTAGAAGCGAGGGGAAATGTTCTGCAGATGGCGCGGGAAAGCGCGATCAGTTTGATCAGGGTCTCGCTTAGCGCGTAGTCTGACAGATAAGCCCCGCTTATCGCGAATCTTGCCTTCACGTGCTTCACATCACGAGCTCTACTACTTTAACATCGCTTTATGGTCTGACAGTCCAGCTGGAAAAGATGCGTAATAGCATTGAGCAACGGAAATTCAATTACTCGGACTTTACAGATCTTGAGATGTACATATGTGAGGAATTGCGGTACATCTGTCTTATGTGCTTGGACTACTTCTTAATCTTGAGATCAGACAATTGAGTGTTTCTGCTCATGCACTACATTGATGAGGTTAGGAGTTTTGGTACTCCAGATAATCATTGTCGCCTGTTACGAAAACTCGATATCTTCTAGCGGTACTCCGCGCTTTAGTAGCTCTGATTTCGTCAACCTTGGATCCAAAGCCGTCAACATATCCGGCGCACTATCGTGTATGAAGTCTTCCCATAGTTGCCCTTTAGTATCGGTAAAGCGTGCCCATCCTGTTGGTAACTCAGCACCCAGCCTTGGGTCTCCGACTTGAATCTTTCCAGTTTTTGAATTCATGTAGACCCAATAGGTGCTGCCAGACTCCGGATCATAACGTAACACCTCTCGGTATCCTCTCGGTAAGGGCCCCAATATTGCCTCGTTACTACTGATCCCAGACACGTAGCTCTCTCCGATTATCTTATATCGCCCATTCGAGTCTGAACGTATGACCATTGGAACATCACAGCCAAGCAACACGCAGATTTCATCACCCTCACGCGTATCCAGGGGGCCTATACCAACATGGTCTCCGGATGTTTTCAAGAGAACTCGACCTTCACACTTTCTGAATACGTGCCCTAAGAAGAACTGTGTGTCTTCATCCATGACAATCTCTTCATAAGAACGCCGAAAAATGTTTTTGAAGACCGTTGACGACGACGCCAAACTTGGAGACGACCTTGAAGGTGGCACATAGTAGTCCGCCAGGACACCTCCGCAGATGGCATGACAAAACGCCTCAGCCATGGATTTGCCATTGACGTATTTAGAAGCCATATCTACACGATGCGCCCATGCTCGGACCCCCCATACGGCATTTTTAAGGGAACCATGGAAGTAGTCTTTCTTGGTGATTCGACCTAGGCGCACTCCCGTCACTCTTAATACCCTATCCTCCAATAGCTCTACCTCGCATGTAGAATATCCGGAAGCTAACGAGTGCATGTCATTGCGCTTCTCCGAGTCTATGAGGCGAGGTACCCAAGACGGCCAACTTTCCATTGTTTCCTCGGATTTGCATAGAGACAACATATCAAGGCGTTTTGAATCTTGTATCGAGTATATCATCAAGTCCATGTATACATCTACCAATGGCTTATTGTAATCGGGTCGTAGATTGATTTGCAGGCCATACACGGACGATAAACCCAAGATGCCGTATACACGATCTCGTTGATCGGTGCATCGAGCGTGTCGCATGGTTGCAAGCAGTTCGCAGAGCTCCATGCGATCATTTCTTGCGAGATTATAACCATTCTGCAAGGGTGCGAAGAATTCTTCATCCCTGTCAACTGCATATGGGCTCACGCTTCGCTTGTAAACAATGCAATTCAGCAAAGTTCGGAGTTGTGTCCAACGCATGGTATCGGTGCCACACATGATAATCGCATTCGATTTGGCTAACCGTATCTCTTGCCAGATCCAAAGTCGATGGAACCACGGTCGTTGCAGGAAGCCTACAATTGCTTTCCAGATTGCGGCATCGTACGGAAGCTGTGCGTGTATGTCGCCCCAATGAGTATCATCCGGTTGATCGGACAGACATCTCAACGACCCAAAGTTGTTGACTTCTACCTTGGTATCAAGAAATTCGCACGTTTTCATAACCGTTCTACTGCTGGCATCGTCTGTTCCCAACCAAACAACCACTCTTTCTGCTAAGCTGAAGATATCAGCCATTCGTTGGACCTGCTGACCTCTCTCTTTCAGATCCTTTTGATTGATAGCAATGCTATCTATCCACAATGTTCTGGGTGAAACAGGATCGCGGAGGTACGGCAAGGCCTCTGCAAGGTTCCTGGTGATATCAATGTTATGCTCATGTTCTGATAAGACGCGAAGTTTGATAAGTGATCTGGCCGGGCCCCAGGTGTATGATAGTGCTTCATATCGTGGTACGTCTTCTGTTGTAAGACGAACAATGTTGACGTCGCAAATCACTTCGCAATCTCGATTCGCTGCGGGTAGCAAGGTTACCAACCTAATCTCATGGTTGCTTTCGTCTAGCGGCTGGTAGATGTATTGATTCATTTTCGGTTTCACTGCTGCTGTAGAGTTGCCGCAATCGACTATGATAAGGCTTGGTCTAGTGTCGTAAGGAAGACCGTAAGTAGGAACACATGGAGTGTGTTTCAAAAGAGGGCTGGCGTTTCTAGAAACCGGGAGGTGTCTGCTCAATATTCTTGTATAATTGGTGGTACAGCTTGCCTGAACATCATAAGCGTACATGGTGGGGTATATATCACAGCCTGTACAGTCATCCTGCAGTTTTGTGCGGGGGCCAATATGCGGATGACTATCATTCCTGCAGAAACTTACTGTACACTGGCTGCGGTGGAAGACATCACATAGCCTCTGCCTACCGGTCTCTGATAATTAGATTTACAAGATGCAGTGACGGTGTAGAGTCAACCTTGGAACATTGCCGGTATTGGGCGGTAGCACAAACTGACGCGGGTTCTGCTCATCCGCTGCCGACAGCAGCAAAAGCCATTTGCGGAACAACGGACATCACATCCATCAAACAGACAGCCCTATGCGATAACGAACATCGAAAGTAGAAAGCAAAACAACCCCACCATCTCGATGATGAAGAAAGATCGTGAAGGTCCATGCACGTGGCGAAGAAACTCCGAATTGCGGCTTCCCCTTCCATGTTCTAGCCCGTGATTCCCCTTGCCCCCAATTGGCCAGCGGAAACAAACAACGCGCTATTTTTATCAGAACTTCCGCCGCGCTGACTACCCAAACCTCTAATTTCCTCCAGCGCCTTCAAGAAATATCCTAAATCAAGACCCTGCACGCTGCGACAGTCAGCCCGAGAAGACAAATTCGGGGAATTTTTCGTGCATTTCGTGGGAAGGAGACGATAAAATGGCTCGTGGCAACCAGCGCGACAAGGCTCGGGAGAAGAACCTCAAGGAGCAGGCTGGAAAGGTATGTTTTTATCGCCGGTTCTCCCACTCGCAACTGCCAGTGCCATCACTTTCTCCAAAGAAGTGCTTGCTGACTTGATGAATAGAAAGGCAAGAACACTGTATGTGTATACGAGAAGTGCTGAACATAAGGGGGTTTGGGCTAATCACAGGCCGCAGCAATCCGGTACCGAATTCGCCCGCACCAAGGAGAACGTAGCAGAAATCATGCGTGCTAAGCAAGCTGCTGGTAAGTTGTCATCCTCGCTTTTTGAGCCTTTGCGAACTCGGATGGGCTATGCGAAAGTTGTGGGAATGCGACGCTGACTCCTTGTGTAGCTGAGGCAAAGAAGGCCGCTGAGGGCGCTAAGAAATGAGCGGTCAGGCAAGATGCGCAACGCGACAACGACACCATCTTGACACGCCACCGTCGCAGGTCAAGCTCTTTAGAAGCCTATCATCATGAAGCGGAGTTTGCTGGGTTTGGATTAGAAGGCGAAAGAGTGTGTTTTGATTGATTTTGGATATACTGAATACATCGATTGCTAATTTTGAACGCTGTGAGAAGCCCATCGCGCCTAGGTCCCTATGCAACACACATAGCACTTTATCACAACTAAAACACAGTAGCAAAGGACTAATAGCAGTTTGGAGAAAGAATAGAGTGTGGAAGTGCGATCTCTTGGATCTAGCTCTAATACTAAAGTTTTACAACGTTGCAATCAGTCCTAAACAGCACCACCGCGCGGCAACCATCGCAGCATGTGGATTACGGTATAATGCGAAACGCCCCAGCAAATGATAAAAATGGTATAAGGATCCGGACAAATTGCTAAACCAGAAGCTTTTGCCGAACCCGTCATAAGAATATTGTCCTCGACCACCACATCCAAGACCAATCAAGCATACACCCAATCGATCCGTCCTCCTCCTCATTACCGTTTCTCCAGGTTTCGTCGTGAGGGCGTTTATGCAATCATACCGGGGAAGCCACCGAAGTTGTTGATGGCGGCAGTCTCGGGGAAAGCGGCCATGCCGCACAGGCACTGGCATGAGCAAGTCTGGCCAGCGCCGTCTGTTCCCGCTCCAGCGACAACAGTGGCGGAGGCGAGAGCACCACTGCCGGTGCCAGTTGCGGCGGCACCTCCAGCCTCGATGGTGACGGTGGTAGGGGCAGCGGCGGCGTTGGGGTCAACCGATTGAAGGTCACCAGCAAGAAGGCTCGTGCCATTGGTCTTGATGGCTAGGCCCTTGAAGTCGGCCATGGTCTTGTCGCCAGTCTCGGCAGCGTTGATGCTGAAGACCATGCCCTTTCCGCAGTGGATACCGTTTTGTTGCTTGCAGTAGAACCCTTGATGATGTTAGCTTTTGTTATACTTTCTCAATAGACGTGGAGGACTTACAGAGGGGGTCTGTTGTCTCAACAGTCATGTTCCATGTAACACCAGCCTTGCCCTCAGGGTTGGGCATGAAGCCAGAGTCCATTCCTCCCTCCATCTTCTTGCAGGGATCGGCAAAGGTTGACTGCGTGGCAGTGTGGTTCTTCTGCATGAATTCGAATACGACCATGTCGCCGACAGCGGCCTTGATGGATTCGGGGCTGTATCCTAGTACGGGCGCCATGCCGGTTGCGACGGGCTTCATTCCACCAACGACGACCTATTTTTATTAGATGTAGCTCAATAACAGGTCGTAAGTGTGTACTTACAGTATGTGTCATCGCGCCAGTTGCGGCAGCAGGAGCAAGGCTCATGACCTGCATCTCGGCGGATGCAAGCGCGGCTGCCAAGGGTAGTGCTGCGAAGTACTTCATTATGACTAGATTGCGTATCGTGTAATAGTGTCGTAAAAGTGAACGTAAGCCTGCGCTGCAAGCACTAGAATGTACGATAGAAGGTTGAAGGATTGAAAGGGCACTACGAGGGCCGGCTCGGACAGTAAGAAGCAGATGAAGTAAGAGAAAGAGAGTGGAGCACTGGTATTATGAGGCAAAAGCGATGAGATGAGGAGAAAGTTTATGCCTGGGGATATTCTATTCCTTAAATCCACGCATGAAATTGTTGACATTGAAGGGCTTGCAGGCCGGTCGCGCACATGGCGAAACACCAGCCCCTTGCTCTCGGCATGGCACTGAAGGAAACGTTGATCGCCTGCAAGAATGGGGAGATTTTGGTGATGCGCACTTGGTTGGGCGCAACAGCGGGGGGTGTTTGATGCTCGAACCGTTGGAGGTGGGTTCGAGACTGTCGCGGTGGTGTCGCAGATCTGTCTCGCTTGTGCCCGATTCGGTAATCTATGAACCACCAAGGCTATAAGCGCAGGATCACAACTATTCAAGATGCCTGAGCGATGGGGCTGGAAAACTCGCGAGCCGCATGAAGGAACAGCAGAGCTTTCATCTCGCGGCCTGTGTTCCCGAGGTTTTGAGGCACATCCTGTGTAGGTGGTCAGTCGCGTGCAGGGGCTATGCCATGAGGTTTCTCACCCCATTGGTTCAAAATAATGGCATTCAAGTCTCGACATGTCTACTTCGTCTTTCAAACGTGCTGGGCAGCCACACTTTGACACGAACTGCCTCTAAGAGTCGTCATTCTGTGGATCTACTATTGTGTTGACGGTGGCTCCTTCGGCGCCTGCTGTTGTCCAGCATGCAGACCAGTGTAGTAACCGGCATAGTACCAGGACATCATCATGTTCTTCATGTTCTCATCTTGCACTATCCAAAGTCAGCATGTCATCAACTGTCAGACTCCCCACGCCATCCGGAAGCAACGGTTGTTAAAACCACGACTTACCTGTTCCAAGAATGGCCTGTGGCATGGCATCTGTAAGAGTCCCGGCAGCATGTGGCACCGGAGGAGCCTCAGCCCTTGGCGATTGGATCTGCGGTCCTTGCTGCCCGGAGAGATCTGGTTCCTGATTCTTGTAAGACAGGGTTCGGTACTCTTCTGTTTCGCATGTCCACGTACCTGCTGGGGCGACGGACCGCTTTGGTCTGACTGAGCAACGCCATTGGTTTCTGACAGTGGCGTGTTGACATCTTCATGTTCCGCGACACCGTTGGTGTCTGCTGCTGCCGATGCTGTCTCCGCTTCATCCATCAGATCTCCGTAGTCCCTAAAAATGTTAGCATTATGATGTACAGGCATTGAAAACTGATTACCCCCGTAACTCCTTCAGTTCCTCCTCAGTTAGGACGTCTTCGAGTTTCTTGCCTGATTGGTGGATACTGTGGTATTTCTAATTTATTTAGTCGATATCCTCACAAAAATTACGAAAAGGTAGCCCATGGAGACGTACCTTGTACTCATCAACTGCGCTGTCCCAGGAATTGATTAGTAGAGAATCATCCCACGCGTTCTTGTCGCTCATGTCTACGATGGGCGCCATGTTGATCGAACCGGAGGTAAATTTGGCGGCAAGTGAAGCAAGTTGTATTATTGTCTCGAGAGGCTGATAGCGGGTTATTTGCTGCGTATTAGTTTAGTTAATGTCTTTCGATGTAGCGTGAGTATATGGATCGCAGGTTGACGGTGAGGGCTGGGGGACTATCTTGGCAAGTGTCCGCTAGCGCGACTGCCCTCGAAAAAAGTTCCCGCGCCTGAGCTCTCCTACGAACTTTTGCGCGTAACAACATTCGCGACCACACAAACTTCAACCAATTACACGGTTTTAACATGGCTGCTGACGACATCAAAGGAAAGAAGCGCAAGGGTAAGCAATTGCGACGAGGATAAATCACGTATATGTTCGCTAACCTATCCCAGGCGCATCAGAGGCGGCGCCGAAAGCGAAGAAGCCCAGAAAGTCGGACGATGTTGCACCCGTCGAAGCGAAACCAACAAGGAAATCTGCGCGTAAACAAGCTGCCGACTTCATGGACATCGAAGAAGAGGCTGCGCCTGTCGCCGTCGCCGAGCCTGCCAAGCCAAAGAAGGGCAAGAAGAGCAAGGCCGCAGCTGATGTCGATACCGAGATGGCTGAACCCGCCACTGAGGTAGTAGAGGTCGCTGAAGTACAAGAAAAGCCCAAGAAGCAAGCAAAGAAGGGCAAGGCCGCTGCCAAGGTCGACACTGAGGCCGCTGAGCCTGTCGCTGCAGTAGTAGAGGTCACTGAAGTGCAAGAAAAGCCCAAGAAAGGTGGAAAGAAGGGCAAGATTGTAGTCGCAGAGGAGACAGTCGTAGCAGAGGCTCCCAAGGCTAAGGCTAAGACCGCTAAGAAGGGAAAGGCTGAGGATGTCGAACCTGTTGAGGATGCTCCTGTTGTAGTGGAGGAGACTACCACAGTCGCAAAGCCAAAGAAGACAAAGGGCGGAAAGAAGCAGGAGGCGACTGAGCCAGAGGTCGAGGTCACCGAGATTACAGCGGTAGACGATGACGCAGACGACGCAGCTGAAGACGACCAGACCGCAGCTCTACTCGCTGGCTTCAGCGATTCCGATTCGGATGATGCTGACGAAGATGAAAACTTCGACGAAGCCGCAAAGGTTCCCAAACTTAGCGCAAAGCAGCGGAAAGCGATAAAGCAAGCAGAGGCTGCCCCCAAGTCTAACGAGCCCGGTGTTCTCTACGTTGGGTATGTATACCATTCAGTCTACACTATGTATTGCTAACATCTCGTCTAGTCGCGTGCCTCGTGGTTTCTTCGAACCTCAGATGAAGCAGTACTTCTCGCAGTTCGGCAAGGTCAACCGGTTACGCCTGTCGCGCAACAAGAAGACTGGTGCCTCCAAGCACTTCGCTTTCGTCGAGTTCCAATCCCAAGAGGTCGCTGACATCGTCGCACGAACCATGAACAACTACCTACTGTTCGGTCACATCCTCAAAGTCCATCTCATCCCCAACGAACAGGTACACCCAGATCTCTTCAAAGGTGCCAACGAGCGATTCAAGGTCGACCCTCGCAACAAGAAGGCCGGTCTCGAGATGGAGCGTGGTGTAGAGCGTTCGCAATGGGAAAAGCGCGTGGAGAACGAGAACAAGAGAAGGACAAGCAAAGCTAAGCAGCTCAAGGAGATCTTTGATTACGAGTTTGAAGCACCAGCGCTCAAGACTGTCGACAGTGTTCCAAAGCACACTAGCATAACTACTCTCAAACCGGCGAAGCCACAGCAGCTTCTTACTGAAGCGGCTGCTGAGGAGACCACTGTCACTGAGCTGCCAAAGGCTAAGAAGGGCAAGAAGGGTGCGAAGGCTCAAGCAGAGCCGCAACCGACTCAGGCTGCTGAGGTTACAGAGGCTGTCGAGGCTGTCTCCCCTGCACCAGCAAAGAAGGGCAAGAAGGCTGTAAAGGCCAAGGCTGTTGAACCCGCTGAGGTTGTGACTGAGGAGATTGTCGAAGCCACCACGCCCGCTGCAGACAAGAAGCCTAAGAGGACTAGCAAGCGCAAGTCAGACGTCGCGCTCGAGGCAACCGCCGTTACCGAGGAGACTGTCCCGGAGACAACACCTAAGAGCAAGCGGGCTAAGAAGGAGAAGGTCGTCGTTGAGCCTATAGTCGAAGAGGTCGAGGAGAAGAAGACGGCCGTTAAGCCAAAGAAGGCGGCTAAGAAGGCCAAGGCCTGAACGCGCTGACGTCAGACGAGCCATCAATAGCTCAGCTTTCAAATCGCTGAAGGATTTAAAGCCATACCGAACTCTGGGCGGTCTCAGCTTCCTTGTACATGTTTAATGGTTGTGGCTGCTTACGATTATCTACATTCGACGACTATTCTTCAGCTTTCCGATGAGCCGGGCGTTCAAGTAGAAAAAACGTGGTTTTAGCGTATCCATACCAATGCAGCATTCTACCATCCATTCCCTTTTTCATCGCACGTTTCGTGTAATTTTTAAAAAGCCATCCATTTGATTGACGTGTACCTCACAGGTGGGCGCCGCAACCCTAGTCTTTGCTCCACATTTAGGCCTCATGTAGAAGGAGGGTAGCGATATCTCGCGCTTACATCAGATCACCACCTAGATATGGAATGCTTCCGACGGGCGTAGTTGCTAGTAAGTAGACACGGGAGAGAGTTGTTCTATAAGAGAGAATCACATCTGACATCAAAACCGCCGTCACCTCTGTGCTGCTGATACCTACACGATCTACCCCTCATCATATCCAATTTTTTTTTTCTTCCTTCAGATCCACCACTTCAAAATGGCAGAAAACGACGCACGCCTTTCGGCATCGCAGATGTACGAGTCCGTCACCTCACTGCCCCCAGCCAAACGCTACATTATCACGCACAACGAACAGGGAAAAAGCACTGTTCATTCGAGCCCAGCGTTGCAGTTCTACGGATACCCGTAAGTGTCCCTGTATGAACTGCATGTGAGGCATACACTGACTTCGTACACCTACATTTAGTGGTATTGGCGGGACATCTCGATCTTGTACGTCTCAAACCCCTTCTTACCTCGCGCCATGGCGATTGAGAGTCCCGATATTGATGCAAGATTCCATAACTAGACGCCACATCCTCCACCCCAACCATTCTCGAGCAGGATAAAGACATCGAAGCGTATACGTCCCAAGAAGGAGATGCAAGCTACACCGGTCGCAACATCGTAGCCAAGGAATCAGGTTCTCACCTTATTGTCTGCGAGCTTGGTCCTGGGCAAGCAAGTCAAATGCACCGTACTGTATCCATTGACTATGTAATCTGCACGCATGGAAAGGTAACCCTGGAAACTGCTACAGGAGAGACGGTGGAGTTAAATCCTGGGGTACGTTTTTGTCACTATCTCTTCTTCTTTATGGGTGGCTGGGTTTTACTCTTATGAATGCTAGGCTGACAAATGGACATAGGATCATATTGTCCAGCGTGGCACTATGCATAAGTGGCACAACGCATCGGAGACTGAGCCTACGAGGTTCATTGCTGTAACACTGCCCGCGGAGCCATTTCAGATTCCGGGTACAGGAGAGATACTGACGGAGAAGCATGTCAAGGATAGCGAAGCTAAGGACTTTGATATCAGTACGCTATAGTTGGGAATACGTATGCTTGATGAAAGACGAATAGGAGGTTACGAACGAAATGGCACAGGTGAAGCATGGTTGTTGTATCAGTGAAGAGACTCAATGAAATCGGGTATCACTGCCACGAATACGAGCAGATCTATTCGATGCGTGGATGATATTGCTGATATTGCTATTTTCGTTCACATGCGTAGCACAAACGATTCGCTAATGAACCCAGATCACTAAGAGTCGCGGCAGAGTATGCGAACATTCAAGGGTTTCATTTCTCGCTAATGATGTAACACAAAGACCACACATACAATCCTTCTTTTGCCTCGCCGCTGCATTATCGTTGATGGACTACTCTTTCAGGACACAGCAAACCTAGCCTGTGCCTGACACTGCGAGCTTCATGAGATGGTCCATGAAGGTTTGTAGACTGACATCGTCGGTGAAGATGGTTTGAGCTGTTTGCGCAACGCCTCCATAGCTACCAGTCGTGTGTGTCGTTGACGGGTTGAGCTTGCTGAGCAAGAAACGCGCTTGCGAGCCACCGGCGTCACAGACGATGAATCGAGGCAATGGGAATCGGTCCTGGATAAGATCCTTGGCATCCTCCTTCGGCGCCTCCAGGAGCTCCCTGAAGTTCTCATAACCTTCTTGCTCTTGGTATCCGGCTTTCCGCCACTCGGCCATAGTTTCGCCGTGGAAGATAAGAATGTGGAAGAAAGTGTCAAGCAACAAGACGGTCTCGGACTGAATGGAGCTGGAGTCGAGCAGTACGGGCTGACCGCCTTCATGATCGAAGCCGTAGCTGTCTAGTGTTGGCTGAATCATGATGAGTGAGTTGCTAACATCCTCGTGATTCAAGACATGACGGTAGAAGGCGGTCTCATCAGGAGAGTTGTTGAAAACTTGCAGGAACTGTGATCGACGGAGATGGAACATGAATTGCGGGTATAGTGTGAAGTTCTTCTCGAGCCTGGTTCAGTAGTTAGTATTTGACGCTGAAGCGCAAAGGTATAGATTGGGGAAAGGTAGAACTCTACCCTTGAAGTAGAGGAATCTTACCTGAATGACGACGGGTCGTCTTTCCTGTACTCGGCGAAGCGAGCACATAACCTGATAAGCATGCGGTCGACCCATCGAAGAACATCTGGACCATCGTCAACCTCAGCCTTGAAAACCGCTATCCTTGACATGAGGACGGCAGCAGCTTCTTGGTCGAAGGACTGGGCGATAGCAGGGTCACCGGAAGGACCACTGAGGGGGCGGGCGACAGTGGTTACCCTCAGATGATACTGTCCAGCGGAGTGCTGGTAGTATGTGAGGAACTGAATCAGAGCCTGTTGCTGTCCAGCCTGCATCTGGTTTGGCCCGCCTTGACTAGCAATCTCAAAGTAAATACCGTACGAAGACTCAGGATCGATACCGCACATCTTCCATGCGCAGGTGTTTCCGATACCACACTCAGTCTCTCCGACGGAGACAGACTTCTTGTTCATTGACACAGCGTGTCCAATAAGACCAGTGATCTTCAGCTCCTTGGTTGTCAGCACCTCGAAGTTGGCGCCGAATCCCATTAGGAGATTGTCGTCAGCATCCTTGTTGAACACTCGCGCAAAGGACTGCTTGTACATGGACGAGGTGAAACTATCCGTCAGAATCATGTGTCCACCAGTGGTGTTCGCAAGACCCCTCATCTCGAGCAGACCAACCTGGTCCAAGCACCCAGCAAAAATGTCCACAATGTGGCCGTTGGTTGAAATGCGCTTCGCGAGGCCCTCGTAAAACTTCAGCGCCTTCTTGTAGTATTTGATGTTATCACGATCGATGTCGTGGTGCGATCGGATAGGCTCGCGCAGCTCGGGGCCAACGACCATGCCAGGGCCCTCGGTGGCTGGGCCGCCACTGAACAGCATGATACGTGCGCCGGTGTTCAAGAAGTTTGTCTCCAAGAGTCCAGCAGCGACGCTGAGTGCCACACCAGTGCACCTCAGAGGGCGCTTGTCGTTCGCGACAGGCCAGGGATCCCGTTGGATCGACTCGAGAGCGTTGGTCAACTGTAGTTCGCATTGCGATACGGGGAGGATGAAGCGCGTGCCAGCACCACCTTGGGGTGGCACAGGTGGTCGACCAGGCTGCTGAGGGACGCCAGGTCGAGGAGCCATCTGACTCAGGCCGAGCATCTCGTGGACTTGCTTGGAGGAGTAGTCCTTGCTTCCGCGGAAGACGTACGACTTGGCGCATTCGGTGTAGCCCAGCTCGTGTACTTGCGTCTACGGCTGTCAGCATAGAATCCCCAATATTGATTTCTTGCACCTACCATTGTACCGTATGTGATCAGACCGACCAGAGCATATGCAGGGAGCAGGCTCAAGCTCATGATGATCGAGTCCTTGAGCGCCTTCAAGCTGTCCTCCTCCTGGCATGTGTCTACGACAAAGATAAAGATCGGCGGGGTCAGTACTGGTTGAGGAAGTCGGTACTCGATTGTAGTGCTGCTCGCATGCAGCTCGGGGGGTATCTGTTGCTCGGAAATGTCCTTGTAGTGCGGGGGAAGATTGTTGCGGTTCAGGCAGAAGGGGCATATCCATATGCGTGCGCGCATATCAATTTGACTATATCACCGTTAGCTTGAGGGAAGCTGCCAGAGACTGCTCGGGGCGTACCAGTAGGGGTTGAGGACGGCTTTGCAAGGCGCTCTACACGCGACAGGCGCATATTGAAGCAGAGGAGTATCCGTCTTCTCTTTCAGAGGGGTGTAAAGAGCACCAATGGGAACGACGAGACGGGAAGCTTCCTATATACTGAATCAGTACCTCGAGTCTGTGGTGACGATCGGCTGTCCATCATACCATGCGCGAGCTGGGGAACGTGTTCCAACTGAGACGGACACCATCTCTGTCCTCGATATCGCTCCACTGGTCCTTGAGCGTCTCAAAGTCGGCCATTCTGGGCGGTCACAGCTATCCGCGCTGCTCGGGAAGATATGGGGGTGGGTGGAGGTTGTAGAAGGTTGGTGGTGGAGGGACCGAGGGCTCCCACGATGGGAGATTGATTTGGCGGGGCGGTGTGAAATGTGGCAGTTGCGAGCCTGGAGCTGCAGTCGTATACAGCAGAATGTACCGAAACGTTTCAACTGTTCCTCCCTCAAGGCAACAACTGCACGATATTGCAACGTCTTAAGAGCTCACACTCTTGAACATGCGTGGATACCACAGTTGGCGATGCGGCCAGATGTTCTTGCCCTAGCGCCCCCCAATCGGGATTAGCTTCACCGAAGCTCCGCTCCGCCCTCGCCTCAAAACCTCGATTTTCCTCGCTCCCACTCTTCTTCTCTTCACCACCGCCAGCAAAACAAACACTACTTAACGGCAGGCTCCCATTTCTCCAATGAATGAGCCTGTTTTCGCGCTGCGCGTAGAAGAGATTTAGACCCATGGCTGGGCGCCCGATCTGGAAAACTCATTCTGAGTATACTGAGAGGTTGGGAATCAGCAGAGGTCACATCCATCAATGTGCAATGTCGCGTTAAAAGAGTACCATGTATACTCTATCAGGAAAAAGGCCCCCAGGCAATCGTCTTGTAGTGCGTATCATGTACGTGATGTGTTTATCAACACCTATGTAACTCATAGGCAACCACGGTCGAAAGCAACGTATACATTCCCGACAACTGTAGCCTCGAGGCGATTGATCACGTCGCGTTTGATATCAAAACTCGTGTCTTCTTCTCTGGATCGTATGCTTACTGGCGACCAGTCCGTATCGAGACATGTTCAAAGGCTTTTACCTTGTGATGAAGGTCCTTTTCGACCAGGCTATATCGTTTAGCTGTAGCAAGAACTCGTACCAGTACGTTCCTGTTCAAGCGATTCGTTGCAGGATCGAATGTCGCCACCTTGTTCCTGTCGGAAGCGACCGCTATCGTGGAGCATGCTGGGCTTCATGTAGCTTATACAACAACGACTCCGTCAAACCCGATCATCGACCAGAGTCTACAATTCCAATAACATGTTACCGGAGACACGTCCGATGTTCCCGCTGGAGCCTCCAGATCTGCTGCTGTGTTTGGACATTCCCATGGTTATGATAGATTAACAATCTGGGGCCGATCGGGTATATTGCATCGCAATACACTAACCTCATCACCTGCCGGCGTACTGTGTGCTGCATTGGCCATTGGGGTATATATGTGTTTGCAATGTCTGTAGTATTTTTTCTGTTGCATTTCAAGTCTTTCAGATATAGCTACAGTCAGTCATCATGGCTCGCACTTCTGCCCTTCTCCTCTCGCTTCTTGCAGGTCAGGCCTGCGCTCATACTTTCATTTGGGTATTTCCAGTCCGATTCGACTAACACATCCCCTGTACTAATCTGTCCAGGGAGTCTTCGTCAACGGCAAAGACCAAGGTACATTCAAAGGCGTACGCATCCCCGCCTACAACGGTCAGAATGGCAAAGGTGGCTACAACAACTCGCCTGTCAAGGATCTCGACTCCATCGACATGCGCTGCAACGTCATGGGTGACATACAAGCTCACGACACCATCAAAGTTCAGCCTGGAGATAACCTAACGTTCGACTGGCACCATGAGATTCGTAACGACACAGACGATGTGATTGCGAACTCGCACCATGGTCCCTCTCTCATTTATATTTCGCCTGATCCACCAACGGAGAACTCCTTCGTTAAGCTCTGGCACTCTGGAAAGTACGAAAGCAACCCGTTCCCACAGGCTGGAAAATGGAGTACCACAAGTGACATTGCAAAGCACTTTGGTCACATGAATGTTAGGGTACCTGAGGGTCTGAAGGCAGGTCATTACCTCATTCGTGCGGAGATGATTGGTCTGCATGAGGGCGATGTAAGCTTCGCGCAGAATCCAAAGAGAGGTGCACAGTTCTACCCCGACTGCGTCCAAATATTGGTCGAAGGCGATGGCGAGGTTGAGCTACCCGAGGGCGTAAGCTTCCCGGGAGCGTATTCTTACGACGACCCTGGCGTCGTACACAACGTGAGTCACTCTTTTACTCAAGTCCTGGTTTTTAGTTCGTTCGCTGACATGATGCAGGTATACTGCTCTACTGAGACTAAGAAGCCGAAAACCTCTACCACTCCCTGTGTTACCGACTACGTCATCCCTGGACCTACCGTATGGTCTGGTGCTTGGCCTGAGACTACTGCAGTCTCCGTTGGACCTGTGACGGGTGTTACAACAGCGACCGCGTGGAGCACATGGATTGGCACCGATAGTGTGGTTACGAGCGCGACGTTTGCGGATGTGAAGAGTCAGACTATCGTAGGAAGCTCAAAGTACACTGCGAGTTGGAGTGACACATATGCTACACCTACGGCGACGGCTGCACGCTGGTAGATTGCAAAGTCGGGAGAAGTTATAGAAAGAATCTGATGAAAATCTTACCAGCTACATATCGCTCAAGGTCATGTCCAGCTTTTATGAACGCTGTCTAGCACGATTTTCATTCTCTTCTCGTTCTCCTCACAAATTTCAGGTCATAAGCCAACCCCCTTTCAGTTACATGGTGCCATATGCTGTTAAGTCCTCGAGTATCCTATCTCTGCATACTCGACGAACCCCATATGACGATGAAGATCAATCTTCCCATCGAACAACCATGTCGCTCACTCATCCAGGGCTATGATTTCCGTCTTGCGCTTCTTTCCCTTTTCAAGTACAATGCCACCATCGTTAGGCTCACGTTTGATGCGCACTCCTGTCTCGCTAGGAGCTGGTTCTTGCTTGATCGGGACACGCTCGGTGTCTTTGTTCTGTAATGCGATTAGCAGCTTCCGGACCCCATTTCTGTATTTTCCTACCTCGTAATGCTTGAGGAGTACCAGAAGACGCTTTCGGCTGTGACCCGCAAGCCCGTTATCATGTCCCCGGTAATGCTTGATGAGATCAATGATTTCTTCATCTATGAGACCATTGTGTTCGTCGAAAGTGGGCGAAACGGATTTCGGCTGAGGCGGAGCTGGGGTCACACCGGTGGTTTTTGGTCGCGGAGCAGCAGCGAGTGATACACCGTTCGGGTGAATTTCCGGTATTGGCTCAGTTGTGTCTTCCTTCTTGACCAACTCTGATTGTGGAGTTGGAGAGGGACTTGGTGAGCGGGGCACGATGTCGAGAGATTTGAGTGCGGCTGTTTCTATGTGAACCTTACGACTGTGTGCTTACGCGAATAACTTACTGTTCGAGTGATACTTGAATTGGAACGTGACGAAAGGCTCTGCAGCCAATTTGGATCGAGTTCCCTTGCGGGCTTCTATGATCGTATTTGGTGTGAGCCTTCTTTTGTGTCAGCATCCCTTTGAAAATGCTGGAGTGCGGGAGTACCTTATAGTATGAGAGCGCACATCGCCTTTGACAGACTCTTCAGATACTCGTCCAACTTCCCTTAATGTTACCTTCTTGCCTCTTGGCTTTGATATTGTCCGGTAGCTGAGAACTTGTGTAAGTACAAGAGTTATAGTGCCTACTGAACTGAGAGTCTCTAGATTTTCTTCGGATGCTTCACTGCTGTTGTCTTCTACTTCGATGTCTGCCAGTGTGTATTTTCGTATCTGATAGCTCAGAGTGGGGCTTACATACCGATGCTAAGGTCTGAGAAGACAAAATTAGATGCCAACCATGACCCGCCTTCTCTCCACGTTATCTTTGACTGACAGTGGGTTCCTTCCAACATCCCATGCTTCTTTACAAACTTTCCATTGACTTTCATTTCGTCTAGACATGCGCGTAATAGCGCGTCCATTGGGGTGAATGGTGCTCTGAACTTAGTCGTTATCGCAAACTCCGCGCCTGACCGGCACTCAACGTATCGTGTGATAGTGTTAGGTTTCTCCTCCTCGTCTGTATTCTTGTACTCTTCGAGCGGCTTTCCATCGACAAGTATTTCTACTGTCAGTCCGGGATAGTCATGGTGAACCGCCATGCTGATATCGTGAAATGAGTCGAGTAATCGTGAGTGTATTAGAGAGAAGGACGAGGCTAGGAAGTTTGATATATTTCAAGCTCGGTGCGTTCTTCCGGGCTTAGTTTCCCAAGTAAAGGTGGTACAGTGCTCGATTTGAAGCTGATGCGAGGGCGTATATCCGGGAGGTGAGAGAGATCTCATTAGGTGATATGACGTTGAGACTGCTTCACGAGGCGAAACACCGGACAGTATATACCAATCGAAACTTAGGATGAACTCATCATAAAAGATGACATTATTAACGTGTGTATGTATAGTGGTGTCCAAGTTCGTCGAGTAGTCGGTTTCCAACTACCTCATCTCGAAAGGCATGTTTTCGTATGATTAGCCATGTGTACACACCTATGAATCTACGAATGAGACAACGCGCCGCCACCTCGACGGCGTATATCAGCATGTAATCGTCCCAGATCTTGGTATGCGCTCATTCTGATACTGGATAACGCGGTAGCTTCACACGCGTCCTTTCACCCCACGGCGACTTCGGAGTAGAGCCATCTTCTAACGTCCCGATGCCATCATTGAATTCAGCGTTGTAAAGGCAAATCGAGTTCACTCCTTCAGTTTACCACGATAACTCCTGGTCCATATGCGGACATTTGCGCTGTCGCGTCTCAACATAAGTTACTTCATCCCCGTCCTCAGTGGGCCTTTCACGCTTAATTCTAGCAATAGCCTCGGTTTCTTGCTTGATAGAGTCATTCTCCGGGTCTCGCTATGTAGATATGAGTATTGAAATCAACAAGTCATAACGCATACATACTTGTCGCACACGACGTAGCAGCTCTCTCAGCTGCGTCGGGGTAAGGCCTTCCTTGGGTCTGTCTTCTAGAAGAACAAGAGTGGGCTAGCTCATTCTAACAATCCAAACTGCTTTTAGACTTGCTCCAAAGTCATTGGTATCAGTAAGTGCCGTGGTGTGAACGTGATCATAACTCACCAAGTGACAGATATTTGAAATGGAAAGTCGCAAACGGTACCTGGTCTACGAACTTGTAGTGTCTTCTGGGAGGGGAGAGTGCCCTGGACGGCATTTCCGGGGCTTTGAAAAACTTCGAAGAATTAGGTCTTTGCGTGTTAATGGCTTCGCCCACTCTTTACATACACTGCTTGGTGCGATAATGCGTCACTTTTAAGCGCCTTCTCCGGGATCTTGTTGAGCGCTGCTAGTTTCTCGCGTGTGTTACTGAATTTTCTGGAATCTACTCCCAAATTTTGATAACTTTCAACGAATTGGAAGGATATGGTGATATATCCTTTAATACTAAGAGTTTGCTTCAAAGTAGCAACACTGGGGATAGATCCACACGCCTCTTCAACTGCGCAACCCGTCAGCATACGACAGTAGATAGAACCCTTAGTACCCGCCAATATTCAGTTTGGCGAAATAAAATTCTTCCTTGTCCCATTTTCGATCTTGTTGCTGACAAAGACCACTTGCCTGGAGCAGTTTTTGAAATAGTTGTTCTCGGTCACACAGCCATTTAGCCATAGAGACTCCATCGATAGAAAGATGTGTTCTGATGTCATACTGGGTCGGAAACGGCGGCCGGAAAGTAGTTACGACCACGAGATTGCTGTCTGAGCGCGCTTCGATGTACTTGGCCAGTGAAAAGATAACTGATTTCGTAGCATCAGACTTTTGGATCGCCCTATCTAGCGAAGTTAACGGATTGCGGGAGGCATTGGAGGATGAAAACTCTGAAGATGAAGTAAATTCACATGATATTGAGCTCATGGACGAGCCTGCTGCCAACACATGTTCAGAAAGGCAATACTATTTCCTCGGTCATCAAAGAGTAACGTCGGTGCCTACGATGGTCCCCTATTGTATATCCGGGGAAAGCTGCTCTATATCTACCGTTCTCGAGTAGACAGTGTATACAAATTACTCATTGGCCAACGGCGTTATCTGTCGTCCAATCACTGAGGTTCTCGAAAAACATCTTCAGCCCATACCAGTCGAGCTTCAGGCTTGGGCTTGGACGAACTGGGTGCAATGGCACGCGCTCGCGGTCTTATTTGCGAAACTTCTGGTGCGGCCTCAAGACACGTCTTCGGACCGAGCATACGCTATCGCGATGCAAATTTTCCGGCATTACGCGCGACTGGTAGCGGATTCGGAGTCTGGACTGCTGTGGAAGCCCGTTGCGAAGCTCGTGCGATGGGTACAGAGATCACGACAGACTTCGAATACCACTGCAAAAAGAACTTCCTCAAGTAGGACCGAAGCGACTTATGCTGTACCAATTTTGACTGATCGGACCGGCTCTGCTACGTTCAACGACGAACTACTTGGCTTGCCGGACTGGGATATAAACACCGATACATTCGACACCACAATGGTGAATATGGCAGATCACGTCGAGGCTCAGTATAATGGTTCTGTTTGCGGAAACGAAATACCGTGGCTAGCATGGGACTACTTCGTTCGCGATATCAACTATTCTTCACCCTAAATCTGCACACCGATGCTATTCATGTCTAACAAACAAGATGTCCACTCTCAACAAACGAAGCTCGCAACTTCGGGAGAAATCCTCCCAATCCTACTCATCAGGTCTTTCCACACTTTCTCTTGAATGCACCGACCTTTCTCGCTCCGTACAAATTGCGACTCTTGCTCAAACTGGCACTCCGATACATACTTCCCATGTCTTTCTTTGCCCGCCGCCATTACGTGAATATGGGCACGACTCCCCTTCTCTGCAGTCCAACCCATCAATGCAAAAGCTATCTGCTATCCAATGGGATGGGGTTTAGTCCGCGATAGCTCGCTCAGTGCCACATCATTCAGGATTGATGAGGTTAACCACGATGCCGGAGTAGTCTGTCGCACTATCTGAAAGTACCTCGACGAGCTCATGGAAGTATAGGTGGTCCATGAGCTTGCTCAAAGCATATCGCCATATGACGTCTGTCCTCGCAGAGTCACTGAGCGCTTCAAACATATCCATGTCCTCAGGCAAGCCCGCATCGAACTCATCATCTGGACCGAAGACATGATACATGCTGCCACAGAATGCCAACGATGTCTGCACATCATAGACCATAGCTGTTTCTTGGAGCTTGGGAAGGACGGCGATGGCGCCAAGGAAGGTTGACCCAACGTTGACGTTCAAGTGTATCTCGAGATCTTCCGCCGTCCTGAACTCCTGCAGTTCCGTACCGGCATTTGCGATCAAGGCATCAAGACGAGGAAGTTGCGTGTGAACGCGTTCACCAAAATCTATTACGGATTGGTAACTGTTCATATGGTGCCTAGGTCAAAAGCCGCAAAATGCGCAGAAGCCGCAAAAGCCGGGAACGACCTGCGAACCCCACGAGAGCCAACAAACGACTCTCGAGATGTCTTACCCTCTCAAAGTCTTGATTTCACGTCATTACAGAGAGTGTGGACCAGTTATGTGCAGGTTTGGTATGTATTAGTAGTTACCTACACCTGAATGTGTACCAGCTAGATGTCACGATTAGTGCTAGTACTTATCGAAAGGGTTGCAGGCATCAAACAGTCACTCCAGAAGATGAAAATTCAAGCAAGATCTGTGTGTGGCTTGTGGAAGACACAATTGTTATTTGCATGGTTTCAGAACTAGAGAGATGATGGTCAGGGTAAAGGAGAAGGAACGAACAGAGACTGCAGAGTTAGTAAAGATAGCCGAAAGCAAAGAACGCACATCATAGAGTCATCCGAAGCGGCACAGAAGCGCACACGAAAGCGCTCGCTATCTTCAGGTTGCTTTGCAAAGCCGAGAAGACTAGGAGAAACACTAAGATGCAAGCAAGGTTGACGCTAATGCTCATGTACACGTGTATACGTGGATGACCGTTGCACGGTAAGTTTTCGCCGCTAGACATGTGTTTGCAGCCCAAAACCTTACATTGAAGCAACGTGGAGGCTTGCGAAGCTGACATGCAGAGTGGCCAAAGCCTACGCGGCCCCAAAGCTGACACTGTTGCTATGTGGAGACACTACTGATCGCAGATTAGCGAGAGTGCAAGATCTGAGAAGGGCAACCCACGGATAGAGGACTTAGCGCGCGAACATCCACCCGTATTGAAACTCGTGTTCAGTGCACCATTGTCTAATTTATCGCAAGCTAACTACTTGTTATCATCAGCCTCGCAAGATGTTCGTAATGTATACTAGCCGCTTGCACCGGCTATTTTACGCCGACGATTTATAGGATTGTCGTATCCAGCACGTATGGGTTTATTTCGGAGCAACGAAAAACATCCGACCGAAAGCGATAAGATTCATGCTCTGTCAGCGCTGAGTAACAAGTGAATAATTTGCAATCGTATAGAGTCACGGAGATAGCGCAACTCGGCGCGTCTTCGCGCTTAAAGTGCTCGGCGCAAAGTCGTTTAAAATACAGCCGAGGTGATGCCTCAGGTTCACGAAAAGGGAAGTAAAAATGCTTTTGGGTGTTGAGGACCAACAGAACGCGGAGGATGCAGTCAGCGTATGGTGTGGTGAGATCGGACTCGGCTGATCATCAGCTTGACCGACCGAACGACCGGACGAACTCCGCATCGCGGTATTGGGCGTCGCAGAATCCACTGAATTAGGTTGCGTCTGTTCATGGACAAAGAAATAATTACCTTGGTGATGCAGCAGTCAGGAGAACGGCCGTAACTGCGCGCATGACAGATGACGTTGGAAACCAAGTTCTGAGATGCCATGGTGAGCAAAACCGGAACCGGCCAACGCCCTGTTACATTTCCAAGCCCTACAAACCCAAAAGAATCGTTGGGTGGCAGAATATCGGATGGACAGGCGCCCTGCATATGCGTGCAGGAGTTAAAAATTTCTCATCCCGGCAGATGGAGTATTGATAAGAGAATAGTAATAGAAATCCTTGAGCCAGCATTAATTTCCATAACTGAAGATGTATATTGATCGGTGCATCTGGTAGGTCACAACTGCGTTATGAGTGGAGGGGGTAAAACACGCGACTATCATGCCTCAGGCGTCATGATCGACAGTCATGTTTCCGTTGGAAGCAGGTGGACCGGCAGAAACTTTGTCAAAATCAAGCCGACGCAGGGTCTCATCATCCCACGCTCGCGGATTGGCGGGCAGAGGGGCTAGGGATGGTGCCCGCTCAGCCGTTGGCGATCGATGACCGCATCGAGCGACCTTCGAGAAGTGATGGGCAGTTTCAATGACCAGCAGGATATGGACTAAGACGTCAGGGAAAGGATATTCATTGGGGACGTATTGCTTCGCAAAAATAGAAGCGTAAAGCAAGAGTTCTGCACGGCAGTCGTTTTGGATGGAGTGCGAGGGATGGGGAAATGATGTCATTATCATTTTAAGCGAGAAAACAGCATTCGTTCGGTCCGACGGAGGAGGACGCAACACGAAAGCGATAGGAAGGGTAAAACATTCGGCATCAGTATGGAATGTCAAAGATGAAAAAGTATTCGGAATGTGGCTGCAGAATGCTACAGAAGCCTCGGGTTGCAGCGCACTGGCTTAGAAATGTGGCTAGTGCCTTGATTGGGCGAATAAGGGGTCCAGATCTCTCGGAGAACCCGGGGCAGTTACACCTAGGTGTCGTCCGTGCATAAGGCTGCACTGCCACACGGTGATGCGATAGACCCTGCATTTCCGACCTTCTCCACCGATCTTGCCCGTTCGAGGCCTTCGATGCGATGCCACGTTGGTTTAGGGTTGCTATGCGACTCCACAAGATGCTTGCAACACGTTGCATATGTCGTTTTTTCAGCACACATGCGCAGGGAGAGTCTCAGTGAAGAGTTTTCCTTGTGTAATCTTGGCTGTACGCGACCTGTAGGGATGTCGCACGGCAGTGCCGTTGTTGAGTAGAGGATGCTGCCAGTGCCGAAGCGGAAGTGTAGATTCCATCTGCAGGATAGATGGTAGTCAGACCTGATCTAGTAGCATTGCAGCTGGTATGTGCGTATCCCAGTCTATTGGTTCGTGGATCGATCTCCAGTTTCAGCATCTTATCAAGAGATGTGCATTGTGCTAGCCAGTACAGTGGTCCTCGGGAGCCGTTTGGCCACCAGATCCAGCTATCAATAGTACAGAGTATGGGGTAGGCTATTGACGGTTATCTCCAAACGAGACTACATCGTCTCACGTGCCAGCAGATACAAGCTGAAAGCAGTATCGTATCGTGGTCTTGAGGCCAATGCTCACATGTCAGTGACTGTCTGTGAGTCACGCGGACGAACATGTGACCACTATGGACGCTGGCCAGAGGTGTGGCTGGTGCCTTCGCGTACTCCATCTCTGCTATCTAGTAGTATTCGTAATCCAGTATGCACTGTCGAGTAGCTCGGCATGTAAACGATGCTGCTCAGCCCATCTCGGAACATCGTAGGCCCAGCGAGAAGGAGCGGCCAGCCGTTGGACCATACACGGCGGTATCACCATAGCCGGACGTCTGGAAATCGTCCGTCGCACAATGCTCTACAACCTACACGCCAACTGTACACTAAGTGGACGGCCACATCGATGAGTAACGGTTCGGTTCACAGGGCTCCGTTTCACGTGGAGTGTATGCCTGCAGAGATCGCCTGGATGCTTACAAGCGATTGCTCGGTATTTTGGGAGCGACTCATGGACGTTGAGGGAAGCCATCTCGGCTGCTATCCGATGCATGTGGAAAACTCTGTATGGTAGAATCTCGTCTGTCGGGGTTTGCACAGCCTTCGGTCGGACAGGGCCCGCGGCGGCCGTATGCAGGGTGTGTGAGGGTGGTGTCGATCGCGCCGCTTCTGCGCGTTGGCGTATCCTTAGTGTATACACCCCTGTAAGCCACACACCTGGGTTGCGTCATAGGATGAAGTATGAAAGGAAACCGAATCCGCGTACTCTAAGCAGCCCTAGTCGTTTAAACTATCGCTCAGCAATTTACAATCTCTTACGACACACACGAAGACGCTTAATTCCGATAATCCGAGCATAGCCGACGCAAACGAAGCAGTATTCGATAGTCTTCCACCGACTGCTGCCCTAGATCACCTCATCAAGTGGTCTTTCACTCAAATCGGCGAAGACTACCCGAGTCATCGGCCGGTAGCCCACTAGTATAAAGCAACTTGCCACCCGCGCTGGTCCCTTGCTTTTCCTCCCGACCATTATGTTAGCGCTACCCACACAACGTCACCACCTTTCAACCATACCGTCACCACCATCTTCACATCCTTCCTATCAGCAACTACCCCAGCAATTCGCCGCACAACACCTCTACGACCAGAAGCTCCTCAACGACTACCTCGAGTCTCAGCAACCTTACGGCACTTCATCTGGCAGTGCACCCAACTCGTACATGACGAGCGCATACCCTGATTTCGCGAATCCGGCTATCCGAATTCAACAGTCGACGCCAACACCGCAGCTTCCCCAAGGCTTCGCACAACCACCTATGCTCTCGACCAACAACACCAGCACTGGACTCGAGTCCTGGAACAACTACGGTAATGTGCAAGGTCAATCTCTTCAGACACCTTCGCAGAAACAGAACCGCGGCCACCAGCGCGCCTCATCATCGTCCTCTATAGGCTCAAGTGCCTCGCAATACCAGGCCGTTGGACCTTCGGCAGCCTACCAGTATGTAGCTCGCTCCGAGTATTCGCCTTCGCACGAGACTGCGCTGGCTGACTCATTGAACATGGCTGACATATTCTTAAGATCGTTCCAGAACCATCTTCCTACACCCTCACAAACACCTACTCAGGATTCGTTTATGAACGGCAACAACTTCAGCAGCAACTTCCCTACAAACTCGGTCAACATGGATCACACCATGTCTGCACACATGTCGATGAAGCAAGCGCTCATGGACCAAAGTGATGACGTACCAGACTACGCGCACTCCACCGGGCAGTCAGTCTCGAGTTACGGACACGACTCTCCTGCTACGCCACACACAGGACAGGACGAGATGGACTTTAAGATGCCTGCGAATGGTGAGAACCTCTGCAGGATAGACTCCTGGCTCTTTAACCAATTCTGTGCTTACGATGAACCAGACATACGCCCCGTGCCCAAGTTTGAAAGGACATACACCGACATTGCTGCCGACACTGGCTTCTACGAGCCCAGCGCTTCCCAATCAGTATCGCAGTCAAAGCCAGCACAGTCGTCGTTGCTCTCGCCATACCGGAGCAACGCCAACGAGAGTGTGCAGCGCGCTCTACAGGCAGCACAGTACGCGCGCTCACAGTCGCCAAGCAGCACCGCCTCAAGAAGTGACTCACCCTTCCGCAAGAGCTCACCTTACCGTCAGCCTAGCAACACGTTCAACTCGCCCATGAACACTGCTGTTGCGACACGTGAGCAGAACCGCCAGGCTGATGCGGCTTACGCTATGAAGTCCCAGATGCAGCCGAGCGATGATTCAGAGCCAAAGACCATCTCGCCCAAGGACGCCCTGCTGGACTTCCGGGAATCCGACGAAGATTCCAAAGTTCCCTTGTTCCCGGACAGTGGCGCTAGCGAGTACGACGGCCAATACAACGGTGGCGACCAATATAGGACCACTACCCAATCCAGCTTCGATGCACCATCATCATCACAGTCCTACAGTCGCGACAGTTGGGCAACACCACAATTCTCAGCCAACTTCTCCACTGCCACCGCTCCATCATTACAACAGTCGTCCAGCTTCAACTTCGCCACACCATCAATAGGAAATATGCACAATCTGCCTATGAACGCACCATCTCAGTACCGATCAACACCCAACACCATGTCGTCCGCCGTCGACCAGACACCCGAGTTCCCTGCACATTTGACATCAATGGAGTCAAGTGCCAGCGAAGCTGAGCCACCAAACGGCAGCCAAAATAATGTCCTGTCCGACCGCTACATGACAAAGCCAACATCTACGACTGCCGAGTCTGGTACCTACTCATGCACGTATCATGGCTGCTCCCAGCGTTTCGAGACCCCACAAAAGCTTCAGAAGCATAAGCGTGAGGGTCATCGAAGTGCTAATCTCAGCACCGCTATGACGTCGGCGGCTATCTTGGAGCGTAATTCGCAAGCGGGACCCCACAAGTGTGAGCGCATCAACCCCACGACCGGCAAACCTTGCAACACTGTATTTTCCCGCCCTTATGACCTCACTCGTCATGAGGACACGATACACAACGCGCGCAAGCAAAAGGTCCGATGCGCACTTTGCGTTGAGGAAAAGACTTTCTCGCGCAACGACGCATTGACACGCCACATGCGCGTGGTGCATCCTGAGGTCGACTTCCCCGGAAAGCACCGCAGGCGTGGTGGTAACCACGACTGAGCATAACCTGATGCGCGGTGTTGACCGACTCCCGCGGAGGTCGTGCCCTTGCATCTCCGTGGCGCACATTCCAGAACAGCCGCGATTGTTCTATGACATGCAGGTGACCACTTCACGGAATGAATGCGACGCACGAAGATTCTTCCTTGCAGATCTGGACTTCGACAATAAGGGCGTTTTCGTTGTCTTAGACACAGCCAAGAGTAGTGCTTATTCCCGCGTTTCTCACATTTGGCTACGCGCCTGGTTGCGTCGCATTCAGTTGTCGCTGGCTCGAACTGAATCATTCGGCGTTTTGGGCCTTTCCTTTCTACTGTACAGTATTCCTCTTCATTCTTCTAGTACACTTTTGCGAGCATGACTTTTCAGCGTCCAACACGCGGGCGCATAGGACGACGATTTGATGAAAGAGATGGCTTTTGTATGTGCGCAAAAAAGCGATGATTTCCATAGATGGCATCGCTAGCTCTAGTGAGCTTTGGTTATGCTTGAGTTTAGATTTCCATTATTCTCGATATACCTAGCTCGATTTGGAGCACTATTAATGCTGTACAACACTTCACTATTCCTCAAATTGTCGGAGCCAATTCTTCATTTTCATTGTTCTCAGCAACCTCATGACAGCAAGCGGACGGGAAAAAAAATGAATGGATGTATTATGTGTATTGTAGCTAGCAATGATACCCCGAGGTAATACCAGCATTAAATAATCTTCCACTTCCAGGTTTATGATCATGTCTACTTAGTGAAGAGTTGTTCATTGTCGTCAACTCGATGTGCATGTCTAGCTACCACTTGCTCTATGCACACTGTACACACCAACGGCAACGCCGGTCTGAACCAGAATGCATCACTCTACCACTTACTGCAAGTATCGTACGTTTCCTTACACTGCAGCATGAACCATCCAAGCTGACACCACTCCAACAATTCTTACACGGAGGTAAAGAGGCTGAATCTAGAGTGTAACATCGTCGGCTATGCATACTGCATACAAAAGCACACACAGCCGCCCAGGCAGCACTAGTTTCTACGGCTGTCAGCACTCTAATGCTTGCTATCAACTTCCGACCAACGCATCCGATTTACCGCGAAGAGGACGCACAAACGTGGGCTGAACTGCGCATAAGGGGGAGTGCGCCGCGAAATCTGGGCCCCGGTGCCACCCGTCCGCGGGCCATGCTAGTGGGGTGCAGTAGTAATACACAACACAGCCTCAGCCTCAGCCTCTCTGTTTCCATGCATGCATCTCCACACATCTCCTATCAAAATGGGACAAGTGTTCGTTCTAGAAGCCTTCGTTTTTTCTTTCCACAATGTCGACGAGGATGTCGGATTTCAAAGCAGAAGCAAAGGGTTTGATCGGGCCGAGGCTCGGGAATAGCGATGGATGTGTGTGTGTGCCCAGGTGTGTGGACGAATGCAGCAACGTTACATCCATGATTCCATGGTTGCGTGATGCCCGCTGGTGAAAACGCGGACATTGACATATTAGTGATACCATTGTGATACTCGCCATCATTCACTAAAAGCACCAATACCAAATTTGACAGCCTGCATATTGGGCAGCATAGGGTTTGCATAATGGCGTGGTCTCTCCTCGGTACACTTTCACTAAGGTGAAGTGTGAACCAATACATAGCTCCACCGAAAAATGTCGGATCTGGCTTGCACGAACGAGAGGTGCGTTGCAGGGCCCTGCCCTGCTGCTGTCCTGTGGGAAACGAGACAGATGTGGGACGGACGTTATGTGGGTTTAGCATGATGGGGAACCGCCGCCGATGCGGCATGAGTGCATGGCGTCATGTAGGGCTGAAAAGAGCGCTGGGGATCGCGCTGTGCGTTTCTATCGATAACAACGGTACAGTTGCAGTTTTCACAGAAACGACATCCGAAGACACAATAGAGTTTCATTGGCTTGTTTTGGAAACTCAAGTTCGCATCATCGCTACCCATCTGCGGCTGACAGGAAGAGCTATTGTCGTTGTTCTTGCATATAGAGTTCGGTGGAAATCCGGTTCAATGCCAAGGTTTCAGCCGACGTCAGTTACGGGGAAACTTGACAGGAACGGTTTCGTGCAACCTGCTGATGGCTTCTCGACGTCGGCCATGATGAAAACATTACCTACTCGCCCAATGATAGCTACATGGCTTTTCCCTTCTTACACGGTACACGCTTGAAGACCGTCGGCGAATGCCGTCCGGATACACTTTCCCAGATCCGCGCGAATGACGACCGTTATCCACAATTGAGATGTATATCCATCCGACCTTCCGCGGCGCAAGTCTTTCTTGGCTTCATTTGTCGCTACGAATTTAAGCGTGAGGTTCCGTTGACGTGAAGAAATAGTGAAGTCACTAAAAGGGAATTGTCGCGTTAGGGTCTGTCGATCATGATGCGATGCTCGTTTGTGGTTGAGAAGGTGATTGGCTCAAGCGGTGACTGTTGGATGTGCGGTGAGTGGTCGTTCCGCGGTAGGAGTATATCACGCGCATGTGGTATGGTAGAAAAAAGTTGGATGATCTGATAATGGAGGGGATTAATCGCGATGGTGAGTCTTCGGGCTGTAGTGAACGACGTTCTATGACAAGTGAGTCGTGCACGCCGACGAGAAGTTGGAGGCATTGTGCAGGCTGTGATTCCACCAAGGTTGCTAGCAGCATACATGATTCGTTTCTGTTACAGGTTTCTTGATATGTCACTGTTCTAATCTGGTCGTCGTGGGGTCTTACAAACTTCTGGTCTCTCAGGCTAAACATGTTACTCTTGAATCTTGCTACATATACATCGCATCCGAGAGTACTCTACTACCATTAAAAATTATCAACAGTACTTAGAGACTGAAGATCCATCCTGAGCGGCGTTTCGTCCTTGACATCATCGCGGGTCCTGACGTTGTACATCGTCTTTGGTAGCACGTTTCCCACGTTCGGAAAGTGAGCTCCCCACTGACGATATATAATAGCTGTGATCAAGATACGGCATCGTCATGATGTGGAGCCTCATGAAAATTTCCTATATATAAGGAATCAAATCAACCCATTCCACGTTACGAAAACTGCTCGCAGGAAGCGCTCTGAGACTAGCAAATCCTTCTACAATGATAAACAGCCGCGCAATTCCATATGCCCCAAAGTGGGTCACAGTGAGGGTGTACTGAAAGAATGGATGTATCTGGTACAAGAATTGCGTAACAGTATCGACTTGTGGAATTTTGGATAGACGACAAAGGTTGGATAATTGCCAGTTCATAAGGAGCCCGAGGTTGCCGAAGGAGAAACCACAACCGATAAGTAGTAGACAGGCACTACGCGAGAGATCTCGCTCCAATGGAGTTGGAAAGCTGAAGTTCCACACGACCAAGTGTATTAAGATGAAGGTCAGAGATATGACTGTCGAAACTATCGCCTCAGATATGGTCACTTTTCCAGGATTCATACGCGAGGTGTTTTTGAACCGTGTGATTGGTACATATTTGGAATCAGTACCGAGTCGAAATAAATGTTCAAAGCCCCACATGATGGGATCAAGGATTTGGTAACGATCAGGAGGCGGGTTGATAAAGTCGAGCGGAGTGAGTTTGAAAGGTCGCTCGGCTGCTTTGCCTGCTAATGCCAGTACATCCCTCAGTTGAAGCGATCCTCCAAGATACAGAGTCACCGTTGTATCAACGTCCAAAGGCTTGTGAAACCAGAAGTAGAACGTTGGAAACGTGCAAAGCACAATAGCAATGACATCGATCTCGAGCATCGAGACATTCAAATGTTGAATAGCACGACCGATGCACTGAAGGCCAAACCAGAGTATCTGGATGGATATGAGGACACGAACGAAAGCGTCTGCTTTGTTCTTGTCCTGTATGGTATTGCGGTGGATCCTGGGAAAATCGATGAAGCCGTGCTCTACAAGGTAGTGAACCTGGTGGGCGCTGACAGGAAATGGCGGATAGTCCGGAGGGTCAAGCACGATGCCACCCATATCGGCGAAAAAAGCGTGTGTCATAGACCAATCGCGATATCCAAGTTCGCGAAACTTGGACACTGAATGTCGTGCGGAGAGATACTGGACCTGGGCGAACGATGCAAGGATCTCTGGAAAAAAGATGGTAAAGGCAACCCATGATGACTTTGTCGACATATATGACCAGAAGTCATGCTTGTCGGGTACGTTTAGGAATAAGACAGACCAACCGCATAAGAACACAGTGATAACGCAGCTCCAGATGATGTCGATGGTCCCGCGTTCATTTGGCGAAGCAACCCAGCCATGAACCAGTGTCGAGTTCATGCGTACTATCTCCCTATGTGCAGATATTTGACTCAGGGTAGACTAAAAAACGCAATTGTGCGCCCAGTAAGCCTATTTATGGTACCCCTATGGTTTTCATCCTCAGGCTGGTTACAACACAACGTGCTCTCGTCAACAGCACTTCACATTCGCGGGCTGCTTATTGTCGCACAAGTTGATTGAAAAACACTATTCTTGCATTATCAGCAATCGTACTAGGCTAAAGGAAGGAATGTGAGCCTTGGATCAATAGCAACTAGGTACCTACTAAGCTCTGCGATTGGTCTGATTTTGGAAGGAGCGAGGCTGAACCGCGAGGCTGGAAAGGGGCAGAGCGTACGCAAGCCTGCAGTAGATAAGGATCGGGAAAACGGTTTCAGGAAAGACCTTGCTACCCAGTACTCCGTTGACACTGCCACAGTAGTGTTTGGTGTGATATATATAGTACAGTGAGTATCGTCAATGCCTATTGTGAACCGACACCAGCGACAATATTCAGTAGTTTTGCTGATGTATAGTCTGCTCAAGTCAAGGGTTGGTTCGTCGATGCTAATTGATTCCGACAGTAATTGTTGCTAGGGTTAGGCCGTTGACAGTACTTATAATGGATGGTGGTGTGTCGGGGTTGAATCAGATTGCCGGTATGGTAATCTCTTATCGACAAGATCTGCCGATATTGAAACCGATGTTGATAGTAAAACTTGTCGGTACTGAATTATTTGTTGGTAGTGAAAGATGTCGGTATGGTAAGCTGCCGGGCGTGAATAGCTTGTCGGTATGGTAAGATGTAGGTACTGACTCAGTCGGTATAGTAATCTGTCAGGCGTGAACCACTGTCCATACTAAAACATTTTAGTAGTAGATAATCTGCCGGTATGGTAATGTGCCGGTACTAAACACGCTGTCGGTATGGTAAACTGTCGGTATTGATTCGTACACACCAGCACTTCTGACTATCTCAAACAACTGTTACACCCCCCACTTCCTCTCAGTAGTGCTGGAGATGCTCCTGCAGGTGCTCTCCTCCCGCATATACTTGGACTGAGTATGCACGAGAACTAACGAAACAAGTAGACAACAAAAGCGCACACCTACTCAACACATGCTTTGTGTGATGCCATGCTTCATTCGAATTCACAAAGGCGAACCCCCCACCGACCCGTTATTCTAACGCCATATCCTACAATACAAATGCAAGAGCGTTTCACTGAATCAGATAAAGTATGCCTTTTCTTCCCAATATCTCATCATGTCTTTGCGCGCGCCAGAAACGAAACATATCTGTCATGTCGACGACTCTAGGTAAGCTTCTGCTTGATGAAGAAAGCTCGCAGGTGCGATAGTTGCCAGACGCATGTAACACCGAGAATAACAAGCTGAATAAGTGTCCAGCGGACGACGCGAGAGTTGGTGTGCTCGGACTGATCGCGGAATTCGGCTTCGCGCTCCTGCAAAAAGTGTTAGCCAGCGGTTTCTACATATACAATCTACCCCTGCAGCAGTATTGAGGGCGCCAAAACGTACTCTTTGAAAGACCTGTTCCCTCCGGACGTCTTGCAACCTCGAGTTCAGGTCTTTGACCTTCTGCACCAGCGTCTCGACCTTGTCCTTGTCTGTGCTCTCGATCCTGCTCGTCTCGCCAATCGCCATGTCCAAGGTGAACTTGACTGTGCCATGTACACCTGAGCTCAGCCATCCACCGCCGCTGCTCGGCACGTTCTGGGGTGTAACACAGATCCTATGTTGACCGCTGTCGGCAGCGCTGAAGGTGAAGCGACCCTCAGATGTACCTCGTTGGGCAACGATACGGTGGTTGTTGTCGAATGTCTCTTCTACGGTAACGAAGACGCCGACGTCGGGCTTGGTTTGGTAGGATTTGGTTGCGTCGTCCCATGCTTCAGCGTGGTAGTGGCCTGGTGGTGTTAGTTGTGGTCCTTCAGCTGTGACCCCAAGATGCCCCTCGTCCAAGAGACTCATTGGTGAGAACGTTTCGTACCAACAACTAGTGTATCCTTGGGCAATTCCTCGTAGAAGCACTTCTGGACCGCACCGTCCATGAAGAAGTGCAGCGCTTGTGACGGGACCGCCAGCGCAGCGGCGAGCAGTAGTGTTGGTTTCCACATATCTGCGATTGTATTACCCCGCGAAGGACTGGTTGTAGCGCGGAGTCGAGTGTTGGGTGAGCTGATCACTTGGGAATCTTGAAGCTCGAATGCTCGAGATCGCGAAACTCCAGGTGTACGTTCCGAAAGCGGTTAGACCTCCGACACGTGCGTTGCTCCCTTCTTTGGCGTGTTGGGACTAGACACCACGCACCAACTTTACTCAAGGATGTTTACTATCCTTGGGTTTTCGGTTTTGCGCTAATTGAATAGGACCTTTATTCCAAGAGAGGAATGAGGGTTTGATGTTCGGTCTAGGAACTAACAAAGGCTGCTAAGAATGCCAATGACAGAACGACGGTATCTAGGTACTCTCATTATTGCGCGCGAAAAAGGATATAGTTCCTTGCTACATACCGCTAGATAGATATAAGCTCACCTACGTCTATCCTCGCCTCTTGTAGTCGAGTCAGCGGCGATTATACAAGTAGTATACTCGTTCAAGGCACCTCCGAGGCCAACCCCGCAACTACAACATATAACCTAGGTAAACAAATCGTCTGCAGCTTTTTGACTAAATCAACAAGCTCAACCTCTCTCTTTCAAACTCACCATTTTCTTCATGAGTCTATAAGACACCTTGCCACCACTCAACTGTTTCCTCCGTCAAAACTGCATCCATCTCCATACGAGCAGTCAGTTCAAGTCTGCCACTACTACCAAACATGGCCCTTTTCTCACCCTCAATATCCGCTCTCCACACTCTAAAATCAACACCAAAAACCATCCTCATAACAGGAGGATCCTCCGGCATAGGTCTCGCAACAGCAACCCTCCTCTCTACCCTAAACCCCTCCCACAACCTCGTCCTCCTCGACCTGCAACCCCCACCCAAGTCCTTCACCCACTCCTCCTCGAACCTGCTGTTCCACGAGTGCAACATCACCTCCTGGGCCTCGCAACGCGCCGGTTTCGAAGCAGCATACACGCGCTTCGGCCGCATAGACTGCGTCTTCGTCAACGCCGGAATCGCCGAACAAGGCGACCAATTCTTCGACGACAGGCTTGACAGCGATGGGAAACTCGCTGAACCAGACCGCCGTACGCTGACTCTGGACATGGATGCTGCGGCCGATACCACAAAACTCGCCATCTACTACCTGCGGAAGAACGGAAAACAAGGTGGTTCAATAGTACTAACAGCCAGTCTGGCTGGATATCTAGCTTCAGCAGGCGCGCCGTTGTATTCTGCGGCCAAACACGGTGTTGTGGGCCTGATGCGGGCATTGAAGCAAGAATGTGCGAAGCTGGACATTAGTATTTCTGTTGTTGCGCCTGCGATAACAGTTACGCCTATTTTGACGGCGAATAACAGCGTTTTGGCTATGAAGCCAGATGTGTATGCGAGGGAGATGGCAAAGGCGGGTGTGCCCATCAACAGACCGGAGGCTGTTGCTTTGGCGGTGTGTTGGTTGTTAAATGAGGGAGTCAAGGCGAATGGCGCCGGCATCTTTGTTCAGGCGGATCGATTCGCGGATTTAGAAAGGGGGCTGGCGAAGAGTAGGGAGGCATGGATGGGCAAGGAGATGTTGGAGTTGTTTCGTGGGGGAAGAAATGCGCCGCTGTTTGCAAGGTTGGAGCAGGAGGGAGAAGCGAAGGCGAAAATTTAAGATTCGACACGAACAATGGATGAGGTAGGAAAATGTTGTACATTCGTGCGTATATGACGGATAGTGCATTGTTGATAACAATACCAATGCTGATGCTGATAGATATCCAGTCCAATATCATATCCCCAACTCTTTTCCCTTGCCATCCAACGCCATCGCTATGCTAGCAAAAACAGAAATCAAACTTCCAGTCAAGTACTCACTTCCTCGCCCTTTTACTGCTAATCTCGCTGCCCTGAGAGAATACACTAGCACTTCTCTTATGGCCCTGCCCTGATGCACCTTGACTAGTCGCTCTCGACTGCTGTTTACTATCGTCCTCACCCTCTGCATCCATATCCCCATCATCCTCTTCTCCATTGAAGCCACCCTCATCTTCTTCACCTTCAGCGTCGTCATCGGGGTTATCACCGTCGTTCTCATCTTCCTGATCGTCCCTATTCGCCTCGGCATCGTCCCCGTAGTTTTTGTTGACATCGTCCTCGTCTTCATCATCATCATTCTCTCCATCGGCATCGACCTCTCCGCCCGGCGTTTGTTGGGAGTCGGGGACTTCGTGTTTCGGTTGACCTTCCTCTCCTGCTTCACCACCCTCGTTTCGCCGAGCCTTCATAGCAAGCAGAACCTTGCACTCTCCCTCCTCCTTCTCGCGAACCTTGCGTACGTCCAGTAACTTGCTGACTTTCGTAACGAGATTCTCAAAGACCTCACCAACTTTACTCGTTGGTATGCTGACAATGTCACTGACACCCAATGCTGCGAGCATTTGCCCAATCTTTTGAGTCTGAACGTTACTCTTTGCTTGTCGCATCTTAAGGAGCTTGTCGGAGCCAAACGTAACACCCGAGGTAAGCCTGTCGTGTGTTGATACGTTAAAGCGATATTCTTGGTGTGGAGAGAGGTGCTTGACAGGTGTCTGGGCGATTGGTTGTTGATTTTGTGCCATGCTTTGCCGTCGATTCGCTGCTGAGAGTTGTTGTTGTGCCGAGCCGGGGGTGTGTACCATGTCGTTCGCGGAGAGGCTGAGGCGGCCAGGTCCTGTTCCACCGCCTGAAGCACGTTTCTTACTGCGATCCTGCTGGAACAGCTGCTGAAAGAGAGCTTGGAGGGCTTGCGATGATGTAAAGGCTTGTAATCCTGCGGAGACCGCCTGGTTCTGCGGTGGTGCGTCCAATCGTGCCCGCAGTTCTTCGCGCTCGGCATCGAGTCGATTTGCTGCCATATTGATGCGTTGAAGCTCTGTAAGCAGAAACTCCTCCTCTTTGACCTCGTCCATTGTCCGGTTGATGAGCGCCGTAGCCAACATCTTTCGATTCCGTTCCATGACCGGGTCGAACTTTGTGAGCATCTCGTACAGGCTGTACTGGTCGGCGTCCATTGAGACTTCTGGTATGCGTTGCTTCATGAGCTTGGCTGAGATATCGTAGAATCGTGCCTTGAGATCCTCTAGTGACCGCTTCTTGGACGGCGCAAAGGGCATCGTGGCCAGTGCTTGGTCCTCGCCGTTGGCGGTTTCTGGCGAGTGTGGTTGGGATGGCTTGTAGTCGTAGCGGTCCCATATCACAGGCCAGCGATACGAATAGTCCCTTACTACGTCAAAAAGGTAGTCTGTTTCCTCTCGACTCCAGTCATCGCTCCGTAGGTACTGGTCGTATTCCTCGTCTGTGAAGCCCGGCATGTCTACTTTGATGTCGTATTTGGCATAGTCGGCGCACAATTCAAGGTAGTTGTCGCCTGTGTCGCTTTCCTGCATGGTCGCGTCGTCGGCTTCTTGTACGGGTGGTGCGGCCATGGGCTTGCGCCGCCAATGCTTTAGGACGAGGCCATCGTTGCGCGCTGGATTGGTGAACGGCTGTTGTATCCTAAAGTCGCGAATTAGCCAATCTTCCCCAGGCCCGTCACCCTTACGTACCATCTCTTCGCCGGCCCTGTGCTCTGTCTCTTCGCCCGATACGCCTTCTTCTCCTCGTAGACGGCGACAGGCGGCGGTCGTTCGCCATATAGCGCAGCAACCTCGCGCGCAACGCCCTCTGGTCGAATGAGAGTCAGTCTCGACCTTTTGACGATTTCCCAAGGAAAGACGTAAGGACTGCCAAACGTACGTATCTTCCTGCTCCCTCCTGCAGGCTTTGACCGCTTCTGTGTCTGCGCCGCCACTGCTGCTGGACCTACTGCCTTTGGCGCATCACCGCCGGCAGCAGGCAGCCCGAGCATATCGCGCACATCGCGTCCCGACGCCATCGCAACTTTCGCAAGGCGCCGCTGATCGATGAGCCGGTAGTAGGAGAGGGTGCGGGTGATGGATTCGCAGGCCCCGGGCTGAGTGGACGAGCTTAATTTCGTTGTTGGGAAGTCGCGTTGGACCCTGCGCGGGTACCTCACGTGTGGGAATATCGATATGTCGGAGAAAAAAAAATCAAAATGGGCAGGTAAACTTATTCAAAAGAATGCGCGAAGTGTTTCGAAGAGATTCAAGACTAACCAGGCTACAAGTCAAGTTCTTGCGCTATAGGTACGCACAGCTATGGAGTCATGGATTGCCGCTGTTACGGCACCTTCCAATCGCATACGCAAAGAGGCCATAGCTCCCTTGCAAGTGATCACTGGGTAGCAGCGATCTAGCTCGCTCGACGCTAGATCGATGCCGCCCAAGACAAAGACATCTAGACATCATACTGAGTATGGCAATCGTCACTAAAGTACAAAAATGAAATTTCGGTGTAGTGAGTGCGTCTATTCGCACAACTACTCTACCTGAACTAAAGCGAGGCCCCGTCTGTCGCCCTGTACACGCCATACACTAGGCCTCGGCCGCGCCTTCAGAAGAGACTCCTTTACATGCTATATTTTCCTCGTGCCAAAATGAATGATGAAAATGAGATGCCACAAAGTGCGAGCCTCCCCAAGCACACCGCAACGCCGCAAGCGCCCAATGGAAATCACTCCCACATGTACTGCCAGCTGATGTAGTCTCGCAACAACGCGGGAGCGCAGAGGTGAAGGAGATGGTGATGATGATGTTTTTCGGCGCTGATGAGGATTTCAGGCTGGTGTGGGAGGCGGTTCGGTCGATCGGTCGTCGTAACTATTACCGTGGAAGAAGATTTTCGATCCCGTCTATCAATCATTACAAGATACCTATACAGGAAGAAAACGTGACCCAGGGAACACTATCGCTCAAAGAACGGACTCCGTGATGCAACGCAAAGGGAAGAAAACCAAGCTTGAGGTCCGCGATTACTACTTGCTGGCGCCGCAGCAAAGGGCATTCGCCAATTTTTGCATGAAGCTGGGCTTTTCGGCTGACTGTTGCCTCGATTGTTGCGGGTTCGGACTGCTAGCAGGAGCAACGCGGTTGTTCTGAGCCAGGTTGGGCTGGCTGTGTTGGAACTGGGCCTGCGTCGAGGCACCCTCAGGTGGTGCAAGCTCGCCCATGCTCTTCCGCTTCACCTGCGAATCACGGTTCATGTTCTCCCGTGGGCTTCGTCCGGGTTGAGCGCGGGTCGCTCCGGGCTTCGGCAGAGGCTCGTTGAGACGGTGATGGTCAATAGGCAAGTGTGTCTTTTGTTGCCTGTGTTGCTGGCCTTGCATGTTCACAGCCATGGACGAGTTGGGGTTGGCGTTGGAGTGGTGCATCGCCTGCACAGCCGCCGGGTGCGACTTGAGGACCTCCCAGCCCTTGCCGTTGTTCAACTTCATCCAGTCGTACTCGCCGTCCTCGACCTCTCCAGTGCTCTTGAGAGCCTGAGTGAACAGCTCGCGTAGGTAGTCGTAGTCGGGTGTGTCCTCAAAGCCGAGGTTACGGACGTAGCTGAGGTACTTGTTGAATTCCTCTGCGTATTGTTAGCAAGTACAAAAAGCGGTGGATACAGTCAACGTACCAGGGAAGCCATCGCACAAGTCCTTGATGGGGGTTGTCTGCTTCTTCTCGCCAATCTTCTCGTACTTCTGCTTGTTGGTGGCAGCCTTGAGACCTTGCCATGGTAGTCCACCTCGCAGGAAGTACATGAAAACGTGACCGAGAGCCTCGAGATCGTCGCGACGGGATTGCTCGCGCCCAAGATGGGTGTTGATACTCATGTAACGAGCGGTACCAGAAAGCGACTTGCGTTCCCTGTACGGGATGTGCTGCTTTGTCTTGGGGTCACGGTACTGCTTCGCCATACCGAAGTCGACGACATGGATGACATTGGCGCTCTTGGAGCCCGGGCGGCCGATGAGGAAGTTGTCGGGTTTGATGTCGCGGTAGATGAGGTTCTTCTCGTGGATGGTCTGAACTCGTGACAGCTAGATGCAGTGTAAGTAGGCGAGGGTGCGACGATGCTGTTGGGACATACCATCTGCTTGGCTACCATGACAACAGTCTTGATGGAGAACTTCCTGTTGCAGTGGTCGAACAGGTCCTCCAAGCTGGGGCCGAGAAGGTCGATGACGAGAATGTTGTGGAGGCCTTCTTGGCCGAAATAATAGACATTAGGAATCCCGGCTGCACATGGTTAGTCACTCAGTCCATGTTCAAGTACGCGTGTATATATAGAGTTGGTGTTGATAAGGTTGAGCAAAACAAGCGGTAAAGGGGGAAGAAAGTCAGCACTCACGGCAGCCCACGAGGATCTTGTATGTGCGGTACTCATCGCGCAATTGAGGAGCATCGCTCTTTCGCGGCTCAAACTTGATGGCGACCTGCTGCTGGTTGAGCAGGTTGGTGCCCTCGAAGATGACGCCGAAGCTGCCCTCGCCGATCTTCTTGCCGACGCGGTAGTGCACGCCGACGACGTTGGAGCTCGTACTGCCGCTCGCCATTGCGTTGATTGCGTCGTGATTAAGGGTGGTGTGAAGAGAGTGTAATAGACGGGTAGTGGTAGGGAGGGTGCGTGGCTTGGTGGTTGTGACAGCAGCGAGACAGGGCCGCAGCCGTACTCCGGTAACGAGGCTTGGGGGCTATGCAACGGGCGAAGAACGCGACTCGGCGTTCCTGAGATGGGCTGGTCGAAGTCGAGTCGGAAGCGACTTGTGCTGCAACGAAGCAGCTGCGAGGGGACGGAGAGGTCAGAGAAAGGGACGTAGGACAGGGACGTATAGTGAAGAAAGAGCGACCGACTCTCGACGCGGAAAAGGCGTGGAGAAGGGGAAGGAGCGACTGGGCATGGGGCGTGCACTAGCAACCTATCAACCGACTCTTCGCTAGACTGTTAGTAGCACCCAATTCACTGTGAGCACGGGACTGCAACGACTGAGCTATTTACACTCGGCTGCATAGAGGCCAACAGGTGCACGCTGGCCGTCATCGTGGGCGCAAGTCTCAATGCAGCGGTTCAATTGTTTATTCATTCATCTTCCCCCCCTCCCCCCTCGCGGCGCAGACGTTGTCCTTTCCCCACTGAGCCGTCACTTGTTGTTGTACCTGCAGCACAGTCCACACCAAAACTAGCCCATCCTCCGAGCAAAAGCAGCCCTGGGACGCCCTCGGAAATTCGATACATCCTTTCCCAGCCAACAAACGCGTGTGCGCGAAGGGGAAGCCTGGTCAGCGGAATCACGGATTGCAATCGAGCGCAGAGAAGTCTCTGTCTTCCGTCATCGCCATCGCATCGTGCATCGACAGCGAACTCAACACACGTGACGATCTTTGCTGCTGTAGATGCTGTATCACTCCCAACTAGGATGTATTTGCGTGTCGTGTGTTTTGTCCAGCCTCACCGCTGCTGTGCCTCCTGCTGTTCATGCATGCCGCCTACGTCAATTCGGTGGCTTCGCTCGCCTCACGACATGGCCAACGGTTTTGGTGCGACACGGAAGAAGCAATCCAAATGCATGCCTCTTGACATGTTATCTGCACCCATCTACCGCCTCTCATCTCAACTCGCGGCACCACTTTTTTCACAAACCGGCCTCCAAGTCATCCAACGGCTGTTACCGAGTCAGCCATTGGTGCGCGTCCACATCCGCACCCTCTCGCTCGCGCCACACTCGGTTCCCTGACACGGCTGGGTATCCACCGCGCAAATGAACGCTTGTCGTCGCTTGACTCCACAGAACACAGTCGAGACCCTTGCCGATATGCGGTTATGCATGACACTATTCATGTTTCTCCCTACCAGTTCATGCATTACCCAAATAGTGACTCTTTGTACATTTGGTGCCAACTCTATCATCCTGCTCTAGTCATGCGCTGACGTGGTGAGGACATATGACGCCTGTCGTCGGGAAACCTTGAAACCCATTGCTACAAATACACTTGATGATAAAAAAGAAAATAAACGCTGTTCGCGTCTGCACAGTACAGGTTTTGAAACGCCGTGCCCCATGCTTGATGCGCGCCTGTCCTGAATGCCCTTGATGCACTGCGCCCGATAAAAAACCGAATACGACCACGACTTCTCATGAATCCTGCATCACCACGTCTTGGTCCTGCTGTGCGCTCTCGTCGTCGCCATCAAACGTCTCAGACCCAGCAGCATCCTGGTCTGCCCCGTCCTCCCCATCTTCCCCCGCAATTTGAGGGGCTACGGGCACATCCTGGGGAGTGGGCTTGCCCTGTTGCTTCAGCTCGCGTGCGTACATCGTCTTGCCCGCTGTCCAAGCTGCCTTGAACCAATCCGTGAGCCTGTTCTTGTTGACCTGCTCGCGAAGGATGTCGTCGTCCAGGAGATTGTCCTTGATGATCGGATTGCGAAGATCTTCGGCAGCGAAGCGAACACATAGCTCTCCGTGTGTTCCTCCTGCGCCTAGAAGATCCCGAAGGTTCTTAGGCCATAGAGTCCTAACGAAAGGGTTGTCGACTGCAACATGTTAGTGATTGACCAATATCTGGTGGTAGACATCAACTTACTGCACATGCCGCTCAAGGTCCGGAATGTCCATGCCATGGTTGTACCTTGCAACACATCGTTGATCTTAGCATCGGTAACCTCCTTGGTGTTGTTGATCACAGTCCAGTTGTCCTTGATGCACAATCGCTTCCAGAAAAGCTTGAGCAGGCCATCACGAGTCGTCCGGTGGATGTTGTTCCAGTTAACAAGCAGGACCCTGAAAGCGTAGATGAACTCATCATTTCCAAGCAAAGTAATACCTTCCTCGCTGTCATCTGCATTCATGAGAGTAAGTATGTCAATCATGAGCGCGGGGTCGATGACCTTGTGGTGGACCAGGTTCTCGAAGCCCTCTTTGAGAATAGCCTGGTGTGCCGGTCGATCCTTCAGACGGCCCTGTCCGAATTCAGCCATAAGGAGTTCCACGGCAGAGTCTTCGTCTAGAGCACCAGTGATGATGGGCAGTAGCCGCTCATAGACCTCTTCCTGGATCTTTGTGTACTCCAGTTGTTGATCAATGCTCTGGTACATGGCCTCACGCATCTTCAATGCCTTGGTCTTCTCTCTGCGCGGATCAACCACCGGTTGGTCATCGCCGTGCTTCGCTTCCTGCTTGCAAAGCAGAGCGAGCTTGGCCATGGAGAGCTCAACGCGCTGACACCAGGCATTAGTCTCCTGTTTAGAGCCAGCCTCAAAGAGGAGTTCAGCAGCAGCCTCATAATCCTTCTCACCACAAACTTCGTTAATCCATCCGAGCCGGGCACGCGAGGGCTCTGCTCTTAAGAACTTGGTGAGCGCTGGTTGGTTGAGATACTCCTTCATGAAGAGCTGTCCTGCTTGGTTCTCGTTGATGTACTTTGAGTAGAAAGCTCCAGCCCATTCATCGCCGTAGACCTCAAAGTAGCGTGCAATGCGCTCTTTTATCCTGTTCAGCTTGACTGTGCTCTCGGCCTGCTCCATTTTGCTGCGAGTGTTCGCCTTCTCGGTCTCGAGCCAGTTCGACTCTTCCCAAATTAGATTGACAAGTGTGGACATGTCGCGGTACTGCTCAGCAAGCTCCATTCCTTCCGTAGGAAGTCCAATTTCCATCAAACCCATGATGTGGGATGGTCGAACATTATTGTTCCACTCGTCCTTGAGACTGCGACCCATGGCTCGTGTCTTTTCATCGCTCTGTGCGAGAGCCCACTGGAACCGTTCGATGTGAGTCTGGCATCCTAGCTTCACTAAACGTGGGTTGTCTTTGCCGATCTTCTGCGCCAGGATTTCTTGATAGCCTTCCTCATAGTTGTCCACCGCAAGGTTGCGTCCAACATCAATGAGGCTACGGATCGAGCTGACAATGTTGTGAGATGAGGTCCAGAACTGAGGTAGCATGTCGTAGCCATATGCCGACTTAAGGATGCTGTTGTCCAGACAATCGGGTTCGAGACCATATACCTCTACGTTTGCTTGCCGGAATTCGAACGCTGTTTCCAAAGCGACAAGCATGACATCAGTGCCCTCACTAAGCCTCTGCATGATGGATGGCGTTTGTTTTAGTCCTTCCTTCATATAGAAGGTCCGCAAGTAGAACCAGCCCCAAGGTATTAGGGTGTGGAGACTGTCGACATCCTTGACGAAGAACTGTCTAATGGTGTCATTCTCGCCGAGCTCGGAGTCGATGGCGGTCTTATAGCGTTCATTCAAGGCTCTGACGATATCGCCCATCAAAATCTTCTCGGGGTAGGCGTCCGGATGAGCCTGTTGGTCCTGCAGCTTATCTTGGTACCAGAGCCATAGCTTGTGTGAAGCCGCAAGCTTCTCTGCATGCCACAACAGCCGCCACCTTGTCTGGAAGTCTACGGGAGGATATTCGGTCTGTAGTTGAGAGATCAAGGTCCGGAGAGCGAACGAGCGTTGCTGGAATTGACTATCCAGATTTGAAACACCCTTCTCGAGGTAGTCGTATGACGAGCTTAAGATGCCGGCGCTAATTTCAAGGGCAGCTTCCGCAGTCTCCTCTTCAGCAAAGGAAAAGCGCGACTTCACAGAGAAGTCTATGATATTCGCGGGGATCGTACTGAAGAATGTGGCTTGCTCCAGTTTGCTGCGTGCGGTAACCTTGACGCGCTCCCTGTCTTGGTCATTTGTTGTAGGTGGCAATGCGCTGATCTGTAAAAGGCCGAACTGTTGGACGAAGATCAGAGCAGTCGATTTCCTGTCCTTGCGTAATGAGTTCTCTAGGGCGTTGCCTGCGAGTGTCACCTCTGGGCGGAAGTAGACGGTATCCTGGAAGGGCAAACTAGAACGTCCCGAATCTGCAAGTAGCTGTGCCTCAGGGCTTTCTTCTGGTTGCGCGAGGGATGCGACGAACACAGCTCCTGGAAACTGGACGTATGCTGTGTGTCCAGGCTGTGGCAGGAGAAGCGTTCCGGTAGGCTCCTTAGGTAACTGGTTCTGGTGGAAGTTACGGACCGGTATCGCCCTGCTGATCATGCCAGCAGTCCTTGACAGATCCACCTCCAGTAGGAAGTAGTCCAACGAGTCTCGACCGGACAGTGCAACTAGGACGAGAAGGTTTACAGCATCCTGGCCCTGCTGTTGTTCCATAATGGCAAAATCCAGCACTTGTACATCCTGCTGGTTTCGTACTTCTGGAACGGTGTCTGCTTGAACTGCCGAGAGGATTGCATCGTGTACGTCTACGTCTCGTTGGTGGTTGTTTTGTCCTGACCAGCTCAAGTCCCAGGTCTGAAAGAGACCGTTTCGCGTTGCCGAGATGACCTCCATGTGGCCCTTAGACTGCGATGTCCGGGCCTTGACTGAGGCGATGGTCTTCCGGATCGATCCTCCCAGAAGGCCTTTGAAGCTGAAGAAGCTACCTCCCGAGCCATTTGGTGCGCTTAAAACGGTTATCGCAACGCTTGGTCTGCCCTGGGAATCGCGCAGGGTCAACTGGGCGAGTCTACCGCTGCTGAATACTAGGACGTAGCCCGCGTGCTCCACATCGACCAGACCGGTTATGGTTTCTCCAGAATACAACTTCACAAAGCCCTCTACTCCCTGCTGGCGCTGGGGGTAGAGGCTTCGAGTGTCTGCGCTGTCGATGTTCTCCCAGAAGCTGATCTTGCCTGTCGAAGGCGCGAGCGCGACGATACCGTAGTCGTTGGTAGGGCCGTTGGGAACGATTGCGCCTAGCGGAAGAGGCTCACCTTGTCGCAGGCCGAAGTTCAGATTTAAAGAGACAACCTTTGTGGGACCGTTGGGGGCGCTGTAGTCCCATACAAGGGCGCGGTCTGAGGTCAGGGCAAGCGCGAGGCCGGCGGACGGGAGGGCAGTTGCATATATCGGAGCTGGTGATGTATGTTAGCAAGCGCGCATCGAGTTGGGTGACGTTGAGGCGTACTCGATGGGCGGAGCAGCGCTGACGGAAACCCAGGCAGTTTCTTGACATTGTAGTTTGCGTTCTTGGTCTGTAGTTTCATGTTAGCAGCGACCAAGTAGTTCAGATGCATATATACCCACAAGGTATGTGCCGGTGTCCTCCTTGGGCGCGCGCTTCGGCGCTGACTTCTTCTCGCGAACGGGCATGTCCACCAAGACAACAGAGTTGTCCACACTCTGCACTGCATGGCCATTCATCAAGGCACTTCCATTTCCGTTGATATGGGCGTCGTTTGGGTCTTTAAACGTTTCGTCATTAAGTTTGCTTCGCTTGCGGCTTCGTTGTTGCTGCTGAGTCCCGTCCGAGTCGATGCGCTGGCGGCGTCGAGGATTGCGCATGGAACGCGCGCTCACGATAGATGCCTCCGGCGAAAACATGATGAAAAAGGTATTAGTGGGTGATTGGAAACGCGATAGAGCGCGCCGGTGATGGTGTTGGCTCGTCGCTGTGTTGTTAGTGATTGACAACTAAGAATGCGTCGGAAGCTTTGATGACAGGGATCACGCTAAAGCGCTAGTAGCGCATACTCCCTGCAACACGATATACATGCTGAGATTCGCGTACACCCATTCACCCATCAACACTTTCTCATCCGCCATAACGCAATCCCCTCACCGCCATCCTTCTCTTTCCCTTACGCAGAAGCATTGGCATTGTAGTCCGTTCGGATCAAATCACCATGCTTCCTCCAATCACTTCGAGCAGAACAGTCAATTGATTTATGTTTGTATTTCGTATCTCATTTATCATATTCGTTACAGTTGTTAACAAGCGCTACCGTTATCAAATCCCAGCCACGGATGTTCTCCTGAGCATTCATGGCTGTACTAGAGAACGGAAAATACCTCCCAGTGAAACATGGTACATGTGCGAGAATATCAGTCTAGAAAGACGATAATCCCTACTCTTTCAAATTGTTCGCAGCGGGCGATGACTTCCCACAAGCCGACTAGCCAGTGAACCTGCAGCCATGCCACTATCCGTAGACTCGACACTTAGCCTTTACATCTTTTTGTCGTGTTCCTCCTCAGCGATGCTGTTCTCCGTCGAAGTGGTGCTCTGCTTCTCCAGTTCTTCGCCGAGAGGGCCGTGAATTTCTTCTTCGAAGACGGGCTCGGTTTCAATTGTCTCGAACTTGGTCTTGAAGTCCTTCATGTTGTGGGTGGACGAGTTGCTTCGACGACGGGCATAGGCCATGTTTGGCCTGATATCTTCGACCTCATCACCAGCCGCGCCCCTGTAGAGATGCTGTTAGTCACTGACTCTGCGATATGAAGTATCTTGGTGGGTACAGCTGAGTGCGGCCCTCTCACTAGGGATCGGAAGGAAGTAAGTGAACTGCACTTACCAATTGCCCTTGCCGCTACCACCCTTCTTCGTCTTGGTCGGGTCGGTGTCAGCATGACCGGACTTGCCAAAGAACTTGGGAAGTCTTTGTTCACGCTCGGCAGTGCCGTCAGCAATGCCGGCGTGGTCACGGTCAGTGAACTTGTGGGAGCGGGTCACTTTCGAAGTCAGCACGACGTACAAACAGATTGGTGTTGTCTCATAGCCTCTTGCCGTCCTACCCCGATGAGCCATTGAGATGGTTATGGACCTCATAGGCTTGATGCAACGGGGGCAAGTGCGTTGAAGGACGAGATAGAAGGCAGTACTTACTGTTTGGTGTCTGTAGTTGATGGATTGGTTGAAGAGTGGTTGTGATGTTGATGGAAGAGAGGCAGCGTGAGTTGAAGTAGTAAGGAACGACGGGCTCGGAGCTACTGTGACTATAAGAAGCTCAAGCGGGTCAGTACATGGTCTCGTGATGCAAGCTTTGACCCGATGGCGTCTTCTTGCGTGAAGCAACGCGGCCAGAATGCGTACCTTGCAGATCTGTTGACAAGTGGCAGCAAGGTGTTAGCGAAGACAATGTTAGCAAGGACGATGGTTGTTGGTTCGTTTGTTAAAGACAGGCGCAACGCATCTCACGCGACTTGGTCAAAGGCGGGGAAGCTGGGAGGAGCTCCTGGCTTTATATCGCAACCAAGACGGGACCATGCAAGGATGTCTCTCTAGAAGATTCGCCCTCAGCTGCCCAGCTCCGACTACTACAATTGTGCCCATAGCTTCAACCTGTATAGAGTAACTTGACAGGTATAGTTATCAGTCGGATCATCGGTCCCTGAACTGTGTAAGGAAGGAACGAGGGGAAGGGTACGTCACCGGTACCTGGATCTCGCCGGTCGGTGTCGCGTGGGCAGGAATCCATCCCAACACAGCACTACAACCATGCACAAACTTCTCGCAAGATCAATTCCAAGATGCTGACTCTTGGATGAGATGCAAAGACCAGAATATATCTACAATGGCCTGCTCATGGTTCCATGGCTTCATGGTAGCAGTGGTTACCCCAGATTCCCTCGCACGCTAATGCGCCCTGGATCCACTCACACTTGTGCCGCCATTCCGCTTGACTCGAAATCACGTGTTCCGGTCAGTTCGTAATCAGCCCTCAGTCGTATGACCAATCGCCGCGGATTTCTCCCTGATTGCATCAGCAGCGCTTTCTCCGCCCCCGAGGCCGCAGACTATGTTCAGAAAAGTTTCCCGGGCGCGCTTTTCATTAACCACACTCTTTCCTTTTCGTGAACATAGTCACTCTCCTCTTAGAGTTCTTGCCTCTGCGCTCTGATTCTGTAACATCCATTTACCCCTCCATAAACACACAGCGCCACGATACCCCGCCATGGCCCCGCGATGCCTTCTGATCGGCACGCCGTCCATTGCGGCGCATCCCGAACGACTTGACCAAGTCTACGAGATTCACGATCGCAACTCGACCGACCTGCAGATGCTTGACCGTATTGCTGCTGGCCTGGTCAATCTTCCCGCCTCCACATACGATGTTGTTCTCCTTCTCGCCGACGCCGACGGTACCACGCGCGAAAGTCACAAACTGTTGGCACGCGATGTGATGAACAAGGTTGTTAGCGCATTGAAGGTGGGAGGAGTACTCAAGAGCCAGGCAGGCCCATTCCAAGGCGCAGAGAAGACAGAAGCTATCCTAGCAGGGCTCACAGAGACGGCGGACGGCATGACCAAGCCCGAGCAAGAGGAGCCTGTATCGATACCGCTGAAGTTCGGCAAGAAGGCAAATGGCCTGAATGGAGTACATGGAACGAATGGCACGAATGGCGCGAACCACACAGTCAACCCAGACGGTTCGGTCCCGCTCAACCTCAACCGCAAGCGCAACCAGCCTCAGGCTGAGCCTGTCAAGCCAGTTGGTGTAGGATTCGTCGATTTCAGCGATGATCTCGACGATCCGATTATCACAGGCGAAGACGACGACCTAATCGACGAGGACGACCTCATTACAGAAGCAGATTTGGCACGTCCAGTCATTCAACGTGAGTCACACCTTCCTTGCCGCCTCACACCTCTCTGCTAATATGCCCCAGCACTCGAATGCCAGCCCAAACCCGGCAAGCGACGACGCGCCTGCAAAGACTGCACTTGCGGTATGAAAGAGAAAATTGAAGCCGAAGACGCGGCCAAACGCTCCTCCGCTGATAAAGCACTCAACTCGCTCAAGTTGGATGCTGACGACCTTGCCGAAGTGGACTTTACAGTACAAGGAAAGGTTGGCAGCTGTGGAAACTGCGCGCTGGGCGATGCGTTCAGATGTGACGGATGCCCGTACATCGGTCTGCCGGCTTTCAAGCCAGGTGAGGAGGTACGGTTGCTGAACAACGATATCCAATTGTAGAATCCCGGTCAAGGGACAGACACTGCATCAACTTGGCGTACGGAGTAGGAGGCACGATAATCTGGGATAGATATGTTGCTACATAGCTTGGTCCGGAGTTCTAGACGGCAAAATGACGAAATGCACGAATGAACCTTGCTGTTTTGAATCTTCAATGAAGACACTATCCCCTTTGCTCTGTTCATTCCAGTAACTATATCCACTATACAATCAAACCAAAGACTACCCTTGCTACAAATACTTTGACAGTACTCAAATTCCCCATATATTCTTATCCTCTGCTCATAACATTACCCTAATCCTCCTCTTCACAATACTTAGCGGTACGCCTTCGCTTTCTCGCTGTCTCTTCCCCCTGCCCATAGGCAGGAAAGCTAGTAGGTGCCTAACCTTAGATAGAGAGCGTTGTGGGGTCGAATTGTAGATGATCCGCCAGTGATACAACATCGACAGTCGAGTCATGACTATCTATTAAGAGAACAGTTCCGCAGCAGTGCATGACAGAAGGATTCCTCAGTGGGAAATTTGAGCGTGCCGATATCGTTTGTAGTTGGCCAAAAGGTCCGAGTGACTTGTTCTGCAATCCCCGAATGGACACTCCTGTCCTTGATCTTCACGAGTATCGCATTGGGTAACAGTAGTCATCATTCCAAGGGGAAAGTACTCGACTTCCAAACATCCATATTTATTTTCATCCTCTGAGCTCCAGTTCAAGCTTCAGAGCCGTTCGCTCAGGCCCATAGTAATCAGGACGACATTCCGCCTGCTGAAAGCCACACGACTTGTACAACGCTCTTGCTGGTTTGCGACTCTCATCCACCCATAGGAAAATCGTGCTACAGCCTCCTTTTTCCATCTGCTGACGAAAGCAACAAACTAAAGCCTTGCCGAGACCTCTCCCTCTTTCTTGCTCGATGACACAAAGTTTATGTAGCCACGCTAACCTCTTCATCCGTTGGTAGACCAGATACGCAATCAACCTTTCGTCGGTATCATCTCCCTTGAAGACTAATAACAATCCGGTGTTCTTCTTTTTGAGTTCAACGTCGTAGTTGAAGTGCTCAATTGCTGGGAAGACTTTCCTTTCGAGTTTGGCTACTTTCTCTGCAAGGGCTGGGCGAATCTTTGGCGGTAAGGTAGCGAATTCTCTGATTATAAAGCCAGGTGGGGTTTGCGCTGGTGAGTGTGGATCAGTCATGGTGTGGTCGGCTCAAGTACTCCAACTGAGATGTGAAAATAGGACATGCCAGCGCTACACGAGTTCTATGGGTACGCTGTTCAATTTACATCGGGTTTCAATGGTCGCAAATGCGATGGGATCTTCGATGAACAGGCGTTGACAGAAGACGCAGAAGGTTAGGGTCTATTCCAAGGTTAAATCTTGCAGTGGGGGCTCACGTGCTAGCGTGACTGAAGATGTTCGCCTCTACGTGCACCGACGCGTCTCGCTCCTGCAACACATACACGTCTTCCCGAGTCCACCCCACTCTTAGCCGGCCAGACATCTGGATAAACATGAACCGCTTCTTGACAAGACCGTCACAACAACTACACGGACGGTGAAAAGTTTGAATCAACTTTCTCGACTCTTCTATCCTCTTGCCTCGAACCTCATATCACGAGTCATGGCAGGCAAAAGAAAACGTCCGTACTCGAATCTCGACTTTACGTTGAGGAAGGTGTTTAAGAAAGCAAGTTTCCGGTATACCGCTCGTCTCATTGCTGCTTGCTCATACTAAGGTCTTTCACAGACCGTTACAACGCGAGGTCGTCACGGCTACGTTGGAGGGCGAAGATGTCTTCCTTCAGGCAGCGACCTCTTTCGGAAAGAGCTTATGCTACCAGCTGCCAGCGGTAGTCGACTTCGGCAGTACGTTCAAAAGGGTGCGAGTTGTTATTATCACTAACCTTGCTAGTCACTATCGTGATATCTCCACTGTTAGCACTGATGGTACGCCCTTCACTGTTCTATACTAGAACGAAATCTAACCAGCTATAAGAACAACCAAGTCACCTCCATGCGCAACGCCAACGTTCGTGTTGAAACAATCAACAGCACAACACTACCCACAGACAAGAAGAGAATCATATCTGATCTTCAATGTGGCCATCCCATGACCCGCCTGCTCTACGTAACACCTGAATTCTGTCAAGGCGACAACTTTCGCAAGATCTTACGAGTCATCCACTCCCAAGGAGAACTGGCTCGCATCGCTGTCGACGAGGCCCATTGTGTCAGCGAATGGGGACACGACTTTCGCCCTTCATTCCAGCAGTTGTCATTCTTCAAGACCGAATTTCCTGACGTACCAGTGATATGTCTGACGGCCACGGCAACAGCACGTGTACGAGACGACATTATCACCACGCTTGCCTTGAACCCAAAGAAGTTGAAGATGTTCCGCATGAGCACCAGCAGACCAAACCTCCACTACGAAGTCCGCTTCAAATCCGATGAACAGGACCAATATGACGACTTTATCAAATTCCTCAAATCCATTCACGCACGCCGTGCCGGGAACACTGAGCGCGCATCTCAACTAGCATCACAGAACCAGCGTTCAGACAACGTCCCAGGAATCATCTACACTCTATTCCGCAAAGACTGCGAGTCCCTCGCCGCCCGTCTTCGCTCGGATGGCATAGGCGCGAAACCCTACCACGCCGGCCTCTCCGTCGCAGAGCGTGCAGATGCATTATCAGGCTGGGTTGCTAACAAAGCCGGTTACGACGTCGTCGTTGCTACAACAGCGTTCGGCATGGGCATTGACAAAGAGAATGTGCGGTTTGTAGTCCACTGGCAAATCCCCAAGTCGTTCGAAGGGTTCTATCAAGAAGCCGGTCGTGCAGGTCGGGACGGCAAAGCATCGATTTGCATCTTGTATTACGGTCGCGAAGATCGTGATCGCGCTGCGCATTCGCTGTCGAGGGATATTGCGAGGCAACCTAAACAGGGAGCGGGATTGCAGGTTCAGCAGCAGCAAATGATGCATCGTGCGAAGAGCTTGCAAGCGTTGGTTGGGTACTGTGAGGCGACGGATAAGTGTCGGCATAAACTTATTGCTGGATACTTTGCAGATGACGAAACACCCGAGTGTGATTTTGCGTGTGATTGGTGCAAGGATGCGGAGGCGTTGGTGAGGAGGAAGGAGGGAGGGTTGGCAAGTGAGGAGTGGTGTAGTACACAGAGGGAGCAGGGGAGATATGACATCGACGAGTATGATTGAGGTGTGCTGTCTTGACGAAGTTGGGACATTGGGGGTTAGAAGGAGCATCACTAGGCGTTAAGGTACATGAACAAATCTGCATATTTAATTCGTAAATCTCGTGGTTCATTCATCGTGACTTCATCTACGGTCTGGCTTTCAGTCGCCGACGCCCACATCAACGCCAACGGATGCATCCTCTTTTAGGGTATCTACTACCGATACCACCTCAACGCCGCCCCATGCATCCTCTCCATCGTCTGATGCCACACCAATCACCATAATCTATCCGATAATAAGAGCCGCGCTGGGAACCATACCCGCTTCTTTAAGCGACATGCCAAAGTCACTTCGGTCGTACGTCTTCTTGGGGAAGTTGGTCGTGAACGTCGAGACACTGGTACCATCCTGCTCCAGCGCATGTGCTACTTCAAAGAGCGTAGTCTCGACCGGGAACGTCTTCATGACCCTTCCACCAGGTGTCTGCAGGGCCAAGCGTGCCTCGGTGTATGCGCTCGCAGGCTTGCTCGTAGTCGGACCAGAGGATGTAGCGAGAGGGGCTTGTACAGGTGCAGGAGGAGGAGCCTGGCCGGCGCGCTTCGCCTTTTCAATCTCAGCTTTGCGCTTTCGCTCCTGCTTGTCCGCTTCGAGCTTGGCCAAGACGCGTTTCCTTGCATCCTCATCTGCCTTCTTCTCTGCGCGCTTAGCAGCAGCTTCCTTTAAGCGCTCCTTCTTCTGCAACTCTTCCCTGATGTCCTGTGACTCTTTGGTAGCCTTCATGCGGATCTGCTCGTTCTTCTTGTGGTCCTCCTTGTCCTGCTCTGACTGCATCGCGCGTTTGGCGGCCAGCTTCTCGCGCAGCTCTTGTAGTCGCTGCTGCTTTTGCTCGTCTGTGAGAGGGGCGATCTCCTCGGTCGACTCGGAGAACTGCTCATGGCCAGTCTTCTCACCGTGGAACTGGGCTTGGTTTACAGAGCGGAACTTCTTGCCGCACTCATCACAGACGAGGGACTTGGCTTCCTCGCCAGGCTTCAGCGCGGGAGGCTCTTCTGAGGCGTTGGCGGCGGCGGTGGCTTGCTCTTGCTTGATGTCATCGATGGACTTGTCTTGGTTGGTCTCGAGCCAATCGATGGCAGGCTGGAGGCCGCCTGTAGCTTTAACGGCGAGCTCGGCGCGTTCGCGGGGGAAGCCCATGTCGATGAGGGTATCTAGATCTGAGGAGGCCATCGTGAATGCGGCCGAGGGTGAGGGGCGAACTTGTGAGAAGTTTAGGTCTATTTGGCGAAGCTTTGGCTTGGGCGCTTGACTCGAGAGTGTTGTGGTTTAGTAGCAAATTAATGAGAGGTGTGTTGGTAGTGGAGGAGGCTCCCACTTTATATGTGGATGTACTGCGGTCGGGCGGTAGCGGTGGAACCTTGGAGAAGGTGAAGCGTGGATCAGACGCGCCTGGTTCTTGGAATATTACCTTGGAAGAATGAACTTCAGTAATGAATACGTCGTTTATCGGAGCTTCTTTCTGTAAGATGAGCGATGCTTGTAGCCTGGGATTGTCTGCGAAGGTGGACACTAGAGGCGCCTCGGGATTCCAGAATCAAGAGGCGTCGCGGGACGTCATAGCTACTTGTCCTCACCATCCGCCCTTCCTCCCTACCATCTACAACCACCCAAATCTACACCCACCGTGATATTCGCCGTTTGCGCACCCTATCCACAGGGTTTTAGCTTTTAGATTTACTATACGCGCCCGCCCTATTTCCCCACGCTCCCGAGGTTGATTGCGACTCTACCCCGTACCGCGGATCTGATTACCAACCTTGGAAGACACAATCACAACTGCATACCTACAGCCCACACGCGCCCGCCATGTCCGTCGAGCTCGATCCCGTAGAGCTTGGTTTCAAGCGTAAGCTTCTCGCGTGGCATTGGGGTCACACGCATACTAACCTAGCCAGGACCCTTTCAGCACGAGGTGTCGCAGACCCTCCGCTTGAAGAACCCGCACTCTGATCCGATTGCTTTCAAGGTAAGCAGACTTCTCGACAGAATCATTGTATTGGCCTGTCAAAGTTGGACGCGCAACTGACATATGCAAGGTGAAAACCACGGCTCCCAAGCAGTACGACGCCCGCAATACCTCCTCCCACAACAACTGATGACGGGTGTTTAGATACTGCGTGAGACCAAACAGCGGACGCATCGAGCCCGGCAAAGATGTTGAAGTTCAGAGTATGCCTGCCCTCCATGCGCGCGTCTACGAAAGCTTGCAGCAAACTAACACATGCGCCCAGTTCTCCTCCAAGCCATGAAGGAAGACCCACCGCCAGATGCCAAGTGCCGCGACAAGTTCCTCGTGCAATCCGTACTTGTCACCGCCGATAAGGAATTCACCAATGTTGGATCTTTGGTATGTTCTGGGATAACAACAACGGGTCGATGGGTATTAACAATCACATGTAGTGGTCGCACATCGAGCAGACGGCCAAGTCTTCCATTCAAGAGAAGAAGATCAGGGTTCTCTTCCTCGCTCCCGACGATGCCTCCTCGAACGCAACCCCCGCAAGAACCAACGGTGTTAGCCGCGATTCGATGCTCTCGTCTCCATCGCCCGAGGCTGTAACTCCCCAGCGTGGCGCATCAGACGCTTCTGGACCCGTCTCCGTTCCCCAGGACCGCCCATCAGACAGCAAGAACTTGGGAGAGATCAGGAACGAGACATACAACCCCGCGACGGGCGGCAACATGCAGTCGAGCTTCAGCTCTGCCGCTGGAACAGTATCCAATGCTCTGCCATCCTCAAGCGACGTGGAGGCTCAGCTTGCTGAAGCCAAGGCGCAGATTGCGCGATTGACGCAGCAAGTTAGCGAGGCCACTGGTCTCCGCCAGCGAAAGACAGGATCCGCCCAAGACTCGAAGCAAGAAGCGTCGACCTCACTAAGCACGCAGCAAGCCCCCGCGGGTGGTGTGTCTGTCCAGATCACAGCTCTTCTGTGCCTCATCAGCTTCTTGATTGCTTATTTCCTCTTCTGAGCGCCTTTCCGCAGCACTCTGCACTAGATGGCCAGAAAAGCACCGTGCGCCATTAGCGACCCCGGATCTACAATGTGAGGAGACGGTGGAAAGTCGGATGACATCTTTCTACATGCGAAGGCGAAGACATAGGGTGGTAGTATGGCGCTGGACGAAAGGATGGATAACTGCATTTCTTTCTCATGCGGGTATTTCTTGCTTGGTTGGACTCAGGTCTGATGTTGGTTACACATACGGAATAGCAGCTGATAGGGAGGCACGAACACATTGGTGTGGAAGCATCCATGTATCAACAGCTACATAATTCGGAGTTGTAAAGTCTTGAAATTGTTTAAACACAGATAATGTCTACGTATACTTTACTTTTGCACCTTTACCTTGTCGCGTGGGGACTGTCTGGTTACGGCGATGTTCGCAAGTGCACTGGCCAATAGGAAGACGCGAATCCTCCATGGCAGTTGTGGGGTTGCGTTTGAGCATGCACAAAACGAGTGCGAGCAAACTTGTGGAGTCACGGAGTGCCTATGGTTCTCAACGTCATATCCTTACAAGTACAAAATAGTGGATACTGCCAATCCCGCGGTCAGAACGCGCTTGGGGTTGGCAGTGAAAAGGTGGGGCCAGCTGGCCTGCGGCGACTTCGGGCGGGCGATATGACTCTATAACAATTTCTAGCCACGATAAAGGCTGTCCTTTGCCTCCCCTCTTCACTTTGACACTGTATTCCCTCCATTCCAACTCACTTCAGCAGTAAAGATGTGTGGTATCTTCGCCTGCTACAGGTATGCTACACCCGTTGCGCGCCCGCAATTGCCCCTCCAGATGTTGGATTGTCTCAATACCAAATGTTTGCGACTGTGTTGATACATGACTAACTTCCTTATAGGCACCCCGATGTGCAAAAGTTCAAGCCGACTGCCCTGAAAATGGGCAAGGCGTAAGTTTACCTCCCATAACCCGTGAGAGTTTCTAATTGACTAATTGCGCGCAGTGTCCGGTGTGTAATTTTCCCAAACCCTCCAGTCAGCCAATTCACCACGAGGACTCCTATGCTAACTGATTGATAAGCCACCGAGGTCCAGATTGGTGTAAGCTGCTCTATAACTCCTAGCGCGCCGAAGTACACAATGACTGACACTATATAGCTGGTAACTGGGTTGCAAACGACACCAGTGAGTGACTGTAAGAGCCTCTAAGCATATACAGTACTAAACACATACAGTCCTGGTTCACGAGCGCTTGAGCATTGTTGGCGTCGGTAAGAGATCACGCGAAAAATATTACTTTTTGGCAGAAGCTTACGTAGGTTAGAATCCGGCGCTCAGCCGCTCGTCAACGATGAGGGAACTGTCTCTCTAGCCGTCAACGGCGAGATCTACAACCACCGAATCCTCCGCAAGTCCCTCAAGAACCCGTATAACTTCAAGACACACTCAGATTGCGAGGTTATCATTCCTCTGGTAAGATCGGGCACAAGTTTCACGGTGAACGAGGCTGATAGGCAGTAGTATCTTGAACATGACATCGACGCTCCCCGAAAACTTGACGGCATGTTCTCATGGGTCCTTCACGACAAGGCTCAAGATCGTGTAATCGCAGCACGCGACCCTATCGGTATCACTACATTCTACATGGGCCGATCGAGCACTACACCAGGCGCGGTGTTCTTCGCTTCTGAACTGAAGTGCCTACATCCCGTCTGCGACAACATCATCTCCTTCCCTCCCGGTCACGTCTACGATTCGAAGACAGATCAGCTCACCCGCTACTACGACCCCAAGTGGCTTGTCGAGCCCGAAAACATTCCTACACAACCTGTAGACTACAAGGAGCTGAGGCAATCATTGGAGCGATCAGTGCGGAAACGCATGATGGCGGAAGTTCCCTTTGGTGTACTTCTCTCTGGTGGTCTTGATTCGAGTTTGGTAGCTTCAATCGCGCAGCGCGAAACTCTGCGGTTGAACGAAGCGACAAGGAACAAGGCAGCAGCATCTACTGGCAATGCCAGCGAGCAACAGAACCAACTCGTCGGTATCGACGACTCCAACGAGCTTCAGACAGATCTCCTCCTGGGACAACTCAACTCCTTCTCTATCGGGTTGCCCAACTCTCCTGATGGCATCGCTGCACAGGAAGTGGCCAACTTCCTCGGAACCAAGCACCACACCTTCACCTTCACTATCGAAGATGGTCTCAACGCACTTACAGACGTCATCTTCCACCTCGAGACCTTTGATGTAACAACTATTCGCGCCTCAACACCCATGTTCTTGCTGAGCAGAAAGATCAAGGCTATGGGAGTCAAGATGGTGCTCTCAGGAGAAGGAAGTGACGAGATTTTCGGTGGATATCTCTACTTCCATAACGCGCCTGACAAGGCCGCTTTCCACCAGGAATGTATTCGCCGCGTCAAGAACCTCCATCTCGCAGACTGCCTTCGCGCCAACAAGTCAACATCTGCCTGGGGTGTTGAGGCGCGTGTACCCTTCCTGGACAAGGACTTCCTCAACACAGCCATGAACATCGATCCTCAGGACAAGCTCATTGACCGCGAAGCCGGCCGCATTGAGAAGTATATTCTGCGCAAAGCTTTCGACACCACCGACGAGCCAGAGACGCAGCCCTACCTTCCTGAGAAGATTCTCTGGAGACAAAAGGAGCAGTTCTCTGACGGTGTAGGCTATGGATGGATTGACGCGCTCAAGGACAACGCTGAGCTACACGTCACGGATGAGATGATGAAGAACCCAAAGAAGGAGTGGGGCAACGACATCCCGGATACCAAGGAGGCGTACTGGTATAGGTGTATGTTTGATGAACACTTCCCTAGCTACTGCGCCGATACTGTTATGCGATGGACACCTACCTGGAGCAACCAGACGGATCCTTCTGGACGGTAAGATTCCCTCTTCAAGGTCTGACTAGATATGAGACTAACATGTCACAGTGCCATTGGTGTTCACGAGCAGAAGTACGCCCATGCCAAGTAGACAGCTGTTTCGGTTCTATGTAACAGGACTTGTATGGTAGAAGCTATGGATCTTATTTCATGTCTCCTCTGGCGCTTATAGACTGCTTAGGGTGAGATATATCCAATGGGGAGTCCGTCAAGGGTTCTGTCTTTAGCGCATCAATGTATCATTCTGCATGAACTTCATAATGCGGAATGTAGTGACGACTAACTATAATATGTGGCTCGTCTTTTAAATTGATATACAGTATTTAGTCTCATAACATAACATTACCTCGCCAGTGACGCCCAAACACACTCATTTTTTCCTCGACTGGGTATCAAAGACCAATAACACAAGTACGTATACACACAAACTTTTTGGTAGATCATACCGTCACCTAGCGGTAGATGCGAGAACGCCAGACATAGCAAGACACAGATGATTCTTTTAAACACAGCTGAGCGCATCACGCCTCGAGGGCAGAGGATGCCTCACCGTTTCCGAAGACGCGGAATTGGATGAAGATTGTTACATCCTCGACCATTGTGCCGAGGGAGCCGATGAGCCAGGGAAGATTGGTAAGTATGTAATCCCTCTCTTGCGAGTGGAAGATGATCTATGCAATATTAGTCTCGGGATCTTCTAACGAAAGTAGAGAGAGAGAAACTTACACCTGCACCATACGTAGCATTACCCAACAAACTCAACATGAAGAAGAGCAGCGACAAGCCTTCGCAAGACTTCTCCCGCTGGTTCTTAATGATCTGAGGAATGCGCGCCCCAAGATAAGCCACCGCGCTCGCGTATCCCAGGATCATCGCACCGATTGGGTTGTCCGAGGTATCCTCGGTATTGTGCGCAGGCTGCGGAACCCAGACACCAGTTTTCCACGCGATAGCCCATCCCGCAGCACCGACGACACAGACGCCTACGATGCTCAACGCGTTCTTGACCCATTGGCTCGCACCATCGCCGACATCGGGTATCGTGGGGAGGGAGCTCGCGCGGCGCCTGCGACTCGCCTGGGAATCGCGCCTGTGACTTCCCGGCAGGCCAATGTTACTGCTATCGCGACGGCCAAGTAGAGGAGCTTCGACGCTATCGGTAGAGCGCGTGGAAGTTTTGCGCTCCCCGCGCTTCGAGTTCTTCATGTTGTAGTAGACGCATTGCGAGATGAGGACGAGGTCTGCGAAGCAGAAGTAGATTGCGAGGGCGATGACGGTGGGCACAAGACCAGCCCAAAGAGCTCCCACGAGATTCGTTATGTCGCCTATAAACCAGACGGTGAGGAAGGCGAGGGAGATGCCGTCTGCGGAGCCAGATTTGTAGTTTTCGATTAGTTGAGGGACCTGTCGTTGTGGTTAGATTAGGGTACTGCGATGTCTAATGTCGCGTGCTGGGAGCTTCAGTTGCGGTTCCAAGGGTAGCACAGCCGGTATCAGAGATACATGGTAGCTTGACATTGTGCTTGACTGCGAAAAGCTACCCCATGCGTGGGAAACGAAGACAACGAAGCTGTATCAGTTGTTACTCACCAACAGGAAGACCCATGAAGCTAACGAGATTGAGCCGAAGACACCCGAGAGCGCCTCGTGGGTAGTCAGCGGCAGACTGTAATGAGACATGGCTGCGGTGAGCATGGTGCGTGACGGTATTTGCTCACACAGCGCGTCGTGCGACCTATACAAGTAGACGTAATAATAGTTTTCTTCTGTTACAAGGGCGTGCAGGAAATGGTGCAGCAAGGCTTGACGATATGACGCAGGTCCAGACGGAGGGAATGCCGGAAGTAGGCCAGTCCAGCCGAGGTAGCCCTATTAGGGTGTGGGGACGGAAACGGAACTAGAAGGTCGAAAGATTGTTGACGAATGGTATTTGGTGACTTTGTAAGGCACCACGCGACAAGGCAGAAGGCGTGGGAAGTGTCAAAAACAGAAGTGTGGGCTAGTAGTGCTGTAGTGCTGGACTCGGGGTCATCTATGCCTCTGGCAAATTGCCTCGCGTTTCTGTTGAGGATGCACATTTTTCATTCGGGGATTCCTCGACTGCCTAGCCTTTGGGATATGCACAGCTATAGTTTGTTTTAGAACCCGAAGCGCGCACGCGAGGCTTTTTATAAGCAATGTTTGTACTCGAACCGTTGACATGTCTATGGAATGCGCTTGACTTGTGCTGTAGTGTGGTAAACTCATATGGAGCTTGGCATAGCACTGGTGATGGCGCACCAAAGAAGGACGCGCAACACTGCATACATGTACACGACACAAGTCTGCAAGACTGGATGTTCAGACTATTTCATTGTCAACATGATTGATTATGCAGAATCTTTGAAGAGAAAATGACTCGATTTGTCGCTGGCCGTTTTAGAGGGTCCGTCTGTCAAAGCTCTAGACCCCTTGTGGGCGGCTGAGTTGCACTGCAGGGCGTCGGCTCCGGCTCGCCCTCTGCAGAGCTAAAATTGGCTGGGAACGTGACCAAATCACTCATCGCTCCACTTTCTCCTCGTCACTTCAGCAAGCACATCCACCGGCTTCCGGTTCGACACTCGCTCAGTCTTCTATTGTCCCTTCACATTCCTGCCCTCGTTTATCCGTTTGATATATACACATCGCTACAATAGCCTACGCGCCTTTCACCCGTATCCCCCTTAATACAACTAATCGCCTGTTCGTGAAACGCGCGTCAGCTCCAGAGTAAAAACCCGTTACCACCCTCTGCCGGTTTCCATCGACAACCCACCAAATATGTTGCCCAAGGCCTGGCTGTCAGTCTTCGTCCTCACGGTCGCATCGTCGGCCTTTACCCTTGAGGATCTTCACATGGACGGCATCAATCAGTACATCCACCAGGGCAAGAGGCAAGACGCCGAAGGCACCGGCGCCTCATCAGCATCCGCCGCACCCGCTACATCATCGGCTGCACCACCAGCTTCATCCGCCGCTCCTCCTGCCACATCGTCCGCTGCGCCGCCTCCAGCAACGTCAGCAACTCCCCAACCAGACCCCCCCACCACCAACAATCCAGCGCCGTCGAACGATCCCACATCCGACGCTCCTGCGCCTTCAACTCCCGCAGCGACACCCACTACCGATGGCGGAAACAACAACAACAGTAATAACAACAACAACGACAATACTCAAACAAGCGCGGAAGGTACGAGTGCCACTGGGGGTGGTGGCAGCGTTGGTAATTCAGCAACCCCCACCCGGGAGGCGAGCTCTTCCGTAAGAACGACACCGATTGTCAGGACTACCCCACTCGTTTCGACCTCGTTTTCAGAGTACACCACGACTGTTACCTCAACCCTGGAGAATGGTCAAGTTACCACCGCGACCTCGACGGGCACTAGCACTTCCCTTACCACCACTGGTCAAGCCGTCGTTACAGACCCACCCACCGCACAGGCAGGCGACAGTGACAACGGCGGTGGCATCAGTGATTCCAACAAGAAGGTTATTGGAGGTGTTGTTGGTGGTGTAGGCGGTGCCCTCCTCCTCGGTGGCATCGCGCTCGTCTTCTGGCGCATGAAGAAGCGCCAAGCGCGCGTCCACGAAGACGACGACGACCTTATGGCCGGCACTGGCTCAGCCCTCGGTGACAAGCCCCAGAACGGTACTGGCTCATCACCCTTCCAGTCGAACCTCGAGCAGTACCACAACCCTGGAGGACGCCCCAATGCGGCTGCCAATTTCTAGGCGAAGCGCAGCCCGCAAACAGCACATAGGCCTGTTGCGAGGGTCCGTTACGATACCAACGATTATCTGCGGAATTTGTCTGAGCTAGACGCGATTTTGAGAGATGAGAGCAAAGTTGAGCTTGTACATACGGTGCAAACACGGCTGTAAGAGTCGGTCTTGATGGTGGTGCTTTTTTTATTACTAGATATGGCTTTGCATGAGTATGATGCATTGCAGGCGCTGATTCGCGATGTAGATTAGTGTATATCGTCGCATCGTGGTCAGTCTGTCAAAAGACTGCACACGTGTAAATTAGACGTATACCATCAGTTTAGGAAGAGGCATACGACCACTTTCGTCCGCTCTTTTCATCCTATCAGTGTCGTCGCACTTGCTTCGTTCACTTGTTTAGCCTGTTGTAATCGAGCCTGGCATGTATTTCTTGCCTTTCTTTGTTGTTTTAGCATAGTCATACCCCCCCATAGCGAATTCGATCAGATTGTCAAAATCATTTATCCATTACATCACTACTTTCATGCACTCCTTTATCCTCATACATGGTGTTCTTCTTCGCCCTCGCATGTATACGCGTGCGCATGTCATGCGTGTCCAGGGGTCTGGTCATGGTCGTGTTTCAGCACCGTCGCAGCAACCACCACGTTACCTCCCAAACAAGCTTTGTGACCGCTGGGCCCCAAACTCGTTTGGCATGAGAAATGCATGTTCGGCGCTTCGGAGATGGAGGGGTTTGGCTTTACTTAGGTGCGGTTGGCCCCGTAGAGTGCTTTGAGGCTGGGATTTGGTCTTTTACTCTCGGCTTTTTTGTGAGCACAGTGCGATATTTACACTCATTTGGTCGCGATTAGTTCTTTGTATATACAGGCAGTGCCGATATACTCTAATAGGATACCTGAGGGTTTTGGTATCGAGGAGATTTTACGCACGACATTATTCACGCCCGACAAATATTCAGCACCGACGTTTTCTATCACGTACGACAAATACATTCATTACCGACAAACATTCACGCCCAGCAAAATCTTCACACCCGGAAAACCATTCTATACCGGCAATCTTCTCTACTGACAGGGATCACGTCCGACACATCATCCTCGGCCATACGTCCCAACATACACCAACTAATCCACAGCCATGTTTCTCCCCACAGCCCTCCTTGCTCTAATTCACCTCGCACTCCCTGCCCTTTCTCACGCCTCACCGCAACCCGCTCTAGTCTCCTCAGACTGGGAGATGTCTCTAGTTCCCCGCCATCAACTCTTCTTACGTCAACTCTCCAACTTGCAGACCTTTGACGGCAATCTCGGTGGGACGCGTGCATCCGCCATCACAAATTCAGGAAACAAAGAACGCCCGTTTCAGGTCGATGGGGATACTTTTACCAGTTTTGATACTGCTGCACAGAGGAGTTGCGATAATCAGTTCCAAGGGTGTAGTGATACTGCGAACAAGAATGGAGGAGGTGGAAATAGGGAAAAGAAAGGGAAGAAGAGACAGGATGGTGGGGGTTTGAGTGTGAACGACTGTGATAAGCAGAAGAGTGAGTGACCCCTTTTCTTCTAGTGTTGGAACGTGTGAGGAAGTTGAGAGTGAAGGGTACCTAGGTAGCATGAATGGCTAACAATCTTGATAGACAAGTGCAATGATGCACAGAAGAATGCGCAAGTCAAAGATTTTAATAGTGCGGTTGCGAGTACGAATATCGGGCCCGATCCAGATTTTCCAGATTTTGATCTCATTTGTGAAGGCTAGTCGAGGGAAAGAAGTACGTGTTACCTTAGTGTGTAAACGGACAGAGTTTGGTGCTGGCTTTCGGGGGATGGAGGTTACGATGCATTAAGAGCATGTGTATAAGGAACACGATAACGATATATTAGCCCAAGAGGAATGATGCGCTTTCTCTTGACACAAATATTTGGATTTGAACTCGGAGTTCATGATCTCAGTGACTGTATCACGTGGGTACGCTCTACGCTAAGTCAAGACGTGTTTACCTTGACTTTTCTTCAACTCTCCACTCACGAACATTCTCCGCCAACATCACCTCGCAAAGTAAAGTCCTGAACTTTAAACGATGATCACAATACATTGAGTTGCCGCTAGCCATCTTGTATGGTTCTGTCAACAAGTCGCGGTTCACGATGCCTCGCACGCTTTTCACCCTCTTCTTTCGCGCCCAATCGAAAGAATCTCTTTCCGATAGCCACTTTACTCATTAGATTGCTGGAAGGTCGACAAAAAAGATCGTTAGCGTCAATGGCGCCCAAATCTCGCGCTGTAACAGCGAAGGCGCTTCAAACATTACTCGTACATATCGGTGCACCGTCATCAGGAACAAAAGCAGTACTTCAAGAGCGATTCCAACGCAATATGGGAAAACCTCGTCTTCCCGAGACTCAGTCAACATGGGAAATACCGGAATCCACAAGCAAGAAACTCCGCATCATGAGCATCGATATGGGAATTAAGAACCTGGCGTTCTGCGAGGCAGAGGTTTCTTATCCATCGAAGGATAGCTTAGATGCGATAATGAAGGTTTGGAGATGGGAGAGGATTGACCTTACTGAAGCCACACACGATGATAGTTACGAGCCACCAGAGACCAATACTACAGAGCAGGGCACGGCAGGTGATGACGAAGAGTCGGACCCGTATTCTGTTGGTGCTTTGTCTAAGACAGCGTATGTGTTGATTAAGAAAACGATCTTGGCAGGGTCACCGGACATCATCTTGATCGAAAAGCAGAGGTGGAGATCTGGCGGTGGCAGCGCGGTGCAACAGTGGACTCTCCGGGTCAACACCTTGGAAGGCATGCTGTGGGCGGTGCTGCAAACCATTCGTGCGGAACGGCTGAGCAAGGGAGGTGAAGCATCGAATACAGAGAAGCTTTACGATGTTTTCAGTGCCGATCCGAAACGCGTGGGACAATACTGGCTTTCTCGGGCGGCCGGGCGCCTTGCAGAAGCGGACAAGAAGGTTGGTATATTAACGGAGGACCTAGGAGCGGAAAGCGAAGAGAAAGAAGACGAACCAGCCACCAAGAAGAAGCCCAGCCGGACCAAAGCGGAGAAACAAGCCAAGATCGCTCTGCTCCGCTCATGGCTAACTGCAACGCCCGCCTCTACGGCATCTGTAACGCGTGATACGATACCAAGCATAACATTCAGTATCGCGCCAGGCGCCGAAGCTACCCGTAAAGCGCTGTGCTCGATATCAAAGCCAGAGCGATATAAGGAAAGCAAAGGAGCCCCAGCAGACAGACTTTCTACAAAGACTCAACTCAAGAAACTGGATGATATCACGGACTGTTTCTTGCAAGCTGCTGCATGGGTTAGCTGGGAGTCGAATCGCCTGCAGCTCCAGGAAGTATGGAAACGGAAGAGGGGTAGCGATGAAAGTATTGTAGGGCTGGAAGATGAGGTATTGGTAGAGATGATCCAGGAGATCGAGGGGCCTCGATAAACGCTTGTTACTTCGTGCCTCTGACTACATGCTCATGGCAGCTAGACAAAATATGAAAAGATGCAAATTAGGTGCACGATTCAAGCTGACGACGTCCCATTCACACGAGTATATTGCATCAGGGCAATAGATTTATAAAGCAGTAGCCAAAGCAGTTCTCTTGCAATTAAATCTCCTATGCAGAATGGTGGACTCTAAGCCACGACAGTGAGTTTTGGTTGTGCTCATGCCCGCCCCACAATGGTGTTGCTTCGGTACAGCGTGCCCGAATCAAACAAAGCGAACCACATCTGAACACCCCACTTCGCGCCTATGACGTGGCAGTCTTCACATGCAGGCATCACCATGCGTTGCCCTGGTATTGTCTGTTATATGTAATTTTACTGGCAATATAGTATAACTATTTTCTCATTTTTGCCAGAAGTCTCTATTTCCGCTTGACGGTCTCGGTGGCGCAATGGTAGCGCGTTGGACTTCTACTAACTGTATCCATGGTTAATCCAAAGGCTGCGGGTTCGAGCCCCGCCCGAGATGCTTTTTGCTCCTCTTTGCGTCCTGTCATCCATCTACACGTTAGTGGTGAGATGAGGTTGTGCAACAACCAACGAAGTGGGATGCTCGTGGATGAAGTTTGCTAGACGCGTTTTTTTTTGGCTTGGTAGGGAAGGGTGGAACATCAAAACCATGCCAGGTACAATAAACACTCTCCACGCTGGCTTTCACTGTGGATAATTCATTTGACATGGAATATAGGTTGTTGCTAGGATTGTTTATGCGCCGTGACACCAATAGCGCCATTTACATGCTCACTTTTGCGTATCCAAACTTGACGCACAAAACTTAATCAGTCAGCTCCGCACTCCGAGTGACCTCCTCCTTCATCTCCCTGCCCTTCCTGGCAAGAAGGTTTAGCGCGCTACCAGCAAGCACAAAGCCACACTGATCTTGCGACAGAGTGTGTTTGGTCTTGACAACCTTCTCGCTACCATCCTTCTTCTTGAGGACGAGCTCGACCTCGCCCTTACCGCCACTCCTCAGCACGTCGAGCAGTCCTCTTGTGGCAACCTGGTCGCACGCTTCAAAGGCATCGTAGTCAGCTTCGTTGGCGAAAGTCAGAGGGACGATACCCTGCTTCTTGAGGTTGGTCTCGTGGATACGGGCGAAGGACTTCGCAAGGATAACACGGCCACCGAGGTATCGGGGTTGCAGGGCGGCGTGTTCACGGGCGGAGCCTTCGCCGTAGTTGTGCTCTGCTACAACGAGCCATTCAATGCCCTGGTCGCGCCACCTCTTTGCTAATTCTGGGATACCTGATGTCTTGCCGTCGAAGTCGTAGGCGACGTTGACCTCATCAGTTTGTGCGTTGACTGCGCCGATGAGTGTGTTTTCCGAGATGTTGGGCAGGTGACCCTTATACTTGAGCCACGGGCCAGCAGCCGAGATGGTGTCTGTTGTACATTGTCCCTTGACCTTGTAGAGTACTCGAAGGCTTGTAAAATCAGAGTCGGGGAATGCTGGGAATGGGTCAAGAAGCGCTAGACGGCTGGAGGTGGGCGAGACGATAACATCGACGCTGGGGTCTGGAACACCTGGTGTGGGCATGAAGTCTGGGTTACCGTCTGCGAAACCAGCAGAAGGGAGGTCGGAGCCCTTTGGTGGCGCAAACTTGAAAGGCTTGCCATCTGGTGTCGGTATGCTGTCAGTCATTGGGTTAAAGGTCGTGGAGCCAGAGTAGGACATAGCGGTGATGAGTTCAGGAGAAGCGAGGAAGTTCATCGTAGCTCGGTTGCCATCGTTGCGGCCAGGGAAGTTACGGTTGTAGGATGTTAGGATAGCGTTGGATTCGCCCTTCTTTACGTCGTCGGTACGCTTCCATTGTCCAATGCAAGGACGTTGAGGCTGTTAGTACTTTGAATCAGTTCAGTGTATGCTGGAGAACTCACCCGCAGGCGTTCGCCAGAACAGTACCTCCTGCTTCAGTAAACGTTTGAAGGGTTTCATCCCGTTCCAACGTTGCTCGGATCTGTTCACTGCCTGGTGTAATGAAGAAGTCCGCCTTGGGTTTCAGACCCGCTGCCAATGCCTGCTTCACAATCTCTTCTGATCGGGTCATGTCCTGGTATGAGCTGTTTGTGCAGCTACCAATAAGACCTGCGCCGAAGGTTTGTGGCCATCCCTTCTCTTCAACTACAGACTTGAACTTGGACAGAGGTGTTGATAGATCGGGGGTAAATGGTCCGTTGATGTGCGGTTCAAGTTCTGAGAGGTTGATCTCAATGACCTTGTCGTAAGCGGCTTCCGCGTCGGGACGGAGTAGGTTCTGCTGCATTGGTGCACTGGCGATCTTTTGAGCGGCTTCAGCGATCGGTCCTCGGTGTGTGGCTTGGAGATAGGGGATGTGTGCGGGAGAGAAGGGGAAGAGGGAGGTAGTTGCGCCAACTTCAGCACCCATATTGCTACAACGTGTCAGCGCTTAGACATGCGCGTTGGGTTCATACGGGTGTCTTACCAGATAGTCGCCATACCTGTGCAGCTCAAAGACTGCACACCAGGACCAAAGTATTCAATAATGAAACCAGTGCCACCCTGTCCATATGTTAGTCTGGAGCATCTTGCGATGCAGAAAATCACATACCCGGACGGTCAACTGGCCAGCTAATTTCAAAATCACGTCCTTTGGTGAAGCCCAGCCGCTGAGTTCTCCGGTAAGCTTCACACCTAGAATTTTGGGTGCCTTGAGCTCCCATGGCGCATCTACGAGAGCATCCACCGCATCCGCACCACCAACACCGATTGTGATTGATCCCAGACCTCCAGCATTCGGGGAGTGACTGTCTGTGCCCAAGATCATCAGGCCTGGAGCACTGTAGTTCTCCAGAACCGACTGATGAATAATACCAGCGCCTGGCGGCCAGAACTCAATTCCGTATTTCTTCGCTGCCGACTCGAGGAAATCGAAGACCTCCTTGTTGCCCGCTATGGATTGTGGAAGGTCAGTATCGGCACCTTTTTCTCCCTGAAAGAACTTATCAGCATAATATTCATAGTATAGCCTGGATGGCGTCAAGGATACTACAAACCACAATCATATGGTCGCCTTGTATATATATAGTCAGTAACTGGCTCGATTGCATTCCGCTCGTGAGGGTAACTCACAGTGTATGCTAGCAGGCACCGCTGTGCTCGGCAACCCACAGCTCATGAACTGCAACAAAGCCATCTGAGCACTAGCATCCTGCATAGCCACGCGATCGGGCTTCAACTTCAAGTTCGCCTGGCCTCTAATATCTCTTCCACCGTTTGTGTTGTTCATAAGCGACTCCTCTGGGCTCTCAAGATGCGAGTAGAGAATCTTCTCGGCCAAAGTCAATTGTCGTGAAGAGCCTAGTACGCGCCGTACTTCTTCGAGACGGGAGAGCAGTTTAGCGTAGGGTGGGGTGCGGGAGGCGAGGTCGACATTGCGGGCGGTAGGCGGATCGTGGCTGGTGGCTAGACACCTTCGAGTTTGTAAAGAGGATTGACGAAGAGAGGAGAGTAGATGAGGCTTGTGAAGTCAGTCAGCGTTCTGTGTCACTTGTACGTCGAGTGAAGAAATGCGATGACGATGACTGCGAAAGTCGCATGAGGTTCTGAAGGCAATTTGAATTGCCAATTGCATGTAAGGACACTCACCCTGCAGTTGGCAGCTTGGCCGGCACGAAGTAGTTGCGACCGCATCTTGTAGGTTGTCTGTGGCGTCGACACGGTGCGAGAAAGTCAGAGGCGCAATGTACAAATTATCAAAATACCCCGAGCGACTATTCCGAGCGACTTCGCTCCGCGGCATACCAAAACTAGGGTCAACGCACGCGAGCCTGGTACTGGCGTGGAGAACCCCTGCTACTTTAACCCAATCACGGCATACGTCAAAGTCATCACCAAAGACCTTAATACAATAATACGATACGCTTAGAGGCCGAACCACTAGACGATTGTATGTGAAAGCAATGGCATTGGTATCCTAACTAAAGTGCTAACTCCAGATCGGTAGACTATTACCGTTCCCAAAGCGGTGCTCCGTACGTGGGACTAAACAATGACGAAGCTAAACGCGCCGAAGCGACAGAGGAACACTTGCAACCAAATCCACCACACTGTGAGTCAATACGCGAAGGCAAATCGAACTAGGTTCAATCAATCAAGTCAAGTTGAAAGGCTGTCGTAAGCGCGAGATTATAGTCGTTGCTCCACACTTACAAGCCAGGGGGTGGGGGAACCGCTCCATAGTTGGAAGGCGACGCAGCTGGTGGAGGTGGTGGCGGAGGAGCACCATAGCCAGAAGAGGGTTCTGAAGGCGGCGGTGGAGGTGGTGCAGCCGCGCCAGCACCAGGAGCAGGAGACTGTATCTGTCCATATCCGGTCTGAGCACCAGTCTGAGCGTAGTACGCAGCGTACTGCTGCTGCTGGAGTGCGAGATACGCCGCATATCCACCGTACGCAGCATAAGGGTCAGACTCTGGATTTTGCTGGTAGTAAGCAATCCATGCTTGTGCGGCATTCGCGTCAAAGGCTTGTTGGTTGGCATCAGCAGTCGGCGTCGCAGCAGCAGCAGGAGACATGAGGGTCTCCTGTGCGCCATAACCGTTGTGACCGCCCTGTCCGCCCTGGCCGCCGTAGCCTCCACCGCCATAACCACCGCCTCCACCGCCTCCTCCACCGTATCCGTAGCTCTGGCTGCGATCACGGTCACCGCGGTCGCCACGGTCGCCACGGTCGCCGTATCCGGGTCGCCCACCACCATAGCCATCTCGGTCGCCGTAACGATTCGGCGGTGGACGCTCTTTGTACGCGTGGTAATCCGATTTTACCTTCTCGAGGAGCTCTTCGCAAAGCTGCTTGGCTTGGGCTACACCTTCAGGACGGGGTCCACTAAAATCCATCAGTAATAGGAACAAGGGAACGGTAGGGGTATACGAACGCGATGTGAAGGTACATAGGCTCGTCGCTCTCCTGTCCGCTGTTTGGCTCCATGAAACCAGAACCGCGACCTTTAATTTGGACCTTGCAGCTTGTCTCTTGTTGGATGAACTTGACGTTATCGCCACCGCGACCGACAACCTGTGCGCGCAAGTTAAAGCCGCTAATAGGTTCAAGACCGACAGAGATCTTCTCTTCGGGCCACTTGCGCTGGGAACAGTTAGCAACATGTTTGCAGATATGGAGAGGATAACGTACTCGACCAAATTCGTCGCGCTCAAAGTTCTCAGGCTCCCTACGGCGGAAGCGACGTTCGTCTACCAGGTTAGGAAGGTCTTCCTTCATCATCTCCTCGATCATTTCTACAGCCTTGTCCAAGCCTTCCTTGGAGGTGCTAGTGATACGGAGATATAGCGGAGGGTTCTGTTGTGAAATTAGCCTTGTCAAGGAGATGCTGACATGCCCACCTACAGTAGCAGTTGCCATGTTCTTGTCGGGGTAGTATTCTCCTCGAGTAGTGACATCTTGCATGTATAAGCAGGTATTCTAAAGGGTTAATAATTGTAATCGGGTAATGCGTACCGGCGCCAGTCTCGTCTTTGATCTATATGGCACATGGAGGTTAGCATTTGATAAATGGGTGGGGTGCTAGAAGATCAAGTAAGCTCTGACTCTCATGGAGAGATGCGCAAACAGGGACCAACTTCAGCCCCGCAGCGCCGTCACGAGAAGTGCAGCGCTGCAGAGCATGAAGAAGGCATGATCCTAAACGATCAGTGGACAGCAAAAACAGTTATTTACCCTCTTTTGTGTAGCTCCTTTAGTCAGTGTGTAGCGATTACGGAGATCATTGATCTCAATGTCTTTGATGTAGTCACCATCCTGCTGGTACGTCTCGTTGTTTGTGGCCGCGGCGGAGTTTGAGGCAGGCGACTTGGCAACTGGAGGAGTAGCGGCCTGGGGGTCGTTAGTATTTGTCGTCGAGGAATACGCGTAGAGCAGACGTACAGAGCGAATAGGTGGCACGTCGACATGCTGAATGCCCTTCTTCGCCTGAATCTGCGCATTGATCCTCGCAGCCGCAGCCGCCGCCCTCGCAGCAGCGTCGTTCTTGAAGTTGGATGACGCAGGGCTGTCTGTGCCTTCACGGGCGATGGGGCTACGAGCGCGATGCGACTCAGACTCCCTTCGCGACGGCGACCGAGAGCGACGATCTGTATCGAAGCGCGAACGTACAGGGCGCTCAGTATCGTCGCTATCGAAGCGCGATCGGGGACGGCGTTCTTCAGACATGTTGTGTGTTCTCCTAGTGATAGTCGAAGTCTTGCGGCGGAGTTGAGGCTCGAGCTGGTGTTGGAGATGAATCTTAGGCTTGGGCAGGAGCGACTCTCGCTTATTAGCGTGCCGCGGCTGAACCTGCCTGTTCGCGGCTACTCCGACAATCGGCCGGGGATTCTATTTCACTTTCTGGGGCTGCCACTTCAACTTGGACAGTCACACCCAGTAGTCATTAATCGCCTTCACCGTGACCACCTGTCCGTAATGGCTTCTTGGCGAGCAATGCTGCCTCTGCGCAGTTTGCTCAACAGGCAATGCGCCGGCTCCCTCCGCCAGCAACAGAGAGCATCCAGCTCTTCCTCCACCCAGGCTCTGGCTTACAAGGCCCTTCACCGTCGCATCGCACCTCTTCCCACCGAAGATCGTCCTCCTGCTTGGTCAGCACCGGCTGCCGTCAGCAACATCCTCTACGAAACTCCGCTCCCATCCCAAGCTCCACCCAAGAGCCACATCCTCAACTGCTTGGTACAAAATGAGCCCGGTGTGCTCTCCCGTGTCTCGGGTATCTTGGCTGCTCGAGGCTTCAACATCGATAGTTTGGTTGTCTGCAACACCGAGGTGGACGACCTCTCCCGAATGACAATTGTGTTGCAAGGACAAGATGGTGTCGTAGAGCAAGCCCGCCGCCAGCTCGAGGACTTGGTCCCTGTATGGGCTGTGCTTGACTACACCCAATCGCCTCTCGTTCAGCGCGAATTGCTCCTGGCCAAGGTCTCGATTCTTGGGCCGGAATACTTCGAAGAGCTGCTTGCTCACCACCGCGAGATGGCTCAAGCGCCTGAGCTCGAGGAGACGTACGAACCAGACATGTCAGATGAGGAACGCAACGCAATGGCACACGAGGCTGCTCGTGAGTCTTTGAGGAAAGACTACCACCCGACAAACCTGCCCGTTAGTCAGGCACTCCGACACAAGCACGAGCACTTGCGCGCCATTACCTTCATGACTCATCAGTTCGGTGGAAAGGTGCTCGACATTAGCACAAACAACTGCATAGTAGAGGTTTCAGCAAAGCCCACAAGGATTGATTCCTTTATGAAGCTGATTTCTCCCTTTGGAATCTTGGAATCTGCAAGGACTGGTAAGTAATTTTATTTTTATTTTTTAGACATTGTTCCACAGCAGGTTTGCTAATCAAGTACAGGTCTCATGGCTCTGCCTCGTTCACCGCTCCACAACAGTGCTGAGGTCGAGGAGATGGAAGCGCAAGACGTTGTCGACAACAGCCTGCTTCCACCAGGTTAAACATCTTGAAACGAGGGCGGTACCAAGTTTGTTCAGTGTCAACATATGCGGGCGTTTAATCTACGTGTATAGTATGGCGTTCAAAGAAAGCGAAACATGGCATTCCAAGCCAAAGCGCTTCATCCGTTTGAGACCAATCACAATTCTCTTCGATTTGATCTGAGATGTATTACGAGTGATGTATACATGTGTGCATCATCTACTCCGATTCCTACCCCAAAACAAGCCTAGTCACTGTGCGTGTGGTCGGAGTATATTGTGGCATCTGACCAGTACTGAAGCGCGAGCCGACAAAGCTTGTGGAAGGAAGCAATTGTTGGGATGAAGCTAGTGATGTCTATTTCATACCATTGTATACATTGCCCAGCCGGGTCATACTTAGGTAAATATCGGACCGGCGCATTTGCACATCGGACCGACCCCATCAACTACTACAGTACCACCAAAAGTACATGAACCTTCATCTGCATCACCACCCGGAAAATCTGTTCAGTAACCTACTTTACGGTCCTACGTCTCCGTTTTCATTAGCCACTCCGTAAATATGTCGCATATTCCTGTTCCCGCCGGCCTCCAAGAAGACTCATTAGAGCACACAATCGAAATTCTCGCTAAGCAATTCAACGACGATGCATTTCAACGCTATATTCTTCTGGACGAACTGCAAGGATCAGGCAAGACAGACATAGGAGAAGAGTTGAATAAGGAGGTCTTTGCGTTTATAGTGCCTGATTTTTTAAAAGGCGGAGCGAGGATGATGACGGTTCCTGGGAGTGGTGTAGCTAGTGTTTGGTAAGTACCTAGGTATACCTACACCACAGTGAGATGCTCTCTTCCTGAAAAACTAGGCTTTGGGTATTTTTCTATCTCAAGCCTTCGGTTTACTGATGATAACTCAGGCAGTTAGAAGAAGTCACAGAAACATACACACCAGAACCGCACAATCCACCTGCTGTAACCGAACTGAATTCTCTCGCCCACCATGCAAGGAAGCGCGCTCTACCACCTCAAGCAACTCATATGCTGCATCTTGTTCTCTTAGCGAACGATCGCAGTCATCCTTCCGCTATAATGCCAGCCAAAGTGAGCGACCTCATTCGTCCGGTACTTGAGATGGCAAAGGAAAAAGGCTGGCCTGTAGTTCTGGAATCCACGTCACCCAGGAGTAGGGATGTGTATGCGCATTTGGGATTCGAAACGTTGGAGGAGATTACGGTGGGGAGGGGCAAGGCTGATGGGGACGGAAGAGGGAAGGATGGCGGTGAAGGGGTTTTGTTGTGGGCTATGATGAAGTGTTGATGGGTGGCTGTATGTTTCTAAACTTATTCGGCATGTGTTGCACTGATTCTATGTCTATACTTCGTACCATCTGAATATCGATCGGACGGCCACAGAGGTGTTATTGCATCAGGCGTCTTCCTTGATGCAACCAGCAATTGGAATTGTATCAAAGCATAGGCTTCTATACCAGTATTAGTGGTATAATTGAGTGATAGCCCAGTTATCTCTCCACTCACACAAACAACACCCAACCGGATGATAGTCGACGAGTCCTTCATGTAGAGCAAGCAAGCAAGCGAAGCGCCTGCCCCACAAACCTCAATCTTGAGTCAAAATCGAAGAATCTACTAACTTGCCACCGGCAGTGTTACATCTCAGCTTGCCAAAATCACTCAGACTTGCATGCTACGTTCGGGCATCGAAAACCACACCGATCACCCACGTGGGTAACACACGCATCGCGAGTGGCAGAAAGCCTACCTGGTGTTCCCACTGCCTGGGCCTGGAGCGCTAGCGCTATGTCATAGGGGCGATTTAGTGAATCCTACATATGCAGCACCCTTGTTCGTCATAATGGGACCGATATAGGCAGGTGAGCACACGACCTCTCACGATGTCATTATGCAGGGCTTTTACATGAGAGACGTGCATGCAGACATTGAGATAAGCAATGCCAATGTGACTTCCAAGTGCCGTAACCCGTGGAACTCGGCTATGCATATTGATCCTCTGATGGAGTAAGAGGAGAGCTTGTCGGAGGTACATTGAACATCGTACATGCGTACAATTCGACATGTGCGACATGGATTGCGTTGATTCTCATTGCGAGTGATTTGGAAATATAGGATTAGCGAGAAGATACTAGCGGATCCCTCCATCCTACGTCCTGCATCTATCATGCTTGACTCACTGGTCTGCGTCGTTTAGAAAGTCCAGAGTCGTGTGGCTCCACGGAGTCGCTCAATTCGAACAGCGCTACCGCGGCTCCACGGCTTGCGGGCCATGGGCTGTGGACATGAAGAAAGATCCACTTCGGCCATGGGTCAAAGTCCCTGCGACGGGTGGCCGGCGGCCGTAGGTGCTATCGTGTGGAGACTGAGTATCTCTCGCTATTGTATATCAACTATTAGGTTGGGGTCGAGACTTCGGTGTAACTGTGCCGAGAAAATTGATGTGTGTAATACGCCTGCATCATGCAAAAGATCCTGAGTTAATGTTCTGTGGTCAGTATCATATAAATTGTATCCTTGTCTTCGGGTGGAAAGTTGCTCCCACTACCCGCCCCACGCAAGTGGATATGTTCGTTATGCTGCACGTCCATCATACACGCTTCTGTTCTCCAATTTTCTCCAGATACTTTTCTCAACCAATCGGTAAAGAGCAGTGACATTTTGACATCCGTCCTTCTGGCAACACTTCCTGCTATTTGGGGATCTAGACTGACTGCAGTTGGACGCCACATTTGAGGCTTCGTTTCGCTATACGGGCGCTGTTACGATCGCGCCATGACACGATTGCCGCCCTGTACTCCAGATCACAATGCTTCCCCGCCACACTGCGAACATCCTTTGGCCAATGTCGAGTCGTTCTCTGCCGTGCGGGAAGTGTACATGCTTCCTGTTATGGAGACATGGAACGATGAATATGCCTGGCTACCAGTAGTGGTCGACCCTACCCGTTGAAGCTGTGCTTTAGGCGTCCAAGCAAAAAACCTCACGATACCGAGGCTGGATGTTTTCAGTAAGCACGTAGTTCCCTCTTCGTCATACGGTGTTTGAATATAGAGTGGAGTCCCATGGATGGCATCTCGGATACCCTGGAAAGTGGATCACGATCAACGCACGTACGTCCAATACAAGGGTGACGCCGGAGAACATGCAGGTTCTAGCGTGAATCGCTGCCATGTCTCTGTTATCGAACACATGCTAACAATCGGGCATCACCCCCCAAAAGATACTTACTTGGGTACTTCCTTCGGCCAGCGCCATGTCGCTCTGCCTCCTTCGCCTCGCATTTTCGCGTTTATCTTACATATAAATTTCCATATATCCCGGTTAGCACCGCATTGTACCTAGGTAAGCCCCAAGATCTTGGCACGACTACGGCGCCATTCCGCTACCATTGTCGCAATCGAATTGAGAGAAACGGCACGCAGTCCGTGGCGCAATGTCTCGGCATTTCGACGGTCTAACGGCTGAAACGTGCGGTTGAAGGCTCATATATTTCACCTTATCTAACGGCACCTAGGTGAACAGACCCACCCACTCGCTTCCTGGTGACGCAACACGACAAAGCCTAACCATTGAACCTCCTTCAACCGTCCTCACTGCTCAATTTGTTGGCATGAAGTACGGCGACACTCTGCGACAGAGGTCTATACCAGAATGGGGCCATTGTGAGTACCACGGCTCCGTCCTACGACGCGCCACGGAGAGCCCTCCGCTGACACATGTGCGCCCACAGATAACATCGACTACGACTACCTTAAAGACCTCATCAAGCACCAGACGACGCCCGGCACGAACAAGGCCGTATCGATCCCAGGCCAGGGCGAGAGCACCGAGCGCGCATTCGGAGACACCTTCTTCCATGTCTTGTCGCAACAACACGATCGCATCAACCTCTTTGTTAGGAGCAAGAGCGGCGAGATCGAGCGGAGGCTGGAGCATATCAGCAGGACCCTAGACCAGCTGCGCACAAGACGTGATCCGGCGAGCGGGCGTCTTCCTGCGCGGACTGTAGAGAGATATGCGAAGATTGATGCAGATGTCGCAAGGTACGCAGGTCGCGTCGGAACACGCGACGGGAGAACTCTCGCTAACACAATCGCAGGACCGGAGAGGAGATCAGGTCGCTCTCTCGATTCCAGGTGACCCAGCGAACAGGCTTCATCAAAATACTCAAAAAGTACAAGCGTTGGACAAAGGACAGGGAGCTCAGTTATGTTTTTAAGCAGGAGATTAGCGGTCGGCCGGATAGTCTGTTCCAGCTTGATCTGGGCTACCTCTTGGATCAATATATCGACGTGCTCGACGCACTCCGCTCCGCTTTTGATGCGGATGGTACCTCCACATCCAACGCTGAGAACGCCAATGGCCAGTCGTCGGCTGCTCGCATATCTAGAATCCTTGAGAAGGGTGACGACCTAGATTTTGACCTGGCACTGAACACCGTACCTCTGGGGTCCAAGGGCAACAAAGCAACGTATTGGATACATCCGGACCACATCGTTGAGGCACAGGTCCTGTTGCTCCAACATATGCGTCTATACATTAGCAATGCGAGACAGAGAGGATCTGTTAGAGGAACGCCTATCCGCCGCCATTCCTCTACAACTAATCTTGACCCGTACTTCGGCAACGAAGATACAACTGGGCTCGTTGTCTTGGACCACGCAGAAGCTTTCGCGTTCAAGCAAAACGCAAGCACAATTGGATCGACAGAAGAATTGCAAGGGAGCATCAGCATTAAGGCGGCTGGCCAAATACGGTGTTGCGCTACTGGCGAAGCTGCAGTCGTTATATGCACAGAGGCAGACTCACAAGGACAGTCTCCAGCTGCTATCAAGACAACAAAGATGGACCGCAAACGTTTGCCAGCCTTTTTGGACACTTCTGTAAAAGAAGACACCATGAAGCACTCTGGGAGCTCGGACGGATCAGCCAAAGATGATGCATCGGCGGTTCGACAATGGCTTGTTGAGCACCAATCTATGAAACCCATCGCTGGTGCCGTCTCCAAACGTACACGATTTACTGGACTGCACAACAACTCAACAGGAGGCACATGGGCGACGCTAGATAAAGATGTTTGCCTGAAGGGCTCGTTGTACAAAGATCTGGCAGATGATGATTGGACTTCAGCAGCTCGAGGAGAATCAACAAAGAAGTTTCCTCATGCTATTCTAGAGATCCGACGTGAAGGCAACCAGGCAATGGCGCTTATCCAGACGCTTGATCGGAGCCATTTGGTAGGTTGTTTGCAAAATCTCACACGATCCGTGCACTAACAATTGTAGGTTGAACGCGTTCGAGGATTCTCATTAGAAGCACATGCTGTGTGGACTTGCTGCAAGCCCAGTGCCATGTCCGCCCCTTTCTGGATCTCCCTTCTCGAAAAGGATATCCGAAAGCTGCCAGAGCCAGTGAAGAAACGGAGCCGTAGAGCGCGAGGCAGCATGACTGGCTCCCAAGTTCAACTATCGCCTCCAGCAACTTCGACATCCAACACCTCGTATGATGGTCAATCCAGCCCGCTTGCCTCTCGTTACGAGGAATCTTCTGCAACATCGGTACACGAGTTTGTTGACCCGCCGCCATTACAGGCCTTCAGAAAGAAGAGTCGGAGACCGTTTTCTGACTATCCTCCACCGATGAACCGGGACGAACCAGAACCAGAAGTACAGCAGAGGTATTGGAACGAATATGATCACCCAGAAGATGAAGAGACTGGCTATTACATCTACGTCGACCCCGATGCGCCTATCAAGTATCCTGGCCAAGACTTCGTCGAGGCGTTGACGAAGAAGACGAAGAAACTTTTCGGAATGACCGACAAAGCTGACCAGGCATCGCTTTCCACCGCCGAGGACTCAGATGATGACGATGATACGGTCGACTCATCCCCCATAATACGTGCCGCAAACTATGGAACAATAGACTCCCACAGCCAGTCAGCAAGTCGAACCGGCTACTTCAGCACACTCTTCCGTTCCCTCCGCGATCCCCGACATGACGCTGATTTGCTTCATGAGCGTCGCACACTGCTCAGCCAGGTAGAGACTCATCAACACAAGATCGAAATGACAAAACTGCGTTTCTACTCTACCGCACTGGGCGCAGCTGTTGTCATAGACCTCATCTTGGGCCTTATGACAATGACGAGTCGGAAAAAGGAACGAGGCGTTGTCGATGCTGCAGTCTTGCTAGGTACTATTTGTACACTGATGCTTTGCGTCGTCGCGGTCATTAGCATGCGGACACGCCAGGACCGTGTGGGTTTGGTTCACCAGGGAGCTGTTTTGAGTATCTCTGCTGCTATTGTGGCGCTGGATGTTTTGTTACTGTTATGGGTATTGCGGATATGAAGAAATGTTTTTTCTTCTTTTAATGTGAGTTGTTGCATTTGGGCAGCTAGGTGTCTAGGTGTTTGGGATAGGGCGGTCCATATGTACTATAGTGTTACTGGCGATGAATTGAGGATGAAAAATTCATTAATTTCCATTGTGTTGTGTATAGAATCAAGATATACCCCAGAAATACATACTTAAGGCATCCGCTAGGTTTCACTTTCAGCGTGTGAACAACGATGAGATTACATCGTGTGTAAGGTGAGTGTTAAGATCAACTCAATCAGGATAGTTTTCTCTGTATGCTCGTGAGTCTCGCAACCTATTAGCTGCCTCTACCTATTTATTATTTTATCCTCCTCATCAATTCGATTTTGTGATCATATAGGAGTAGGGTACGACGTCTGCCTTGCTTCTTAATCACTCGCGGCGGCGATGTCGGAAAGGAGCTTCTTACTAAGTCAGCCCCCTTCCTGCACGTATTAAGCACCATTGCCTGACCTCTTCTGCATCTTAGCAGAGTTGTCTTCAGTGGATGCGTCCTCGTCGTTTCCACAAGGTTATTCTTTCTCATCGCTAGTAGGCTCCCATCCATTGTTGCTAATAGGCTCTAAACCGTCTTAGCTAAACGAAGCATCCTCTTCATTGCCAATGCGCTCCCATTCATCTGGATTCAAAAAGAGGGTTTTATTCTTTGCTCACAATCGTTTCCGCCCTGGTGTTGTCATGACCATCGGTACACATGTTCGACATGACCTTAAAGCGAGTCAGGAGAGTGAGAATACATATATACTTACAATTATCCGAGTAGCCGAGTAGAAGATGAAAGCCAGCTTGGTGCCATTTACCCAAAGATGGACCAGCAAGTAGGTTCCGACATATGATGTAGGCCTCGTCATCTTTGCCAGGTCTCCGAAGGTCCCATGCACTCAGGAGCTCGATCTCGTACATTTGGGCTGCAGGGCTAAGGGCAGGTGGGTCCGTAGCATACTAGTACTGTGCTTGCGAGCTAGCGGTGTGGGGTGTATCTAGGTATTCTAACGATCTGCAAGTCTTGACAGACCTATCGCATTGCGAATTGGATATTTTGTTTATAGTCTGTGACACCTCCGTGTGGTGTTTATTGCGCTTGAAGTTAGGTAGTCGCGCCTGATGCAAATGGATCCTGGATTGGTGTGACCGTACAGCTTGATTGCACCTCACAGAGCCTCTCTCGCTTAGATGCCCAATCACTCGGGTATGCAAAACGCCCAACTTGACGCGTGCGATGAATTGCCAAACAAATATCTCCGAGGCCAGAAAAAGGCAATATATAGGGCACTTCCCAGTGAAACTGTCGACCGCGATAAGAAGATGCGCCTTGAGCAGAAGTACACAAAGCTTCCAGATCTGTATGTCGCTCTCAATACGCATGATTCTCTCAGCCTCTTCCTTGGCCACTACTACCATGGGTTACAAATATCTCCTAGACGGTCAAGCGACGTGCACAGCATCGGACATGACGCTCCAAGGATCATGCCAATCTCAGTTCTGAGCCTCAAATGGTCAGCTTTCCCAAGTCACGCTTTTCGCAATAACCGTGCAACACTTTACGACAAGTTGTCGGGGGAAAAGATCTCTCAAGGCATTCTATGATATCAGTCTTGCGCCAGAGGATATTGGTTGGGTCTTGAATGACCTTGTTCGAGCAACATAACAACGCCGAGAGTGTAGGTGGAACATGTCTCCACAAACCTACAAGATGCTGCAAATATACTGTGTAGGTCACACCGACAACTTCAGAGAAGTAGCACAGCCGACAAAGCAGCTGTACTCTGAATGCGCTGTCGGGTGTGGAAAGAGATAAGGCGTCCAGGAGAAGATCGTCGACGCGAGATTCAACAAGAATCATTGCCATCGAAACATATCAAGCTTGTCCCCACATGGCATGAGATCATCATGAGGCTCTGCTGGTCCACTCTTCCCGTGGGGGTAACGCATCCGGTTAGGTACCCCACCTAAATGGCAATGGAGTCGGAAGAGAAGAGCCGCCATATCGACACTGAGCTCTTGTCTCTGAGGTTTGAGACATGCGCGGCCGTGAAAGTAAGCTGTCAGCCCACGTGCAGGTCTTTGAACATGTATAGGCATCATCTCGCTGCTTCATTTCGGCGTGTTGGGCGGCATGGACGTGGAATCGGGCTGGTTTGTCCCGTGCCGAACCCCCGGTCAAAGCCAAACGCTCGAACAGCACTTGTCTCGGCGAACCCACTACGCTTTCGTCATCTGTCTGATGGGCTTCAGACTTTTCTCAACATCTGTCCTGAACCTACGGAATAATTCAAGAGCGCCATGCTCCCTGTACAATTGTAAACCATTTTCGAGGTGAGCACTATTCCAGGCGCATTCTCTACGCCCTATCTCCGGCCCACGGCCGCGCCTCTAACAAATTCGTAGGCTTGAGCCTCAGCAGACCTTTGTAGCACTTTCTCGACATCTTTGTACATAATACGAACACCGCCTGGAGCGATTGTACCTCCAGAGACTTATACCCATCTCTAAAGCATCATGGCTGCCCGACGAGGAAGCCGCTTCATCAAGCCGCTGCTCTATACAGCTGGTGCTGGAGCAGTCGGTACCGCCGCCCTCTACGTTACCCTACGACCTCGCGATATCCCCGGCTCGGAAGCCGCCGCAGTCCCGCCGCCCACATATGGCGAGGGAGGTGTCTTCCGACCACCACAATTCCCTTCTGCCAAGAGCCGCGAAGAGCAGATTGCACAATTGAAGCGCAGCGCAGGTGTTGTGTCGCAAGTTGCAGAGAAGGCAAAGAAGTGGCTTGGTGGCGGCTCTACACCATCCGAAAAGGCTGAAGAAGAGCCATATGACTTGTTGGTCATTGGTGGTGGCGCAACCGGAGCCGGTATCGCGCTAGACGCTGTTACAAGAGGTCTCAAGGTTGCGCTCGTCGAACGCGACGACTTCAGCAGTGGTACTAGCAGTAAGAGCACAAAGCTCGTACACGGTGGTGTACGATACCTAGAAAAGGCCGTCTGGAATCTGGACTACAACCAGTGAGTTTCCTAGGGATTTTGTTCATGCAACCTCTAACTTGAGTTACAGATATGCTCTCGTCGTTGAAGCTCTACGCGAGCGTCGTTACTTCTTGGATACCGCTCCTCATCTGTCTCAGTGGCTCCCGATCATGATTCCTCTTCAGAAATGGTGGCAAGCGCCCTACTTCTGGGCTGGTACCAAGTTTTATGATTTCCTTGCCGGCTCAGAGAACATTGAGAGCTCATACTACATGACCAAGAGCAAGGCTCTGGATGCATTCCCCATGTTGAAGAAGGAAGGCCTTGTCGGAGCCCTGGTCTACTACGGTAAGCTTAGGAGTAACTCATTCTGCAACAGGAACTGACTCCATTAGATGGTGCACACAACGATTCTCGCATGAACGTTTCGCTTGCCATGACTGCTGCGCTATACGGCGCAACTGTGGTCAACCATCTTGAGGTCACCAGCCTCGAGAAGGATGCCAACGGTCGTCTATGCGGAGCAAAGGCCAAGGATTGCATTGCTGAGAGCGACGGCAAGAAGGCTGAAGAGTTCTCGATCAAGGCCAAGGGTATTATCAACGCTACCGGTCCCTTCACCGACTCCATCCGCAAGATGGACGACCAAGCCGTGGCCGAAATCGTCGCCCCTAGCTCCGGTGTTCACGTCATTCTCCCTGGTTACTACAGCCCTGCAAACATGGGCCTCATCGATCCCAACACTTCTGATGGCCGTGTAATCTTCTTCCTGCCATGGCAGGGCAACACCATCGCCGGTACAACAGACACTGCTTGTGATATCAAGAGAGATCCTGTTGCTGGTGAGGAGGAGATTGACTGGATTCTCAAGGAGGTTAAGCGCTATCTGCAGCCGGAGATCAATGTTCGCCGCGGTGATGTGCTCGCTGCTTGGTCTGGAATTCGTCCCCTTGTCCGCGACCCCAACGCGAGCGCGACCGAGGGTCTTGTCCGCAATCACTTGGTCACCACCTCTCCTTCTGGTCTGATGACTTGCTCAGGTGGCAAGTGGACTACCTACCGCCAGATGGCCGAAGAGACCGTCGACGAGGCTATCAAGGAGTACGGCTTGAAGACTCAGCCGCTCGTGAACCCCACTCTCATTAGCGGAACTGAGGTCAAGGATGAAGCTCCTCTTGACGGCACCTGCCAAACCCACCGCGTTCGACTTGTCGGTGCACATGGCTTCTCCAAGACCCTCTTCATCAACCTCATTCAGCATTACGGCATCGAAACTGACGTAGCCAAATACCTCTGCGAGGCATATGGTGACCGTGCGTGGACCGTCGCAGCTCTTGCATCGCCCACTGAGCAGCGCTTCCCTGTCCGTGGCATCAAGATGTCTGAGCTCTACCCATACATCGACGGTGAGGTCCGCTACTGCGTCCGCCACGAGTACGCCCAAACTGCCACCGACGTAATTGCGCGCCGTATGCGTCTCGCCTTCTTGAACGCCCAGGCTGCCCTTGAAGCTCTTCCCAAGGTCATTGACATCATGGCGGAGGAACTAAAGTGGGACAACAAGCGTAAGGAGGTTGAGTGGAAGAACTCTGTTACTTACCTCGGCTCCATGGGTCTGCCCAAGAGCAAGCTGTCGCTCAGCCGCAAGGATGTAGAGAGCGGCCACGTGGGCAAGTACACAGATGAGGATTACCACCTCTACGCTCGTCACGGTATGTCAAACTCTGATGAGGAGGCTTGTGCGAACCTCTTTGCATTTGGGATTAGGCTAAATGAATTGTTTGCAGATAAACCCGATGAGCTGCTGCAGTCGGACAGCAAGTTCCCAAGCGGTCACAACCCCGTCGTTGGCCGTGAATCCAAGGTCAACAAATAAGTGTGTAGACACATACCTACAGCCATAGTGTGATTGGAGGACCTGCCACATCCTACTCATACACACCACTCGCATATTGTACCATCCTAACCGGCGCGCGGCGTATTCGAGTCGACTCGACTTGCATCATGTTGGCGCTCGCTACCACCCGCATGACTGGCGTCCTTTTCTCCATTGCGATCTGTATATAATCGTCTACAATTAGCGTTACCTGAAAGAATTGAGTAAACTCTGTTCAGCTCTCAACATGCTACGTTATCTTCTGCACATCCGTCGTTCTGCCGAGGCATGCTGCTCTCACCGCTCGCTAGTTTCTTCGGTCTCCACAGCTATCCACATCCCCGCCACCTCAACCCCATTTTTCGTTAGAAAGCGGTGCCGACGCCTCATTCTTCGCCGCGCTGTTACCGTTGTCTGAGTTTCTATACATTCTAATTTTGATGTTTTCCATCGACCACATCTGCGATATCCACTCTTCTTCAGTAGTATAGTGGTCAGTATTTCCGCTTGTCAAACAAATCTTCTAGACTGTTTAACAATCCGCGGGAGACCGGGGTTCAATTCCCCGCTGGAGAGTACTACTATCGCGCTTCTTTTTTGTCTTTGTTTAAAGGCAGGGCCATTTCGGACATAGTTACGGTTTTTTACTTGCCAAGACGGAAACACCACAACACGGCATCAGGCTACCTCGTAAAAGCCTCGTGACATGTGGCTGGCAACCCTGTATCGCGGTTGCTTGGTTTTTTGTTGCTGGTGGTGGAGTGGATGAAGTGGTACGTGGCGATATTCCTCAGGTTCCGCTCCTCAATCTCTGAGGCCACGAAGTCCCCAAGCATTTGGATCTGGCGAGGTGTAATTTTGCCATCTTCCGTCGTGCCTAACTGGAGACCAGAGCGTTGAGGTGACGTCCAAAACCACATGCTATCCTAGAATTCTCTCCATGCTTCCATAGAGGATATGCGACCAATATCGCGCATGGCCCAAAACGGGGGCAAATGTGGCGTCGAATTGGAAGACAATCGACTACCAAGTACCCAGCCGGTCTTTTACTCTATTTGGTTTCGTCTGAATCCCTTGGGTGTATCACTCGATTGAGGGCTTCTACCTCTTCCGGGCTCTCACGTATGGCGTCATCTCCTTGGGGGCCTTCCTAAATGGTTTCAGCCTGACTGCGAGTTTGCTATGCACTCTACTGGTGAGTCGGAAGTGCTGAAGCCTGCATGTCGACACCCCGCGCTTTCCGTCGTGGCCGATGGTTTCTCATGGATACCCTAGCAGAGCCAGGGTGTTCTCTGTTCAGTCGCTGCACCGCTGACTTGTCAAGCTCTGAACCGCTCAGCATACCTCAAATTGTCAAGTGAACTGACTATGACGATGTATCTGCATGCCGGGCAAGTAAGGTGCTGCATCTAGTAAGGTCTTATCGAAGATTCAAGGTTGGGGCGGTTGGAGTGCCACACCACGATTCTGTAGCCCATACTACGCTCGCCCATCGTCTCAAGCTGGCTCTTGATGATGTCAACTTGTATAATTGCCCAGTATAACGTGGTTACTTCTCTATCCAACCCCTGCAGTGTGGCGTAAATTTCGCGAATAATGAGAACTTGCCTCGGCAGGCTTGGGGTTCTAGAGGTGGTCGTCAGTCAAGGCTGAGGGGATGAAACTAAATCACGATGAAAACTCACTGGCCTATTTGAAAGACTCGGTATACTTTCATCTCCGGGACGGAGTTGACATCATTGCTCCATAGCGGACTGTAAGGCTGTGATTTGAGTGAACTTGCTGTTTGCGAATCTTAGAACAATGAAGCAGGAGTCCCAACTAAAGAGTCCACCGGCGTCTCTCTTCATGCTGTGCAATCGTACCAGATATCTGGCTGCTGGACTACCATTCAATCATCAAACTTGGTTTGAACGTACTATCATCAGATCTTTGGTCCTACTGTAGATCATCATTCCACATGGCTTTTCGGCGACTTCTTCTACGCCTGCCAGCAATTTTCACACGCCTACCCATGCAGGGGTAGACCTTAACTCAGTGCAGCCTCTACTCTGCCAGCGCCAGCGCCAGCCAATTCTCACGCCAATTACGTCTTTACAACTTCGATATTGGCCTATAGGTTTCACAAAGTAGAGGCTGCCTCGGTATTTTGTCGATTTTGGTAGTCGTTGTCGATCGTTTCCTATGAACGCATGCAACATGACCATAGAGATCGGAAATAGGTCATTCGCCATTGGTAACCTGTTTTCCCCGCAAACCACCACTCTGGACCCTTGGATCATGATTGGCTCGTTTTGGGCAATGATCACCATACCCTACTACTTCGGGAAAGAGGCGTGAACTAGCTCGTGTGGAGCGTGAACCTTCTGTCCAGGCGCGACGCCACTTCCACTTGGAAAGTTACCAAAGGGTCTGCATCAATAGTCTCGTGCTGGGTGTCAACTCCCTTTCGGACCTGGCTCCTAGGTACCTTGCATCTACCAGATTTGGGTAACGCTGTCGCCGATCGACTCCGGGGTATGTCGATCATCAACTACACATTGTGCAGCCAGGGGGAAAGGCGTGTCTCAGCCAATCGAGAAAGGCGGATATCGAAGACTTGTTGACGGCGGTGTTGAGTGTGATGGCGCAAGGAACTTGCCTCGGTCCCGCTCCACCTCTACAGATGGAGGAATAAGAAGTTAGATACAGGAGAACATGGCAAAAGATTATAAGTAGGAAACGCAGGCAACCGAAGTAAGGGATCATGCTCTCAAGTCACCTTGGGTAGATCATTTCACTTCACCTTACATTCGGGATTACTTCTTCATTATGCATGCTCTTTCTCTTGTTCTACTTCAAGCTTCGGCTGCTGTTGCCTACCCCTGGGTATCTGGCCAGCCGGGTGTGAACTCTGGACTCTTCAGGGAGGCGCGCGCGGTAGAGAAGCGTCAGGCCAACTGCCCTTTCAACCCTGTCCACAAGGGTGCTGCTCCATACACTGCTCCTTATCTCTATACTGGAGCCAAGAACGGTGTTGCTGGTAGTCAAAAGGGTGGTATCAAAGTCCCAGCAGATGGCGATACGGCTCACTCCTATACTGCTCCCGGGCCTAACGATATTCGTGGGCCTTGCCCAGGTCTGAACGCTGCAGCCAACGTAAGTATACAATACACTTCCGCGTCAAACACTGTCGCTGACCAAAGATAGCACAACTTTCTTTCTCACGATGGTATAACCAACTTCCAGGAGTTGGTCGATGCCCAGCAGAACGTGTACAACGTAGGCTACGACCTAGCTGTTCTTCTCGCTGTCCTTGGTATCGAGGCTGGTGGCGACGTACTCTCTGGTCGTCTGAGTATCGGATGCGATGCTACGTCCCGCACTGCGACGCTTCCTCTTCTGGGCCGCCAGCCCGGTCTCAATGGCCACAACAAGTTTGAGGCTGATTCGTCGCTTACACGAAACGACTTCTTCACTACCAATGGAGACAACTACAACTTCAATGGCTCATTGTTCGCGGAGATGAAAGCAGTCGCAGACAGGGTTTCCGGTGGAAACTTTGATCGCAATGCCCTCGCCGCATACCGCAGCCAGCGGTACGACGAGTCCGTTCAGCAAAGTAAGTCCTACTTATTTAGTCTTTTCTGTCCATTTTTCACGCATTGCTAACTTTAAAACAGATGCCAATTTCTTCTTTGGTCCCCTATCACTGCTCCTTTACGGTGCCGCATCCTTCCTTTATGAGCTGTTCCCCAGCTACGGTGATAAGGGTGTTCCAGATCTCGCAACAATGAAGGCAAGTTTCCGACGCAGTAACCCATGCGAAACACACTGATACCTTTCGCAGAGCTTCTTTGGGGCTGTCGAAGATTCGTCTGCACCAGGTGGTTGGCGCCACGTCCCCGAACGCATTCCCGACAACTGGTTCTCGCGCGTCGAACCGTACAAGAACATGGACGTCACCAACGAGATCCTCGCCATGTACATCAAGTACCCCAAGCTCTTCGGCGGCAATGTTGGCAAGAACAACTTCGATGCCTTATCCACACCATTCGATATCATTGTCGATGGCAAGCTACCCAGTGATGTCACGGCATCGCAGCTGACTTGTTTGCTCTACCAGCTTGGTGTCATGGGTGTCCCCAGTACCTTGAGCACCGTCACTGACATTACTGGTGCTGTGCTGGACTTTTCCATTGGAAAGTTGAATCCAGTGTTCCGGAATGCCGGATGTCCTCTGAAGGTCAACTAAACCCGAACCAGGAGTTGGAGTCGAGAACAATAGTTACTCTCACAACGCAGATCGAGCCGGAGCAGAGGAATAGTTCAAAGTAATCATGATGTTTGAGAGCGAGGCTTAACCTTATGACATAACATTGAGCTTTTACGTATAATGATTAGTACAGTCAATTACAGTTCATGAAATCTCCCTACAATCTTCCTGCCAAAGTAATTCCGGATATAGTTCGTGCAATGCACCGTTGATTCACATTCGTCTAAAAACTCAGCGAGTACCTGGAGAATCTCATTTCAAATAGTAGCTTAGGGTTTACTTTAGAAGGCAGACGCGATGAATAGCGGCTTAAAGTTACTGGCCTTTATGTCATGCAATGACGAGGACTAACCCGCAACCTCGGTAGCTAACCATCACTTCACCACAGCACGGCTCTTTCCATGTGCTCGGAGTAACATCGCTCACGCATTACAGAGGAAGGGTGTTGACGCTCAGGCAGGACAACACAACGCGATCAAATAACTCGGTACAATAATCTCAATGCAGGTGTATTTCCCAAACACCTTGTATTCACCGTATACAACTATAGTAAGTATACCTGAATATGTGGTTTCCAAAGTGAACGCGAAGCTCCAAGCACAAAGTTCCACTACATCACCAGGGCATACACATAGGTACCAAGGTAATCTCATGCCTAGGTACTCTGCCTTTCTACCCATATTATGGATATAACCTGTGACTGTCGTTAACGATATGCACAGGGTATAATTCAATTGATGGTGCTAGCTGGCTCGTAGAATCTACGTGTGCAGTCCGTCCTTGCGTGCGAAGTGTTTGTCCGTGCGCATTCGCTGCGTACCTAGGTATGACACACGGCTGGAGCGCGTCATGAAATATTTGAACTCATCACAACCTTCACAGCGTATTCATCTCCAACTCTTGGAATCGATCTATCAATCGCGCACGATAACGACTACATTTTCCTACTGCAAACGAAGAGTAATATGTTCATCACCAGCATCAAAGACCTTCATTTCAATTACGACTTTAATGAAGCCCGCCAGCTCCATGAAACGAACCCTCTCGATGAATGCATAGAAAATTGTTGCGAGCTTACCCCGAGACGGGTGTCGGGAGACGCTGTGGCGTGTGACTAAGGACCGGCATACCGAGGGTGAAGACTAGACGCTAGATAGATGGATGGCAGACATACGCTCGTATATACACAAGGCGAACGCAGCCCTGGAAGAAAATGTTCCGGTCTTGAACCTGAACATACATGTCGAAATCACTGTAGCAATCCACATAGACCATATCGAAAACACAGCAACAGTGATCGATCAAACAGAAACTATCGACGACAGTGGTAAAGAAAATTTGTCATAGACCTCTATTATGAAAGACGAAGGTGTAAGTAGATTGTGTGTATTCTGCTTCATCACCGAGAGGTCTGTGATCTAAGCTTATATACATAGAGTAGTGGGCTGATTGGTCGCTGGATAATCCGCGTGACCATGCAAGGTACCCTGGGCTTACAGAAGGACATTCAGACATGGAGACATGTTCCAGCGTTCAGGACGTACGCAATTTCATGCTGTTCAGTCCTTGTTCCCAGTATCACTTCTTAGCACCGTCTTTTAGCGTCAGATACCCACTGAGTGTAAGTCTAAAGGCTATTCGTTGAACATCGATATCGGGTGTGCGACTACCATGGATGTACGAAATTGCCGTAAGCGACCTGTATCTGATTCGCCTGCCATTCTGTCGGTAAATTGTAAGTCAAGATACGACACCGCTACACTCCAGCCTCGAGTGACTCTACTAACTCCCAAAACTAGGGTGTTCTAACGCTGCTCTGCCTTCAGAGCCGAGTGCACATACACCAGCTACATGAGCATAGCGCTCTGACTGTAAGCACACACATTCTAAAGAACATCGAGCTTCAAATTGTGACTCGCTTAGTGCGACAGCCTGAACCAGAAACGATCTGGACAGGGTTCAGGGCCTGTGTAGTGATCGTACTACGAAATTGTAGGACATATGATGATCTGGCTGGCCAATAGGAGCTTAGGCGAGTCAGGCGTAAGAAGAGCGACTCGTGTGCAGAAGAGGAGACTGTGGTACGCTAAAGTGTATGATTATGCAAGGTGGGAAGTAAAATACAACTTTTCCGGCCTGTTCTCTTCCTATCGGACATGCCCCCGCATACTACAAAACCATCATACAACAATATGCCTTGGGGACGCATGAGAGCATATGATAAGCATATGATGAGCCACACGGAGGAGGAGGAGGGGGGAGGAGGGGGCAGCCATACGGGCGTGAAGGAGATGAGGCGGAAGTGGGGTATATAGACCCTGACCCAGTGAATGTAGCTAATCGGATATCCCTTCTTATCCGCCTGGTATAATACAGGACCCTAGACCTTGGCATCATACAAAAAGATCATACATATGATGATCACCACATACGCCCTCAGATTGGCCCACGAGAACCACGTCCAGATTTCAAGTTCACACCATGCAGGATATCCCATCCCCATCCTCTCTCTATGCTGTCTCCAAGCTCATAGCATTGATTGAAGAGAACGGTAAGAGACTTCAGTATCTCATTATCAAGCTTTGACCCTGCATGGACTTTCCCTCTTTTTCTAGGATTGGTGTAGATGCACTTACTGCTTTAACGTGACCACACCCCAATCTAGAATTTACAAGGACTACTCTTCTGATATCTTCTACAACAGATCCAATCATTTTCACCGAACATGTCTCAATTTTACCCGTCCCATCCAAGCAATAACACCATCAACAACCGCCTCTCCAAAATCGGAGCCCAGCTCATAATACAGCCAATCCACAGATTCATACTTGATAACACCATAACCTGCACACTTCTTGGCAAGGAGATCTCCTTTCGCCTCATCTCCGCCGTAACCGCTCCCGCAACACGTGCGAACACCAAAGCCGTCATATGACGGGATCCGGATCTCAAGATAATCTACTTCCCCGTTCACAGCCGCTCTTTCTCCAGCAACCCAGTCTACGAGCATGCGAAGAGAACGCTTGTAGTAGCAATATTAGAGAGACAGAGCATGAATTCTCTACGCGTCTTAACGCGAGAGCCACGCACAATGGATGAAGAAATACCTTTAAATATGGCCCTACGAACTCGGGACGAGCATAGTATGGCATGTCCGGATGCGGAAACGAATCGGTTTCTAGGAATGCAGAGACTTGTCTGCGCGCCTTTGCTTGCCATGGGAATACATACGCAGGCTGCGAATTTCTGGTCCAGTCTGCCGATCGTAGAAGTGAGGAATGCATCTGGGAGGGAGGATAAAGAGAGGGAGGTGTATGAGGCGAGAGTTCATGGTGAATATCTGAGGACTTAACGTTTGGCAGAGCCTGGTGGGAACCGGGTCGTAGAGAGTGATTTCATAATGAGGGCCTTTGCGGAGATTGGTGAAGCCGCGAAGGACAGAAGTTACGGCAAGAGAGTGTTTGGGTTTGGGTGCGAGGAGATAGATCGTTTAGTGGGTGATCATCGAGCTTCTCTGTCATGATTTAGGTCATTGCATCTCTGCAATTACTAATTACTTGGAAAGAGTTGTATGACTACAAGCTTACGAACCAAAGAGACATGGTATTGCTTTTCTTACGGTACAACGCCGTGTGACATAAAGCTGAACGCCTTAACTCTCAATATCAGCTTCCCACAGGATGACCGCCGATATTTGCATCCAATTGTCATCCGAGTACAGCAAGAGGTGCTCTTGTCCATTGGCCACACGACTATCAGTAGAGTCTGAATTTAGAACTAATGCATCACGAAAACAAACAAGACATTACGCAAACACGAAGATTGAGATCGAGTCTTTTTTACACACAACCGTAAATGTGTTATGAAACCCGAGATTAAAAAAAAGCAATCTTGTAAAAAACCCAGAGGTGGTAACGGATAGTGATACATTCCGGGTTCATCGGCCACCATTCGGACTGCGATCAAGACCACGGTCTTGTACGTATTGTGTCCATTCCATGTATCCAAGTCAGTTTTCGGTCGATGGATGATTTCTGTTCCGGATCAATGCCTGTCTGTCTATTGAGGCATTTCCCATGCGTTGCTGCTGGTAACTAACCGCACCTGATTTTAGCGTAGTCAGCCAATATACAGCCTGTGAAGCGTTCACCCTAGAGATCTACCGTAGAAGACATGTAAGAGTGGTCGAGATGCCGTGCATGCAAGCATCGTAGATCACTTGCTAAAAGTACTAATCGTATCCTGATCGGCCGAAGTAACGTTGTGATCAACTACCGGGGATTTCATCCTCCACACTCATGTTCTTGGTACGCGTATTGCTCACAGGGAACTTGTTGTTGAGTTTGAACGATGACAGCGTCTTGCAGGTTGACGGCAAAAGCATCTCGACATTTTCTAGCGTACCACAAGCCAGTGGTGACATCAGATACGCATGGACGTTCAGGACATAAGCGTTCTCCCGGACTTCTAGACAACAGATGCTAACAGAAATCGGTTCCTGCATAGCAATGAAGAGTTCTGCATCTAGAACAATGCGGCAAACATCGGTCTTCAGCGATCCGACGTGTTTGATAGGCTTCCCAAAGCCAAGCCTGATGAACCATAGGAGCCAAAAAAGCAGCGCATCCGACTGACCGTAGCGCCAACTCCTGTTCTGCGGGTTTCCTCGACAAACTAGAAGTTCTCTCCAAGTATTGGATGTAAAAAAGAAAGTCGGTTAACGATGACGAAATGTGATTTCTTGAATTGTGTGTGTGAAGTGACTAAGGTCTTCTGTGAGGACGCGCGGTCGGGCAAGACGGGTGAATGTCAAGGTTGCTCCATGAGCATGCTGCCGAGAGGCAAACGATGAATGAAAACTCTTGCTGCCCAAGAGCGAGAATCAAACATTCGCGTCACACATGTGATAGGCCCGACGCAATGGCTGTGGAGATGGATAGGTATCGCAATCGATAAGTGGATAAGGTAGGGCGCAAATTCTCGCACATGGCTGCCGCGCGGAACCAGTGCCGCCCAGTAGGACAACGCCGAAGTTGCGGCGGGCCCACAATTCATTTCCCGCGCATGCTGACGGCTTGTAGATGCCATCATCGCAAAGCCCAGAAGCTGTGGAGTTTGCAGCGTGCAGGCAAAGCGAGCGAACGACGGCTCTCGTTGAGACAGTCCGGTTGAACAACCGCAGGAGTGCATGTCACATTGACGCTGTGACGGCTCTTCAACCGGTCCCGGATTGCGAATCGGCGCACAGCAGGTCGGAGCTGGCGCTGGCAGGCAGTGGAGCGCATACAGCCAATTGTGAGAATGGAGAAGCAAAGTCTGAACAACAGAGCGTGTCCACATAGCTATGCGCTGTGAGTGGCCATGAGCTTTTGCGTTCTGGACCATTTGCTGTCACTCGAGCAAGACATGGCGCGACTTCATGCGATACACGTGTGTTGGATCTTCAAGACAGTTCAATCAGGGCGGTCAGTGCCTCATCTGCGGTGATGACATGTGGCCGAACGAGGCGCAGGCACGCTGTGCCTGGGATGTTTCGTTTACCGGCTTCAGCTCCAGCCATGCCCCTGGCGGAAGAAGGCGCGAAGAGCTCCGCGATGCAGCGATCGTCAGGCACAGCGTTATGATTGGCTGCACGTCTCCGTCGCTATGCCACTTGCGGAAGCATGAAACCCGTCAGCTCTGCAGCCGGTGCGATATTTTGAACATGGCCATATTTAGCTGGAAACGAGCGCATTGTCAGTGTAAGGAAAAAGAATGGACTCGATATACGTAAGAGTGTCCTTAGCAAGCGCATGAACACAAGGAAAAGAAAATGTGAAGTTCGTCCTGGTGGAAATGAACGTCGACAAATTCGATCGAGCGACGTCCGTCGACGAATGAGTGCGGTAGCGGGGCGGCGACTCGAGGATGCCAGCAATGTTGTTGAGGGCGCCATGGCACGCCGTTCCACCAGCAGCCGGCCCGGAGTGGCAGGCCCCACGATGACAGAAACAGGATAGACGGGCGTCGTGGTGAGCGGAGGATGCGATGCACAAGCGATGGCACTCTGCCAGGGGCACGTTCTAGTGCCGTTCCTAGCGTAAAAGCTCGTGGGAACCCACTCTGCCCACCTTTCTTTCACTCACTAACCCACACCATCACCCACACTCTTTGTATATTTGAAGCCGCTCCCTCCTCCTGCAACACTCATTCTGCAGGCTCGACGTCTTCTTGTTCATTCATTCACTCCCTCCAGACATTTTTTGTCTACAACTGTCATTCCTAACACCAACCATTGTCAACGCGACAACTCACAACTCACTTACCACTCCTTTGAACTGCTAGTCGGCTCAATCATTCCCTGCAAACCTCAATCCAACATCTATAGCATCACTCTTTCAGCTATTCAACACTACCAATCGCCAAAATGAAGACATCTGCTGTCCTCGCGTCCATCCTTTTCGGCTCCTACGCCGTTGCTGCGCCCTTCGATAGGCGTGCACTCGTCTACAAGACCGAGGTCGTCACTGAGACCGTGGTCGTCTACACCACCGTCTGGGACGACGAGCCGGTTGCCCAGGCTACTACCAGTGCTGGCGAGTTCTACGAGAAGCCCGGCAAGCCATCCACCACCAGCACTGCCGTAGTTGCACCCACTTCTTCCGTTGTGGCCTCTCCCTCAGCTGCCCCTTCAAAGGCTGCCCCCACCACCTCCAAGGCTGCCCCGGCCTACACTCCTGTTGTTCCCGAGGAGCCCTCAAGCGTCTACACTCCTGTGGAAACCCCTACTTCAGTCTACACTCCTGAGCCAACTACTCCTGCTCCTGCCCCAGAGAGCTCTTACGTAGCTCCTGCTCTTGAGCCAACTACTACTGCAGTCACTTCCGCCGCCCCTGAGCCCGTCTACTCTGAAGCCGCTGCTCCTGCTGCCCCAACTGTTGTGTCCAACTACCCTACCACCGGCGGCACCTCTGCTGGCGTCTCATTCAACGATGTAGAGATCACCATCTACGACAACACGGGTGCTGCAGGCGCTTGCGGTGAGTCTCTTACCGATGATATGAATGTCGTCGCCATCAGCCAAGGCGCTTGGAACGAGATGGGCGGAACCACCCACGACATCATGACCGGCGAGTCCACCAACCCGTGGTGCGGAAAGAACATTGAGATCGAGTACCAAGGCAAGACTGCCAACGCTAAGATCATGGACCTTTGCCCTGGCTGTGTAAACAGCCACGATATCGATCTCTCCCACGCTGTCTGGAAGGATCTTGGTCTGACCGAGATCACCCGCTACTCTGGCGTCAACTGGAAGATTGTCTAAGCGTCTACTTCAATCATACCACGATCCATATACCCGAGATTCTGATATCTCGCTAGCGCAGGCAGGGTCAGCGCTTTGCACGACTATGTTACGACTCATTTTTTACACATCAGGCAGGGACCGGTGACTGGAGTATACGGAAGGAAACCCGTCTAGCTGCGGTTCTTGTTCAGCTCTACTCTTCTAGATCTTGCTCCTCTATCTTGTCGCAACGCAGATCCCATGCTGTATTTGGGGATGTTTTGCTCAATTAAGGGGATATTCTCACTTTTTTTGTCGCTCGTTTATTACAGTTGGCTTGTCCAGCTTTTCATTCGCTTCGCTGTATAAGACTTTAGGGCTGGTGTATGGGATACCATCTTAGATACCCATACAGGTTGGATACTGGAGACTCCTAGCTACCAAAAGAAAATGCATGACGCACTGCGCAACTTAAAAATCACTCTTCCATTTGCATACTTTGTGTAAAAGGCTATGAATGTCGTATCGTTCTTTGTGCAAGTCCTCATTCAGATATCATTCCATATCACATCTTCACCAAGGCGCCTAATACGAGGCCTTCCCTACCAATACGAGCGGAGCTATTAATGAACACGCAAGCGCTCGACTCATGCTGTCACGGCAATGTGGCTGCGCCTCATGTCTACAGCCACCGTGCGTCCTTTCTCTCAAAAGAATGCGCCGAAGCCCCCGAAAATACTATCTTACGCCTCGGCATATCTTGTCATCATCTCCTGAGCAAGCGAACTCAGCCACAGCTCTAAATACAACCCTCAAATTTCAACCGGCAGAAGAAAGGGGGTCTATGTTGGACTGCAGAAACTTCTGCCGTAACTCGTACACAAAGAAACAAACGAACGTCCAACGTCGAAACAAAGCCTGCAGTTCGTTTCAAAATGAGCAAAGTTATGATGTGCGAGGTGTTTGCCCCTTGGTAATTTCATAAAGGGCCGGGGAAGGGTCTAGCATGGGGTAGTCGTGTTGTCGCAGGCTCCACATGTTGGCTGTTTCAGTCGTGAACACTATAGTCTTTCTTTTGTGATCTGGAATTTGTGAACATGGTGCATTCTGCCTACTACAAGCATTGGATCTCGTGGATTTGAAAGTCTTAGAATGTCGTACAAGAAACTGGTAATGTCGATCATGTAGGGATGTTCGAGACGAACATCAATGCGACTTCCGCTTCTAGAGTTCCAGTAAGAATGACATCATCGTGACCATGAACCATGACGACCAACAATAACGAGGACAAGAGAAAACTGCTTGCGATGAACAGGCAACAAGAGAATATCGCAAAACATTCGCCTTGAAAGCTGAATCTACTATCGCAGCGTTTATCCGAAATGGCGAATCGACTCTCCCACTCCCTCAACGAGATCGAGTCTCACACTCCCGCGATTAAGTCGCAAGGTACTGAGAACGACGTTGTCTCTAAGAATGGCGAGCAGATCGAAGAGGGTGATCATGTATACACAAAAATAAGAGGCGGAAGGCACGAGGGGGATGTAAGCACTGATCTACCCAATCGCACCACTTCAGTACATAGGTACTGGATAGCTAATGACAAGTAAAGGTAAACAAGATCGTAACCGACCAAGAGGAAGCCGATGCAGAAGGTGTAAAGCATCCACCAAAGGTCAGTTCTTGTGGTTTGTGGAAAGAGGAGCAGAGATGACAAGATGCTGACTTGGTTGACCAGGTGCTATTTACAGACCAGAAGGGGAAGGATGTAGCGCATAATCCAGGTACACTTGATGTCACGGATAAAGCCTGATGAGATGCTTTTTCCTCGGGTTCGGATAACATCAGCAGGAAGTATAGGACAGAGGTCTATGTCTCCAGGTTTACTTCACTTGAGCGAACGTCATGAAAGGAGTACCAAGCAAAGCGAGATCAATACATAATACCCATACTACACGTGAAAGTATTAAGCTTCATACTCATTTAGCAACACCTACTGAGATTTCCCTTCTCTATCTGCACAATGTTTACCCGCTCAGCCAAACTTATCCTCTCAGCCCACACTCAACAGGCGCATCTTTTAACCGCCGGAAGAGGCTGCATTCCACAGCTCATGCACTTACCTACCAAAACAGGCATCTTTGCTGATGCAGCCGGGTGTGAGTTTTACCAGCACTCATCCGGTGGTCAACAGAAAGGTTGCTTTGGTTCGCAAGCGTGCCTTATCTCACGTATCTCACGTGTCGTGCATGTGCTAACACAGGAAGGCATGTGTGTTGGCGAGCCGAGGCTGCCAGCTGGCGAAGCATGATGGATTGCTCCGGAGATTCTCCGAAGAGCTCCGGGTTAGCCGCGAGGAAAAGCAACAACATTATTGATGAATTTTTGTATCGCGCGGGGTTACTGGGATATTGTTTACGGTATAGATGATCTGCGAGCGACGTATTGACACGTTATCGGTGGGAGTTGGTTGAACCCGTGAACAAGCAGAATTGGAAGCATGCGACGCGAAGCTTAAGCATCAGAGTGGAAGCTTGAGTGTATATGCATATTTGTCAATGTTTGTTGAATTTGTCTCCAGTTACAAATGTGGTAATCGGTATCGCCGTACAGTGGTTCTCATACAGTCCCAGCCAAAGGGCAGCCTTCCAAGTCTTCATCTCATCCCGAGTATCGATCTTAATGGGTATAGAACGAAAGTACCCCCCAGTACATGTCGCTTCATCGCTTTTGTCGCAAAACCTCACATCCAAACCTCGTAAAGCAAATCATCGAAGTCCTCGTCCTGTACGCCTCCAGGTGCGTGTGTGTAAATATGTATAGCAGCTCATCCGGCACGTCCGGGCTTTATCTTATCATCGCGTCATCGTGCACTCTTGATCTAAGCGAATGCGCTGGCGCCACCGGACTCGAGCAGTTCCATCTCAGCCTGTGTCCATGACAGGTTCTGGAAGCGTGCGGGCAGCTCAGAGCGGTCGAAGTACAAGCCCTTGCCTGCCTCGATAGGGCCAAGGTCCCTGCCAGATGCGCCGCCAATGTGACCGCCAACAAAGGCGCTGGGAATGTGGTTGAGCGGGCCGTGCTGCTGTGCCTTCTGTCGGTAGGACTTGAAAGAGGAAGGAAGCTCGCTCATGGGAGAGGCAGGGTGGACGTGCGGGGTGTGGTCGACCTCTAGAATGCGATGTTAGACATGGAACCAGGCGTAGTTTATTAGTAAAACGTACTCTGAGGAGTGGTGCGCTTGCCCAGGAAGCGGATCATGGGCTGGCGAGCGAGGGCGCGTGTTGCGTTCATTGTGTGATGAGGTGATGAGGGGGAGGCAGACGTGAAGTGTAGGTTGCGAGCGGAGTTGGGTTACTAAAAAGCTTGCACAAAGAGTATTGGGTCAATTTTTGCGTCGGAGAAGCGGGACAAAGCGATGGATATCAGGTGGATGAATTGTTGGGGAATTGGTGAGTGATGCGTTGGTAGAGGGGAGCCGGAAGTGACCATGGAGATAAATCTTATTTCTGGCGGCAGCAAGGCATTCGCCGAGGCCCTCAGTGCTTGCAAACGAATCCCACCCGCACGCCAACGGCCTCTGGCCACGCTCGAACGACTGCCAGTTCAAGCCATGCGCGCCCTGTATTTCTAAGCCATTTCAAGCAAGCCGGGCAGTTCAGCGCGGTGTTTGTGGGCCTTCCACGCAACACTTGGAGTTGTTCTTTTACTTTTTGGGCCATAGCTTCCCGTCGCGCAATCCAGATGGCTGTCTCTTGTGCTCCCGCACCAATTAGAAACGCTGCACACGCCGCCCGCCTTATCGAACCCCACGAGCTTCTCCGCATCCTGACCAGCGGATATTGCATATTGATATTCGTTCCTCCGACTGCGGTGCGGACCCGACCTTGCTCACCATGCACGAGTTGAGCCTCTACGGCCAGGTCACCTTTGCGCGCTATGAGCAGGTACTGAACATTCTGGCCGGGGTTGCTGCCATGCAGCCCCAACGTATTTTCGAGCGCAACATTATTTACAAGCCCACGCGTGAGCCCGAGGAGCCGGGCTCGAATCTTGGCCGTCGCGGCGGCACACAGACTGTCGCGCAGAAGCAGGCCAAACAAGCTGCTTCTGTTGTTCTCTACCACACACGCCTGGTCCAGAAGCTGTCTGAGGACGACTTTGCAGCTGAAGACGGCCTGCCAGAGGAGAGCGAAAAGCCCTTGTCTGCTGATGTACAAGACGGAGAAGAGCCAGCATGGTCGTTTGTCTTCCGAGACGTACCAGATACTGGTGACAGAGGTGTCTCCATTCGCTTCACCAACACCACTGACTTGCTGTCTGGCGATCCACATGCATTCATGATCGCCTCGGGGCCCAATCAGTGAGACCACCTCCCCATACCTGCCTCCACCTCTAACAAGAGTGCAGGTTCGTGACCGAGTTCTACGTCGAAGGTTATCGTTTCGTACACGGCAATGTCGTTATATTCCTCTACCGCATCCTCCACGAGCCCGGCGTTCGCAATGTCCAGAAGGCCCCCAAGGCCACTCTACCGACGTGGAAAGGGCTGAAGCTCCTCGATCCAAGCGGTGTTTACACGCTCCAGGCTACCGTCCGGATCGAAGACTTCAACAATGCAGCTGTGTTGGAGACAGGAGTCACCGAGCTGAAGAGATTCCAGACGCAAATGAAGGGCTGTGTGAACTTGGCTTTGCCAGATCGACTTGCACTAGACCCTCGCGTCAAGTACAAAGCTCCAACAGCTCCTGCCACACAAGCACGACCTAGATGAAGAATGCTCTCATACTGACAGAGGGAAAGTCTGTGGGTAGGAATCGCCATACCCAAGGCTAAGGGCTATAAAGGCAGAGCCTCAGGTTCGGCTCTCTAGGAGTATCAGCAAACACCCACTGCACCAAGACGCCGTATCGGATGGAGAAAGGGTAGGATCGGGACAATTCCGCGCGCTGGGTCACGATGCTGAGTGGACTTGGTCTTCTGCCGTGCCTAGACGAGTAAGCTGAGTGTGATTTGTACATGTGCATCATCCGGGTCCGTCTTGCAAGTTCACCACCGAGATAGATGTAAACGGTAGGCCATAATATTTAGAACATCAAAAATCTGTGTGGAGAAATGTCTGTTACCAATGTGTGTATTCGGTGCTCTCGCAAAAGTGAAGCTGAGGTCAGGCACGTGCTCGCGCGAATTCGCGTTTCGCGCCGCGAGAGAAAGCGCAAGCGAGCAACCTCACAAACGTTGCTTTGTCAACAGAGATCAGCTCCCATTGCCATGCACCAGTCTCAGCAATAACACAGATTGCAAGATGCCTAACCAACCCAGCTTGAGTAAGCGACCAAGCTCCAATAGCAAAGACGTGTCGCCACCTCCATCGAAGCGGAGGCAACAGTCGACTACAACGAGTTTGTTAACCATCGCAAGGTGCAGGCATATTCGCTAACACGAACCAGGCAAAGCAGTCGCCAATTTCTTCACACCAGCTTCAAAAAAAGAGCCAGAGAAGATGATATGGCGGGTAGTCAAAGACAGCTTGTTAGTCGGACGCTTCAATATAGCAGCGCAGTCAGTTACGCAGGGCAAGCGCAGAATCGCTGCCTTTGACTTCGACTCAACGTTGATCACAACTGCATCAGGAAAGACTTTCAGTCGCGATGCAAGCGACTGGAAGTGGTGGGACAGTAGCGTTCCAGGACGGTTGAAAGAGTTGCATACAGACGGCTTCCTTGTCGCTATCATCAGCAATCAAGGCGGCATCAGTCTGAAACCTGATCCCAAAACCGTAAAATCTGATCAAAAGCGATTAGCAGACTTCAAGACCAAGGTAACAGCAGTCTTCAACCAGCTCGACTTCCCAATATCGATATATGCTGCGACGAGTCGAGACCAATACAGGAAGCCCAGGACCGGCATGTGGAACGAACTGATAGAGGACTACGATCTCGAGAATGCAGAGTCTATCGATCTTGAGAACTCAGTATTCGTTGGGGATGCTGGCGGTCGCGAGGCAGTGGCTGGCGGCGTAAAGGACCACTCGTGTGTCGATAGGTTCGTGGAGATCCCTGATCATGCATTGGCGATCAAGAATAACCAAGTCTATGCAGAGACTTTGCTGCTAACGTCGGTATACCGTTCCACACGCCAGAAGAGTACTTCCGGCATGAGGATCCGCGACCATTTGTTAGGGCTTTCGAGCCGGCCGCCTACACGGAAGAGCGGGCTGACGGCTCAGCACCTGCACGTAAGTCTGATATCCAACCTCTCATACGTCCCCGCCTTCACATGTATGCTAAATTTAGTTGCAGCAAACACTTTTACACAACCGGTAACCCCGGAGATTGTCATGTTCTGCGGCAGCCCTGGTTCAGGTAAATCGTCGTTCTATTGGAAACATCTGCAGCCACTCGGTTACGGTCGCGTTAACCAAGACATTTTGAAGACTGTGAGTTGCTGACCGTCATCTCTCCGCACGTGTTGTGCGACCATCCTATACTCCGAGTAACACTTTGAAACAGCGCGAGAAGTGTGTAAAGGCTGCTACTGCACTCATCGAAGAGGGCACAAGCGTAGTTATCGGTAGGTTTATGTTGATATGGGGCCCCAATACATTCCGCATACTTAGCTAACCTGTTAAGACAATACCAATGCCGATCCAGAAACACGAGCCGTGTGGACTACATTGGCGCAGAAATTGAAAGTTCCTATTCGATGCGTACTTTTCGCTGCCACGCCAAAGCTGTGCGAGCACAATGATACGTTCCGCGCATTGAATATTGGTCCAGAAGTAAGTTTACTCGCTAAGCCTCCTCCCGTTCGTGAGTACCGGAAGATGCTCTCTGCTCATTACTTCAAATTTGTTATTACACTACCCGATGTGGAAATTGGTTGTGCGGGACATCCCATGCTGACATGCAATCTCCGCCAAAAGACGAACCGCGAATCTCGTACTATCCTGCCGCACATTGCGTTCAGTGGCTTCGCTTCCAGATACCGCGAGCCTAAGCCTTCGGAAGGCTTTGCAAACATCATCAAGACCGATTTCCAGGTACGTATAATCCAAAAGTCTCCACATGGGCTGCGCTGCCGAAATGTGACATGGACTGACTGGAGCATGCATCGTGTAGTTTGAGGGTTCCGAGGAGCAGAGACTGTTATGGAGCAAATACTGGATCTGATCCGAATATGGTCGGACATGCGATAGAAAAGGAAGAACGAAGCGTGTGGACTGGAAACGTCCCCAACCACGCGAGTATTGGCCGTTATGACGCCTCGAATACATCTTTTCGGGCGTTGCTATCTGGACCGAAAGTCCGGAATGATATGATTGGGCGGAAAGAGAATGGTTGCTGAGGGGCCGTCTCCCGAGCGAGGGTTCGCAGCTCTAGCCTACGCCTTCTTTCTTTTCCACGCCGTTGCGCATATGGTTCTCAAACTAATAAAAAAACGGCAGTTCACGCACATAGAACCTTGTTTTGCAGTATGATTTTGCTTACTTTTCTTTCCGCTTTCTGTAGGAATACTATGATCTTACGTGAAGATCGCTACAATGATACACCGTACTTCCGACACAAAGAAAAGCGCGCAGTAGCATTGATACAAAGATTGATTACATCATACATTCCACCACGTCGTGTGCCGATGCGCTTGATGCGTCCAGCTAACCTGATCCCCGTAGATGGGCTTCTGCCTCCGTTATTCCCCCCATGTCCCATGTCCAAGCCGCGGCATACGGCGGTCGGTGGAGTGCCACGTTAGTCAAGGCAATCATCCGGTGAAATTGAGAGATCAGCGACACCAGACCGGTCTCGACCGAATCCTACAACAGTCCGTCGGGGTGATTGCGCGCTCCTGCTTTGCAAAGCAGTTCAATCTGGAAAAATACAGAGTCCATTAAGGACAGCGAAGTGCGCGCGTAGTCCAATGTGAGCCGCCACGTGTTGGTCAGGCACACGCAAAATTTTCAGGTACGAGAATTGCTTCTTTCGCGTGCAGTCAGCTTTAAGACTGAACTGGCTGTTCTTCATGCACGTGGAGCGTTGCCGGTCGGTGTGGATGGGTGGACTGGGAACGGTATTCTCCCGCTTCTGCATGTCCGTGCCGTCCGGCCAAGGAGAGAGACGAGCGAAGACGGCGGGGCGCCTGCCGACCTCAGACCGGAACTCACTGCTTTTTCGCCCTGTCGTCATGCTGCCAGGTCCCGGGAGCCTGGAATAGTAAGGTCCTGCTCCGATTTTTCTTCCACCGGGCTCGATCGCATGAGGCACAGCACGGCGACCAAACCACGCGATTCTCTTCGAATTGGACTACCCTGCTAACACAACATCGTGAGTCGTGAAGTAGATGACGACAAAGACGTTGGATACTACGAAAAAAAAAAGTGCGGGCAGACGTTCAGCTAGACAATGCGCTGGCGGTGTGAGGCTTGCTCAACGTGCGAACAGGGAGTTGAGCCCAGCGACAACAAGGTGCCGGGGAGAAGGAAGAGAAGATAGTGTGCCAGGGGCTTGAACGCCAATCAGTAACGGCTCAACGGTCTAGCGCTTCCAACAAGCTCCCCGATTTATCTGGAAGTTCGTTAGCTTGCTGACTTTTTGGCTGGGCTGAAAGATTGTCCCAACCTCTTCTGGGAAAGTTCCGGCATCTTGTCAGGTACCGTCCACACAAAGTCATGCTGTCGCGCCCTGTTTCGTCTCAGTGCGACGAGATCGACCGCTTGACTCGTCAATGAGGCATGATGTTTGAAACACGGACTCAACGCATCAGTCAGTGTTTTGAAGATCGTGAGGCTTTGGTATTTGTTTGTTTGCACGGCTGCCTTTCACAGCCCCCTCGGCCCATTCAAACGATTCAGAGTGGGCCAATCGGTGCATGGAGGTGACGCGGGACCGAAGCGGGAGAAACGACATGGACTTCACTAGAATATGCCTGTCGATGTCATTGCTACGAAACGGCAAAGGGCCAGAAGAACGGCGCGAGAAGTAACGTGGATAGGTTGAAGGGCCCGGCGAACCAGGCCTGTTCCCTCGCACCGCCCGACATGCGATAGACGACTCGAGCTTGTCAAGTGGCAGCCACCTTTGCGCTCACAGTAGTTGAGTGGTAGACAGCAGATGACAACCACAGCGCTGGTAGTACAGTACTTTGTAATACAGATGAGGCACCGTTCAACACCACAACCCGATGATCGGTTGAGGCTCGTGAGGACGATGTGATTCAGCGCCTGTACCTGTATGGTTTGCTTAGAAGCTTTTCTCACGACGACAGAAAGTTTAGAGTGCGTGAGTGGGAACAGCCAGGGATGATTTGTGCCGCCTCCACCAACGACATATCGCATAATTAGGTTGGGCAGGTGAAAATTCGTCACCGAGGCAGGCCCCGTAATGTTGGGTATGGGTTGAATCAAGCCACCTGCTGTGCTCAGGCTGTAGCGACACGGACGCCGTGGTCTAAACGGCGGCTTGAAGGCTGGGGGACCTTGAAGCGACGGCGCCCTGGCGTGCTCTCCTGCACGGAGACTGCCCAGGGCTGCTGTGAGTGTCACGGCCTCGTCTACCGGACTATCTGAGTCGCGCGGAACACAGTCGACATGCCGGAGCCACTATACCTAGTCAGGGTAGTTGGGAAGTTTGGCTTGAAGCCGTGCGCCTGCCCACACAGAAGTGGTCTACTATCCCACACCCGTCAACACCGCCCGTTTCTCTTGGAATTCCACGTCAGTCCTCTGCCACTCTCTCGCCATTCAAGTCGACGCCTTATCGCTGCGCTGTCTCTCGCTTGCATTCGCAAAACCTGATCCAGTCCGACCAACTCTCGCACGTCGGTGATATCCACCTATACCACCTCGGCAACCCACCCACACTCACGTGCTGTCCGCATTTGGTGCTGACTTTCCCTGGAGACGCCTTTGCTGCAGCATAAACACGCCGAATAGTACATACATACATACGTGGTCGGCTATCGTGGCATCCTCTCCAACATCGCCCGACCGCCTCTCCATCCCAAAGCAGTGCGCCGTAACCCCGACGTGCTGGCTGCACTTGGGTATGTGATCCTGGTAACTCGCGCGCCATTCACGTCACATCCCGACCGCCAAAAGAACCAGCAACTATGCACGACCTTAAACCCCTCCAACTGCCCAAGCTTGTCGCAGCTCGCAAGTCTTCCAAAAGCTCACTCAACATGTACGACGATCCGACCTCATCGATTTATTCCAATGCCGACTCGGGTTTCTACTCGGCTTCGGAATGCTCGACACCGCCAACGCCAGGTCAATACACGCGAGGTCACTTTCGCTTCCCTAGCTCGGCTTCGTCATTGTCATCGAGCCCACCGACCTACGAGTCTACTGAGCCTCCCAACAGCTCAGGCAAGCTCCCCAAGCTTACTGAAGAGCCTTTTGAGCGCGAATACGACTACGGTAGTGAAGACCCGTACCGCTGCTCTTGTAAGTTTATGAGAACGCTCTATTGTTTGCTATGCTGATTCGTCTCCAGGCGACGTCGGAGGCACCTATGACCACGCCCAAGACTGTAGGATATCTAGAGCGTACGAGCCTCAGGGTGAGTACTTCACCACTTGCGACTCGGAACTGCGACTAGCAAAGCGACGACGATCCTTGGAGGCATCTGCGTACAGCATCGCCGGCAAGCTTGAGAGGCGCTTTCCCTCATTGTCGCGCAAAGTACGTGACCGCAGCTCGACCCTCAGCAAAGTTTCACGCAGCGCGACTCCCTCAAGAGTTCCTTCTACCCGATCCTCATCGCTCGCTGGCTCTATTCACCATGTCTCGACCGTCGATCTCCCAGAAGACTACGTGTCGCCAACCTCTACGCCAGCCCTCGCAAGCAGGGAACAACTGAGTGACGACGCACCTACGCCAATGGCCATCGACGTCAACAAGGCCAATGCCATGGAAATCGACCCTGCGGAAGTGGAACGGGAGCGCTATGCCACGACGCCACTATTACCACCATTGCTTGTGAACTGCCGCAACAATGACCTACCAGCGTCGTCGCCTCTGCAGTCGCCAGCAGTGGCAGACGCGACCCCAGCCGGCACCCCACCAATGCGCACTTACCCTACGCCTCCTCTCTCTTCAAAAACATCATTTGCGTCGATCAGAGCACCAAATGCCGGGTACATGGTACCATCATCCGACATACCCCCTCTCATGCTTGCCAACCCACAGGACAAGTGGGCTATGGAATTGGGCCATGCCAACTTCACCATCCTGCCGGAGCCCTATGTCCCTGAGGTCTGCACTGCGGCGTCCATCGAAGAACACCTTGCCGAATGGGCGCAAGCGCGGCGCAACTACGCAAAGCACCAAGTGCGAACCGCCGAACACTACGGAGTGACATCGAGGCACTATCTTCTTACCGAGCAAAAGTGGGCTGAAATCGACGCCCAATGGAAGAAGAATTATGATCTGGCCAAGTCACATGCAGCTGCCATCGGTCAGGAGCTCGCCCCAAGCTCACCCACAGAGCCAGGACCCCTTAGCAAGATGCCAACACTACATGACCCCAAGAGTGAGGGCAAGTTCCCCAAGCTCGGCGACGAGGACATTGTTGGTCCCATGCAACAGGCGGCCGCATTACTACCGAAAACACCTTCGCGCAAGCGTGCCTTTTTCAAATTCCTTAGCGACCTACGGTTCCCTGGAACCTTTCGCGGCCGCTCATCGGGTGGCGTCCGGGGCCACTAGACCCAAATGTGCGATAAACGGAGAACCTTTTTCTTTTCTACCCTGTCGATAATTGCGTGCGATTAATATCCCCATCCTGCACACAAACTTGTACCCTTACTCCCCCACTTGCGCTTGTCGGGCGCAAGGGGCATGTTCTACGAAAGTGTACGACTGTATGACACAAGATCCCGGTCCTTCATTGGAGCCACGACCACACGACTCTCATCACAGAGTCACGAATTTCCTTTGTCGATACAACAATTATTAGAGAGGCTTTTCTTGTCTTGCGCAGTACAGTGGTCTGTCTGTACTGCGCTTCCCTTCAATGGGATTACTGTTTGGTGTTTGGGCGGTCAAAAAGTTATGCAGGGGTTTTGCATCTGACGATGAAAGCGAGCATCATTCTCATCACGACATGATTCACGCAGCGGTGGCTCTTCAGCCAAGTCTATTTATATTTCAGTCTTTCCTTTGTGTTCAAAACCATTCTTGGTTTCGGCGGCTATACCTTTACTCGTCCTTGTCTGGGACTCGAGGAGGCAAGCGCAGTCGCGGGTCTTTGTTACCCTTTGGTAGTAGTAGTACGAGGAGGAAGAGCTAAGCTTATTCGGATATGTTTCAGTATTGATACTATGTAATCGGTTTATGGAGGTGGTACGGATGGGGCGGGGAAGGGTGATGATGTGTAGTACCAAAGCCTTAGTTTAGCGTGTCCTCCAGAGAACATACAACAAGCATTCAATGTTAAACGAAACACCTAGCCAAACACACGATTCTCGCCCAACCTTGACAGTGCATTCCTCTTTCTCTTCATCGTCTAGGGTAGTAGTCACTGCGCACTGCGCGCTTGCCGGCGGAAAGCAACCGGTAGCAAACTGCGTGCAAACAATCTCAACTCCTGGTAAGCCACTACAACGGCAGCTGGGCACATGATGATACCGTTTCTCTTGCAAAGTCTCCGACGCACAACAATACATAGCCATGTACGTTACGATTCCATCCATTACGCCATTACATCTGCACAGACAGGCCTCTTTCACTTTACCCGCAACATCTTTTCCTCCGTTTCCTAGAACGTCTCATCATTCATGACCCCACATATCGATAATGGAACGCCATGTTCCATAATCCTGGTGCAGCAGATGACCTTCGAGGTCGTAATCGCGGTGGCAGGATAACTGGCTGACCGACTGTACGACGAGTGCGAGGCGTAAGCAACGTAGGGCCATCCATCTTTCGCTTTGCCTATTCGTTCCCGGCTTCCAGGCTAGATGATGTTGTGTCACCACAGGAGCTTTTGCAAGCGAATATGGGTGGGACCGGTTATATCATTTACACAACTCTCTTTGTGTAACGGTGGGATATTTTTCGGCTGTTTTTGGCTGCAGTTGTGCGATGAAGGGAAGCGAGTGTTACCTAGATTGGGGAAGCGAAAGGTAAGATGGTAGGACAGTGAGATGGTGGAAGGTTACTGGCGAGTCAAAAGTGTCATCTGTCAATGCTAGAATGCAGTATGCGGTACGTTGGAATGTTATGGCATCTTGGAGGCTGTGCATGTGCTTTGATATTTGGATCTTCATATGCGAGATTTTGGTTTGTGGCTAGAATGCACCTCCTTCTTTTCTCCCCAGAAGAGTATCAGCTACCGATTGCGCAATTGCACATGTTTGTTGCAGATAAGTCATATGTTGCTCGTGACTTTTCCTTCGGTTCTGGCAGTCCCGAAGTCAATCTTCTGTCGGAGAATGCAAGATGCAGGTCTGATGACGAACAGTGATTGTTCACACGAGACATTGCATATGCGAGAGTATGCGGCGAATATGGATCTCGGAAAATCGTGCAGACGAGAGGCAGGTGTGTATGTAGGTCATTCTATCTTGGGTACAGGACAAATGTCAGCCCAGCTGCTGCGACTTGGCCTTCACGGAAGGCGGTGATGTGAGTTGGTGTTTAGAGTTGACGACGATATCTGTCACTTGACTTCTTTCTTCCAGGTTTTAGGTCGTTTTTGAGAAGAGACGTAGGCAAGCTATCCACCCCCACACCAACCTAACACCTTGCGAAGCGAGTATCGTGGTAACGCAGCAACGTCACTACTGTAGTTAGAACGAGCTACAGCTCGTGCCGCATCGCATTAACCCACGACATACCTCACCGCAGTAGTTCTGCTCGGACAACAGCAGCAGCAGTGTGAGTTGTCTAGTCACATCTCCAAACTCTATTCTTCTGACACTTCGCCAAACACATCGGTTGCCGACCCTCCATCGCACTCTGTTTCGATATTCAACATCTGCACATGCGCATCTTCTTCGTGAAGGCCATCAGGATTACGAGCATGTGCCAGCACCGTCTTTTCATGGCCCCAGCTTAACAACATGGTACGGCATACCGCTCATCCTTCCTCCACCACATGCCTCGATATAACGGTCGTGTAAACGCCATCAATGTCGGTTCCGAAACCCCGGATTCTGTCCTTGCTCGGGGGCGTAGGCGAAGAAGGGTAGACAGCAGTTGCCCTTAGTCGATCGATCCTTGAGCTTATCCCACACTTCCTCGCTCGCCGCCCAAAGCCCTGTTATGTTGTGTGACATGTCTGAAACGTGTTCATCTCCTGCATGCGGGGTTAAATGCTCAAATGGAGTTGGAGCAAACGATATATGCAATCTTTGCGAGGCTTATGTAAAGAGTATCAAGGTATGCCTGACTCAAAGTGAAGCGATGAGCCTACTGGCGGATTATTTACAATCTTCTTCAAGAAGGCGTACTTGGTCAAGCCTTTCGTGCAATCCAGCACCTAAGTACTCGGTAGACAACAGGACGACTACACGTTGATGTTTCTTCATAGTCGCCCAATCAAGTGCAGTAAATCCCACACAGTCTTCAGTCGGGTGCCCTGTGACATCCCACTACCAATCAGGAAGATATACACCGAGGCTACGGGCATATATTGAGGTTTCGGACGATCCAAACAACTCAAACATTGTACTTGCGCGCTTCAATATCTCAAGTGATAGACGTAGCTCCTCATTCCCAGAATTCCCGTCGTCTATCATCAGGTGTGGCAGTACTAGTAGTTCACCGCTCACGTTTTGCGAACGGTCGATCGTATCGGCTATCGATTGTGTCTGCGCGGAGTCGCACTCGGAGCATACGAATTCGGTTGGTTCCCATTCTCTTCGAGTTGGCAACGTGTTTTGACTGATAGAGGCGGGGAAGAACCATCTTGAAAGACAATGTAGTGGTAGGTCCATATCCAGGAGCTCCTCGGTACATCAACGAAGAAGTGGATCGAGCTTCTCGTATAGGAAATCCATAAAGTCACGATGCAAGCATGCTGTATACCTCATTTTGTCAAGTCGCATATTAGTGCATGGAGGTATCAACTCCTTTTCCAGCGCTTCAAGCGTTTTCTTGGCCGCCACCATCGTCTTGTGATAACTGGGAAACAAAAAGGTAATGAGAAAGAGCTCGTGTTTTTCTGCGTTGTACCAATTCCTTAAAGTGTATCCTAAAGGTATTCACTCTACTTCTTGTTGTAATACTTGCAGAATATTATAAGTGTTTGCTTTCTCCGGCACGAGGGTACAAGGCAGAAAAGACGACTCATTGGATAGGCAATACCGGTAAGGCTGAAAGTGGAGGATTCTGGCGTGGGCTGTCGACGATCTTCGATTGACTTCTTTAGCTTCCGCGTCGAGGTCTTGGCGTTGACCGGTCAGCATGCGTAGATCCATCGTCATGTGCCCCCCAGCCATCGATCACCTTCTGCATGCGACAGATGCCGTCGCGCACACTTGACCTGCTACGATAACGACAGTGTATTCATCGCGCACGGTGCCCGCCATCATCAGGCGTTCTTAGGGCATTACAGCTTATCAATCAATCAACCCAACCATCAATAACTCGTCCGCTGACCACGCTCCCCACGGACAAGTGCGCCTTTCGTTCCTGTACATATCCTTGACTCCTGCGCGAAGATAGTCGCTACTACTACGCTTCATCCGCCCGTGGCTTGTTAGACTAAAAAGCATCATCAAGACCGTGCTTTGTTTCATACCTTAGGAACCACGCTCCACGGCTGTCTGCCCAAGGGACCCGGCACACTCGCGCGACTCCTGAGCCAGGGAGCGTCTTCGCACCCATACACCATGTCTCTCACCGATTCGGAACTGGAGCTGGTCAGCTCGCAGCTGCAGCGGGAGAATGACGACATCCCCGAGGAGCCCGACATGATCCTCTCATCAGACGCCGAGAACGGCCAGTCGTTTGCTCCACCACCACGGATCGCTGCCCGCTTCTATCGCCATACAAGCAACCGTCGCAAGTCTTCGGCTACCTCGTCCCGCCGAAACTCGCTGTCGTCGACACACTCGCACACATCCAACCGATCGTTTCGCAATAGCTGTCAGAGCCACCATGTTGCGCAGCACCTTCGCCGTGCGTCCATACTCGAAGATCGCAAGGCGAGGCTAGCAGACCGCGCAGCGCATGCTGAGCAGGTCAGGCTGCGTGCTGCATTGGCCAAGGCTACTCCACGTGGCTCAAATAGTGAAGAGAGAGCGTTGGCAGCACAACAGGCTCGCGAGAAACATCTGGCACAAGTAGCGGCTTCCTGTGCCGAGGAAGTGAGAAGAGCCAAGAAGATTGCTGAAGACATGAAAGAGCGCAAGGCCGCTGAGGAACGACGATACCGCACCGAGATGGAGGAGAAGCTAGCAGAGGCCGAGAAACGGAGGCTGGAGTACAAGCGCAACCCCAGACGACCACGGACTGCTAGCTCACCCCCAGCCGACGTCCGAAGACCCACTGAGCGTCCCATCGTGTCCTCGGAAGATGCTGCAAAGAGGATTCAGGCTGCCTGGAGAGGCAAAGTTAGGAGCAATATTGTCACAGAATGGCTACAGCTCGGTCTTTCCATCGAGATGGTTCAAGAGACCAGTTTCGAAGTCATTACGGGCATGCTCGCAGACGAGAAGCTACTTAGGACGACCGATAGAATCATGACCCTGTTCGTGTTGCTCCCAGACGCAGATCCAGCCTCCCGCAGCGCAGCCGTCCGAACCTTCCTCTCCGCATACCTTATCCTGGGGCACCCTACACATGTTTTCAGCCGAGACGGCGACCAGGAACAGGATCTCATTACCAAGGCTAAAGACCTTGTCATCAGTTTCGAGTCTGCTTTGGCAAAACTGACAAAGCTCAACTCCTACACTCCCTCACCCACGCGTACAGAAACCGTACTGCTAGCCCACGGTGCTTTCGTTACCGCTTTCAACGACTGGAAAGCTCGCGACTCCTCCGCGCTCATCGAGACAATGGTGGCTTCATTTGTCAGCCTCGACGAGATATGGCAAAGCGTTAAGGACGCGACAGTGGATGAGGTCGCAAATGAGTACAGGAATGGCATCAGGGATAACCAGGCTATTCTACTTAGTAGAATTAAGAAGTTGGCGGGGCCTGACAAGGCTCTTACCTTGATCAGAAAGGCCATACGCGAAAGCCGAAGGTCAAGACCAAAGAAGAGGCTCGCTGGAGATACTGTACGACCGCGTGTTGCAAGCGACTCAACACCAGAGTCCCCGCTGTCAGCCGATAGTGCTGCCAAGCAGGTTGAGGCCGCTTCAGAGCTTGCAGCTTCTGGACAATCTGGGTTCCAAGATTCCACTGCTCAAGGTCATCAGGCACAGTCGCTATCAAAGGTCTTTACGGTCGTGCCCGATAATCGCATCCTAGTTCACGAGCTGTCTATCGACAAAGACTACCGAATCGATCCTTCGCCGACTGCCGGCCTACGCGATGCTCTCAACCGTGAGCTATGCGACGCCATGCGACGAGGATTTGAGGAGGGCGACAGCACAAACTGGACTGCTGCCATGGCGGAGAATATACGGGGCAAGCTATTGCGACTTCTAAAACCTGGCAATTCGATGCATACACTCATCTCCGAGACTCTGGACCCCGAGCATGTCAGCAGGCAGTGTAGTCAAGGTGTCTTCTCTTATGGGAAGTTCTTCGACTTCATTGCTAGCATTCTCCCTAAGCTTTGCGCACCCTTCCGCGACACCGAGGTTCAGTCACTTGCTGAAGAGCTGCAGGAAGAAGGTGAACTTTCAAGCATGATCGAGAAGCTCTTCAAGATCTTGCATGTCATCGATCTTTTGTCATTGGACTACTCAAACTTCCTGTTGATGAATGCCGCACCAACACTCATCAAGGAGGCTGTTGGTTACGAGGAACGCATGTTTACTCAAGATCTGGAAGAGAACAACCTTACCCTCGATCGCACACGCCGATGGTGGCGTAGCGCAGCAGTCAACATGCATACCGAAGCTGACCGTCGCGATCCTTGGAGTCAGGCCAATCCAATCAACCGCCCTACAGCGCACAAGATCTACGCTCGTGGTCTGGTTGACCTCGCAATTGCTACGCCACCGCTGCGAAAGTCCGAATTGCCAGAAACGCTCGAACTGGATCGTGCACGTATCTCCCGTATCCGCGAAGACGCACTTCGCATCACAACGATCGGCGGTATCTTGCTTACTGCAAAGAACCTGCTCAAGCGCGATGTGCGCGCACAGTGGAAGTCTGAAGCGAACAAGATGTGGTTAGTGTTGAAGGAAAACGGATACATGTCTGATCCTTCCACCCCTTCGAAGATCTCCTCTCTTCTCGAGTCGTCTCGGAATATGCCACCTTCCACGCGGTCCCAGCTCTCCTCCACCATCACGCGTCTCCTTACGCAAGCCGAAGCCGGCAAGCTGTCCGACCCTGTGATGAAAGTCTTGTTCCAAAGACTCAAGACTCATATTTTCAACCGTGTGAGCGCCAGCAGTTCTGGTGAACGCGTCAAAGCTGCTAGTACCGCCACAGAAGGGCTTGCCACTACTGGTCTGCCGGAGTTTGTATCTCAGGTTGCGGATATCTGTGAGCAGCTAGGCAAGGTCGGCGAAGTAGACCGCAAGTGCCATGGCAAGTGGTATGAAGAGATCGCCGAAGAGATGGAGAGGCTAGGTCTCGAGGGAGGCGAGGAGCTCACGAGGAGTTCGAGCGTGGATAGTGAAGCTGTCGCATCGACGAGTTCGGAATCTTCCGTGTAAGATAAGAGGGCAATGGCTGAGGAGCTGTATTGTGTGTACATGGGGACGATTACTGGCGTTATCATTTCCCTCTATTCTTCTCGGCTCGGATACCCAGCCCGCTCAATTCCTGGTCCTATACTGTTATTCTGTCGTTTACTGCATGGTGCTGCGGTGTTCATTGCTTTGGGTCTGGATCTGGGATAGGTTCACGGGTTATGAGCGTACACGAATCACTCTGGGTTCTTCTTTCTCCAGGTTACAAACGTACACTATTTCAGGCGTTCTGCTTGCTTGAATCAATACACATCACATTCTCATACTCGTATCAATATTCCAGGTCTAAGGTCTATAGTCTGATGTTCCTCTGCAGCAAAGGTATGGAACCACCTGAATCGATGTGGCATCGTGTTTTGGATCTTATCAAACATGTCCGAATACGAGTGTCAGGGAGGATGCTGACCATACTTATGATAACTACAGCTGTTAACACTGCATCTGATCCGCTCACGAAGTACCGAGCATGTAAGATGCTGTGGTGCTAAGCATGACGTTGTCTAACGTGGGAACTGTGTCTTGAGAGCATCATACATGTTGTCAACGAAATTGTCAGTCGAAAACTGTAATCTGAGAGCAGTTTCCGGTTATTGTTATTCAGTACGAGCTACAGACATTCTAGTTCTCTGGCCTACATATTGCTGGCTGTCGTGGCTGTGGGTCCGTATGGGATAGAAGGACTAGGGATGGAGTGAGCACGTATTCGTATCGCGGCATTCCAACATAGTCATACTGACTGATATAAGTAGCGTCTGGGCTAATATCAGAACCGGTAGTTGCTAATTGACAGACGGCTTGTAGAAGGTGGCTACGTTGTAAGTGGGTCGTGTTAGCAAAGATTTGTTCAGCTTCAACACTAATGAAGCCTCAGAAGGCTGAGAAGCGAGCCCAATGCATGACAAGCACCTCCGACATGTTTTGGGTCCCTTGGCTGGAGATTTACAGGGGTTAGGGCGTGTGGAAACGTAACTGTTGGAGTGAAGAGTAGCTTTGGCGGTCTAGTGCTGTTCCTCTATTCGCTGTAAACCACGGCACATCGGTGCTCTTCGGGCAGCGTACCCGTAACTTCGATCGTAGATTCAGTGATGACAGAAGGTCATTGGATTGTTTGGTAGCATTCGCAACGAGCGTTTGAGCTTACTGCTCCATCGCATGGTATTGGGTCAGCTGGTGATGCTGCCGAGATGAATGAGCTTGTTACTGTTGATTTTGTGGTGAATGTAAAGCCGAGTGGATCGGAGGTATATCCTTCTTGAGTATCTGATGAAGGCACAAGCTATTGATGAAGACGCTAAGTGTAAGCCGCATCTCCTTCTCCCCAAGATCATATGTGGCAACCTCTTCCAAAAGTCTCATAGGTTCTCCTTGGACTGACCTGCCCCCAGCGGAGGCGGACCTGAAGCTCCCGGTGGACGACGAATACCATAGTTTGCTTTCCTTGCTTCATCAATCCGACCTTTCGAGAGGCTAATACCAGGAACTACCCAATCCCCACAACTGCATTGCATTCCCTGCCAGGCGTACTTGCCTACGTTGGTGTGGCATTTCGGACACTCCAGACGTCCTTCCAACTTGCCTTGTTCGAGCTCGGGGCGCATCCACGATAGGGGATCTAGGAAGTAGTGGGCACAGTTTTGCGATGAGGCTTTTGGAACTTCTGCCTTCTGATCGGTGACAGATGAAGCTGACCCATGCGATAGTAGATACTGTGACGTTGCTAATGCTCGTCTAAAACTTTGTAAGCGCTGAGCAAGTCAGGCGGCAACAGGCTGTATGGTGACATCAAATCTCTTGCACAGCTCCACTCACCTGCATTTACGACATCTCAATTCGAAACCGGAAGTTTCGTCGGTGACATGTTCGTCTTCGAAGCGAATCTTGTCCGCCTCTGGTGCTTGGCCACACGCGCGGCTCAGCTCGATCTCCCGTTGGTAGACCCATCGCTGATAGGCCGGGATATCTTCGACGTTCTCTGGTGTCTGCATCTCTCCATATAGCTCCAATTGTTTCATGAAGCCCTCGTTTGGTTCGCAGATGGATCGCGCTTGCCGTACGTGCGACAAAGCTTCCGACGGGCTGATGTTGTGCTCTTGCATCAAATAAGCGATGACGACAGTAGCTGATCGTGATTTTCCCATAGCACTAGAGAAGAGTTTGTGGTTGGCATATTGATACGAGTGGCTGAGAGCAAATAGAGTGGCAACAGGGCGGTGTGTATAGGGAGTAAATCGCAGAAAACGGAAGGCGAGAAAAGATGAAAAACACGATACAGGACGCGCGGAAAGCAAATTTGGGCTGCATGCAATGCACACCAGTGACGAAGCCTTGGGGCTGTTGTCTTTTTGTGAAGATGGCAAAATTGCCAAGCAGGGGAACCGTCGGCGGCGATCGAAAGTTGTTGGATATGCGAGGCTTCAGCTCGACCGGGATGTTGACTTACCAATGCACCAAGACTCCGCCACCTCCCTTAAGCCCCTCATGTATGAAGTGATTTGTGGCAGGGAAATGCTCCAATAGATTTTCGTCTTCGACATCGTCGACCTCCACAACCATGTGCTTGAAAGGGCCGAACAAGTCTTGATCTAGTGGTGTGCGCAATACCGACAAGACGTGCGTAATATTGGCTTGCTGGAGGGCTTCGCGCCGTCGCAGTGTAAACATGCTACACAATACTGGTTAGACAGTAGTCCGGTGACCCCAGACCTGAGCCATGGGGTAGATGCGAAACGATGGTCGACGTTACGTACCCACCGATGTACAGGTTCAAGTCCCCGGGCACTCTGTCGATGAGCGCCATGATAGATGAAGTGACGTGTCCGAGAACAATCGGACGCCGGAGATGAGTGTATGGTGATCAACAACCTTGGAAGAGGCGCGAGTTGTTGAAGGTGTGAGAGAGAGGGTCTAATTTTGACCGAGTGTTTCTGATCGCGCTTGCCCGCCAAAATTGCGGACCATTCATAACTGCATCTGTCATCGAGTTTGATATGTCACGAAAAGCTGCAGCACATCCAAGCAACTAACAAGTAACCTGTTCGCCTACAAATCATTGGCTCGATGTATGAGTCTCTCCGAGGTTGCATTACCATAGGGCACGGCCAAGAATTACAGAGTGTACCACCCTCCAGAGGCATCATCGAGCTAGTTAGTTTATAGCCTTATGGCTACATAGACTATATCCCTTGCCTGCCGGTATTGGCCCCGTAGTTCATAGTTCATAGTGAGACCCTTTGCAATAAGAATTGTCATCAAGAGAGTCATGTGTCGTTGCAGTCAGCGGTATCTTCCGTACGACCGCGGAGCTACACACTGTGGATCAGGGACTGCATACCATTGACATGGATGAGTCTATAGCCCAAATCGACGAATTCGAGTCCTACGAAGAGTTCCCGAGGTTGTCCGTTGCTGCGCCCCCCAGGATGTCGAAGTTGGCCGAGCAGCCCTTGTTCTCAATAGCGGTCAATGAGTGCCATATCATGTCTCGTGTCAATGGTATGGTGTTGCTTCCATCATGAGACAAACAATATTGCAGCCGTTATCGACAGCCAGAAGTAGCGAATTGCTCGTACTCCCCGGTTGCTTGCAAGGCTGTGGTGGCGCCTCGTCCCGCATCTCGGCGAAGCGCATCGATGCTTTAGCAAACGGGTAGCGACACGGTAGTTGCACATTTCCATGCATTCCACATGGCCGGCGAGACAGAAGAAGTCGCTGACATCACCCAAGACTTGCAGGTTCGCGCTGTCTCAAAGTGGCTGAACCGCCGCTTACTTGACCACAAGGCAGGACCCACCTGCCGGTGAAATGCAACGTACCATGTAGGTACCACTGTTGGCCTCACAGTGTAGGTTCGGCCCCAATCCAATACCCCGGAGTAATACTCGTGTCGTCTGCATGTTGCCGCTCGTGCCAGCACGAGGTACCCTGGAATGCATCATGAACACAGCCCCCATGGAATAGATCTGTAAGGCTACTGCAGCAGATGCCAATCGAGATAGGGGAGCAGATGGAGGGTGGTGTTCTCGGTCTGTACGACGAGCGTAGTTGCCAAAAATACCATGGAGGGGAACAGGGAGTGCCATATCCCAGACTGCCAGCCGGTGTCGCATTGGCTACCGGAGATGATGGACTGTCTGCATAGTGTGTACGCCCCGCTGTGCATTCGATTTGATCGCAGTGAGCTTGCGGTTCAGGATGCAGGTATAGTGGAGGGCAAGCTCTGGCTGGGCACGCCAGCTTCCCGCAATACCAATCAGCAGATCAGCACGGTATGAGTGACAGCCCTCTCAGCCTGACTGATGAGTGATTGATGGTGCAATTCATGGCGCTTGTAGGGCTGTGAGGAGCTTACTTGTTCGAACTCGTCAGCATCCGTGCGCACTGACTTCCGCTACCCGCAGTCGAGTCTAACCCGCACACGGTTGAATCTGACGCTGTGCCGTCTGCACCTCTCTCCCCAATCCCTATCCAGGCGAAGCGCAATGCTGCATGTTGGACAATTTGGTCAGATCCCAGACATGCAGCCCTCGTCAGCCAGCGCGTCCACGCCGTCGGCATGCCTTCCAAGCCTGCCCTACCAGCCATCTCACCGTTGCACCGGCCTGACGTCCTGGCACTTCGGCTCTACTTGGTTTGCGCAATAATCGACACACAGGCAGCTGGACGAGCGGGCGCCAATCCTCGATTGATTGTTCTTGGACTGACCGAGCTCTATGCCACGCTGCTGGGAGTCGTCTGCCGTCACGAGCAATCTACTGCGAGTGGACATGGCAGCGCTAATGGCAAGCCCTATGCACGAGATGAGGGTCGGGGGCGTGGACCTTGAAGCTTCTCGAAAGCCAGAGCCCTCCTCCGACCGACTAAGGGTTGCATCTACCCCTGCTGACGTCTCCACTGCGCTCCGTGCCAGGAGCAACCAGGCATAACCAATCACCGACATTCGAGCTCATCCAGCGTAGTGCTTTATGCTAACCGCAGTCCCCGGTCGAGGGCGTTTCTTCTGCTCCGTCTGTTACTGTTGCTGTTGCTGTTGCTGTTGCTGCTGCTATCCAGCGGTGCCTCTGTCCTGCAGATTCACCACCTTCCCGGAACACTGGATGCCGGCAAGGGACGCTTCCTTCTCCCTTTTACTCCACTCGCCTTCACGCTAAGGACCCTACCGCAGTCCCGCGCCGTCTTGTTCGCTGCGGTGTGGCAGGAACAGGCCTCCTCCGAACGACCTGACGACTTCAATCGTTGCATTGTTCGTGCCAGACCCGTCGTATGACGGCTTGTCCCGGGCGAAAAGAAGCAATATCGTCTTGTGGCGGTGCTGGCCAGAACCCTTCCGTTCAGCTGAAGGACCCTCTCTCTCGTAGGGCTGAACATTTAACAGCCGCAAGCGCTAGCGCCCCCGCTTTCGCTCTTGTAAGCCTCGCCGTCGAGAACCCATCCCAACAACGCGTAAGTCCCACACGACGGCATAGCTATGTCGCATCTTTGTTAATACGCAGTCGAGGGAGTTCAGCTACGTCTGCACGCCCTCGTTCTACCCTTCCCCTGCCTGTTTCGGCCAGTCCGTGTAGTTTCGGGCTAACGATTCTACCTCTTAGGGTCCGTGCTCGCATACACCATCCAGTAGCGACCATACTCACTCTTCTTGCTTGTCGCGCTCGCCACACTCGTGGTGCTCGCGTGCTGCGCGAGTACGCTTCAGCTGCACCCTAGTGGCGGGCTCCTGACGACTCATCTTTCTCGCGAACCATGTCCTCCACACCGAGTATTCGCGTATATGATTCTCAGCGTGATTCCCAACACTACCAACTACCACACCATCGCCGACCGTCGATACCCACCCCGGCTGTCGCAATGGCCATACCGAGAGTATGTAAGCTCGTGTTCCAGCTGGTTGATATAATGGGGGAGGGGTCTGGAGCAACCTGTGGCTCCGTCATGCGAGAGATAGCTCCTGAAAGAGTCGCAAAGTTCTCCAGCCTCGTCCAGGACTGAATACGGTATACGAATGGTTCACTGACTGTATCCAATTTCACAGGCACGCGAAGAGCCACCACCACCTTTGCCTCCACCACGTCATATCGACCTCAGAAGTGGACAAGACCCTGGCTGGCAATGGGGTAACACAAACAGTCCAAGGGATACCGGCTTTGGCGGAAATCGGCTCGCCACAGTTAGACCTGGCTCGAGCTTATACGGTGGAGCCATAGGTAGCTATCCGCGGGAGCCTTCGGTCGATATGTTTAGCCCTGCCCGCGAACCTTCCGTCTCTAGATCTGTCGACGGTATGAGCGAACACAGCAACACCAGCGAAGACGACCGTAGTAGCCAAAATCGGCCATCGCTCGGGAACCACAGGTACGGATCACTTTGTTATACCTCCCTTCGTCTTATAGAGCAATTCGTGTTGGGGTTCTGGCAAGGTTTGGCAGCGCTTGAGTGTCTTTGCCTCACTGGCACATCCTGGTCATTTGGAGGATTCCCACGCCTGCCAATTGGTCCAGCACCTTGTCAAGGATTGCTTGCATTCTTTGTGCATACAAATCTGGCGTTGTCTCGTGTACCATCTAGTGACTGACAATGTGCCATAGACTCACAAGCGAGCGACAACTCGGTCATAAAACCGTGCAGAACTCATCGCATGCCTACGATAAGCAACTACTCTCGAAGATCGGCGGCCCGAATACACCCACACGAACAACCGCGCCTCCACTCTCCTCTGCCAACACTCACGACCCTGCCGCCTCCGATACACACGCTCCTTCACACAAGCTCAATGGCCAACTGAAGCCGTTGACTGTACCTACTATATCACCCAGTTACAACGGCTGGCGCAGTCCAGGTTTCGATTCAGCGGAATCACACAGGGCACGCTACGGTAGCATCTCAACTCCAGGTCCTTTGGACGAGACATCCTCTCAGCACCGCGGTAGTTACGATCACAGCATATTTTCGGATCCTGAGTTTAGTGGCATGGAAGAGAATGGAATGCGTGATTTGAACATCAACGAACGTAGCCCTGCCGAGTCAGAGGACTATCAGTTAGGCCCTAAGGGTGGCCTAAAACGGCGGGCCTCGTCGCCGCCCTCTGAAGCTGCGCGCGACGATCGTCCCATCCCAAGCGGCCATAATGATCTCTATCACCGCCGTTCTCAGCAAATGTTGGTCAATCGGAACTGCACAGCTTCGCGTTTCCAGTCCAACCCAAACTCGCTATCCCCCACCGGGTCCGCAAGTCAACGCAGTGGTTCGATCGGTTCTTCTTTCGGGTTTTCAACCGCTCCAAGCAGTATGGCAAGTTATTGCGGAGATCAGCGCCTTTCGCCCAGTGCGTTGTCGCCTTTGGGCGAAACGGAGTTAGGCCCCGCCTCGCCATATGCAGCTAATAGGTCGTTGGACCCTAGTCCCCGCGGGTCGTTGTCACGACCTCCACACCAACGAGGCTTCTCAGAGTCCGAGCATCCGCAGATACGAAAAATGTCTACGGAAAGCATGTTGCACTCACGACAGAATTCAACCGCAAATCGCATACCAGGAGCTTACATTTGCGAATGCTGTCCCAAGAAACCTAAGAAATTTGACTGTGAAGATGAGTTGAGGTAAGTGCATGGATCCTCGCTTGTCCACCGCCGTTTGGTTTATCCAATCCACCCTTGAGCGACCACGCTGACCCCAGCCATAGAGCACACGAGCTAGAGAAGCAGTACATTTGCCAGTACTGTCCAAATCGCTTCAAGAACAAGAACGAAGCCGAGCGTCATCAGAATTCTCTTCATTTACGCCAACATTCTTGGTCCTGCGCCACGCTTGCCGGTGTTCGTGCAGCTTTCCATCCCTCACCTACTCGTCCAGCTATGGCAGACGTTTGCGGATATTGCGGTGAAGAATTCCCCAACCCTCCAGATTGGGAAGCCCGATCCGAGCATCTGAATCATGTGCATAAATTTGGTGAATGCAACCAAGCCAAGAAGTTCTTCCGCGCAGACCACTTCAGACAACACTTGAAGCATAGTCATGCCGGGACCAGCGGGAAATGGACCAACATGCTTGAAAACGCCTGCATGAGAGACGAACCCCCGCCACAAGAGCGTGTTGGCTCGATGGGCTCTATATCCGGCTCCTCAAGTTTAGCACCTAAGCCAGGTGTCATTAACGAAACACATGATGAAGCATAATTTCGAGGAACACGATATGATTGCTCTGGGCCATCTACAGCGCCACCGGGTGGTAGAGGTTTTCCAAAACCCGCAGCAACGACCCTGTTTAATCCGAGCGGCTTTTACATATCGAAACATACCCTTCAGTAACAGAGTCCGGTTAGACCCGGCACTAGCACTCCCTTCCCATTATTACTTGTTCCATAGAGCGGTATTTCCGGACGTCGCCCCCTTCTAACGAAAAGTTTTCACGCCTGCAGACTGCTTTGCAGCTTTCCCATAGCTCGCGGCAGCGAACCCTGGGCGTTTTTGGCATAACGACACTGATGACTGCATTTAGTCCCATATAGCAGAGATCTGCTTACGCGGCCAGGAAATCTGGGTGCCACTGAGCGGCAAATTTGTTGCATTTCAAGGATATTTTATCGATTCAGCGGGCGTTGATAGGACAGGATGTCCAGAATCATTGTTTCAAGCGAAGACATCCATGTAGTCTTTCGACCTATTATACAGCATGTGTGTCAACCCAATGCATCAAGAACAATTCTCGAATGTCTCATTGACCTGAATCCCTTCCGGCGAGGCCGAATGTAACACCAAATACCCAGCCTTGGCGAACACAATCGTCACATGTCGGCTTCTAATACCCGTCTGAGCCGCAAGCTATACAGCGAGTTCAATTACTTTGACATGAACGATGATGCAGAAGAGTTTTCTTGCTGCCACACAGTCAGGGGCAAACATTGTTCAGCTGTGGGTCGGTGTTCAGCACTGAGCCTTGACACACCACATACGAACGCCACAACCATCAGCGAACGCTCTTCACCTCCTTCATATGAACAACGCGTATCTATCTTCACCAACAAGAATCTGCGTAACTTCATGTCAGCCAAAACACAGCAGATCCATACTTACGAATCGTTTCGTCACCCCGTTTCAAAGCACGTACCCGTGGACCAGGGTACGACGTGGGCAGAGGCATACGCGTACGCATACCGTCAGCAAGCGGATGTTTGTGTGGTGTTATCATGGAAGATCATGTATGCCTCTGGGACGGTGGCATCACATTGCCAGTGCACATGACATGTTCAGAGCGTAAAGAATGACAATCATGTTCTGCTCATTATACCCTCACCCGACTTGGTTCATCTGGAACTACGGTTTCACTGAGAACAGAATGAATTGGGTCTTCCAAGAGAATGCAATGCAAGAGTGAAACTACTTTTAACTCCTGAGCTGCTGATATGCAATGCATATTGGCGAAATACACACGCATACACGACAGTACAATCATACCAAGACTCAAAGAAACCATCAACAAACCAGCACGCATATCCAGCCGCCACCGACAAAAAAAAACCTAAACACGTGCCTTCCATTAGCGCTGACACAAACTCCCAGAACTCGGTGTAGCACCATCCCACGTTATGTTAATTTCTCCGACCGCACAGACAGTCTCTCGTTTCGGTGTGACACGCGACGATATCTGTGATCTGACATGACACGCAATGTGCGAAATGTGGGGTAAGCTGTTTCGGAAGAGATTGAGCTCACGTGGCTTTGAAGCGAGCAGTGAGCAGTGAGCAGTAAGAGCTAGATGGGGCTGTAATCGCCGACTACTGTATATTGGCGTGCTTTTGATGACTGACGGTGCGTCGTATGAAGTGGGGTGTGGTGATTGTGAGCCTGGTCAGGAGTTGGTGTGTTGTGGCAAGAGGGTTAGTAGACATAAGGGATGTGATTGAGAGTTGAGAACGTCAAACTTAGGTTACAACTTTTTGGTTGCAGAATTTCAAATCAACGATTCGTGGAGAGTAGTATCAAGGATGAATTTCTGTAACTGCATCTCAAGACCTCGATTCATAAATCTTCTTGAAGCAGAATTGTACGAAATACTCTTGGAGCTTGTCGGACTTGGATTAGTATTTGCAACGATCTTTCCGCTAGTATTGAAGTTCATGGCTGCATTACTGATGGCTGCAGGTCACACTGGAAACGCAAGGACACGGTACAAGCCGTTGTGGACGGTGTACAAAAGATTAGATCAACGCTTATCAGCAGGACCTACATCACATTCTTCGATGCACGTATTACTCCTCATTACTGGGTCTTTGAGATCTGCGAACGCATAGCATGGAATCTGCCACACCTTGATATAACCAATTATAACTAGAGGTAAAGAGCTGCTGTATTCGAAAGTACTGAGTTCGTGAGGTACTGCACTCTGACAAGTGCTGACGCTGACATTGACCCGGTCGCAGAATCGGTCTCGCAAAAGCTTTTCCCTTGGACGCCTGAACGGCAACATAAGCGGAGACCCGGTGACTCAGGAATAATGTGGCTGCAGGATCGTGAAATTGCCCTATGGTAAGGCTGGAGATGAGCACTTGTCACAAGATACTCGTCGACTTTTTGCTCTACACGTCCAAATGACTATGCTCCAATTGGAAGGTGCGCGTCCATGGATGCCTATGCGGGAACATGGAAGCGATTACAGTAGATACAATGTGTCAAGTCGACTAGGTCATGGAGTGGAGATATGAAGCCGCTGGCATGCATGTGATGCAGCAAGTGATATGATGTGTCGCTAAATAGGTGCGCGGCACGATGCTGACGCGCCCCGATCTGAAGCGAGGCTTACTGTTTAGCTGGACCTTCGAAACAGGGTTTGAGGTGTTCTTCGCCTGATTACCCGAACATGCTGACCATCAGCATCACGAGGAACAGGCTGATATAAGGGCGAGTTTAGTGGCGGCCACTAGACGGCCTGTGCCGCTGTATCAACACGGATCTGGTGGTAGTGCGGGGAGACGAGACGTTGACTGGGTAGTAAACACGAGAAGACGTTATAGGATTGTAGAGGTTAAATGACGTAGCGACTGACCCATAGAAGAGCGTCGATGCCTGGCCGGATGTGTCGAACCCTAAACAGCATCAGCACTTCTGGAAGCTGAAGATGTTGGAAGATAGTAGATGGCGGTAAGCCTCTATGAGATCACTTTCCTGCGAACAACGTACTACTGGGCGTGTTCCTGAATGCATATGCACCCAAGTCACCAGCCTGCTGCCATGCTTGGCAGAGCGGCCGTTGTTGAGAAGGGTATCTTTCCTCAGATAGTACATTGCCAAGGCATTCATCGATGTCTCCGGCGCGTGTATGGGATGAGTCAGTAGATTCGATATTCGTGACAAATTGCGTGAGCAGATAAGCGAAAGAGCGAAAAGTCAGGATGCGCTATGATGTGATGGGCAGCGAGCTGCGGAACAATGCCAATCCACTCCATACAGAGCGTTCACGTTATCACTAGGGCATGATTGTCTACTGAGTCATTGATTGTGACACGGCACAGAATATCCTTGGCCAAGCTTGTGTAGCAATGCAGCGATATGTTCGTACTTATTGCAGTGAGTGCCGGTTTCGGAGGCAATCGAAGCTGTGAATGGTTAAATGATACACTACCTAGATAGACTTATGAAGCACTACGACTTGCTGTGTATACTTTGAATGGCTCTAGTACATACTGAGGTGGTCAGGCGAGCGCGGGTTCTCGAGGACGCCTACGGTCGTACCGGACCAGCCAAGTAGTCCAACAAATGCCCAAGCGTCACAATCATGCCAAATGCGAAAGCCACATGTTCTTATCTGGTCTCGAGGTGTTGAAGCATGGTGACGTACAGAGAGTTTCCAGTCCGATTAGAGGAAGCCGAAATTGAACATATTGACATGCATGGGATAGAGCTGTGGATCGGTAGGAGAACTGCTGCAGTAATATAAGCTCTCAAGCCACTTCCGCAGGAGTTCTACACAAGCAAGGTGTGGCCGGCTGGGTTTTGCAAATATACCTACAGAGTATGAGCGCACTGGGCGAGATCAGTGTCTGTCTAGCAAGTAAAGGTATCCGAACATGCCCGTTAGGCTGCTAGCGAACGATGTCCTTTGTCAAAGGGTACTGAAGCGCCAAGGGCTTAGTTTGACCGTAACTATAAACAAGTGACCATGCATGACACGTATGACATTGGGTAAGCATGGGATTTAAACCGGCCGCTAAAAGCTGACCGCGTTGTTTTCGAAGGACGTATGGTCGGCGGCCGTAAGACCCGTCACCGTTCGCCTAAGTAATTCCCACCGGCTTCCAGGCGATGAATGGATAGGGAGCCCTTTGGGTAATGGGAGTAATCAGTGATCCATGAATACCACCGTTGTCGATGTTGGACATATTGTGCGTCTAGGGATTGCCGCTAGGCACAGATGGAAAGTTTGCAGGGTTGTTCAGTCGTTCACGATTTCGTTTGGCAACCTCGGCATTCCGCAGCTTGTCTAGACGCATCTGATAGAAGTTCCTGTGCAGAGTCAGTAGGTCTAAGTCAAGCAAGGAGTCTGTAAGAATGGCCTCACTTGTTGAGCTGATATATGCGCGGACCAAGCTCAGCCTGAGTTTGGTCTTTGGTTTTGGAGAGCTCTTTGATCTACATGGAAGTTAGCCCAGAAAAGAAGGCAAGGATGCACGTTACATGCTTTGTCGTCTTTGGCTTTCTCATCCTGTTTGTCCTCCTCTTCTTCTTTGCCTTTGGTCTCCTTCTCTTTCTCCTTGTCCTTGTCTTTATCTTTTCCTTTGCGCTTTTCACGCTTGAGCTTCTGCTTCTCCTCGTACTCTTTCTTCACGGCTTCAATCTCGCGATCTAGCTCTTCCTGCTTCTTCTGGTCTGCAACCCTCTTCGCTTCGTCAGCTTCTGGTTGACAGAAACCTCTATCGGATAAGTGTCCAGGACAAACGTAGAAGAAATCCTTTTGGTGAATTAGTATGAACGAGTACAGCGTACCATATCACCTCTTCGCACCTTGTTATTAGGAGTAATAAGTACACTGGTGGATGGCTTGTAGCATATCCAACAGGCCTTTGCAGCATTGTCCGCCACACGACGAAGATGCCATAGGTTCTCCATTGCGATATCGATTGTAATCACGATTGCTTTACATGAGAGTAAAGAAAGCGTGTGGGTGCACAAAGGTGTCTAAGGCGACGCCGAGTGCAATCGGCTACTCTCAAGTGAAAGCCTTGCCCTGTAGTTTCGCCTCCTGTGTAGATGTCGTAGGATGACTGTCTAACAACGATACCTGAAGCAGCCTTAGTTCGCAGTGATGATTGAGCGCGTAGGAAGATGTGGTTATGATGCAGAGTGGCTGTGCGAGAGATGCGAGCATCGAAACTAAACTTGAAGCGGCTTAGTCATATATGCTTGAGATAGCAACGATCAACCAGCAAAGATCGCATTCCATCTACCAATTTCATTCATGTTACTGAAGCCCATGCAAGCTTTGAGAGATCGTGCTTCAGCTTACACCATCAATCGAATTCCTAAACTGCGTCCCTCTGGCTTCGGCCGACCCCTCTCGAGCAATTTTGCGCGTGCGTCATTACTCCAGTTCTTCACTGACCCTCACAAGGCTAACATCGATATCAGATATCGTCTCTCATACATACAGAACAACCCACAAGGTCTTCAGGATGACCACGGAAGCCACCCAACTCAAGTACATCGATGTTGGTCCGCATCCCACTTTCCCGCCACATCCCTCATCTAACTCATCCTAGATCGGTATCAACTTTACGGATCCGATATACCGTGGTGAATACCATGGCACTAAGCGTCACGAAGATGATTTCGAAGATGTCATCCATAGAGCCGTTGATGCTGGCTGCAAGAAGTTCATGGTAACTGGTTCCGATCTCGAGGAATCGAAGCATGCTGTCGAAATAGCGAAAGCTCATCCAGGCCTATGCTACGCAACCATTGGCGTACATCCTTGTTCAGCAAAACATTTCGACACGCACCCTGGAGGCCCGTCCGAACTCCTCTCTGCCTTGAAAGCTCTAGCGCTTGAAGCCAAAGAAGCAGGACATGCAGTAGCTTTTGGCGAGATTGGGCTTGACTATGACCGCCTCTTTCTAACGCCAAAGGAGCCGCAGTTGAAATACTTCGAAGCACAGTTGGCGATTGCAATCGAGGTCCAGCTACCACTGTTTCTACACTCGCGAGCCGCGAGTGAAGACTTTGAGAAACTCTTGACTGCGAAATTGGATCAATTGCCGAAACGAGGTCTGGTTCATAGCTTCACTGGTACGGTGGAGGAGATGCAACGTCTTGTTGACTTGGGTTTCGATATTGGAGTCAACGGATGTAGCATGAAAAGTGAGTATTCCTATAGCAGTTAAGATGCAATTGCGCTGACCTTGTTACTAGCGGAGGAGAACATCGCAGTCGTCAAGCAAATACCACTTGAGCGCCTGCAGATCGAGACGGATGGTCCATGGTGCGAGATGCGACCCAGTCATGCATCAGCCAAGTACCTGCAAGACGCGCCTCCACTACCCAAGGCGGTCAAGAAGGAGAAGTTCGCCAAAGGTATGATGGTCAAGGGCCGAAACGAGCCGGCCACGATACCACACGTGGCACATGCGATCGCAAAGATAAAGGAGATCACCTTGGAGGAAGTCTGTGATGCGTGAGTCTACCAATTTTCGTTATAACACAGGCGACAGGAAGAAGCTGACAGTTGCCCAGTGCTTGGAAGAATTCGATCAAGATGTTTGGACTTGGCGAGACGGCGTAATAACATCACGCCTTCGACTTGGTATAGACTATGCACATAGAAGATCGATTTGTACAGGAGGAATCTGCTCCCTCAAACTCGCAGATAAAACGACCATCAAAATAGACCACACAAACCCAAACACTCTACTTCCTGTACCACATTCTCGTGATCTTGGTATGCCTCATCTTCTTCTGCAGCTGGAAGATTCCGTACATGAGCGCCTCGGCGGTAGGCGGGCATCCAGGCACGTAGATGTCTACTGGTACGATCCTGTCACATCCTCTTGTGACCGAGTAGCTGTAGTGGTAGTAGCCTCCTCCGTTTGCGCAGCTGCCCATGGAGATAACCCATCGTGGGTCAGGCATCTGGTCGTAGACCTGTCGCAGCGCTGGTGCCATCTTGTTTGTAAGGGTTCCGGCTACGATCATGACATCGGACTGTCGTGGCGAGGCACGGAAAATGATACCGAGACGATCCTGATCGTATCGTGGGGTGGACAAGTGCATCATCTCGACGGCACAGCATGCGAGACCGAAAGTCATAGGCCAGAGAGAGCTCTGACGGGCCCAGTTGGCAACTTGGTCGAGTGTTGTCCTATTGCCGCACGTTAGCTTGTGCCCTTGTAGCCGTTCCTTGCTGCCGCCTTGATTTCCATTCCAGGAATTTTCAGGGATATCACATACAATGCGTATTGCATAGCGCCCTTCTTTCCCTCCTGACTCGGCAATGGCACCTCTACTCGCGCTGACTTCATCGGTGGTGGCGTTCCAGGGTTGCCGGGGATGGTCGCGGGTGTCTTCATGGTCGTGGCCCTGTCCGAAGAGCTCGAGGAAAGGAAAGCTGCGCTTCCGGCGCGGAATGGCATCAGTGCCGTCGCGGGTTTGGCTGTCCATATTGTCAGTTGCGGGAAACGGCGAGCTTTGTGGGTGTCGGGGACAAACCTCGCAGAGCCATTGAGGCCGCCGACCTTGTTGTCGAAAACATGATTGCGCCGAACAGAAAGGAAGGGCGTGGGTGAAGGAGTGGAGAGGCAAGATGTGGGGTGGCGGTCGAGGAGTCGCGAAGTTCATCGATGAGGTAGGTGCAGCAAAATGCTTGGCGGAAATCGATTAGTCGTCGATTTTGGTGCCCTCTGATAGGTTAGGCGGCCATGGCGCCTCCCTCGATCGCCCTTTCGGTCTACGTCGGCCAGGCTACTCCCGCATACACATTCCAGATCCACCAAACCTGTCCCAACTTGTGATTATTCATACAACATGTCAGGTCGGGTAAGGAATACAGGCATCTGGGTCTTGGAGAATGTGCTGATGACTGTCCTCAGGTCCCATCTATCGCCTGCATAGGCGTAATTGGCAAACACGTTAGTATACCTGGTATACATCTTCAATCTGGATAGAGTTGACGATTGTTGTAGAACAACCCACTGCACATATCACTCTTCCCGGCCGAGGAGAGGGCACCACTAGAGTTCCAGTTTCTTCTTTCCTCATGTCTGGACATCTTCGAAGCTCGTCTTCCACACAAAACAGCCGATCAGGACTTTGGACTTCTTCAAGCCGTCGATGAGAGGTTAGCAATGTATGGCTGGCTCACCAACACTGGAGTCAAGTTCGTCATTGTTGTCGACATGGAAGGAAGGCCAGCTACTGCACTCGACAGCAAGACCGCGGCTGCTGTTGGGTTACGAGATGCGGACATGAAACCTGTAAGCTCATAGTCCTAAATTGCGAGCTATTTTTAACATTCGTTAGGCTTTCAGGGCATTGCAGACAGCCTATATTAAGCTGTTGAGGAATCCGTAAGACGATCCAGGACCACGTGCAATTGATATTCATACTGACTTCTGTTGCTACTTCGTAGGTTCTACAATCCAGATGAGCATTCCCCAGTCACCGCAAATGCCGAGCATAGGATCGGCTCAACTCAAATAACTAGTCGCAAGTTCGTCCAAGAAGTCAAGAAGATAGCCGACGCGTGGTCTCCCGGCGTTACAAGCATATGATTAAACTCCACTCCAAGTACGATACCATGTTGCATCCAGGTCGGCGTTCGTAGCAATCATTCAGGTTATGCATTCTCTTTTTCAGTCTCTCTTCGTTCCATGGCGCGTACCATGTCCGCTTGTCGGAGTTTCCTAAAAGCGCTAGCGCCGATTGCAGTCTAGTCCAATGTCAGGGCAGATCACCTTGGCCATGTCGACTTCAAACATCATGCCACATAGACTTTCGTTCTTGCAACCAATGACTACCAATGCCTTCCACCGGTGTTACAATCACCAACCCTTTGGTGCTTTATCGCAGTCTTATTGCTACACAGAAGATCCGACCTGACCCGGCTCAACATCGTCTCGGTATGACGTCTACCATTTAGATCACACTAGCGTAGAGTATGTACTAACATTGAACGCAGCACTACATTTGCAGAAGCTCTACGACAGGTTAATTGACTATGAACCGACTGTAGATTACTCCAAGAGGCTTCAACAACTTACACGAGCTGTTGATGCGGGCCAAGATGCGTCATCGTCACCGACTGATACACATGTCAACCGCTTCGGTAGAAGGGGCGTATGGACGTCTTTACTTGCGCAAAAAGACCAAAGAGACTCTAAAGCATTGACGCGCGTCTTGACTAGCCACGATGAGGCCATGCAACTGCAGAGTCCCAAGGGCCTCATGCTCCACGGCGAAGTCGGTACCGGAAAGTCTATGTTAATCGATCTCTTCCAGGATTGTCTACCAAACCGCAAGAAGCGGCGTTGGCACTTCAATACCTTCATGCTCGACACCATATCGCGTCTAGAGCAACTACGCATGTCGAGATCGCTCGTAGCCGGCCCCGGAGCCACTCACGACGAGTACTCCCTACTTCTCGTAGCACGCGACCTCATCGAGAAGTCTCCCATCTTGTTCTTGGACGAATTTCAACTGCCCGATCGCGCTGCTAGCAAGATTTTGTCGAATCTCATGACGTCTTTCTTCCAACTTGGTGGCGTGCTCATTGCAACCAGTAACCGCATGCCAGAAGAGTTGGCCAAGGCTGCGGGTATGGAGTTTTCACGGCCAGTCAATCGCCTTAGTCGCCTGGGATGGGGTATGAGCAAGAGTTCGTATACGAGGAGAGACGATGGAGCTGGCCAGATGGGAGAGTTTGCAGCGTTCTTGGAAGTGCTTAGGGCGAGGTGCGAAGTTTGGGAGATGGAGGGAAAGAAAGATTATCGAAAGATTGAGAGGGAAGAAGAGGTAGGGCGAAGAGACAGTGTGCAGATGCCAGCATCCGAAGCTCTCGCCAACGCTGCTTCAACTTCAACGGTCGGAGCAGCGGGTACGACAGATGTTTCTGACGCACCACAAGATTCAATTCCCGAGGCCACAGAAACGTCATCGTACCTCCCAAAGAACTACCTCATCCAACCCACCACTACAGAAACAATGATAAAATTTGGCGAATCCTTCAACTCCCTCGTTGAGCACGCAACCAACAGCGAATACCCCATTCCCTGGGAATCCGCAACGCTCACCGTCTACAACCGGCCCCTCGAGATCCCTGCCCAGTACAATGGCGTAGCATTCTTTACTTTCGCCGAACTCTGCGGCGCAGTTCTAGGTCCAGCAGACTACATCACCCTAGCATCTACATACCACACATTCATCGTCAGCGACGTGCCCGTCATGGGCCTGCTGATGAAGAGCGAAGCAAGGCGACTTATCACCTTACTCGACGCCATGTACGAAGCAAGATGCAGACTGATGATGACGGCAGCCGCAGGTCCGGATGAAATCTTCTTCCCCTCTCGACCACCGAAGGCAACAGAATCAGGACAAGAGACTCTTGACAACGATGCCGTGTACCCAGAAACGTATTCAGAAATCTACCAAGATCTCAACTCGCCCTTTAGACCAAACATCTCGTCTTACTCGGGCGACTCGCTGTCCGAGGACGCGCTAGAAGACGATCCTCCGAACCGGTCCCGACGCGAGGGAACCTCTTTCACGGATGAGCGGAAATTCGGTCCTGGATCTCCCGACTTTGCTAATATAGGTGGCTTGACAGGTGAAGACGAGAAGTTTGCTGTAAAGAGGGCGGAGAGTCGGATTTGGGAAATGTGTTCGGGCAAGTGGTGGGATCGCTTTTCTGCTGCAGCTCAAGAGGCGACGCCATGGTGGAGGCCTCTTCCTCTTGAGTCGAGACATTGGGAGAGGATTTCTGTTACGTCTAGGCCTTCTTCCTTGACTTCAGCGCCGTCGCCAGAGTCGCTCCCGCCTAATATAAAGATTCTGTCCAAGGATGAGGTTGAAAAGGATCGTCAGAAAGAGATGGAGGACATGTTCAAACATGGGGCAAGTCCCTTCCGCACGCACCCTGATGCGCCGCCAAAGTTTAGCTGGACGCATGCTTGGGGTATGATGACTTGGGGGAAGAAGGCTGGGGCCTGGGGGAAGGGTGTGGAGGGTTTGAAGGAGAGAAAGGATGGTGAAGAAGGTGATGAAGACGGAAAGGGTGGTAGGGAAGAGAAGAAGTGAGACTAAGTAAAGGATATGTTACATAGCTGATCCGATAGCTTGGTATAGATTCATTTTAGAGATCAAGATCAAATGGCTCATCAACCCACGTTCATTCGAACCACGGATCTAGTCACTGAATGTTGCCCTTGTTCACTACGAAGGCTTCCAGCGCAGAAATGGCAGCCCATAACCTATTCTCTGCCTCCCTGAACACGACACTCCTTGGCCCGTAGAAGACCTCGTCAGCAACCTCCTCGGGATGCCTGGGCAAGCAATGCATGAAGCTCCAGTTGTCCTTGGCACCACCACGTTTCGCCAGCTCAGAGGTGATCTGGAAGCCCGAGAAGGCCTTGAGACGCTTCGCGGTCTCCTCTTCCTGGCCCATGGACACCCAAGTATCTGTCACGAGAATATCGGCGTTCTTGATGGCTTCTTCAGGCGTGTTGGTTTCAAAGAGCTTGCCGGGGTGGGGAGAGGTTTGGGCTGCGTGGGAGATTACTTCGCGCATTGCTTTGGGAATCTCATAGCCAGGAGGGGTTGCGACGGCGATGTCTATGCCTAGTTTTGTCGCGCCAATAGCCAAATCGAAGAGGACATTGTTGGCGTCTCCTATCCATGCAATCTTGAGCCCCTCGAGACCGAGAGAAGTAGAGGATGTGGAGGGGTATATCTCGGCCATGGTGAGTAGGTCGGCGATGATTTGGAGGGGGTGGTAGAGGTCGGATAGGGCGTTTATGACGGGGACGCTCGAGTGCTTTGCAAGGTCGGCGACATCTGAATGGGGGCCGACGCGGGCAACGATTGCGGCGGTCATGCTGGAGAGGACGAGCGAAGTGTCGTAGAGAGATTCATTGACCTGGGAAGCGTCTTGTCAGCGGGCATAGTGGGGGTAGCAAGGTCTGCCATACACCGAGTTGTATGTCGTCCTTGCCCAAGAACATTGGAGAGCCTCCGAATGCCGCGATGGCGCCTTCTGTCGAAACCCTCGTGCGCGTACTGCGCTTGCTGAAGGTCATTGCTACTGTCTTACCCGCCAATGCCCCGCGCATCGAATGCGGCACCTCACCTGTCTGCTTGATGGCAGTCTTGTGTTGGTGTGCATTTTGGACGAGCGTAGTGAGCTCGGCAGGCGTGAGATCTGCTATGGAGAGGAGATGTCGGGGTGCGAATGGCGATGTCGGAGGTGTAGCTGGTGAAGTAGAGTAGCATCGGCGCAAGCTTCGTAGAGCAGCGGGGGAGGGACGGAAAGCGGGCATGTTGCTTCAATTGCGTGTCTGAAGGCTGGATGGCGTGAGTTGAAGACTTTATGTAGTCGCAAACACAATGAATTGAGTCACACGCGTTATCGTGAGTCGAATGAATTATTGCTGTCAAACGGCACTAGAGACGTGACGCATGTGGGTGGAGAATGCTGGGGTCGAGGCTAGCGGCCGCGGCAGGCACGGACACACGTCGCTACCAGGCCTCTTATCCGGCGCCCAGCGAGTGGCTGAGTTCATGACGAGATGGACAACGTCAACCAACACCAACCTGCTCTCCGTCCTTGTTTCCTTTCACCTCGACCTGCATCAACACGCCGCATGTCATGTCCGTCGCCTGGACCCCCCTACGCCTGAAGATTGAGGAGGAGAACGTCGAGCAGCAGTGGGGCTCCAGCGCCAACACCCGCACGTCTAGTTCGAGACCGGCCTCGCACAAGTCTGCCCGCTCGTCGCGCTCAGCCCGCTCCCACCAATCCAGTCGAACCACAGAGCAGACGCCGCTGCTGTCGCAACAAGACCGAGATGACCACGAAAGACCAGATGAAGACGAGACGACACCCGCGACACGTTCGTTGCTGCGATCGTTGAGCGCCGGCTCAGACAAGAGTGGCAGTGGCAAAGTCCCGCTGTGGAGGAAGCGATGGCCGAGCATACTGGCTCTCGTCCTGCTATGTCTGCTCGTTGTCTTCATCATGCTCGGCTTCCTTGCCAAGGAAAGCATCGAAGAGTACTCCATGCAGGCAGCCGACTTCAAGCCCACCAAGCTCTCCATGGACGGGTTGACGGAGCATGGCGCCAAGGTGCACATACAAGGAGACTTTACAATGAACGCGAGCAAAGTGAAGAAACAGAGCGCGCGCAATCTCGGCCGCTTCGGCACATGGATTGCAAAGGAGGCTGAGACTGGGCCCTTTGATGCCGACGTCTACTTGCCCGAGTACGGCAACGTCTTGATTGGCACGGCCAAGATACCTGCAATCAAAGTGAACATCAGGAACGGGCACACGACGCATGTGTCATTTATTGCGACTGTACAACCCGGGTCCCCCGACGGTATTCGCAATGTCGCCAACGACTGGATCGATGGTCGACTAGGGCAGATACGGCTCAAGGGCAAGGCTGAAGTTCCTTTGAAGTCGGGATTGATCAATATTGGCAAGCAGCTCGTTGAGCAGTCCATGGTCTTCCAGGGAGGCGATATTCCAACACTTCCTCATTACAACATCACAAAGCTCAACCTTGGCAAGGCTAAGCATGGTCAGAAGGGACTTGGCGCCGACGCCTCCGTCGTCGTGCAAAACGACTTCCCTGTCCAGATCACGCTGCCTCCAGTGGCTGTCGATGTTGGCATTGAGGGCTGCTCAGCATCCGACAAGCACATCATGCTTGGAACTGCTCAAACTGATCAACTTGAGATCAAACCCAACTCAGACGTCAAGGTCGATGTCACCGGCATTGTCGACAAGCTCTCAGATCCATTGACCCAAGTCTGCCCCAACTCGGCCAAGTCTCCGCTTGACGCTTTCTTGGGCGACTACATGAAGGGCCAAGACGCGACTATCTACATCAACTGCTGCAAGTTCCCTGACCCAGCTACACCCGACTGGGCTCGTGAGCTGCTCAAGGACATTACCGTCCCAGTTCCCTTCGCCGGAAAGTCCATGGGAAACATGATCAAGAACTTCTCTCTAGCCGACATGCACTTCAGTCTGCCCAACCCATTTGCTGAACCTGGCACACCTGGAGCTCGTCCCAAGATTTCTGGTATTGTCAATGTCGATATCGGACTACCGCATGAGATGAACTTCCCCGTCGATGTCACTCAAGTCAAAGCCGATGCTGACATCTACTACCACAAGAAGAAGCTTGGAAAAATGAACTTGGAAAAGTGGCAAAAGGCAAACTCCACTCGTGTTGAAGGACATGGCTCAGATGGGCCGTCTCTCCTCGTTCAGTCCGTCATCAAGGACGCACCCATCGAAATCCTCGACGACGACCTCTTTAGTGAAGTCGTGCAGGCTCTGCTTTTCGGCGGCAAATCGGTTTTGATGGATCTCAAGGCTGCAGTCAGCATTGGCGTGGATACGCCCATGGGCAAACTCGCAGTGCGAGGAATTCCGGCGCAAGGTGTCGTACCAGTCAAACGTTCGTAACCAGTTCGTGATCCAAGTTTGGCCGCGTCTCCTGCATTTAGCTAACTTTCGGCGTTCAGCAATTGGCCACGGAAAAGACACTCAACCCGGCGATGGTGAAGATGAGGCGAGCAAAATCAATGTGCAGGTCGGCAATCTGTCCATCTCAGACACTTCGCCTACCTCTCTTACGATCACGGCCCTGGTCAACTTTACAAACCCTTCAAAATACTCCGCAACGGTCCCCTACTTCAACATCAACATTTTGGCCAACGGCTCCCACATCGGCAGTGCAACGGTTAAAGATATGGAAGTCTCTCCTGGTAACAACACAAACAAGCTCGCATCCGTTCTTTGGGATCCTTATACGTATGGTGGCGAAGAGGGAAAGAAGATCGGTGCAGAACTACTCTCCCAGTACATCTCTGGTACGTCCATGCTAATCATTGCATCCGTCAAAACAAGCTAATGCCAATGACAGGCTACAACACCACTATAACTGTCCAAGCCCATGAGAATTCTGTCCCATCTGTCCCCTATATTGGCCGCCTACTCTCGCAATTTCCAATCGAACGCCCTATGCCGCACATGTCAACACCGAAGAAGCCATGTGATGATGATGATGACTGTGGCGACCCCGAAGATGATGGCAGATCCCACTTTATCCGCGGTACCACCATGCATCTCATCACCAGCACAGCCGTCTTCACTCTTGCGTCGCCTTTCCGTGCTACAACCATGTACATAACTAGCATGGACGCGACGGCCTATTATGAAGGTCATACAGCCGGTAAAATCATCTACGACCTCCCTTTCGCTGTACCTCCCGGCCTCTCCGAATCTCCGCGCTTACCCGTCGACTGGTCGTTTGGTAGCCTCGGATACGAGGCTATTAAGAGAGCACTTGGTGGACAACTAAAGCTTAGCGCTTTCGCGTATGTGGGCGTCCGCATCGGAGAATGGCGAGAGAACATTTGGTTTCAAGGTGGCAAAATTGGAGCAAACGTCCGTCTTTGAGGCTCTAGAATGGTTTGGGTATAGATGTCCTGGCGAGATGAGGGGTTTGCATTCGTGTGTATACTTGAATATGTTGAGCAGAATGGGAAAGATAGTACACGCCTGGTAGCGTTGGGTAGATCTGTAGGGCAGTGGCGGCGTTTAGGGTCTTGAGATTGCAACCATCCCGCTTTTGATGTAGTAATATGACATATTTCTCCTTTGTCCAGATTCTTGTTCTGATTCCCGATGTTTTCCCGCTTTGCAAGCGAAATCTTATGTTGGTTTAGGAAAATGGTTCTGTTGGTCTTTAAGTCTGGTACGGTACCCGCACTGTCCAGTCACAGACGCACCCCCTCATGGCGCCCTTCACACGTCCTTCGTTACGAAGTGTTTCGCAGCATTTTTTGGTTCCGAGTAATAGGGGATGTCACAATGTCATCCTAGCGTAGGGACCGTTTGTACTAGTAGACGAACGATAACCAAGTTCTCGCTCCGCGGCTCCAGCCTCTTTAAACAAAGTATTCCAGGCAAGACTTCCTAGTCGTGGGTTTCGACGTGCATGCGGCAAGGCGTACATTCAGCCAAACTATACTTCAACATTTGGAAACGCGCTAATGCAATGGTACCAGGTTGGGATAGGGGCAAAGGGTCTACCGCTTATGCTTGCTAACTTCGAGACGAGCTGAGGTCGCAAACGCCCAAAGAGCCCTCGGAGTGATGACTGAGCCGACAAGTGATGAGAGCCTCGAAAAGCAAGAGTCGCTGCTCACGCACTTGTATTTATCCCTCAGGTCTCAAATTCCGGGTGTTTCGACATAAGCTGATGTGTTCACCGTAGAATATAATAACTGCCTCATTACTGCGAATACCCAAGTTGAGCGATCGAGGAATTCCATATGTTCCTCCTCGTAAATGTGAGTTGTCGATTCGATCGTCGATTCGATCGTCGATCGTTCTCGAACTCAATCGCCCATTGTTTTTACCTTGCTGCAAATCAGCCATGTGGACAGCTTATTAGCCGGAACATGCCGAACCGCTAGTTGCCAAGATGCATGCCCATGGTAGGCGAAGTGGAAGCTGCTGGAACCACAAACCAGTCGGCGATGACCGTATGCTGGATAGGTCCAGGTGCTGAGGGAAGTACTGCCAGATGTGTCACCACCTAAACGTGATTGGGTTTAGCATATCAGCTCGTGGCCGTGGCCGACAGTGATAGGTCTAGGAATGCTTGCCCGTCACCAAAATTTCCCTCCCCGCGTATCGAACTTTGGTGTGCATTTGCGTCAACGTCACGGTACTCTGCAACAAGGGAACGACAGCTTCGTCTCACACCGTCGGAAGGCGGGCTTCGCGTACTTCAACTGCAATGAATGGACCTTCTAGACCGTCATCCCTAGCGCAAATCGTATGATTCTGCTGGGCGCTGCAAGGTTACAAAGAGATTTGGCCATTCAGGTGGCGGATATCATAGCTGCAATAGAGGCTATGGGAAAGTCTTGTTACATGGTCCTGGCTGCAGCTGAAGTTTTTGGTGCGATACAGGCTGTTGCTTCTCCGCCAACTTTGCTTGCCGTCCCGTACTCCGAAGCTTCTAGGCACAGCACAACCAAGCTTGCGACATCGTCCAGGAGCAGGCAAAAGCCGGTGAATCGCCTGCTGATCGTTCGATATTCTGCTTTCACCCGATTACTGGCTGCGATCACCAACTAGGATACCAAGGTAGGGCTGTGAACAGGGGGGTCAGAGAAACGAATAGGCCTTTCGATATATACCTCCATATGGCATCGCCCAAAACTGAGTGACTAGTAATAAACGTCCTACACAATTCTACAGTCGCGATACACCAAGATGGACTTCTCCAACCTGCCTGCCTTCCCCATGGCTGCGAACAACCCAATGTACTCTCCCAACAGCGACGCCTTTCCATCACCGGACGAAATCGACGCATACCTCACCGACGCGTATCCCGTACCGTCCGACTATGCTTTCAATAGCTACGGCAGCAGGCATAACTCATGTTTCAGTCGTCCCACCAAACCAGCGGACACTGATATGAATTGGAGCGCACCAGTACCCAACAGCTACATCAACACACCGTCGCTTGTCAACACAACTAGCGCAGTCTCCAAACCTCCTCTAAACGCATGGCCAAATTACAACCCCTCCCCCTGGGCTGTCCAGCCGACTTCCAGCATACCTACACGGCATCCGATATCCCTAGCGGCTTTGCCTCGAACCCCTCCCCCTTGCCAACCCCCTCTAGCAACGGCAGCCCAACATCCTCGTCACCAATCGCGACGCACCACCCCTCCCCTGAAGACACCAGTCTCAAGCCGCCTCCCCCACGCAAGCGAGGCCGTCCCCGTCTGCACCGCCCCGTCTCGGATCCCTCAGCGACCACCATCACTGCCAACAGAGTCACCCGAACACAGTGCATGCCCCACACTGAAGTCGAGCGCAAGTATCGTGAGAAGCTCAATGCGGAGCTAGAGCGACTACGCAGGGCGGTACCCATGTTGCCGCAATGCGATGGTACGGATGTGGGCGCGGTGAAACCTAGCAAGAGTATGGTGCTTGCAGTTGCTATTGACTATATCAAAGAGTTGGAGAGACAGCGAGATGCGGCCGTCGAAGAGGTGGAGAGGCTGGGGGGCAAAATGAGGTTCGCAAGGACGTCAGTTAGGAAAAGGGAGGGTAGAGATGTTTGAGCGGGCGGCGCTGGGTTTGCTGTGGTGTGGAAGGAGATGGATATACATCCACCTTTGAGTTTACGATATTTTATGAGGAGCAGAGGGAGGGCTGCCTACATGCTACATGCTAGCATGTTCACGATCTTGAACCCAATTCAGCAGACCCAGGGCCGCCATGTAATATTCGGATGCAGTATTAGATACCCCGAGTAATGTTTCGATGGATGGGAGGTGCTTCTGTAACGATGGAATTGCAGGTAGAGGTAACAGTCTACTACCAGCAAATACATTGTGTTTGTCGATCTTCTGATGTTTCAAGTAGAAAACATCAAGGCAAGGATTCTAAGAAGCGATTTCTCAGTCACCTGCTGTATTTGTATACTTTTCCCATAGGCTATATTCTGCTGGGAAATAGCGATAGTTGGTACAAGGCGGGTTGTATCTACTGAGTTGTATCCCAATGCCAAATCTTACTTCAAGGTACCTGGAAATCCTATATACTATGAACGTACTACTGATACGTATTGCATTTGTGAGACATACAGTCTTAGAGCCACAAACTTCATCATGTGCTACCACTCGTTGTCTCACCTTATGGTTGAACGCTGAAATATTTCGTAGTATACTTGACCTACCTCCTAATTCTTCTACATATCCTTATTTCTCCTTCACTAGGCTATACTTGCCCCTGGACTTGTAGTACGTCAAACTCAAGAGAACTTATTTCATGCAAGTCGCTGACTGTTCCAGCACGGAGCGAGGATCTGCCTAGTAGTAAAGACAGTAGTAAGAGACTAGTAACAAGCAGTTAGTAGTCAGAGATTCAATGTATGTAGGCGACGTTGATTCGTGCATCCAGAGTAAGACTGCTACCTCGTTTAGTCCCACTTGTGCAAGCCCTCCAACTAAGCCTACCAATCGGTACTATTCCTTGAGGGTATCCATCCTAACATGCATCACATGGCTACGCCTCCAACAAGCGAAAGTTGACACATAAACATCTAACCCAAACAGTCTCCCTACCTCTTTGTAGTAAAGCTACGTGGGCTGAAGCAAAGTGCTTTGCAGTGAGATTTTTGTTTAGGCAGCAATACCAGGTAATCAAATAAGCACCACTCTGTGGTAGATGAGTTGCAGCTGGGGCTAGCGAGATGTGGCTGCGCGCACAGAGCAGTGTTTGTGAAAATGGGTGGAAGAGTGGTAAAGCGGCGAGTAGACTCTAATCAGACGTAAAGGAAGCAAGAACGTTAAATTAGAATTATGGAAAGTGGAGTGAGTATGCAAGAAATCGTGGGGGGGAAAACTGTTGATGTGCAATCGGGTTTGGTTTGTGAGATCCACGCGTTCGCCCCCCTCCTCAGGGCTCCATCTTTTCCCCTCTCTCCCCCTCACTAGCGCACGTCGCTCGTAATCCACGCACGTTAGGAGTTTGCTCGGCGCAAACCACATCATTCTCACACCACCATCCCGCAGCACCTTGATGGCACTTGAGATTGCCGAACGAGATGAGGCGGGGAACCTGGTGTTGGAGTATGTTGCTGAGGCGCAGGGGAGGAGAGTTGACGTAATTGTATGTCGCATGCACATTTCCAAGGCTGTCTATCAGACCTGGCTTGCGATTCGAGCTTCAATTCTAGTACCTGGATTAACAAACCTGGATCGAAGTCACGGTTCAACACATGAAAATAAAGCCAACGTATACTTTTGCTAACACAACACCCACCTCGTTCTAGTACCCCAAAGAAGCGAAAAGCTATGCGCAACGCGTTCTGGATATTTTCTTGCCAGCGGGCTATCCGCAGAGTGTGACGGAGGATTATGTTCATTACCAGATTTACGTAAGTTTCACTGAAGTCTTTCCTATTTCGACGACCGCTCGAATCGTGGGATGATGGGTAGGAAGCTGATAAGACGATGCGGCGCAGGACTCGCTCCAGGCGTTCTCATCTTCGATTGCGGGGATGCTGGCGTCGAGAGCTGTGCTGGAAGGTATGTTTCATGCACATCACGATATATGCCCCTTGTCTTTTTCCGTTCAGTCATTGTGTGGATCTACTGCTGTGCGTGGTCGACAAGGCTATATGTTGAACTCAAGAGATGGAGAATCATGCATCGCAAGCGCCAAACATGGCGGTACCCCATCACGATCATACGATAAGGAAAACTCGTTTTCACGCACATCTAACACCTATTACCCAGGCGTTGGCGTAGGTGACTCAACTGCCTCCCCCACCTCAGCACTCCTCCTCTCTGTGCTCCAAGAGTCAACTGGCCGCATCGCCACAATCCTCTTCGCACACCGTCTCGGCACAGCCCTTGAGCCAGAGTGCAAAATGTTCCGCTTGGCTGCAGACGTCTTCAATGATACAGCGATGATTCTCGATTGCTTGTCGCCTGCTTTCCCCAAACCTATCCGCGTGGCTGTGTTGAGCTTTTCGAGTTGCTTGAGGGCGTTGTGTGGAGTTTGTGCGGGCAGTGCAAAAGCGAGTTTGAGTGCGCATTTTGCGAGAAAGGGAAATCTGGGAGAGGTCAATGCTGTGAGTTTGCTATTTCTGTATTGTCTATAACACAAGTTCTTGCTCCTCATCTTCTCGTGTAAACGACGTTATCTGCAGTGGGGGGCGGATGAACATGTGTGCTAACTCATTTTTATTTTATTTAGAAAGACTCCAGTCAGGAGACTGTGATCTCTTTACTTGGCATGCTTGTAAGTATCTTTAAATATCTTCACCATTGGTGAAGTGACTGACAGACCATCTAGGCGGGCAGCCTTGTGGTATCGCATATAACCTCACCTTTCGCGACGTGGAGCACACTCGTCTTTCTTCTTGCTATACACCTAGCCACCAACTATGCCGCGGTAAAAGCAGTCAGCATGAACTCGCTCAACAGACAACGGGCCAACATTCTCTTCAGCAACATGCTTCAACATGGCGTCATCCTAAGCCCAAGCGAAGTTTCCAAACGCGAAAGGATCTTCCATAGAGGTGACGTACTGCGCTGGTCTGACGATGGATTACTCGGACAATGTAAGATTGGCGTATCTCTCCAGGATTTGCTAGGCCGAATTGGTGAAGAAAATACACAGACTGGCTCACTCACGCTTCGCGCTATTCAAATCTCCGAACTGCTAGCCGTCTTCACCGGCGAGGCATACATAACATGTCCCGCCGCATCCGCTGCCGACATCTCAATCGTACTGAAAGCAGGATGTGGACCGAATGATCAGCTCAAAGCATGGGCGCACGCACTGTTGCTTGCGAAGAGAGCCCGAGATGGCAAAGGACACTCGGGTAACAAGCCCGATACAGCATCAGCACCGCCCAAGGATCGCCTGATTGCTGAGCTGAGGCAGACGTTGGAGGACGTCCGGGCCATGTTTGACAAGTATGGGGATGAGATGAGGGGGAAGGGATGGGATCTAGATGCTGCTGCGATGGAGACGAGGGCCGGGACACGGTTGCAGATTGCCATTCAACAAGTCGGATGACGAGGTATTTTCGACATGAACTGCCTTGCACAAAAGCCGTGAAACGAACGACGTGAAGAACACCAAGGGAACACCCAGAACACCAATCTTGTTGGGGAGACAGGTAACCCGGTTGAAGCGCTCGCGTGTTGCAGGCTGTCGTGGGATCCAGGTCAAACGGTGCTCGGTAATGGCGTCAGCAGGTTGACTCATCTACAGCCGCATGGGATCGGCACCAGCATGTACCGCTGGCCCTATGTTTGAAGCAGTTTGATGACCACCAGCATATCTTTTACCATTTTTCTTTTTTCTCTCACACACACTTTGCCAGCGCAGAGACATCAGTGCATCGCTCAAACAGTGGTTACGATCCACTTCGGTCCGGTTTCATGTATACCTGGCGTCTCTTCGGCGAGCGGTCGCCGGTTCCGAAGTAATCAATGCTGGCGTCCAAGCTCAACACCACACAATGTGGAGTGTGGACAGGCAATGCTGTGCGAAGAATGGAAACTAAGGCTAAATGCCATGAGTCTCGTGATTGCTCAAACCATGTAACAATGCTAGCACCAGCTTCACATGTGTGAAGATTTGTACAGACTCAACGTAGGGAAGCTGGTCCCGAGAGTGTGGTCGTTGGGGCTCTAACAAGCAAAAAACCCGCACATTACGGACGCCACCGTGCAAGGAGAAGACATGTCGTTCCGACATAGCTGAGGCTCGAACAGCAGAGACTCGGCCAAGTTAGCATGTGGTTTCATCGATCGCGGTCCTCCGGCAGACGTGGGATGCGGCTAAAAAACGAAACCCCACGAAGCGGTGAAGCGGGTGAATCAATCGAATACGCGAGCAAAAGTAATCCACTGGCTGCGTCATGTTGTGTTCCTGAGGCTCCGAGCTTTTTTTTTTGTTGGCGGCTCAAAATTTTCGGTGCGGATTGTTTTTCGTTGACCGTCGGCGCGTGCTGAGTCGTTGTCCGGCTACTGACGGTGTTGCAACGACAGAGCAGTCCTTCTAGAAGCGCCACAAAGGCAAACTTGCGAAGCACAACAGGGTCGGCGCTTGGAGAAAGCCCGAGATTGAAGCTCAACAGCATGCCACGCTATATTGAATGGGTGAGCGATGTCCGAGTGCAGGCTTGATGGTGGAGTGTTACAAGCGTTACGCTGGCCATACAGGAGGTTGGTGGGAGCGATCCTGGATCGACGGACAAGGCATTTATTGCTGCACTAAGATGCTTCAGGCAAGATTCTAGAAGAGTGAAATCGTTCTGGAAGATTTCTTGGGTTGCACGGTGATGGAATCGCGAAGGAGCAAGGATGAAAGCGGGTGGCCTGATCATGTGGTAGCGCTGAGTGGAACATGAGCAATCCAAACTTGGCGACGATGACGAGTGGTATACACACGTGTACAGAGGGCAACGTTGGTGATTGCGTGAACACTATGTTAAGCACAAAAGAAAGATGGCATGTAGGTTGGCGTGATATGGGTGCGTATAAAGTAGGCGACCTCAGACCCTCTGCTGCCACGGTGCTTGCTAGAGACGTGTGCTAGAATACTAGAGATGCGCCGGCGCATCCCAAGTGGACCATGGTTGGCTGAGGGCAGGTTTGCGTCAGTCCAGGCAGAGATTGGGGAGCACACTTGGAGGATGAGTTTGGCCCCAGGCGTAAGGCCGGGGCCAAGAGTGTGGCCGTGCGGGCTCGCCTGGTGTCAGCCAGTGCAGGCGATGATTGGCGAGGAGGGCATGATCAAGTACCGTTGCGCGCGCACATCACGCGGCAAACAGTGACATTATCGACATGTTGTTACGGAGCGTTGCGCATGGCATTTGGACAAGCAAGTAGGCATTTGGATAAAGCAAGCAAGTAGGCGTTCGGGGACAGATGTAATGGATGGCCCTTCCTTTGTTGTGCAGGCAGAGTCATAGGGTGGATTAGTGGCACGAGTCTAGCTGAGGCCGTCGTATGCGGCGTGCTGGAAGCCTCGCGCGTGTGCGCATTCCATGTCCCTGGGACAGAGAGTGGCAGCACGACAGGCAGTGGCAGTGGCAGAGCCATCGCCATGTGTCTACAAAGGGAAACTGGAGAAGGGTGGACTTCTTTATCAGACAAAAAGGGCCGAGCAAGCAGTGTGTGCGGGAGAGGGCGACGGCAGGCGACGCACAAGGCTGGGGGGCCCAAGGTAATCTATGCACGCAGACTAGTGCCGGGCATCGGAACCAGATGGGGATGGCTCGCGTGAATGGATGAGATAGATAACACAGCCGTGCAGACAGTGTGCGGTGCTACCTACCACGTCGTCGGAAAGCAACGCGTCGCTGGTTCACCATGGCTGATGTCGCAGTTTGTCACGACAGTCACGGCGAGTGACGAGTAAGCAACGGCGCTGAGCATGGCTAGAGGGGGTTAGGGCTTGCGCCGTCCAAAGCGCCCACGAGCATCGGCGTGGCAAAGAGTGGAAAACAGTCGGCGCCAGGGGGCGGTTTCGGCAAGGATGATGATGTGGGCATGCGTCTTCCAGAAGACGACGAGGGCCAATAATGGCGTAGCAGCATGTGGCCGCTTTTACGGGTCCAGGTGCCCTCAGCCATGGGCCCTCGATGCTCCTTCATGGCCAAACCGGTGGTGGGACCTGGCGTGTGCGTCCTGACTGAGCTTTCCGCCCAAGCACTGACCCAAGACTCCCTGACTCTCCACTGCCGCTTGCTCAAAACCACGCTGAGCCGTACCTGTCCATACCCACGTCCTGACGCATATCGGCCTTTCTGTCTCACCACGCCCTCGTCACAGCCCACCGCCCACCGTCTCCGCCCGCCGACCCACCGCCGTCTCTATATACCCGTGCAACTGCTCTCGCCATCGCTTCTGCTTGGTGCCGCCTCACACGCTCAATGCTACCCTCGGATCCATAGTCCTCCACCACCACCACTCTCTCGTCACTAGGTTCGCCCGAACCGAGTGCCGCCAACGCCAAGCTGGCGCAATAAATCCAACTCTGTTCCTGTGAAGGCTTCGATGAGCAGAGCAGGAAAAACGCTCGCCGTGTCTACAAACACTTCTGGAAGAGCGTCATGGTCACACGCAAGCCCGGTAGCCAAACCCTGTCCATACGAACAGACTCGACCGCCCCGTCCTCGCCCACATCATCGCTGGCCGACTTTGATGCCCCCGACGTCAACATGGCCATGACCGACTGCACACCCGCGCCATTGACCGTCTCAATACCCAAAAACATACCCAGTCCCCAATGCCGGAAACCAAACCTGCAGGAGATACTTAGCAACACCGCCCCGCCGCCCTACACTCTCACTTCCTTCATGGCGTTTCTGTCACAGAACCACTGCTTGGAGAACCTCGAATTCACCATGGACGCCTCCCGCTATCGCAAGCACTACTCAAAGATGGTCAACCGCCATCCGGGGAGCCCCATCTCGCCATTGTCCGAGGAGTGTGGCTACGTGCTGATGCTCTGGCGTCGCCTCATTGACGCTTACATCCGCGAGTCCGGCCCACGAGAAGTGAGTGCAACCTGCCTATTTGCCCTCCAACATCCCACTAACAGCCGCAGGTCAACCTCCCCGCTGAAGTCCGCGACCAACTCCTCAGCCTCTCCGACTCTTACGTACCACCCCATCCATCATCGTTGGATAGTGCCGTGGCCAAGATCAATGAGCTCATGGAGGAGAGCGTACTGGTCTCGTTCCTCAACTCAGTCAGCCCACAAAGCGCTCACCCCGCCAGCCACGAGAGCTACGCCGGCAGTAACATCTCTCGGTCATCAACTCGCAGCTACGAAGAGAGAAGTCTCCTTTCCCGCTCATCACAGCCGCCCATGCCTGCGAAACAACGGGCATCGGCACCCTCATCACTCACTTCCGGCTTCATGGCATCTCGTCCCTTCTCCCACTCACGCTTTCACTCTCAGCCCACCTCTTCCGGTCAAGCGCCCACCCGTGTAACCTCTGACTACACTAGTGGTAGCGATGCATTGACCGACGACTCCGGCAGCGCAAGTAGCCCGTCTGGAATGAGCGATCCACTGACCCCTCCTGGCACCCCACCCATGAGCGACTATCCCATGGCCGACTTCCAGCATGCCTACTACGAGACAGGGTCAAATAGTGGCACTCCCAGTCCTCGCAACAGCCGAGGAGACCACAACGGTCTTGCCAATGCTACCAGGGATAGCTGGAAGCGAGTAAGCAGCAAGCTATGGCCCAAGAAAAAGAGCGGCAGCCAGCTCCGAGACGACGAACCAGGTGTTGTTGAGGGTGGTCTCTTCTAAGCCACCTCCATTCAACCTCATCATCTCCACACTCATACCCACATTTCGACATTCAAAAGCAGATACGATCATGAAGATGCAATCAGAGCGATTTGCATCACCTTAACCTTGCATTCTGGGCTGCATAACCACCGGCGTAACTGAATTTCTACACCCGAGTCCACGGGCATGCGAAGGCGCAACTGGCTCACACAACCCGGCGAGGTTGTTTTCGGCATTTTTTCTTCCTCATCAACTTCAAACTACTAGACATTTTGCGAAACGGCGTTGCGAAACTTCCTGGCCACACTTCCTATATCCACTTGCGGTGGCTAGGTCCAGGCGTTACTTTGACGTTGCTTCATCATCAAGAGCATATTCACGAATGACTTACTTGGGCGGACGGTTCTGATTTTCTTCTCTGTATCATTATGGCTACTTTTCACCTTTTCCCCCGGCAGTGGGGAGGCTTTTTCTGTTCATAGGCATGGATGGGGGTGGATTGGAGTAGATACCAAAGCGTCTGAAACGCTAGAATCACGATTGTTACCATGTTGGTCACCAACACGCAAACTTTGTCCCTACGCAGTTTTTGACGTGATGTTTTGGTTTCTACATTGAGCGATGACAAATGGACAGATGATGTTACATCGGATACACTCGTCCGAGGTAAAACTCCGTCGCCGCACTCCGACTTATTCCTTTCTTACCATCAAATTGGAACACGAAGCGCCTCTAACCCGATGCCTTGCATAGGAGCTTTTTGCGTTCATTTGGAACTCCATGTAGATCCTCGCGTAACCTACGCCAAAGCGACAAAGGGAAAGGGATATCCTCAATCAACCTTGTCCTCCGCCGTATTACCGGGACTGCCATCGGTAGTCATACAGGACCAGAAAACTCATTCATTCTCATTTCCACTAGAATACAACTCCGCGGTATCCCTTGCATCCTTTCCCATCCCCTACTTTTACCCGTTGGACTGGAGACGGTGTCCGAAATGCCGGGGGAATTAGCTACTAAATTAGGAAAGCCCTTGATGTGTCTTTCTCCTTCAGCTACGCCATTGATGTGCTTCCCGTGGCCACGGGTTGGGTAAGGGATGCGGTGGTCCCCGAGCGAGGTGCCCGGCGCGAGGACAGTTGGGCGAAGAAGGATGTGAGAGGGAGAAACCGGTGTGTTGGGTTGTGAAACTTGGGGTTGGGGTGGAAGGGGGATGGGAGCGGAGATATTGTTGCGAGGTTGTTGAGACGGATTCCGCTGACGATTGATGTCTTGGTCCAAGTAATATCTCAGGCGTCCATGATAGACCTAGATTCTCTCCTGTTCTATTTTCTTACATGCTGCGTTCTACTCCGGCTCCAAACTACACCAACCAAGGCGTAACTTGCTCATCATCACCCACTCGATCCCGTAGAACCCAAACTCTAATCACGATATCACGTACATAGCACACCGATCAGCCTCGCACCCAGCTCACCAGCACCAACGAGTCGTAACCGAGCCGCCAGCACCCGCTCGCCTACCCCAACATACGGTTTGACATTCTCCATACCATTCCATTCACCATATCCCATAGCCGCGGAATCTCTCCCCTTCCAGAACACGTCGCCCAAGTGTTGCTGCTTGCCCAAAAAAAAATCCTCCTTTCCTGTGTCAACTGCCAGCAACTGTGCCGCAAAGGAAGCGAAAGCGAGTAATGTTGGTGGTGGCGTGGGAGGGATCACGAACTGTGCACAATTCCTTCACTGTGCACGAGGTTTGACGTGTTTTGTTCCCCCTTTTTGACATGCCCTTGAGAAGTTTTGCACGTGGAGTTGCTTTGCATTACCGCTCCGTGGTTTCGGAACACCGATGCGGCGTTGATGAAGATGAGGTAATGGGCTGTGGAGAGTTACATTGGTCCATGTATACGGTATACGATATGCCTCCGATATCTCCCCATGCATTGTCTCTATGTTGCGTCTCGACTACTGCGTCGGTGAGGTTTGTGACGTGCTACACCGTGCTCGGACGTTGCGTAGTTCCGCGCTTACGGCGGTTGTAGGCCAAGGTTCTTTATACCGGTAAACTCTACTTGTTTCAGGGATGGGACGTTGAGGCCATGTTCAGGCGTGACATGTTTCACTTGAACTCTGGTGAAGAGAATGACTCGACGTTCGCTGGGGATCCATGTTTGATCAGGATGTTGTTCGGAGAAAGTATTTGTGTTCTTGTGTTGTGTTGGCGCGTGTTGAAGTGCGACGCTTTGGGCGGAGGAGCTCACGACACGCAATCTTGGAACCATGACACTTTTCGCATAATTGTTCACAAGTACAAAAGCTGGTTCCGTCGCAGCCATTGATTTCCCTAAATTGTACCATTTTTCAAGCTATAGTGGATAGATAAGGTACGCTACGTGATTACATGTTATGACTTGCAATCATCCTAACTCTTTCAACATCGCGCCTACATGAAGAACATACACAGTTCTCGATGCGTCAATCCCTCAATTCCCGTAATTATATTCCTTTATTTCCACGTTCTACCGTGAGTAACACCGACCTCCTTCCCCATCCACCCAAGCCTCTCGGCACTTGTACCCAGCGCACAGCCTCCCGCGCGGCCATTGCATTGCAGATGGATTTGCCAGTAGCACGCCGTCCAAACCTACTAGTAAACGATTACGTTCCAAGCCTGACTATGAATACCAAGAGGAGCCAACTAACCACCTGACGGCAATACCCGTTTGCCGATGCTTGATCGACCCCCGCGGAAGCCGAAGGGAATGCAGGGCTGTGATATGTCAATGTGCAGATACTATTGTGATCAACGGACCTGAGCACTGCGAACACTCTCCACTTGGCTCAGTAGAAGCGAACTGCTAATACACAACCAGCCTTGCACTTGCATGGCTATTACTATAGACGTTACACACAAAAAGATCGCGCAGGTGCGATGACGAAGCTTGCGTAACGTAACCATGTCCTTGGTCAGGTTTACCCAGCTTACCCCTCATCTCTCCTCATCATCGTGCACCTGCATGGAACACACGCAACCTGAACACGAAGAGAGGGGTTTCACCGAAAAGCAAATACTACAGTGGCAAAACTTCTCGAAGCCTTCTAGAAACTGTCGCATTTCGCTGGAAATAAGCCACAAGATCCGCAAGTGACGTTGGGGATCGTAATCGCCAGCCTAGTGTTGACGATCATCTTAGAACACAACAGCAGCGTCGTGGAGTACCAAAATGATGCTGATCTTTCCTCGGTTGGCGGTGCGAAGCTACAGACTTGCGCAGGTGCTGTTCACGTAATGTGCAATCGGGGGTGCTCGCAAGTCCCTTGCAGCGCCTCGCAAATAGGAAGATGAGGAGGAGCTGGCTTCTTGCGGATGCAAGCAGTTTGTCTTAGCATTCCTGACCCCGCACGACGTTAGGGGGCGCAGCTGAACCATGACCTACGCCATCTTACATTTGGAACACCGAATCGCAAGTTCCAATGATCGAATCTGCCAATGACCAATAGATGTAGAAAACGCCTAAGCATGCAAGTCCTTCTTCCACCCGCCTACAGTGAGTTAGCATCAAACCCCTCGCTTTCCCGCCAACTGCCCTTTCCCGTTAGTGCCTTTTGCCGGAGCAAAAGCAGCGCACACTGATCGTCGCCTTCCCGTTGAGGTGAAGATGGACAGCTGTGTCAGCGGATCACGGCACTAGTAAGGGGAGAAAGCAGGGCCAAAAGCAGCACGCCGCTGATCGCACACGCCATAAGACACGATCGCGTGTGACGAAAAGCGCCAAGGGGCAACTGCCGTTAGTAGTGGGCTTTCGAGTGGCTGTAGTTTGCTAATCTTGGTGAGTGTGTGTGGTGGTTGAAAAGAAACAGCTTGTGATTGTGATAGCGTGTCTTGCAGTTATCGATGATGGCGATACGAATAGATTAAGACCCGTCGAATAAGCGATACACTCTCAAGGTCTGGTTGGTCCTTGGCCAATTTGCAGACTTACTACTCGGTACGTACATCGGTGTAGCATTGGGATGTATTCCGAGTACCTATTGTCTTTGCTGACAATTACAGACCCCACTAAAACTCGCGATCGGTAGGGGTCTCAGTGTTTGCGCTAAACTTCCCATGTCAAAGAAACCGACATGATGTAAACACGAAGTCCCACCCAGCTACTGCACACACGGGTTGTTAGTGCATTTATCATGTACTGTGTATATACCATGTAAATGGCTAGAGGTGGCGGCATAATACACCGCACTTGCATCAACCCTATGCCGTATCACGATCACCGTTGCGATCGCGATCGCGATACATGTGGATACCAGCACAGGCACAAGAATAGAGAGAGATGAGACCTGCTCCCTACCTCACCCCATTCCAGACCTTCCAAAGCGAGCAAATTAATTCCGTTTCGCCGTACAGTTCACCATCGGGCCTGTTCCTCACGTCTACAGTAGGAAGGTTCCCATACACATGGAACATCGGCCAACACTCCGATCGATGATGATGCTCACGGAAATCAACACCAAGTGCCATCGGTCCTACATAAAACTCACGACACCATACACACTTTTATCCAGACTATATGCAAGCACGCAATATGACTCGCTTCCATGTCCGCATTGCAGCGAGTACAAACCCACTGACTGACCGATCCGGACCGTTGGCTGCCATGGTGCCGGCTGGGCGCATGCCTCGTCTTTCCAATATAGTTTTTTTAATCTATCCTGCTTACCCACGTTACCCGGCAAACACGAAATGTGCTCGCTCTACATACCTCGCGCAATCTAATTCTAGGTTTCCGCATACCCAGTGAATTGGTATATATATTATCGAAGAGTGATCGAACATGGTCTAGATACTGCTGAACCGCCCTGTCGGCTCTTGGAGATGTTGTGTATGACATGCGGCTGGAAGAGGAAGGTAAAGGTTGGCTATGTGTTAGTGTGATCGGAATCATGTATGTCACGATCGCTACTTCTACTTGTGTGAGTGAAAATGTAGAGACAAACTGTACATCGATTATGTGGTAGAAATCTCGATCGATAATGTTGACAAGTTTGACGTCTGGTATCACGCTCTGTCATCTAGTTCCACTCATATACAGTAATATTCTCTCTCGATAATATGGAACGAGAATCACGCAAAAAAAAAAGAGTTTGGTAGGCGCGGGAATGTCTTCGGTTGCAGAAGTTTGGGGATTGAACTGCATTATGAGCCATGTGACCCAGAACATGTCATCCCTATTTGCTCTTATGTAGGGAAAGAGCTGTTCGACCACATCTGCAATGGTGATGATGGCCGCCGTCTGCCCTGCACACGACCAAACCGGCCAGGTCTTTTCTAGTCAGGCGTTTCTATATAGCACAGAGCTTCAAGATCGGAAGCAAGCTTGTGAAAAGGAGGTTCCATAGGTGGTGTTCTTGCGATGGGGTGACCATGGAAGGTTGACCATGGAAGGGTGATAGCTTGGAGGTATGCTTATTGGATGAGTATTCATACACCTGTATGTTCGATATGTCTTCAAGGATTGACCAGCGTAGGCTATCGAACTCATCGCTCAGTGCTTCTTCTTCAATTGCGCTTTCGTTACCGCTCTCGTTGTTGCTGTCAATGCTGCTTTCATCCGAGCTTGTACTGACCGCCTCATCGGCCGTTAGAACCGCGTCAAGAGTCACATTCTCGACCATGTCCTTACTGGTGTTGGTAGTCATAGCGAATGCAACGCGTAGCAGAGGAGATTACAAAAAAACACAAACATGTGAGGACAAGAAAAAGCTTCCTGTAGCCGAGGTAAAATTCAGCTATATGTTAGCATGGCGGAGACAGTGGATTTCAGTATCGCTACTTGTAGTCGAGTGGACATGGGTCAATGAATCATAAGTCGTTGGTGTAATAAAAGTCGCCATGGTCAATGTTAATAAGATGTATTACTTGTTCGCATCAGTTTCGATGTGTACAACAGCCCGCAAGCTCATAAGCTACATGGTCTATCATGCTGCTTCTTTACGTCGACGAGTTGATCATGAGAACGAACCGAGACTCCATCGCTTGATACCATTACCAGTGTCCGTTATGCGCCCCCTTGAAGATACAAAAGAAACATATAATACATTAAAGAGCCCAGCTCCATGTTTCGATAACATAGGAGAGGGAAGGAGATTGGAAGATATGCCCAGAGACGAAGCGGCGATGTGGGAAGCCTGATGACGCATACAAAGGCTCGCATGTAACTGTTAGGCAAAACGCACGCGGTCCTAGGCACACGATACGCTGTAGACCGAGATTGCCACGATGTACTCTACGATCGTGACGCACCGATGGCAGCTTGGGTATACCCCCAGACGAAGTCGCGATGAGCCACCTCCGAGTACAGTAGCATTTCGTGTAACCTACCGAGCGCGGGCGTCTGAGCGGCTCGGTGTAACGGTGCGGTGCGCTCAGTTTGGGTATGAGTAAGGCCTAGGTAGTGGGGTGAAAGCCGAACGTGACATGCGTGATTGGGTCGTCGATATTTGGCATGATAAGAAGGATTCCAGCCATAAGAAGAATTATGCTCGCTGCTGAGTTCAAGCCACGCGCCCGTACAACGGACTTTGCAGAAGCAGCAAATACGTTACGGTCGGACTTGTAGGCTGCCGATAAGTAAGGGGGATCCTATGGGGATCCTGCCCGGATTGTCCGACATATTTGTGTAGAGGTATGGAAAGTCCGGACTGTGAACGCTATAGGAAAGTATTGCCAGCTATGGGACTAGTCCATTTTCCTTTTTTGGCTGCCCGCATCTCAGCGTACAAGGCTGGATTAATACCTTTCTTTTGACACCTCTTTAGCTCGGTTTCAGTCAGAGTACTTATGTCAAAGTCACTCGCACTCCATTTACTGCTTCCGCTTGACTTTGATCCAGATCGGCTTCGCTCGACGTTGTCAAGTATAGACTGGAGGGAACGCTCTTCTGGCACAGATCGTTGCTCGTCCGATAGGGACGTCGTTGATCTTGAAAAGTTGGATATGTGGGCGGAGGTACGGTCAACTGAGGTTGACTTTGCTATGACTAGGCGAGTAGGGCTTGGAGGAGCATCTTGCGTCTTATCTGTCAACCTTCGAGGCATCATCTTTCGAAACAGTGACTGCGGTGTATGGTGATCGAGGCTCCCATACTCCAGGGGTGTCTCTACGGGAGTAGACGTCCCTCTCGAGCTTCCACTTGATGAATGCATCGACGAGGGCTTAGACATGATACTAGGTGGGGGATTGGTGGGCGGATCATCTTCCAAGGTAAACCAATCCGGTGAAGGAGCCTCGACTTCAGGCGGATCGTGGCCATAGATGCTCTGATCATCAGATGCTGTTGTGGTCACCGAGTTGATAGTCTCTAGCGAGGTCTGCCGTCGCAGATGTGGAGGGAATCGCTTGATGTTACTGATTTCCCTCTTGTTGTTTCGATACGATATGAGTCCGCGTGGGTGTCGCCGTGAAGACGGCGGCTCAAGTGGGGGATCCGGATCAGGTGACGGTACATCTTGGACTTTGTGATTTCGAAACGGACGAGAAAACTGACGGGCGGGATTCTTTGGCGGAGGCGCATCAACTGGATGGGAACGGAGTGGATTGATGAAGCCTGATGAGGAGGCAGGACGAGACGTCGATTCACCATCAATCGAAGCAGATCGACTGCGCGCTATTGGAGGTGGGGCTGCTTCATCTAGATCCTCGTCGGACTCGTCAAAAACATAAGTTCGGTGGTCCCTGTACTGCTTCTGTACTTCGAGGGCGGCCCTAGGCGAACGGCGGATGGCAGGCGGAAGGGCGTCGTCAACGTCCATGGCAGTTTGTGTAAGGTTGTATCATGACATTTGGAAAAAGGAAAATAGGATGTAAAAATACCCCGATACCCAGCTTGCACGTCGGGCCCGCCCAACCACACAGTGTACATCAATCATGACGCAGAACGGGCTGCCAGAACCCTATGGCGTGGGTTAGCGTGGATCGGAGGATGCCTGTACCTTGCATAGCGTTCATGAAGAGATCCGTCAACATGTCAGATCAGATTTGGTGTTGAGCTTTAGCGCAGATGCGAAAGATGCGATGCTAATTGTAACTCGTTGATATCAGGAAGACGTATCCTAGAGTTGGAGAAAGCGCATCTTCGCCTCCATAGAGACGGAATAAGATGCGGAGACGGACGGCAGGATTCTGGTCAATTACGCGGGTGGCTAAGGATTTCGGCCGTTTTGGCCGTTGGAGACAGGCCAGCAGGGCCAACGGTCGAGCCCATCACGTGCCCAGGCCGAGTTCCTACTTTGACAGGAGTAGTTTTCGGCGTCACTCGAAGCAGACGGGAAGCCAAAACGCGTTTCAAGCGGCCAAGACGTGTCAGCAGGTCGTTGGGACATGGATGGTGCGTTGTGGTGGCCCTGAGCTGATGTTTCGACTTGAGGCGGGACCTGACAGGCCTAGGGCGCTAGAGACGGAAGCGGACTAGTCGATTCACCAGCCAACCGCAGGCACCTGGGTCCACGGGTGCTCCTTAGTTACTTGAGCTTCACTGTCGCTGTCCACGCGAACAGCATGTATGCCACAACCACGGCCATAATCGATTCGCCGCGCACACTACGGGCCCGCTCATCATGAGCAACGACGCGCCCACGCCCATCTCGGACGACGAGGTGGTGGCACTCACCAAGGCGGCCTTCGAGCACTCCCGCCAGGACATCAACCACCGCGCTGCCGCCGAGACGCCTCGCGAGTTGCAGCAACAGCAGCCCGGCATTACCATTGACCTGGGCCACAAGAACATTGCCCGCCTGCCGGACGAGGTCATCGATGTCATCCGGGCCGAGATTGAAAGGTACATGCACCAGCCGCCCGCGCTTGCCTTCGTTGCATTCGACTGTGGTAGATACATACTGACCTGCTAGACTTGCTCTTTCCCACAACCTCCTCTCCACCCTCCCGTCCCGCCTCATCGAATGCAGACGTCTCCGCTACCTCAATGTGCGCTACAATGCCATGCGCGAGATTCCCAATGCCGTACGTTGGCCCGCTGTAATACATTGCATGTGAGGGACCCGCTGACACCGCCCCAGATTCTCGAGATGACTTCGCTCGAGATCCTGGACGTGAGCAGGAATAAGATCAGGTCCATACCGCCCAAAATTTCAAACCTGACGTCTTTGAAGGTGCTGGCAATTGCAAAGAACAAGATTGAGGAATTGCCCGTCTGCCTGGGCGAGATCAACAGTTTGCAGGTCCTTAAGCTAGACGGCAACCCGCTGGTCTTTCCCCCACCCGACGTCTGCACCATCAGGGACAATGCCCCCTCACCGGCCAACGAGAACGAGCGAGATGCCGTCGTAGCCACCCAAGTCAAACGCTTCATGCGCCAGCACATCTCAAGAGAGCGTCAGCGGAGCGAATTGGAAAGACTGCGTGTCGAGTCTTCTGGTGATGAGAGTTGGACCGAAAGCAACCCGGAGACACCCCGCCCGTCGAAGCGAGCCAACGGGGGACGCTTCCCTGTGAGACCTAGTGTTGGCAACATCGATGGCTTCTCCGACGCCAAGGCCGATTCTCCTGGCCTATCTGTCCCGCCTATTCCAGTTCGTTCCCACTACCGCGTCGGATCTACAACGAGCAACGGCAACGGCACGGGCATCGTCGTCTCGAAGAAGCCTCCAGTGTCTCCCCTGATCCTGCCAAACGGAAGCAATGAGCGTAACCGAAGCCAGAGTGAAGGCTCAGGACCTTCATCGCACCGCCAGAAACGAATGGGCATATACACCAACAAAACATCTGAGCTGGGTTCTGTCGACGAACTACGGCGGACAAGTCACTTCCGCGGCTTCAGTCAGGGCATTGTTGTTCCTGCTCATTCCGCTGCTAATGATCTGTCAGGTCCAGCAACCGCTGGTGCTTATGGAGATACTGGTACTGTTAGGTCTCTTGCAAACCGCCCACTATCCGATGTGCGTGAACACAGGCGGAACTCGCGTGCGCCAGACATTGTCGTCGAAGCTGCAAAGAACTTCCTCTATGCCATATCCCAGCTTCATGACTGCGTCTCACATATGGTACGCTCAATCAAGTTGACAGCCAAGACAAAAGAAGGTCTGCGCCGTAAGGAAGACTTCTATCGCAGGTACTCGACCACCTACCTTAATATCCGAGCGCTGAATGAGGTCTTGCACAAGTTTGACAGACTGGTCGAGGAAGACGAAGAAGACGCACAGAAACTCTCTAGAAGCGTATACATGTATGCGCTAAGATGTCTCGAATCTTTCATGTCCATCAGTCTTTCAATCGCCGAGAATCGCGTCGAAATCACCCAGAATGCGAATGCACATATCATGCGGACTTTTCTGTTCCTCCAGCAAGCAAGTCTGATCGAGATGAGGAATGCCTGTTCAATTCTGGGTGCGCAGTTCAAGGACACTTCAGTAGCTTCGCGCAGGCCTAGCAATGTCGACCCAGTGGCTACAGTACGCGCACGCCCATCGAGAGTGAATCGTCGTTTCCAGGCATCGCCGCCACAGCGAAACGGCGGCTACCAGATGCCACCACCTGTCATCCTGCATAGCAACGACAACAGCCGGTCGAACACCTTGACAAGCATCAGTGCCGCAACGCCGCGCTCTGGGGAGTCATTCTCAACACTTGCTCCGTCCATGACACGATCGAACACACTGACGAGCAGTTTTGACGAAGCAGACGAAGATGCTCAGTTTGAACGAGTTTACACAAAACTCAGGAATGCGTCCGACAGCTGTAGAAACTCCATGCCGCAGATTACGCGTATGATGCGAGAGCAATTCGATGGTCTGCGACGCGATCTTGACACCGAGGATCCCCGGGTGAAGGCGCTAGCGAACCTCATTGATAAGAGCAATGACGTCCAACAAATGACGAACCCCCTCGCTAGCCGCCTATCACAGATGCAGCTTAAAGACAGCTACACTAGGAACCAGCCCGAGTTCTGGCAGCAATGTATGGGTTTCATCAAGGTACGTAAATCCATGTTTGTTTCGGATCGAAGTTTCGAGAACAGCACGTTGACTCAAATTTGTTTCAGGCTTGGCAAGAACTTGCCGCAGCGTATACCCAGCAGGGTAGAGAACACAAGCTGCTCTCTGGTGAGATCAAACAGCTTATGCGGCCACTGCACAAAATGGTCAAGGAAGCCAGTCTGGCTATCAATGACAGTCCATGGTCGCATCTCACCAGCAACAATCCCGGCTTGATGGGTCCGCCGAGCTTGTCGTCCATCACTTCACGTATTCAACCACCTAGGTTTATGAAACAGCCCAACGGAACCATGTCTTCGAGCGGCGGACCCTCATTCCCGGGCCCAATCAACACGTCTATACCTGCGATGGCTTCCGTCTTCTCTGCCCAGCCGTACTCTACAGCTAGCTTCGGGTCGCAAGGCTCAGGTGGCTATGGCACTCCAGTTCCGGCGACACCACTTAGCGCCGCTCTAGGAGCCGCAGCTCAAGCAACTATCCCAAACACTCCTCGCGTTTCTCAAGGTTCCAATACGCTCAATGTCTTCGAGCGAGCTGATCGCTTGCTCAGCCAGACAAGTCGTCGCGTTTGATACATAAGCTACATACCGGCTTCCATCAATCGTGTGCCTCAAAATGCGCATGATATTGGATTATCACGTACCTCTGACTACACTTACATAGGTCATGCCGACACGCATCGGCGTACGTACGTATTTGCTCATCTTTCTGCTTTCTTTGACGTTTGTACTTGCCAGAACGATTTTATTTGCATACTATTAGCGACGGCGTTTGTCCGGATTTCACTCTTTTCATAACATGGAAGGCATATCAGGTTGCATACTGGACATGGTGTTTGAGGTCGTTAAGAAGGTCCACCACTGCATATTTGGCGTTTTTTGTCTTCGGTCTTACGGGGTGGGTTGGGGTGGCTGAATGAACGACTGGGTGACGGGTTGAACCTTTGGTAGGATCGGGACGATATAGTGCACACATGACACGTATTAATGTCTACAATGATGGTTGGCGGGTGGCTGGAGATAGATTTCGTTTTGCCTGCATTAATTGTTACGAACTACATGGTGCAAGCAACCATGATGCTAGAAATGAGAAGCATATATTAATGCCGATAACGTGCCAGGTCTATAAGCTTGTGTCATGCGATACTTTGACTTCAACGGATGTATAATAGGGAGTTGGTCATGGCAATGTGAGAGACATTCAATGATCTTGATGTCGCTCACTGGAAGACTTGTCGAAATCTGTTGTAACCATGTATTCCAAATTGCTCGACATCGTAGTCGCATCACAAGTGTACACATAGCTACATCCCGTTTTAGCTCTCAGGGCCTCTAAGGCTTGTCTGCTCTTGCATCAAACATAACATTGTCTAAGACACCCTTCTTCTTTCTCTCTCACTTCAACTACATCGTACTACAAGTCTCACTCGTTCGGTCTCAAACCAGGTTTACAATTCCAAGACATCGGCAATGTATATACATATACCATGCCCTGGTGCCTCCAAGGGGCATCACTACACCCCAAACTTCTTTCCATTCACTACCATCTACTCAAACATCGCCTCCAATCTCTGACCTCAAACATTTCAAGCTTCAACAACGCCGAGAATAGGACTAAAACGTCTAGTCATCTACATAAACATCGGCACACAAATCACCACATTCTACCCGACAGCGTTTTTGATTTGCGACACCAAGTCGACAACCAGCACCGCCATTTATACTTCGGAGCTGGTCCCTCATGGATGGGTTGATACCGTACGAACGCGTTTGTGGAGAAGGATTTTATGATGAAGGTCGACGAGGAGGACGAGGAGTGGAGGGTTGTGGTGCAACCGTGCCAAAATGCTGAGGAGAAGACTTGCGTGTTTATTATTACGGGAGAAGTAGATGGAGAGGTGGACCACCAAGGCGTACATCGACGTGGGCGGGTTGTTCGTTTTAGGTGATCATAAACCGGGCATTCTTGCTTTATGTCGTGTGTTTCTGGATTTGATTGGTGTAGTACTAGTTGTATCGTCATAGACAAACATTGAGTTTCTTCCCATCTTATACCTGTCCCGTCGTGTCGTTCTTCCGAGCTCTCTTGCCAACAATGAGCCGGGTGCCCATGACTGTGATCTACAGGACTTTCGGTTCGTGCGAACGATGCCGCGGACATCTGTGGCAAAGGGACATCTCTGGTCGCGATGGTGGTGTAGCCACAGTCTCCGAGGCGGCCGGAATGACAGGGCGCAATAGGGTACGTATGGCTTCATTGTAAGTCACCAGTTCAGACGTCTCTTGAGTCGTCTGTCTCGCAATCCAAATGTCTTGTCAGGATTCACTTCGAAGAAGGGGGTGTTTCGTAGACAGCTTAAACACTTTTCGGCCCTCTGGCACAGGCGATGGTGGCATGATGAGCGGCCTCTTACATGCTGCGTAGCCTCGTGGTGCAGGGTATTTTCGGTTCAGCCAGACGTTCCATAGCATGACCGAAGCTGTGCTTGATGACCAATACAGCATCATTGCCGCAGGTAGCTGCTGACAGAGAGGACCAATCAGCAGAGAAATGAAAAGCAAAGTCCTCCGAATCACACCAGGCCACCTCCGAGACCCATCGCTCTCGACAGTGTTCTTTGTAGTATAGATGTTTGCGAACATTATGCCTGACGCAATGAATGGGAGAACACCTGTTGGGTCCGGAACAAGTAGGTCCTGGAACCAGAGCATGCCTTCTGTTGCCAGCGAAGGCTCGAACCATGCAGTGGGTGTAACGCGTCTAATGATTTCACCGGCGTCATTGGTCATGGTTGTACGTTCGCCGTTGATGGCAGCAGCCGCCATACCTATCAGACCGTCATGAGCGCCGCATTTCTGCCGTATGACCTCAGCCATAGCGATGAATATGGGAAATTGGGCTAATGTCCAAGTGATTTGGCCGCGTAGACTAACATTCCACCTCTTGTCTAATGCCGATGTGGTGTCATTTACTTCTTTCTTCACTGTCAATGTGGCCTGTTTGATGGTCCGGAAGTTACCACGCTTTAATATCTCGTCACGTTTCTGGAAAGCAAGCGCTTGTCGGAGCGGATGGAGACCAATGTATCGTGCCATAAGGGCGCGCGAGTAGGCTCCAGCTGTAGTGACAAGAAGACCACGAACGAGGAAGGCGGTGAGCGGTATGGCAGCATACCATGGCACGGCGGTATGGACGAGCGACATCAGCTCGTGGGGAAGGTAGAGAATGGCATCGGTGAGGGGATCTTGTCGCGGCGTCGAAGCGTGGAAGGCGCGTGTTGGTGGGCAGCATATCGAGGATCGATGCGTGGTAGAGGTTCGCGAGAGCAACCGGCATGCTGGCTGCCGCAAGAGGCGCGACGACAGCATCTTGTGATAAATCTAGTGATGCTGCAACTATCTAATCAAATGTCCGACTCCCGAAAGAAAGAGGCTCCCACTAGCGCGTCAGGGTCCCATGCTCTCGGGCCGGCGCCAGGAACCGATGTCATCCCACCTGAACAGCTGTCGCTTTGCCCAAACATTTGCCCATGGCTTGAGTCTTCGCTGTCTGCCTCTCCCACTGTATCCCCGTCTGGCCTCGCTTTTCGAGATGGGTCTTTTACCCATCCTCCTCTCCCTACTAGTGCCCGCATTCTTGGCTTTCATCCTCCTTCCCAAGACCCTGCGCTTCGCTGCGGAACTAGTGGGACAATACCTCCGTCGATCTTCCCGTACACGACGAGAACTATTACTCGCCAGGGTAGCAAGCGAAACCAAGACATTCGAGGCGCAGCAGAAGAACAAGAAGAAAGAGGATGAAGACTGGGAACAAGTGGGAAACACACTTCCTGGTAGTGCAGTGAAAGATGGCCAGGCTGACAGCGGATGGGATGGTATCGTGGGATTCTTCCACCCTTTCTGGTATGGGTGGCATGCTCTGAGACATTGGTATATGATCGCTGACAGGCCGTTCTCACAGCAACGCAGGAGGCGGCGGCGAACGAGTCCTCTGGGCTGCAATTCGAGCAAACCAAAAGCGTTGGCCAAAAGCTACCTGCATAGTCTACACCGGTGACCACGATGTCGACAAAGCCGCCATACTCAAACGTGTCAAAGATCGTTTCAACATCCAGCTACACCCGCCAACCGTCCACTTCCTCTACCTCACAACCCGCGACTGGGTACTCGCAAGCACATGGCCGCGCTTTACACTACTAGGCCAATCTCTCGGCTCTCTCGTTATTGCCTACGATGCATTCAGCCTCCTTGTACCAGACATCTTCATAGACACCATGGGTTACGCCTTCGCTCTCGGCCTATCGTCGTTCCTCTTTCCGACCGTACCGACCGGCGCATACGTGCACTATCCGACCATCTCCACCGATATGCTGGATTCGCTACAAGTTGGAGGTCAAGGTATCAATGCAGGAACGGGCGCAGGATATCGTGGCATGGCCAAGAAGAAGTACTGGCAACTCTTTGCAAAGCTGTACAGTAAGCTCGGTAGCACCATTGATGTGGTCATGACCAACTCCACATGGACGCAAAGCCACATCAAAACTCTCTGGGAACCATATCGCATTAAAAGGAGCATAGCAATAGACATTGACGTTGTCTTTCCACCCGTAGCTGTCGAAGAAGTCATAGAAGCCGTCCCAGTCTCCGAGTCCAGCGAGAAGAACCGCGGCCCTTACCTCCTCTATATCGCGCAATTTCGACCGGAAAAGAACCACCGACTTATCCTCGAGGCCTTCGCATCATTCCTGCATTCCAAGCCCGAACTTCCAGCGTACCCCAACGATACCCCGAAGCTCGTTCTGATAGGCTCAGTACGAAACTCTCATGATGATGCGAAGCGTGTCTATGAGCTGAGGCTGCTAGCGCATGAGCTGCACATCAAGGATAATGTAGAGTTTATATGCGATGCGCCGTGGCCGCAGATGCTCGAGTGGATGCGTAAAGCCAGTGTGGGTGTAAACGCAATGTGGAACGAGCATTTCGGTATCGGTGTGGTGGAATACCAGGCCGCAGGTATGATTTCAGTAGTCAACAACTCTGGAGGCCCCAAGCTGGATATTGTAATTGAGGTCGATGGGAAACCTACCGGTAAGTCTAAATACCGTTTCTCTGTTATTGCTACACCATTGCTAATTCATGACCAAGGCTTCCATGCAACGACTGCAGAGCAATATGCTGATGGCTTCCGGAAAGCACTCACTCTCTCACCCGAAGACACATTGGATATGCGACAACGGGCTCGCAGGTCGGCTGAGCGCTTTACTGATCAAGTATTCGCGGATAAGTGGCTGAGAAATGCCGAGAAGCTTGTTGCTCTGGAAATCGAGCGTACATCAAAATAAGTGGCAATCCACAAACCGGGAGCATGGCGTTATACTGGATAGCATGGAATTTCTTGATACCGCACATGAGAATTGGGGCGGCTGCATCCTTGGAGTCAAGCATCCGATATACATACTCAACATTTCGCACCTGCACATCAAGACCATATTATGATACATGTGACCATCACTGAGTTCGTAGGTGGAATTGACAAGGAACGCATGAGCATATGGACTGAGTTTTGTCTTATTCTTGTTCCTTCTTCTGGGAATTCAAGCTACATAAAGATATCCAAACGGCTATCCATATCCAGGAGTACATAATCCCGAAACTTGCTCCAAATCATCCATAGACGTCTTTGTGCTTTCCAGCATAACTTTTTCATAATATGAGCATTAAGCGGCCAAATGCCAATGGTTAGGTAGATACCAAGAAAATACAACGCAAGTAGCATGGTAGCACCATCAGTAGAATGAGTATCAAAGCGGCAGGACCAGCCAAGCCAACTGAAGCAATCGGGACACAAAGTCAGATCATAGTCGCTCAAGCTCCTGAAAGCGCTCAATAGGGTCAGCAAAAGACCGCGTCAAGCCGACCGAAGCCCAAAAGTCATCACTGACATCTTCCCTGCGCGCAAGACGCTCGAGCAACGACCTCGCATCACGGAGCTCCTGGTCTAGTGGTGGAGGCGGCGGCGAGTCGGTACGCACAAGTGGAGGAATACTCTCATTATCGCTGGCACTCACAGGTTCCTCGGTAGGTCCATCGAGCTGCGGTATTTGCGGCCTCTGTGCCGCTTCTGTCTCAGCGTCTCGCCAGATACCAGAGTTGTAGAAGCTGTGAACGACTTCGCTAGCGTCGCGGGATCGGTCGATTACACGCAGTGAGTAACGCTCTGTATCTCGCGCAGGAGGCTCGTTGGAAAAATACGATGGGCGCATTCTTCGGCGGGGCTCGGTCGAGCGTGAGATGCCCAAGCGATTCCTAAAGGCCTCTGTGCCTGTACGACGACGTATACTGCCACGTACGTCCATGTCTTCTTCTTCGGTATCTGAGGCTGTGTCGTCCTCGGAGGTATCGCATGCCCGCATGAAGTGTTCGTTTTGTGGGGGTGAGGGATGTCGTGACGGTACTGTAAGATGAGTCTGCGAAGATGCCGCGGAATTGGCGCTTCCCGCTCGGGAGCTGGGATGCGAATTTGTGAATGAGGCTGACGCTGCGGCTGATGCAAACGATGACCCCGCAGTTGGTGCAACCGGGTCGTCTACGACGGTGGTAAGAAAACTGTCCCATTGCAACTGATCATCAAAAGGACTGACGCTACGATTCCGGTCGCCCAGGCCATCGAGTGTAGCAACTGGGCTCCAGGACTCGCGCAAAGAGCTGGCGGGTAGCGGTCCGTCAGCAATAGTGCGGCGACCCATCCTACGTAGCGGAGGGAAGGCTACGGCGTTGTTCTCGCCTGTCTCATGGCTTTCTTCAGGCACATTCGCGGTGTCACCTCGCGCCGCAGATCGATCAGCACGGGGGCTCTGAGAACGCGTCCGCGTCAATCTTCCAGCAGCGCGACGGTATGACGTATACTCTCGCAGGCGTGAAAAAGGATCTTGCGCATCGCGTTGTGCTTCTAGGTCGGACCTCCGCGAAGCTGCCGCCGGCGCGAATCCTGGTGTGAAGGCTGGCATGGGGCGCTCGAGGTCTGGAGTGGCACGCGTCCCATGGGCGCGCATGTAGCCATCAAGGCGACTGCGCGATCGGCGCACGCTGCTCTCGTCGCGTTGTAGTGTGGGTGGGTGTCTCGAAGCCTCGTTGCTACGGTATTCGGTCCTCGAAACTTCGGGGACAGGTGGCGGCGCCAGACGCGCGCGATGTGACGATCGAGGTATCCACTCAATGTGCGGAGCGGAGATGAGGAAATCGGTGTCGAGAGTGCTGTGAGGGCGCGGTGATCTGTTGGGCCTGGCGCGACGCCGGATGGGTGAGCGTGAGCCGGTCATGTCGGCCCTAAGTACGTCTTTCTCCTTCGCTTCCTCGCGCTTTACGTTCCATCCGATCGGGATGCCCATTGCGCAAAATGTGTGAATTTACAGGTCTCGAGAAAGATGGGTGGTGTTGTGGTGTTGATGGTGACGCGCCGGGTGCTGCTAATGGGGTTGGGTCGGAGAAGGAACTAGGGCGGCAGAGCGGCGCACGTCGCAACCGCCTAGAACAGAACAGTAAGGCTGAAGCGTCTGGGGGAGGCGCAGAATTTCAACATGGGGTATGCCAGCGCTGGGACTTGTCTGACCGACTCTGATATAGCAAACATCTTTAGCTTTAGGTACTACTCCTGTATGACTTGTCTCAAGCTTTGCTCTATGCTATACTACAATATACAGTCTGGAGTTCGTACACCAGACAAGTCATTATCTTGGGCAGGCGCGACTGTAACCGCCAAGCCGTGGTTGCCTCTTACGGCAAGGGCGCGCCTGTCTGCAGCTCTTGGTCCACTCGCTCCAATGAGTCAACACCCATCTGCAGGTACCTCGTTTCAAAACATCGCGTGTCTGCCTAGACCTCGGGATCCATAGTTGCCTATGCTATCATAGACTACGTTTCTTGTGGCCATGATCCAGCCTGGCTTGGAACGGATCAGTCAGCTCGTGAAGAATGTCCACTTCCCATGGAAGTCGATACATGTCGCTGGCACTAACGGCAAAGGTTCCATATGCCACTTCGCATCAACGCTGCTTTCTAAGAGACTCTCGTGTGGTAAATTCACGTCTCCACATCTTGTAGACAGGTAGGCACGCTGTCACGTGAGCTGATCGCTATCTAACTTTTGCAGATGGGACTGTATATCCATCAACAACAGGCCTGTAGAAGAGGCGCTCTTCCGCAAGATAGAGAAGCACTACATCGACTTGAATGTAAGAGAAGGCATCGGTGCTTCGAATTTCGAAATATTGACCGCCACTGCTTTCCACATCTTCAATGAAGCGCAAGTACAGATTGGTGTTGTTGAAGTTGGCATGGGCGGAAAGCTCGACGCAACCAACATACTGAACAACCAAGCGATTTCAGTCATCGCAAAGATAGCGCGAGATCACGAGAACTTCTTGGGTAGTACTCTGGAAGAGATTGCACGTCACAAGGCTGGTATCCTCAGGCCCGACGTCCCCTACCTCGTCAATCCTAAGAATGAGAACAACATTAAAAATGTCATCGACGCGTACGCAGGCGAAATTGCTGCTGGGCCTCGTCTTGAGTACGACCCTCCAGGCTTTACTAAGGTACTATTTCAGAACAAGGACTGGTTACCAACACAGCCGGTTCAACAAGAAAATATGGTCATGGCTGCGATGGCTGCACAGACTGCAATGGAGAGCATTGGCAGAGAACTAAAAACCTTTGTGATGGCACACATCCTGCGGAACTCCAAAACCACCGTAAACCCGGGACGACTGGAATCGATTCGAGTGCCGCCTATCTTTGGTGAACAACATACGATGATATCAAAGACGAAAGGAGAATACATACTGGTAGATGGAGCCCACAACCCTGATGCTGCTAGACTATTGAGTGAGCATGTCCGAAAGACTGAGAGGGAAAAGAAGATCCCTGGTGAGGTTCATGTCCCACGCAACGGGTGGCCTGTTACATGGGTGCTCGCCATGACCGAAGGGAAAGATGCACATAAATATCTAAGGGAGATACTACAGCCAGGAGACAATGTCGTTACTACGACGTTTGGTCCGGTGGATGGTATGCCTTGGGTGAGACCATTAGATCCCAAACGACTTCTCGCCATGGCAAAATCTGTGGAGCCTAGCATCACAGGACTGGTTGCATCAGAAGACGGGCCACTGCGAGCGTTATGTACAGCTAAATACCTCAGAGATCCTAAGCGGCCCATTGTTTTGACAGGCAGCTTATACCTTGTGGGCGACCTTCACCGCGAGCTGCGGCTGAGACCGAGCAAGGTGTATTGGGAGGATCCAAAGTTTGAGGACGACAGAAACAAGTTCGCATCCATGCTAGAGGAGGAGAAGCACAGAGTCAACCAGCTGCTTAGCGGCTCCGATGTCTTCGGTCAACCCCTTGATCCTGTCGGCAAGATGGATGAAAAGAGCGATGAGTGGAAGAGGCAGCAGGCTGATCGAGAGAAGCGAAGGGCCATACAAGAAGAGATTGAGGCTCTTGATCAAGAAATGAGGCTTCTTTCAGCTGAAGAACAGCTTCTTGCATCAAAACAATCATCGGCGACAGCAGATACCGCGAGCTCGTCGTCGCCGAAGGAGAAGTCTGGTTCATCCTCTGAGCAAACTACCCTAGGAAACGGGGCGAGGCTGATCTATCACAAAACCTGGTAAGTCAGCCAAGCGGACAGCGGCAAAGAGCGTGCGAGAGATTGACGGATATATAGGGCGGACAGGCTTCCGGGAGAAAAGTTCATACCTGGGCAGCCAACACAAAGGTTCAAACGAGGACCTCCGCCTCGAAAGAAGTAGAAGTCGGTTCCAAGTTACATGTTGGGGTTTGAAAATGGCTAGGGGCAACAAGGTCTTGTATATGTAGTACATGTGCGTGTAGTAGTATTGCAGTCGCACATAAATGTAGTGTTTTTGCAGCGAGATAATCACCACTTATATTATCCTCATGTTCTTCAGCCTTGGGTGGCTTCTAGGAAGGTGGCATAGTGGCGCTTCTATTCGTTGAAGACAGATTGGGTCAGTCAGCAGGAGGCTGGCTTACTTGCTTATCATTCACTACATCCACGTCAATCGTCTGGACTTCTCGAGACAGCACTAGACATGGTAGAAAGAGCAGCCAAACTGATGCCTCACGAAACCCTCCGAGAAGCGTCATGAGAGTTTTGTCTTTTACGACTTCGAGTGTATCTTGGGTAGTCTTGTTCAGCTTCCTTTACCTCGTGTTCGCCATTCTCTTCGGTATAGCTTTGGGGACATGGAATGTCGACCAAGTTGGCCACTGCTACCGTGACAACGGCATCTCAACTCCCGACTCATCTCACCCTAAAGTGGATAGGATCTACTTGGGAATCACCTGTTTTTACATGTTCTCTTCGCTAGGCCATTGTGCCTTCTAAGGTTGTAGCGTTGATCATGATCCTTCCGGTACTGAAGGGATTCATAGAAAATTGGATTGGTGAGACTCGAACTATACTGTCATGTCGGTTCTAACCTGTGCAGACTATCAAAACGAACCCACCTAACGGCTCGACGAGACTTCGAAAACCGCACATAAAGAGGCGGCAAGCAAAGGGGGATGCGAATTTAACGATCCAGGTGAATGCTCGCGCCTGATCCGTTGTGAACCAGCGGTATCAGTTTGAAGATTAGAGGAACATCGCACCGGATGGAAGTGGAAGGCGACAAGAAAACCCTAATCATATCTTAACGGAGATAATGCCGAGGCGGATACAGAGAAGAAATTAAGGGATGAATGTGAACTTCGATAGCGTACATCTAGTCTTAGTGGCCAACCGTGAAAATGTTGCTGTCTTCAACACTTTACACAGATTTGCCTTTTCTGGTAGAGCTTTTAATAGCAATGTGGAAATTTGATGCTCTAGAAGAGTCATAGCTGGTGGTACCGTCTCTGGTAGCCATCCAAGAAATCCTAACAGCAATCAACACTTTTCAACATTTTGCCAGACCCGGAAATGTGAGCCATGGGTAACGGACGGGAACGAAGTGTCTCGGGTGCAATCTCACCCCTGGGTCGCATACCGTCTTCGACAGAATTCGTAAACCTACCTGTTGTGGGTGTATCAGGGGCTGGCACGCCGATCCAGGGTATCGTTGCGGGAGCTTGGCTGGTGTGGATGTCTAGCGGCAACAACGAGACATGTCAATACCTCACACCGTCTCCTCGTCCACCCATGACATGGCTACTGCATTCGATGGGTTTTACAAAACCTACTCGATGTAGTAGTATCGTGGAATCCGTTCCATGGGAGATAGGTCGGCGAGATGACAGCGATATGCATCATGCCGCTGTCGTACCGTGGAATAGTTGAAGTCGCGGCTGCAATGGCTCGTCTTCATACCGGGGTTTTTCTCCAGTAATCAATGTCCTCTCTGACAACCTACCCTTTACGGCGTGTTCATATCTGCGCAATTTGAAAACTACTCGGAGTCGAGTCAGTTGTACTGTAGACAACCAATGTTCTTGTATCGTTGTTCCGCGGGTTGTAGAGAACGATGGATCGCATCGGTCCTTTTAGCGACCGCGAAAAGTCCGTCGCAATCCACAGTTTTTCTTTCAAACTGCCTTGACAGGAAGTCGCCACGACAAAAGATGTGTAGTACAGGGACGGTATGGGAGTTGGTGGAGCTGCCCAGGTGTCGAAGGATGTGGATTGCCACAGTAGCGGTCGCAAGCCGTGGCTCAGAAGGCACCAGAACGGCAAACCAACCTCTGTAATTTCCATGGATTTCTGCTGTGTTCAACAGTTGATTCCAGAACTTGCTCAATTGGGAGACATATACTGGACTTCTGATAGTACACTGCAACTTTGGTGAGTTGGTGGCCTAAACAGACGCCAACGCTTGCGAAGTCCATTGTAAGGAGAGCGCGTCGGGTAGAGAATAGAAACACCGGCGGGACGCCGTGCCGTTGTGATGATCCCACACAAAACAAAGCAAACATTAAATGGAAATGTACATGGGATCAAATTGCTGCAACTCGCACATGGCGTGACGCTTGAAGTCTCCGTGTTGAGATAGGACCGTTGCTTCCCAGCTCTTCCGGGTGGACTGACGATAGCGTGTAGGTATCGGGCCTAGAGAGGACCAGTACCAGGCATCAGGGACGGCGAAAGGGAGACGGCATGGGTCTACCGATGTGTCGATTCCACATTGCGATGCACTGATTGTAAATGCGATCAAGTTTCTTGTAAGTCGCGTGCCTATTGCGGAAATGCTTGCGGGTGCGGGATGGATCGTCTTGAGGTTCGCAAGACAACACGAAAGCGACAAAGAGCGTATTCGGACCGGAGTGAGGGACCCCCGAGAAAGGAGATATAGCAGGATTTCCAAGGTTCTCTCGTGGCAACTGTGGCGTTTCGAGAGCATGTGAGCAACTGAGCCACAGAAACGTGGTCAAGAAGAGCACAGTGCGAGCAGCAGCGCCTGAGGGCCTCTGAGCGGCCTGAAACAAAGCATCCCCTCTCCCACTTCTTCCTAGACTATACACAATGACCCAATGAGTCTCTTCTCCTCGTTTATTATTGACCCCGTTGTGCGCCATGCACGGCGGTTCTCAGTTGTTGGCGAAGCGAACAATGACGGAGCTCGGCCTCTAACATGTGACAGTCACGACTCTGCATCTACATCTGTCCCACGGCCAGCTCACGAAACGGAGGCGGACTCGATGAGCGCACATGATAGAAACATTACCGACGCAACTGGGGCCCGACCCACTGCCCTGATCGACCGATTCCGACGTTACTCATCCTTCTCCCAACGGCCTCGCAGCGCTGTTGTTGACGAGGAGGAAAGCCATGACGATCTGCCAATAGATACCCCAGTCGAAATGTCCGCGAATCCATCCCGCACGCTCGCAGATCAGTCCCGTCACCTCGATGTAGACTCGTCACGCTCGACTGCGCCGTCGCCCACTGCACTCGACCGCCCTGCCAGCACTCGCAGCCAGAATGCGAGCGCCATGTCAGAGTTGCTCCCCGCAGACGATGGCATGGCCCATCTCCGCATGCGCATCCACGAGATCAGGGCCCTGAGCATATCGGACCAGGAGCGGGCCCGCATGATACACAATCTGATGACGGAGAAGTACAACCACATGCGACCAACCTCACCAGCGAGCTTCGTATCACACGACCGCCCCTTTACCCCTACCTCTGGACAGTCCCTCTTCTCCGACGTCCATGCATCGTCGCCGTATTCGTCTTCATTTACAACCGACGTCACTCCCGACATATCGTACAATCTTCGAGAAGGCGATACGAACCCGACGTATCGGCCGCATCACGATCACACCGGTGCAGAGCATGGCGACGACGAAGAGGAGGACAGTGCTGAAGGAGAACTCGTTCTGGGTTGTCAGCACTATAAGCGCAACGTCAAAGTACAATGCTTCGAATGTCGCCGCTGGTACACGTGTCGGCACTGTCACGATGCCGTCGAAGACCACAACCTGAACAGGAAGATGACACAGAACATGCTGTGCATGGCTTGTGGTACGCCTCAGCCAGCAGCCGATGTCTGCAAGAACTGTGAGACCGAAACTGCATGTTACTATTGTGACATCTGCAAGCTCTGGGACAACAACAGCAAGAAGAAGATCTATCACTGCCCAGACTGCGGCATCTGTCGCCGAGGAGAAGGACTGGGCAAAGACTTCTATCACTGCAAGGTATGTGCATAGTTTTGAGACGACTTGGACAGCGCTAATCATGTGTAGAGCTGCAATGTTTGCATATCCATCTCTCATGCAACCTCGCACAAATGCCTCCCGCGTGCCACAGAGGGCGACTGTCCAATTTGCGGCGATCACCTCTTCACCTCGTCTACCGCTGTAGTCTCAATGCCTTGCGGACACTACCTGCACAAAGGATGCTACAATCTTTACATGCAGACTGCATATAAATGCCCAATTTGCAAGAAGAGCGCTGTGTGTATGGATCTGCAGTGGCAGAAGTTGACTCAAGCAATCGAAGGTCAGCCCATGCCAGAACAATTTGCAAACACTCGAGCAGTCGTCCAGTGCAACGACTGTTCAGCGAAATCTTCAGTTAAATATCATTGGCTTGGGAACCAATGCGGTACATGCGATTCTTACAACACGAATGAACTTCGCATCTTGAACGGGCCAGAAAGTGAAGAAGCTGCTAACGCGATACTGGATGCCGACCTAGACTCGGGCTCGAGATCACCTGCGAGCGTTAGTTCGCCCTCCTCCCAAGCACCACTCCGTTCGCCTCGATACTATTTCCAACCAGATGAGCCAGAAGAGACATGGCTACCAGGTCAGCTACCCTCTTTCCCTTTCCAGATGCCACAGTTTCCTGGCAGACCGCGTATGCCGCAAATGCCTCAGATGCCACAGTTCCCATCTTTGCCGCAGTTTCCACCACTGCCAAATTTCCCACAGATACCGCAGTTTCCTCAAATGCCTCAAATGCCTCAAATGCCTCAAATGCCTCAAATGCCTGATGCAGCACAGCAAATGCTTGAACGCGTGCGGCGATCGTTTGATGCCTATCTCAATCCAACAGGAGATGTTCGAGCAGAAGACGTACCAATCATCGATCTCGGCAGCGACGACCGTACTGAGCGACCGGCTACAGATGGCACGACGGTTAAAGAACCGTCACTTCCGCAGTACGTCCTGGAACGCTTCACGCAGTCTCTCGTGCGCTTCAGGAACGACTTGAATCCGGCTTTGTTTGAAGAGATTCCGGCATTGAATCTCTCAGACGATCGCGATCCCGAGGGATTGCAGTTTTGGGGTGAAGATGGTGGGCGGCTGAATCGCTTCGTTGCGGGCGACGAAGAAGATGAAGAAGAAGACGATAGCAGCAGCAGCAGCAGCGACGAAAGCGAACATCACGAAGACGACGAAGACGAAGAGGAAGATGCCGGAGTCAATGTTAAAAAGCGCGGCAAGGAGTTTGATCTGCCAGGCCATGTGTAAAGCGTTATTGAGGCGTTCTGGGAGGGCAAAGGATGTGTTACGAATACCGCTTTGGCATTGTTTTGAGTAGCGACCTAAAACCTTACGAAAAGTCTATGTAGAAAATTACGGATACCCAAATAGAGAAATATCATCGTTGAGCCAATGTTCATCATGTTGTCACTTGCACAAGCACCAAGCACACCCTCACGTGTGGAGATGGTCCGTGCTCAATGCGCTAAGTAAGCGGCCACACGAGGCGCATCGATTTTCGACTATCGTGATTTTTCGAACTCCAAGCCTCAAATTCGCATCCTCATCGTCGACTAACCCCCGCAGCGAGAACCTCTGTCAGTATGTATTACGCTTCCAGACTTATTACCAATGCAGTCGCTCTACACAACTATCGCAATTCGCTTTCCGACCTGTTTGGTGCTGTAATGGACATTTGCTAACATATTCTCTCTTCAGAAATGGCCCCAACCACCAAGTCCGCTGGCAAGAAGTCTGCCGGAAAGACCGGCCGCAGCGCCATCGCCGATGTCGTCGCCCGCGAATACACTATCCACCTACACAAGCGCGTATGTTGATTCAGTTTTGTGAAGTCCACAGATGGTCTCGCGGAACCTTGGGTAGATGCTCGACCAGGCCGATTACACTGGCTTGAGCACTCACTCTTGGCGATGCAGGCATCGGGCGGAAGACTGAAGAGAACATAAGGCTAATACTGCGGGTATAGGTTCATGGTGTCAGCTTCAAGAAGAGGGCCCCTAAGGCTGTCAAGGAGATCCGCGCTTTCGCTAAGCAGGCTATGGTATGTGACACTTAAGATTCAATGACCCTTGGCAAGTGCGCTATATGCGAACACTGCTACAGCGTCATCAATTGTACGAATCCAGGGCTAACTCTGCCGTTCCAGGGCACCAACGATGTCCGCCTAGACCCCCAGCTTAACAAGAAGGTCTGGGAGTCCGGTATCAAGGGCGTTCCTTTCCGTCTCCGTGTCCGCATCTCGCGTAAGCGTAACGACGAGGAGGGCGCCAAGGAGAAGCTCTACTCCTACGTCCAGGCCGTCAACGTCAAGGACCCCAAGGGTCTGCACACCCAGGTTGTCGAGGATGCTTAGAGGACTCTTAGGGATAAGGGGAAAGGATGATGTGCATATCAAAAGCATGGCGTTCCGGCGGGTTGTGCTGAGTAGCTACTATGGATATCTAGAGCGAAAGGCTGGTGAAATGATACCTCAATGACAGATCATGCCCCGCCACGTTTGATGGACTTGAAGACTTTGAATCCCTATAGCCTTTTTGTTGCCAAATTTAGTGAAGTACTCAATACGTATCGGCTACTGCGAACAACGTTCCCGAGGTCTCACCTGAACTAACAACACCTAGTGGAAATCGTTGGTCGTGTCAGCTATTACAGAACATGTCAGTTGAGCTGAATATTCTCCATGGTGAATTAGCAGACGATGTTCGGCTCTTCGCGCTTTTCTCAAGAGTACCTTGCATAAGCGGCTCTTCGTAGCTCGGCCCTGGGGGGGAGCCGAACATCGTTGCTTACCAAGTTCTTGGAATCTGTTCGGCACGACAGTCGCTCCACAACACGCATGGTACAAGACAAGAGAGAGTATATAGAGCAACTTCCAGCATTCAGAATACATATCTTCCACCTTCATCAAACCATCTCATCAAACAGTACTGACGTCAGATACCCGTCTTACCCCACGCCTGCAGCACAACAACCACCAACTTTTGCACCCCATCCTTTACCACTCCAACTACCCTACCATAAGAACAAATTCCTTTTTAAAGCATAACCGCAAATATGGTGAACTTCAACATGGCATACACTTCGCGCATCAATCCCGCTGGCGCAACACCTGTACTCAACCAAGCACAGATCTGGGCTGGCCTGCAGCGCAAGATACGTTTTGCCCAGGAATTCGTCCCTGTGATTGAGAGCTGCGAGGTACTTGAAGAGAAAGACGGTGTGGTAACCAGGGATGTCAGATTCAAGAAGGGAATGGGTCCCAAGGACCAGGCCAAGGAAGTCGTTAGAAGCTACTGGCCAAGTTGGGTAAGTGAAGCTCGTTCGTAAAGTCGACAACTAAAGCACGACGAAAGGATTGCAATTACCGAAAATGACATGGGATTTGCGCTGACAGCCTAAAAAGGTCGATTTCGAGCAAGAAGACGGAAGTCATGTTCGTAACATCATCTCTGATGGCCCGTCTGGTGAGATCGAAGACTTGAACATGACATATGCTTTTGAGTGGAATCTGCCGAATATACAAGAGGGAACCCCAGAGGCGGAGAAGGAGATACAGAGACTTAAGGGCGTAAGTACTCCCGCTCATTGTCACTCTTTGTTGGGAATGGTGGATAAGAGCTATGCTGGTCTTGAGCTAGATACTAATGAGATGACAGATGGCCAAGAAAGCAGTTGAGAGCAGCATTGATGCAATTCGGGAGATGGTCAAGGATGGCAGGATCAAAGAGTAGGATTTTGTGAGATGGGTCATAAGAAAATCATCATATCACGTAGGCCGTTAGCAATCTACAAGCTCTGTGAGAGCAACCGCATACAAGCATCTTTATTCAGAGACTTCTGCTGATGACTAGCGGTAAATGTTCCCTTGTTATCAATCTTCATCCTTCTATGCACCGCTCTACAGGCTATTATAGCGTTTGCCGTCCATTAGATGTGACAGCACGGCACTAAGAGCATGCTGTAGTTGAGATACACGGAGTTGGCCCATCGCTATTTGAATCCTTCGGCCCAGGTATTGATCGTTACACAACAGGCTCGCCTAGTGGCGCAGCATGAGATTGACGACCTTCAACCCAGCAAACTGTTCTTGAGTAGAGTCTGTCAGCATCAACGCAGCGAATTTGAACAACTCTGAACGTCTATGGATACTCCGTGTAACGATACTGTCCACCGTAAGTCAACCTGCTCACTCCCGAGGTCGATACGCCTTACTGAGCATCACTGAACCCCACCATCCCTACAACAACATTCGTATACCGAACGATGCCCCTTTAAAACTAGCGGCCTCCTCCGGAAAATGATAGAGTGCGTTTGCTACACGAGAAAATACCTCATGGAAGCATGATTCTACAAAAAACCCCCACTCTTCATCATCCGGAAGCCACACGAGCAAATGGGGATACCGGACACAGGAGCTGCCTTTTACAAACTGACAAGCGATGAGAAACTCCAGTTCTTAAGTGTGCGCGACAATGCGTCGTAGAAGTTTATCAACATGGGAATGGCCTTTGCCGAGGATTGTTTTGCCATTCCTGGAAAGACTGGCTACGGATTCTTTCCATTGCATTCCAGAATCAGTTATTTATGTATTTCCAACACCAAGCTTCCAGACAAAATTTTGCCTGGCGACCGCAAAACTAGTTAAGCCACTGGTGACATCGACGCTGGCGCCGAAATATTCTTTTGTTACTATCCGGATCTGAATTACAGGACCATAGTCGAACGACATCGGCAGTTGTGCTTCGAATGTATGAAGCCGGCTATAGAGTCTCTGGTGGGCATGTTCCAGACTGGTAATAACAAGGATGTTGTGAAGAGGACCATAGTCAAGGAGACTTGGACCGAAAAGGTTTGTATTGCTTCAGTCATGTGGGGGAGACATGATGCGGGTGGTGATATCTTGGCTTAGCAGCTTCATTACATGGCGAGCCTTCGGTAACAGGTACTCGGGTAGCTTGGGCATGTACTATTCCAACTTCTGGCTGATTGCAAAGCGCGATCTTTGATTTGAGCATGTTGGTTCGAGGCGTGAACGGCATTACTTGCTTTTGTGGCCAATGCAAGCCACTGGATGTCTTACATATATCCGAGACGGACTGCCAATTGGAGATTCCGGCCGTGTCCAATCTGTTCGCAGGCATGGTTGTCGTCAGCAACCAGAGCAGAAAGATAGTGAAAGCTTGCCTCAAACTCTGGCTTTGATGATAAAGAGAATGTAAAACTACATCGAGTCTTTAACCATCCAGATACTGCTTTGTTCTAATATTGACGATCTCGCCACGGTAGCATATCTCTGGACACATGTGCGAGTGGAGGTATTTTTTGTGTGTTTATCAATGATACATAAGCTTGCCATATATTGCAGATGCACCAAAGCAGATGCTTGCACTCTTAAGCGGAGTAGATGGTATGAAGGAAAATGCAGGGTATCAGTCGATCGAAGGTGGAGCACTTAGCGCTAGTGCTTGTCTCTCGGCACGGGTAGTTCCAGTTGACAAACGCGACTTCACCGCGAAACCCGTGCCTCTTCTGCGACGTCAGCGCCTGAACCCTCGACTACTGCGAGCAGCTAGAAAGAAAGTCTTGATTAAGAGCTAGCAACCCCCGACTACAAACAACCTCCGCAGCAGCTCGACGAGCGTGCCCGCACAAACTCTCCGCCGCCGTAGTGCCCCACCTTTGTCTGTACACAACTTCTGCAAGGCAACGGACCTTTGCGCGCTCGCCCACCACCCACACCCAACGCGCCTATACGCAGACTGCTTAAGCAGCTGAGCCGACGCTTGAGCTTCTTGGGGACATAGAAGATACTTTAAGGCTGATTGGGAGCTTTTCCCGCCGCGCTGCAGCCCGCCATGTCTCTGTCAATTGAAGAGCTCGACGCCACAGTGCGCGCCTTCTATGAGGGTCGCGGTGACACAGTATGTTTCTATGCGAAGCCTGGGCAAGGGACTTGACAAGGACATGGCTAATACTTAATCCTCTGTAGCAAAAGCAAGCTCAGGCTACTCTGAACCAGGTAGGCATCTTCGCTGGCAGTGTTTACAGACTCATCTAGCTAACATTTTCATAGTTCAAAGAAAACCCTGATGCATGGCTTCTCGTCGACAAGATCCTGTCCGATGCGCAATACCCGCAGACCAAGTGTGAGTTTAGCGACATGATATAAGGCTGGTGGTCATTATCGTGCTAACTGTCGGCAGATCTCGGACTACAGGTTCTTGACAATGTTATCATGACTAGGTGGAAGGTACTGCCTCGCGACCAGTGTCAAGGTATGTCACATCACAATCGGTATCCGAGTGCTGCTAACTGAGTCAGGTATCCGAAACTTCATTGTGAACTTCATCATCCAGCTGTCCAACAACGACGATAGCCGCCGCACAGAGCGTACCCTCCTAAACAAGCTCAACCTCGTCCTCGTCTCTGTCCTCAAGCAGGAGTGGCCCCACAACTGGCCGACTTTCATCAACGAGATCATATCATCGTGCCATAGTAGTTTGGGGATATGCGAGAACAACATGGTCATCCTGCGACTTCTGTCCGAGGAAGTATTTGACTACTCAGAAGAGCAGATGACTTCGGCTAAACGAAAGGAACTCAAGCAGAGCATGTGCGACGAATTTACGGCCATCTACCAGCTCTGCTCAGAGGTTCTGCGGACAGCTACCGAGGCTGCCCTCATCAAGGCGACTCTGGAAACCTTACTACGCTTCCTGAACTGGATCCCTCTAGGGTACATCTTCGAGACACCACCGAGTGGCCAGAGCCTTATTGAAACTCTGCGAAGTCGATTCCTCGAAGTCCCCGATTTCCGCAACATTACCCTAAAGTGCTTGACTGAGATTGCCGGCCTGCACACCGAACCCGCATACGACGATAAGCTCGTCCAAATGTTCACCGAGACATTGACAGCCATCTCCAAGATCATTCCCCTCTCACTAGACCTCAAGAGCACATACTCTTCTAGCAATGGTCGGGACCAGGAGTTTGTCCTGAACCTTGCGCTCTTCCTGACAAACTTCTTCACCATGCATCTGAACGTCATTGAGAACCTCATGAACAGGGACTTCCTTACGCATGGTCACTTCTACCTTATTCGCATAAGCCAGATCGACGATCGCGAGGTCTTCAAGATCTGCCTGGAATACTGGACCAAGCTCGTCTCAGAGCTGTACGATGAGATGCAGGCGCTCCCAATAACCGACATGAACCCTCTCCTAAACATGGGCATCCCTGGTAACGGTGCTCGCGAGTTGGCCAACTACCCTCTACGGAAGAACAAGTACACTGAGATTCTTTCCAATCTCCGAACAGTCATGATTGAGAAGATGGTCAGGCCTGAGGAAGTCCTCATTGTCGAGAACGACGAGGGCGAGATTGTTCGTGAATTCGTGAAGGAGAGTGACACGATTCAGTTGTACAAGTCTACTCGAGAATGTCTCGTATTCCTTACCCACTTGGACGTTAACGACACCGAGCAAATCATGTCGGAGAAGTTGGCTCGCCAGGTCGACGGTTCAGAGTGGTCATGGGCTAATTGCAATACCCTCTGCTGGGCTATCGGTTCTATCTCTGGTGCCATGAACGAGGAAACAGAGAAGCGCTTCTTGGTCACTGTGATCAAGGATTTGCTTGGATTGACTGAGATGAAGCGAGGAAAGGACAACAAAGCTGTCGTGGCCAGTAACATTATGTATATTGTCGGTCAATATCCTCGATTCCTCAAGGCCCACTGGAAGTTCCTCAAGACCGTTGTCAACAAGTTATTCGAGTTTATGCACGAGACCCACGAGGGTGTGCAGGACATGGCTTGCGATACGTTTATCAAAATTGCAAACAAGTGCCGACGACACTTTGTTGCTCTTCAGCCTGGAGAGACCGAGCCATTCATTGACGAGATCGTTCGAAACTTGAGGAAGATCACCGCGGATCTATCCCCCCAACAAGTCCACACTTTCTACGAGGCTTGTGGTTACATGATCAGCGCACAAGGACAGAAGAGCATGCAGGAGCGCTTGATCGCTGACCTGATGGCTTTGCCAAACTCTGCCTGGGACAACATTATCGCTCAAGCTAACCAAAACCCTGCATGCCTCCAAGACTCAGAAGTCATCAAGATTGTTGGCAACATCATGAAGACTAACGTCGCAGCATGCGGTTCGATTGGATCCTACTTCTACCCACAGATCGGCCGGATATACTTCGACATGCTGACAATGTATCGCGCGAGCTCACAACTTATCGACGAAGCTGTCCAACGAGAGGGTAACATTGCGACAAAGATGCCCAAGGTCCGCGGCCTCCGCACGATCAAGAAGGAGATTTTGAAACTCATCAACACCTACGTTGAGAAGGCCGACGACCTGGAGATGATCCACAACAACATTGTGCCGAAGCTGCTAGAGGCTGTTTTGATCGACTACAAGAACAACGTTCCCGATGCTCGTGAAGCAGAAGTATTGAATGTCATGACGACGATCATCAACAAGCTACATGTACGTTGGAGACCCAATCTGAGCAAGCACATGGTTGGACTCGCTCAGTCATTGGTAAATTTTATGCTAACCTTGTCTACAGAGCATGATGGAAGATCAGATCATCAACATCATGGACAGTGTCTTCGAATGCACCTTGGACATGATCAACAAGGACTTTTCAGAATACCCAGAACACCGTGTCGAGTTCTTCAAGCTTCTGCGCACCATCAACCTTCGCTGCTTCCCTGCTCTGCTGCGACTTGATGCACGATCATTCAAGTTCGTCATTGACTCCTGCATGTGGGCTAGCAAGCACGATAACCGCGAGGTCGAGAGCGCCGGTCTTTCCATGTGCTTCGAGCTGGTTTCCAATATGGCCGAAACAGACCAGCAAACTTGCAACACCTTCTTCCAGACGTTCTTCACGACTATCCTCCAGGACGTCTTCTTTGTGGTTACCGACAGCGACCACAAGGCTGGTTTCAAGTCGCAATCGATGCTGCTTGCCAAGATGTTCTGGCTGGTTGACTCAGACAAGTTGCAGGGTCCCATCTACACGTCACCAGACATGGCACCGGCAGGCACACCGAACCGAGAGTTCCTGCGGAACTTTGTTGGCAACCTGTTGGCGACTGCTTTCCCTAACCTACAGACGTAAGCTATCCCTACCCGCTTGTATGACCCCTACTAACTAGTCTCAGTGCCCAAATCGCATCGTTCATCGACGGACTATTCGCGACCAACTCCGACCTCAACCGCTTCAAGGTCATTCTGCGCGACTTCCTGATTTCCTTGAAGGAGTTCTCTGGTGACAACGCTGAGTTGTTCCTCGAGGAGCGTGAGCAGGCTGCGAAGACAGCGAAGGAACAAGAGCGTGAGCGAGCCATGAAGGTTGGTGGTTTGCTGAAGCCTTCAGAGATGGATGACGATGAGTTGTGACTTGACGTCGAGTTGGATGCAAATGTGGCTACGCGCACGCCCTATGATAGCGAACGCGCTCCCCACGAGTCTACAGGTAGTAAACACTCTGATGAGGGCCTCGATGGATGGGACATGTATGGCTTGTGAGTGCCAAGGGCTATGGTGACTGAAGAAATGGTCGCGACGCTGCGTTGGATGGAGAGCATACAGCTAGTTGTGTCGGCAAACTTTCGAGGGAAGGAAAATGGTTTCGTTCTGGTCTAATACCCTATAGACCTTTTACTTCTTCATTTGACGCATGGATATATAGCTGGTGTGGACGTAGCCTGGCTTGGCTTACAGACTAAAACTGATAGGAGCGTTGTAGGCGTCAAGGCAACCTCGTAACGAGAGCAGAGAATAAATCTCACGTACGCAATTGCCTGCTACCTCAACTGCCTTCGATGCTACATTGCGGCTATTGCGCATGTGTGTTTAACCCTCCCGGGCCGTCCCACTTTGCACGTTGATGTTGGTCGAGTCAAACGAAGTCAGTAACATCATGCAGCATGACGAGGCCCGCTGTAATGCATGGCTTTGCCTTGGAGAGTCATGCCTTCCCGTATACGTGGACCCACATGCCGCTGAGCCTCGCTGATGGCTGTAGCAATGCGCGCGAACATGATGGGCGGCGTATGCATCGGCTGTCGCGATCAGGTATCACGGAGATGCATTCTTGTGCGGTTGAGCTACCTGACTGAGCTAGCAGGAGCTACACTTCGCCCTTACGTAACCTGACGGCCCTGCCACTTCAACGTCGAAAGCGTCCATTGGGCGATTTCAGCCTTTCCAGCACCCTAGCACCTCCTACGGAACTAATATTCGGCAGAATAACCGCATACGACATCTCCCCTTACCCATGCCATCGACCTAACGATATCAGTCCGTGAGCAGTTGCTGAACCTCGTGGCGGCTATACGCACGCTGATTCGCCCGCGCATTACCAGTCGTCTGAACGACATGGGCACTCTGCTCTTCTGCCAGCGTATGCACAATCTCGTGGCCCTCCTACAATGAGTCGTCGGTGGCGCCTTCCAGCCTGGCCCCTCCTCATTCGGCATCTTCCAAATACCTGCTAACACGCTGTTCGACCAGGTCCAAGCGAGTCTATGGATTGATCGGTCCAACTGCAGGGTACCGCCAGCTGCATCGTGAGTGACTTCACTTCTCGACTTCCCTACCGACTACGCACGGCCATTCTTTGGGCTGTCGCCAGCAAGCCTCAGCACATCTTGATCTTTTCTCTCGTCCCCACTGCCGAATAGGCGGCGGCCGACGACCACACTTCTTCTACCGCGGGTCCTGTGTGGTTGGATCTGCACCGCAACCCGGGATAGGATCCGTCGCTTGTGCATCGTATGCGCATTGCCGTTAAGGCTTCGAGAAGAACACTCCTGAATTTCTTCTTACTACTAGCATTATGTACGTCTCTCCCTCATATGGAGACCCTTCAACCCCGCCCCTTGGTGGTTTTGAAAAAGACAGCCTCGTCGACAAGTCTTGCATCCAAAGAAGACACTACTGACTCAGCACGCTTCTCCAGGAAGTTCGGGAAGCACATCCAAAAAAGGCAACTGGAAATTCCAGAATATGCCGCCAGCTTTGTCGACTACAAAGCGCTCAAGAAGGTCCATATGTCTTCCATATCGTAGGGGCTTCACTAATCGTAGAGTCTGTAGCTTATCAAGAAACTCAGCGCTACTCCAGTGATACCACCACAGAGCGAGAGCCTTCACCATGAATCTCTGGATCCACAGTCGTCTTTACAAGCCAACAAGGCCACCTTTTTCTTCCGAGTGGTAGGTCTTTGTGTCCGCAACAAGTACATAGATTCTTACTTGATACACAGGAACGTGAGCTCGAAAAGGTCAACACGTTCTACTTGCAGAAAGAGGCAGAGGTATGATCGGTTCGTTGTTCGTCGGAAGATGAGTGCTCACCATAGTCGCAGTTGCGTCTGCGCTTGACCACGCTTCTTGACAAGAAGAGAGTCATGCAACAGCACCCGCAATCTGTCTCCAAGACATCTTCGCGATATGTTGCCCTTGAAGAGGGACTAAAGCAGTTTAGCATGGATCTCAACAAACTTGAGGTGATTGGTCCGTATGTACTTGGGGGCTTCCGGCACTAACCTGACTCAGCAATTTGTGGAAGTGAACGAAACAGCTTTCTCAAAGATCCTCAAGAAGGTTTGATGCACCCCCATTTACCGTCATTGATCTGCTAACACTGCCTAGTGGGATAAAACATCCAAGGTCAGTCGTCATTACTTGCGTATTTATCGACATTGGCTGACTTAATGCCAGTCAAAGGAAAAGCAACTATACCTTTCGCGCGCTGTCGAGGTCCAACCATGCTTCAACCGAGAAGTCATCAGCATATTGTCCGACCAAGCGACCCAAGCAATCCTTGATTTTTCAGGATGGGCTGAAGGCGAAGGGGTACAAGCACCCCATCCTACAGCCGAACCGCGCGTCTCCGAACCTGCATTCGAAGCGAAGCTCGAGCTCGACAACCAATTTGTGCAAGCTATCAACACCGCGAACCAAGGCAAGATAGAAGAGTGTCTCGCCCGCCTGTCAACCCTTCCCGATGCACGCGACCACATTTCTAGGGCGTTTCTCAGCACCGTTGCAGAAGCACCAGAGTCTGCACTGAGGATACTACTCGATTCGAATCTCGTGAACCTTCAACAAGAGGACGAAATAAACGAGCGAAATTGTCTTCATAAATCAGCTATCAGTGGGAGGATCGAAGTGCTCAAGCTTGGCCTATCTAGCAACGTGGATGTACATGCAACCGATGTATACGGCAGGATACCACTACATTACGCCTGTATGCATGGACATGTGGAGCTGGTTCAGGAACTCATCAACGCTGCCCCAGAAACGGTGAACTTCCGTGATCAGGACAGTTTTACACCCTTGATACATGCCATTGTACATTCGAAGCTCGCTTGTGTGGAGATACTCCTCTCAAGAGGCGCCGATCTCACGCGTTTGGGGCCTGGAGAGCATGTGCCGCTCAATCTTGCATGTCAGTATGCATCGTTAGAAATCTTGGAGCTTCTTCTACAACGGTCAGCTGAGATGCTTTCCGATGCCGAAGGGCTGTTTCCACAACACCTGGTGGCACGATCGGGGAAGACACCCGAAGCACTGTTGATACTCCAAAAGTACGGTGCGGACCTCGACCAACCAGACAAGCTTTATCAATGGACGCCGCTCTTTCACGCTGCGAGCGAGGGTCATGTGGAGTGTCTTAAGACGCTACTTCAATGCCAGGTCGACGTAGACATTGTGGATGAGAAAGGTCTTTCGGCCATGTACTACGCGACCTGGGAGGGGCATCTGGAGTGCATGAAACTACTTGCTTCTGTTGGACGCGGAGTTGGGCTGACGACACAGAAACAAGTTTCTCCTCAAATATCCTCTCAACTGTCTAGCTCGATGCCTACAGCCATGGACATAGAAGGCGACCCTGACGGCATACCCGAGTTCATCCTGCCACCACCGATCATACCCTTCCGAAGATATGGACACAACTTTCTCGACACAAAGACGTTTGTAGTCATCAGCTTCGAGAAGGTGGGCAAAGAGGCGATTCGCTTCTACGACGAATCGAAATACCCCGCTGCACGGCTCACAATTTCTTCAAAAAGTTCTGATCTCATACCACGCAACATTCTGCTACCCATACAAGACGAATTTAAGGTTATCTCTTTCCAGATCGAGAACCTTGACACCTTCTCCATCGACTTTGACGTATACCCCACAATAGGATCCAAGGTTATTGCTCGCAGTGTAGCCTCTTCAAAGGTGTTTACAGAGCGCTCGAAGAGTACTGGAAGATGGCATCTCGAGTTGTTCGACCCAAGACTGCGAGCAATTGGCAGAGTTACTTTCGACTTCCAAGTAGTAAAGCCTTTCCATGGCATTCCGCTCGAGATTACCCACTTTGCGACCTACTGGAAGGCTACTAGTCAGCTTGACTCACAGCCTCATACGCTTATCACTGGCTCGAGCCTATCTGGTGAATACGTACGCCTGTTCGTCCAACTGACTGCCGATGGTATACCGGTGTTGCATCCGAGATGGAAGGTCAACCATCACGGTCTAGAAGTGCCAGTCAACATACTTACGTATGCGCAATTCGCAGCGATTGGCGTTCAGGAAACAACAGCGGCCGCAAACCAGCTTGCTGCGGAACTAAGCAACACTGGTCCGGTAAACATACCGAATATCTACCAGATTATGGCTTCCTCGTTCATTACTTTGAAGGACGCCCTGTCAGCACTGCCGGCTCATATCCATGTTGAGCTGCACGTTCTCTTCCCGTCCCGACTCGAAGAGGAACGTCTCAAGCTTGGACCCACACACGACATGAATGCATTCGCAGATAAGATCCTCTCGGTAGTTTTCGAGCATGCACGTCAATTGAGGGAACAAGGTGCGGGCGAGATAGACGGTACTCTGAGGAGTGTGCTGTTCAGCTCTTTCAGCCAGGACATATGCACCGTCATCAATTGGAAACAACCAAACTGTAAGCATCTACGCGTATAAGGGGAGGGCGACAGATACTAACGTTGAGATAGACCCAGTCCTCCTCTGTAACGAGCTCGGCGCGGATAGTCCTCAGTCGCCCTCCGGAAATACACACATCATCCAAAGTAGCGGTCGTACAACGACGTCCGTCAAGGAAGCTGTACAGATTGCCAGGGATAACAACTTCATGGGCCTGATATGCAGCTCTCGATTGCTGGTAGGTAGCTTGAAAACTACCATACGGTTCGTTTCTAACAATCACCAGTCACTCGCTCCTGCCCTCATCGAATCAATCAAGACGGCCGGCCTTGTTCTCGTCACGGATATCACCGACTTCCCAGTCGATGATCCTGTCCAACTCACGAACCTTCACGTTGCGAATCCCCGCCGACAGAACACACCAGACGGAGTCGATGGATACCTGAAGGGCAATGGCGTACTTTGTTTCAACGAGACTGTCGATATGTAGAGAACCCATTATGCATAGGTGGGCGACAAGGCAGTAGTAATGCGGTTCTGGCGTTACGTAATAGACTGAATATCCTGCAGAGGAACGACTATATTACTGGAAGGGAGGCGGACATGGTGCTTTCGGTTGCAGACTGATAGCTGCTAGACGGAGCCCCTTATCGCGTGCAGCTTTTCCTAACTTCGAATGTTTCCTTGGTCGTATACGCATATAAGATGCTTGTCAAATTCAACACACGAGTGAAAACATTTGTAGCAACAAACATGGTATTGGATAATGTGCATGAGCATGAGCATGAGCATGTGATGCCAATTCGGCAGTGTCGATGCTCGCCGCAAACCGACAGGGGTGTGGCGTCCGGGACCCGATTCGCGCTGCGCCTTCATGGAAAAATGGCGAACGACGACATTTGTGGCTAGAAGCGGTCTGTTGCCGCTTGTGGTTCGCTTTCGCATCTCTGTCTGAGGCCCATAGATTTTGCAGTGCTTGGACTCTGCCGACCATGGTATAAACATAATGTCCACCCTGAGCGCCCTTTCTTCTCCGCTCCTCCGAAGGACGTGGATCTGCCGAGCTTGTATACGATCGCAACGACAGACGATACCGCAACCATATGGCTTGTGGCAACAACGAAGCACCTTGGCCGGGCATAAAACGTTCGCGAATAGAATAGGATCGCAGAGGACATTTGCAAGCCAAGCACATGAGACGGCCAATGCCACAGCCAAAGCTGCGGGGAGGAGCCCCAAGAGCAGCAAGAGGAGGAGGAGACTGCTGATAGCTGGAGGTGGAATTGCAATTGGTGCAGCAGTCATCACAATCAATGACGATGCGAAGCATGCCTATGTGGCAGCGCAGCGAAGCTACAGGGTGGTTGCGACGCTGGTGCTCAACATCAGAGAGTATGTGCATAGTACAGCGCAATCAGACGGTCCATGGCTAATATACACTTTCGTGCAGTTACCGCGATGTACTCAAACGCGACGATGAACCAGACTACAACGAGCAACTCAAAGCCTGCCACCTACGATGCGCCAAACGTACCCTCCACACACTCGAGAAGAATGGCTCCATCTTCATAAAGCTGGGACAACATCTGAGCAGCATGAACTACCTCCTGCCGAACGAATGGTGCGATACCTTTATACCACTGCAAGACAAGTGTCCCGTGTCCTCTTTCGAATCCATACAAGACATGTGCCGACGAGACACGGGCCTTGAGCTCTCCGACTTCTTCTCAGAATTCGAGGAACAGCCCATAGGCGCAGCCTCTCTTGCCCAAGTACACCGCGCAACGGTCCGTGAGACCGGTCAGAAAGTCGCCGTCAAAGTGCAACATCCGGCCTTGGACGAATGGGCCAAACTCGATCTGGCCTTGACAAGCTTCTCGTTTACGACACTCAAGCGCTGGTTTCCCGAATATGATCTGACTTGGCTATCCGATGAGATGCAACTTTCCCTCCCACAAGAACTCGATTTCGCCCTCGAAGGCAAGAATGCCATGCGTGCGCGAGAGTACTTCTCCCACGTCCGCGATGTACCCGTCGTCATACCCAAAGTCCTCTGGGCGAAGCGCCGGTTACTGGTCATGGAATACGTATCAGGATTTCGAACAGATGATCTCAAGAGTTTGGATGAACACGGCATTGACAGGGACGAGGTGTCGGCAGCACTGGCTAGGATATTCAACGAGATGATCTTTGGCAGAGATGCGCCACTTCACTGCGATCCTCACGGGGGAAACATTGCTATACGACACAACCCCGCTCGCAGAGGCAAGGCCAACTTTGACGTGGTTTTGTACGATCACGGTCTCTATCGCGACATCCCTTTGCCCTTGCGACGCAACTACGCAAAACTCTGGCTCGCCGTCTTGGACGCTGACGAGGCTGGTATGCGCAAATACGCTTACGAAGTGGCAGGGATCAAGGAAGAACACTTCCCTCTCTTCGCATCGGCGATCACAGGAAGAGATTATACCGTGTTGGCGAAGAAGGAAAGTGGCACCGGTGGTGTGATGACAAGCAGGACGAGTGAGGAGAAGAAAGTCATTGGAGATGCATTGGGGGAGGGGTTACTGGAGAGCCTGATCGAACTGCTTGGACAGGTTCCGAGGGTGATCTTGTTGATCTTGAAAACTAATGATTTGAGTAAGTCTTCCTCCCACCTATCGACCAAGCATGTATATTGACTTTTCTTTCTAGCGCGCTCCTTAGACGAAGGTCTGCATACGCGCCAAGGTCCCATGCGTACTTTTCTTATCCTCGCTCGGTATGCCAGTCGCACGGTGTACGAAGAGAGCTTAGATAACCTCAACGGCAGTGTGCTTTGGCCGAGCAACTTCCTGAGTTGGTTGGGTGCGTGGACCAGGCATATGAGAGTTGAGATGCAGTTGAGTGGGTACGAGACATATCTCAAGCTAAGAGCGCTGTTGGGTATGAGGAAGATTGAGATTGGGGATAGCTTCAGGGAATAGGGTGTGATGAGCGTGGAGTTTGGCGATTATCAAAATTAGACTTGAACATGGTTTTGCATTAGAGGCTGTTTCCGCTGGGAAGTCACGGGCGCAGCGAGAGTTTTTGTATCGAACTTGATAGTCATTCCGAAGTGCACACGTGTATATGTGGCGGTGCAGTATTACAGTGAGTTGGCGGCCCTTCCGAGAAACTGAACTGAACCCCACTCTGCCTGAGCATACGGCAATACGGAACAGACGGAACGTGGTTGGGCCTGGATCGTACATGTGGCGGTGCCGTTTACCCAAGAATGTGTGGCCTTGCATGTGGCTCGTGTCCAAGACAGCCATTCGTCTTGGTGTTTGACTGACGGTTTTACAGTGTGTTTGAGGCGTGGTCGTCTGATGTAGCGCAGCTTCTGGGCCCCAGAGCGCGCCCAGGAGGTCGAAACATGGACTGAGGGGTACCAAGAAAGTGTAGATGGTATCAGAGACGGTTCAAGCAGCATATGAGGCAACAGTGATGTGGTCGAGGGATATGTTGTTATTTTAGTCCATGGATATGCTAGTGGGCGGTGACAGGGAGGTAGAGCGGGTTTGACATCATCGATGGCATGCGTCTCGAGAGCGAAGGCAATCTTGACAAAGACGCGTACGCCATCCGAAGCAGGACTGCACCAGGTATCTTGTTGCTACTCTCCAGAGCCTTGCCCTCGGCGGATTAGATATATCGTGACTTTGGCTAGGCGCCAGCTACCAGCAGTTCGCATCGCCCGACACAACCTGCGGGGCAAGCGCCAAGGCAGCAGAAGGCATCCCTCCCGGAATCGCATCGTTCACGCCGCAGCGCTCAATGCCCTAGCCGCCGGGGCTGGTGTCGAAAGATATCCTGTGTCAAAGTGGTGGCAGCGATTGCAAAGGATTGTATAAGCGATTACCATCGCAGGCCGGAAGCTCTTCGGGCAGCGCCGTCAACGCCCGCCGCATTTGCCTTTGTAGACTGCGCACGGTCGCCTTTCGCACAGCCTCCTCCAGTACCTGTACTGTACCCTCGTCGCTCCGCCGCAGCCAACCCAGAGACGCCATACATCACCACCTCAACCCAAGACCAGAGAAGAGGCCCCTAACCACCGCGAGCTCTGAGAGCCGCCCCTCTACCTCTGTCTCCAGCCTACCGCCCCTTTGCATATCCGCGACCGCCTGTTTGCGCTGCATAACCGCGCATCATGGACGGCGCTGGGCAGCCCAACCTGCGCATCACCAGTATGTCTCACCCGCGGCCACCAGGTCCCGTGAGCTTCAGGACAAGACTAACGCCGCGCAGTCATCGCCGCCGATGGGCTCTACAAGCGCGATGTGTTCCGTATGTATGCCCTGAACAAGACCGACGTCGTCATGTCGCTCATGCATGTGCTGCAGGATTTCCGGACCCCTTCGCCGTAGCCACGATCAATGGCGAGCAGACGCGCACCACGAGCGTCATCAAGAAGACACTGAACCCCTACTGGAACGAGAGCTTCGACATGTACGCTGCCCTGGGCCTTGGCCTCGCACGCCTTCGCATCATGACGCTAACACACGACACAGGAAAGTCAACGAAGAGAGCGTTCTGGCGGTTCAGATCTTTGACCAGAAGAAGTTCAAGAAGAAGGACCAGGGCTTCTTGGGCGTCATCAATGTCCGCATAGGGTCGGTAATAGACCTCGATGCCGGCGGGGATGGTAGGTCTGATCCATGTCAGTCCTGCATCATTTGCTAACACTCCCTACAGAGATGCTTACGCGCGATCTTAAAAAGTCAAACGATAACATGGTCGTCCACGGCAAGCTTATACTCAACCTCTCTACTAACCTCACTGCGCCCATCACCCAGGGAGCCCAGAACGCCACCCGACCGACCGCATCCCCGCACCCATCCGTAAACGGTGGTATCCCCGGCGCCGTGTCAACTCCACAACAGTCGACGACGAACCTTCACCCTCCTGACGTATATCCCGGCCAGCAACGACCCTCAGTCGCCGGCCAACCCGCTGCCCAGCGTCTCAGTCAAGCGCCTCCAGCAGGCCCACCAACCGGCCCGCCCGCCGGTCCAGGTCCTGCGCCGAATGGAGGAACTCCAGCTCGCAACAGTGGCGGTGCATACAGCGCTTTTGAGGATGCTCAAGGAAGATTGCCAAATGGCTGGGAGCGTCGTGAGGATCATCTGGGTCGAACCTACTACGTCGACCACAATACTAGGCAAACCACCTGGATCAGGCCTGGCGCAGGATTTAACGAGGCTGACCAGCGCCGAGACGTAGCTGCGCAGACCCAGCAGGAGCGCATGCGACATCAGAACCGCATGTTGCCTGAAGACAGGACTGGAGCCAACTCGCCCACTCTCACCGACCGTCAGCCATCACCGCCTGCTGGCTCAGCAGCCAATGCTGCAAGCATGATGGCAACAGGAGCGACTACTGCTGGAACAGGAGAGCTCCCGTCCGGTTGGGAACAGCGGCATACACCCGAAGGCCGACCATACTTTGTTGATCACAACACGCGAACGACAACATGGGTAGATCCTCGTCGACAGCAATACATCCGCATGTATGGTGGTCAGGCCGCCAACGGCAGCACCATCCAGCAACAACCCGTTTCTCAACTTGGGCCACTGCCATCAGGGTGGGAAATGCGTCTCACCAACACAGCCAGAGTATACTTTGTGGACCACAACACGAAGACGACCACCTGGGACGACCCGAGGTTACCGTCTTCGTTGGACCAGAACGTACCTCAGTACAAGCGCGACTTCCGTCGCAAGCTGATCTACTTCAGGTCGCAACCTGCATTACGCATTGTTAGTGGCCAATGCCACGTCAAGGTGCGGCGAACGCACATCTTCGAAGACTCATACCACGAGATTATGCGCCAAAGCGCTGCTGATCTCAAGAAGCGACTGATGATTAAGTTTGACGGCGAAGACGGTCTAGATTACGGAGGTCTTTCTCGAGAATTCTTCTTCCTCCTTTCTCACGAGATGTTCAACCCCTTCTACTGTTTGTTCGAATACTCTGCGCACGACAACTACACGCTTCAGATTAATCCTCACTCCGGCATCAACCCCGAACATTTGAACTACTTCAAGTTCATTGGACGTGTTGTCGGTCTGGCCATTTTCCATCGCCGTTTCTTGGATGCCTTCTTTATCGGAGCGTTCTACAAGATGATTTTGAGGAAGAAGGTTGCTCTTCAAGATATGGAGGGTGTAGATGCTGATTTCCATCGTAACTTGGAATGGATGCTGTAAGTTCGAAATTTGTTGTTCGAACGGATGGAAACTAACAGATGCAGGAATAATGATATTACGGACGCTCTAGAGCTGACCTTTGCAACCGACGACGAGCGTTTCGGTGAAACTGTCAGCATTGAGTTGAAGCCAGGAGGTGATAACATTGAGGTTACCAATGAGAACAAGCACGAATACGTTGAGTATGTAACCCAAGTCTTTGTCTATACGGCAATTATACTAACTGATTAGACTCATTACCGAATGGCGTATTCAAAAGCGTGTCGAAGAGCAGTTCCAGGCTTTCATCACCGGTTTCCACGAACTAATTCCTGCGGATCTTGTAAACGTTTTCGACGAACGTGAGCTCGAGCTACTCATCGGCGGTATCGCAGATATCGATGTCGACGACTGGAAGAAGCACACCGATTACCGTGGCTACACCGAGAATGATGAGGTCATCCAAAACTTCTGGAAGTGCATTCGTAGCTGGGACGCCGAGCAAAAGTCGCGTCTACTACAATTCGCTACCGGAACATCACGTATACCCGTCAACGGATTCAAGGATTTGCAGGGTAGTGATGGACCGAGAAGGTTCACAATTGAGAAGGCTGGTGAGCCTAATCAATTGCCGAAATCACATACATGGTATGAGACCCAAATAATCAAACACATGTGTCAGCTGCTAACAATATGTGCAGTTTCAATCGTCTCGATTTGCCACCGTACAAGACGTTCGAGGCACTCAACCAGAAACTTACCATTGCCGTCGAAGAGACTGTCGGTTTCGGACAAGAATAGTCTGGAAGAAGCCTTGCGCGTGGATCGCAGTTGCGGTCGAGGAGGTGTGGAAGACTATTACTACATGGCGATGTTGTCATTGTACAAAATCTGCGAAGGAAAGGTGGAGCACTAGTATATGACGAGAACACGCTTCTTGAGATCGTATATGATACTTGGCTTTCTGGACCTGTCTAATCTCGCTCACTTTAAGTGTATTGTGCGGGGGTATATTGCATTGCTTGCACATGTGCACGTATTCAGCGGCGTTCTTGGGGTTGAGCGGTATGGAAGTAGGATAGCGCTTTTTTTTATACGTGCCCTGTACCATTGAAGGATGATGAGATATGAACAGAGTTTATGTGATATGGTGACATTGTCGATTGTGTTAGCCCTGAACATATGAAATGGCTGCCATGAGTACGCCTCTGTAGAACTGTTTTCCTCATAAACGTTCAAGTCCTTGTTGTAGAAACTGCGGCATTCAAGACAAAGCACTCACAACACATACACAATTAGTTGCAAGAAGCGGGCATGTCAGTCAACTCATCAAAGCCGTCATGTCCCCGATTAAATATTATGCTATTCATCCAACTACCTAGTCCACCACCAACGAATCTTCTAACCCATCTACAACAGTCCAGCAAACATGGCAACAATGGCAGCACCAGCAGGTACGCCAAGGTTGCTACCCGCACCAGCGAAGCTGCTGGGAGTTGCGCTAGCCTCAGACTCAGTGCCGGTACCAGTAGCGCTGGTCATGGCGCTTGTAGCACTGGCAACAGCACGAGACTGTGTAGCAGCGACACTAGCAACCGAGGCCATGGACGAGGAGGCAGCGGCGCGGAGGGGTTCGGCGGCACCACAGTAAGATGTTACAGTGTTCTGGACAGGAGGCTTCTCAAGGGAGTCTGGCAGAAGTTTGTTAGATATTTGCATGTTTCGTTGTTATTATGGAGCATGGGTGTTGCTGTTCTTTTGCTTACCAGGGCAGTTGTTGTAGCAGACGAGAACGTCTCTGTAGACGTCGCAGAGGCAGATGAAGTCGTTGGGGTTCTTGTTGCAATCATCGATGCGGGACTGGTAGCCTTGGACGCAAGTGTCTACGATGTTCTGGGCATCGCACTTGTCCTGGGCAGCGACGAAGCTGGCGGAGGCTGAGATGGCTACGGCAACGGCGGTGATGAAACGCATCTTGATACGAATGGTTCGGATTTTGGAGAGCGTAAAGATGTGTAGTCTTACGGGGTTTGAATTACAAAGTATTAAGATATAAAAACGTGCCCAAAGCGAATGATGGGTACTGTTATTCGTATAGCGACCGAGAAAGGTAGGATAGGTGACGGGAGATACGAGGAACGTAGAGGAGCAAAGAAGAGAAGACACAACAGGGAGCCTAGGGTAGATTTAAACTTCGCTGATGGCTTCGGAAACCCCATCCCTAATCCCATATTGTCAAACACAAAACTAAAACCAATAGCCTTAAGCCTCCTTTCCCCGGAAGACTGCAGAGTCAAGAAGAAGTAATGTCAGTGCTTCCCTGCAACCCATCCGTCTCGTGAGCAGAACTAACCTCTGTCTGGCTTAGTGTATGCCAGCCTCGGAAGATAATCGCGGACGAGGGCTGGTCTAGCGTGTCTCCTCCTAAAATTAGTGATTCCAATGCACCAAGAGCCGTAATTTTGCCTCCTCTTCTTATCCACTATGGATTGTTTGCCGCTGGGTGGGTGGGACTCAGCTGAGCTGGCAACGATGCTTGCAACCTGCTGTGGGCTGATGGTTCGGTGATGCAGGAGTGAGGGGTGAAGGTTGAAGACCACGGATCACACAATGGTAAAGACTCGCCGAGAAGCCACAGCTTATAATGTGCATTTCGCTTGTAGAAACAGCCCGAGTCAGGGTGACAATTGGTGGGAGTGCATGATGAACGCCAGGGTACTGGTCACTTCGCGAAGCACTTGAGGCGCGACGGGGATCACGCGCCGTTGCAAAGGGGAAAGACGCCAAGGAAGGCTATAATACGGCGGCACTACGCCCTTTCCTTTTTCTGCAGCTATGCCACTCCTCGGAACTTTGCGAGATCTTAACAGGGCAACTTATATGTCGTATCCCCACATCTCCTGACTCTGTTATACATACAACGTTGTGCCATAATTCGGCTTCCTGCCGAGAACGTGAAGTAGCGTCCGGACGTACACCTCGTTCATAGCTGGGGCGTCAAGGAAGAAGTAACTGATTGATAACACACACACCTCTCCATCATAGGGATCGATCGACGAGCACGGGCGTTCGCTCCCCAAATCTCGCTATCGAAGGGGCTGAGGTCCGTTGTTGGCACATGTAGATGAGGTTGGAAATTACACGAACCCGTGGGCCCATTGCGGTCGTGTGTGTGTGTTCCCTTACGCAGAAGCTCGTTCTTCCTGCGTCGATGATCAACCCTAAAGGTAAATGATGATACCTATCTTATTAGCACAGTGCTGTTAGGACGCTGAATAGAACAGTTACAAGCTTCTCGTATGTAATGGATATGTATACCTAGAACTGCTAATCAATGCAAACTAGATGCATGCACAAACGGCCAGCAGCCATGCTCCTCGCTTTGCTCAGTACCGAAAACAGAAAGATGAATCACCCGAGGAAACCAAACGCCGTGTCCATGCACATGCGACTCTACCACCCCTTCTGCTAACAGATCTACTCTTCATTGATAACGCGACCCCACTCGTGTCCCTCCATACCGTCACTACCCCACATGATACCCTTGAGAGAGTTCTTGAAGAAGCTTGCGTACGCGCCAGAATCGCCCTTGGCCATGGGCACCTCAATGTCCTTGCCACGGAAGTGAATCTGACTAATAGGAGCGACAAACCACGCAGTACCAGCCGCGAAAGCCTCAACCAGGCGTCCCTCCTTGGCCGCTTCTTCAATCTCAAAGACGTTGAACTTACGCTCAACAACCTCCAGAGTCTCAAGGTCGGATGATGGAGAAGAAGAGGTGAGTCTTGAACGGGCGAGTTCGAGAATAGATCTCCTCGTCACACCGTCGAGGACAATGCGTTCGTTGAGATCGGCAGTGATAAGTTGTAGCTTTCCCTCCTTGGTTTTCCATACAACAAAGAAGTTGCTCGCTCCCGCCTCAGTGATGGTGCAGTCTTCGCCGAACAGCCAGAGGATCTGATGGTATCCCCTCTTCCTCGCCTCACCCTGGGCTACCAGGGAAGGACCGTAGTTGGCACCAACTTTGGCGTATCCGAAACCTCCGGGCCATGCACGGCACATGTCATCCTGGGATGCAAGCAATTTGATGCCACCGCTCATGTCACCCATTGGTGCGAAGCAACATAGAATGACGAAAAGAAGGGCTTCTTTCGGTCGCTCAACACCAAGGGCGGGGTCGGAAGCAATCATGGTAGGACGAATGTAGAGGAACTGTCCTGGGCGGTCCTTTGGAAGCCACTTGGCGCCATCTGTTGCACAGAGCTTGACGATGAGCTTGAGGAGTTCCTCTGGGTCGAATGCGGGAAGTGCGATACGGTTCGTGGACATGAGCATTCGGCGGCAGTTTAGGTCTGGGCGGAAAAGACGTAGTTTGCCGTCGTATCCCCGGTACAACTTCATGCCTTCAAAGCATTCGGTCGCGTAGTGGAGGCATGAGGCTGTGGGTGCAAGAGACAATGGGCCGTAGGGCTTCAGCTCAGGCGCTGCCCAGCCGGACTCGACATTCCATTGAGCTTGCACCATATGGTCGGTGCAGACCTTTTGGCTGGCCATCTCTGCTGAGCCTACAGCGGGAACGGAGCGCGGGGTGCTGGTGTATGTGCAATTGATCTTGGAGGCATCGAGTTCAGCGAGAGGCGCGTCGACAACATCTTGAGCTTTGCTTGTTGATTCGTTTGGTGGTGTGGCGGTGATTGAATTTGTGAGAGATGCAGAGTCGATCTGTTCTGGGGCGTTTCTTAAGAGCGCAGATTTAATACCGGCTTGTGTGAGATCGGTGACCGTCTCGTTATGGTTCGGAGGTGTGACGGCGCTGGGTGCCATTGTTGCTATGCGTGAGAATATATGATTGTCAAGCTATCAATTGAGGTAAGAGAAGTAAGTAGTTCAATGTGCATTGAGAAGACACGTACCCTGGCGCGTTCTTATACCATGGTTCTGAAAAAATTCGATCAAGAGTCACCCGCCTTCCTATCACACGGGCGGGAGCAAACCCACTTTCCCTAACGATCCATCGATGTAATGTCTGCCCAGCCCCCTGCGGACTACGGCGGGAGTCTAGTGTCATTCTCTACAGAATGCAAAGATAAAGGGTTCCACTTGCAGCCGATTTGCACCATCAGAGTACCGATCTTGAACAAAGCGTGCTCACAATTGTCCTCACTCTATGCTACTAAACATGCTCTTTCTTCGTTTGGCATTGCACAAACAAGTCGCCATCGTCAAGACCATGACGGAAGATGCGTCTTCCAGAAGCCGTCGAAGCCGGGGTTGTGTGTACTAGCGTACCTGAGGACCAAGAATGTGCAGGCGGGCGTAGGGCGTGTGTGCCGAGCCTGCGGTATCCCCGTATCTACCGCTACTATCCGCGACCAGTTCGCGCTTCCGATCCTCGGGCATGGGGACAGGGGAAGTATATAACATAGCAATATAGTATCGGATCTGACATAATGTCAGAGTAGTACAAATAGCAATGCGCATTGTGTGCGATGTCGGACATGTATTCGCAAACAGTCGATTTGGAGACCTCGTGGGAGATGGCCAAGTATCTCGGTAATCAGCGGTATAAGCAATCGACAAGTTCACCGCAGGGGAAAAAATGCTCAAGTGACCTCAAATCAACAGGGTATCATATTCTAAAACGGCCAGGCCGGTTGCAGTTTCTTCGGAGGCGCTCCACGCCGAGGCTCCATTGCAATGCATGCACGTATCTCTGTATAGGTTTCCGTACATAGCCTCCCCACCCATCTCTATCCGTCGCAAAGTGAACTCTACGATGCCGGTGATGACGACGTTTCGGTGACATGACTTGCCGCCAGCATTTGACTTGCCCTCAAGCTATCGATGCCCTTCATGATTCCATCTGCAACCTCGCCAACTCGACCTTCAAGCGTACTAAAGTCCATTCTGCTAATTGCAGAATTGATCTGTTCCATTACGAGTTCATCCTGCACCACCTCCGCTGTAACCTGCCCCTCCATCCTCCAGTATTCTTCTCGCACACCTCGCAACGCGGGATCGCGGTTCACAGAGTTTGTGAGCAAAGCAAGCGCGCGCATCTTGTTGAACGTGTCCTCGGCCGTTCGTGTAGTTATTTCAATGCGCTCGGCGATGGAAACAGGCTTCGCGAGCCAGCGGTTTGTGCTGGTAGCCCAGAGGACAAACGCAAAGCCCATGTCTACCACGGCGAAGGCGATGTATCGTAGGAAGCGAACGCGCCAGTGTGCAGAATCGATATCCTGCACATACTTTGCTCGCTTGTTGAGCGTGATGTCGTATGTGCCCATGTACCACACTTCCACCACCATCAAGAGCAAGCCCGCAATCGTTGCATGTGTGCGAAAGCGCGAGCCTTCGCTTCCCACAAGCGATGACGTCGCAAGACCAAGAACAGCGAGTTGGAAGATATGCGGCGTGACCATCTTGGGCAGCGAATACAAAAAGTAGTTTTGCTGGTCATTTCCGTCGGATGCGGTGCACCACACACAGTTCAACAGCGTGTCCGGACCATATGCCAGGTACAGCAGTTTATTGCGCACACTCCAGTTAAACTTTGTCCGTAACGCATCGTCTTCGTCTGTAAGCGGACGGAGGTGCCGTAGCCGTGCAAATAAGACACTGGTCTCCGTTCGGATGTGACTCTGTGTCTTGAGGAATATGTTCTCAGGCGCGAACCGGGAGAAGGAAAGGACGAAGCACGCGACGGCGCTCAAAAAGAGCAGGTTCAGCGCATACTGGACCCTTGGAGGCGTCGGCCGTACTGGTACGCTTCGTCCAGTTGCGCGCGCGAGATTTATCCAATCCAGGACGCGGGGTATGAGGAAGGGCCCGAAGATTATGAGGATCGAGTGGACATTCTGAGGGAGAAACGTCAGGCGCGGGATTACGACGTAGGATATCACGAGTAGGACGATCGAGCGCAGATTGAACATTGTATGTGTCGAGTTATCATGAGGAAGTTGACGAGGGCTGTGGTGTCGCTGAGGACATGTGTCCTCGCATTGGGCCAAAGTTGAGGGTGACGTGTGAACGTCGGCGATACTGAAGCGCGATCACACGTGAGCCCGCGCTAGTACCTAAGTACCCAATTTACGTCTACTTCTGGCCTGAACCAGTGCCTTATCTCAAGCTGTTGCCGTGTACATGATATGTCAACGGACACTAGATATTACAATGGGAGATTCGGACTGAGATTTCGCTCGTCTAGTCTGGACGCAAAATGCTAAAAGCGAAATACAATGACTCCGTCAAAACGCATCAGATTGTTCACACCCGAAAGACACCATGCTCATATACCCAGTTTCATTAAGATTTTACTTCTGTACGCCCTAGATATTCAAGTACCGTATCTGTCTCACATGTGTCCTTCTTCCATGAACCTCCCCTGTATAGGTCGCCTACCATCTCTTCCTGGAGAATCACGCAGCGATTGCTGCGCATAAAAGTGTGCTGGCGTGGTTGTAGTGCTGATGTTGGGGGGATTTCCATCGCCGCTATATTGTGTCCCTGCCGGGCTTCCTCTGTTCTCGGAAAATGAAGGTGGCGACTGTCGCGAACGCGTCGATGGATCACTTGGTCGTGGATAGTATATTGGAACTTGTTGCTGAATGGCATCATTGGGAGACTGTCGCGGCGAAGTTGGTGTAGGATACGAGTATTGACTGTCCTGACCATGCACAGATTGTGGATAGCTCGTTTGAGTACTCCAAGCAGTTGTCGGCGAGTTGTGAGCGATATTGCTTTCCGTGAAAAACTGCTCTCCATGTAGTGAGCGACTCGAGTGTCCACCTTCTACAGGAGATATGTATGGGAGATCCTGACCGTAAGAGGGGGGACCTTGAGCCGAGTAGAACGAGTTGTATTCGTGGCTATCGGAGTGTGAGTGTTGTTGGACATGTCCGGGACGATGAGCACGAGCGATAGAATCTGCCTGGTCATGCATGGAAACGTACTTGCTAACATCTGTGGCGGCCATCTCTTGAGGAACTGTGGTCGCAAGTTCAGCAGGTGGAAGATCTGGTGGGGGTCCACCCTCCTTCTTCTTTTTCATCGCTCTCTTTCGCCTGTGTAGACAGAGCAGTATAAGACATAGTATGATAACGAGTACCACAAATCCTCCGACTGCGCCGCCAACGATAGCCGCTACGTTCGTCTTCTTTGAGCTTTCAGGGGATGGGGATTCTGTTGGCGAGAGCACAACACGAGTAGCTGATCTTGCTGTGAAAGTAGGTTTGAGTGTATAGTAGGTAGCAAGGTCCGGGTGACCCCACGTGGCTGGCGAAGTCTTCGTAGCACCTCCGGTGGAGCTGTTCTTGTTAGTTGTGTCAATTTCGATTTGCAGGCGACAAAGACATACCCTCCTCCAATCACGGAGACGATAGGTGAAGGAACAACGTAGTGATCTAGTTGAGGACTGAACTTATCCCAAAGTTTCGCGTCCCCGCCGTTGTATCCAAGAACCATATTATGTTGCCCTTGGCCCTCTGGCGCATCGCACTTGTCATAGATAGGAAACCAGCCACCTATGATCAACATCTGCGCGTGGTTGACGACATTCGCGCTACAACCGCCGTGTCCGACTTCAGACGGATTCCCACCACTAAAGGCCTTGATCCAAGTAAACGATGGAAGACTAAGGATATAAACGTCGTCGAAAGCTGGCGTTTCACCGAAACCGTATCCACCGTAAAGATAGCTACTGCAAGTCAGCATCTCTCCTTTAGAACAGCGCACTGTGTGTACAAAGGCTCGGCTTATACTGTGATTTTAGTGGTGTGTTATGTTTTGAAACACTTCTTTTCAGATCCTGGACAACACAAATCGAACCTCTGGGGTTTCTGTGATCTTCTTTCGTGTGCATCAATGGCCTCTAGCCCCTGTGGACGTTTTCCGCCCACATCAATAGCGTCGAGCAAAGGAACGGCAGGGACATGACCAATACACGACAAGAACTTCTCGACTTACATGTTGAAAGATGACTCGTCATCGGGCCAGGTGACATCAGCACAAAATTGTCTGCGATTTTCAGGTATATCGCCAGATGCGGTCTGAGTATACCATTTCGATGAAGCCATATCGTAGATGTGGATGGTCTATGTGACGTTAGCTACGTAAAACTAGACCACCTCCATAATGTCATACACTCATGTTTGCCTGGCACGCCACGTTAGTAAGTGAACTGATCAACGGTTTGATCTCAACATACTGCATCAAAGCTACCGTTACGATACGAGTCTTCGATACCACCAAAATAGATGAGCACACCGCTGTCCGATACGGGTAGGAAAAAAAGTTGTCCTTCGGCTCTCCCAATGTCATCTGGTCCAGTTGTATTCTGTAGGTCGCCTGTAGACATGTCGAATTGAATCAGCCCATTGGTAGCCATCGGAGGCCCGTTCCAACCAGGTGCCGTTCTGTTGCTGAGCCAGCCACCAAAGTAGAACCCTAATCCACGGCTCTCGACTTGTGTCCCTGCGCCAAAGGACACCCGTTGCAGGTTTTTGTCGCCAGTTGTCTCGGTACTATTCCATTGGTTGAGCAAGACATCGTAAGTCCATATACCGAAGTCCATAGGGCTAGCGCCTGCGGCATATTCTCCGCCAAACTGATAGAAGCATTTATTCGTATTATCCGCCCATGTATAACCGCCTGAGAGGCTGGGTATATTTCCAGGTTTCGAGTACGCCTTTTGCTCCGGCATCCCGGTATCGACGGTCGATGAGCTCAAGTTACTGGACAAAAGCCATGTATCTAAGGATCAGCTGTTAGATTACGGAAAGAGACATAGGGAATGGTTTCACAAGCTCCACATACTTGAGTGGTTCGACGTGAAAGGGACTTCTCCTACCATGCCACCATCAATATATAGCATCGAATCAATCCGTGCTGTTGCATGACCCCATCGTCGACAGAATTCTTTGACGGGATCATCCTGCTGTGCTAAAGACCGAGTGAAAAGGCTAAGCAGAACAAGCGCATCTTGTAGAATGTAGGCCATGATATGCATTCATGACGTTCCTGAACATGCACACGTGAGATATGGGAAAGAGGTGAAAGCTGTTTAAGGCAAGAACGTCCGTAGGATTCAGTAGGAAGGGGGTGTGGGGGGCGGGCCGAGACGTTGGAGTGGATATGTACAGGGCTGAGGATGGCCCTCGCAGAGAGGTCCGGATTGTAGGCGGAAGGTTTGAGGTTGTCGTTCGCGGCGCACCTCGTTGAGTGGATGCACTCCGGTTTACCGATCTGACTGCGTCGTAATATTGCTAGGCGACCGTCTTCTCAGCCATGTCGTGAGTTGTGGCACTGATGTCACCAATAAAATCACAGCACATGAAATACGAGTGATCTACAGGCCTGACAGAGGCGTTTGACCATGCAGGATATATAGGTCTAGTTTGGAGTCTGCGAGAACACAGCGCCGACCTGGCAAGGGTGGCCTGCTGCGACGAACATTGTGTGTGGCTTGAGACAGGTCAAATCAGATGAACAGGTGAAGGAAACACTATTACTGGGACCAGTAACATAGCGTGGTAGTCTGGCTGAATCGGAAGCTGCTGCTCAGCCGCTCTCGTGTCCTTCGATCCAGAGCTGCGTTTCTTGCTTCGTGTGGAGTGACACACGGCGAGAGATGCGGGGAGGAGGGCTTTCAGCTGGGCGCTCAACGTTATTTGCGGCCATTGACCCCAACAGTCTGGATCCGCACGACGACAGGCTTCAGTAGCATGCCAATCACGATGAATGCTGGATTGCTTTTTTCGCTTCATGCAGCACTATGCAGATTGCGGGTAGGCATTTGGGGCCGATTTGGATACCGGTGATGGCTCAACGCATATGGCGATCAAAGCCACGCGCAACAGCTGACAAGGTATCATGTTCGTCACAAGGTACACATTATTTTGTCATGGCGACATTGGTACCAAAGTCACGGTGCTCCTTAGTTCAGGTGGGCGCCGAAGTATGTTGGCCTAAAGCGAACCCGCAGCTCCAATACCGACCGAAGTCGACGTGGACGAGCTGCAGGATTAGAATGGCAGTGCTTTTCTTCTGGGTCTGCTCTGGAAAAGGCGAATCCACTTCATAAAGGAAGGACCTTAGGGTTATTGGAGACCGTTGACAATATGTGAAGAAAAGAAGGACAGCGGCTTCGCGGAGAAAATTGAATCACACAGATGGCTTTCTTGGCGCGCTAGTGGTTAGCTCATCGCTCCCGCTGGCCCTCACGTCATGAGGCTTGTGCAAGATCACGACATGTATCATGATGTGTACCATAAGGCACATCTCTATTACATTCGCGATTGGATTGTGGCTTACGGTTTCGAGTCTCCTCTCTCAGTATTGCGTGTCCTGGCCATGTCACCCAAGGTTCCTCATCTGAAATTCAGGGAAACCCACGAGTCAACCATGGTATGAGCCATGCAAATCCACAGAGAATTTCCAATGGCATTTATCAAGATGACTACGGTGTCCAACCTTGAAGATCTCCCCCTGTATCGAACAGTGATTCAAGGTGCCTATTCTCATAAGTTTCCAGCCCGTCCAGAACGCAGCAAACCAACAACAATCAGGCCCTCCCATCCAGCCGAACCAGAGAGAAGTCAGAAAGAACACGACGGGATTTGAATATTTCACTCGGCCGACACGGAGAGGTTTGACGAACGGTACTACAAGGCACCATCTCGCCAGAGATTCTGACTTGCCCTTCATCAACATCTTCAGGCCTCGTTCCGGACCTTATTCTACACCATGGTCCTCATCTGCACAAACTCTGTGGTCAACGAATCTGGTCGGTCTAGGGGGTTTTCGATACGATTGATGCGATTCTCATGACCTTCATTGTAGATTGCGCCATGAAACTATACATCGTCGCCAACATCGATTTACGCTGTCTAGAATTCATGGCGGATTCGGACATTGTACATGCCATCATCCGGGCAGTCTATCGTATTATCTGAGGCAATTAAAGCACCCTGTATTAATCCAAGCGGTTTGTTTTAGGGAATTTTACCTGAACGCAGTCGCAGACTTGGAAAAGATTTGCGAGCACTGCGAAATCATCTTTCGGCAACATCTTCAAGATCCGGCGACCAAAACCGCTTTCGCAACAAACTTTTGCCTATACAACGGTTTCAAAAGAGGCCAGTCTTGGAACAATTGAACAGGCCTTTGAGTGGGTATATGGTGAGTCGCCTTCTAGGGTTGTGGATGATATGGACGCGGTTTCTGAGGAGGGTTCGCCACGCGATTCAATCTCGATCAGGGATTAGGTATTTGAATTCAATTGAGAGCTTCCGTGCGAGGCTACCACTATGGCAATCTAGCAAAATGTGTGTATGAGATACCGTCATACAAGTTGCTCTTAACGAAAGACTGGAGCGATGATACTATGGAGAGAAAGGGGTATCATACTACAAGCAAAACAACAACGAGAGAGTATCGACATGAGAAACGATATAAGCACAACGCGGAAGCCTAGTTCGATCTCTTCGATTGTAATTAGAAGATTATAAAAAAGCTAGTGAACCATTGTCTCGGCTTCAAAGAGCCATCTGAACTCGATGCAAACGCCTTGCCAATATGCTTGTGTTTGGCGCAGTCCTATATCTAGAGCCCCAATAAGCCACCAGAGCGCCTTCGACCTTGATCGCTCATTGTGATGTTATCCTCCTGTTATCTGCAACGTAAGAATCTCCAGGTGACACTGCAGCGTTCTTACTTCCCCAATACTGACTACTATCGCGTCTACCCTGATTGCATAGCTTTCGTCAAGGCCAAACGCTTGCTATACGGACTCAAGCTACGCTCTCTCTGAACAGGCGGTGGTGCTTGTGCTGGCGGCGGCGCAGCTCTGCCATTTGACACAGGCGGTCGGTCGTCAAAGCGATTTCTTGTCGGTCGATGCGGACTATCACGGACTCGTCCTCCGTTCCCCGCTTCGTGTGGACTGCGCGATCGGCGTGAGGCTTTGCGCTTCGAGTACGGACTAGGACTGCGATCGCGACTGCTGTGGTATGGTGAGAGTGGCCTCGAGGGTTCACGATTTCCAGAGTATGAGGCGCCTACTTTGCCTCTTGATGCTTCATTCGGTGGATGACGCTCGTCCGACGTATCCATGGGATCGGCGCTTCTCGACCGTGATCTTGAGACGGAGTACCGACGAACTGGTCGCCTCCTATCTCTTCTTGCGCTCTTGCTCTGTGGCCTGACACTGCTACTCATGCTTCGCGACACTCCTCCTCTACCATGTTCGTGTGATGTCTGCATGCGCGCTGACCTTGACCTCGACTTTGACCTGGTTCTTCGGCGCCCTCGCTCGCCAGGGCTGAAAGAGCTCATGCGCCGCCTTGTGTTCCTGTCTGCTACATCCGATGCGCGTGACGAGCGCGAGTCCATGGATACGGATCGCCTGCTACGCTTACGTAGCCCCTTGTCGTCGTCCGCTCGGTGTCTTGGACCATCGTGCTTTCGTCGTGGCGGAGATCGTGAGCGGGAGCGGGAGCGGGTTGTTGATATGGTGGAGACGGAGTCGGCAGACGATGTAGAGAGCGACCGCGCGCGCTTGCGATCCTCTTCTTTCTTCTTCAGGATCTCATCTGCGACGCCCTTCTTGCGCAGCAGATCTTCGGGTACCTCGGTGGTGAGCTTAGGCTTCAGCTTGGGGTTGAGTAGTTGTTGTGTCCTGGAAGGCCGAGATTTGTATGGGCGTTCTTGGGCGGATGCTTTGCACTCGTAGCTGTAATGTCCTCTCTTCAGGCACTTCTGACAGAGAGTGTCTGCTGAAGCCTTAGAGCGCCCAGCACCCGGACGGCGGAACATGGCGGGCTATAATTGTAGCAAGACTCGGATCCAATGGGTTCCTTTGAGGCCAGATATTCGTCGTCGATGGAGCGAAGGAGACTCGACGCGTCTCTTGCGTCAGAGGAGCAGCAGGTAGAGATGTAATCAAGCCTCGCCAAGTTCAATCTTCTTCTGTCACTTTCGGCGAGGAAACGCGACCAGCCTTGCTCGCATGCAGTAAAGCGCAGATGCAGCTTGGCCGGAGAATTGGGCGGAGCGGCATGACTAAGCTCGCCCACTGGCGGCTTCCATCATCGCTTCTCTATCCTTCACACGCCTTGCGCTGCACCCCGCATAACAGCCTGGTCCCCGCCCTGTACCCAAGTCGACGAGCCAATTCACCGGTCGTCCTTTGTCTTGCGCCCTATATCCGGGTGCTTGGCAGCTTCTCACACGCTCGACGCCCAAATCTCTGGACCGCAGGCCTGTCGTCAAGGCTAACTTCACCTTGGCTTCCAACAATCCCACTACTCTACACTTTTCCCACGAATGTCGGCACACCAACATGTCCAGCTTTCTGGCTCCGGTTATCGCGACTTTCCTTGAGCACCCTATTTCCTGAAAAAAATACGTCCATCACTTCGGTTAACACCACCTTCATTTCGGTCTACGACGACCCACGTCCGGCGTTGAGCTTGGTGATTCTTTCGGCTACAAGAGCAGGCGTCCGTCAGTTCACTGAACTGCTCTGCTACTACAGAACCGCTCGAAAACCCATTTCGCTTTCGCCGCGTTTGAACAACCACTGCACACTGCGCATAGGCCATCTAAATCGCACCCTACCGCTCATATAGTCTTCAGTACCAAACACCGCCTCATAACCATGGCATCCGTGACACCGGCTTCAGCAGATCAGGCACCCCCGAGGCCTCTGTCATTCGCCAAGGTAGGATCTTAAGAAGCAATTTCCATGGGCGGTGTGCTAACAGCGCTAGGTCGCGGCTTCCGCCATAAAGCCCCAGATGTCGAAAGATTCTGCTCCGAAAGCGAGACCGCCTGTTGCGACACCTAGAATACCTGCCATCGCCCAGAAGGCGCGCTCTATCCCCATGAATGGCGAAGTAGCATCAAGAATAATCGCGGAAAAGCGAGAGGATAACGATGCGAGCAAAAGCGCTGAAAATGCCATCTCGCAGCCCGTGCAGCAGACAAGTACCGCCGAGCTATCGGAGATACCATCTACGGATCCTAAAAGGGATGCCGTCGATAGGCCCCAGTCCGCTGCTGTAGTCAAGGTGTCTGTCACCGAGGATAGCAGCACTCAGCTGTCTTCATCAGACGGATCCGGGAAACCTCCCAGTATTGATGGAAAGAGCGTAGCTTCTGCGACAACGTTTGCACTAGATGAGAAGGAGTCTTTGCGCCCAGACGACAGTGCTAGCCTAAGGGCAGTCGAGGAAGAGGATGTCATATCCCCCCCAGACTCAGTCGTTGCGGACTCCCGGCAGGGATCTGACCATGGCGCTGCGCGTGCCTTCAGGGACCAGCTACACGAAATAGCGGTGATGAATCCTCAACCTCATCGAGGAGTACCCCCGGGTCGATTTCCGACGCTACCCAATGGCCCGCAAACCTTATACGACCCTAATCAGTCGCTGAATGGCGCAGGGCCCATGTCGCAGCCCCTAGTTAACGGCATGCCCTCACTTAATGGTGTTCCCAACATGCCCGCCATTCCAGATGAGAAGCTGCTCGAGGCGCTGCGCTCTCCGCGTGATCGTTTGTTCGTAGTCAAGATCGAACAAGACTTTATTGATTTCATCAAAGATTCTCGGTACGTTACGGGCGATCCCTCCTCTACCCATCGTTACTAACGGGATATAGCGAAAATGAATTGTGTCTACCGAACTGTAATACTTTCTACAGGATGCTTGCTCATCGTCTTGCCGACTACTACTTGCTTGGCCATGTTGTCGACACCACTATGACTGGTGTGAAGATCACGCGTACACCTTACTGTAGAATGTAAGTACCCAGCGAGGTCCAAGGGGTTTTGTTGCTGACTATTCGCAGTCCGCCCCCTGTGTCACAGATGGTTGATCCTGCCAAGGGCACCAACACACCTCCTGTGGAGCTTCCTGCTCGTAAGATCATGCGTCGCGATGATGGTAAATCAGGTACAAACACTGGAGCTAACTCGCAGAATGCGTCAAAGACGACTTCTGAAATGGGTGGTAGTGAAGGCAGCAACGATGGCGAAGGCAACAAAGATAAAGCCGCTCTATCCAGAGAAGAGCGCGAGGCACGTTACCGCGAGGCTCGTCAGCGCATCTTTGGAAGTGCAGAGAGCGAAGAGCCTGACGTGGCTGAAAGCAATGGATCCGGAGAAGACAAGAATAAAGGGAAAGATATATCACGGTCAAGTTCAGCTGCTGGGAAGAAGAAGCCCAAGAAGCAGCGTAACTACGACGACGATGACTTCCAAGCACGGTCCCGCTTCAATGTGTACTATCCGCAACAGTACCCTGTGGCTACATACACTGGAGATAACGCTGTCTACTACAACGGCTACCAAGCACCTGCACAGAACGCGCCATATGCGACTATGAATCCCGGCACTTCTCCTCCAGTTACTTTCAGCAACCCATATCCGGGTATGATGGCGCCGGAGCCGATGGCGCCGGAGCCGCAGGCGCAGTACGGTTGGGCTGGTCAGCAGTACCAGGCCTCTAACGGCTCAATGATGGCGTACCCCGGTTATGGACAAGCACCGAATGGTTATGACTTGTCGGCGGACTTCCAGCGGGGTATGTCGTCGTTCCAGAGCGCCGGTATGCCTTCTCAAGTCACCCCAAAGATGGCCAACCCGCAAATGGCGTCTTACCAAGATACCTACCAGCAACAGCAAAACATGCCTATGAACTCTGCCTGGTCTCAAGCAAATCAACAGCCCCCGTTTCAAATGGCTCAGGGTGCATACAATGCTCAAAATGGTCCTGGCAACCGCCCTATGTCCGCACCCCACCAAGCACCCATGCCTGGCTATTCATACGGACAGTTCGCCTCAAATGCTTACAATGGAAAGCCAAACCGCAACCAGCATCCACTTCCGGGAAGCTACAACCGTGGACAGTTCAACCCGCAAACGCAGGCCTTTGTCCCTGGTGGACGTAACATGCCCTTCGGGATGCAGCAGAACATGATGCAGGGACAGCCTCAGATGAATGGGTATGGCGGATACCAAATGTCGGCTCAGACTTCCATGCCTGCTCAGATGCCCAGACACAACCCTTCATCTACCTCCACGCCTTCGTTCGGGTCACCTCAAAGTATACAGGGCAACAACTCAGCTACGTCCATGAACCGAATCGCCTCCCAGTCTGGTGAGCCAGGATCGTCTCAAAGCAGTATCGCAAAGTACGGTACACCGTCACACCTGCCTCCAAAGCCTCCAGCTCCTGCACCAGCCCCACCATTTGCCTTACCGTCCATGACGCGAGTACCATCGTCCGGGCTTGCTAACAACGCTCCCACAATGTCCGTTCGAGGCGGGTCGGGCAACTTCAACAGCAACACGAATCCCAACTAACGCTTTACGACATGACCTTTAGCATTGCGACGGTGCCTCCATTGTACTTATTTGCATCTTTATCTGGCTGGGTACGGGGTAGGTTCGAGAGGGGAATGGGGCGTTCGTATAACATGTGCTTTCTATGCTTTCCGCCTACATGCTGAGGATCGCCGGCGTCCCGATTGTGATCTTTCTATTTCTCGACTTCCTGTTGGGTCACTAGGTAAAAGCACTCTTTTTCTAAGTCGATAGGCGGAATGGGCGGTATCCATGTAGCTATAATAAAATTGCAATATTGCTTCTGTGCCCCAGTTCTTCGCCTATGGTCGTGAGGCACGACAGGCTTGTACGCCTTGTTATCATATTTCCTCTTGTTGCCGTTCAAAGCTGTTGTGAGTAACGCCGAAAGGTTTGTTGGCATACTACAGGACGCGTATCTCGCCGGCAAATGTAGCCGTGTGAGACGCCTAGTTTCTACGCTTTGCCCCCCCAGACAACAAAATTGCCTATTGCGGTACGCACTTAAGACCTGTACGACAAAGACTAAGATATTACCCATACCGATCAAAGCTATGCGTGATATCCGCCCGTACATCCGTATTGGCATAAGGAAGCGCCCATGATCTACTCGGGTCTTATATCCGCGGGAGTCTGTTGTGTTTTTTGGATAAAGGTATCTAGAGACGGGATCGCAATGGTTTGTGGTTGTATCTTTTGCTACTTACATGTGTTGTGGTTTGGAGTGAGGAGTCATACGGCATGGTAACCCGACAGCTGCAGAAGCAACCATTTCTCGGGTACACTACCCAGCCAAGTCCTCTTTTTCTTCTGGTAGTGGAAATTTGAGTGGTCGGAAGCTGTACCCGTGTTTCTCATCTGCAATCTACACTCGTTCAATACAGTTACTGCGTTGGGACAGATTTTGTAAAAGTTGTGGGTAAGTTCGAGGTGGTGGATGTTGTGTGGGTGGCTTAAGCCACGTCAGACGCCGAGACGGCCCGGGTGGCGTACCCGTTGTAGACGGTGTCCTATCCAGATGGAGTTTTAGCCTCAGCAAGAGAGGAGTAGGTAAGGTTTCCAAGGGATATGTGTGGAGGGCAATAAGTCCCTATACTATCCTACAGCTTTACCCACGGTCCAGTTAACATTCTAGAAGGATGGCCAGAAATGGCAAGTACAATCGATGCTGTATGATAGAAGGGTCCGCGTCTCTCGGTCCGAGATGTGTAGAAGATGTTGATACTGGCATAACTAAGCAGAATGAAAAAGATCCATGATCTAGGAACATCTTATACACGTTTGCCTTCGACTGAAAGATGAACTTCCGACGGACGATTACACACGCATTCGATTGATACGCTGCCCAATATAGTTGAACGTGTACAACGTCTTCTGTGGCTTCAGTATCGGAACATTTCAAGATGGGGATCGCGCTATCGACGGATGGTGCAATTTGCAATGATTAGTAATACGTCCTCGTCCTGTAAGCATTGTGCTGGTGCGATATGGGCGCGCTTTCGCATGGAATGCTACAACTAGTTGTTTTCGAGATAGCGGAATCATCCGTACAACGCATGCCTTGAACTGAGTCGTAAACATCCAGATCTGGTAGTTGAGCCGCAGAGGAACTACACCTCTTGGCCCATGCATGACATGTGATGAAGCGAAATGACGTTACCGGTACTTGAGTATTTTCAAAATTTTCAAATCCGGAGACCTGTAACAGTCAGTGGAGGCCCCATGGTGTGGCGATCGTTACCCACAATACGCATGCATCGAAGACCCGTAGAAGATAAAAACTGGGGACTATCACCGAGAGGCTCCGTTCCGCGATCGTTCGTCCGATGTGCCTTTTATTTCCTCCTCCTCTTTATGTTTATTCGCGATAGTCAAGTCATGTTGAGGTGACAGGTCGAAATTGCGATCTTATCGAAAGATCGTCGTGATGAACGCCAAGCCAGATCTCGGCGTTACACTTACATCATCTTCACCTTTCATCATTCATTCCTGCGACACGCGAAAGACCTGACATATCGGAACACCTCGGCAGTCCGAAGCGACAATAGCCAACAACAAGCCAAACTGATACACAACGGCTTTTGCGCTACCCCACATGTCGAAGTGAAGATGACGTCCGCAGCCTTAACGTCGGCAGAAAATCTTTGGGCCAAGCTTTGGAGGCTCAAAGATCGGCTCCGGAGTGATCCCGCGGCCAATGGGAACGCAACGCTTGTAGATAGCTTAACTTTATCAAGCATTCGATTGCCCGGGCTTGTCAATGGCGATGTGGCTAGCGGCCGTTAGTTGGGGTCCTGGACCATGCAAAACATGACGTCGGCCACTGCGGCTCGCACGACCACGAGATGGCTTCGGATTTACCAAACTGCGCGGTAACCATGGGGAATGCGGTGATGACCCACGGTTAAGCGTGCCGTTATGACGGCATTGGAGTCCCCGACTGCCCAAAAGCGGAGCGAATGGATGCTTTATAGGAACTCGGAGACCCCACGACCCCAAGGTCTGCTAACACTTTTTACCTCAACTGATCGGCACTCCTCTTCTGCCTTTCACTAGCCATGGCGATACTCGATCGATTTGGTGGGCATTCACATGCCTCGCCTGCTTCGTCCACGATGATAGACCAGGACCCCGAGAAGAAACCACAGATGTTGAAGGGTGGTGTCAAGGAAATCTTCCGTATGCGCATTATTGCCATGGCTATCATCGTGTCGATGGGTGGTGTATGTACTATATGAAAAACCACGAGGATGTTTGGCTGACGACATGTAGTTCATCTTCGGATATGACACTGGTCAAATATCTGGATTTTTGGAAATGCCCGACTTCCTGAACAGATTCGCGGATCAAACAGACCCTGAAACAGGCGGGCCTGCTTTCAGCAACTGGAAGTCTGGGTTGATTGTCGCGCTGCTTTCGATCGGTACCCTGATGGGTGCTATAATTGCCGCCCCCATCGCCGACAAATTCGGCCGCAAGTATTCCATCGTCTTCTGGAACATCATCTTCTGCATCGGAGTCATTGTCCAGATTACTACAACAAATACATGGTACCAGATCTCCCTTGGTCGCTGGGTCGCTGGTTTGGGTGTAGGAGGACTTTCGGTCCTTACACCAATGTACCAGTCCGAAACCGCACCACGTTACGTGCGAGGTGCACTCGTATCGTGTTACCAACTCTTCATTACCCTTGGGATTTTCACCGCTTACTGTAAGTGACGTCCCCTACAAACTATTTGTAAGACCTATACTGACTTCGCACCTTAGGCATCAATTTCGGTACCGAAGATGATGGCAGCTCGGCTTCATGGAAGATTCCAATGGGCGTTGGTTTCATCTGGTCAGTACTCATGATGGTTGGAATCTTCTTCATGCAGGAATCTCCACGATGGGAATACCGCAAGGGCAAGGTTGACGAAGCGACACATACCATCGCCCTTACGTACGGTGTTTCCCAGGACCACCCAGAGGTCCAGCGTGAGGTCCAGGAAATCCAGAAGAAATTGGAGGCGGAGCAAGCGGGAGGCGGTCACCACCCTTGGTACGAGATCTTCACAGGACCGCGCATGTTGTATCGCGTGTTGCTTGGTATTAGTCTGCAAGCTCTTCAGCAGCTTACAGGTGCCAACTAGTGAGTCGATTCTAAGCGTTCATGATGCATCCTATACTGACGTTCTTGTAGCTACTTCTACTATGGAACCACCATCTTCCGGTCCGTCGGTATCTCAAACTCATTCGTCACCTCCATGATCCTCGGAGGAGTCAACTTTGGCATGACCTTCCCCGGTCTATACATCGTCGAAAGGTTCGGACGGAGACCAGCACTGATCACTGGAGCCTTGTGGATGTTCATGTGCTTCCTCGTCTTCGCCTCGCTGGGTCACTTTGCTCTGGAAAATGACGATGGCACATCAAACCAGGGTGTCGGATATGCCATGATTACCTTTGCGTGTCTCTTCATCGCAGGCTATGCCATGACATGGGGACCAATTGTTTGGGCAGTGGTCGGAGAAATCTACCCTAGTCGATACCGTGCGAAGGCAATGGCTCTGGCAACGGCTAGTAACTGGACGTGGAACTTCCTAATCTCTTTCTGTAAGTTTCTACCACTTCATGTTTGTCGATGTGCACCCCTACTAACGCATATTGTCAGTCACGCCCTACATCACGGCTGCTATCGATTATCAATATGGATATGTCTTCGCCGCCTGCTGTTTCCTCGGTGCTATAGTGGTCTACTTCTTCGTCTGCGAATCTCACGGCCGCACCCTCGAAGAGATTGATACCATGTACATCCTCCACGTCACACCATGGAAGAGCAAGCACTGGACTCCCACTCCTGGTGAGGAGCTGCCGAATTTGGACAACACCTACTTGACGCCTGGAGGAAGAGGCATCAAGAAGACTAACGAAGCGAGAGCTCCGGAACAATTGCGAAGGGAGAGTGTGCCCGTCACTGATGCGGATATGCAGGCCAGTGGTGCGAGGCGAGACGATTAGGCGTCAACCTCCCGAAATTTGGGACAAGACTCCTTGTTTTCTGCCTCGATTAATTAGCAAGCATGATAGCGTAGCATAAACTTCACACAGTAATATTCATCTTTATCTGAACCAGACACTCTTGTCACTAAACACATAAAAGGTGGCTCACATCCCTGACAGGTCATGCCCATACTCTGGCATACGTGCGCGTGCACATTCTTAGCACGGTTGGCTGATTGCACATGATTGATTTGAGCTTCCAAGACAGTCGTATTCGCAAAAAGAGACAAAGTCACCGAGCGACGTGCAAAAGGAAGACACTCACACCGCATATCTCGCATTGGTTCCAAGACTAAACAAGCGCAAAAAAGTAAGTTCGAAGAATCCTGGGCGAACCCAGGCACGTTGTCCCCTTCGTGGATCGAACACGATACCTCCAGATTTAGTGACTGAGACTTCAGTCTGGCGCTCTCCCAATTGAGCTAAGGAGACGGCTTTTTGATGGAAGACAATCAAACTGGACTGTATATATAGCCACCAATATGCAGAGTCAATCTGCTTGCCCACTACGGTATCGTACACCGAAATGATCTTGGTCTGGTGGCGTGGAGAGAAAAACGGATCCGAGTGGGTCGTTTCGTACGGACCGAAGCGTGATGGAAAGATCTCGAGGCGGAGAACAGGACGACACGCTTCGGCTTGGCACGGATGCAACACTGTTATGGTGACATCATTGTTTGCGATTCAATCTTCACCCAAAGGAATCAACTTTTCATCGGCAACACTTTCGACGTGTCCTTAGGATCTCATTTCGCGCAAGATCACCTTTTGAATACTGTTATGGCGATTGTGGAGAAGTGGCTTCCGCCGTCGCGTGAGAACTGGGAGCTGATTTGCTACATCTGGCAGTTCTTTCCTATTGTAAGCATACGCCCGACCTGCGAGGCGCTATGCCGCAACACGGCATCGTGTGTTTCAGCGGTTCCTAACATGCGCAAAGATTACTGCGGCTCAATGGGTTCTGGACTGGTACCCGCAGGGCAAGACGTCGATTGAGTCGCGTTTCAACATCAATGGCAAGATTGGATGGGCAACAATGGAGTCGGCAGGCTTCATAACCCTGTTGTACATCATGTACTCGCTTCCGAAAGAACTGGGTCTTGGAGAACTACCTTGGGGTAACTGGACCATGGCTGGCTGCTTTGTGAGTATGGAAGGAGGTTCTGTCAGAAATGTGCTAATGGGATGCAAGGTCTTCCACTACCTCTACCGCGCCGTTGCATCTCCCCTCTTCCTCAACCCCAGCATGTCGCCAATACACCCCTTTGTATGGATCTTGGCCTTTGGGTTTCAAATGTTCAATGCCATCTCCATTGGCGGGTACCTCGCAGGCTACGGACCAACATCACAATACGAATGGGCAGCGCGATCAGAGTACATGTTTCTAGGGCTCGTAATCTGGTGCTGGGGACTCTTGGCCAACATGTTCCACGACGACGATCTGCGCGAGATCAGGAGGGCGGCAGATCGCAAACAGCGCAAGGCAGCTGCTGAGCAGGGCACACCTGTAGAGAAGGTGGACAAGATATACATGATACCGAAGAATGGTCTGTTCAAATACTCGCTACACGCGCACTATCTGTGCGAATGGATTGAGTGGGCAGGCTGGTGGATGATTGGTGGTTGGCAGTGTGTGCCTGCACGTACGTTTCTTCTCAACGAGATTACTACCATGCTTCCACGTGCGTTACAGGGCAAGAGATGGTACGAGAAGAAGTTTGGTAAGGATAAGCTGCAAGGCCGCAAGGCCATAATTCCGGGCGTACTCTAGGGAGACTAGATTGTTTATTGGTACGCTAGCGATGAAGCTTCTAGCGTTCCGTTTGTCGAACAGTAGACGAGCGATACATGTGGCTTTAGCAATCTAGCGAACAATGAAGTTGTGCAGTGTTAGCGGTAAGGGGAAGACACCTTGGCGGTGGTACACTAAGCATGACAATGTGGAGTGGTGAAGACAGTGGAGGCAACTATCCAGCAACACGTGCTGGACAAGACGAGGAACTGCGACAGGGTAATGATGTCTAATCAGTTCAGGCAGGGTTGGTTTGTTTTGCACGAGATAGTTCGGTGCGTATTTGTTGGTCACTAGTGAATGCGCAGGTGGAGAGACGAACCCTGCACGTGGCAGCGACAAAAGCATACGACGAGAGATACGAAGAAAGCTGATAAAAAGCGCGCATCTAGTGGTGGCATTTACGATGTTTGCCCCGTAAGATGACGGTAGCTCCTGCACTCACGAAGCCACAGTGCGCTGTTCACACAGTAGAGCAGACGGGAGGTAACGTGCCGAGGATACTCTGACCGTCTATATTAAGAGTGGCACGCCACGGAGCCAATCACGGGCGCACGGCCTGAAAAGAGCAGGAAGCTCGCCAGTGAACACGAGCGGATGATGTTATTGGGACTGGGATGTGGGAAATTTCGCACACAAGGCCCGTTTGGATGACGGCATGCGACGGCCACTGCAGCGAGCGCGACGCTGCATTATCGCCGAGTTGTGCGATGCAGGACAGCAATGCTTTGGCATGAGTAGACATCGAGGGTCCGATTCAAAGGGGCCTTCTAAAGACAGATTTCAGACGCACACAGCCACGGACATGCCGTATTAGTCGCTAGCCAGGTGCGCCTCTTGTACTTGCATCTCGCAACCTCCCCTTTTGGGGCTAATGCTAGTCAGCTTGGGTGCATTAGACACCCGCTTTTCCGTCTGAAGCTCCAAGCCAGTCGCTGCTGGATGCAACACCAGAGGCTGCATCAGGCCTTGGCACGGGACTGCTGCAAAGTCGCCGGGCCCATGGCGTTCAGATTCCACTGCGAGCTGCGACGGTATTGTTTCAGAAAGCCGTGACGGTGATCGCAATTCGACGTTAACCTTTGACCGCCATCGACTCCCCACCCCAATTGGCACCGGCGGCAGGGTAACAGAGCGCGCTTGTTGTTGTTGGGCGTCTTCGGTTCGGCAGCTTAATCAACAGGTGCTTGCTGGGATCAGCCGTCCTTTGGCGTGAAGGTCCACTAACACTCCTGCACAACCTCGCCCGCCGCCCACTCGCAACCCAGAGCCTCCGTCGATACATCATCACTGCGGACCCACGGGCGGAGCACACAAGAGATCGCCGCCCACTGCTACGAGCCCGCCAGCGGTACCACGGAACTCTAACTACTTCACCTTGAGAATCTTGTCCCCTTGCCTTACCTGACCCTCCCCCGGCGGCACCTGTTAGCCGTCCTCACGTCGTTGTCGTCGTCGCCTCAGTCGCTCCTTTCACCGGCACCCATAGCTTCTGGCTGCAATTGTCGTCAACATGTCTAGCAACAATGTGACTGCGAGTACGTTGTCTCCTTCTATTATTTCTCAGAGTCCTGAAGCCGCTCCTTCCTCTGCATCTGCTCCTGCTCCTGCTGCGTCGTCTGCTCCTCCAGCCTCTGCCCCATCTTCAGATCCGCCCTCGTCAGATCCTCCTTCGCCGTCTGTAACACCCTCCGCAGCACCTGCGCCCACTGAGGCTTCTTCTGCTCCCGCGCCGTCTTCCAATCCGCCAGAAAACACTCCTTCAAGTCCCCCACCGGCTTCTAACACGCCTTCAGCGGACGCGCCCTCTTCAGAGGCTCCTGCACCCGCCTCGAGCGCTGCTCCCTCAAGCGCTGCTCCCGCTCCCTCAAGTGAGCCCGCGGCACCATCAAGCCAGGCGCCGCCGCCGCCTGCATCTTCAGCACCCGCGCCAGCCTCATCAACCTCACAAGCACCTCCTCCAGCGCAGTCGAGCGCACCACCGCCAGCACAATCGTCAGCAGCGCCGCCTCCCCCAGCGACTACCAGCAATCCGCCGCCTGCCGCTACAAGCGTCATCACTGCTCCATCGGCGCCTCCATCCACCCAAGTCTTCACCTCTGTCACCGTCGTAACCTCTACCCCGACAGGAGAAGGACAGACACCGCAAATCGTCACTGTAACAGCAACCTTCTCGCGCACTGACGTTGCCGCTGCGCCAACCAATGCTGCATCTTCCACTGGTACAGGCGCTGCGGATCCTTCCAACACTGACTCCACTCAGCTGCAGAATGCGCAAAAGGAGAACTCTGGCGGCTTAGGCACTGGTGGTAAGACTGCCATTGCTGTCGTCATTCCCGTTGTAGTTGTCGCTCTGCTAGTACTGGGAGGCATCTTCTTCTGGCGGAAACGTAAGCAGCGCAAGAGCGCCGAGGACGAACGCCGCAAAGAGGTCGAGGAGTATGGCTTCAACCCCAACCACGACCCTACGCTACCTGCTGTCGGCGGATTGCAAATGGCCGAAGACGACAGCGGTTACCGAGGCTGGGGCAACACTACCACCAGCTCTAACCGCAAGATGTCGACCACCCTCACCTCTGGCATGACCTACTCGGACAGCAACAGCAACCCTGGTGGCTACGCCAGCCCACACTCTCCCACAAACGGTGCCTACTCCGACGCTCACTCTAACGACCCGCTCGTAGACGGTCGTCGCCAGACCATGGACTCGGACGGCATCGGCGCACTTGGTGTTGTCAACGGCGCTGCAGCATCCAACTCTGCCAACAACCAGGCCGGTGTACACCGTGGACCTTCCAATGCCTCTTCGTCGTACTCGGCAGCCAATCACTCCGACAACTCAGGCGACTACCCTGGCATGGCCAATGGCCACCCACAGGAGTACTACCAAAACCAAGAGTACTACCAGAACGGGCCATACGCTGCAAACGACCCATATGCTGGCAACCAACAGCCAATAATAAGAGATGTGTCAGCACGACGCAATACAAGGATAGAAAACCCAAGTGTCTTCCCCCAACAAGGGAACTCTGGCATCGCACAAAACTTCTAGTCTTGCGCTCGATTGCTACCGTAATTATTCATCCATCGCTACCTGTATATTGCGACTCTATCGTTTATCCATCTCCTTCAGCTCTTAGTCGACATATATCCAAACGGAGGCGTTCATCGGGTGGTCATCAATCCATTTTTGCATTGTATCTTGATCTTGGCTTTTGGTAGTGCTGTATGCACATGCGAGCGCATCTGAATGGATGTCGGCATACACTTCCGTACGCCCCACTCCTCGCGACGGTGTTTTCTTCGGGAGATGCGGAAGCGGACACGCCGATACAAGCAGGTGGTACGACATCGAAAGACCCTGCAAACTGAGGCTGCAGGGTTGCAGTTCATGTTCGGCAAGATACATGTTGTGTGTCGAGCACAACACACAAGAGTACAAGCGACTTTGAATTTGCACCAGCGCAGCATGTATATCTCAATGCACGTCGATTTGTCGGCAAAGATTCAAGAGACGAGAAAATCATCTTCTTGGATTCGTGTGAGATGATGTATGCTGGCAGCTTTTTTATTATCACCATCTTCTATCATTTTGATGCTGGGTTCTCGGAGGATTTGACGCTTTCTCACGCGAACAACATATCACTCTTGTAATTATCCAACGTCTTTCTATATCACCATCTTTTGTACCTATTTTACAACCCGTACGCCAACTTCTTAGGCAACCCCTTTTCCTTACATGTTCGGGTCTACAGACGATACTACAGGTTTCTACCTTGGAGGCAGACAGAAATAGAATGAAATCGAATTTTGCATAATGCTCTTCTTGCTCTGACTCTTCTGATGGTGTTTCCACTAACACAGCCAGTATTGGACTAGACACGAGCACGACGCTCATCAATCCGCAGCATACCCATAGATCTATGAACCCGTGTTCGATGGTACTTGATCCGGTGGTAGTGTTGTACCTTACTCAATCGCTTGTATGCCATTGGTATACGCGTCCGTATGACGGTCTGTTTTTTGATGATCTAGATCTCCCTGCGGGGAGCGGAACGACAAGAATGTTGAGAAAGCCTGGTTTGCTCCAATGGGTGGTTAGTATACAGTAGTCAGATAGGTAGCATGCATGCATGCGACTGCAGTGTAGATCTTCCCTACCCCGCGGCGAACATCCTTCCGAACCGTACCAGGAAAACAAAAGAGACGATTAATTATCCTCAGGCCACCAGATGGCAGAGAGACGTAGCTTCTTCTCCAAAAAAAACGGTGTATTCAGCTACTTGTCACCTTTCTTTTTTTTCTCTTTTTTTCCCAGTCTGGACAAGTCAAGCGAGAGCTGAACGCGTTGGACGCGGGGCTCGGCAATTCTGCGAGTTGTCGACGAACGAGGTTCGAGTCCTTTCGTGTCATTGTGGGGTTCCATGGTGGAGTTTGGTTGACAAACGGCTTGATTCTTTAGCTACCCGTTCAGTCTAGATTTTTCACTGGTTGCGTGTCATATTTTATGGTTACAAAATGCAGCTAGATTACTTGGCGTGTGTAATATTAGCAAAATGACGATGAACTAGAGTTTGTTTCGTGGCGAATACCAAAACGCGTATTGGCTGGTTTGTTGAGAACGTTATACATGGAGTAGAATGTGTCTAGATGTAAGGAAAATGATTATCCTGCTACAAAACACCGATGTGTTGAAATAAAAGATGTAAATGAAACGGGCTATAATGCGGCTGTTCTGACGTCGTAGTGCAATGAGAGAGAATGATAGTGTGGAGGTAAGTCCAAGGTCGAGGGGAAGAGCTACCCGATGAAAGGCTTCTAGCTTCTTCATCACACGCGCTTAGATAGCATTTGGAATAAGACTTGTGGACTACACACGTCCAATTGACATTGTATACACTATAGGCCATCTAAAATCTCATCACTCCAAGTCACCCCCACTCCTGGGTTTGGCGAGATTGAACCTAGCCCTCTTCCGCGTAGTAGCGGGTTTGCTAGAATCCATAGTTTTGACCTGGTTCTTGCCTATCATGCTCTTGAAGCCGAGGTCTGTGCTGAGTAGCTCGACCGGTTCCGATTCGACGTGATCATTGACGGCGAGTCCGGTAGGCTCGACAAGACCTAGCTGCTCCTGGAGTTTTCTGTATTGAACTTCGGGATCCTGTAGATTGGCTTGCGGTGGTCTCGGCTGGCTTCTAGGCATTTGAGGTGGTTCCGTTGGTTGCTCAGGTACCAAAGTACGCTTTGGAAGAACAGCCGATGAGCCAGGTTGGGTGGCAAAAGATTCTTCGTTCTGCACGGCTGCAGTCGCGTCAAGTTGGACTGGAGAAATATCGCTTCTTGTTGCTGCTTCGCCATCTGCGAGCTCGTCCCACCACCTGGATCGCTCTTCTTCAGCCTCTCGATTCGCTTTCTCCAGCGCACTCGCCTCTCTATGAAGTCTGTTCTCCTCCAATACGCCCATCAGCTTCTTCCGGTCCACTACTTTCGCGAAATGCCTTAGCAAATCAGGGTCTAATTCCTGTTCAGCGTCAAGATGCGGTATAGTATCGCCGATCCGGTCAACAAGTTGTGCTTTTGCATACCCTCGCAGCAAAACTCCCCATGTGAACTGGTCAGGATCGACACCCCTGCTTCGCATGATCTGAAAGACACGTTCTGCCGCTTGCACTTGACCCGTTTTAAAGAAAGCCTGCATAAAGATAGTCCAGCTGTAGATGTTGGGCTTTGCTGGGCCGTCCGTCATATCTTGAATGAGCTGAGATGCGTTTGCAAATTGCTGTTTTTGACAAAAGGCGAAGAGGAAAGCGTTCCAGATCATTGGATCTTGAACCACCGCATCAAATTCTGGATCTCCTCCTTCTTCCACGACCGACTTGAACTTGAGATAAAGGTTGTAGACTCGCGTATTGCTAATCGCCAACGCTGATCGGATCTCTGTTTGCAGCATAATGTACATCGCTACCGGTGGAGGGGTTAACAACATAGAGCCAAGAGCAGACGAATTTTGTGAGATGCTGGCTTTCCTTAGGTCTGGAGTTCCGTAGCCAATGAAGGACTGCAGTGGCGCTACTGAGAAATGTTCGGCATAGGACTGCCATAGCAAGGCTGAGGTACGTTCGACGTCCTCATCACCTTTGTGGCGTACCTGAAGGTAGTAGAGATAGTCTGCTGCTAGCCATGGGTCCTGGATATCTTTTGCTATATCGGCACAATGTTGTGCGAAAGTTTGGAAGAATGCTGGGTTGTCTTGCATGGTACATCCGTGAAGCATTATCGAGAAGGTGTGCTTGTCTGGCTGTATATCGTTGTTCTCCAAGGAATTGTATACCTTGAAGGCCGTAGCGTAGTCTCCGGCCTCCATAGCGTTGTGCATGACGACGTTGTAAAGAAGTATGTCCATCTTGATACCCAAGCGTACGATAGCAGCGACGACAACCGGGGTCTGATGAAAGTCTTGACTTGCACTCATACTCTTTCGCAGTATGACAGCGCACGTCCATCGGAGTCTTTTGCGCTCCACCATAACCTCCCAAGCTGTAGCCGTATGTCTGGCTGTGAGCAAGTCGAGACATTTCAATGCATACTGCACTTCGCCAGCCTGCCCAAACGCGGTTGCATAGTGCAGCACAGTGTCGAATCCCATGCGTGCCCTGTGTTTCACGAGACAGTCAAACACCTTCTTCAGGTCCTCCGTTGTGGCTAGCTCGACTAGGTTGTACAACAGGTCTTGAGAACAGACACCGATCCGGCCAGCTAATGACTTTTTGAAGACGTGCACGAATGCCGGGACAAATAGGCGCTTGTGTGCCTCTGGGTCGGCGCCCCAACTTTTGTTATCATACAGTCCTTGTGTATGGAGCTGAGCGAGATGACCGAGAGCATCCGCGATAGTTTCAGTCTTTCGGTTTCGCAAGAGTGGATCGTTGGCCAAAACTTGTGTGAAGGGTAAAGCACGGCCAGGTTGACGATCGAGGAGATAAATGAGCAACCGATGGGCGTAGGCTTTCCGTGTCGAAACATCAAGTGCTACCCAATTTCGCCACACTTGGTGCAGAGTTGAAGAGGTTCCAGGAGTACCAGGCGTAAAAAGTTTCCAACTCAACCGAACACATCGAGGATCATGTTTTATAGTGACTCTACGTGTGTGCCTTCGTAGAGATGGATAGAGTGATCGATCCAGTGCTGCAAATGCGTAATGAAGCCCACCATCAGCTGCCCTCGTCAGGTCTAGATGCGTTAAATCCCAGCGAATGAGATTTGTCACGCGCCGCGAAAGAGACCTGTATTGGCCTTGTGTCATGTGCCTTCTACTTGTAAACCAGGGGGGTAGTCTGGACAAGTAGTTGTAAAGTCGCGCTTCTTCTATGGAACGGGCCTTTGCCCGTGCTATGGCTCGTATAGGTCCGTTTTGAACAAGGGCCGACGGGGACGAAGAGCGAGTAGGTTGTACCCGGCGAGCTCGGCGTCGTGAGGACTTCTTTCCCTCAGCTACGCCTTGGTTGTTGGATGCGATCGTTGCATATGATCGGGCATATTGGCGAGTGAGATTCGATATCTCAGCATAAAGACGATTGGCAGAAACCGGACGGTCTGTTCCTATCCTCCAATGACCAGACGTCTGCAGAAGCTCCGTAGCAGAAGCGTCTTGTATGCGTTGCTTGCGACATGCTGTTCCAATCACCTGTCGGATCTCTGACATGCCTTCTTCACATTCCACCCGCGTGCCTTGCTCTACATGTTTTGCCGTCTTCTTCTCTTCTTGGTGGATTGTGTCGCTCCTTGCATGGCGTTGCCTGCTCCTTCTCGGTATAGATGACTCTGCAAAGACTCTCGGGGCGAGGAACGGAAGGATGGGGAGATCCGCACTGGCGATGAGGCTAGCATTGGGGACGCGGAACCGGGGCATGAGAAGGTGAAGGTTGTTTGGTCCTCATTGAGCCATGACGTGTTGACTCCAATGAAGCTGGTTGCGATGGCAAGTAACACGAAAACTTGAGAAAGTGCGTATTTGGTAGGAAACGCTAACCGGGGAAGATCTTGGACTCCCGAGCTGTTCTCCGCAAAACTCATGACAAGCACCACGACTCCAGCGACCACCTATCGTTCCCTTTATCCACTGCGCATAATCACAGAAGGATTATTGCGCATAAGACCACGTCACAACTAAGCTTTTGGCAACTCCTGACTGTACGAACAACCATACTTCGACTCGGCGCAACCCCAAAGTCCTCACCATGTCTTCACACGAAAAGCTATCAGCAGCCGCCAACGACCGGAAGTCACGCCTCGCACAACTCAAGTCGCTTAAGCGGAAACAAGAACAAATATCAGACGCGCCAGAAGCTGCCGACTCGCCATCCACTCAGCTTCAAACCGAGACATCGCAAGCTCTCACGCGCGCAGAGGAAGAGGAACCTTCAGTAGCAGCGACCTACCTCTCCGGCCGAAACTATGACGCGACAACGCGAAACGTCAAGTTGGGCTTCGACAACCTACCCATCGCTGACCCCACAAATACCTTGGAATACAAGGCAGAACAATTGGCACTCGAAACAAAGGCCCAACAAGACGCAGAGAAGGCAGATGATAAGGGACTGGATCTTTTCAAGTTACAGCCCAAAAAGCCAAACTGGGACCTGAAGAGGGATCTGGAGCAGAAGATGAAGGGACTGAATGTGCAGACAGACAACGCCATCGCGAAGTTGGTCCGAGAGAGAGTGGAAGCACAGAAGGCCATAAGAGAGAAGCAGCCGACGGACGGTAGTAACGGTGAGGAGGTGGGAATGGAGGGCAGTGAATTGGTCGAGGCAATGCATCTGAAAGAGCAAGAAGACGAGCGAGAAAGGAAAAGGGACGAGGAGGATGAAGACGTGAGCTGAGAGGGCATGGAAGACATTCGATCGATTTTGGAACAAGAGGCAAAATTCTTTGCCTCCGCGCATACGCTCGCGAATGCAGGATCTGCTCCAGGAGCGCAGATACGGAGGTATCAACATGTACGCCAACCAAGCAAGGCGGCAGCATAGCATGATACGCCAATCGAACCATAGGAGAGCAAATACGGATTGCTCTATGCAGTCCATCGAGGAATATCTAGGACCTAATGTCACGATGAAGCTACAATTATTTTCTACCTTCTGCTACGCCTCTCAACGTCAAAGTAGTTCAACCACGCGAACATCATCTGCCGAAAGCAACAAAAAGAATCACAAGTACGCGTACGTCTGATACACTGGTCTTCGTTTGCAGGATTTAAAAACAAAAACATACAACAGCGGGGATTCGCCAGTGGTCACCCACCTGACTACTAATCCGCCGGTATCTTGCTTAACTAGGGCTGAGCGGACGGGAAGCCGTGGTCTCAAGATCCTGTGGTCGTATGTGCTAGTTGGGACAAATTACGACGTTTTTATTCACTAGGAAAGCCTAAGCTTCCTCTACCATAACATGCTCATGTCGGCATCGCTTACTGTGCCCCCCGTACTCACATACCTCCCTGTTGGTGATGCCTGTGCCTGCCTCATGTGGCCTTGCTTCCTCCTTTGGAAATCGTAACCTCAAGCTACTCTTGACTCGCATATCTTCCTCTTACTGTCAACGACCTCTTTGTCGCACTTGTGGTAGTCATGTGAACTGATGTTGAATAGTGAACCCTCTACGACATCGAAGATATACGTGTTCCGCATCACGGCGTCTCCATGTTATTGGAGACGACAAAGGTCTCGAAGTCAGAGCCGTCGGTTTTAGTAATCGGACTGTTTAACAAATGCCTGAGTAGATCATGGAGTGTCAGCGTTGCATGTCTTACACAATTTTGCTTACTGTGCCATGGGCTCGAGTAAGCCGGATCACAGCGGCTCGGTATCTACAAATCAGTTCGCATCCTCTTGTGTACATACCGAGGAATTTACTGAGGTTACATAGTGGTTGTCTATTGTCAGATGCGTCTTGCTGCAGGCTTCCCCACGCGGCGGATCGGCTATTCTCACCCGCCTTGCCGTTCACGAATCGACCTCGGCATCTCCACGCGCCAAACGTGGTGCGGATGCGGGGACAACCGTCGCGCTACATACATTATCATGAAGCGCGTCTCTATATTGTTCAGTATATTCATCATTCAAGAGCCACCATAGTTTAAACGTGCTTCGCTTCCTTTGCACCATACTCGCTCTATCTCATTGCTAAAGTTCTCACACACCTTCCCTCTTTGCCTTATAACCGCCATCATGGTCGGCAAGAAGCAGCCCGTCTACGTCCTCGGCGTAGGCATGACCAAGTTCATCAAGCCTCGTGGCAAGGTGGACTACCCAGAGCTCGGTTTTGAAGCAGGTGTAAAAGCCATGCTCGACGCGCACATCAACTACGACGACGTCGACCAAGGTATCGCATGCTACTGCTATGGCGACTCGACTTGCGGTCAGCGCGTCTTCTACCAGTTCGGCATGACTGGCATTCCAGTATACAACGTGAACAACAACTGCTCAACCGGTTCGACCGGCTTATACATGGGACGGAACATGATCGCGCACGGAGCGGCTGATTGCGTGTTGGTTGTTGGCTTTGAGAAGATGTTCCCAGGAAGTCTGCAAAGTTTCTTCCAAGATCGCGCAAACCCGACAGGCACGACCAGCTTGATGATGAAGGAGACGAGAGGCATCACCAAGGCACCGGGTGCTGCCCAGATGTTTGGAAACGCTGGAAGAGAACACATGGAGAAGTGAGTTGAGACATGTCCTTCTTCGACCAAGCCACACTCCAATCATACTAACCACTCTAATAGATACGGCTCGGAACTCAAGGATTTCGCAGAGATCGGTCGAATCAACCACGCCCACTCCAAGAACAACCCTTACTCGCAATTCCAAGACGAATACACCCTCGATCAAGTCATGAATGCGCCCATGATCCACGAACCCCTCACAAAGCTGCAATGCTGCCCAACATCTGATGGAGCTGCTGCCACTGTCCTTGTCTCGCAGGAGTTCCTGGACAAGCGCCCCGAACTCAAGGATCAGGCCATCCTCATTGCTGGGCAAAGACTAGCCACCGACACACCATCACTGTTCAACCGCAGCGCAATTGAACTAGTAGGATACAGCATGAGCGAACTGGCCGCTCGCGAAGCACTCGAGGAGGCCAACGTATCACCAGACGATGTCAAGGTATGCGAGCTCCACGATTGCTTCTCTGCCAACGAGATGGTTACCATCGAAGCCCTGGGCCTGGCTCCCAAAGGCAAAGCCCACGAACTGATCCGCAAGGGCGGCATAACCTATGGCGGAAAGGTCGTCATCAACCCTTCGGGCGGTCTGATCTCCAAGGGCCATCCTCTCGGTGCCACGGGTCTTGCCCAATGCGCCGAACTCGTTTGGCACATGCGCGGCTGGGCAAACAACCGCTCAGTCAAGGACACCAGGGTTGCTTTGCAACACAACCTGGGTCTTGGAGGCGCGGTAGTCTGCACAGTATACAAGAGGCATGATGGAAGCGTTGCGACGGATAAGTCAGATGAGCAGATTGGTAAGATCACAGGACTAGGATACAACCCAGCGACTGTCGCAAAGGGATTCACAAAGGAACAAGTTGATGCTGTGAGGAGTAAGAAGGCGAGAAGTCAGTGGGCATTGCAAGATACGGAGCAAAAGGTTGAGGCTAGATTCTAGATGTGTATCGCTGTAACAGCAGTGACTTTTCTATGTAGCGTTCTTGATCACTTCTACCATGACTTGCGTTCTGCTCTTCTCCCTGATCAGCATATAATATAAGGGGGTGGGTGAGTACTTACCTCGCCCTGTTCAACCTCATGTTCCTCCACGGTTCTAATCCACCAAGCATATATCCACCCACCGATTTGAGAAATAAAGAAATAAATTGACTTACCTGCCAGCAGGTCTCAGAAGTTCATTCTCGAATCTAATGCCGCAGGAAAATCAATTTGGCGATTTAAACTCCTATAAAAGAAACCTCAGAGTCCTGTTCGACTGGTCCCAAGTTACTGATAAAAGAAACAAATTCACATCGACGCACAATGCAGAAACTAGTACTGTTCGGGATGGTATGTCGCTTTGCCCACTTGAAAAGGTCGCGGGAAGAGAAGGAGTGGGTGGCGGAAAAGAGATGCACGTCGATAAAGGGAGTGGGCGGTTTGGAGTAATGTAGCTCGGTATCGATGTTGTCGATGTTGATGATGACGATGTTCGTCATGCGAGAAAATTAGCTCGACTGTATTTTTATGATATTTTTCTGTATTTTTTGGAGGAACGAAGGAAGCAGATGGCGAGAGGGAGACCGACGTAGAACCTAGAATAAATCCTATGAAGCGGTTAGTCAGGACAACCGGATTATCATACAAGAGCGTAGTTATAGTGATAGTAGATGCCTAGTAGAGTCAGAGTGATGAATGTGAGAAGCAAATAGAGGCTGCAAGCTATATATCATGTGCGTGTGTTTGCTGGAAGCATGAATGAAAGGTTCACGTGCGCGTGGTCAGTGATTGCTTCTCAATCGACGCGTGACGAGAAACAACGAGAAGACCACAAGGGAGAGGCTTATCATGACACGGACGCATTTGCATGTGGTTTAGCGACAGCACCATGTATTCTATCCTTCCCTAATGAGTCCTATGAGCTTCGATTGTTTTTTGCAGCTTCGTACTATGCTGTAATTTTGATATATGTATACTTGCATGTCAAGTCATAAAGGTTTTTCTCCCACCCCAAGTTACGAAGCGGAAGAAACGGCAATATGTCTAGAGTGATTATTATAGTCTGGTATCTGGATTTATCTTTAAACCTTCAGCTTGCCTTATGCAAAAGAAGACTCGCAGTTTTGGGGACGCTTCTGGGTGGGTGTCACTCCGCTGTAGTATGCAAGACAAGGCAAAAACACAAACACACACACTCTACAGTAGAATAGAGTAGTAAGCAACTTCATTCAGACCCGCTACGATAGCCGCCCATAGGGTGCCATGTCCATTATGTTCAATCTCTGCTCAAAACTCAGGGTCCTCCATGATGATCCCAAAGCTACGACGGCGACGGATCAGAGTGATGTCGAAGCCGTCACCATTTCTGGAAGACCGGTAACTTCTCATATTTTCGCGTCCATCTCGCTCAGTAGCGGAAGCATTCTAGGCACCGCTCGCCACACCACGTATGTTGATGCCGCCTCCTCCGCTTCGCTCTGCAGATCCGCGGATGTTGATTCCTTCTTGGCTTCGGTTTCGTCCCTGACCGCGAATGTTGATGTCGCCGTCGCGCGTGATGCGATCTGCTAAACCGCGACGAGACCGTGCTGGTTCAGAGAAGTCGGTAACGTAAGGATCACGGTCATCACCCTTTAGGCGGCCAAACAACTCTTCGGAACTGTCGTCGTCGCGTGTGATCCTGTCAGCTAGTGATCGCTTCTGCTGCGGTAGCACAGGCTGTCCGTTCTTGGTCATGCGCGAAAGTAGCGATTCCCCTCCTCCCCGCGTCTTGGATACATCTATAGCATTTGACCGATGGTGATTGCCCATTGGTGAAGTGTCAACAAAGAAAGCGTCCTTCTGCCAACGTTCGCCACCCGCAGGGCCACCCTGACGATCATAGTTGGCACGGTCGTGTGTCCAACGATCCATACTAGGTTCACGTCGACGTCGGTTGTTGCGGCTGCGACTTCGGCTGCGGTACCGACGGCGACCTGCGTGCGTTTCGTTCTCTGCGAATCCGAAACGACCGTCGCCTTCTTCGTTAGAGGCAGGGGAGGCGCTGCGTCCTCGTAGACGACCGAAGCGTGGTTCGTGCGGACTGAGACTGTTAGCTTGCTAACCAACAAACGGAGGAGTTGTGCTGACGTACCTTCTTGAGCCTGGTCGGTAGGAGTCGACGTCTTGGCCTTGAGCATCGTTCTTGAGTCTACCAGAAGCTGACTGGCGACCTCCTCTGCCGCGACCCCGGTGGTCTCGTCCGTCGCGGTCCTCTCGAAAGTCTCGTCCGTTCCGGCGCGGGCCCCTCTGGTCAACGCCCGAATCGCCCATGGACTCGTCTCCACTATTCCTCCGCCTTGGCCGCTCCCTGGACCCCATATCCTCGTCGCCATAATCTAGAAAGTCTTTCTTTGGAGGTGCCTTCCGTCGGGGCTCCCTCTGGCGATTGCCAGCCACATCTGGGTTCCGCTGGTAGTAGTTACTTCGGGTGGCCGCGCCCCTCGGCTTCTGATCTCCAGCATTAGACTGCCTGACCATGAGGACACTGTTGGGCTTCTTCGAGTATGGCTTCGCTTTCCGGGCTTCTTGCATGGAGACGTTGCTGAAGTCACCATTGTCGGGGTGTGTGAGGATACTCAGGGCGAGCGCCGCATCTTCCTTGTTGTAGAACTCTAGGTTGACCGAGTTGTCATTCACCCAGCGCAGTTGTTTGACGCGCGGGTCTGACTGACAATGCTCCATAGCCCAGTATAGCGGATCGTTGGGGTCGAAGTCGCTCACGCCCTGGAGGTTGAGGGATTCCGGCCATGCTTCGTGTACGATGATATCCTCGGTATAAGCTGCGGGTACGCCTCGCTCTGGTTCCGCCGCGTTGTTCTATTGTGCGCAAGTCAGTCCATTGCGCCCTGTGTTGTGCAGCCTTGCGCAATGCTCACTTGGACAACCTGCTGTGGTTGCGACGGTTGGGCTACTGGTGCTATGTCTTCGCCTACGTCAATGTCAATATCGTAAGCGACATCGGTCATATCAGTGTCGTCCATGGTGGCGAGGTCCCGACAAGGAGGTTTCAGCAATTGAGTGAGGTTGTTGGTGGAAGTTCGAGAGCTGGAGAAGCGGCGCGCCGTAAGCTCCAAAGCGCGGGCGGGCACTAACGTGATCACGTGCAATGTTGGAGCGCCCGACAATACAATTGTTCGGGAGTGTGATCCACCACTAACGATAGTTTATATATCAAGATAACGGTGAAGATGAAACAAATGGAAGTCTGAATCAAGGACGTGCTTTCACGCTACAACAAGCCGGCTAAGCTTACACTCATTGTCCCTCAATGACAGCCAGGGTCACGTCACAGGTGGACGTCAGTGCATGTGTTCGAAACATATATCAACCTTGAGAACTAGCTAGTAACTCATGATTGCCCCTCTAGTGTGAAGGTGCCGGTCTTGGTAATCAAATACTCATTCACAGCGACATCCTTCCCAGACTCCTTGCCATAGCCGGATTGCTTGATGCCACCAAATGGCGACTCCGCAGCAGAAGAGTTACCCTGTAATAGATTAGTACAGGTTTTCTAGTGTATCAGTTCCTGGCATACCGTGTTCAGCCCGATCATACCAGCCTCCAGGTTCTCAAACAGTCTCCAAGTGCGATCAACGTTCTTTGTGAAGCAATAGGAAGCGAGACCCATACTGGTATCGTTGGCTTCCTTGACCGCTTCGTCTTCAGTGTCAAACTTGATGAATGTACTGATCGGGGCGAAAGCCTCTTCGTTGGCAATGTCCATGTCTGACGTAACGCCAGTAATGACAGTAGGTTCAAAGAAGTAGCCACCGTCTTTCTCGATCTTGTTACCACCCGTGTGGATTTTCGCGCCTTTTTTCTTCGCATCTTCAACAAGGGCAAGTGCTTTTTCGACACCTCTTGGGGTGGTCACTGGTCCCATTGTGGTCTTCTCATCTGAACCGTGACCGACAACGATCTTTTGCGTCTCTGCATTCCAGCGTTCCAGGAACTTTTCAAAAATACCAGATTGAACGTATATTCGATTCGCAGTGATACACGCTTGGCCCGCGTGTCGGTATTTCAATGCGAAGATCTGAGTCATAGCCTGCTCAATATTTGCATCATCGAAAATCAGAACAGGGCAGTTGCCTCCCAGCTCCAGTGTGACTTTCTTCAAGTTATCGGCACACATCTTGGCAACTAGCTTTCCAACGCGTGTAGAGCCTGTAAATGTGACTTTGCTCACAAGCGGATGTCGGCAGAGTGCTTCACTGAGTTCTGGTGTCTTATCGAGATCCGTGGTCAGGACATTCAAAGCGCCTTTGGGGAATCCAGCTTGTTGCGCGAGGTACGCAAGTGTAAGTATAGTAATTGGTGTCTCTGGGCTGGGCTTCACGATCATTGTACAACCCGCAGCCAACGCCGCGCCAGCTTTGCGAAGGACCATGGCGATGGGAAAGTTCCATGGTACCAAGGCGGCAGCAACACCGAGCGGCTGTTTGATTGTGAAGATGCGTCTGTTTGATAGTGCAGGAGTGAAGACACTGCCCTGAATACGTTCGGCCTCTCCAGCAAACCACCACGTGAAGCCTGTCGAGTAGTCGATCTCTCCATACGCCTCAGACATAGGTTTTCCGGTCTCGTACACAAGGATGGTCGCTATGTCGTCTCTGTTCTCCTTGATCAGAGCGTCCCATCGGTAGAGCATCTGCGCCCGTTGTCGGGGACTGATCTTCTTGTAGTTCTGGAAACATTCGTATGAGCTTTTGACAGCATCGTCTACATCGGATGCATCGTTAGTAGGACATTCGATCCACGGCTTCCCAGTTCCAGGGTCTAATTGCATGTCAGATCGCAGTCTTCAGGTGTGCTCCAATGACAGACCAACTACTTCGAATGTCTTTCCTGATTTTGCTCGTACCCAGTCGCCGTTCACAAAAGATAGGTTGTGGAGCAAATCCGGATTTTTGAGCTTGTGTATATCAGTACGAGATGAAAACGTTATCAAGTAAGTCTGTGCACACCTTGAATGGTAGTTGGTGTTTGCTGTCCGAGGCCATTTTGCTATTGATTTGGACCTTGTCCACGTATACTTATGACCTGGTAATTACTCGTATTGGAAGCTATGGATCAATAGCCGAACATAGTGAGCGCAAAGCAATGTGGTTTGGAGAGGACAAGTCGCGATGCTCGACCAGAAGGCGCGGCGATTCCGCGATCACTAACACATGCATTTCCAGAAACGAAAGCTTCCCCACCTTCCACCATATAGCCTACATGATTGACGCACTTACTAGTGAGTACCCCCGGCTATTCCAGGAAAGATGGCCCGGGGAGACGCCAGACACGTTGAACGCAAGGGAGCTATCGGCGGAGATGACCTCCAATTGGTTCAGACCTCGGTGGTCTTCCAACACGACGTCAACTCCATGCGGGGCATCAAGCTTACCCCTCACTGCTGTGCTGGACCCCATACGATGACTAGTTGGTTGACGGTGATTGGGGATGCAATACCGATGGCAGACATTTGGATCCATGAAATGGTGGGCAAGATCGTGATATCCTTTTTGTAATCACAACATCAACATCGCTGCTGCCTGTCCGACATTCGGCATCGACTCTGGCAATCCAATATCGTTTTCGAGTAACCACAATCCATTCTATCACCCGCATATTGTGGAACACAACCATCCAAAAATCTCATCATGGGCAGATTAGACGGCAAAGTCGCCATCGTAACTGGTACATCGCATCCTGATACCCTTCCGTCCATCTCCAACTAACAATCCTAACAGGCGGCGGCTCGGGATTCGGCGCCGGCATCTCGAAAGGCATGGCCTCTGAAGGAGCCAAAGTCCTCGTCTGCGATATCAATCAATCGGGCGGCGAAGCAACCGCAGCAACAAATCCCTCATCCCTTGCCTTCCACAAAATGGACGTGACCAAAACCTCAGACTGGAAAGCCACCGTCTCAGCTTGCATCGAAAAGTTCGGCCGCTGTGACATCCTCGTGAACAACGCAGGTTGGAGTTATACTAACAAGCCTACCTCAACTGTCACCGAGGATGAATTCGACAAGGTCTTTGATGTCAATGTCAAGGGTGTGTATCTGGGCTGCAATGCTTGGGTCGATCAAGCTATAGAGCGTAAAGAAGGAGGTGTGATTATCAACATCGCCAGTGTTGGGGCCACGCGGCCAAGACCTGGTCTGGTGTGGTATAACGCGAGTAAAGGCGCAATATGGAATGTAAGTTATGTCTTCTTATACTCTCTATGATACATCAGCCTTTCATTTACTCACATGTCATTCAGGCGACAAAAGGACTTGCAGCAGAGTACGGTCCGCATCAGATCCGCGTCGTGTCCATCTGCCCTCTTGTCACCGGAACGGGTCTTTTCTCGGCTTTCACAGGGATGGAAGATACGCCAGAGAACAGGACGAAGTTTACGTCGAATGTCCCTATGGGCAGAATTGGAGAAGTGGACGATGTGGTGAATGCGTGTATCTTCATGGCAAGCAAGGAAGCAGGCTTCATTACCGGAGTCAATCTCGAAGTGGATGGTGGACGGTGTATCTAGTCTAGCTTGGCTACAAGACCGAAATCAGAGAGCCCAGCACGATAGATTCTTGCCCCCTGATGCGGCTCATAAACACCGCAACATTCCGTCAATCCAAACCTAGCCTTGCATATGCACATCCTCATCATCTTCTTCATAATCCCATGCCTCATCCATCTCAAGCAACTCATCAATCTCCTTCCTCCTCCTCACCTCCTCGCTATCCTGATCAACCCCATCGATCAACGCATCCTGCACAAAAGCACCCATCCTATCCTCCCTGCTCATCGTAATTTCCCCATCAATATCCACGGCCCAACCTTCCCAGACTGCGCCCCTCTCAGTCTCCTTCATCCTCCCCCTACTAGCCCTCCACCTCTTTGTCAATTCCCGCTCCCTTGCTGCCGGCGACACAGTCTTCATCATTCCATAGGCCTGCCTTGCCTTCTCGTAAATAGCACGATGCGGGGTCGAAGTGCCTCTAACAGGCGCTATATAGCTCTCCAATACCTTGTACTTGCCCTTTCGCACTCTGTCCTGCGCATTGCTCCACACGCCCAATGGTAGGAAGACAGTGCGACTAAGAGTGATTTTCCCGCTTCGCGGGTGCGTATGACCGAGAAGGAAAGCATCCGTCTCGGCACAACCGTTGTTGCCTAATTTCATTCCGCCGGGTCCAATGGTGTTAGAGGGGACGAGGATCCCGGGCAGGTAGATTTGGACGGGAATACCGCGGTGGGAGGTGGCGAAGGGAGAGGTGGCTAATAGGCTTGGTGCCAGGGATGGTATTGGTGAGGGTGGTGGTCGAAGCGTAAGTGGCGATGGAGCGGTGCGTTGCATACCAACGTGAGGAGGTGTCAAAAGAGGATTCAGAGAGAAGGGGGTATGAGGCCCCTGTTGACGCTCCTGGTTTGATCTAGTCTGGCCGACTGGCCTGTTGATATTCAGCTGATCCGATGCTTGTAGTAATGGTGGTCCAACATTCTGAAGTCCCTGATAGAACCTGGCAGCATGCCCCTGGGCTAAAAGGCGCTGCGCAAAACCGGGTGGTGGTGCAGGGGTAGAGAAGCCAGGTCCAACCGGATAAGACGGTGTCTGAGCTTGTTGAGACAAATGCGACCGGTAAGTAGCAGGTTGAAATTGGGCAGAGGCGTGGGCCGGCGGCAGCGCCGGCGGCCCGAGATGAGGAGGCATGTTTTCAGATATAAAAGGGCCATCGTGTTCAAACCCAGGTGGTGGTGGCGGCGGCGTTCGAGCTCTGTAGGGAACGAAACCTCCACCAAAAGCTATAAGCGGCGGAAGTTGGGCTGAAAACTGCGGATTGGACACAGTTGCATTTGGAGGTCGAGGTGCTGCCAGAACAGGTGGCCGAGGGTATGGGGCTAGCCCCGTACTCGTAGGCGGATTCGATGCTCTTTGTACCATGTTCGAAGCGTTGAATCCGGTATTGCTAATAGAATGAGGACTTTGCACACTTGCCTGTCCAGTTTGGACAGTCTGTTGGGCTCTGGCCCGGTTCGTGGCCAGGTTTGCCTGCTGGTTCAGCGCTGGTATTAGTAGGCGTGCTTGAGTTGGAGTAACGTTTCGCATGATCTCCGCTATATGTGGTGGTATCGGTGCCCTAGGAGGGGCAACTTCCGAAGCAGGCAGACCGCAGTGGCTGGATTGAAATTGGGACTGCGAGGGCTGCGAGAGCTGCGCGGTGTTGGGGACGAATGGGCCTCGAGGTTGAGTGGACATCATTGCTGGAGGTGGACGCGGTGGCGGTGGTAGGTTTGGACGAGGAGTTGTTGTGGGTGGCGGCAGTGACGGTCTAGGAAGTATACCCATCCCGCCTCTGGGAGTACTGGTGTCGTCGTCGTCCGTCGGCCCACCACCAGCAGCGTTGGCAGGAGAGCGTGATTTTGGTAGCCCACCGTCACGTTCAAACATTTCTTGTAAGGCTGCTCTGTCTCTCGCGCCTTCGAAAAGTCTGCTTTTCATTTTACCCACAAGCGGCGTAGGAACGATGTTGATCCTCTGTTCTCCCTCACCTCTGGTCTGCTGAATCCTACGCAATATCTGGCCAACCTTATCTAGACGGTGGTTGTTTAAGGGCGTGATGGGAATAAGAGGCACACCAGATGAGCCTGCGGGAACAGTACTGTGAGCAGCAAGCTGAGCCTCGTCTGCCAACTTGTGACTGATAGTAATCTCCATCTGTTTCGCTCTATGTTTCTCTTTGGCCAAATGAATCATCTGTGCAAGTTTCGCATCCCTCTCGTAGTTCTCGAGGCCGCCTGCTCCCTCAAGCGGTGGCGTGTCTTTCAGACTCACTTTTTGACACCTATTGTAATCTCTCAACTGCTGTGGGGTAACCCCTGCTTCCATGAGCAGATAGAGGGCGCGTTGGCGTGATTTGAAGCAAGCAACATGGTACTTCGCCCGCTTGACCCGGTCTCGAGGGATGTTGATAAGAGGCGGCAGAGGCTCGTTGAGCTTCGGTGGCTGTATACCGAAGTGTACTTCGCGGTACTGTAGGCGCTCGCTCTCTTCCGCCTTGCGCTCTAATACCGCCAGATCGGGCTTTTGCCGCATCTTCTTGGTGGGCGAGTTCTGGGTGAGCTCTTCTGCGTTGGCGTGTTTTGGCGTCTCGTTTCCCGCTCCATCTTTCTTGCCGTCTCTGGTGATACCATTTGCCTCGTCCAGCTTCTTTCTGACGTCCTCGGGGACAAGAATCGGATGATATTCAAAGTCCCATAAGCTCGGGATCTCTCCATATAGGGCCGCGTTCAAAGCCTTTCCGTCTCCCTCGTAAAAGTCGATCCACCTATATAGGAACTCGATGAAGTTTGGTACCACGGTGCTGTTGACCTGCACAATGTCGACCAGTATGCGCAACATGTCCTCCTGATGCATCAACTCGGGATCTATTTTGCGAACCTGGGCGGTTATTGGAGGCGCACCACGCCTTGAAGGCGACTGCGTAGTAGGAGTGCCTGACTGGCTCGAGTCAAGACGAGGTTTCTTCGGTGAGTGCGGTACCGCAACTGGTTGGCGAGCGGTCGTTTCGTCAACCTCCCACTGCACACACCACGTCCACAGCTCTTTGCCTGTTTCTAGTGCCTTGCGCTCTGTGAAGTCCTGGAGAAGCGCCATGAAGATGTCATGGTTCGTATCCATGCGGTAGGTGATGGCGTGTTGCTTGTATTGCTCATAGGGCACAAGTGTGGGTAGCGGTTCGACATTGCCGACGACGTCTTGTAATTCCAGGTAGCGGTCGTCGAACAGATCAAGGACCTTGCCGTGGGATGCCATGGTTGCGCAGGCATGTGCGCTGCTGTTTGAGACGAAGATTTAATTGATTTAATGTTGTTAGGTGAGAGGGGAGCTAGGCAGACGCGTGGTGTTGCCATGTAGATAGAAACGAACAATAGAAACAGGTAGTGCAGAGACATCAATAGAGTGACGAAAAGTGAAATCACGAGATTGACGCAAAGGAAGAGATGTTGCAGAGGTAGCCTACCCTCCCATTCGGATCTCTGCTGGCCCTAATGCAAACACCGAGTATTTGTACAGTCGCAAGAGGGGTATCGTCGCAGCCGTGTCATCGCGCCTCCTTCACATGCTCTTAATTTACACACGCGCGATCAAACGCTCATTTGCTGCTCTCCCTGATCTTCTGCATTATGGCACTCGCCCTGTCCTCTGCTTCTTCCCGTACTCTCCTCCAATCTGTCGTGTACACCTTCTTGACGCCCTCCTCGAGGCTTCTGTTCCACCTGTCCTTGGCCATCTCTGCTAGGCCAACCGGTACTTCCCGACTTGTGGGCTCCGGTTCTGGCTTCTTGGGCTCGTAGAATTCGGTGAGGACTTGGCGTTGCTGTCTCAAGAGCGCGGCCTGTGTTATGCGGTTTTGTGTGTGCAGCGAGATGGTGAGGTAGAGAACGCCTGTAGTGAGGGTAACGCCTCCGAGCTACATTGGTCAGCGGACATGACTACAAGAGGTTGACAGCACATACGAAGCCGGTGATGAAGCCCATGGCTAAGCTGGACAAAGGTGGAGATGTGCGCGAGGTTGGGATGCTTTTGCTGAATGCTGAATGCTTGGAGAGAGCCAATGGCTTGGCAGATTGATGTACTGGCTCCTCTTGCTATCTCTTTATGGATTCGCGGCAATGTTGTGTGCGCAAACGCAAAGATGTCTAGGTGGTGGAAAGTTGACTCGGGTGTGAGGTCAGCGCCGGAATCGCGCAATGCCCTGCCAGGGATTCTTTCGTCCCAAAGCGGAAACATCCCAACATCTGTTGAACGCAGCTAGCGCCGGTGCGCCCGACTCCACCACACCTACACTTGCCACCATACCCAAGCTTCTCCGCACGTCGTATTCAGCTCATTCCCTAGCAAGTATGCAATTCCATACGATATTCCCATGCACGTTGGTCCTTGCGGAATACGATCTGCTAATATAGAGCGAGTATAAAGGGTCATTGACTGTGGTGTGGCTGCTCCTGCATGGTTCTTTCCCCTCATCCTTCTCTTATCGTCACGTCGTGTAACTGCAGCTTGATGCATGGACATGGCATAGTACATGTGAACAGCGCAGGACTGTACATTTGCGTGCATAGCCAGAAGAACTGTATTTTTTGGATTTATGCTTAAGCTTGCTTCGCGAAGCTCCCAGCGGCTACTACGAGCTGTCGTGCGCACAGCTGCAGAGAGGTTACAGCCACCTTGGCGAAACTACTTAAACATGTTCAGTGCCTACAACGGAAGCACAGCAGATACTCATGGGAAATCCTCAGCTTAATCGATAGGAACACGATACGTTATAATGGCACTTCCTACATATCATCGCCGTTGCACCGAGCTATATGCGCAGCATCATCATGCTGGCGGCCTTGTGTATCCCGGGTATGCTGAAACGATTCAGAGCCATACGCACTACAGTGGTGGAAGCCAAACACCAGACACAACTTCGATCACAGCGCTTAGAGGAGGAAGATGATAGAGGTCATGACATCCTCTCTAAGCTCCTACGTACAGTGCGCGAAAAAGATGGCGACAGCTGGTTTACACATAAAGAAGTCACATTGGAGTCTTGGGTTGGTATAATGGCCGGCTCAGAGTCCGTCGCCAGTAACATGCGGGCAGTTCTATACTTTTTCGTGAGGGCGCCCGACGCTATATACAAAGCGACCCATGAAATCCAATCCCAACAACATCTCCTCAGCACGCCGATCAGCTTCGCAGAGTCAAAGGAACGCCTACCTTACACTAGTGCATGCATGAAAGGAGCCTCGCGCCTGTTTTCCAGTACCGGAGTCAGCATGAGTCGTATTGCTCCTGCACAGGGCATCACACTATCTGGCTACTATATCCCGGCTGGATGTGGCATTGGCGTGAATCTACAGACCGTGTAACATGACAAGAAACTCTTTGGAGAAGACGCTATGCAGTTTCGGCCAGAGCGCTGGTATGAGAGCCAAACTAGGAACTTCGAAATGGAAAAAGGCATGCCGTTCTTTGGCGCAGGGACCAGGACGTGCATTGGAAAGAATGTAAGTTTTTCGTAGAGGGCAGTGCTAGGATCCCATCGAATGCTCGTATGCTGACTACAGTGGTCTCTTCAGATTGCATTAGCTGAAGTGCATAAACTCGTCCCAGAACTCCTCCGCTGTTTCGATATGCGCATGGCTCACGATCGACTTTGGAAGACAAGGAACGCTGGGTTTGTGAAGCAGACTGATGTTATAGTAAAGCTAGCTGAACGCTAAAGCTGAGCATAATACAAGACGTAGTAGGATTAATTTGAAGAGTTGGGTTGAATTGTACGTTTGGATACTTTCATTCTCCCACATTATCGATGTCTTTCGCTCGTTCTCATTAAATGTGCTACTTTACGACCCGCCAATGATGTCTGCTGTCCTAGTCGGCTTTCCGTTACTTCCATCTTCGCCTGCACTTGCACCACCATCTCGGTACTGCTCAAGTGACGGCGTATCAGCATAGCACGACTTCATAAAGCTCTCAGGGTAACGCCCACCACCAATCTCCACCTCCTCGCATGCCTTGCGAATCTTCTGTTCCTCCTCTTTGCTCACTTCAACTTTCAGACTTCCCACATTCTCCTCCAGGCGTTCAGGCTTGGTCGTGCCCGGGATAGGGAAGATATCCTCACCCTGCGCCATCAACCACGCCAAAGTCAATTGGCTGGGAGTGACGCCCTTGGCCTTTGCAACCTCGGTGATTTGGTCCACGAGCTTGAGGTTCTTGGGGAAGTTCTCAGCACTGAAACGAGGCGCGAACCGACGGAAATCGCTTTCATCAAAGTCCTCTGGGCCCTTGAGGGCGCCACTCAGCATACCGCGGTTGAGAGGCGAGTAAGCGACTACAGCCACACCTAGCTCACGGCATGTCTTCAGTAGGTCGATCTGCTTGCTCTCAATTTCCAGGGCGAATGGAGAGTATTCGACCTGTACAGCGGAGATGGGATGAACCTTGTGCGCTCTTCGTAAGGTTTCAGAGCTGACTTCTGAGAGACCGAGGTACTTGATTTTCTTGAGGTTGACGAGATCAGCCATGGCTTGAACGGTAAGTTCAATGGGCGTCTTCTGGTCGACACGGTGGCAGTAGTAGAGGTCGATCTGTTCAATCCCGAGACGTTGCAGAGATTTCTCGACGGCCTCCTTGACATATTCTGGAGAAGAGTCAATCTCAGCACCCATGTTCTTGACTGCGAATTTGGTCGCAAGGAAGATGTCCTCGCGCTTGTCGGGATTGGCCTTGAACCACTTTCCGATCAAGTCTTCGTTGTCGCCGTACCTAAAACACTTGTCAGCTGTTGCTGGGCTTGCCATTGCAACAATCGTACATGTCTGAAGAGTCCCAGAAGCGTTCGCCTAGCTCATGAGCTCGGTCAAGCAGCGCTAGACGCTCAGAGTCGGGTTTGGGCTGGCCATAGAAGGCGGACAAGCCCATGAGGCCGAAGCCCAGGCGAGTGACTTGGGGGCCATTGCGACCGAGAGGTGCGGTGGGTAGAGACATTTTGAGATTTATGGCACTTGGTTCCGTTGATGGTGAAAATTGTTGATCTTCTCTGTATGGTGATTGTGATATCGAAGTTTTTATGAGCGAAGTAGTCGCTACTTGTAATCTTGTGACGGGCCCTGCTGGTTATCGACGCGTGGTGGTTCTCGGGTATAAGACAGGCTGCTGTAGTAATTCGACCGAGAGAGACTTGGTTGCGAGAGAAAGAAGCACTGGAACGGACTGAATCTGATGAGCTTGATTATTGAGCATCTGGCGCGTACCCATCATCGCAATGACGCTGGCTCTCCACATGTAATGACGGACGACCGCACCACTAACTCCTTAACCCCGCTATTGATGAAGTCATACTTGTCTATTGACATAGTTACCGTCCGGCACTGCACATGTAGTTTGAACGTGATACTTCAGCAGTTATCGATGTCGTTACGGACAAATTAATCGGACAATTGGTCTGATCTCACCAAAGGTTGGAGATTGTCTGGTGCTCCAAAATGGGCGGAGTGATACGGAGATAAGGCGCCAGTACTCCGTTCAACCGGTGCTTTACCATGAGCGGATGAGGACAGAGTCAGCCGGGCGGTCCGAAGTGAAGCCCAAGGCTTTCAAACTGCGTTCCATGTGGTATGTTGTTGTGCGGCTTGGCGTTGAGGCTGAGAGAGGTCGACTCAAGCGTCGCTGACTGCGCAGGTGCCTTCGATAAGCGAGTTAGCGCCCGTCAAACTTTACGACATCATACCTCTTCCCCCACCATGGCATGCCGCGTTTGTAATGCAGCCGCCACACTCATAGAGGACCGACGTCCAGATCTCAGACATCTTGCTCAAATACTAACACCTACTAACGAACTAGTAAGGTAGCACAACATGACCGCCGAAGTACGCGACCTCAAGCCGCTCAACATTAGACCTGTCCAGCATCAAGTCCACGACCCGCCCAAGGCAGACCCCTTCGACTTCGATCACCGCGATGACAAGATCCACATCCTTCTCTGCGCTTCAGGATCTGTTGCGACCATCAAGATACCGAGCATGATCAATGCGCTTGCGAAACACGCGAATGTACGGATACGACTCATATTCACGGCTGCAGCAACCAACTTTTTGCAAGGTCAGAGCAACGAACAACCATCGATGGAAGACATAGAAGCTCTGCCGAATGTAGATGGAATATACTTTGACGAAGACGAGTGGAGGGAGCCATGGGTACGAGGCAACAAGATCCTTCACATTGAGCTGCGGCGATGGGCAGATATCATGGTCATTGCACCTCTGAGTGCTAATGAGCTCGCCAAGATTACACAAGGCTGGTCAGACAATCTTCTGCTATCCGTTGTACGCGCATGGGATACCACAGGCCTGATTGATCCAGTAAGGAGCATACCAGGCGTGCAATGGCCGCAAGAGGAATGCGGCATACAAAAGAAGAGAATACTAGTCGCGCCGAGCATGAATACTGCCATGTGGTTCCAGCCTATTACGAAGAAGCAGGTGCTGGTGCTGGAGGAAGAATGGGGTGTAAATAATGGAGGCTGGTTCGAGGTGCTGCAACCTATGGAGAAAGAACTGGCGTGCGGAGATGTCGGAGGCGGCGCAATGAAAGACTGGAGAGAAATTGTGGAGGTGGTTGAGCAGCGGTTGGGCCTGACGCCTAAATGAAGCATAATCGAAGAAGACCACACTCTATGCAAGCTTGGCGCTAACTCTACGCATACGAGCGAGCACCTTTGCGAGAGTAGAGGGATAGCGGTTAACAATGTGTGTTTTTTTTTTTACCAAGACAGAGCTCTGATGGGCGTCCCTCACACGCAACCCATGGTGACGGACTCCTTACTATCTTTCGCCAGACGATCGTTGTGCGACCCGGCGAATCTGGGTGTCCGCTCAGTCTCCCTTCTGTCTTGACCAACAACCGAATCGGTGACCTTGATCTGGTGGAGCTGAGCGATTTACGATGCTCAACGGCGTCATATCGGATCCGATTCTTGATGAATGACCCAAGAAAGTTTATGTCTTTGTACCCAAAGTTAGCGGGATCAAGAGGTTGGAGATAGTGAGAGTCGTGCTGTCATATTAATATTGCTATGCGTTGAGCGATTGTTGTGATAGTCAGTGTTGTGGGAACTGAGATCCGCGTTCACCTAGGTGATGAGGACCAAACGAGACCGAAACTAGAGCAACGAGAGCAACAGAGCCCAGCGTTGCGTGCAACTTCGCCATTTGCGCGCCCTCCACTTGACAATCGCTGCGCTCACCTCTCAAGTCGACATCATTTGACCGCTCGCAGCCTAAGCAAACATAAGCAGTAAACAGCATGGCGCCCACAAAGCACGCAGCAGACGCAGATGTCTCAATCACCGCGAAGACTATGGGACTCCGCTCTGTTCTTGCAGGCTTGAAGTCATCGGTAGGTACTCGGGTCTCTCACACGCTTCTTTCTTTTTAACATGAGAGGTACAGAACATGAACGCGAGGCTCAGCACCCTCCGATCAAACAGCCAATCGAAGGTTACCAAGCCAGCAACGAGGAGAGAAACTGTGGACGAGCGAGAGCATCTCAGACAGACAGCACAGCGGCTCTCCGCCATCGAAGAGTCTACCAGCTCTAAATTCTCTTCTTCTGCAAGTGACGAACTGCGAAGCGACACCGTAACACCGTCGTTTGAACAGTTCTCAACCGGTCCCGACCCGCATCCTTCGCTTACAGCGCGCGACTTTGAAGTCGGCGGTACACTCGGCCGTCGCAAGTTCGGACGCGTGTACCTCGCTCGGCACCTGACGACAGATTATATGTGCGCTCTCAAGATAATCTCGAAGGTTCAGGCGGCGACACAAGAAGAGGAGAAGCTGATACACTGCGAACTGGAGATCCACCAAAAACTTGCGCATGGGAACACATTGAAGTTACTGTTCTGGTTCCACGACGATGAATCAGTATACTTGGTGCTCAAATTCGCTCCGGGCGGCAGCCTATACTCAAGGATGAAGAAGCAAACAAGAGGCAGGTTCACCGAACAGCAAACCACCATCTACATCGCTCAACTCACCTCCGCACTGCGTTACATGCACAGCAAGAACATCATGCACCGCGACATCAAGCCCGAAAACATACTCCTCGGTTTTTACGGCGAGATCAAGCTTGTCAATTTCGGATACTCTGTACACTCAGAGTCGGACTTCCGATCAACTGTGTGCGGCACACTGGATTACCTAAGCTCTGAGGTCACGGTCATGATGCTGAAGCCAGGCATGAGCGGAGGGTGGTATACCAAGGCAATCGATGAGTAGAGTCTAGGCGTGTTGATGTACTAGTTGCTTGTGGGTAGGCCGCCATTCGAAAGGAAAGATATAGAGAGCACACAAAAGAAGATTGCGAAACTTCAAGGGTAAGGGTATCAAGTCCTAAGACATGTCAGCTAGCAGGCGGAGGAGCTGATTCGCGAAGTAAGTGCCACACCCTCATTTAGCATCGTAGATGCGCTGTCGAGGAACAAGTGCTGATTTGGCTGTAGTTACTGAATCTAGATGTGGAGAAGCGTATAAGCCTTGATGACGTTCTGACAAACCCTTGGCTCATCGGCCACGTCGCAAAGTCGGTCCAGTCCCGTATACGATCATTTGATCAGCTGCTCTAGTAAGCTGATTGGTTGCCTAGAGAGTCAGTGAAGTGGCGTTGTAGTTGGGGGCCAAAGTGCACATTGACGTGTACTTGGTCCCTCCCACATCTGTCTCTACATTACACGGGCCGAGTCTAGGGCTGATCCCTGGTGGCCTGATCTTAGGATTACCTAGATAGGCAATATATGAAACCTGTAGCCTGTGATCTATTTTGTACACTGCGAAGCAGCCTCAGCTATCAAGCTATATGGTGTATCTGTCTCAAAGCTTGCGCTTACCGGCGGAAGATCGGTAGTAGCGTATAACGGATTAGTATAGATTGGCATTTGGGCTACCTAGATAGGCTCTCAAATTACTAGTATACCTCGAGGGAAACATATGTACCCCCACTATGCGAGTGTGCCTCTCGTCACAAGGCGGAGTGCCTCGACATGTGTTTTCGACTCGCAGTAAATCGACGTGTCGTTTGAAGTGCAGGCGAGACGCGAAAGGCTTGGCATGGCCCTCAGGGGTACAACCCTTCGTTACAGAACAATGCTCGTCATCCGTTATTCACAATCTCTGAACACAGGACATTTGCACAAACTCTGACTATCCTCATCCTTTGCCATACTTGCTTTCCGAAAACAGTGATCAGCCCTAGTCCATACCGGTGAACAAGATAACCTCTCATCGCTCGCCTAACCATGGAGACGCCATTCTCCGTTGGAAATTCGTCCGCGCCTCACATTGGATCCTGCACATGACTGTGCCACACTTGGCGCGCTACTGTTGTACAGTAGCAGCAAAAAGACACAAAAACACGAGGAAAAAGCTCATGCATGTAATGTCTGGCGGTCTGATTGGCGATTAAAGCGTGCCTCAGTTTGTGCGCAATTCTACCGTCTTCAGTAAACGCCTTGATGCAAATGCGTGTTTGAGCCAAGACCTAGATGGCGCGCCAGCACGCGCGTTGCGATAGCTTGTGCTGTTCGGTGGTACATGAGATGGACTTGGAACGTCGAATAGGCGGTGCGTCGATTGCGGCGAAGCATGGTCTATTGGTAGGTTGTAGATTTTCAGCCCTAATAGCAGACTAGCCAACTTTAAAGACGGCTGTCATCTGCGGAGATCCTGGCGCCAATCCCTATCCGTGTCATTGCGGCTCAGGCCTCCCGGAAGCCTAGACTGAGGGCAAAGCAAGTCAAGGCGCGCCTTTGCTTTCGTCCATGCTCATATATGAGGTACGCGACATGCTACTGCTTTCCGACAAAACATCCTAAGCTCTTGGGGTTCCTAGAACCTCAACCGTCACTGCCCTTCCAACCACTTCGGTCTTCTGCTACTTTGTTGAGCTCTGTACTTTGTTTTGCTTGTTGCTTGAGCGGCGTCCAATAGACCTATCCTATCCTTTCGACAAGATCGCCCCCAGGGGCCCACGCATATTACAATGCTGAAGAGCACCTTGCTCCTGGCGTCAACAACCCTGGTCGTAGCACAATCTTCGTCCTCTGAGCCCTGCGCAGCTGCGGCCGCGGACCTAGGACAATCCAGTTCTATCGAAGCACAAGTCGCTTTCGACTGTCTTGATTCCGTTCCTGTTGATGTCCAGGGAAACACCCAGCTTATCGATGAGCTGAAGCAAATATGGCAATTCCAATCCGAACTCGTGTGGTTGAAGAAACCAGGCGATGATTGGGAATTCGGAGCCCTGGACATCGAAGCCGAATTGGACAATGTGAAGAACAACCTCAACTCCTTCTCCAGCGAATATGCGGTTCAGCTTGCTATTCAAAACATTACCATCCGAACAGGAAATTTCCATTTCAACTACCGGCCCGATATACTTACGGTGTTCGACTTCTTCAGGCAAATCAATGTTGCTTCCATCTCCGAGGACGGCAAGGCACTTCCAAAGCTCTATGTGGCTGACGATGTTGCGAGTGTAGCTGAGGGCAGCTCAGATGTTTCCGAGATTACCGACATCAACGGTCAGAACCCATACGACTTCCTCAAGTCTACTTCTTGGTCACAATACATCGACTCGGACGGCTTAATTAACAACATGCTGTCCAAAGGAGACACCGATAACCTTGGTAGCTTCATGAATCAAAGGAAATACGACGGCCCCAGCACTGATATCACGTGGGCGAATGGTTCAACGGTTTCCATCCCTAACGGTGCTAGCTCAGACTATGCCTCTACATTCGCTGGTATCACCGACGGACAGTCGTTTTTCGACACCTTCTGCACCGGCAGCTCCTCGCCTCTTTTTGCCAACACAAAGGCTGATTCGGGATCAGCTGACGTTGCTCTCCCAAAGCCGAAGATGCCAGCTGGTATCAGCCATATCATCGCGCCTAGCGCCCCTGGTCCCGTTCCCCGTATTCCTACCGGTGAGTACCGGCGCCGCAACAAGCGTCAGACTATGACGCCTTCTTCTGGGTCTTATGCAGAAAACGTTGTTGAGCAAGATTCAAGTGGAACAGTGGCCGGCTACTTCCTTAATGGTGATGGTTACGACGATGTTGCAGTTCTCAAGATAATCTCTTTCAGCAACCCTGGTGAAGAGCTGACTGAATCTGAGTTCTGCAACGAGTTTCAGGTAAGCTCTCAAAGCACCAAACCTGTACGAGACATACACTGACTTCGTGCTCTTTACTCTGCAGACCACCATCGCATCGTTCCTCAGCAAGTGCATGAGCGAGAACAAGCAGAAACTCATCATCGATTTACGTGAGAACGGTGGCGGTAGCACTAATTTGCTTCTCGATGCTTTCATGCAGTTGTTCCCGGACATGGAACCCTTCTCTGGACAGCGTTACAGAGCCACAGATGCTTTCGTAAAGATTGGTGATGCTATCAACGAGATCAGGAGTGACCCAGTCAAAGCTAGAAAGTTTGCCCAGTTTACTGATGAGAGTATCGAGGAGAGTTATACGTTTAGGTACTGGTCGTGGTGGCACTTCCGAAATGCCGACGGAGTAGACTTCAGTGGGTGGGATGACTTCAATGGTCCAGTTGAGTTGAACGACGATTCGTACACGAAGACGATGCGTTACAATGTAAGTCTGGAATCACATCCTAGCCTAACCAGACTCGATGCTAAGTCCATTACAGTACACCGACGAAGTATCTATCCTCCCCGAAGGTTGGCGTTTCGTGAACGGCACTCGCCCCACCCCATTCAATGCGTCTAACATCGTTATGTACACCGACGCCCTTTGCGGCTCATCTTGTGCCTCCTTCCATGAAGAGCTTAAGAACATTGCCGGTATCAAAGCCGTCACTGTCGGTGGCCGCCCAGAGAACAAGCCTATACAGACCGTGACCGGATCCAAGGGTGGTGAAGTGACGCCGCTTATTTACTGGCAAAGCTTTGCCCAGATCGCCTTGAACATGAGTTCCGCACTCTCTCTATCCTCCTACTCCGCCAACGACGATACGCTTTCAGCCGTGGCCAATACTCCGCAAATAATCACCCGCGCTGGAGACGGAGCATCGCGCCTCCAATCTCAAGACCAAGTGCGAAAAGGCGACGTTGCTGGTACGCCTCTACAGTACATATACGAAGCCAGTGATTGTAAGATATTCTACACGGCGACAACATATGCTGATCCCGATGCTGCTTGGAAGCAAGCCTGGGATGCTTTCCAGGACGACAGTAAGTGTGTAGAAGGGTCCACAGGACATGCGAGTTCTATCTCGGGAGGCTTCAAAGCGTATGGCGCCGGTGAGCTGAAGGCGGAGGATCAGCCTACTGGGAGTGGCGCCGGAAATGGTGGTAGTGGAGGTGGAAACGGGGATGACGCAAATGCTGCGAGCACTGCGGGAATGAACGGTTTGGTAGTTGTATTTGCAGCTGTTGTCTTCGGCGCTATGACACTATAGATACCCTGGCATGGCATAGCATTGGTGGACAAACAATTCCATCCTTTGTCATATCTACGAAGTATACACTTGTTGTGTACGTGAATCAATATTTTGAATGTCAATTAGAACGACAGATTGAGGGTGCTTCCTAGATATACTCCAAGTGTCTTGGAAAGCCACACCGAGATATGGAGTTTTTCATAGAATCATAATACCATTGTCACTTCATCTTCTGTACACTATCATACCAATTACCAATAATTCCGTAAGCATATGCTCGCTGGTTAAGATTGATCTTCTAGATCGCCATACAATACCTTTTAATCCTTAGCCAACGCCTGTTTCCCCACTCCATCATTATACATTACAGGGTAAATCTGCATATCATATCCTTCTTAATCTGCCTACGTTCCCATCTAATTGGGCCGCAAGACCACATCGCCAACACAAAGCACCATGTTTTTAAAGAATCTCCTCCACTCTAGCGGATCTCCACTCGCCTTGACAAACCTCACCTCCCAGTAGGCACTCCCCTCATAGATCGCTTGCTCAATAACAATATGGCCGTTCAAGCCTTGTCGCCGCCCATCCGCCATCTTCACGCGTATACTTGCTGTCCCTGCTTTTTCCGCTTCCTCGATCTGCGCTTCACTGAAGGACGGCGCGGGAACACCTAGCCGGTGCAAAGCGGTAAGGAGAAGTGGCATAAGGAGGCCGAGGGTATGGGGGGAAATGAAACGTGCCAGGGAGTAGGAGGGCAGGACGTCGGCGAATTTCCGGGCTGCTTGGGTAAAGGTCAGAGGGACACCGGGAGTGGAGCTGAATTGTGTCATAGAGGGGTCCTGGGAGAGCATGTCCTGTGTTGAAGAGGGAAGTTGGGACAAGTAAGGTGTAGAGCTCATGTTGATAGGACGGTTGTCGGGTATTGTAACAGGTTGCGATGCGGATATTCCGTCATAAGAGGCGATACGCGGAGGTCGTTCCCAGTCGAATGGTGTTTCTGCAGATGGTGTCTCGGGTTGTGTGGAAGAAAGAAAATGTATGGCGCTCGAGCGACGAGGATCCGAATCGGTGTCGATGTCCATTGCATCGCCATCTCCGTTCGCATCTTGCGAGCATCCGCGTTGAGATTGTGTTGGTGGTCTTGAGAAATCGATACGTAGTTGTGATAACATCTGTGTTGCCAGTCCTACTGGGTTTGCATTGCGTCCACTCGCTGTCAGGTATGGGTTCTTGCGTGTGCACCACGGGTGCGTGCGTACTTCGTCGAGAGTAAAGCGCTCTTTGGGGTCGACCTTGAGCATACCGCGTAATAGGCTGGTGAGTTCTGGGGGGATATTGCTCCAAAGCTCATCGGTAGTGTGCCCTCCGGTTTCGACATATTCCTTAAATTCCGCGGAGCGCTTGGTCGGCTCGTCCCAAGGGGTGTTGCCGACGAGGAGGACGAAGAGGACAATACCGCAACTCCAGATGTCGCAGATGTTCGCTGCGTAGCCACTGTCCAGCATATCAGCTCTCTTGCTTCGCCTTCCTGATACAATCTCCGGAGCAATATAAGGCGGCGAGCCACAAACGGTGTTGCAGAGTCGTAATTGCCCGTCCTTCTTGAACAGTGCTGCCAATCCGAAGTCGGATAGTTTAAGGTCCCCCTCGGCGCTCAACAGCACGTTTTCAGGTTTGATGTCGCGATGCGCAACACCTTTGCTGTGCATGTATGTCACGGCATTCACCAGTTGGGTGAAGTAAAAATGCGCAATATCCTCGCCTACACCCTCATCCGCCTCGATCTTGTCGAACAAATCCCCGCCCTCGGCCAATTCCATGGCAATCCATGTCCATAAGGCATCTTCTCCAGAACCCAGGCAGTGTATAATGTTGTGGTGCTTTCCGAGATGCGTGTGCAACACAATCTCCATCTTAATTTGCTTCGGGGTGAGGCGGCCGGTCCTTAGGGCATGTTCCTTGTTGATGAACTTGATGGCGATGACTGGCTTGGGCGAGTTGTGTGGGACAGCTTTGCGGATGCTAGAAACTCTACTATCAGCAAATACCCCTTATAATCGACAGAATAGTGTGGCAACGTACGAGGCATATGCGCCTTGTCCAATGGTCTTGCTGACGAGTCGGAAGGGTAGGTCTGTAGGCAGAGGAGCTATCTGGCTGTTGGGCGGCGCGGGGCCCATGGCGTCGAGTGTCGAAGGTAGACGGGGAAGATGAACTTGAGAGCGTCAATGGGGGTTCTGCGATGCGTAAGTAGAGCCCGGTAGTAGATTGTAGTGTTGACTCTTTGTTGTTGCCTAATCGCTGTTATCGCAACAGTCTCCACGATCGCGTCAGACCCAAAAACACAGCGCACGGACTGGTTCCTACGCGTAACGCGAGCACGCCAGCTCACGTGGTCGAACCGTCTTGTCTCATGTCAAACAGATCTGCCTCGGCCCAACATGCCCCGTTCCGAAACCTTCTTTCGCACACATGAACCCTGCGCACTACTACGTAGCCTTCCGTGCGTCATCCCCCCTTGACCCAAATACAGCATCAAATCCCGCGAGGCACAGGCATTCTGTATTGCAAGCCACAAGTACCTCGGTTCGCTAGGCTTTCTCAAAGAAGAAGGGGTACCTGCCGATTGCATCTACATGCGTCGTCCCATACTATCGTAAGTAGATTCGGAGCATGGGCACTCAAGTGTTTGGGCCTACAAGCGACGGAGGAATATCCATGGCGTCGATAACGGAGCACGCAAAGACCCAACTCTCGAAATTTGCTGGCATGTCGTTGGTACATGTTCGCGTATGACGGACGTGCAGATCTCGTATGCACATCCTCTAACTGGGCCCCTACAGCATCTGCAAATCCTCTAGTCCACCGGAGAAACTTCCCGTCTACCCTCTCTCACTGTAACATCCCATCAGTAATCCGCAGACCAAGGCTAGCGCGGCTGGTTAGTCGAGTTTGTATTTGCACTCAGTGCTGCACCGCTTGCAAAACTTACCACAGTCTCGGACTCCAACGCACGTTTTCTGCCACCCAGCATCTCCATGTGACATCTCAAACTCTAAACTACACCATTCAGGGTTTCCCCTTTCTACGCTCGACGAAATGGGATGCTTGTTGACAGATCAATGTAATCATACGAACGGGACGCTGACACACCTGCCATGTGCATACGCATGCGAGACGCATCTACGGCTGTTAGTAGCGGGCTCCTTCCTCCACGATCAAGGATATACCCTCAAATGAAAGGAATACCACCGAAGAAGCCACGCGAACGCAATGCACCAAACTACATGAGAACTGCGCCGTTTGGTCTAAGAAAACCCTATCTGGCAAACTCAAACTTCACTTCGTTCGCAAGCCACCACGTGGCGGCTATATACGGTCGGAGATGCACGAACGGACGACGGTCACCGGCCCGAGAGGGTTGTTCCGAAACTGGGTAATCAATGCTGACTACACAGCGAAAGCTGCAAGTGGCGGACGTGTCGATCAGATACCGGCTTGGATATGGTTGTGATCGTGAGGAATACATATGGCATGCCGATAAGAGCTCGGCATCGTAGTATCACCATTTAGAATCCATGTTGATTGAAGCAAAGACACGAGGTAAAGGCTTACTGTCGTACCACGATGCTTACATTACCTTTGCAACCCGAGAACTTCCTCGTTGGTATGACAGTTCTCTCCCTTGAAACTCTATTCATGCATGAACACCCCATCGTCCATGTACTTTCCGACCCTTTAAGCGCTCCGCGGAGCTTTACCGAGATTGTATATCGAGAACGACTGTCGGCACCCATCTCCGATCCGCAGCCTCGCCCTCCACCAAATAGCGATCCCCGGCCATCCTCCGCACCAACCATAACTCGCGGAGTGCAACGCCTGCACCAACAACCCACTACATCTCCGGCCATCCCCACCAACGCAACCAACCTACGAGTTAAAACCTGCACAAGTAGCTTTCGGAGGTAACTGCATGGACCCGCAGCCATCCTTGAACAACATGATTCGCGCGATCCGGTGAAGGGTCGTGTTATGGCTTTTGACAGGTGAAAAAGGAGGGCACGTTCGGTCGTACTTCCGCGTACGTAGCATGTGAACGTAGCAGAGATGTTGTGTTGGAGGGGCAGGACTAGAGGTTGCTTAGGGGGCCTAGAGCCCAGACCTGCGAAGGGGTTATGGAGGTTTCCATCAGGGGAGGGGTGTAGATGCTTATGTAATGCGGTTGCTCGGGGCAAGGCGGATATGTGATTGTGTATTTCGGTGAATTCGCCGTACTGTGGTCAGCCGCTGTCAGAATGGTTAACAGAGTTCAGGTTATTGTCAGCAAGAGGCGGGGTTGTGTAATATCGTTATGAGTTCTTCTATAGTATGAGGGTATCGTCGGAAACCTCCTATTAGGGTACAGTAGTGCTCTGCCGGCATTCCATCATCCGTCCTATGCCCATCAAGTGCCTTCGTCTGGTCGTGTCGGCTGCTCCCTCATATCCAGTATTGTGGTCAACTTTCCTCAACCCAAACTTATACAAGTGTGGATGAAGAAACCGTCGCGTTGCCCATCTATACCACCCCAATCGTTCTCATGTCGACGCTTGCTCGTCGGAAAGTGCCATGAGCAGGGTAGAAAAGCCGGGATGCAGCCGCGCAAAATTGCCCAAAATAGCATTCTGGGCAACGTCCGATAGTCTTCGGTCCCAGATTTTAGTCTCCGTCAAAGGAAAAAAAAAGAAATACCTGCAAACTTCGGTTATTCGCACGCGTTCAGTGACGTACGCTTGCAGATTGGAATCCCGCTATGACCGCCAAAGAGAAAAAGAAAAGATAAGAAAGGTAAACAGAATGTGAAGTAAGTCGAAGGAGAAAAAGGAGTAATTCCACGAACGACCACCCGATGCTAATGTTTTTGGCCGGGAACCCATAAAGCGCCGTAGTCTATGACTCGATGCAATGGAGTAGGAGAATAGGTTGATGAGCCGAGAAGAAAAGTTGTCGGGAGAGCGATGCTAGCTATCCAAGAGAGGCGGACAAGCCTGAGATGGTTCGGCACTCGCGTATCGTCGTTGTGTCATCGTGCGAGAAAGATCAGAATCAGTCATGAGGGTGGCGAGGTATTCATTCTATGATCGAGTGGCAGTAGGTGAGGCGACATAGGCGGACGCAGCGGCGGCGTCAAGACCGCGTAGTTGAGGGCCGTATTTGGCGTGCTTTACAAACTTGGGTACAGAGTCCTAATATGAGATTAGTGAGATATTAGGGCGACTCATGGGGGAGGGATTTACACTTGACATCAGCTTAAAGATAGATTGCTGTGCCTTCTCGAAAAGGGAAGCAACTTCGTTAAGGCTTTGCAGCATGGCTGCGTCGTCACCGACGGCACGGGTCATGCGAGTGGCTAGTTGTGTACGAAGACCATGGTCGATGTTGAGCTCGTTGGGCGAGCCAGGAGCTAAGAAAGCATTGTACAAACCTATCCGAATTAGAGAATGTCTGCATATCGAGAATGGGAAGTCTTACCATAAGCTGCAGCAAGTGTCTCCCGGATCGTCTCGACCTTGTTGTCACCTTTGTCGTTGATAGCATCCCGGTACTGCTTGTTGAACTGCTGGACCTCAAGGTAGAAGGAGAGGTTTTCCTCACACATGGTTTCCTTGAGGAACTCGCGGTACAGAAGGCGCCATGAAGGGTTGCGGATGATGACGTTGGTGCGGTTGCTGTTGGAATCGCGGGCAACCCCGTCTCTTGACTTCACTGCGATCTCTCCACCAGATGGGACTTCCTCCAGGAGCCAGCCAGCAACGCGCTCCCCGTGATTGGTGATGTAGTAGTGTACCTGCTTGGAGGGCTGGAACTGGTGTTCTGAGTTGCGAGGATCAACTGGGGCGATAAGCTTGAGTTGCAAGAATAATGAGCCAACCTCGACAGATTCGCGGGGGTCAACCATAGTTGTGCAGTCCATGAGCCACTGTGCGGCATTGCGTCCGTTAAAGGTGTACTCGTACTGGCGTTGCGAGGTAGGTCGATGCTTGACAAGCTTAACTCCAACATCACACTTTGAGAACTCATGTATTGAGTCGGAATCCGATTGGGTCTCATTTGCCGTGGTACCAATGAAGCGGCGGAAGAGGATCTCAACAGTCTGTTCGTCATGATGGAGCTTGTCAGTTTCGGTGTTACGCTCAAGAACGACTAATTGTCGGGGATTCCTGTTGGACTCGATGACTGCCTTGACGTGAGCTGAAGCGATACCGTTGCGTGTGCAAAACCGCTCCAGAATATGAATGCCCTTGGGCGTAAGTTGCCAGACCGAGCTCTTGTTCATGAAGTCTGTCTTGCCTTCTACCGACTCGACAAACTTAGCCTCGAGGAACTTCTGGCAGACGGAACGAGCCATTTCCTTGGCCATTGAGAACGTGGTGGTAGTGGTGGTAGTCACGACACGTGATGAGTCTTTGGGATCAGGCATGCGGTTTGACTGAGAGAATTTGAGGGATCCAAGATTGGTGATTGCTTCATCTGATGTGAAAGTAAAGTCAATCATCCTGAAGCGAACGCGATGTGCTGTAAGGGGAAGCGAGACCATGAGTGTTGAGAAGAGATCCTTGAAGTCCTGATTGGATGTGTTAGCTGAGTTCTTTCCCATACTCGAAGTCTAACAATGCAGTAACAGCAAATGCGAAGAGTCCAGAGGCAAAAAAGCAGATATGAAGTAGCGGGCGCATTTCCAGGGTTCAGTATTCTTGGTGAGGCTTCAAGTCGGTCCGGAAAAGAAGACTGTAAATCCAGTACTACAACAAACCTCAGCGGTCCCATAGACGCGTCGATATCTCGAGAACATGGGGAAGTACTCGTCGTAGCCAACCGCCCAGTGGTGCTTCACAAGCTTAAGGAGGGTGGCTCGTTTTATCTTTTGCGGCTTGAGGAAGTTGATAGTGGCTACTACCGTGAAGCGGTCTTCAACTTTGTGCCCACTCTTCGCTGCCGTTAAATAGGTATAATATCTACCAGGTATTCTGGGCCCATGGGACGTAACAGACGTAGCGAAGATATGGATCATGCCGACTTTGGCGTGGACAGAAAATTGGTGAATGGTTGTACTCACCCTAGTATAGGGCCGCTCATCGTCGGTCATGCGGAGTAACCGCGAACTTGTTTGATGCATCTTGTCGGGCTTGCCTGCTCTCGGCCTCTCTAACAGAAGTTGTGTGCTTTCCGCCTCTTCAGCTATGACGTCGCCGTCGTCGTGGAGGCTGGCGGCGGATTCGTGTGCGGGAGAAAGATCTGGTCCACGCGCAAGCGACTGTGAGGAGCGCGGTGCACCTGTAGCGTAAAAGGGCGATTCTGCGGGGCTCTTTGTGGTAGAGGGCGTTCTGGTCAATTCGCGGCTTCCTTTGCGGAGTAGAGGGAAGCGGGAAAGCGTGTAGCGTCTCGCGTGGTTGATGGCACCACGGGAGGAAGGCGGGGGCGGGTTGCTCTTGCCCACTGGAGGTGTCGAGGCAGGTGCGTCTGAGGCGGCGGAGGCAGGTGCACTGGGTAGTCGGTCTCTGTCGTCTTTGTGCTGGTCGTGGGGTCGGGGGTGGAGGGGCTCGCTGGTGGGAGGGCTCAGGCTGTCAGGCACAGAGGAGACAGACACAGTCAATGGGAGAAGAGATGTCGTCTGGAAGGGCATGCCGAGCAGAAGATGGTCGCGGAGAATCAAATCGCGGACCTCACTGAAGGGCAATGTGTGGGTACCCTAGCTGGGATTGGCCTTCACAGTCTGGGGGTCCGTGACCACTGAGTCTTCTGCCGCTTGAACAGTCCTCACACCGCCCTCCTAAGACAGCTAAGATGGCCTAATATGGCGCCGAATTAGCCCTGAAGCTGGGCCATGACAAAGGCACTAACCGCAGCGGCCTCCTAGTCGCATACGAGACACATGGCGGCATGCACGTCCACCAACGCATGGGAATAAATCGCTTGGCTATGGGCTTCCACGAGGCATCCCTGCTCTCTGCCGTCCCCTGTCCACGGTGAGACGCTGCCGATGACTACGCCGCACGCCGACAAAGGGGACCGGCCGCTACAATGGGTCCGCCGGACGAGGCTCGCTGCGACATGTTCGACCATATCCTGCCCTCGGCGAGCACGTGGATGCAGACCACGACAGAGGGGCCATGCAGCCTCGTGCTCCCCATCTCGCACCGCACCATGTCTCAATCAGCCACCACGCGAGACAAGGCAGCCCAAAGAGGACCACATTGCTGCATATCTGCATCTGCACGCAAGACCGGTACAGCCAGTGATACGCGCATGTCGTGGTGCCTTCTGTGCTCTGTTGGGAGGGGGCTTCTGCCACAGTATGGCCTGACGCAGACATCTGTCCATTCCGCAAACATTTCCTAGAGCATCGACCTATGTCACGCCGCCGCTCAAGGCAGCAAAGCGTCGTTGCGCAAACACAGCAGCTTCTTACACACCAGCAACTCCTGGGCTTCGCATCTGCACCGCCGTTTGTCCAACTTCTGGCAGTACCCGTCTTCGCGTAACGTTTCGGTGGCGACCGATACCACCGTTGGCCCACGAACTGGTCGTGCTGTGCCATGGTGAGCAGGCGCCTGCCAATCGCAACACTCCCTGCCTACTTTCGTGTGGAACACGTCGCCAGAATCGAGAGGCCCGGAAGTTTGCTGCTGAGGCCGCCAAAACGTGGAATGCACGTTGCACCCTGGCCTTGGCCCATGTCCACTGTTGTCAGCATGGCTGCATGCCTCGACATGCAAGAGGTGCACCATTTGTCGCACCCACTCAGATCGCTGACAGTATCTTTGTCAAATCTCACGACTCGGCGTTGCGGCAACCATGTTCCACGCGTCATCATGTGTAAAGAAACTCGGCAGATCTGCATGTCGTTCGATGCCTGACTGCCATCTCTGGTCATGCCTGTGGAGGTTGTCGTGTTTCTCAGCCTGGAGAATGGTACATGTGCCGCAGTTTCCACGTGTGCAACCCCACCTCAATGACGGCGAATCGTTGGTCTTCCATGCGAGACATCGCTCTCCTTGGCTGTGGCCCGCATTGCTGCCAGTTCCGCCATGCTGGACCCTTCAAGCCTTAAGCCTCCGGTGTGCCCAATCCGCCCATCCTTCTTACTTTCGGCATCGTTCGGACTTATCTCCTACGAGTCATGGCGTCTGTACGGGTGAGCAGCTGCAGATCTCTCTACGTTGATTGCATGATGGGCAGAGTATAGCCGATAGCTTCAAGCCAAGTAACGATACCTTCAGCATACGGTCCGCCACAATCTCCTCTCCGGAATAGTCCCGCCTTTGACATGCCCAGCTGCGCGGCGTGATGCAGCACGTGCAACACGTGAAAAGAAAAAAAAAGCATCCACCCGTGCGTTTCAGAGTGGCGGTGGGCTTGGGGCTAATTTTCAGCCACGCGATGATGACACAGGGACGAGAATGCATCCATCGGGCGCTCGCATCGGCTTCCCGACGCTCTTAGGCGGCCGGCGGGGTCCTTTCCGCTCAACCACACTTTGTGGTGAGCGCATGCCCAGCTAACGGTCGAGCATATATTCGTTTCTTGCCAAGCTCGGCGGAAATGGCGGTGATGCAAGTGATATTGAGTAGCTCCTGGAGGCTTTGGATGGTCATGTCCGCCCGTCGTCCCTTCAGCCTCCCAGAATTTGTGTGATTTCGGTGCAGCATCCTCCGCCGCCAAAGACCCCTAGCTGCCGCATGCAAATGCCGTCATCCTTGCAAACATCAGCCCATACTGCTGATCTGGGGTCAGTTTTTTTTTTCGAAAGGTTTCCGAATTTTCGAAGCTTGCCCGCCCTAACCGCGAGAGAAATATCTTTAGGTTATCTTCTCAGGAATCCCATGGTTGCCCTACAAGGCTACGATCTTCGGCGCTTACGGTAGCCTCAGAGCACGACGACTCATGCAAGCTTTCGTCAAGATAATGCCGTGGTGCCAGGGGTATCAACACGTGGCAACCGATTCCTTTTGCCTAGCGTCCGCTGGCGTGAACGATGCAGCATTGTGTAACACCGAGGCATTTTGCCCAGTCAGTTACCGTCTGGAGAAGTCTAGACGTCAATAATATTGCGACGACCCTCTGAACGTAGCCTCTCAGCACTACTGTAGTCTCGCGTGTATAGCAGTGCAGCAGCCAAACATTACCCGAGCATTAATGAGGTTTGATAGAGGACCGTCAGCGTGGCTTTCGAAACGCATTCTCTGACACGCATCTCATTTGCAACCTGTTTCAACAGGGGCTGCACACTGCCATGCGCCACGCCGATATTGAGCGCATCCCCTCACTCTCTGATCTCTGAATACCTTATCTCCACCCATATTGCCTCTGGTTATTGGACTTGATATTTTTCTCGACGCGTGCGGTTTCTCAAGTGGGGCTGGCAGCGCATTCTGCCCGGTGTAGAAATGTCGGTGAGACGGCGAGCGTCGGTGGACGATAAGATAGAAGGGGGTCGCGGATGGAATCTTCGATCGTGACAGGTCACGAGCTGCTCTGGATCTTCAGTAGTTTGTGGAGACAGAACCAGACCTCGGGTCTATTGACGAGGCGGGAACCGGAGGCTTGATAGTGTGGGCTAGTGTGTCTGTGAGAGGCGGTTATTGTCAATCACAGCAGGATGAGGCTCCGCGGCGAGAGACGGGAGAAGATCTCGACCCTTGTGGCTTGTAACATCGGAATATTCCACATGAGATTTTGCAGCCATGCAGAGGGTGGCGTTCCCCAACGACAGCGACTGTCAAGCATAAAATTGTAGAGAGCGAGATTGTTTGCTCCTTCGGCGATAGACATCCGACCTCTCCAAGCAAAGTTGCCGACTTGAGTCAGAAGGACCCACGACACCCTTGGCCTTGAATCGCTATGATGCTGTCTTTGGCAGCTTTCGTCTCGAGGAAGGTTGTGCGTGATACGAGAAGGGTCTTGGGAAGTAATGTTCAACGCCGTTACTGCATCTCGGGTGATGCGCGCGGCGATCCAGGTCCAATTCCAGGTTCCAGGTTGAGCCCCAAGGCTTCGGGTCGTTATGCGCCTGCTGTTGCAAAATGAGTAAAGGGGGTTAGTGGATTCTTACCTTCTGCCCAACTTTCCTCTCCTGGTGTAGAGGGAGTAGGTGATGCACCAAAGGGAGCTTCTGCGGCGGCTCCCGCTGCCCGACTTTCAACCGGTACCATACGGCCCTTGCGATTATCAGACAGACAGCGGCGGTCGCTATGAAGCAGAGAAAGAATATGCCTAGCCACCACATGATGTTGTTTGGTGGGAGGGTGATTGCGTGCGTCGTGTCGTATTGGCGATAAGTAATGAAGGAGCTCGAGGATTATATCGAAGCGTTGACAACAGTATGGCTAGCGCTGTAGCACCACATCTACATGTGAGGCAGAGTGTGATTGAGACGCATCGCCTCCTCTAGGTGAACAAATTGTTAGTCGAGCACAGTGAGTCCTCTCATCAGTCTCCGCACGGCCCTAGAGTTTCTAGCATTCAATCCAGGCTATGGAGATGAATATATAGATCTCCGCTGTTGCCCCTCTTGTCGCTGCAGTTTGGACAGACGAGCGTCGTCCGTTGCAATCTCCTGAGATCTCGACAGCTTCTTATAGTGTCGGCCTCACTCTTATATGTAACCCACGCCCCGTACAGCAGTCTGCAGAGGCAGTAAGTAGAGCACTAACGTAGTTTCCAAATCCGTTGCACCGCAGCTCGAGCAATCATAGACCTTCAAACTTCCTGTACCAGCCCGACCCATACGTCACCTTATTCACATCCTCTTAACCGTTGTCCCATACCCTGGGCAGCCCGGCCGCACAGCGCAGACATGAAAGTAGATTCTCCGCCGAAGCGCCGACGAGCGAAGGAAGAGCCGCACAGTAAAGGAAAACAGGACATTTCGAAGGCATGATTTGGGGAGCAGGCCGGACCAGTACAGGCGCGATGATACCAAGCAGCTGCAGAATATTCATGAGGAATACAGAGAAGGCGCTTCGATCGAGCTAGAAGCCCATGGCACTCAGCGTGTTGCGAAGACACAAGTAATCAAGCCAACGACTTGCACGCGGTGCAGGATGCGAGAGCAGTTTTGCAAATCACACTCAGGCAACTAGCGGGAAGTCATAAACAGCCACTGTTGCGAACGAAGGTGACCGACGTATTGGTGGGCATAGCATACATTGATGTAGATGGAAAAAGCAACATAGGTTCAGAATGGTACAAGCACCATCAGTGCTAAGCGGAAGCACGGATATCGGGTCTCCACGAAAAGGACAAGTACGCCTCAAGTCGATGATTGCGGGTCGTTCAACAGCATGACTACTGTTCCAGGTTGCAGTCGGTTCATGTCTCACATTGCATACAATGTGAGCCAGTTGCCGGTTTCACCACGTCGAGGCCTTCATCTACTGTAGTTTCGCCCATGCGATACCTATCACAGGGTGAAGCTATGCGTGAGTCTGCAGTGTTCAACACTACGGCTTCGCAGTCAGTGGCATTGCCGGCGAAACGCTACTGACGTGGGAATGCTGGATGGGAAGACGTAAGGGAGACTGGAAGCATAGATATTATCTACCCTTGGTCTCATGTAAGCCAAATACGGTCGTAGTCGGGGAACTCAGCGTCCGATGTGGTGAAGACTGTCCACTACAGGGAATGACAAATATACGAAAGTCTGCACCGTCTTACGAAGCGAGAGAAGCCAGAGTATAGCACCAGAAAAGTAGCACATGAAACCCCGATATTACATTATGAAAACGTTGGAAGCCACCTCTTTTGATACTGCCCATAAGCGCTACGTAAGAGCCCATGGTATATAGCTAAGCCCGAAATCAGAAAAGCTGTAGGTACGATTCGTGTTAGGTTAAGATGACCAGGAAGAGAAAGAGGCTTTGATGTGATATATTTGAGAAGCTCTTTGTCTGACCGATAGACGAAGCTGAAGTCGATATTGATGTACGTGCAAATGGTTGCTTAGGGCGCAACCGTGCTTGGTGCGGGATGACGTAGTTATGTTCGCTTCAATAACATATCGCCCGTGATATCACTTTCTCCATCACGCCATTTTTTTTCTGACGCCCGCTTTCACGAAAAGATTGTGAATGGAAGGTATGGAGACACTGCTAATTTCTGACGTATTACAGAGACATAGGCAGATATTATGAGTACCAACAACCCAACGGCTTCCACGCCATCGCGAACGTTCGATACATCGTACCTACTCAACATATCAAACGCTAAAATGCAGGCGACGTGGCTCTTCGACCCAGACGTTGGCGTATACTGTGTTCCTACGCTTAACAGTCAGTGTAGGCTGGACATCTTCGCTGCTTCCTCCACCTTCGCGAGACTTTCGAAAGCGCACCGTGAAGACGATAACCCCTCCGTATTCTAAGAACCATCCTCAAGGCAGTGCATGTAGCCCTGCGCTCGATGAGAGCCCACACTCTACCCTTACGGGGTACGGACCTAGACGAGCTAGGGTGGGTGCAGGAGACCTTCAGGCATGAACCATCGATGGCGTTCAGTATTATCGAGAAGAGGAAGTGAGATGGATAATCGTACGTTCTTGATTAATGCGACCGATTTAGCATCAAGTCTCCGTAGTTCACTTTTGGTAAAAGCCTCAAAGTACTTGTACTCTATTTCGAACAAAGAGTTGTACGAAAGATTGATATAGCTCCGCTTCTCTAGCGGCTCGAAACCCAAGGCCATTCGGGCTATTGGGTTGGAGGACGTTGTTTTCATATCTCGATGATTTTGACAAATCATAAAGGAATGGTGGTGCTTGGGCGCTTTATGTGTTTCGAGTATTTTGCCCAAATGTGGTGAGATACTGGACTCTGACGATCTCTTCGCAGCTTTCTCTCCGCTTCCCAAGGATAACGAGAGGATTGTTGTCAATATTTCTCTAGTGCGGGTGCTTCTTCATGCTGCAGGATGATGTGATGGGTGTGGAGGGCAGGTAGAGGATATCTCCATCCTCCAACCCTATAAAGGGTGGTCGTCCTGCCTGGTTGCTGATGGGTCGAGGTGGTGACCCACTAAGCCAGTCTGAGGAAGAGGTCTTTGAGGAAGAGGTGGGTAGTCTTCGCCAAACCAGTGGTAGTGATGTTAGCGTGGTGGGACGGGTAGTGGGCGGAGAAGGAGAAGTGTCAAGAGAGACCCTGGGCAGCGGTCTCCACTCGGTCATCACTCTCGAAGAGTAGAATACGATGGTGGTGATAGGGATGGTAATGAAGAGTTGTGGTGAGGAAGTCCTACAGCTGTGAAACGATAGTAAGATGATGGATCGTTGACGATAAAGATTATAGGTCTTTCAATCTGATGATGGTATGATAGAGGAAGAGAAGGATGAGAGGACAGCTTTTTAGGAGAGGGATCCTCATCGACCGGCGAAGGAAGAGCTCTCTTGAGACGAATAGCATGTGTTCCGATTAGATGAAGATGTGTTAATCGCTACCAGCATCAGAATGCCCCCAAAGCCCCTCTGGAACCGAAAAAGCTTAGCAAGCCGCGGTACTATTGAACATCTCACGACATCGAGGGAGAAGTTTGCTGGTCGGCCGTGTCAGCAGACATCGTTGATGGTAGGCAGAAGGTGTTGGTTATCTCAAACAACGCCATCGGGGGAACCGGTACCGGCACATCGTCAAGATACGCCCAAGATAGTTTGTAACCGTCCAAAGCCCCACCGCAATATGGTCGACCATAAATGGCAAGACTGGACCTTCAGCGGCTGAGCAGATTACGGCACGAATGTGGCATCGCGGAGCATGAAAGATAAGAGAATCACATTGTTAAGATGTGATTTTGAACTATGCAGCCGGCATGGAAGGAATTTAGACCAGTATTTGCGTTGTTGGCAATAAGCAACAAGAGCTTCCTAGAAGCTGAGACTTGAGGAGCCCACTCAGGGAGCAAGAACTGCTATGTGTGCTAACTTCGTTCACCAGTTCCTGCCACAGGTACGGATCGTCGGCTCCAGGGAAACGTCGGCAAAGGAGGAGCCGTACAAAACGACGAAGAAGGCATATGGTCAGGGACTATGGAGAGATGGAAACGGCGAATATCGAGAGAAGGAAAATTCACAGGACCCGGAATTGATGGCAAGCAAGTGTAAAATGCGCTACGATCCGGCTGATTGACTGAAGATTGAACTTATAAGTTCAGCTGGAGTTACTTTGTGCATCGTTGATACGTCTAAATTAGCTTCCATGCATGATCATCGTATAGTAGGAGCACGGAACCAAGCCCCAAGAGACCTCCCATTGTATTACCCCACAGATTGGTTCGAGAAATACCTAGGTGGTAATCTTTCGTATGACTCTTATGTGTTACCAGGGCGCTAGAGTCGGTGCATACCCGAGCGTACAGCAATCTATCATTTCAGGTTTGATAACAGTCGCACCTAAGAGACAATAGTTAGCGACACGATACTTGTTTACGCAAAAGGGCATTACTTCTCCTTCGAGACGTGTACAGCGGCGACTGCTGATAGCACTCAACTAAGTTTCTTTCAAGAACCTCGGAAGTCTCAAATTAATATCTGCTACAGGTCAAGCGACTACGTTGAGTGGAGATTCATACGTTTCTTTTTCTCACATTGGCTTCCATTCTTGTATCTCTGACTTCGGTTGCTAGAGGGTCAGGGATTACTTCGGCGAGTGAGATGCACAACTAGCCGCAGCCACAAACATTACGCATCCGTAATGAGTTGACAAGGGCTTCAGTGTTTTATCTTACGTGGCTATCGGGTACAGCAATGCTACGCTCTACGGCTACGAAGTCTCCACCGACGGATACAGAGCGCGACCTTCCATGAACATCACAACGACGCGGAGAAGGCTGACTGCAAGATTGAAGGATTCACAGCGAGCTACTCATAGTTCTGCTCTATCTACAGGCTATGAAGTGTTTAACATTCCTCTCAGTGTACCAAGGAGTGCGAAGCCAATAACTAGGGAGGGTGATAGCAAACCGGATAGCTAGTAATGTCGTGACCGCAGATAGGCGAGGGCCTGCCAAATTCGTGATTTAATTTGTGGATGCAGTACGCTGCAAATATCGTGTACGTTACAATAAATCATAGTCAATAGTGAGAAGAACCAGAATGTTATCTCTCTTATAAGTCCGACAGATGTTCACATCAATGAATACAGTTCATCATCGCATTAACACACAAGTGCAGCTTACAAATGCATAGGCCTTAAGGGATGCAGTGTTAAACGCAGCAAAAAATGTGGCATTGTACCACCACCACCACCACCACCCCGAATGCCTTCGCAAGAGCAAAAATAAATGGTGAACAGAGTGGGACTCGAACCCACGCAGATTTCTCTACTAGCACCTGAAGCTAGCGCCTTAACCACTCGGCCATCTGTCCGGATAGATGTTGTATGACTAAGCTGCAAAAATGTAACAATATCAATATAGCAACAAAGTGTGCGTTCGCGTGGGTGGAGTAAACGTAACCGTCCTCAGTAGTGCAGGTACAGTGGTATAAAGTATGACTCCATGAAAGGCGGGGTTGGAGGGGTAAGCGGTACGGTAGAGCAAACTCATCCGTGGTTCACACATATCCACTTTGACGACCGACGACTGCATGGTAAATTTGCCTGCTAAGGCTAGTTCCAGAACTTGATAGAGCTGCGCTCTAGAAGCCCTACTATTGTTTGCGACCCGAGATATGCAGTGGGACTAGGTAACTTCTATTGTTAGACAGTTGTGGAAATTGTCCTGTGGCTGAATTACCAACTCCTGTACACGGGTGGCGCCTGGAAGTATTTATCACATGATTGTTCGCCATGGTCTAGAATCGCTACTAAGTTTGACACATTCGAGGGAGATTGTAAGGGGAGCTGCGTATGTAGGACATCGATGTTACTTTTCGGGCTAGGTTTGCAGAAGCGCGAACACGAGCTCATCCCTTCATGTTAGTGTGTTAGCAAGATCAGAAACACTCCAGTTTGCCGATGTATTCAGATTTGAGAGTAAGCCACGGAGCAGGAGCAGAGCACAAAAGGACCGACTTCGAACTGAACGAAATGTGCAATGTTCTTCGAGTATATGCAATTACGCCTCTAAATACCCAGTGCAATCTACAGCCACATGTATCTCATCTATACAACATCTTTACTGTTGCTTGTCCACCTTTTGGTATATATGACTATCACTCTCCAGTTTACAAAGCAGCGACCATCAATCCGGCAACAACAGCGGCAAGACCGAACTCGACCTTGCCAGCAGCACCAGTGGCTTCGGGAAGACCAGCGGAGCCAGTGGCACTGCCAGCGGGGGGCTTAGGTCCGCCAGTGGCAACAGGAACAGTGCCGTTGCCGTTTCCGTGTCCGCTCGAGCCGGTGGGGTAGAGAGCGACGAGGGTAGAGCCCGAGGTGCCGGTGGGCTTGTGGGAGGAACCAGTAGCGGTCTTTGAGCCAGAGGCAGAGGAGACAGCAGTTGCTGTTACACTTTCTATTAGCATACATTCATCCAACAAGTCGTGTTCCTCGGTCCGAATCCTTGTAGCTGGTGTTTACCGCAACGGATCAGCGCGCATCAGGGCACACTTACAAACATCAACATCCTCATCGTTACAAATGTCCGCAATCGCAACCATAGCATCCTTGGCATCGTCACCGCAGATTTCCGCCACCTTCTCGCTCAGGTCCTTGGCCTTGCAGACGGCCTTGATGTCAGATGGGTCTTCGTATTGGTTGACAGCGCCAAGGAGGCAGCCAGGGGGGCTGGCCATAGCGAATTGAGCGAGCGCGAAGAAAGTCGCGGCGAAAACGGTTCGTCCGAGCATATTAGCGGTTGAGGTGGGAGTATTGGTGGGCTGGGAAAGTGGATTGGGTGAGTGGTGGTAGAGACGGTGAATTTGTATTAAGGATAGTGTAGCCTAAAGAGTGACTATAAGAGGTAGTTTCTAAAAGAATGAATGTACAACGAAGACGGTTGGTGAAGAGAGAAAGAAGAGTAGAAGAGATGCCTGAGTCTCGACCTGATCCTCAAGGGGCTCGGCTCACACGGACGCTTGGCCAAGTGGGGTCACGCTAATGTGCTAGTCAGGAACAGCAAGTTTAGAAACACGTGCATGATTGGACGGGTTCCTGCAGTTTGTGTCAGTGCTAGAAACGTGGTGCGCATTACTTCAAGTCGTGTGGGTGGTAAGGGACTCTTCAAGGGGTGGCTTGAAATCGAAACTTGCATAATGCTATCGAAGCAAACGATCAAAGCCTGTTCCATACATTGATTTGGCTGTTCCCACTGCTCATCTGATGCTTAACGCAATAATATACAAAAGAAGCTCGCCGCAGCCTAGTCTTTGCTACAAGAACATTCTAATTCGGGACGAGTGGGTGCAGAGAACGCATTACAAAGGTATACTCGTATGAAGATCCAATGTTTCTTTTGCACCGGCAGGATACAGCCGAGAAACAATTTGCACTGGAGTCGGAATCCAAATCGATCCGCGCAAAAGCACCTTCAACCCATCCCATGTAATGCAAGATGGTTTCGGAGATGACGTTTTATCCTTCCATCAGATATCCAATCTGAAAAACAAGCACCGGCCAGCGGACTGTCAAGGTCCACTTGCAATGCTATGATGCGCCGAAAACTCCGTCGCTAGGTATTATACATGCGGTACAGTAATGAGACAGAAAGATGAGAGTGTGTGACGAGAGAGGGATAGGCATGGAGGTCGGGTTCGTCGTTATAGAGAGCGTAAGGTTCCAGTGTAGAGATCATGAGGTATGGATTTGTGGCGGGCTATCGCCATTTGGTCCAAGCATGGACGGAATGGGCTTGCGGCGGGCTTTCCCTTGGGGAACGCGTGGTACACCCTGAATGACGCGAGGTTCCTTCATAAGCGTAGGGTCGAGTTTCGCGGGGACTGTGATCATGTTAGCATTATCAGGCTGGAGGAATGCGTGCAACGTACTTCGGCTGATCACAGAACGATAATCGCCCGGGAAGCGCGAATTCGGCGGAGTTGCGGACGCGGTGCGCCAGAGATGGTCGGTCGTGTCGGATAAGAAGTCGACCTTCGATTTGTAGAAGAATGATGATTTTCCGCGATTCCGCTTCGCCAAGATGACTTCATCGAACAGTTTGATGGTGGGGTCGTCTGCAGACTTGCTCTCGCGTTCATGAATGAATTCGTTGAAGGCTAGTGCATGTTAGCATATGCTCGAGAAAGCTTAGAGTGACAACACGTACCTTGCGTCTGCTGCAGTGTTGTAATATATTGCACGTTCTCGGCTGGCAAGCTTTTCACAAACTCATCCATCTTGAACTGATATGTCATACCAGACTTCTTGCGTTCGCCAGTAGCCGGTACAAGATAGCGCCGGTAAGTGTAGAACAAGCTAGCAAAGCACCGCACGAATGACGCACGCACTTGGTCAGGTCGGAAAGCCGTCGGGCAGACGATGCAGATCGTATCGACGCATCTGCCATGAGCGTATGTGCTGCAACCTACACCATGTCAGAAAAGCAAATCGCACTAAGCGAATCCGAAACTCACCGGTACAACGATAAAGGCCATCATCGGACTTCTCTTCACATATCGAGCAAAGAGCTTTATCCTCGTGTGGTCTCCACTGCAAGCAATGACCTTCTTGCCATTGCGTTGTTGCAGTGTTGCGTACTTGTTGCACAGCCATGCCGGGCATGATCGTCGATGCGGCTAAGGTTGACTGAGCATACACTGATGGCGCATACGAAGACCCCGCTTTGTACTCATGACTCAGAGACGATGTTGATGCGCTCGGCGCATGGCCAAGGAACGGCTGAGAGGGGCGCCGGATTTGGGGTACACGTTCGAAACCAAACTAGCCACGTTAGTCGAGGAACTACCACAATGAAAGGGGTGGCGCCAAACTTACCGATGAACTTCGCCGACTTGAAGTCTCGAAATGGGCGGATCGCTTCTCGCGAAGATTGGCTTGGAGAGCATAGCCAGAGTCGCTGCGCGAGATAGGGGTGCTAGGCATAGGTGGGAAGACCGTCGATACTGGAGAGACCTTGGGCGAAGGCGGAGATTGGTATGTTTTTATGGTTGTTGCTGTGGATGGTCGGTCGTTGCCGCGGCTCGAAGCACTTGACTGCAAGAATGCGTTGTAAATCAGAGGTCTGGAACTAGGCGGTCCGACCACAGTTCCGAAAGACGTAGAGTTTAGACCGACGTAATTCTGAACAGTCGAAGGGTGTGCTCTGTATGAAAAAACACCGGGGTTCTCAGAAGCGAATGTGTCGTATGGGAAAGCTTCTACGGCATAAGCCGGTGGACCAGTAGGCACACCATATCGTATATGATGCGGTGCGGATTGTTGGAGCAGAGACATGAGCTTGCGTCGCTGCTGGCGTGGCAGTGATGGTGGTGGTGGGCCGTTGGAAACTATTGAATCAGCATCCAGGTCGACGAGAACATAGTCATCGTCGGGATAATCGGCGGGCTCATAACGACGCTCGATTCCCACAATGTATGGGCATGGCGCTTCTATCGTCTGTACCAGACGAGCAGGCAAGATTGGGATGAAGACACCAGCCCATTGGAAGGGATACAGTAGGTTGGTTATCGCCATACTGGCCAGGTGTAGCATGGCCGTGTGAGAGGAAAGGAGAATGATCCTGGCTTCCGAGAGCACATACTCAAACAAGGTAATAATGTTCGGTATGGACATGCATCGAAAGAGAGCGTAGATGTCGATGTTTCGGGAGCCAGGGAGCTCGTTAACTGCCTCCTTTCGGGCGTACATGCGAAGTTCACGAACTGCCAGTTCAACCTGCGTAATGGAGGTAATCGGACTAAGAGCCTCTGCACACAGATTGACGACATATCGCTCAAGCGGCTGCCACATCCCTACTCGCGGTGAGCTGGCAGGGACCCGAAGAATCGCACCAGTGGTCATTGGAACGACGATGGCCTTCAGCCACTCCTTCCAGAACGGCGTCAGACTCGCGTCTCGACCCATGACACCATAAGCACGGGGTATCCAGAGCCCAGTCTCTCCGTCGGTAAGACCCTCAATTTTGGATGCTGCACCGTGCCTCACAGGGCGAAGTAGGTCGGTCATCAACTGGATCTTTTCCTCGACGGCGCCAATCTGGTCGTCCAGGTCTTCACGCTCCTCGGAGTCAGGGGTTACGGACGGAAGCTTAGTTAGGAGTTGCGACAGTTTTGCGCGCTCCAATGCCAGACGCTCGCCTAAGCTGCTCGCTAATTCGCGCTCTTCTGGATTCATGTGCAAGTTTCGCCATTCTTCACATTGGCGCTCGAGGCCCTCTGCAGCTGTGGCGTTCAGTGGCAACCAGACGATGATGCAGATGCCATAAAGTTTGGAGCCATCTCCATTAGTCATGGCAAATCCATGCCATTGGCTCTTTGGTCGCTCATCAGATGAGACAACACTAACATCATTGGGAAATGCAAACATGGGCACGTAGTCAGGAAACGGGTTCCGCCTCTTGAGTTCCTCGACCATATTCCGGGGGGGATAACGATCTAGCAAGACGGGCTCGTAGCGGCGCAGAAGAGGATGCATGTCTGGGTCGGGTTGAAAGGGTTGTGGTGCCGGTATGACAGAGTTGTACCCGGACATGCGCTTCGACGTTCGAATTGAGGCTGTATGCACGTCAGTAAAGGCCGATGAAAAAGTAAACAACCCATGTCAGGTCCAAGGCCCAGCCCTGCAAAGATCCTGGTCGGGCGTAATGTGGAAAGCCACCTACATTGTCTTGCTGTTGACGACTGTCGCTTCAAACTGCTCTGCATGGTTGAGATGCGTCGACGGATACTTCCAACGCCGGACCTGAGATTGCCGACTCCGTCGTCATTGTTGGCTTGTGACACGCGCTGTGGTCTGGGACGCGGCCTCGTGGGGGTGGAGCGGGCCTGTTGGGCAACACCAGCAGTGAACTGTATCTCCTCGAGAAAAGTATCCCGTTCGGAAGCGAATTTGCGCAGTGCAATGTCGAATTCCTGATCGCTGAGGCCGGAGCCGCCAAGTTGCAGGCCTTTGATGGTAGCGCTGCTCCGATTGCTTGCAGTCTGTTTGGAATCCGGGCCAATGCCAATAATTGTACCATTGGATTGGCGGTTCTCGCTGAATCGGTTCGCAGACCTCCGTCGATTGGTGTCGCCATTGGACAGGCCATCCTGTGAAGTCGGACGAATCGAGTCTGTCTCGAGGGCGCGGTCCTCCTCAATTGTCTCGTCGACCGGGGGTTGTGCAAGCGGGGAGGTTACTATGCCATTGTTCTGGGTGCGCCCATCGTAGACCTGCGAAGACTCGATTCCAGATATGAAGAAATAGTCGGCAAGCGGGGTGGACGATTGTTCGGCCGTGGACGAGGGAGCGGGCGCCATGTTAGATGGTGGGCATAGGATATCCAAAAAGATGGGCGATTAAAGAGCGTCGTGGGGTGCGCGGTTCACGGCGTGTAGGACGTCGAGTCGCCTTGTGTCTCTAGGTCATTGGAGATTGGACGCCGACTCCAACGGTTGTTTGTGATGGGGCAGCGCAGGGCTTATGCACGGCAAAGGCAGAGCGTGTGCGACGGTGACAGAGAAAGCAGTTGCACAGGCGGCGACCTGGCGGCGGAACGAGCGGGGAGCTTAGCCGGAAGCTGCGACTGTGCAGAGTGGTCGCGAACTGGTGTCGCGGTGGGTGTTGTATAGCTAATTGTTGCTTGTTTGCGGGCGAAAAGAGTGAAATGGGAGAGGGTTGGCGGAGAAGGGTTCAGTGCACTCTGCGCTCGGTCACAAGCCATTCAAAAGGACAGGCTCCGGCCTGTTCGAGCAACTAACCCACATCCACCCTCGTCGCAGGGCTCACACCCGCTTGCGCTCTTATCGCTCGCAGAAGACAGTCTAGCGCTTAACAGCTCCCGCGTCGAATGCCCCTCGGCCTGGGCCGGACTGCTGCACCTCGCAAGAAGCTCAACCTGTCAGCGTTGCCGGCGGAGACGCGAGGCTGTCAATGCAAGGCACCCGCGCGCATCAAAGTGTATTTGGGCCCAGCGTTTGGCCTGAATCTCGCGTTCCATGGTACTCTCTTCTTCTCACACGATAGACATATCGAGCACAGGCATATCCGTTGCTGTGCCGTGCTCCCATGTCGCGCTGCTAGACCCTGTCCTCGGAAAGCACGACCAGGGGGCAGGGCATGGATTGGGAAGGCACGGCCTGGGGCCTATCCGCTTTAGGACCGCGCGGGATTGGCAGAGGGCTGAAGTGGGATTGGCCGCGGGCCAAGGACTGGCTGTCGGCATGGCAGCATTGCGCGTTCAGGGGTTGTCGCATCGCTGCTGGCGACCAACACGACTGTTATTAGGTCACAACACTGGTGGTGTGCGTCCAATTTGCATGTGTTTCAGATTCAGCGTACAGTACGCATACACGGTATCGCAATCAGGGCAGAAATAGGGGCATATATGTCGTGCACTGTACACGATCCCATACTATGGTTCAGTGCTTGCACATCTTCAACCTCCGAAACAAAGAATATCCAATGCCCCACAACTACTTGCAAATAGCCGAACATCCCTCTGAACACGTACGGCATCATGCACTGTAGCTGTCAAGTGTCAAGCGAAAGTCACAGCATACTGTGCTCCTCACTGCGAACACAAACATCTTACAATCGCCTCGCCTCGCCTCGCCTTGCCTTGCCTTGTCTTGCCATGCATATGCATAGCTGCGGTACGCTCCAGCCAACTCGGTATCGTATGCTCTGACCACCATCTAAACCGTTGCTGTTTCAACTCTGCTTGCCGAACTGTACAAAACGGTGCATGTCTTCCTACGGAACACGGTGCCGTATCTGCCTTGACTTCGGTGTTGGACCTGCGCATACGCCCGGCCAGAGACATATGTAGCATATGGACATGTCGATCCCGCTGTGGGCAGCCGATTTCGACACAAAGTCCCGAACGGCCACTGCTTGTGCGAGCGCGTTTTAATCTGACAGCTGTAGCCACCTCGAACCACTCAGTCAGTGCTGCTCAACATACATGAATACCAATATCCGTCCCTCCGAGCCCTCGTATCTTGCAATTGAGTGCATACTTGGTGGCGTGACGATCAAACATATCAAGAGCCCACATTTGACCGAGATAAAATGACACTGCTGCGATCGCCCTACCCTCGAGCGGTTCGTGAGATTGTCATGTCAAGTTCCCGTGTCTGTCGACTCTTCGTGCCGGGATCAGTGATAGCGCCTGGGGTACCCTGCTCTCTCTGCCGTGCTTCACCAAATTCTCAGATTGATTCTCATCGACCTCTTCGGACTTCGTCAGAGATGATCGTGCTGTCGTTCGATCTACTTGTTGCGCTAGTAGTCGATGCCGCAAGAGCATAATTGCTATTTGAGGAGAATTGTTTCCGTGGTTCTAATCGCATTCGAATGGCCTGATCATCAAAGTCGACCTTGCTTCTTCGTTCGCTTCGCCTGTCGATCGTCCAAGAGATCCCCCTCCGCATTCCGGCTGTCTGATTCGAAGTACCCATGTACTGCGTAACATTATTCTGGAGGTGGGTAGGTATTACAAATTACCACCAAGATCTCTGTGAATCCCCACGCATCAGCAACGGATATGAAAACAGCCGGTGGTAGATAAATGCTCTGTGGTACACATATGAATATAGTCTGAAGTTTGCTTTTCACTGTTCGGCGATGAAGGTTGACCCACTCGATTCATGTTGACATGACGCACGGAGCAGGTTCCGAATGGCTTCAGCCAGCGCAAGGCTAGATCGATACTGCCAGACCAAGCGCTTGGAACTGCAGGTACGGGCGCCAGAACTTTCGGTCGGAGATATACAAGCCCTAGTGACGTTAGAGGGCGCGGTGCAAACTTTATTGAAGAGGACACTCTCAGCGTCGAGCCGTAAGCCACCCTGTACTGAGAGAGCCCCTGTCGCCCAATGCGCTTCGCCATTGGATAGCAAGCTGCCCTAATACTCTCTTATTGTCTTCCGTGATAGACCCTGCCATTTCTTCGTCGTCATCGCTAGGTTGGTGATCAAGAAGAAAAGCCACCTGCACCACATCCCGTGGGCTCAATATCGGCGCATTGAGGCCTGAGGGTTGCATATCCCAATTAAGCGATGTCGATCTGAGAGGTGGTTTCGGGTTTACACTGACGGCCTATTTGGAGTCAGTGGTGGTTTGATGCCTACTAGGACCATGGCTGTTGAGGTAAACTGTTTGAAGCAGCGAGATAGCGCCGGATCTACACCACTGCCGGATCGGACTCTGCGATCGAGCTAGTGATGGAGCCGAAATCCTCAAGCCAAAGCCACACGGCCTGACTCGTTGTCTGGAGTAAATGAATAGTACAGACACATGAATCGTCATACTATGAAAGCACCGACGTACCTCTAAACAGACTGCAGCTTCTCCCATATTCTCCAATTGCGCCTCCAGGAGGTATCGCGAAGATCTGTTCTTTGGGCCCATCTCCCCAGCCTTTGTGCGGACGCTCAGTAACTGTTGCGCCACAAATTGATACAGTTTGCGGAAAGTTCGAACCCTCCCAGATGCTGCCCTCCCTTCTCCTAGTGCGGTCTCCGTATACGTGACAGTAACGGCCAAGACATGGTTGCCCTCTTCTTTGAGTTCGAATCTCAAGATACATTGTAACGATTCGGCTGGTCCCGGACAAGCGTTTTCTGCTTCTTCTTGCAAGCCAGACAGATCTAGGGGTGAACCTGTAGGGTTCGAGGGTGTCTGCATATCGCCCTGTATCCGCACACCACTAATCGCTTTTGTGTTGTCGGCTGGATCGAGCTCGTTGTTCGCGCATAGTGTACAGGAAAAGGTCTCGCCCACGTAGGCACTCCCAAACGCTTCGGGAAGATTCAGTACAGGACTCAGGACAAACTGATCCTTCGTCTCATTCGGCGTGGGATAGGCGAGCGAGGCTTTGGGCGATATGCCTAGATCTTTGGAGTTTGGGAGAGGGTGTTGCACCGCAAGGGATGGACGAGACAATCTATATGCATCGTTAGTATGCTAGCTGAGTAGTTGAATAGCACTCGTAGTATACGATGAGGTAGGCGAGCCGCGTGCAACGTCCTTGTGGGATGATGCGAAGGTCGATTTCGTCATGGGCCGCTGTGTTCAAGCAGTACTGGGAAATCGTGGACATACCGCAGAACCTTCAGGCTGACGGAGTGCGCCGTCTTGAGAGAGTCCCCCATCGCCTGCCCTCGCTGCTGAGCCATATCGAAGGCCGTCGTGTTGCAAGGACCTGTGACGAAAGTGGCCAGCCTGAGCGGAAGCTTGAGTGGGGCTAAACCTCAGGGTCCAAGCCTTCGGACCGCGGACTTAGTGCGGTTATAAAATTTTGTGATTCGATTACCGAAAGTGACGTGGGAATTGAGCAGAGCGACCTATTGACTTGTGGCTTTTGTATCATTATATCTGTTGTTATTGCTTTCGGACGTGTCGAAATTTTTGCTAGTTATCATGGGTGCCAAACCAGCATCAGACGATATTCCACTTCAGCGATGTCCACATATGGTCATCAAGGTTGATACACCAAAAGGTGCGTTCTCTTAGACATACCAGTGGTTCCAAATAACTCACACAGTATGCAGGGCGTGGTGTATTCGCTACGAAAGACATACCAGCGCAAACCATTATAGACATATGCCCAGTCTTGATCCTAGGAATAGAAGAAAACAAAAAGCACATAGAAAACACCTCGCTTTATCATTATACCTAGTATGTAGTCTCCCGTTGCGAATTATATGTTATCACATACCCACGCACTCAACTGAACACAGCCTTTATGTTCACAATACGTGAGCAGTTGCATGTGTGGCGTGTTAATAACACCGTCATATTCGAGTAACGCATCGATTGAAGCCGGTACTGGAAATATCGCAAGTATCTAGAACCTGACTCATCCTAGCAACTGGCCAATCGTAGACATCGACGGCAATAGCAAGGTCGCACAAGCCGTCATATTCGGATTGGGAAGCATGTTCAACCACTCGACCCAAGAACAAAACGTAGGGTGGATGCGAGATACTCAAAGCCAAATCATTACATACCGGGCGTTGAGAGATATTCCCGCAGGCGAAGAGCTTTGTGAGTGAAATAGCCAAGATTGATAGAGAAATACACTGATGAATCCAGGCATATCATACGGAAGCCATCTGACCTTCAAAGACGCAGATGTTCCACCTCCGACACCACCGGAAGACGAAATTGAACAGCTTCGAATGATTGAGCCTTATTAAGTAATCGTTAAAGGTGCAGGAAGTACAGAAGTCGCAGACTCATTTGCCGCAATGCAAAACGCCTACCGGAACAAGACAGAAGATCAGAGAAGATGTGGGTGGCTAGTATAGGATCAATCGTGTACGCCAAGATGTACGGAGTCGATGCAAGGACGAGGACCGATCAAGTGCTGAGAGGCTCAGGCTTTTCTGTCGATGGTGTGACATCAGCTGAGCTATTGTTGTCTTCGGCATCATTCCTTAGGTCGTATGCGAGCTCGAAGCATTCCTCCAGAAGTTGCGTCACGCGACCTTGGCCGTCGGGTATCTCATCGCCCACCATAAACTTGCCGTCTACCCGCATGTTGTCAATCGAATTTAACTATATTTGAGTCAGTAAACGTAACAATGTACCGATGACGTGGTTCACAAACCTTCATGCTGTACGGGTACAGCTCCCTTGGTGAAGACACACCTCCCAACTTCTTGACCTCAAGCAGGCATTTCCGGAGTGTAGTCAGTTGGTTGTAAATTGGCAGTAAAGCCTCAGATACAGGCTCTGAAGTTAAGAGCAGTTGATAGATGAGAGCATAACTCTTCCGGAGAAGGTATAGCAACGTCTGGAATATGTTAGTGTGTTTTCACACCTAGATCCATGAGATCATACTCTCTGCTCGTAGATCTCAGATGGCCGTCCAAGCGCATCGACAAAGTTACCGTCAACTCGAGCTTCGTCTATACGGTCAAGCTGTCGCTGGAAGTCCCAGAGATCCGTCTCACGAAGAGACCATGCCTGAGTTAGGGTGAGCTTTTCGAGCTTGTTCCGAATGGAGAGAAGTTTGTCATAGGTGTCCTTGAAAGCGGGCGCTATGCGTCCTTGCCTGTTCATGTGTTAGTCTGAGTTATAGAGGTAATGAACAGCACCAACTTTTGCTTTATCAACGTGACCCAAAGCAAATTGCGCCGTAGCAGGGTGCCGATAAGTGTCTTGGCGTCTGGCGCTGCCTCAGGATGTACGGTGGCGAGTTGCATCTTATCGACCATTTCGGCTAGCTTCTCTTCAGTAGTTCCTTCTGTCTCGTACGCACGAATGCCGTACTCCTTCAGTTCCTCATCAAGCTTGTTGAGCTCCTCTGAGTACTCCTCGACCTCATCATGCGGGAACTAGATTTCTAGTCAGTATGCATTAATGGATTTTTGTAACTTTGCTCACCTTGGATCTTGCGTTGCAGCCGCAAAGCGATCTTAGGATTGAGACCAGCTTCTCCCATTTCGGTGTTAGCTCGGGTGTGAGCTCGGACAAGTTGAGCTTCAACTCTGCTAGCGTCTCTTCGCAAACTTTGATACGGGCGTCAAGGAGAGTGAGTAGGTGTGGGCTGTATTCTTCCCGACCTCTCTCGACATAGTGCCGGCAATCCTGTAGGTTCTTGTCGAGTGCCTCCAAATCCTTTTGCGAGTAGAAGGTGGCTTCTTTAAGATGATCTAGTAAGCGCTACGTGATGTCAGAAACTGACATGCTAAGCTCCGACATAAATAGCTACCTTGATCGTCGATATGTATGAGTATCTTAACAATAATGTCAGTTGATTCATACATAACACATAACATGGTTGAGCACTAACACTGCTGGTGGTTCGTGGTTCTTTCCGACCGTCAGATACGCAAGTGAAATGAGTTGAAAGCAGTCATCAAGCATGTAATCGACTATGCGACCATGTCAGTAACAACAACCTACATCGGGCAGGTGGCAACGTGACATACCTTTGTTCTGCTCCAAACGTTTGGTTTCTCGTATCTCGTTGAGGATCATGACCTGCTCGATGACTTGGTCGTACAGTTTCAAGACATCTTGGCTCTTGACATATGTTGACCGATCACGCTTCAGTAGTTCAAGCTCCGTCCGTATCGACTGCAGCTTGTCGAGGATGGGCTGCTCTTTCGGATCCAGCGGGATCCGTGGGAGTGGGGAGTCGGTCATCGTGTGCTGCAGACGCGGATCGGCGACGGATGGGGAGATCTCTTGGTGGGGTTGAGGCTAAATCCGAGCAGTGGTGAAAGCTGGAACTCTGCGATATGCGAACTTGGAAGTAGCCGGTCGGGAAGCCAAGATGAAGCTTGATAGCGGGGAAAGTGCTCGGACGTCACCGAGGGGCAACCTCAGGAACGCGCTAGCTCCCAAACCAGTTAGACGTCGCTAAGCGAAAGCCACGGTTAGCGCCTTCCACACCATCAATTCAATTCACCAGCGCCGAAACTCCCAACATCTCGACTCACGACAATATCACGATCACAACCGTCGCAATGTCTACCTCCGAGCTCGCCACCTCTTACGCCGCTCTCATCCTCGCTGATGACGGTGTCGACATCACTGTACGACTCCCGAGGTGCAATTCGCAATCGCGGACACAATGGCTAATTTGAACAGGCCGACAAGCTCCAGTCTCTCATCAAGGCCGCAAAGATCGAGGAGGTCGAGCCCATCTGGACGACCCTGTTCGCCAAGGTGCGCATACACGAACACGCTGGAACTCCGAACACGAAATTGATATGTGAATAGGCTCTTGAGGGCAAGGATGTCAAGGACCTGCTACTGAACGTCGGCTCAGGCGGCGGTGCTGCCCCCGCTGCCGGAGGCGCTGCTCCTGCTGCTGGCGGTGCTGCCGATGCCGCACCAGCTGCCGAGGAGAAGAAGGAGGAGGGTACGTTTGCCACACACCTTTTGTTCAACAAGGAATGGAGACTAACACCCAACAGAGAAGGAGGAGTCAGACGAGGACATGGGCTTCGGTCTCTTCGACTAAGCGTCTCGTTTCCCTTCCTTTCTTCGACATTTGCCTTTCTCGGGGTTGCAAAACGGATTCATCAGCGGGCATATTCCCATTGCTGGGGTGGGACAGTCACGACTATTCGGTGACACGACTTGCATACGGGCCCTCCCGGAAGAACAAAGACGGCGTCATGAGATATGTTAGGTCGGCAGGTCAATGAATACTTCGAAAAGTGCAAAGAACGGGTACATGATGTGATGTCGTAGAGCAGGAATGCTTCGGTCGCGATCATTCAGCGAGATCGTTGGTCAGTTCGTGTATGGCCTTTGACCAGAATCTCGGTACAAGTGATGCATTGACATGAATCTGTCTTTGAATTCACGTACTAATGTTCTTCGATCAGGCAATGTGGACCCGGGCTTGCCCTTTCGTATTCTAGCCTACTCGTCTAATGTACCATGACCCAGAGCCTAGCGTCTGGAAAACTATACGTCGTGAGCCCTTTCATCCCTTCACTGTTATTAGCCTTACCATATGCTTCCCTCTCAGTTAGCTACAGGTATGTTCCTTCTGCACTCGGTCATCGCAGTCCCGTTGCTCCGCCTCATTCATGTTCATGGTACCCACAGCCTCCAATGTTGCCATGTCCAGTAATCTCAACGCCATCCACTCGATGTTTGATCCAAGCATCCACCAAGAAGTCTTTAGGCAACATGTTCAGCAGCCTCCGGTCCTGGAGTTTCTCTTTATCCTCGAACTCGCACCACCCATCCTCAAGTATCTTTCGCAGCTTGCTTCCTTCATTGTGCTCGTACATCCTTTTGATATAGGACACGGGTAAAAAGGTTCCAAGGGGATGACTATTGTATACTTTATTGTGGCACTAGGATGGCTGATCAATGGCGTCATCTCGGGGTTCTGCGCGAAGATGTACATGTCGACTGCGACTTCGGCATATTCCTAGACGTCGTTATCGTATTTAACCCAGTACGGTGGGGCCACACCTTCAGCGCATGGGCTAGTCTTCTCTCAGGGGATTATCCATCGAGGCTGATCACCTGGACGGTCGTCCAAGGGGTTGGTGAATGTCGAGAGGTGTCGGAAGAACTCCATCTGCAGCCAGCCCACGAACACTTCCATGTCAATAAGGGATACATCATTGATTTGAACGGCATGGATAATCTTGTTCTGAATGATGCGAGTGACGCTGGGAGCATGGATTATGAGCAGGAGAAGGAGGAAGGTAAAGATTTTGGCTTCATTGTTGTGCGCGACTTTGACCTCGACAGATGTTTGCCTAGAATACCTTTTCTTATATTGGCAGTAAGACAGTACACTTGACTGGAGACTTACAGCTCCAACTCAGTGTAAGTCCTGGAAGATGCTTGACCGGCCATGTTGGCTTCACTGACGATAAGACAAGGTAGTGGTGTCGTTGAACAGGTAAAGAGCGAGTGACAGAGGCGTTTCTATTTGAGGGTCAAAGGTTAGTGCTTACTTGTTCTCGAGCTAGAGATGGAGGAGTAGAGGTGAGATAAGTATCTTACCAGCTCTTGCTTCCTGAGTAGAACAGAAAAGATCATACGTAAAGTTGGTAGCCGGCATGGCAGATTGATCTTATGTCGAAAATGGCATGTTTCCAACTATCTGCAGCCATCGTTCCCGACTCAGAACGTTAATCAGAACTCCCTTTGGTAGGCGTTTGACGAAGTTTGTACGAAGACACTGCCTTTTTGCAAAGCTCGAGGCATTGTTTGAGGCGAAAGATATGAAGGAAGCGTTAGAAGGTACTGGAGTTATACCTGATCATTGCACAGTATCGAGCAGGTGAAAGAACCTCTTTCGCAAGGCATGATCCCCCCAAGGTCGGCATTAGGGTGGGAGAAGAAAATGTTGCGGGTGCAGTCGCATGAACATTTGGGGTTCTCAGCTTTCACTCACCGTGAAGAAGGCGGTACACGCACCGCTCCTTTCTCCAATGTGCTCCACCCAATCTCTCCAACATCACACCCATATTTTGCAAGTGGGGATTTTGAAACCCTCACAGCTACCCCGCTATGGCAAGTCCTAATAACGCGAAGACTAAGCATCCGAGGTATGTCATTACCACGTAGCGAGTGTCAGGTAGTAAGGAGTAAGAAATCAATAAACGCTCCTGTAACATATGTCGCCGGAGACCGTGCAGATTGTGTTGAAGGATAGTGTGAGGACGGTGTGCGCAATATGCGTGCGTCATATTCACTGTTATGCTCGTGATGGCATACTCAGACCTTGGAGAATTTATATATACGCTCTATACAAGCAAAACATACGCCTACTCCATGCCCCTATGCAGATACAGAAATCTCAAGTGTGTAAATATCGAATCGGTTACAAGTCGTTCGCGCGAAGCAGTTCCTCATCGTAAGACATGCTGTTGATGCGCTTCTTGGTGAATTCGAATGCAGTAAAGAAAATTGCGTTGACTATGCAGGAGCGAGACATGGAAACACCGAGGCCTAAGTCAAGTTAGTATTTGAGCCATGCGAATTGAAAAGATGTACTTACCTCGATACATTCGACGACTAAAGAAATGGATCTTTGGGCGCGTGGCCTTACCTTCGCCTCCAACGAGACAGTTCCGTTGATAGATACTCTTCGCCGTGTCGATGGGGAATATCTATCATGCTTGTTAGTGTATTAACGAAGAAGACTTGAAAATCGAAAACTTACACATGCCCAGCTGACCAGACCACAGAGTCCACCAGCTACAACTACAGCCAGTGGATGTGTAGGGGAAGTGCCGCGCGCGTTCGCCAAAATCTGTTTCACGCTCTCGTATATTACAAAGTAGATACCGGTACCGATCGAATCTCGAACTAAGTTCTGTCAGCACTTGTACATATTCTCTTGATTGTGTGGCCCACTCACGTAGATGCAAATGGAAGCCAGAGTATAGTCCTGTCCAACCCCGATGTTTGACCAGGTTTTGCGCCGTCTTCCAGGTTCCCAGATTCTGGTAGCTCTTGCGAACCGCTTCGTTCTTTCCGCCGCCGTCATTGCGCTCGGCCATCAATACGGAGATTTGGGCGCTCAATTTCGTCAATTCGAAGGGACCTGGAAGATAATTAGCCAGCTACACATGCATGCGGGAACAAATATCTATACATGCGATTACTGTGATGGCGGCGCCCGCGTTGACACCTGCCAACCCAAAGCATGCAACCGTCGAGAATGTAGGCCACGCATCCCGGGTATTCGCGATAACAAGCGGTGAGCTTCCGGTAGTCTGGTAAATCCAATTGTCGAGCGCGTACTTGGATCGCTGGTATATGGAGAAGGACACAGTGCGGACGAGGGTTATGCTCGCAAGAGGAGACCAGACACCTATGACGCGTACATTAGCATGTGATCGATGCGCAATTGTGAGCGGTGAAGCATACCGCGATAGAAGCCATAAAAGCCCTCAGTCTTGTAGGTATGGCGAACGCAGTCGGTGAATGAGTTGAACTTGTAGCTATGTGATGTTAGCCGTAGTCTATGCGATGCTGGGGTTTGGCGTACGCTTGTAGTCGGGTCTTGACTGAGTCCAGAGGATACTGGAAGCTATTAGCAATCCCGGCATCAGTGCTGTTATTTCCTACATAGGTCCACGTACTGCGGAAAATGTAGATAGCAGACTGCTGGAGCTTGCAGCGACCTCAGTGCGGTACTTCTTGGTCCATCGCTTTGCCTGCTCACTGCGCAGGACGGCTCTTGAAACCGCGGTCAGATCTCTGGGTCTATTTGGAATGTCCTGTTGTACATTTGGCCTCCCCTCATCCTGCTTAGGCATACTGGCTATCGCTAGCTGTGGAAGACGCTGCAGTCTTCCTACGGCAATCGCGATTGGGCCAGCAGCCGGGCAAGCTCCATGAAGACCGCGGCGATGTCAAGCTTGATGGATGGAACGTGTGTGCGCAATTGGTGTCGGGTGTGGAGGTTTGAGGCGAAGGGGGAGGTCGGGCGACAATGACTGATGTCGGCGAGTGTGTATGGACGCGGAGCGTGGTGATGGAATGGTGGGGTTGAGCTCACGCTTTGTGCAACTTGCAGGCCCGAAGCAGTCTAACGGCCACGGAAGGATGAAGCCATTGGCTGCAGGGGAACGATCGACGCGACGAGCTGCACGTGAATATGTCTTTACGTGCCTCGATATCCCTCACCCAGCACACGGAAATCGATCAGCGTCTTCACGCGAACGCATGGCTTTGCTGTCGAATCGCGCATTCCCATCACTCACTCAACCACAGCTTGTGGCATGGCGCACGTTGGGAAGCTACCACAGCTGAATGCGGGGTTTGCTCCCATGTGAAGCTTGACACCATCCATGTCTATAGCTTCGGCAAATCACAGTTCATCTATATGGCAGCTACGGCACTTGACCACACATTTTCTATTGCTACAGCTTAGCCCTCACTGTCCGAGGTCAAACAGACTGCAGTACAGCATGGCTGAATCTGGCACAGGGTGCGTGTGACAAGAGGCTACCGGCCGCGGACCGTGGTACGTAGATCGAGTCAAGCTCTTCTGTACCCACGTTTGCCTCTCCGCTGGCATCGAACGATGATGAGCAGACCGAACACTAGGATAGCTGTTACACATGCTCGCGTGCAGCATCGTTAGCAGTAACATGCTTTTCTAGCTTGACCACAGCAACGAACAAAACGATAATAGTCATCATGGTAGCATTCTCCCAGTTACGTCGATATGCTGGGTACAGTTCAAGAGAGAAAAAAAACTTTTTCGTAAACATGTAGTCGTAGTCCTGTGTGATTTTGCCCATAGCTTCTGTACATCCGTTCGTTCGAGCAAACCTGTTATGGTGTTGCGTTGACAAAGAGATTTGCCCATCTTTCAGGCATCAGTCTTTCTTTCCCATAATCTTTCTCAGTTCAGCGTCGTTGTCGGATCTCTCTATTGGCGCCTTCTGGTTCTCGTCGACCTTTTGCTGTTTCTTCTTGCGAATGTCTCCCATAAGCGCTTCACTAAACGTCCCTCTATCATCGTCTAGCCTCTCCATCTGACCGTGCCGCCTCATACTCTCCTTGTGCCAGCTGATCTGTCCACCGTCTGCTTCTCGATGTCTTTGGGCGTTAAGTTTCGCTGCGCGTATCGAGGTTCGGGCGTATACGAAGAGAAGGCCAGCCATGGTGAGGGCGGCTAGGGGCGCCATGATGGTCTGAGAAACATTAGCTGATGTACAGAATCATGAGTTTAGGAACATGTTTCGTACACGGCCATTGATGATACCTCGACCCCGCGTAAGGCGCGCTGCTGCATTGGCCGAAGTTGGTTTGGAGGTTTCGCTCATGCCATCGGCGGCCTTGGGCATGGAAAGTCTGCCGCCCATGATGAAAGCAGCTTGATGTTTGAAGGGAACGTGGAGATGTTCGACCGCGGGTGCAATGATTTACAACGTCTCAAGGTCCGTGGTGGGGATGGTGTGATATCTTCGGTGATTGCCGAGTTTGCTTCAGGATTCAGGATCCGGGGAAGTTTGAACTGCTATCATGTGCTGGCATATTGCCCTACCAACATCCGTCAAGACTCAATTCGACTGACCGATGTACAGCTGCTTCAGTGGTAGAGTCGTGTGTCGCGGGTGTGAGAGGTCTAGAAGCCATGAGGTAATCGACCAAGTAGCTATCACAAACGGTTAGCGCGAAAGCACCTCCGATATGTCCGCAAACCGAGGTCGCGTCATCGCCAGCTGCTTCCATAATCGCAAAATCTTAATTTGCATCATTACCAAGCGGCATACATCGGCCATCTAGAAGGCATTGCGTGACAATTGCAGACTTCTACTTGATCTTCCATTGCTTCTATTTTGGAACATCTGGCCTGTACAGCAAGCAGCCTTACTACTTACTGCACTGCACGGTTGGATTACCAAACTCGTCCAATCCAGTCCTTGACTACAGTAGTAGATTTGGAATCTAGGTGCTTTGACGTATTCCATAAGTATCCGCCGTCGTCCCGCTGCATCTTTAATGCAAAGAACATCTGCCCTTAGACTGCGAGCTCTATCGACGAGTCTTCGTACCGTTACCCCTCCATCTGCAGGACAAACCTCTCTACTCCGATCGCACTTCCGCCCTTCACAGACCACAGTGGCATCCGCACGCTTGTCAAACCTCTCGTCTCATTTCTCTACATCAGGCATCAACATGTCGTCGCAGATCAAGGAATGCGATTACCTAGTAATCGGAATTGGTAGTGGAGGTATTGCCTCCGGTCGACGAGCTGCCAAACACGGCGCAAAAGTCATCGCGATCGAATCGTCACGATACGGTGGTACCTGTGTAAACGTTGGCTGTGTACCCAAGAAAGTTACCTGGAACGCTGCGGCAATTGCAGAGACCTTCAAGGATGCGAAGGCGTACGGTTTCAAAGTTGGCGGGGTACCAGAGTTCGACTGGCCGTACTTCAAGAAGAAGCGAGACGATTATGTCAAGCGACTGAACGGCATCTACGAGAACAACCTGAACAAGGATGAAATTGAGCATTTCAGAGGGCGGGCCAAGTTCGTGGCAAAGGACGAGGTTGAGGTTGCGCTTCATGATGGAGGCTCTCAGCGCATCAAGGCAAAAAACATCCTTATCGCGACCGGTGGACGACCGAAACTACCCGACATTCCTGGAAAGGAACTCTGCATTAGTAGCGACGGATTTTTCGATCTCGAGAAGCAGCCCAAGAGCATTGCGACGAGTGGCGCAGGATATATTGGTGTCGAAATGACTGGTATGCTTCACGCACTCGGCTCGAAAACACACTTCTTCATCCGCGGCGACAAGCTCCTTCGAACCTTCGACCCCATGATCCAAGACACCGTAACCCAGGAGTATGAGCGTCAAGGCATCAACTTATACAAGGGTACACAGATTACCAAGGTGGAGGACATTGGCAACGGCATGAAGCGTGTGACTTACCAAAACAGCGAGACGAAGAACGAGTCAACTGTTGAAGTTGAGGAGGTACTCTTTGCAACTGGCCGCGACCCCGAAATCGAGGATCTCAAGATCAAGGACTTTGGCATCAAGCTCAACGACAAGAACCACATCGTGACCGACGAATACCAAAACACCTCCATCCCCAACATCTACGCCATTGGTGATGTATGTGATCGCGGCTTCGAACTTACTCCAGTTGCCATCGCGGCTGGACGACGCCTCTCAGATCGTCTATTCAACAACCAGCCCAAGGCTCACCTCGACTATGAAAACATCCCCTCCGTTGTCTTCGCCCACCCAGAGATCGGCTCTATCGGTCTGACCGAGCCCGAGGCCCGCGAGAAGTACGGCGACAAGATCAAGATCTACAAGACTGAGTTCAAGGCCATGTACTTCGCCATGATGGACCCTGAGGAGAAGCAGCCCACAGCATACAAGATCATATGCGCAGGCGAGAACGAGAAGGTTGTCGGTCTGCACATTCTAGGACAGGGAAGCAGCGAGATTCTGCAAGGATTCGGTGTGGCGATCAAGATGGGTGCCACGAAGAAGGACTTTGACAACTGTGTGGTAAGTACTCATCCAACGTTCCTTTCCCGTTGTGTCATACGTCCGTGGATGCATATGCGGCAGTGCTTCGGTTATCGACTGCAGCAGCTGCCACGTTTGCGGGGGAAAGGAACGGTGTTTTGCATTAAACGTTTGATGCCACGGACGCTAACATGTGCTTCTTTTCACAGGCTATCCACCCCGTATCGGCCGAGGAACTCGTCACCATGACTTAGACCGATTGGTGTATCGCGCATACTCGTCCCACTCGTGACGCTATATAGATTGGAAGGAATAGACTATATGGGCAAAGATCAGAGAAATGGCAGTAATCATTGTCGATTATGACTGTGTTCATGCGAATTCCTTCACATGAAAGGTTTATGCTCATTCACTGTGCCACACAACTGCAGTGCAATACAAAGGATGTCTATTTATATCTCACGTCCACAGCTTGGGGCCTCCATAATCCCTCTGGCATGAACCCCTGCAGCTCCAAGGTCTTGGAGTGGAGCTTGTTCCCCCGCCATTCCGAACAATACTCATCCTCGAGGCACAAAGTACCGGTATATAGCTGCTTCACTAGTATAGGAGGGTCTTACCGTCAAACATTAAACTAATGCACACGTAACACCACACATGCGAATCCGTTGATCCGGGGTTTAAGCGAAGAAAACAAAGCAAAAAGGCTCTACTGCACGTTTCTTGGTTACTCTAGCCGGTGGCTTTGCAACGGCCTAATTGACCGACGCCTGTTGTACTGTACATGCAGGGCTTTGCAGGGTGAGACAGAGTTCAGTTTAGGGTCTTGTCTCTCCCGAGGTCGCTCTTGGTATAAGATGTACATGGTACATGTGAGATCTCGATTCATGTAGCATGGGTATTTGTTACGTGTACCTGTGTGTCTGTCTATACACTTGTGTACTACAAAGTATGTGTGGGTGTCGGTGTCGGAATGAGCCAAAATAAGCAAAAGGTCATGGACGAATTGCGACTGCACTTTGTCGTATCGCTTAACCAAGGATGCGTGGAAGGGGTGATCATAGTCGATCTTAATATCGATTCCGTCATGCTCTTGGTGGGGGATAGGCATGATAGTAACGTGTGATATAGGTCAGGTTCTCGCTTTCTAGATGTTTTCTAGTGGGCGGCGTTCCTGGATGTCGGGTGTTGGCTATGTTGCTATGTGTTTCAATATCACCACTTCAACACGGTGGCGTACTTGGTGGAAATGGCGATGAGATGGATCAAGTAAAAAAGTAAGTAACTGGCTGACCCACTGATTGATTGGCTGCCTTCTATCATGCAAGTTTGCCAAATCTCATCACAAGCTCATTTCCCATCCCATTTGCCGCCCACGCCGCCCTGACTGCCCTGCATTGACAAGAAAGAACCAACGGGTCCTCCCCGCGTTCGCTTGGAGCATTTCGTGAAGTGGAGTGGCTGCTAGTCCATCATCTAAAATGCTATGCAGTCTTCACCGTGCAATACCACCGGCACCATCTGGACCCACAGTTGTAACCTATCGCAACCTGCGCTACTCAAAAGCCCTGCACACCCTTTTAAACACAAAATGAATGCCGTCTTGTGACTGAGAACGAGCTTTGCTGACGTTCCAACATAATCATTATTGTTGCTCGTTAACAGACCCTGCAGTAGATGTCGACGTGCTACGAGACGGACAATCTCCGTTCCACCACTTAGAGTTATGCCGGAAACCTGGTCCCTGGCCGTTCTCTTGTGGCGCGAACGCCCTTCTCCAAACCCATGCGAGCAGGCGTTTTCTGGCTTCCAGAAGATCGTTGTCAGTGACGACGATGAACCACACTTAAACGTTATTTTTCTTTTAGCACGCGGTTTAGGCAACGGAGGCGCGTTCTCCGCGTTAACGTCACGAAGGATTCGATGCTCCCCGGATTCGCTCTCTGTCCCTCTCCACACATGCGCACACACCGTTGCAAGCCACGGTGTGGAGACTTTGTCGTTGCTGTGCTGTAGTGCGGCGGAGAGGGCGCCAAAACAGCGATGACCTGCATCGCACTGACACCTTTGTGCCTGCGTCGAGTGTCTAGAATCATGCTTCGGACTGACCACTCCGTGTTGATCAATGTTCTAGACGACTAGAAAGGAGGTGTGTTTGAATCTCATGCTATTCATGTTCATCTCACCCAAGCAAGGCAGGTCCCTGATGTACCAGTGTTTGAGTTCCCGGGGTCTCCCCCATGGTACCGCCGAACCCCGGGTTATTCACATGCGAGATATGCCGCTAATGCGTATCGAACCAGGGTAGATTTAGCGTCAACGCGAACACCAAGCCGTCATTATGCACGTTGACTCGAAGTGGTGTGCTTCCGCACCCTAGCGGCTGAGCTTCTGATAAAGGCACCGAGGCCGCTCCCCGCCATGACACAAAATACACCCAATACGGCCCTCCACATCGGAGCCAACCCTAGGGTTCTGGTGTAGGCGTCTAACCACAACAGCGGTACCTTGTCTGAAGAGCGGTGGAACTTGTTTGACGATTGTCTGAATCATGTGGAGCTGGCGGCAGTTGCTACTGCCGACTGGTTTCTTGAGAGCGCTGGCTCATTTGCTGTCAATAATATTATACAAGTTTACATATAGCGGCCGTGACATTCATTCACCGTAGATCCGAGGCTGTGAGGCTAGCCTCTCTGTGTTCCAAGTCCCCCAGTTTTACGCCGCGCTGGTTTTGCTTGAGAGACCCCTGGACCGGGCCAAGCCGGTCCATGATGGGCTCTCACTGATAGCTTTCAAAGCTATTACAAAATGTACTGTGAAATGAAGACAAGTCCAAATTTAAACCCATGTGATGATCGTGGCACGATCG